GTACATCTAGTATTTAGTTAGGGCAAAAACCTCCGTACATCTAGTATTTAGATATAGTTATTTGCAGTCAAAAATACCGAAGAAACAAGATCCTTGAAAGGCTCGAGTTATGTTCTAAAAGACTACAATGGCAACTACTAAATCATAAAATAGATATATCATAAATAAATATCATTGTGAACGAAACAAAATAATAGACACACATAAAGGTTTGGATTTTCTAATCAAGACTGAAGGATATCTTCTTCTGTAATTTTAGACTTTTCACACATACTTTTGAAAATGCCTTCGTCTTTTCTGATTAAATTAATTGGTGTATCAAACTCCTTGACCTCACCTCTCTCCAACGTCATGATTTTATCGTAATGAAGAATAGTACGTAAACGATGAGCAATACATAAAATCGTGACGTTTTCAAATTCATTATTAATAGTTGTCTGAATTTTTGCATCTGTTTCATAATCGACTGACGAGGTTGCTTCATCTAATATTAAAATCTTCGTATTCCTAACCAATGCCCTTGCAAATGAAATTAATTGTCTTTCACCTAAAGAGTAATTAACTCCCTCATCAATAACAACTTGATCCAAATGAAATTTATGTAATTTACTTACATTTTCAGCTACTGTTAATTTAACTATTTCCATCTCTTGAGAATCAAAAGTACCACATCTTGATAATGCATTCCACAATAAACTATCATCGAACTCCCCAAAGGGATCCAAGTTTTTTCTTATAGTACCACTGAACAAAACTGGATCTTGTGGAATGATAGACAAGTTAGATCTTAAAGTGTTTAAATCTAATTTAGAAATATCGACTCCATCAATCAAAATCTTACCCTTAGTTAAAGACACCAACTGGTATAAAGCCGACATGATTGAAGATTTTCCAGCACCTGTCCTACCACAAACACCAATTCTTTCAGAAGAACTTGCTTTGAAACTCACATCTCTCAAAACCAAAGGTAAACCTGGTCTATAAGACATGGATACATTTTGAAATTCGATAACTCCATTAGATGGCCAACCAGGCTCGATTAATTGCTGAGCTCCCTCGTCCTTTTCCGGTTTTAAATGAAGAGCATATTGACACAAACGTTCCACTGCATTCATGTCATTCTCCACTTTCGTTAGTGCTGACAATAATGGTGCCAATGTTGATGCTGACTGGATTGTGTATGTAAGCAATAACCCTGAGGTTGATGCACTTGAATGGAAAACTCTATTAACACACAACAAAGCTATAAGAAGGACAAAGACAAAGCCTAAACTCTCCAAATTAACATTTAGCCACAGCTGGCATGCTAGTACCATATATGAAGATTCATTCATATTATTCATTAACTCATTACTGGTTTCCAAAAACATCGATGATTTACCAAAATTTAAAATAGTATTCTTACCCGTCAATATTTCTGAATGGGCAGTGAAAGCGAAAGATCTCATCAAAGCTTCTTGTCTTCTTATCTCTCTGCTTGACGCTTGGTAATAATTTGAAACCGCAAAAAAGAAGATAAACATTCCTGGTATAGCCATGGCAATCCAAGGCAAATAAACAATATTGAGAATAATAGAACCAATTATAGTACTTGTGTATTCAATAGCCAAAATCAATAAAGGTCCAATTTCATTATCCATTGCATCCGTGTCTTTTGAAAAGCGGTTGATAATTCTACCCAAAGGATTAGTGTCAATGAAACTCATAGGTGAGCCTAAAACTTTTCTCATTGCCGTTAACGTTAAATTTTTAGAAGATTTTGTAAAAATTGCAGCCAAATAGACGTTCTCTATTACCGAAAAAATAACCCAAAGAAGAACAAACATGACATAAAAACCAATATAAAAACTATCTGATCTATCTTCAAATTTACGGCTAATCCAGAATGACAACCAGGTATTCATAAAAAGTTGACAGAATAACGATATAGCAGCTAAAAATAAAAGAATGACAAAAAAACCTGAAATAGTTAACTGCTTTGTACCTTCTTTTATGTAGGTGATATAAACTTCTGCTTTGAGTCGATTCACTGCTCTCTCTTCCTCTTCAATTATCTTACCTTTGGTTATATCTTTGTTTAAGTCGATATCTTCATAAACAATTTCCTCGTCTAATTCTGTATCTTCTCTATGAACATTTCTCCTTTTAAGTTGAGTATGTTTTCTGTCGCTCTTGTCATCAACCAAGAGTTCGACTTCTTCTAAAACTTGTTCAATGCTATCAGAGTCGTCTTCAGTTTCTTTAGTTGCACTGAACTCATTCAATCTAGCAAACGATGGATTCAGTAACGCTAATTCTGCTTTAGTGCCCATACTCATTGTACCGTCACCATTCATGAAAATAATTTTGTCGGCAGAATCAACGAGAGATAATTGATGGGTTGCCAAAACAAGAGTTTTCTCTTTTAACAAACCAAAGACACAGTGTTCTATAATATGTTGCCCCACTTTAACGTCAACAGCACTAAGAACATCATCTAATAAAATAATGTCATAACTTGCATACACTGCTCTTGCTAATGCAATTCTAGCTTTCTGACCTCCAGATAATGTCATTCCCTTTTCTCCAACTTCGGTAAAATCACCAGCTTCTAAATTTTTCAAGTCATCTTGCAAACAACAAGCAAATACAACTGAATCATACCAGTGTTTATTGAATGTTATTCCAAAAAGTATATTTTCTCTAATGGTAGCGTTCTGGATCCATGGGTCACCAGACAATAATAAAGATCCATTTATAACAACGTTACCCTCATTTAAAGTCATGTTACCTGAAATAGCATTTAAAAAAGAGGACTTACCACTACCAATCAGGCCTGTCACTGCAATAAATTGACTTTTAAAGATTTGCAAGTTTATATCCATTAACTTCAGCAACTTCGTGGCTGTATTTGCGCTTTCTTCCTCATCAGCAAAGTTAGATGAATCCTCATCTTTTGTATCCAGGAGTTGCCATTCAAATTGAGCATTAGAAATTTTAATTGCACAATCATCTTTTTCATCAATAAGAGTAATGTAATTTTCATTTTGAACAAATTCTTCGCAAGTCAAAAATTCCCCAGCTCTTTTTGCAGCCATGAATAAATCAGCCACAGAAGACAAAGCTTGAGGAATAAAGAAAACAAGCATACCAAAGGCTTGAAATGATTGAACTGAAGAGAACATAGAACCAGCATCTTTGATGTGACGTTCAAAAGCATATAATACAAGGAAAGCAATCATTGTAACAACACCGGTTAAACTCATACTCAAAACCATTACCAAACTTCTAATTGCCTGAACTTTGAAAACAAAATTTGATTCTTCTTCTCTAACCTTAGTCAAAGACTTCCAGTAAGGAAATTCCCAATTATAAAACTTGATCATTTTTAAGTTTGAAATAATTTCTCTCATTATACCAACTCTCGTATCTGTTAACAGTGATAATACGTCACGATAGGCATATAAAAGCTTTGAGAAATAACCAATTCCACCCAAAAATATAATGAAAATTGCAATACTGATAAGCGCTGAAACCCCAATATTGACAATTAAGATTGCAATCGACACTCCCATTGGGATTGGTATAGCCACCAATACAACCTGGAAAGTGAAAGCTATTTCAACCCTTGATAAATCAGTACTAATCAATGAAGTAACCGAACCAGGAGGATATTTGATTCTAGATTTGGGGCTCAACTTAAAATTTTTTGCCAAAATCAATTGAGTTAAAACAGATCTTGCTTGAGTCCCCACTATACTACCAAAATACTCGAATTGATATGCGGTTATACCACTGATTAGAATTAAAAGAGCAGTAGCAAAAGCATAACCAATTCCCTTACCTATAGAAATGTCAGACCCCAAAGCCTTCAATTCAACAAATTGAATAAGCTTCTTACTAGCAAAAGGTGCCAAAGTGAACCCCAAACAACAGGCAAAACCAAAGAAAACAGCAATAAGTAAATCTTTGCGGAATACAATTAACATAACCTCAACCAACATGAATTTGGGCATTTTGAAATCGTCAGTTTGACTAAGCTCATCAAGATTAATCAAATTACCTTGGTGATTCTTCAATTTTTTCTTCAAATATCTTCTTCTATGATACTCTAGCCTACTTTCGAAGCAATTTTTGAATTGTTCTAATCGATACTCAACGGTAAGGTCTTTGGTTAACTTGAATAGATCTTTGGCATGTAAAGTACGACGATAACCAACATTCAAAACAGGAGTTACCCACCAAAAGAATAGTCTTGATATAAAGTTAGCATCTTTGAATCCAAATGGTTTTCTCTCGTGTTCTTCGGGCAAAGGAATAGTTTTCTGTTTAAGCAAAAATGAAAAAAACCTCTTTTGAGGAGATAGCTTTGACAGATATGACTCGTTCTGTACTGGCAAGGTCCCCGAAATCATTCATCAATGTTTGTAGCTTTCAAAACCCCCCGTCAAAAAATCCTTAAGGTCCTTTATACAAAGACAATTTATATAAATTTAAAAAAACAAAATGCTTTACAAAAGTTAAAAGATGGAAATATTATCACTTAAGTTATGTGATGAGTAGATTTAGTTATTGCGGGGCACTGAAGCTTCTAAGAGAATGGTTGTAGATTCCAGATTAATTTATAATTCTATAAATACTATCTGCTATTGTATGGTTGTAAAAGAGATTTATTTTTGCTAAATATATTCACGAAAATTTAAATTTGCGAGATTAAGATAAAGAGATAACAGCTACTTTTTCGGAAAAAGGAATATTTGAAAAAGAGTTATATGTAAGTGAATATCTTTATGGATTACATGAAGGCTTTTCAAAAGATGGTGTAAATAAACTAATAAAACAATAAAGAACTATATGAATAATAATCATGAACCGTTGGAAAGGATTTGTTAATGAAGTGAAAGATTATGATGAATCTGAAATTAATAGAATTACTAAGTACCTTTTTAAGATACGAATACCTTAAAGAATAAAAGTAATAATAAGTCTTCTTTGCGGAAATTCTGCTCTACATATATACTATCCATTAAATTTTATATAAATAACATGCTGAATTATATGAAATTCAAGATTTAGAAAACAAAAAATGTGGAAGCTATTACCATTTGTCAAGTTGTGATATATCAGGAAAAAATCATCAAATCCTAACAATTTTTAATCTTTATAGTTTTCTCTTATCTTCTTCACTTTTAAACTTGCTTTTTAAAACACAGTCTTACTTTCAAACTCAACAAAACGACTAATTACAGTTATAAGCCTTCATCATCAACTTTACCACTTGATTTCTTTTTTGGATCCGTGCTTGCCATGATAGTAACAGCTTCTTTTATACTAAATGACATACTTATTATACATCATTCCATAAAAAGAAAATGGTTTATAAATATTTCTTGTTTCTTCTCTTGTTTTCTGAATTAATCTGCTTTTTTGCAAACTTTCTTTATGTTTTCTAATAGATCTTTCAAAACCACCAACACTTTCAGGTATTAGATAGGTCTGCCAACTACTCTTCTGCTCAAAATACGGAAGGTACGTTTTTTTATCAGCATCAATATTATTTTGAAAATGCTAATTTATTCTTTTGGGAGGCTTGCAAGCAGAATAAAATGATCGTTGATGATAATATTCAATTCTTTAGGAAACTAGGGAAGAATGCTGTAAAACTAAACAGAACAAAGAAAACGGCTGGTGCCAAGTTAAATTCCTCACCTTTTGCAAATAGACTTTAAATAGACCTGCTGATGTTCGTCATTAATTAATATGTCATGTGATTATGCTTTTTTGATGTACCAATTCCCAAGGTTACCTTTTGAGTATATATTTGAAATTTGCAGTAATTTACTCGGAAAAGATGTTTTAAATTGCATTACATGCCTTAAAGATTCGAGGCTTCGAAGAGCCTTGATTGATCGCTTTTTCCAAGGACGCTTAGACTTTTGATTGAGTCCACATGGTTTTCCTCGAGGACAATTCCCTAGTGGTATATATTGGTGGCTGGAACATTCACGAATTCATTCTTTTAGTCGAGATCGAAATTTTTTAGATTTGCATCAAGATATTAACCCACCAAAACTAAAGCTAATAGATGAATCATATGCAAGTCTTATATCAATTTTTTTTTAAGAGATATATTACTAGATTTTCTAGTGCAGATGATCAAATTATGCTTTAAATGAATGTGGTTATTGAAGACTTGGCCTTTTCAGTTGATAAATTAGAGAACGTCTATGGAGTAGTGTTCGGCAACTTTGAAAGATGTTTTGGCCAATTACAACATGGCCTTCTTTTGAAATGGAAGAATCTCAGCTTATTTATGGCCAGCGAGTCTGGATTGAATGATTTTTCAAGATTAAAGTTTCCTTCCAGCTTAAAAACCTTCCCGCTTAGTTGTTGTAAGGACATAGATCTTTCAACATTGGTAATCCCAAGCTTTCATTTGCATTTCTCACTCTAACAAATACCAATTGTTTTGTATAATTTTGCACCCAAATCTCAATTAATTCGCGAAATGTTGTTTTTTACACTTCATAATATATAACGCTTCATCATCTACGTAATGACCACATAGTTCTCCTATCTCTATTTATTACATCATTGCTGCTTTTCATCTACTGATTGAGCTCAAGAAACTGGCATCTACGGGGATTAAGATTTTGATCTCGGCATGTTGAAGCACGTTTCCATAATGTAGAAAACAGTTGAATAATAAGTTCATCATGAGATATATGTCCCATGTGATGGGTACAGGATCGCATGTTGAAGTCTTCGACATGGAGCACTCATCGTTCAGCTTTTCAAACTCAGATGGGAAGCCATAAGATCAATTAAAACTAGCATTTCGCGGTCAATACGAAGATAACATTGATGAAAAAGGGTTTCAGAGACTTCATGAGCAATTTGAAACACATTCGAGCTTATATGGCCTCTTTATGGGTCTAATATCATATTTAATAATGCTGCTAGCAAGAATTTGCTTATTGAAAGCTTCACTAACATTACATCTGGGTTTTTACTCGAATATAATTTGAACGAAGATGAAACTAATGGGAAGAATTTCAGAACCTATGAGTTACATGAACATAGTTTAGAAAATATTTCAGATCATATCCACAAGAAGACTCCCAGAGTTGGAGCTGGTTTATTCATATTTACATTTACATCGCTAGTGTAGTCACATGAATACCGGGTCACTTATTGTAGCACAACTTGAATATCATCTTTTGGTTCCTTACACAATCGTAGGCAGTCCCAGAGACATTCAGTGGTGTTCAGAATACAAAGGTATTTTTAGTCGTGTAATTAAATGAATATAATAGATTCTAACTTCTTTAATTGCTGAACCCCAAACGGACGGTTTGGTTTTTTTGATAAAAGTAATGAAATCAAATTCTGATTTTAAATTGGCTTTAAGGCTAGTTAGCCTTTTTGTACGAGATAGTCTCAAGCAGCATTACAACATGAGAATAAAAGAATCGCTGTTCAATATCTAATGTTCTTATTTGTAAATATATAGTAGAAATATACCTCTACTCTCTTATAAGCTGTCTATTTCCTTCGCTATCAGCAGGTATCAAGGCAATGTCATATCCATCATTTGTAGCAGCTAACAAGTTATCCACGCAGCTCATAATATCATCTTCCGATACAGTATTATTGGTAATGGTATGTTTATACAACTTCTCGCCGTATTCATCTTCTATTTGACTTTGATTAGTTGAGTAGATAAATTTTGGTAATATACCGTAATTGCTCAACATGTATCCACCAAAACCTCCTTTCTTCTTCAACTCCTCGATATTAAATGCGGTGGAAGCATTAGCAAATGTATCACTAGTCATAATTATTTCTCCTTTCTTATTAACACTAATAGTGAGATTAGAACCAGCAGGATTGTTTTCTAGTATGATAGAACACAAGTCCTTCAAAACATCAGACTTGTCCGCCAAAGCAATGCTCATGTATATAGTTATTAAAAGTGACAACAAAAGCATCTTGGTATTAGGTAAAGTTGTGTAATGAAGCTCTAAACTTCCTATGGACTTATCAACTGTTTTTTTTTTTTTTGAAGTATTGTGCCATGCAAGAATTTGAGGTATCGTGATTGCAACAATTCCTTTGAGTGACTCATTCTATCCATGGAGTAATACTCTCTAAAAGTTAGGGTTAAAAGATGAATATCCAGCAGTAGAGCATATAGATATGGGGACAGCGTTTCTGATATTTGTATTTCAAGAAATAGTTCAAGGCAACATGGTCATCGCCCTAAGGTTCTAATAACTCACTATTCTAGGATTATTCATAAAAAACATATTTCCGCTTACGGTGCTGCTGTAAGAATTATTCGCTGAAGGTATATTCAAGAAGTATGATGAGCTCATCAATATCCATCTTTTAATACGAATCAAAATCTTTTTTGATTTTTTGACATTTTTTACTCGATGAAGGCAAAATCAATTGTATTTCACTAATTTTGCAACCAAATGTCAAAAAATTCAAAAAATTCAAATGTTCAAACAATATATGGGATCTGTACTTTTATCAGACTCTTGAATTGGAAAACAATCCCAAAAGCTAAGCTCGACTCACATAACCTATCATTAATGGAATGTAGTGCCTCTAGATAAATTAATAGAAAATATATTTTCATATATTGTGCATTATATCTATAAACCCAAATACCTGGCTATTAACTCGTATAAATGGCCTCAAATTTAAACAAAACCTACGATATATTAGCGAAATAGTTTTACACAATAAGAATCCCGCTAGCTTATGCTTCTTTGCTGCTAATTGATTTGATTTTTATAAGTTTTCCCAAAATAAGAAAATTCTCTTGTTCGTTGTTGTTTTTGTTCTGCTTTAAAATTGCTGGATAAAGGAAGATCTGCAATGTTGTTCTGCTTCATCAACCTCTAAGAAAAGCGTAGTTCTGAAGCCACTTATGATCCTCGAGTTGTCCTGCAAGTAATAAAATAACTACTGATTTGTCTTATAATTGACCCGAAGTCAGGTCATTTGATTCTACTTCTGGACCGAAAATGTAGTGGTCCAGGAACATTGATCACAATAAGCCTAGTAAGTTAACTAATGCCTTTTTTAAATCAATTGTTTCGTTATAAAGCTCTTCTCTAAGAGATGGGTTGCTCAGATCCCAAAAGCCATGAAACAGCCCCTTTGAGATTCAAAATATCTGATTGAAAATACTGCTTAAACCCCGAAATAACCCTACATTGATTAGTGTGAAAGGAAATCGTTGAATGGTCAAAATCCTATTATTGCATTTACCATAGTTTTGATGAAAAATAGAATTTTTATACGACGATTTGCACCCGATTTTGATATTCACACATTAGAAATTCCCGATGAATATTACAAGGACCCACAACACAGAAAGTCTTCTAGTTTGAATGAAGCAAAGGGGTGCTCTTGTCTTAATTACCTTGCTCCGAGCAACTTTCAACTTTTACCGTCTTCTAAGAATAGAACATAAAGTTAATAACAATGATCAATTACAGTTGTTGAGCTCATACTCCAACTATTTCCCTTGTCAGCCATTTTTTGCAACTTTTTTGGAGTCAAATTTTTTTTAACAATTTGCAATTTTCAAATAATTCTTAATTAATAAACAACTGCTTATTGTCTATGCCATCTCTAATCTCCCATGAGATGAGCTCTTTTTCTGTACGATGCCTTTCGTTTGTTAGATAAGCGCAACACAAAGAAAAAAATTCCCATTACCCAAACAAGGCCGTTTTGCACTCGTTTAGGAATCAGAATTCTAACTATAAAACCTGATGGGACGGACCAGAAGATTCAAATATTTTTTTAGATGTCATCAGCAAATATGAATATTTTCTTATTTTACTTATTAGCTAGTGTTTTTGCAGGTAACTCTACTAGAAAAGTTTTCATTGATAATGACGGTATCACTCCATTGAATGTTTTCCTCCCTCTTTTAGCTGATATGGATATTCTTGGGCTTTCAGCCAGTTTCGGGGATCCCTCTTATGTTGATTCTTTGGGTAGAGCAAGTGATTTAGTTCAAAACTATACTTTGGGATCTTGTATTCCATTATATGGTGGTGCATCAACTCCATTGATTAGAACTGAAAAAACTTTCAATGCCTGGCAATCGTTATATGGAGAATTTGTTTGGAAAGGTGCATGGGATCCTAAATATAATGATACTCATCTGTGGGATAAAATTGTCTACAATAGTTCTACTCCTGCAGCTTGGGAATTGGTTAAAGCTGTTAAAGAACATCCAAATGAAGTTGAAATATACGCTGCCGGTTTAATGACTACTGTTGCACAAGCCATTTCATTATATCCTTCACTTCCTCAAGAAGCAAAAGCCTTATGGATAATGGGTGGTTATATCGATGGTCAATATGACCAAGTTACTGGTGGTGACATTGTCGATGATATCAACACCGATTTCAATCTTATGATTGACCCAGAAGCTGCTCATATTGTTTTAACAGCCAATTGGACCGATCTTTATATTGGAGGTAATGTTACCAATTATCTTTTCCCAACTCAAGAATTATATGATTCTTTAATCCATAAGTTTGGGAAACAATCAATTGATAATGAACCTAATCACGTTGCTATTAAAAACTTCATTGGTAATGGTAATGCAAGCTCAGTTTTCTTACCATTATGGGATGAAGCAGTTTCAGCCTATATGGCCTTCCCTGAATTAATCCAGAATTATACCGAGGTAAAAGTATCTGTTGATACTTCATTCAATTCTCCTTTCTATGGCAATTTAAGAATTTGGCCATCGAACTTAGCTCCAAAAGCTGCTAATATCGGAAAGGCCAAATATATTAATTCTGTTAATAAAACTGGAGTCATTCACAAAATTTACGATGCTTTCGGTAAAGACTGGACCAAGTACTGCTCTCACGGCGTTAGAGACTTATAAATATACCCCTTGTTACTAACCAATCGTCTTATAGTTTAGTTTATACATCAATAAAATGTCAAGTTAATGCGCACTATAAATATTTGGTGAAAATTCACTCAAAGATAAGTAAATCTTTTCCAAGATAAGATGTCTCTTGGGTTTGATACAATTGTAATTGGCTGCGGTGTCTTTGGTTTATCTACGTGTATAGAGTTGGCTGAAAGAGGATACAAAGTTTTGGCCCTTGACAAGTATCAACCTCCTTCACCTTTATCTGCTGCAAATGATTTGAATAAAATCATAAGAGTTGAATACCCGGATAAATTATCTGCCCGGTTAGCTGTTGAAGCATTAGAACTATGGAAACAACCGCCATATAATGAATGTTTTGTAAAGACAGGAAGGCTTACCCTTACCCCAGATGATCCCAATTCGAATAGAAATATCTATGAAACTAAAAGTTCTCAAAATTTAGAAGAGTTAGGAGTCAGACAAAGAATCAAAAAGATTAAAAGCCTGAAAGAAATTGGTGAGTTGATTCCAGAATTTAAAAATAATACGCTACCTGATACTTTGAACGCAACTTATAATTATGACTGTGGTACTGGTTTATCAGGTAAGTCAATCAAAGTTGCATTTTCAGAAGCTTCTAGGTTAGGGGTTGCATTTGCCTTTGGAGACGACGGGGAGGTTATCAAGGTTGATTCTCATCAGGTTACAGTGAAGTCAGGGAAAGTCTATGAGGCGTCCAAAGTGATTGTATCTGCTGGTGCTTCAACGGTTTTCTTGGTTCCTTTGGATTCTCAGATCAATGCCTGGGGTGGGTTTGTAGCTCACATTAAGCTTACAGAGGAAGAATACGAGATTTACAAAGACATTCCAATATTCTTCAGTGCAGAATATGGATATTTCTTCCCACCTGATGCTGAAACTCATAGAATTAAAATTGCCCTTACTACATGTGATGCATTTGCATTAAAGAGAATTGATAATCAAGATACCAAGGTGCCTAGATTTCAAACTGAATACCCGGATACTGTACCAAAAGATCACTACAATGATATTATGAAACTGATTGAGTTGGTTCTACCCGACTTGGCGTACCATAAACCTCAGGATTTCAAAACTTGTTGGTGTGCTGATACTTCAACCAGTAAGTTTTTAATTGATGAATGTCCTTATTTTGAAGATGTTTATGTTGCATCTGGAGATTCTGCGCATGGATTCAAATTCTTGCCTAACATTGGTAAATATATAGTGGATAAGATTGAAGGTAAGCTTGAACCAGAATTAGACGAGGTTTGGCGTTGGAAAGTCAAGCCCGAGTTTCGCCAAACAATTACAAATAGACAACCAAGACCCAACTTAAACTTAGCTGAAGTTGAGTTTTTCAAAGATTGATAAAAATGGATTTTACATGTGTATATAGAGATACGGAAATATAGACTTGTGATAGAATATTGTAACAAATCTGTAGCTATAGGCAGGGGTAATGACTGCAAAGATCGAATCACATCGTATGTAAACACTCAGTAGACTTTTGGTTCTGCAAAAAGTACAAAACTGCACCAATGATATCTTGATTCTCTTCAAAAGACTCGGGTGTAATTCCGAAATCTTTAGCATCGGCTGAAACAGTTTTATTAACTGAAGCTTCTTGTTTAGATTCGTGAAAATTCTTGTGATAAGTTGACTTATAGGCATCCATTAACGCGTATATTCTATCAAAATCAACTTCATAAATTGATTCAACATCTGAGTTTGGGTATTTGAGCTTCAAAAATTTCGCAGCCTTTTCCATCACTTTCTTCAATTTACTCTGGGTTGGTTCAGCAAGCATTGAGTTCACCAGATAAGAACTGCTGTTCGAACTACTTATTGAGGTGGAAATGCCTGGTGACTTTGTTGTGACTTTCTTAATCAAACTTATTGGTGACTTAAGGGAGACAGTCGCTTCTTTTAGTGTATCCACAAACCTTGAATAAGTCAAGGGGCTACAAATGGGAGTTGTGCTTTCAGAGGATCGATGTGGAGGAAAGTATATTGGTGGAGGATGGTATATTCTATTCATAGGTTTGGATGACAAAGGTTGCATACTCAAGAAGTCATGACCAGATGATTCTTCAAAAGAATCCCCAATTCTATCGAAATCAATAACGAGATCATCTGAATCAGTTTCCGCATATTCATATTGAGCAGGTTCGCTCTGTTCATCTAAGGAGGGTTCTTCCCATGGACTTGGTGGCTTTTTATACATAATTACCAAAGAAACTAACAAGTCATCAATTGATAACTGAACTCATGATATCCCATTATGGGTTCTTATACTAAGATTAAGGTTTTACATTGATTTTCAAGTACTGTCAACCTTGTAGCATTACTGCGTACAACTTGTTTCAGTTCAAAAACAGTTAAAGTTCAAATGCACACAAATAACTTCGTTGGCTCGAAGTCAATACAAACTACGCTTGCTACAATTTGCAATTATGAAGGTCAGTGTATTTTATGAAATAATTTTTGCAGAATAATAAGACTCTAGTCTATTTATGGAAGAACTGAAGGAAAAAGAGAACAATTAGTTGTGTACTTGGGAAGCTTTTTTAAAAGATAACATCGTCTTCATCTTCTTTAAGTAAATCGTTTTGGTCTTCGCCAACTCCCAATTTTTCCACTTGTTCAATAACCTTTTGTTCGTCATCTTCAGCAGCATTCTCTTTCTCTGAATTCTCCTTATCTCTATTTGCAATAATTTCAGCTTCTTCAGCAGCAGTGGCTTCTTGTTTCTTTTCTTGAACTTTCTTCAATCTATAAAACTCTTCACGATCTAATTCATCCAATTCAGAGTTAATATAACTAATGGTATTTTCAGTTCTTGGAATAATGACATGCTCAATGGCATTAACTCTTCTATTAGTCACTTTAATAACTTCATCTAAGATAATAAATGCAGTTTGCAAAGAGGCCAATTCAACTAATGTTTCAACAGCTTTAGTATAAACAGCTTTGGCTTTCTGAACCTGTTGACCACCTCTACCTAAACCAGTCATCTTAAAATCATTAATTTCCTCGTTAATATGACTATCAAAAGTTGGTAAATAAACCCCTGAAACATTTTCTTGTTTAGCTTTAACTTGAAATCTAGCCTTTTGTACGGATTCTTGAACTTGATAAGATATATTATCACCAGTGGCATATTGAACCTCAGCTAATGAAAATGCCGCAGTTTGCATAACCCTACCCATTTTTCTTTTAGAATCATCAATTCTTTGAGTAATATCTCTAAATCTTTTGGTTAATGCTTCAGATTTTCTTTTCAACAACGAATGGCCCTGTTGTGCACCTTTCAACTTCCCCTTCATCACCCCTAAGGTCATTCTGGTTGGGAAAACTTGTTCCCTGTTTCCGGATCCTGACATCTTTTACACAATTGATTGATAGCCGCTGTTCTAATAAGCTTCTTTTCGATAAAGTTTTAATTTTATCAATTGGAATTTCCCGATTTTTTTCCTTTTGGTTGTTGGTGGTGCCATGTGCAGGATTTCGAACCAACCCATTTTTTTTTTTTTTGTTCTTCTTGAAATCATAAGAAGACCATTTGAAATGGCTATTTACTCAAGAGAATAAGGAATAGAAGGATGTCGGTATGGGAAATAGAGCAATTAGTGCCTGAAATGGCGGTTCCCTTTGAAGAAGCGATTGCGAAGGCCCCATTGGACCTAAGTCTATGGATTAAGTACTTTCAGGCAATGGCCTCATCGAGCATGGAAATTAAGATTTTCATATTGAATAGGGCAGTCACTCAGTTTCCAAGGTGCTATAAGTTCTGGATTGTGTATATAGATCTTCTAATCGAAGAGAATATCGCTCCTAGTTGTGTAATTGATGTTTTCAAGCAGTCGTTGCAGCTACTCGACAGTGCTCCCATATTATGGGTCAAGTATTTGACTTACTTAGTTCATCATCAAAAGCATCAGATTACCCATATACGACGTACTTTCAACGATGCGTTGTACCACTTACCAATAACGCAACACCACATGATATGGCCGTTATACATTAGTCTTGCTGACGAAATAGGCGGGAAATTTGGGGCCATCACCTACATGAAGTATTATCAGTATTCAACCGAGTTTGAACTAAAAGGAGGTGGAAGTATCACTATTGATATGATAATCCAAAAGTTATTTGAATTTGGAGATATTGAGAATGGTTCTAATCTTATACAAAGCGTGACTTCCAATATAAACGAGTACTTGACCTTGCCAAAATCACCAGTTGAACTATGGGAGGAGTTTATAGATTTATTGATCGATTCGAAAAAGAAAACGGTGAACCAAGACTTTGATAACTTTGTCGAAAAGTTAGTTCAACAAGGTATTCAAAAATATCCAGACCAAATTGGAAAGCTATATTCAAAATTGATATTTTATTATATTAATCGCAAAAATTTTGATCAAGTCAGATTTCATAGCTATAAAGGCTTACAGGAATGTAAAACATTAAAAGATTTTACATTGCTTTTTGACATTTATACAGAGTTCGAGCAGTCGCTTGTTATTAAGCTAGAAGAGCAACTTGATTCGAACCCAAGCGATACTCTCAGCAAGAAATTTGAATACAGAATTGCATTACTCGAGAAATTTATCGATGATCGTGAACTAATGATTAATGACATGAAATTAAGACAAGATCCAAATAACTTAGACGAATGGCTTATAAGAGTCGATCTTTTCAATGATACTAAACAAAAATTAAGTGCTTATGTTAAAGCATTGACTACAGTCAATCCTTTGAAAGCTATCTCTTTGTCTAATAGTGCTACATTTGCAGATTTGTGGATCAAATATGCAAACGTATACACAAGTAGTAATGATTTCAAAACCGGAGCATTGATTTTCAGTAAAGCAGTCAAGTCTCAATTCAAAACACCAGACGAATTGGCTCAAATATATATATCATGGAGCGAGATTCTCCTTGAGGATGGAAAAGAAAGTGAATCAGTCACTACAGTTGAAGACATTCTTTTTTCTAATGATTCGGATATAAACTATATGGATACTTCCTTAACTGTACAATTGAGAATCCACAAATCGGTTAAATTATGGCTGTTTTATTTGGACTTACTAGAATCTTTAATCGATGAAGATCAAGATAACTCGAAAACTATTGATAAGATAATGAAGGCATATGAACAAATGATTATGCTAAAGATTGTCACCCCTAGAATATTACTAAATTATGCATTATTTTTGCAAGAGCAAAAGTATTGGGAAAAATCGTTCAGTGTTTATGAACTTAGTCTTAGACTTTTCTCCGATGATAAAGTCAGGTTTGAAATCTGGAATACTTACTTGACTCGTATTATTTCATATAGAAACAATACTAAGTCTATCCCAGTTGAAAGAATAAGGGATTTGTTCGATCAATGCTTTTCCCAGGGTTTACCTGCAAATTTGAATAAACCCATTTGCATACTTTATTCCCAATTTGAGGAAGATCAAGGCTCAATAATGAAGTCTATTAAGGTTATTGAGGATTGGCTACTGTCCATGACTGAATTTAATCAAGGCTCAATAAAAGGTGATCAAAATTTTAATATTTCAATAAAATTGGAAATGTATCAACTTTTGATTTCTAAATTGGCACTTATACAAGATGATACTCGATCAAGAGATTTATATACCAAAATGCTTAACGATAAGCAATTCAAATTGGCCCAATTGATAACAGTGACTTTAGACTTTGTCAAGTTTGAAATTTCGAGAAATCAGTTTAATAGAGTAAGGTCGCTATTTAAATTCATCACCAAGCTAGGAAACCCAGAAATGGAATCAATAAAGAATGTCTGGAATCAATGGGAGAAATTTGAATTAGAATACGGAAACGAACTGACGTTTAAAGAAATGTTGAGGTATAAGAGAGTCATTGTGAAAGATTTTGAGAATGACGTCGTCATCAAGGAATCGATTAACCCAATGGGATTTGTCAAGTCTAAGAATGCAATAACTCCTACAGAGAATGCAGAAAATCCCGATGCGATTGATTTAGATATGGATATGTAGTATTATAGTAATAATAAATATATATATATATGTATTCATAAAGTATTGTGGAAAAAGAACAGATTAGAAGTGAATATTATTAAGACATTATAAAAAAAAACCCCCGATATTAAATTTTCTTGAAAACACTTTTCCATTTATCAACAAAAGAATCCAAATTAGCCGTTTGGTCCATACTTTTGTTGAGCCTTATAGATTTGTTACCTTTGATTAAATCACCATAATCATTCCAATTGATATGATAATATTTGAATATAACAACCAAAAAACCTTGACAAATTTTCAGATTATTCTTCAATTTAGTCTTTGTTGAATGGGAATAAATTAATAATAATTGTAAAAATTTAGCAACCAACCCAAGAGATGAAGAATTTAAATGTGATTGAGTAAATAAATCTTGTAATCCATCAATTGAGTTAGGATTAGATGAAGATGCAAGTGAAGAAGTTCTTGAGTTAGGAGCACTCTCATTCATTTGATGTATCACAGGAGAACCAGGTAATGAAGGCATGGGACTACCCATACCAAAACTACCAGGTTGACTTAAAATAGGAGTTGAAGGAGCACTCATACTCAAAGGTAACTTATCATTAATTTGAATAAAAATTTCAAAGAAAACATTTGAACTTAAATTTTCAAATTCTTCATGATTAAAGGGACCCAAAACTTTGGAAATTGAATAAGAATGATTTGAAGAATACCAATTTGATAAGTTCGAATTAATTTCATTGAAAAATTCAGAATTTAAAACTTGATAATTATACATTTCAGTGAGTTTATAAATTTCTTCAATTGATTGATTATTTTGAAACATGATTAAAAAAATTGGAATTAAGAAAATTTCATCATGTTTTTTCAAACCATTTTCTGATAAACTTTTAAGGTAAAGTAAATGTTTAAAATTAGATTTAAATTTAATAAGACTAAATTCAACCATTTCATTTTCTTCAAATTCAGTCATTATAGATTGGAATAAAGGACGATCTAAAATAGTTTCAATACTTCTATCAAACTCATTATCTTTACTTGATTTCATTTGAGTTGATAAGTTTTTATAAGTATCATTAGTTTTATTGAACTCATTATTAATTTGATTAAGATCATCTTCTTTCATAGTGGATGATAAAATTTTTGAAAAATACTCAAATCTAAATTTTTCAGGAATGATCAGATCCCAATTTAATTTTCTGATTGAGTTCTTATCATTTGATAATTTTTTATTTAATTCTTTATCATTTAATAACATTAATTTAAACCAATGTTGTTGGTTAAACATAAATTGTTCATTTAATTTTTTTCTCGATTCAGTGCTTGCCCTTGAATTCAGTTCAAAATTAGTTAAAACTTTATGAAATTCTTTATTATGTTTCAATTTATCATTAACATTTTTAGGAGGTAAATTAATTGGTCTTGATTGATCTAAACAATTTAATTTTTCTGGAGAAATTAATTGAAGATCTTCCACTGAAGATTGAGATTTAACATAATTAGGTAATTTATAAATAACATCTTGTTCACGATTAATTTTAACTAATTTTGAAAATGAAGTTGAGCGTTCATTATAAAAATTTGAGATATTTTGAGTAATTTCCAAATCATCATCGGTACCAAAAGAAAAGGAGGATACTTTGGAAGTATTATTTGAATCATTAATTTCATCTTCGTTTTCATCTTCTTCAGCAATAACATTTTCATCATTAATATAATGATTCATGGGGCTACCAGTAACATTATTTATAGGACTTAAATTATCTAGTGAACCAGTTGATCTACTTAATTTACCCGGTAAGGGGAAAGGGCGAGGAGAATTAAAATTGGAATTATTGGAATTATTTTCATTGATAGAATATTTATTATCGGTTTTATCATTAATTAAATCGGTACGGGATAATAATTTTGAAGAATTATTTTGATTAAGGTATAATTTAGCATTATTTTGAATAACTGGAACATTGAAAACCAAATCCAAATCATTTGATAAAATGTCATCATCATCATCATTATCATCATATAATTTTTTACGTAATTGTTGTCTTTCCTTTTTCTCTTTTGGATTTAGATATCGACTTTTAGAACGATTCAAGGTTGGAGTTGAGCTCATGGAAGAAGAGCGAGTGCGAGGGGATGATTGATTACGATTTGATGATTTATTTTTAGGAAGATTATTAGCAGTAACGATATTTGGAGTTGACATTGATTTTAATTGAGGAGGCTTTTCATTAATTTTCTTTACCGAAGGAGTTGAGGAGTTGCTTACTGGAGAAATGGAGTTAATTGATTTTTGATAAGGATTTTTCAAAGTAATTGTGGAATGAGAAGAGTTAACTTGGTCCAAATCATTCACTACATCTTCATTAACATCATCATTGAAAGTTTGATTTGGGGTATGGGGTTCTTTCACCGACGATTCACTGGATAAGCAGCGATTTGAAGGAGAAACCGAAGGAGAAGTGATGGAGTTACTAGTTAAAGAGCTTAGTCTTGAATCGGGGAAATCAAATTGGGAAGAACTAACCAGGGATAAATCATCGGATAAGTTTGATTGTAAGGATATTATTGAGTCTCCCGAAGTGGGTCTATTAGTATTGTGATTATTCAAAACATTATTGGGGGGTATTGGAGCTTTATTACTCAAATTGAGTGAGCTATTACTTAATTTCTGAATATAGTAATCTCCTGGTCTTTTAGAGCCGGCAGGAGCACCCAAACTAGCGGCGGCATTGGTGGATTCGTTCAACGTAGGCAACGAGCTCATCGATCCGACTCTTCTAGGTGTGTGTAGCGATTGGTACTTCTTCTTTTGATTAATCAAAGATGAGTTGCTATTATTGGAACTGAGACCCAAACCAGCAGTATTACTTGAATTATTAACGGCGGATGGTCCGTTCAAAGACGAACTGGACCCTCCCAACGTACTCATGTTCTTGGAAATGGATATATCATAGTAATTATTATCATGTAGCGAACTTGAAGATAAATTGGAATGGTTCATAGCGAGTGTATTAAGCTGGAGAAATGGGCGGCAATAGCGAACGACAATTCAAGATTAGTTAAAAACACACAAGGATTCACCAATACTTGAAAGGATATAGCAGCAACAACAACAAAGAAGAAGAAGGTATAAGACAGCGTTATCTAGTAATGAGGTTCAACTATCGACAGCGGGTGAAATCCTCAATTTCGATGTTTTGTTTTTTTTTTTGTATTTTATTGATTTTTTTTTTTTTCGTTTTGTTAGCGTTTTGCTAAAATTTTTTTTGTTTTGTTAGTGGGCAAAAAAACAGTTCACAAACTACTCAAAGCAATTTTTTATTTATAATTTTGTTAGGAGCTTTACCAATTTCAGGATTACTTAAGCATTCATCTGTTAGGTAGTATATATTAGTACAAAGCTTTGGAATTGACAGATGTTACATATTTAGACGAAATGGTGCTAGGTATACGATGGTTTAACGAACATTCCGGGAGGTACAATATAAGTTGGTGCAGGGTTAAAATCGGTGTACGGAGGTGTATATAGTGATGTACGGAGGTACCCTTTGATTTACACCGAGTTGCAGATGATGAGCCACGGTATAAGGTATAAAGTATAAAGTAATATATTAGATTATTTAGATATCCCTAACGTTATCAATCCAGTCGGTGGTACTCATTTGGGATAATCTACTCAAGGCTCTGGCAAAGGCAAAGCGTTCTTCATCGTTGGCAAACATGCTAGCCTTTTTAGCTACTGATTTGTCAAAGCCATGTTTAGTGACCAAATCGTCGTTTTCAAAAGTCTCTTCATTACCGGAATGTAATTGTTTTTTATATAGTTGAAAATTGCCTCTTTTCAAGTCTTCTGGTTCAACAAATAAATCTTTGAAATTTGCAGCTGCAGTGACTGCAATTCTACCATGAGCATCATAAACTGCATCTAGGAAAGTGATGAATCTTCTTACTTCATCTCTGACATCCGTACTTAAATAAGGTATATCGGTGATAATGAAAGACTGGAAGCTATTTGCCAAAGTTAAATAATCTCCTGCCGCCAACGGTTTCCCACATAATTCATTGAAGGTGAATTGGGCAACGTATGGGAAGGAGCTTTTAGGTACTTTTAATTCTCTACCCCAAACGGTTAATTTATAATCTAATGTAATATCCTTGTTCTTATTCCCGGAATTGAAGTACTCGTACCATTGATTAATATGTTTTTCACAATTGATTATATTTTTCTTACTGGTATACTTAATTCCTGGTTTGGGATAATAATACACTGACAGAATTGGTTTAGGGATTTTTCTATAATCAGTTGGGGAATTTAAATAAATAACAATGGTTTGTTTTTTGATTAATTGGATACATGGAATGAATGATACTCGTTGAATCCCATTCAAATATAAATCATCGGGGGCTCTATTGGACGTAGCAAATAATATAACCCCATATTCTGGACTCAATAATAACATCATTAATCTTCTTAATAACATTGCATCCGCTACATCAGTAACTTGGAATTCGTCAAAACATAACACCGACAGTTCTTGTGCAATCTCACTAGCTAATAAAGGTATAACGTCTAAATCGTTATGTTTATGCTCAACTTTAAGTAAATGTGATCTTTTATGTAAATGTTGCATAAATTGATGGAAATGTATTCTTTTCTTCGGTAAGTGTTGAGGCACGGTTTGATAAAATAAATCCATCAACATGGTCTTACCACACCCAACATCCCCATAAAGATATATTCCTTTAATTTCGTTGGCAGCTATATCATTAATACCTAAATTTATACTGTCCTTAGATCCAAAAAATGAATTAAATATTTTCAGAATTCCAACCTTGGGTTTTAAACTATTGATCGACGGGGTCTCCACCTTTGGTGGCTCATATCCGTTCAACTTACCATGAAGTAGCGACAAGTTCGTTATAATCTTTCTTTGATATGGATCATCTCGTAACTTTCCTTCTTTAATCTTGAACTCATACTCTTCAATTGGTGATCGCACTTGATTAAATTTTCTATAGCTTTGGTGAATTCCTCGATTAAGCGGTCTCACCGTCTTAATAGGAATTCTTCTCATAATGCCTCTCATGGTATCATTAATCCTATCTCTATAATTGATACTTCGGACTTTTTCTGTTGATATTCGGATTCTTTTTTTTTTTTTTTTTTTAAATCGCGGAAAAGTTCTATCAGCTTTTACTTGTTATAACCGAGGTTTCCAAAATAAATATATATATTTATCTATAAAGACTACTTAGTAACATTCATGTCACTCATAGTGAATAGTAAATCATCATCCTCTTCATCCTCATGATTTGACTGATTGTTCTTCAATGATGGTGACTGACTTTGTTTTTTGCTTTGATTCGATAAATAATAATCTTCTCCATCGTCATCGTCATCATCGAAAACATTCTCATAATGAATGGCCTTATAAGCGGAAGGGGTGGTGGCCATCCCGCTAACTGTTTTGGCATCATTGCTTCCAGCACGGGTTTCATTCAATTTATGATGCACAGCATGAGTTTTCGTGGTAGAAGTAACTGGAGTCGACAGTAACTTGTGAGTGGAAGATGATTTCAAAAAAGATGCATTATGACTGTTTTTACGGGACAACCCAATACTTTCATGAGATTCGGGAGTAGGGTCTTTCAATCTTGAATTGATTGAAGGTGCATGTTTATCTAGAGAATTAGATTGTAACGAAGGTGACGGAGAGTAGATGGAATGCGATGATTTGCGACTGGATGGTCGGCTATTATTAACTTGATTATGTTGTAAAATTAAGCTGGCACTAACACTATCACCTAATTGTTGATGTTGATTTTTCAATAATTGAAATTTATTCAAAGCATCTAACTGACTATTTGAGCCTTGAGATGGTGGTGATAATTTAGAACTTGATAATTTAGACCCAGGATTTGAAAATCTTAATTCAGATTTACTATCAATCATCTTAACAAAATCACTAATATCGTCATCAATATATAATCCACTTAATGGAGCTCCAGAAGATGTCAGCCCAACGCTACTTCCCAAAATATTAGTATCTTGCAGGGGCGTATGTTTGATACTAGAATTAGAAAACCTTCTACTAGCCCTGGAACCAAAAGATGATGAAAACCTTGGAGTATTAGTAATACTTTCTGGATTAGAAAATGGTGAATTCAATTCATCATGAGGTAATTGAGATCCATGAGATGACAGAATCGATCTAGGGAAAGATACGGTGTTTTGATTTGCTATTGGGATATTGTTGGTAGTACTGTTAGACGAAGTACTTCCTCTTGGGTTTCTTAAAAGGGCCGCTAGAGATGCATTGGAAGTCGACTTATTGCTAGTAATGGAAATTCTTCTTTCTAATAAAGACCCTCCTCCCGTATGCGATGGTGGAGAATTACTAATTGATCCAATTTTAAAAGGTTGAATTGTAGGTCTTTGGACGTTAGCTCTCTTTGAAACATTTTGATCATCATTCAATTGATTGTTCGAAGTACTAGGTGAAAGTGATGAATTACTATTGAGGGAAGATCTCTTTTGTTGTTTTTGAGAATCTGGTTTCAAATGCTCTCTATTTATATCATCTGCCAAATCATTAGCCAATTCTTCATGATCTTCAACTTTATCTTCAACTTTTTGATCATGATTTTCGTCCATATTTACGAAATGATTTGATAAAACCACCTCATTATCACTTGTAATAAAATCATAGTGATTTCTATAAGCAATTGATATTTTAAGAGTACCTAAAGTAGTTTGAATTGGGGAAAAGTGTTTTTGACTCATATGAGATTCTGTAGTTAACATTTGATGAGGAATGATCGATTTTGACAAACCAATTCTACCTTTTGAACTGATTGGATGATTACCATCTAAAACTTTATTACCTATAATCAAAGATTTTTTAGATTTTGATTGACTCAAAGATTTTTTCAATTTATAAGCTGGCATTAAACGGGTAAACGCGTATAAGCTTCTGAATAGAATAATAGCTTGTTTATAAATAAGTGGTAATTCATCTATAAAAGAACCAGAAACATCATTACGATCAAACTCAATCAACCATCTTTCTAAAACAACCTCTTGTTTCTTACCTCCACCTTTGGCAACAGTCCAGCGATTATCATTATCATCCTTTAGCATGACTGTATCACGAGAGCTAGTTTGACGTAAGTCCAAGTAGGTTTCAATGATCATTGGCGGAACTTTATTAACCTCAGTAAAGTTCTTCCATAATTTCAAATCATCTTTTAAAGTGTCTAAATTATTAGACATATGCATATTAAACCATTTATTTACTTTTACATGGGGATTGTTCTCCAACGAAATGTCAGAATCACTAAACAGTCGAGACTGTAGGATGATTTGAACTGACTTTGTAAAGAAATTTTGTATAACCTGTATTAACTTAGCATTTTGCTTCTTAACATAAGGATCTAGTTGACTCTTATCGTAATAAGCAGAAACATCGTGAGTTTTTGGAGAAACCATCTTCAACAAAAGACAATTAAACAAGTCAAACCCCTGTTTGGGTCGAATTATCAATAGCTTATGTTGATCTAGGTATTAATAATAGAGTGTGGCGGGTCAGACCTCTTTTGATCTGCTTGATTCGTGGCGTGTCAATTGCTATGTCATGTAATCAATCAACCGAATAACTGATTAGTAGCTATAGCTCTCTTGTATTGAAAGAATAGAAATCCCAAAATACAATTGGTAATGTATTTGGGAAAAGAAAGTGAAGGATTCAAATCAGTTTATATATTTTTATCTCAGTTTCTCCTGTTATCAGCTTCACTTATCATAAACTGCGCAAATGATCTTTTTTTTTTTTTTTTTTTTTTGTTTTGTTAGAGATCAATGAGCACTCTTCAACTTCTGTAGTAGCACTTATGACTGCTTGGGATAATGACTTTGGTAATGACTTGGAAGTAATGAAAGAGTTGCGGTAGGTTTGCTGGACAGGCTGGTTGGAGCTTGGTAGCTAATGGTGAGTCTGAGTTGGGGGGTTAAGCGTGCTGGTCGGGTTGTCAAGTTCATTGAGTAAAGACAATGAAATAGAAAAAGGCTCGAGAATTCCCAATTTACCAAGTGATTACTAGGAAGGGGCATGTAGTAAGGTGAAGAGTAAATTGTTGAAAGTTGCCGGATTTACAACATACATGATGTCTTACAAATAAATTTTATATTAATCTATATACTCTAGTTAAAGCAACCGTTTAATGACTTAATGGCAATTTGATTGTCGGGGCATAACATGATACCTCGTTGTATTTCACGGAGTCTACCGTTGGAGACATAGATATCGGATAATGCTGATGCATTTTGTTTTGTTTCGTTTAATGAAGAAACGGTTAATGCCATTCTACTGTTTAAATGTCTCCATACATTATAATCGGATGGGAAAAGTAATGCACTTCTTTGCCAGGTTTGTTCTTTTTTACCAATACGATTATTAATTTCATCTAGAAGCTGTGGGACAATTCTCCTTGTGTCATTCATTAATTCTGGTAGTGATAATCCTTGTAATTCTTCTTTAATGGGTTCTAAATAGTCAGTCAAATCGTCGACAATTGAGATTGCACCTAATGTTAAAACAACCAAAAGTGAGGATCCGTTTTCTTCGATGTGAGTGAATAATTGATCTAATGCTGCTTGTTTTGTATCTTCAGTTCCGTAAGCGTATAATATTTGGGATATTAATGAAATAATTCTATTTGAAACATTATGTTTCAAAATACTCTTGAATTCATCTAATGCTTCTCCAAATTGATCATTAAAGAAGAATGAAAGCCCAATAACTATTCTAGATGATAATATAGATGATTCTTCTTCACTATCTAAAACATCCAAAGTAAATTGAGCATTCTCAATTGCATGTTCATAATCACCTATACCCAAATACAGTCTTGCTAATTGAGTTTTTGATTTTGCAAATTCAGTTAATGTAACCTCACTTTCACTATTTTCATAATTTTTTTCTAAAATTTTACAAAGCCTTTCACCTAGCTCAATAGAAATTTGGTAATTTCTACATCTTTCAGCAACAGTAATGGCAATTTTCAATCCTAACTCATCATTTGGTTTGAATTTTAAAAATTTTTGCATGGCAAAATTAGCAATACTAAATTCTTGAGATGCTTCAATATCTCTCGGATCGCTTCCTCCAATTTCAACTCTATCAAGTACAGATAACCCATACATTAATTGTGCTAATGGTGATTTACCATTCGATAAAATATATGCATGGGTGAATAAATTAGAAGCATCTTCATCTTTGGCTTGGGCAGTTAATGCATGCCCTAACCATGATTGTGATTGTGTTGGGGCAATCGATTGGGATCTCATAAACGCCTCCTGGGCAAGTTCTGCATCCCCATAACGTAAGTAAAGTGCGGCAATGTTTGTCCAAATACCTCCATCTCTACTATCAAGAGTTGATGCTTTAATAAAACAATGTTGGGCAATTTGAGGGTTGAATGATACATAGCAATTACCCAATGCAACCCAAAATGATACATTGTTTGACTCTAATTGAACAGATTTTTTAATATGGGTTATAGCACTTGTTCTGTACTCAATATTATCACAAACATTATAACCTTCTAAATAAGCTAAACCTAAATTGTAGCTTGTTATAGATCTTAAATGTTTACTGGATTTATTAGGCAAGACATTGATTGCAGCCTGGGCACTCAAGATAATTAAGGAACTAATAGACTCGCTGTACTGTTCATTTTTGAATAATTCTATCGCCTCTTCTGTGCTTAGGTCAACATTTTCAAAAATTTCAGAAAGCTTTTCATAAGGAAATGACTCTAACTTTTCTTGAACACTAATGAAAAACCTCAAACTTTCACCTAAAGTTTTCCATAATATTTGTGATCTCCTATTGACTTTCACTGCTTTGTGAATGTAATCAATTGTCTTAAGGTTACTGTCATTAGCACGACCAATGAATCCAGTTGTTAATAATTGGTTTGTGTAGCCAAAATAACTTTCATAAAGACTAGTCAAAATACATTCCTCGTTGGGTCTTATACTTAAAGCTTGCTCCAATAACTCAAGCCCTTCCATGAATTCTCCAGTTTCACAAGTGACAGTTCCAAGCATGAATTTTGCAATCCACAGGTTTTCGTCCATTGTAAGAACATGCTGAAAAACACGAGCTGCAGCATCAAATCTACCACAATTATAATAAGCTTCACCTAATCCAATCCAACATTCAATATCCATTGCTTTCATTCTTAATGCACTTTGAAACCATTCAATAGCTTTGGCGTCTCCTTGCTTATTCAAAGCAGAACAACCTAAGACTCTAAATGGCCACGATTTATCTGGATCCTCATAGTTGTGACTAAATAATTTACGACGTGATTTTTCATCAGTAACGACTCGTTGACACAATATTTCAGCGATATCCCATTCATTTTTCTTTGTAAGGTCTTCTACCAAATATTTCCCTGACGTGAGTTCGGCCAGGTCTAACTCAAAAGCTTTGTAAAAACACTTTTGAGCTCTTGCTTTATCATCATAATGATCTTGATAAAGCAAACCGAGACTAGTATATGAAGGTGCATAGTTCTTCAGGTCTTTCAAAGATTTAATAAGTTGTCCATAAGCTTCATTAATACCATCGATATCATTTTCCAAAATATAAGTTTGAGCTATTCTCCAGCGTATAATAGCTCTTAATTCACAACTATTCAAACTAACGCCTTCGACTTTTTCCAAAGCTTGCAACAAGTTAGCTCTACCACTACTATAATCACCGAGTTTAACTTGACACCAACCTACTTCGATAAGTGCTTCATTATTCTTTGGGTCTTCATCAATAACTTCTTGCAATAAATCTTTAGCACCAGAAAAGTTTCTCTTTTCAATCAAAATCAACCCTTTACCAATTTTAGCTTTAGTGTTAGAATTTGATTCAAGAATACGATCATACAACTGAAGTGCCCTAGGGAAATTCTTTGGAGCCTCATGATAAGTATAAATTATTGCTAAAGAGCAAAGTAAATCTTCTCTGCTGTTTACCAAATCAACTTCTTTGTTTCTTTGTAAGTCTGCTAGAAGCTTAATGGCAACACGGTTTCGTTCAGCAGCATCAGAATATTCTTTCAAATGAATTAAAAAGGAAATGACAATACGGTTTGCTAAAACTGAGTCTTTACACATTTTGAAACCTGCCAACATCATTGCCAAAACATCTTCTGGAGAAAGATCAACACTATCATCATCATCAGAATCAAGCAATTTTTCTTCTTCTTCTTGTTCTTTTGACAATTCGGGATCATTTTTCTTACTTCTTCTTCTTCTTCTTTTAGGAATATTTTGCTCACTGTTATCAATCTGGGATAATTTCTCTTGTACAACTTCTTTACTGAATGGACTGATATCACTCATCAAAAAGGCATAAAAAACCATACCCAAACCGTAATGTTTGTTATGACTCAAGAATTCGATGATATTATCTAATTCTAGATCACTAAGGTTCTTCACATCCATCCAGTCATAATAAAGGGACCATACAAGTAGACTACGACTCTTCACCAAAACCATGTCATCCACCATTACTTTAAGGTCATTGAACAAGCCCTTCTTATTTGGAGAACATTCAATCAATTCATACTTGTATTTGAGTAGCTCTTCTTCATATTTTCTTCTCAATTGATCATCAGAACAACAATTGAGAAAGCTCTCGTACAAATGGCTTAAATCTGATTTTTCGTAAATTGACCATTTAAGTGAATTCAAGTGATCTTTATGTTGTTGGTTCAATGATCTGGGCAATTTCATTTTTGCTTTCGAAATAACACTTGAAACATGAGTCTTTTCTTGATTTTTCAATAAATCAATCAATTTTTTCAAATTATCTTCAGGCCTTCCCAAATCATTGCCAACAATTTCACCCAACCTCGATCCTGGAATGATGTTTCTTAAATAAGATTCCATTAAATCATCATTGGACTTATATTTATGTTTATTCAAATAATTTCTCAAGTCATTTAATGATCCAGCATACGAAAGGCCCTGTTCAATCTGCACTTCAATCAAAGACGCTAATGCTTGAAAAATGGAACTATAATCTTCCCCCGATAACAACAATTGATAGTAGCCTTTCCATCCAACTAAGGCATCAGGTTGTATATCAAGAGCTCGTTCAAATGCGCTTTTAGCTTGATCTGGTCTATCTAGAAGCTGATATGCTTTTCCTTGAAAAAGGTATGCAAAATAATTGTCTTTCTCCTCAGCCAAAATCTCCTTAGCAAATTCCAAGGTTGATTCCGGATCGTTGGATTCGATCGCTGCCTTGGCTGCCTTGAGCAATTGCTTCACCGAAGACATCTTGTGCTGAATAACCAAAAGGGATGGAGTAAAGCAATGAGTGATTTGCCCTTAAGAAAAGCTCGTTGGAAAAAAAAAAAAAAGCGTAAAAGCACAAAATTGTCAAGGTTCGAATGAAAAAAAAAAAAAAAAAATTTAAGATGAGTTTATGAAGACATCACCATAGACTTTAGGCAAATAAGATGAGTGTTGAGCTTTCTGAAGCTTCGAAGACACAGTCTCCCTTTTCATACTTATATACTAGTGTTGCACGCAACCATCTTGGAGAAATAGCGGCCGTGATACTATCCACATTGATATCGTATGGTCGACTTAATGTTAGAGAATTAAGTACTAGATCTAAAATACCATTAAAGTTGGTAAAGACATCGTTAGTCTCATTAATCCAATTGAACTGTATCAAATACTGGCGTGATGAATCATCCAAGCAGTATTTTTACACTTTTGATGAATCAGGAATATTAATCTTGTTACATAGTGGGGACATTATCAGTCACATTAAATCCAATTATGGAGAAGATTCTGCCGAAGTGATTCAAAACATTATAGAGAACGGACATATTAAGGTAGAAGATTATTTAAGTAATGTTGGAGATGAAGAAGAGAAATATAATAAACAAAATATATTTGTTAAGCTTTACCAGGCAGGGTGGTTAGTTAGATTACAAGGATTTGATTTAAATCCTCTAGATGACTTATGGGAGAAGATGTATCAGGGGATATTGAAGGACACACCTAGAAGTGCCACCACTAGTGAAATCAAAAGAGTTAATGAGGCAAAAGAGAAGACCAAAGTTAAATTTAAAGATTTATTAGAATCTGGTAATTTACCAGGCGATATTTTCACTACTGAGAGTGGGATTCAAAAAATTAGGTCTCATATTATAATGAAATTTAATTTAAATAGATTTGAAAAACATTTAAGAACAATTGCATTAAGTGAATTTGCAAAGTCTAGAATTGGGATATTAACATCTAAAGTATATGAAGTTGCATTATCAATTGTTGAAAAAAACTCACCTGATTTAAAATATCCATTCAATGAAATCAGTGGATTAATTAATGATCCAGAAGAAGAAAGACAATATATTAGTTCTATTGAAAATGAATTAATCGATAATAAAAAAATCACTTTCAATGTTCGAGATTTAATCAGTAAATTACCCGAAGAAATTGATTTAAGAAATTCGATATTAACCCATAATTTTTTAAAACCAGGTAAGAAAAGAGGGTTAGATTTTGAGCATGATGTACCAACAAAGAAGATTAAAACTGAAAATGATGAATTTGAAGTCAGCCAAACTAATGATTTTGAATCAAACACTGATAATTCCGATCCTCATTCATTGAGTTTAGTTCAACACCATTTAAAATTATTAAGTTCATCATCATCTATACCATTTTTAGTTGAAATGAGTGCTGGTAATTATTATATTCCGTTCATTTCCATTGTTAAATTATTAAAAGATTTTACTTATGATACCTTGATTAAAACTACTTTAGGAATATCATCATTAAGAGTATTAAAATGTCTTAAAAGTTTAAAATTAGCTGATGAAAAAACATTATCAAATTCAGTTTTATTAAAAGAGAAAACGGTCAGAAACGAAGTTTATCGATTAATTAATATGAATGTCATTGAAATTCAAGAAGTTCCCAGAAGTGCCGATAGAGCAGCTTCTAAAACTTTTTACCTTTTCAGACATAAACCAACCAGTGCATATAATTACTTAACCCATTCTTTAGTCTTTAGTATGGGTGAAATCTTAACTAACATACAATCTTTCAAAAATGATCATAAAATTTTGTTAGAAAAATGTGAAAGAGAAGATGTTAAGGGTCATGAAGAAGAACTATTATTAGAATCAGAATTGAAAACTTTGAAAGAATTGCAAGTGAGAGAAATTAATAACGTTGCAAGATTCAATCGTATAAAAACTTTGTATAATATCTTTAAGTTTTAACCTTATTTCATTTATTATAATAACATAGAACAGCAAATTAATGTAGCTTATATCTAATATTCGGGTCGTGCGGCAGATGAAAAAAAATACACCCCTACAAGGGCTTCGAGTTACATGAAAATAACCTATTAACAAGAAGATTCTTCAAAAAAAGTGTCTTTGTTAGCATCAAGTGATTCGCCGCCTTTGAGTATAAAGTAGGAAAAGTGTAAATTTGCTAAAAAAACTGATAAAGACACCAAGCGAAACCATCGACTTGACGACTAAAGGGTTTACGATCGGGTTTACGATATATACGAGGTTGATATATTAACTATGTAAAGAATTAAAGAAATGCAACTAAGAGTCAGCATCTTGGCCAGGATTACAAGTTTCGTAGTTCAAAAACTTGAATAATTTCCAAATGGCAAAGGCCATAACGGAACCTAAAATTGGACCAACCCAATAAATCCAGTGATAGTCAGGGAAAGATCTAGCAGCAATACAAGGACCAAAAGTTCTTGCTGGGTTTAAACCGGCACCAGTGTAGAAAACACAAATCAAATGGCCCAAGAATAATGCAATACCAATAACAAAAGGAGCCATAAAAGTAGCACGGTGTTTTTCAACAGCCAATAATAAAACAGTTAAGCACAAGATACAAGTAGCAAAAGCTTCTAAAAAGACCCCTCTTGATCTTGAACAATTAGATAAACCATTAGTAAAAGCAATTGGACCGGGAGTCATTGCAGAAGCAGCACCAGCAGCAGCCATACCAGCAATCATTTGAGAAACAGCCATACATAATCCTCTAAGTGGAGGAATAGCACCGGCTAAAACCAAAGAAAGAGTAACACAAGGATTCAAGTTACCACCACTAACTCTGAAAAACATGAATACACCAACCATAACACCAAAACCAAAACCAAATGAAATCATAATTAATTGAGGTGGAACGGAACCGGTGCCAACTTCTTTAACTGTTGGATCCTGGTTAGCAATTTGGGCAATTACAAAAGCAGTCCATAAGAAGATAAAAGTACCAAAAAATTCCCCCAAAACTGCAATCAAGGTATTTTTCCATGGCGATGCAACTTTGGGAGTTTCCCTTGGTTCATAAGTGTCTACTGGGACTTCTGGATCAAATTCAGCTGCTTGGATGGTCATATTTGATAGAGCAAGAAAAGCACAATGAAAAAAAAAAATGAAATTAAATAAAACCAAACCAAAAACCACTAGGACTTTTCCTACACCTTATATACTCTTAATCCAGTGAAATAGAGAAGAATTAACGGATGACTAAAAAGAAATTTCATACCCTGAATTGGGATAAAATTCAAGTATTGCAGCTTTTTAAGAAATTCGAAAAGGCTGTTAAAAGCCAAATAATAAAGAGGAAAAAAAAAAAAAAAATAACAAAGTTTAGTGCAATATTTCAATTAAGGGATAACTCAACTCACATAAACCTTCTTTGTTAACTCCCTGCATTTTGAGTTGAATCTGCCGAACAATTGCCTGGATATAGTAGTTGACAAGTCCACTACATATCAAACGCTCAGGGTCAGATGAAAATGTAGAAGATCCTGGTGAACAAAATGGAAAGGCTGAAAAACAAAATCCAACAACAAAATAATCGTAAGAGAACAACTGGAACAATAGACACAACAAGAAATGCTTGACAAAACAATTCAATTTTAGAAAATAGAACGTTGAAGAATATGGCTCCAGCCATTTTGTTGCGGATTTACCACTAGAGTCAAGCTAGTAATTGATCATCTCATCGCGTTATACAAAAGTTCGTAATGAAATTTACTTCTATTAATACTTTATTATTTGAGCTCGTCCTATAAAAAAATTTCTTTATTTCATTTCATTTCTGTTGGTGTAAGTATTCCTAAAGGGAATCGTTTCATCATTAAGCACTTTTCGAGCCGTATAAAAATTGGGGACTCTCAAAAGGGAAACCCGTACATATCAAAAAAAAACAAAAAGTGACACCCGTTCCTCCATAAAACACCCGTGCCCACACGGTACCAGCTGTACCCCCCGGTATCTGGTCAGATTAACCAACTTTGACCTGGGCAGCTCGCTTGGTCGTCCTTCTTGTCCTCTGTCGTGGTCAATGTAATCCATTCGCCTATGTCCACCGGTTTGTAAGCAGTTGCTGCATCATCGCATTGAATTGAAAATTACTCACAAACAAAAACAAAAAATTACAACGCCAAACTTTCAATACTTCTACAACCCACTCATCAAACGAAATGGGAGTCAATAACTTCCCATCGCCATTCAATTCCAAGAAATTGATTTCTGAGAAATCGGTTGTCAAACATACTCCCGTGGATGAGGGTGATTCGCATCTTGAGTCGCCTGAGCCATCGCTAGCATTAGCCGCCCAGCTCAGACCACCACCAATCAATGGGTCTAATCCAGATGACTTGGTTAATTGGATCGATCAGTTGGGTATAACGCTTGATGAGACACTCAAATCACACAATGATGAATTAAAGTCTTTGACAAATGAAAACTATCAAACAATATTGAAAAATAAGTATAAATCAGAAATCATTGACGATTCTTTTCAAAAACTAAATAAAATTTTACCTGCTCAAGAGCAATTACAGGAGAGTTCTCAAGATAAGCATCACGGATACTCTGAAGATGTCCAGGAAGATGTCGAGGAAGATGACCAGGAAGATATCCGTGAAGATATTCGAGAAAACTCCCTGCATCCCGAATCAGATTATGATCATCCTGAAGACGATGATGTGATAGAAATCCTATCTTCTGAACCCGATCATCCAATTGAAGCATTACCAAAGAAGCCTTCTTTAATAGACTCTGGAAATAAATATATTTTTGGAAATGATTACAATGACATACATGTGGATGAGGAAGATGATGATGAAGAAGAAGACGAAGACGAAGAAGAAGACGAAGACGAAGAAGAAGACGAAGAAGAAGACGAAGACGAAGATGATGAAGTAGTCGAAGAGGTAGAAGAAGAAGAGGAAGATTACGATGAAGATAATGAAGCCAATGAAATCAATGAGCAATACGATATGGATCAGGATCTGAATCAATACCTGGACCAGGAAGCTCTGGGGCATTTCAATATACCGAATTGGTACACTCAAGAACCTCAACAAACTAGCTCGGGTGTATCATACCACATTCAAGATGGAAGACCTCGCTTATCTGACTATACACCTTATGACCAAGAAGTGCAATCTCAAGCTTCAAACCATAGCATCTCAGATACCAATGAATCTGATCAAGAGTCTGATCAAAATATTAAATCTAATGATTCTGATAATGAAACTCACTCGAATAAATACAATGATCAAGACGCCGACGAAAATAATCAATCAAACCTCTTTGTCAATCAATCTGACCAAGACTCCGATGTTCTAGTGGTAGATTCCCATAATGAAAGTCAACCACTCCAATCCTTGGAATACAAAAATCATGATTATAATGATCACCATAATGAAACTATCGAAAAACCCCAATATAGTGATGAAAATAATTTCTTTGCAAATCAAGACTTACTAAGTTTGGCTGAAACTGCTCTCAATAATGCTTCAAACGAACCTACTAACGATTTATCTCAACAGAAATCTATAATTGATAATACCCGCTCAAAAGATTTTGTTAACAGTGATTATAATGCTGACAACGAATTGACTGATTATAACCCTAATCCAGTAGCAAATAATAAAGTATCTCCAGATAATGAAGAAATTACCGCTCCGGTCCCCGAATCTTTTGAATTGACTGATGAGTTACCAACTTCATTAAAAATAGATGAGGTTGATGATAATATAACGGATGGATCCATGGCGGATTCTGAAAAGCTTTCAGATAAAGATGCTCCAGAATCTCAAACACAACCAGCATTAAATTCAGATCCCCCAAGCCCAAGCCGGTCTTTCCCTATCTTCAAAACTGTTGAAAACGAAGACCCAGAAAGCGTTCTTGATCAATTAAAGGAAACAGAGAAAAAATTCAATATTAAACTTCATTCAGTTCAAGATTTGGAAGAAGAGATTTCTCAAATTAAATCTTCAAGAAGTGTCTCCATTGAACCTAATGTATCGCAATTCAATGAAACCGTCTATTTTGATACGAATAATATTGAAGGTATAAAAGAAGAACCCGAAGCTGACAGTACAAGTACATATTTCGACGCTAGTGTTGGTGAGGCTGATCAGAATCTCAATCTCGAGGTCAAAGAAAATGATCCAACTTCTTCAAATGAAGAAACAAGTATTTATGAGGACGCACCGAATTATGATTCTAATGTCCCCGACACATCTTTTCAACAAATATTAGAAGATGAAAATCATGTTATAAATAGCGGAACCCATGAATCCCCTATTGAAATTGATCTAGAATCAGATGATGATGCAACCGAAGAGGCAGATCAAGCAAGAATTGAAACGGATGATCAAGACTCTGTTCAAATTAACCTCGAAGACCAAACTTATGAAGAAGACGAGATGGAAGTGGCCCCAGGTTTTGCATCAAGTACCCCACAACAACCCCCCGATGATGAGGACGAAATATTTGATAATATCACCAGAGAAGTTGACCATTTCATTCAAAGCCAACTGAATGAAGAACATTCAACTCATGATACCACTCACTCAAAAGGCGCTGATGAGACAGTGTACGAATCATTTCAAAATTTATCAAATTTTCAAAACACTCTGTATGAAGATGCTGCAAACATACTTGGTAATAATAATATGCTCGTAGATCATGAAGAAGAAAAGTTAGAAAACATTGACGATACAAATTTGCCTTATATTGAACAACAAACTGCTTCAGATAACGGAAATGATGATGTCGGGATGGCTGCATCAGAGTCTATAAATGAAAATGATCATCTCGAAACTGATAAAAGCCTCCATAAAGAAGACATTTTGGATAATCCTGATGAAATAGAAAAAAAATCCAACCATTCTATAGACAATAGCCCAAGCTATGTTGATGCTGAAGATAATATAGAGAGCGCGATGGAAGACGAAGAGAATTCTCCTGAGGATGTTTTGCACTTGACAAAACAAAGTGGAATTCAAACTCACACGGACGACAATAAGTTCACGCCAGATGAAAGATTAAGCGGATATGAATCAGTAAATGAAGGAGCTACAGAAAATTCCAATCACACAGTAAATAAAGGATCCAATGCTTCTAATGATTCAAGCATTTCTGAAGCTTCTGAACATGAAATGGAAAGACGTTCTCAAGAGCAAGATTTTTCTGAACTTGATGAGAAATTAGTTGAAGAAGTCACTGAAAGCAATTCGGTTGATACAACTCATTATGAAGATGCAATTGATAATGGCTCAATCGAAGGTGAGGCAGAAGAAGAAAAAATGGGATTTGGCGCTCAAAAATTTGAAGCTGAAACATCAAATGAAGTCCCCAAGGGTGAATTTGAAAATATTGGTTCCCCAAAAATACTTGAAAGATCCGAATCAATTGAAAATCATGGTGTAACTGAAAGCCCTAAAGACACTGAGGATAATAAAGCTGCTGAAGTCGTTGAAGCTTCGCCCGATGCCATTATAATACCTACTGATAAATTTGAATCGCCAGTGAAAGACTCCAAGATCTTTCTTGAAAATCCTGAATCTCACGTTGAAAGTAACGGCAACAGTACTAAAGAAGAAGATACAGCTTCTGCAGTGGAGCTTATTGGAGATTTTGAATCAGCTAAACCTGAAGAAAAATACGAAAATCTTATCAGAGAAGGTGCCGAAACATCGAAACCGGATGATGAAGGTGAGACTTCTGACTCCGTAGCCGCAGATGTTGAACTACCTAAGCAACCTGAAGAGCACAAGGGATCCGATTATTCATCTAAAGACTCACAATCCCCTAATCAGAGTAGAATAGAAGAAGTGAATTCTATACATGAAAGTTCTTCAATAGAAGACCTTTCCGAAAACAGCTCTAATAACGGACAAGCTCACGAAGTGCCTACTGGCAAGACCCATTATGAAAGCGTGGATACGGACATACGTATAGAAGAACCGCTTGAGAATGCAGATCAACCATTCATCTCTTACCAAGATACCACGTCCGTTCAAATGCTAGATGACGTTTTAATTCGTCCAACTAATATTGTTGAGCCTGCAGAAGAGTCAACTCCTGAACAGTTGGAGGGCCCCCCTGAATTGAATACACATGAAGCATTTGACTCAAACAGTGAGATGATTCAGCCAACTAATATCGTGGAACCTGAGGAACTCGAAGAAAAAATCTTCGCCACAGAAATTGATCCAGAATCAGTAATATTCAATGATTCAGCATCAATCATACCAACTTCTGTAGTTGAGGCCGTATCTTTACGTGGAACGCCGACTATAGAAGACAGAAAGATGGAGTTTGATGCTGAAGAATTGCCAGATAGAGATCAAGATTCAGAGGCATCAAGAGAATCAAACGGGGGAATCAAACGCAAAAGTGATATATCTCCTTCAAATGGTTCTAATGTCAAAAAATTTAAAAAGTCAATGTTCAATCCATTTTCTTGGTTCTTTTCGAGAACTAATGAGAGATCACATTCTGCTCCTTCTTCAGCAGCAGCAGCTGAATATAACATCAACCATGATGAAGGCTTCTCACGTCCAATATCTGCACCAGAGCTTGAACCAGTCTCAAGCTCTAACGAGTCGTCAGATTCGGATATTGATGTCGAGGAAAGTGCTTCAGATAAAGACAGTGCGTCTTCTGAGAATGGTCGGCAAGAATCTAATGATACAGATGTAGGAGCTGAAGAGAAGGATCACAGTGACACGGAAAATCATATTGTAGTCGATCTGCAAAAAGTAACTGTGCTCCCACCTCAAAGTACTGAAGATGACATCCTGGATAATGATCCGAAAGATTTGTCTATTATTCATCTGGATATCAAGTCTGAAAAACCAAACGATAAAACACAACACGAACTGGAAGGTCAAGCTGAGGAACAGTCAAGCCATGAAAAGCAGCCAATTCAAGAAGACATTGGCCCAGACCAAATTGGTCAAGAACAAATCGATCAAGAACAAATCGATCAAGAACAAATCGATCAAGAACAAATCGATCAAGAACAAATCGATTCAGATTTCAAACAAAGAGAATTTGAAAACGAACACATTGATAAGGGAGAACATGACTTCGAGCAAAAACAAACAGTAGCAACAGAGGAAAATGTTTCAACTGCTGAGAAGGGATTTGTGCAAAATCAAACGAATAATCTGGCACCCAAATTCCAGTTGGCCTCTAATGCTGATAAAGAGAAAGAAGAAGGTGTGAATCCAGTGGAAAAGGACACAACTTTTTTGAAAGCTACGGAAACTAGAAATGATGAGCAGCTCAGAGAAATAGATGACGAAAGTCTTTTGGGTCCTGCTGCAGATGATATACCTGATACCATATTAGAAGTCGAGGATCTACCCGCTGAAGGAATTACTGAAAATCCTCCTTTAAGAAGTAATGAAGCTACAGAGAATGAAAAAAGCACGCATGAAGACAGAGAAGAACTCCAAGTAGATCAGGCATATGAAGGAAATGATGACAAAAATAATGATCATTTTGCAGGTCCTATTAATACTTCACAAGTTTCACACAGTTCCCCAGTATCGCTAAAAGCGAACGATGAAGCAGCTAAAGTGAAGGGTGAATCAGGAATTTTAAATTATCTTCTTGAATTGGCAAAGACAAAGGAGAATGATAATGAAGATGAATCTAATGCTGACGAGAAGGAAGATAACTATGTGTCCGTATCGAAGGATACTGAAACAAGCGAAACCCAATTCAAAACTGATTTTGATACTGATGATAAGAATGAAGAAAATCGAAGTGAGACTGAATCGGTAAATTCAGAAATCGCGGCAGCATTCTTAAGAGTAGCTAAGGAAGCTAAGGAAAAGAATGAACCTCTCGATTTCTCTGAAAAGGATGAAATAATAAAGACCGAAGAACAAACGGATAAAGTACCTGAAGATTCCACCGGAACATCAGAGAAGTACACAGACGATGAAAAGACGAAAAACAAACCGGAAGACTCTGAAAGTGCAGAATCAGGTCTGATTGAAAAAAATGACGATGGCCACTTTACTGCTTTGAAGGCTGAGGACCAAATGCCTGACACTCCAATTAAGATAGCTGACCAAGAAGCACAAACTAAAAGCCCCAAAATTGAAGACGAGATTCCTAAGCTAGCTCTTCCTAAACAAAGAAAAAAGAAAGCCAGGAAGACCAGAGCTGTTCCCAAAAAGAAAAAAGGTAAGACATTACCAAAAATGCAGATACCTGCTGATAGGGACTTTTCGAACAGTGAATTATCACCGATTACTAAGGAAGATTCGCTGATAGCATCACACACTCGCTCTAATTCAAGAAAGGTGTCTTGGCAGACTGATACCATAGATCACCCTGCCCAAAGGACACGTTCCAAATCTCCGTTGAAACGTAGTATTCGAGAGCTTTCGTCGGACATTGAAGAAGGCATTGTACCAATCAAGAAGAAGAGAGGTAGGCCCAAGAAAGTAAAGAACCCTGATGTTGATGAAAAGAAAAAGAAGCAAGAACAGGAAGTTCGAGGCCGTGGTAGGAAAAGGGACTAAATAATAAACACCTTGTATAATTAGTAATTGAATTAATTCTATTAATTAATAAATAAAGACATAACGCTATTTACAAGAAGTAGTATAAGTTGATTCACGCAATATAAGCCATAGCGAGTTCAAAGCTGCTAAAAAATACCATATTCACTATGAAAGATCTTGTGACTGATATACCTAGTCCTCTATATAAGCTTCGTTCAATTTTTTGAAGTTTTCTTATCTTGGGAGGATTTGGTTCTAAACCTTGCTGTTTACGAAGTATATTGGTGACAACATCTTTCTGAATTAAAGATTTGGTAGTATCGATTGGGAAAATCAAAGACCAACAGAGGATCCCTGCACTTCCTCCAGCTAAAAGAATAGAGATTTGGGAGGATTGGTTTGGATCTTTATTAATAATATTGTTCATACCCCATTTAAACGATTCATATACGGAGTAGTAAATACCTGAAGACAACGAGTCTCTGATGAAATGATATTTGAAACCAGAATATAAACCTCTAACACCTTCATGTTTTACGATATTTTTAACAGTTTGCAAAGTCGAAGAAGTAAGTTCAGCATTTTGAGCAGCCAAATTTTTTGGGATATCTTTAAATGATTTATTTTTGATAACCTTTTCAATTTGAGCATATATTTTGGTGAATTCGAAAGGACATGCAAATAAAGAAACACCACCCCCAGCAATACAGCCACTGAAGAAACAAACTGGGATGTTTGTAATGAAGGGGTGGGTTAAAGCCAATCCATTCTTGGTATCATCACCATAAATGGTATCGTAAGTATAAGGTTTAACACTTGTGAATAAAAAAACACTAAAAGATTTGGAGAAGGAAGTAGAGATAAGAGGAGCCCAAATACCTCTGAAAAATCCTTTGGTACCTTCATTTCTATAAGTTTTCTTTATACAATCAAAATAACTCTTAAAATTTTTATGGGTTTGCATTCTTGTTTTAACGGTATCTAGAGGAAATCCGATTGTTGTAGCGACAAACGAAGATCCATATGCAATCATTGTTGATCTATAAGGTTGTAAGATGTTTGGAAATATGTGAATGGCTTTTGAATAATCAATTTCCCCTGTAATGGCAGGAATACTACCGTCTTTTGAAATGCTCGATGACATGATCTGTAGATGCTTCTTCAGTTTTTCCAGTTTTTTAACTTTTTTCCTATTCCTGACAAATAAGATCACTAAGGCTTATCGATAGCTGCTGCTTTTATTTTAAAACGTGACAGTTCTAATAGTATTTCAGTATGTCTTGGAGTATTAGAGCGGAGTTCAATTGGCTGTTAATTTTTCTTTGAAGGACTTTAGAATGGTCGAAATCTTTGAAAAAGAGCAGTTTTGCAGGGCAGTTTACCAAATCACCGGTATCCAAAGCTTATTTCTTCAACAAATATGAAAATCTTACCTAATTAATGGTGATAACGGTGATCTGAATACACGAGGTCCATGACTAAAGGAATTTTGGTGAGAGATGACGGAAAATCTTTTTTTTTCTCTTTTGTTTGCGAAATTTTGTGGGATCTAACAAAGATAAGCCAACGGTTGAATAATAGCTGGCGAAGATATTATGGAGAAAGATAGAGATATAAGTAAAAAGTTGTAAAGAGTTGAACAAAAGCTTGTTTTTACAAAAAAAAAAAGTTATTTCTGGAGATATAACGACTTTATTGAAATCTATGTACACGTTAAAATTTTTAAGGATTAATAACCTCTTCTTCTTGCATCTTGGACTTGGGTCATGATGTCTTTGAATCCTTCAGCGAATCTGGTTCTCCACCATTCTCTCTTCTTTTGTTTTCTGAATTTAGCAGGAGTGGTGAATCTCAGTTGGCTTCTATGCAATTGTCTAATCTTATTATCTCTGATTAATGATTTGAGTTGCGATGATGCTCTGAGAACGTTATTTCCAACAACATTGACGGCTCTTCCTGCTAATGGACCTCTAAGACGAATATCTTTGGCAACTTCACGAGGATGTCTGACTTCGGATCCAAGATAAGTATCCCTGGTACTTATACTATGATATGCTGGTTGATCGGATCCTCCAAGCAACGAATCAACATGTTCCACGGTACTCATATTATTTGGAGCCTGAAAGGATGATCCAAAGTGTGATTTCTTACTATTGTCATTTGAATTAGCATTGGAGTTTTGAATCACCTTGGTAAGCAGACTGAAATCGGTAACAGGCCCTTTATCGCTGTAACATCTCACAGAAACGTTATTCACAAGCCTGGCCGGGACCGCACCTCTATATAAGCTTCTAAACATTGCTGGTTATAGGTGTAAATGGTTAGTCCTAACTTCTTCTAGTGACTTTTGTCTGTTCCTTCGAAGTGAAAAAAAAAAAAAAAAACATAAAAGTGAAAAGTCGTGTGAGTGTACCAAAAACTATTGTAAAATGTACGGGTGTTTATTTTATTCGTGCGGCAACCAATATCAATCAGTGATGGTAATAACCTCTAGTTGAACGGGTTAAAGAGAATCTTTGGTTCGACTATACGATTGATGTCGCAAGGAGTGAGACCAAATCCCAGCTGGTAGGTAATACCGGAGAGCACGAGGTAAACTGAAGTTAGTTGAGCAAATTAACTCAACAAGTTATACAAATTGAGCACTATATTGCATTAGCCCTTGCATAGAGATCTAGGCTAGACTTTGCTATGATCACCGTCTCGGCAGAAAGTGCTGCGAAGAGCCAGTTTCCTATTTGTGGAGTTGATAGTTAATTGTATTCTGGCTGCAAAAATTGTGCGGTTGGAACTAAAGTGAAGCCTCAAACAATACCAAGTATTAGAGAACATTCACGGTATCCCAAAGTATCAGTCTATGGGTTCATCCTGTCATTGGAGTGAACCGTGAATGGATAAAAAGGTGTAGGGACCAACACCGTGTAAAGGCATTTGATTCCTTCGAATTATTACCAAGCCATGCTGTTTTCTTCAGTAGGGCTACCGTAGCTACTCATTTAACCCCGACTTACTGCTCAAACAACTGCCGTAATGCCAACATAAGTGCTGCCAAAACACCCGTACACAGGTGCATGGGTGTACGGGTGTGAAATTTTGGCCAATATCAAAGGGGCACAACTGAGACATTAAGTAAAAGAACCCAATTGATTCCTCTGAAAGTAGCTAAATTATAAGCTTATATACCTTCCTGAAGGACAGGGCTGAACGAGTTCATCTTATTTCATTGACGGTTGATCCTTGAGCATCACGATTTGCTCTTGCTTTTTGTCTGAAAATAATTTGCTATCCGGAACCGATATTATTTGCTGCTATATAATAACTGGCAAGATTTTATGTATATATCTTCTTTAAGATTTAATTTGACTAATGGATAACATTATATCTACTAAACTATTTGAAACCGAAGGTGTTTCGGTGTTTCGGATTCCACCGGGGGACATTTCTTTAAATAAATGGGATCTTAACGGATCTAATATTGTTTGGCTGGGTAATTTAAGAGTAATTGAACAAGAAGTTATAACAGATGGTGTAGAGCTTTTTTCATTGCCAAAAGGATTATCCGATGAATCATCCATTTTTTACGATCCAAAGTTATCTAAGGATGAAAAGGATTCTAATGATGATGAGAATTCCTATTCAAAGGATGTCATACAACCTCATAAAGGTTTAAGATTAAGACTCGAACTTTATAATATGGTTGAAATCCCTCCATCCGTAGGAAATCTTACAACGGTTCGTAAGGATATTTGTTGGGCTGAAGTTTGGTATAATCCAATTGCATCTCCACTTGATGAAGACGAAAAAGATTTATTCAGGGATCAAATCAATTCTGATTACTCAATTGCTAATGATGGTGAAGAAACTATTCAAATGTCTCCAGAATCTCCAAAATTTTATAAGATTATTGCACAATTACCTGGGTCCGGTTATCATCCATACGATTCTCTCGATCAACAAGATATATTGAATGTCAAAGAATCTCAGGACGGCCCATTAGTACAAGTTGCTCTTGGTTTGAAATTCGATGAAAGCTTTAGTGCTGTTTCTTTTGCTGAAAGTTTGGGTATCTATAAGAGAAGATTCCGAAATTTCGAAGATCAGTATAGGTACGAATTAAAATTAATGGAAATTGAATCAAGACTGGCGAAATTAAATCTTGGCGACGAGTCCTTGGATGGTTCTAATTATACTCATAAGGGTAGTATTGATAATACATACACTGATGATGATGATGATGATGATGATGATGATGACGATGATGACGATGATAGTAATTACTATGATCAAAATGGAAACCTATTTTCTGTTCCTCCCAGATCATTGCCTGTTTCACCATCCACCATCTCAACTGCTACAAATGAGGGCACCCAAGGATTAAATTTTTGTGGCCATGATGATAATGATGATGCTGGCAATCAGGATAGCCTAGATGACGATGATGATGATGATGATGATGATGATGCAGGATTTGGTGAATTCGTCCAAAGTTCATAAGTCATACGACTAAATTTGCATAAGCTCCATGAGCTCTCTTTAATTTATTATATAAACGCTTTATGTCTGTTTTTTTTTTTATCTTTTTTTTTCTATAATGAAGTTATCATGCCGTAAATAGACCCTTTAGTACAATATTTTAAATCTAAATGAAAATGTATCATTGTATTATATAAAATATCTATCTTCACTTCTTTGCTTGTTTGTTATAGTACATTTTTTGAATCAAAGGATGATGTTCCTTCAATTCTTTATTCTTATTCTTGCTATATTCGATATAAGCCATATCTTCACCCCCTGCTAAACCTGCCAATGAACCTGCTGTTCTAGAGGCAGCACTACTACTTTCCATCTTCATTCTCTTATCTTTTGGTATGAAATTAGTATCTGCGTCATCACCAACTTCCAATCCGGCCGCATCTTCGTTCTTCAATAAGACTTGTTGTAATAATTCTCTTCTTTCACGAGGAGTCGAATATGCTAAATCTGGTAATTGCTCCATCCCACTTAAATGAGTGATAACTTTAAAAGCATAACCTTGGTCGACTAAGAAGGCTTGACGTTTAGTAGAATAGTACATTTCTTGTGTGTCCTTAGAAACTAAAGAGTAGAAAAAAGCATTGAAACCTTCATCATTACGTCTTTTTGCTCTCAATATACGACCCAATCTTTGAGCTTCTTGTCTTCTTGAACCATAATGCGATGAAATTTGAATTAAACATGTAGCTTCTGGTAAATCAATTGAGGTATCACCAACTTTAGATAAAAAGATTGTATTAATTTGATCATTGTGTTGGAAATTTTGTAAAATAGTCATACGTTCTTGTTGTGGTGTGGATCCATAAATAAACGGTTTACCTAATTTTAATGCATATTCTTGAAGAGCATAAACATTATCACTGAAAACAATAATTTTATCTCCTCTCTTTTCATGATAATGAATCAAGAATTGAGCAGCTTGAAACTTCGTAGGATTCATTATATATAACAACATTCTTTTCCTAGCGGACTCTCTTAAATACTCTTGATAAAATTCGGCCGTCATAGGACACCAAACTTCAGCACATTGAACATTAGCAATATGACCCTTTTGAGCTAAATCCATCCAATTGGCTTCATATAATTTAGGACCAATTAAGAAATTTAAATCATTAATTTTATCATCTTCACGAACTAAAGTAGCAGTAAGACCTAACTTAGCGTGAGCTGCAATTGTAGTAACAACTCTTCTAAACATTGCAGCAGGGACAACGTGAACTTCATCTAAAATAATGAACCCCCACTCTCTCGAAGTCAAGAAATCCATAACCTTTTGAGAATCATGAGATCTGTTACGAGTGTTTGCTACCATTGAATACGTGGAAACGACTAACCCCGATTCACTAGCGAACATTTCTTTATTTTCTGAAGTGAAAACAGCAACATTTTCCGGCTGAATTGTACACCATTGTAAAAATTGTTGTCTCCATTGCATCACTGACACAGATGAAGTACATAAAACAATTACTGATTTTCTAATAGTACAAGCAGCAGTGATCCCTACTAAAGTTTTACCAGCACCACAAGGTAAGACGATAATCCCTGATCTAGCACGACCGTTACCGAACATCTTCGATAATGATTTTTCTTGATATGGTCTGATTTGAGTAGAAGGTTTCAAATCGATATCTAGATCAGGATTACGATCATCGTTACGGAAATCATATTCTTCTAACATGGGATAAACAATATCTTGACACCTTTTCTTAACGATTTCAACTGACTCATTAGCTATTTCAAAAGAATGAACAGTATCCATATCATCATCTTCGTCATCCTCAGCGCCTTTCTTACCGACAACTGCTGCAAACACATCCTCAACTTGTTCCCCCTCCTTATTACTAGTGCCATCCAATTTTTTAGTACCCGGTATACTTAAGTCACCTTGGGCGGGTGCAGAAGATTGAACCAATCCAGTACCTGTTACTGAATGCTCCGATGATGTGATACGCAAAGGCCCAATAATTGGATCTCTCAAAAGCATTTGTAAAATATCCGCCTGGGGACTTTCAACAAAGTATCGGTTATGTTTCAAAACTAGCTTCACTTTACCAAAAGATACAGTAGACTTCGTTATAAAATTGATAAAACTTTGAGCTACTGGAACTTTTGATAATCTATTTAAAACTGCTATTATATCGTCAGTTTCTAAACCCACAGAAACTGCTGCATATAGGGATGGAGGGGTTATAGTGTATTCATGGATATGTGAAGGTCTGGATATAGGTTCAGCAATAGTAATTAAAAAATCTTGGGCTTGCTCAGCAAGAGGTGAGAACGATTCTAGAATAATTCTACTATCTAGTGGTGATATCCATAAAGGTCTTGAGAAATGGTCTGGTTTTAATTTCAAGTACGAATAATCAGAACGACCAAAAACTTTGGATACAGCATCGGGAACATAATCTGCTGGTATGTCGGGGGTTAGATCAAGCAATTCATCTTCAGAAAATTCTTGATCACTAAGTCCATTCTTGATAGCATCGACTGACTCTTGAGCTTTTCTTTTACGTTTATTAACGTCTTCATTATTTGTATTATTTCTATTTGCTGCATTATTTTTATTAGTTGGCTTGGATTTTGGTTTGGACTTACGAGATCCATATGTATAATCGTCATCCTTTTTGGAGGAATCTTCAACTTCTTCATCGTAAGAATCATCTGAATAATTCCCCTTATCTAGATTCGCATAATTAACGCCACCACGACGAGACATTCTATAGGTGTTTCAACTGGACTAATAAGATGGGATTGTTGATAGAATCTAATGATTACTGGCTCAGTCACTTGTAGGTATGTCTGTCCTAGTAGAATATAAGCAGTGAATCAATTAGTAATAAAGCAAATTTGATAAACCTTTGATCGTTTTTTCCTTCTTAACTAAGAGATATGTGCGATACACGACCGTATAAAGAAATGGCCCCAAAATTTAGATTTACTTTATGGATCTACTTTATTGATAGATAACTATATAGATTAATATATATTGTATAAGATCGAGAAGTGAAATGCGTTGTAGATTGCTATGGTACATGATGACTGAGAACTGAAGGAGAACTAATAAGATTAATCAGTGAATTTGTAGGAACCAGAAGCAAAAGTGATACTACCACCTCTATAAGAACCCTTTTTCATTTTATTCTTATTTTTAGTGAAATCTTTACCTCTAACTTGGGTTAATCTGTCATTGGCCATTTCACCCCAAGTACCTGCAGCACCTTTATAGGTATTATCTTGTAAAGTTCTATCTTCGAAACTAATCTTTGAACGGTCGATTCTAGAAAAGTGTTTTCTTTGACCTGGTTTCAATTCTTCTTCTGGGATGGCGGCGATGAGTTCCTTTTCCTTTTGAGTTGGTTCTGGTGAGGAAGACATGGATTCAGTTTGGGAAGATGAGTTATCTTGCTTTTGTTTTTTATTAGAAGTAGAATCATCAGAAATAGTTCTCTTTTTTGGTGCTGAATCAGAGTCGCTGTCTGAATCTGAGTCGGAGTCGCTGTCAGAAGAATCGGATGAGTCAGAAGAGGAGCTTGAGGAGCTGTCCGAATCCGAGTCGCTGTCTGAATCGGAAGAGTCAGATGAGGAGCTTGAGGAACTGTCAGAGCTGTCAGAGTCTGAAGAGTCACTGTCAGAATTTGAAGAGCTGTCAGAATCTGAAGAGCTGTCAGAATCTGAAGAGCTTTCAGAATCTGAAGAGTCACTGTCAGAATCTGAAGAGTCACTGTCAGAATCTGAATCACTTGAAGAGCTTGATTCTTTTTCAGAATCTGATTTTTTGCTTTCTTCGGAGTCTTCTTCGGAGTCTTCTTTAGCAACTTCCTTTTCTTCAGCAACTTCCTTTTGTTCAGCATCTTCTTCATCGGAGGAGTCGTCTGAATCTGAAGAGTCTGAGTCTGAATCTGAATCACTGGAGCTTGATTCTTTTTCAGATTCATTATCTGAGCTGGAGCTCGAGCTGTCTGATTCAGATTCACTATCTTGCATCTTGGCATCCTTATCGGACTCAGTAGGAATGAAATCCTTCAACTTATTTTCAACATCAGATAAGTGGATGTTTTTATTGGAGGTTTCTTTAGACAAAGCTTTGTAAACTTTAGACAAGTCGGAGTCGTTTTTCAAAAACTCTGAAATATAAGATAAAACAAGTTCTCTGGAAGCCATTTTGGAAGTTTTACAGTCACTAATAGAAGAAAAGAAGAAAGGAAAAGAAGAGTTAAACTTGAAAAAAAAAAAAAAAAAAAAAAAAATTCAAAGATGAGCTGTTTGTGTGCAGGAAAATGAACTATAAATCGATTCTTTGGGTGCAATTTAATATTAATTACGTATTTAGTTATTTAAACAAAAGGTGACTGGAAAGTATATATAGTATACAGTACATGTATTATATAGCATATATAGCACATTGCTAACATAAATAGGGGACTTGGTTCATAATTTGGATTTTCCGTTTTTCGCGGCCAATTTCTGTTGTTTCAAAAATTCTAAGGCAGGAGCCAAAGTCTCATCAAGGGCTTTGGCACGATCACCGTTATACTTGACAGCCAATCTCATGGAGCGATCCTTTTCCTGGAAAGAAACACGCATAGCGATATAATCTTCTATCACTGGAAGAACTTTGTCTGGTGATTCACCAACTAAAAGATGAGCACCACCTTCAACGATTACTTGATCATAACATTGGGAAGGAACTAATTTTTTAACGTATTCTGGAGTGTCGGGTGGGTTCCAGGTAGCACTCCCACCGATAATGTGTAGCATTGGGGTTTGATAAACAGGCAAAATGCTCATACTTTGAGGTATTGATTGAAAAGCACTGACATAGGTTAACATTTGGTCGATATTGGACGATTTAGTATGAACAGTATCGTTTTCCCCGATTTCCAATTCGTCATCCGCCATTTCCTGTAAAACTTCCTTATTGAATTTTTGATAGAATGATTTTGTATTGAAATACTTATAATAGTCGGCTTTTGAATTAAAAGTATCTTTAATCAAAAACTTCATCTTAGCAAGGATAGCAGAGAACCGGGCCTCATGCTCCTCTAAAGCATAGATAACCGGCTCAATTGGGATAACAGCATCAAATAGCCCTGGCTCGAAAAAGGCGGCCATTACCGCTTGGTGTCCACCTAAAGAATGGCCTATTAAAATGTTTTTAGACCCATCGTTGATCAAGAAATCCCCCTCGTGTTCTTGTTCATGCTTGACCACATGAATCAAATCCTTAGCACCTTGGGACCAAGCACAATTAAAGCCCTGTTTCCCACGATTAAGCACTGCGGAGTCTCCGTGGTTAATTGCATCAACACTTATGGCCGCATCTACTTGCCAATTAGAATTTTGCAACTCGTACAATCTCCTAATATAATAATTCCATATCGCCTTGTTCATCCCAGTACCATGAGCAAAAATCAAATTGACTCTAGTCTTATCTTTTGATATGTCTTTGACGGTTTTAAACTTATTATAAACCAATTTCAAACCACTTTCCCCATACTTTAAAGTAGTATTAGGGTCTCGTGGATAACTTGCGTTTATGGTCTTTTGCGTGTGAGTAAATGACATCTTTGGTGTTTGCCGTCTTTAGTACATCAAGAAGAACAGCTGGTTTCAAAGTTCGTCCATACCAATCAGAATTCCTAGCTCGGTTGAAGATCCCTTAAGGCTGTAAATGTTATTGTTACCGACATGTGACCGTGGAATTTGAAAAAGGCCAGTGCCTTTTTTTTCGGCTCTTCTTTTTTTGTGGAGAAGATGGAAATTTTTTATACGAGAAGATCTGGAAATTTTTGATTTCAGCTAAAGAAGATAGTGGTTAAAAGAATGACAACAGCCAGTTCCAACACTATCAAGATCTTGAGGACTGTCCAGCAAGTAAGACAATGGAGACGCCAGTGCTTGCTCAATGGGAAAACGGTTGGGTTTATACCCACGATGGGAGCATTACATTCGGGACACTGTTCTCTTATATCCCAATCTTTGAAAGATAATCATCATACTATAGTATCGATATTTGTGAATCCGTCCCAGTTTGCACCTCACGAAGATTTAGAAGCATATCCAAGAACTCTTGAATCGGATTTAAAGATTTTGGAAGATTTCCCAAAGGGTAACGTTGTCGATGCGGTTTTCGTTCCAAAAATCTCTGAAATGTATCCATCCGGTATAACTTTGGAAGTTCCTAAGCAGAAGGGTGCATTTGTTACGGTCCAAGGTTGTTCTGAACAATTGGAAGGAGCTTCAAGACCCGCCTTTTTCCGTGGTGTTGCAACCGTTGTAACTAAATTACTAAATATTGTTACCCCAGATCAAGTTTACTTTGGTCAAAAAGATGCTCAACAATGTGTAGTTATAAAAAACTTGGTTAAAGATTTGTTGATAGATACAAATGTTAATGTTTTACCTACATTAAGAGAATCAAACGGTCTCGCTTTATCTTCAAGAAATGCATATTTATCCGATGAAGTTAGAGATCAAAGTTCGATCATTTATAGAGCCCTTTCAAATGGTAAAGCATTCTACGAAACTTCTACAAAAAAAACAAATCAACCGGTTAAAAGTTCTGATATCTTAAATGAAATTCATCATACTTTGGAAAGTAAACCCGATAATTTCAATATTGAGTACATCTCCATTAACCACCCTCAATCCTTGGAAGAATTAGAATTTGTGGAGCCAGGGGTAGGTGCAATCATTTCAACTGCAGTAAGGGTTCCTAAAGAGAAGGAAGAAGGTGAAGCTAGGTTGATCGATAATGTAGTACTCAGTTAATTCATGTAAATAATTTTATACAAATAATATATACATTTTAAAGCCCTCTTCTTCTATTAAACTTGTTTTTCACCTCGGTAAAGTTATTTCTTTCAGTCTTAATTTTATTCGATTTATTACTTGAACTAATAACATCTTGATACCTCAACTTATCAAAGTTAAGTCTTTCTTCAAAATCCTTTTTATCAATTAGTTCGAAATCTATTAAGTTCTTTAAATTAGCCTGAGTCTTCTCATCGACTCCGTAAAAGTAATACCCGTACTGCAATAACCATAATGGATCAACTGCTGTTACACAGCTCATATATTCTTTGGTAGTCAATAATAATTCATGGTACACCACAAAATTAGGTGCCATATCAGTACCTCCATTCAATGCCGAGGTTGGATGAAGATACATAGTCATAACCTTATTTCTTAAATTAACGTACTCGGCTTGTGAATTACCACTTATATTATTCTTTATTAGTCTAGCCAGTTGTTGGAAATATGCTGCACATAAACACTTTCTAACATCATCATCAGATCTTGACTTTGAAATTGGTAATTTATATTTCTTCATAATCAAAACTAATTGATTTCGGATTTCTCTAGCTCGGATTAATGATTTTATTTGTAAGAAGTTCTTATCACACCAAATACTTAATTTCTTGTAACTACTATTAGATTTAACCAATTGCTGTTGCCATTGATTATAAACATTGAGTAAAGTTAAATGATCTGATTCTGCAATAACGTACTTTTCTCTAATAGAGTCAGCTTCTTGGGCTCTTTCCTTTGGTCTGAAAAATACTGAAGGTATAGATAACATAGAAACAACTGTTAGAATTTCTTCGGAACAGTGAAATTCGTTTTTACAAGAAAGTATGATAAGCTTGGATAACGTAGGCTCCATAGGAAAATTAGACATGTCTGAACCAAGTGAAGTTAAATTCCCAAAATTGTCAAGAGCTCCTATAACCCATAAATCATACAATGACCTGCTAAGTAAATCTTGAGGTGGGGGATCTAAGAATGGAAATCTTTGTAAATTGTCTACTTTCAAAGATTTTAGTAACAACATCACATTACTTAAATTGGTTCTTTGAATTTCTGGAATTGGTTGCAAATGCATTTGATCATTTTTAGTTGCTCGTTCAGTATAAAGTCTGTATGCTACACCAGGACCAGTTCTTCCTGCTCTCCCACTTCTTTGTTGAGCATTTGCAACAGATACAGGCACAACCTGTAATGTCTCCATTCCAAGTTTGGGATTATAAACTTTCATTTTGATTAAACCTGTATCAACTACGTACTTAATACCGTCAACTGTCAATGAGGTTTCAGCTATATTGGTAGCAACGACAACCTTTCTTCTAAACTCATTTTTCTTACTGAAAATCTTTTTCTGTAGATCAGCCGGTAAAGTAGAATATATTGGATAAATATCTAATGGTGGCGGATCATCGAGCATTTCAAGCTTCTCCTTTAGCAATTCACAAGTCACCTCAATATCTTCTTGACCTGTCATAAAGACTAAAATATCTCCATCATTAAGTTTAGATTTTGAACTGTTTTGTAAATGAATTGTTAATACTTGCTTCACCGCGGATTCAACATAGTCTTGACAGCTCGTTTTACTGAACATGATATCAACTGGGAAAGTTCTCCCAGGGATGGTAAACTGGGGGGCATCACCGAAAAATCTAGTGAATCGATCAGCATTCATAGTTGCACTTGTTACAATAAGTTTTAGATCTTTCCTTCTCATTAACAACTTCCGAAATAAACCAAGAAGAACATCAGTGCTCAATGTTCTTTCGTGGGCCTCATCCATTATGATACAAGAATAGTCCTCGAGGTTTGGATCAATTAAGATTTCTCTCAACAAAATCCCTTCAGTCAAATACTTTATAACCGTTTTTTGAGGACTAGTTCTATCTTCAAATCTTATAACGTAACCAACTTCTTCGGATAGCTTACAGTTCATTTCTTCACTAACTCTTTTCGCTACCGACATAGCTGCAACACGACGTGGCTGGGTACAGCCGATTATTTTCTTTTGACCATTTTTATCTAAGCTTGACGCAAATCCTTCTTCATAAAGAAACTGAGCTAATTGAGTAGTCTTCCCTGACCCAGTTTCACCAATTACAATAGTCACTTGATTTTCTGATATGGCTCTGATCAAGTCTTTCCTGACAGCAAACGCTGGTAGTTGCCTTCTTTGTTGTTGGATGGAAAGCGTATCGATAGGAGCTTCTCTGAGATCTTCATCTTCTTTATTAGGTTCTTCAAATTTTTCTGTTTTTCCTTCGATTCCAAGCACATTTCCAAGAGCAGTACCCTGCAAGCTTGATCTGTCTTTGGCCTGCTTTGCTTTTTCTTTTTTTGCCTTGTTATCCTTGACTACGAAACTTCCTTGTCTTGCAGATATTGCTAATTCAGATTCGGGGTCTGGAATAACTTTGATCGAGGAGCTTATTCCTTTCATTAGCTGATCTCTATTCGTGTTTGATGCTATTTCAAGGGTCAAATAATTTCTTGATTCTTCTAGGAAAGGTGGAATGAAGAAATGAGGATTGATTTGTATTCTCGATAAGGTATCGGCTCCGTCCAGATCTATATGATCATAGTCAACATACTGTCCTGTTAAATGGTCAAAGCCTCCTCCGGACTTATTTAAATGGTCCTTGTCACGTCTGAAGTTAGACTTTCTCTTCGGTTGATAAGATAAGTCTTCTTCTATTTCCTCATATTGGTAGAGGGGAGCTTGTCCAAAGTCTTCCGCCATATACCATTCACGGTCATTCTCTAGGTCATTAGTATCGTCATCTATAACTTGTTGAATTAATTCCGGCTCTTGTTTAACCGTTATTTGTGAGTCCATTGACTTTTTCTCAAGAGCTGCTAGTTCAGACAAGGAAAGTTGGGGTTCTTTCTTGATCTTTGGCTTTATATTTTCTTCTTGTTTAACCAGTATAATATTCATCGGTTGGTTCATTGATGGCTCATCGTAATTATCTTTGATTTTAATGGCGTTTTCCTTTTTAATTTTCTTGAAGCTAGGTTTTGAATTCTTAAATGTTTTAGATTCGCTATTGTTGTCCTGACCGAAGATATCATCATGGTCTTCTTTATCGAGCAGAAGCCCCTTGCTTTGGTTACCCGTCTCCTTCAATTTCTTGAAAGAGGTTACCTTATTTGGTCTGATATCAATCTCATCCTCTAGCTCATCGTCCAAGTCGAGATCTATCTTCAACTGTCGTTTTTTGATGGGTTTTTTATTCTGTGAATCCGACGTACGGCTTTTGATTGATACTTGGCCTGTATTGTCACCCCCCTCATCCAATGCACGTGTTAATAAACCTATATTGTCATTTATCAAGTTGTAAACTTCTTTTGCTAGTAATCCATCTTTAGGAAACCCCAAAGCTTGTGAATAAGTTATAAAATCCATTAATGAGCCCGTTTTTTGAAAATACTTCACGAAAACTAACGTGAATGACGAATTCACCGGTCGCTTAAGACCATCAGATATAACATTGGTAATTCGGTCTATCATTGGATGGTTCAGCATCTTATCTGCTGCTGATTAAACAGTTTGATCTTTGCAGTCTATAAGTATTCTTTTTTTTTTTTTGTTCGAGCACATCACCAATTTTATTACTACAAATCGAGTTTTTCAAACAAACCTTCTTCAAAGAAGACAAGCTATATACCAATGGCTCTTCCAAACACCGCAAAATATTTCAGAAATCATGTCGTGGTAAGATTAAGGCTTAATCCCTCTCCATCCTCAGCCAAAGAAGCTGATTACGTTTACGATTGTTTCCGGGGACTTTGTTCAGGGACATTAGAATTTTTTAATATTGAAAAGGGCCACCCTAGATTAAACTTGTATAGTAACAGTGTTAACTTGATATACAATCCAAAAAATGAACCGAGTCAGTTGGATCCATTTACGGAAGAATTGAGTAGTCAAAATGGTAAAGCCAATGTACCAGAAATACTAGAGCAGCAGAATACTTTAGTAAATAGACTACGAAATATATGTGCTCTACCCAGGTATTCATATATTGAAAATGATGAAAGGTTTTTCAAAGGTGAATACGTGGCGCCTTTTAAATACTCCTTGAAAAAATCAGGTTTGAAATATGATAAAAAGTTTGAAATCAGTGCTTCTAGTGTTGAATCACCTTTTGCGAGTATAAGTACGGAAGAAGATGTTCAAAATGTCATGACTAGTTTGAGACATAACTTCCAAAAATTCCATAAGATTGATAGAATTGATATTCGAGTTGGATATAAAGAAGTGAAGGCATTAACACAGAACTTAAATAATGCTTCAATACATAAAAGGAGACCGAAATAAAGTATCGACTAAGTTTATTAAAAGTTCATCTAATTTACATAAAAGTACAAATCTATTTATCAGGTGATATTTTTTTCACTTCATCAAAATCTTTTTGTAAAACTTCATTCAAGTAATTCAAACCCTGTTGTTGTTTTAATAATAATTTAGTCAATTTATTAACCAATTCATCATTAGATTTTTCTTCAACATGATCTTTGCCAGCTTCACCATTTGAGATATCATTGGAACTTTGATTTAATCCACCATTCATAGTATTAACAGAAGAATCGAATTGGTTAGCTAATTCTTCACTACGTTCTTTTAATATTGCTAATCTTGCGAAAACATCATTGAGTTTACCTAAAGAAGCATTTGGATCATTTAACTTATCATTTAATAAATCAAATTGTCTTGAAATTTCTTCTTCTTCAGGTAATAATGGATATCCTTTAAGTCTTAAAATAGCCAAAATAGTGGCTAATCTTAATAATCTTCTTGATAATTTAGTATGCTTGGCTTTAGCTTTTAATATTCTTGTAGTGTTATCAAGATCATGTTTTGAAGATAATGCAGATTGTCTATCATTGATTGTATTTAATAAGATTCTAGATTTGGCCACATGATTTAACTGAACTTCAACCCTTTGGGCAACTTCAGTAAATGAAGTGATTTTGATTGGATAATGTTGAGGAGTCGGTCTATTTGACATTGCAGCATCCCAATCTTCTGATGATTCATTGGCTGGTCTCTGTTGGCTGAGAAGCATGTTAATTTCTTGATCATTGAATTTATTATATAAATGAGTTTTTAATGCACATTTAGGAGAATTTGGATCCCATTGCTCCTTGATTTTAAGTAATTGGTCATTAATGGCTGGAGTGTAAGTATTAACGTTAGAAGTGGTAGAGTTATTGGAATTAAATGGGAGTGATATATTATTGTTTGTTGCATTGGATGTATTGGCTGCACCCAAAGCAGGTTTGTTATTTTGTTGGGATGACCAGCCAAATGAAGGCTGAGAGTTATTGGTTGTATTTTGACCAAATAGCCCACCACTTGGTTGTGGTTGTTGTGGTTGTGGTTGTTGTGGTTGTTGTTGTTGTTGTTGTTGTTGTTGTTGTTGATTAGATCCAAATAATCCACCTCCAGTATTACCTGATGGATTAGAGGCGTTACCTGATCCAAACAACCCACCAGTATTACCTGATGTATTAGTAGTATTACCAGAACCGAATAATCCACCACCAGTGGTACCTGAAGTATTGGAAGTATTAGAACCGAATAATCCACCACTAGTGTTAGTATTTGTATTGCTAGTATTGTTTGTGTTAGAACTGCCAAACAATCCACCAGAAGCAGCTGGTTTAGAGCCAAAGAGCCCACCTCCAGTGGAAGAAGTATTCGTGGTACTGTTATTTGATCCAAAGAGTCCACCTGATGGAGCAGCAGGTTTTGATCCAAAAAGTCCACCTCCAGTGGTATTAGAAGCTGGAGTATTCGATCCACCAAATAATCCACCTCCACTTTGGGTATTTGTGTTGGTATTTGAAGCGCCAAAACCAGTACTTGGTTGGTTTGAGTTTGATCCAAAACTGAATCCAGTTCCTGATGAAGCAGCTGGTTTAGCAGCACCAAACAACCCACCACCCGAGGTGTTATTGGAAGTATTGGAGCCAAACATCCCGCTACCACCACTGTTGTTAGAGGATGCGCCGAACATGGTATTCAATTGATAGATGTAAATGGATCTGGTGTAGTGACGATGATGTTAACAAAGTTGTTTTCAATTTTTTTTTTTTTTTCAACTTTCAAATTTTTGCCTGGTGTATGGGTGTTTTCGTTGGCGATGGATGCAATTAGATTAAGCTAATCTATGGGTAAACCTACGGTATGGTGTTTTCAGATATCTGCTTAGGCAAAGAGCCGGTAGCTGTTTATATGAATAACAATAAAAGACACGGAACTACAGGCGATTCAGCATAAAGATTTAGATCAAGGGGATTTAAGTATATAACAAGGAATAAATTAAATAAATTAAATAAAATTGTATTCACAATTATGAAGAATCATAGATAACCTACCAGATGAGTTACCAGATGAGTTACCAGATAAGTTAAGTATATAATTTTTTCTAGAATAGAGTACATGATTGAAATGCAATTAACTTGATTCACTTGAATCAGGTTTTGATTTTAAGAATTCTTGAACATTTGATTTATCTTTACCAAACCCAGTATAAATTGGATTTTCATTTAAATGAATTTGATTTTCAACACCAGGGATTTTCTTTTCTAATTTTAAATTATTGAAAACACATTTATTTAATAATTTTTCGGAACTTCTGCAATTACCCAATCTATGATTTTCTTGTTCTAAACATTCATAATGTAATTTAAATTCATCAAAACAATATTTATTTATATCTTTTAAAACACTGATTGCACATCTAGTAACTCTTCTACCTTCTTTTAAACATTCAAGAGTACCACCATTTTTTTCATCTTTACATAACATAAAATCATCATTATAAGGTTTACATTTAGCACCAATGAAGTAAGATGCTGATAATAAAGGTGCAGAAGTAGCACCAACTTCATCAACTTCTGGAATATCTTTGGGTAATTGATTTTTATCAATATTTTTCCATTCGTGTCTTCCAATAAATAAATCGTCTCCTAATCCCATGTTTGATATATTATTAATGCAAAAGAAAGAAAAATGAAAGTTACTGCTTCTCCGAAGTAGTCCCCTGTATATATTATTGTCCTCGGAGGTAGTTGATAGCTCTAATCACTAAATTTTTTTCAATTTTTGATGTCTTTTTTTTGGTTTTGTTAGCAATTCCCATACAAAAGCCTGGGGTTCCTGCGAAAGTGAGAGAAAATTAGTAGTAACAGAAATTCTTTGGCTCGTGGTTGGTGCTGGTAATTACCCGTGGCGTGCGGTTACTCGCGCGTAAATGTGGGCATTGTTATTTGGTGCACGGGTGTATGTGTATGTTGGTCACGTGATTGTTTTTAGATTATTAGTGGAAAGCTGCAAATACAGAATACAGCTAGCTGGAGCAGTTGGAGGGATGTGGTTGGAGCGTGTTGAAGAAGTGTATTGGAAGAACTGGGTTAGACTTTGTACTTGTCACTGTTGAGCCAAAAGGGCCGGAAATGAGTCAATTTTTGATTGTTGCAGAACTGTAAATTGCAGTCAAAATAACACTACAATGGCAGATGATAATATTATTTATTAGTTTTTCCGTATTATGCTCAAAAAATCCGACTGGTGGTCAATGATCTTATAAATGTTTAAGATTTGTAATAACAAGTCATTATTTTTATTTGAGATTAATTTAGAAGATAAATTATCAAGATAAGATTTGAATTCGAATTTGATTGATACCAATTTATTCATCAAGCTTTTCTCTAGCGAGTTGGAGTTATTTAGATAGGTCGAAAGCATATTGATTGATAAGTATAGAGACGTTAAGTTATTTAACTTATTTTCATCATCTATTTTCAATAAATTTTCAAAATTATTGATTTGATCATTGAGTAATAGTAATAATTTAATTTTGATTTTCAATACCTGTAAGTGTTTCTTTTCATTTAAACAATTTTCAACTAAATTTCTTGAATTGGATAAATTTTCGTTAAAGTTTACTAAATCGTTATTAAAATTTTTCAAATCAATTTTCAAAAAATTTATAAGGTCCAAGCTTCCATCTATTGATTTACCCAAATTTATGAATTCGTTATAGTTTTCGTTAACCAAGTTTAATAATTCTGTGTTTAGTTCATTCAATAAATTTGTCAAATCTTTAATTAAACTATCAATACTGGTGAATCGATGATTTTTAAATAGAAATTGGTCAACGTCAAATTGGTCGATTAGTTCATTTTGGAAATCTTGTCTATTCACAGTGACCGGATAAGGAAACGATTCAATTTCCATGTCTTTATCCATATTGGCTTGGTTATTGAAGGTGTTTAGTGCCAGCGATTTTCCCTTGTTAATGAAAAAACTTGGAGTCGACAGGTGCACGGAGGTGCCCCCAAACAGCACCCGTACATACGAGTTCACATACTTTCTGTCTGTTCCTTGTTTGAGTTGCAAATACAAGATTTACCCTGATATATCACCCGTATATTGGTATCCGTGGAGATAACAGATAGCAGTACCAGTAACAGTACCACAGTTCCAGTATCAGTATCAGTACCAGTATCAGTATCAGTACCAGTATCAGTAACAGTAACAGTAACAGTAATAGTACCAACAACAGCACCAGTGGATGACCATACTAGTAGATATAAAAGTAGATAAGGCGATTCCGTTTTGATCATAGCATGACCACTATGCTTATCCTGACTTGAGGTTTGGTCTTCCAAGGCATTGTCTGGAACCGGTAAGAGATAGTTTGACTTTAGCTTTGCCCTTGATATGCCGGGGGGTTATCTCGGTAATCAATGCCTAATTTTCATCAAGAAACTAGATCTCATGTGAGTACTAGCCAGTATTTAAACTGGCTGCAAATCCTCACCTCTTGATTTACCTGTGCGGGTTGTTTACTTGATTGCGTTTGTCGACGTCATCTACAACGCCTGGGACCGTTATTCGACGTCATCTACAACGCCTGGAAAAGTTTATTAAAGAAAGTTAGTTTCTCACCATCTACTATATTGATACTCCTGATGACCTTTCTACCGTTCAAACTATGGCTAAGTATAGTCAGACTTATAGAAGTCACATTAAAGAGCTACCGGTAGAGATTGTTGCTGGTGAGCTTATCTAAATTATTTCTGAGGAAGCAACAGTTTGTGATTTTTGAGAAAATTTTGAAAAATACGTTTACAATTAAATATCGAGGCATACAACGCACATATAGCATTCTGGATACTGAGTGTGGTTGCAATATTGACTGTCACAGTCCTGGCTGCAATAATCTTGTATTACCGTACTGGCTGCAATAATCTTGTATTACCGTACTGGCTGCAATAATCTTGTATTACCGTACTGGCTGCAATAAACTTGTCTTACATTATCGGGTGCAATACTGGCTTACAATACTCAGTATTGAGTCGGTCGTGTTTTACTCCAACATCAAATAAGCGAACTCAAAAGCTAATGATTGTGAATAGTTTAATTGTCACAGACCAAAGATTAAGCCATCAGGGAAACCTTCGATATTTTGTTAAAGAATAGTGATTGTTAGAACCCTTGTAAATCTCGAATACGCGGATCCGTTTAAAATCATTAACTAAAGAGGAAAAATAATAATGTTTAACAAACACAATAGATAATGTAATGGAGATGATTTAAACAAAATAAAAATACAAAACAATCACCGAAATAAAGCAACCTACCAACCAATTAGGAAGATATTTTTTGTACTAGGAATTTTTATTCGACAAAATGTACATCTACTACTTTATAACAGATAAGAAACGAAACGCAAATCAACCTATGCAACATTAGGAAAATAAGAAAAAGGGACAAACACCACCTAAATTATTGAAAAGTATGACAAAACAAGTAATGCAAGAGATTTTGACAGATAATCGTCAATTGAAGAGGAGATATCACAAATTAGCAAAAGAGAAAAAGGTATCACAAAATTCATACTCCAGGGAAAGATGGAAAATAAAACCGATTTCACTGATGAAATTTTAATTGCGAAGACCACTCTCCTGGCATTAGTACCGGTTTGATGGCTCCCGGTTTGTTTACTACCGAGGCCGACCGAGGATCCCCCAACGACTCCGTGCCTCTCAGAAAATTCATCTCCCATCGTCTAGTTGGGGCAGGCCAATGCCTCCGGGAGATTGATACATCGTCACCAGAAAACCCCCGTGGTGCACGTGACGGACCAATATTTCCTTATTCAGAGCGATATAAACCCAATTGAGAATGTAGCGATGGATCCTAATCAAAAGGTAAGTAAGTACGCGTAGCGGTCTTGTGATTTAATGAATGTTCCACTAAACAATCACCCAATCATCAAACAATCATCAAACAATTATCATAACAATCACCAAACCCTTTGCCAAGCGATGAGAAATCGATTTTTAAAAGCAAAAAACAATTTTGCAGATTAGGACAAAGACTTTGTACGGGAAAGTTAGCAGCAAAGACAATAAAAATAACAAAGACCGTAGATTAATATAATATTGGGAAAATTTAAGCAAAACTAAAAGAACAAAAAAATAAAGAAAAAAAAAAAAAAAAAAATAAGGAAAAAAAAAAAAAAAATAAAAAAAATTAAAGTAAAAAAAATCAGAAAGATAAACCGCACAACCTACATCAGCGATTGCAAGTTAAGTAAGATTGCTCACCCAATCACCAAAACAGTAAATGGAGAGCACAATCGTGTTAATCTAAATTCAGTTAACGAATTCCGATAGGAAAACATCAACTTTTCCCTACTCCAGTCTCTCCCTTTCTTTCACTTCTCTCTGGGCCACGACCCCCTTTCTCCCATTCGAAACTGCAAGGTTAAGTCCGCCGTTCCACACGACGACCAGGTTTGAAAGTGGTGATATCTTCTCTAATGGCTTGATTAAATTATCGAGTCTAATTGATTAAGTTTAATTATACTTAGTTTACTTTATTTTTTGATTGCCTTTGTTGGCTGGTGATTCTTTATTGTAGCACTTCGTACTAGATCTATTGTAAGATACTAGGGTCCCCTATAGTTAAAGCTAAAAGGGAAAATACAAGGCGGAATCTACTATATACAATAAAGGGTTTTTTGTTTTCAATTGCTCATAATTAGACGATCTTTTGTCCTGAGAACTCGATGATACCAGTTAACATTTAAGGTTTGTTGAGATTTTTTTTTTTTTTTTTTTTGATGTTTTTGGTTTAGCCTTTTTTAAAGTTATATTTTTTATTGGTCTTCTCTTCCTCCCCCTAGACGATGGGATAATTTTGATGTGCCTTTAAAATATTCAGCTCATGGACTAAGGTACTACGCCATGTATTAAACTAGGTATATGCTAGGTATGCCATGTACCACGGCTATAACTTGATGATGTAAGTTTATTGAGAACAAACAAATGAAAAGACAACAAATAATTTTTACAACGATAAGCGAATAGATTATTTACTAAACGGTTACAAATTTGGCTGGTTAGAACGTGGGGGCGCAACCTGCAAAAAAAAACAAAGAAAAACCCACTTCCTCAACCCAAAAAATAATTGCACAAGAACTTAAGGAAAAAATGTAAAAACGAAGAGTGGCAGAAATCGCACATAACCTGCAATTCAAACAATCATCAAATGATGACGTGAATTGGGGGTTTGTGCCACATATACACAATACCAAAAAAAGAGCTTATGTTCTTATTTGGTTAAAAACAACCATCAAGCACATGCACGCCCTCTTTGAGATTTTTGTTTTGTTCAAAAAATAAAAGGATCTTGCTAATAAACTTTTTTTTGACCTGCCTGTTTATACTGTGGTCTCTGCTCCAAAAGGCAGAAAAACAGTGAGAGAGCACCAAAGAAAAAAAAAAAAAAAAAAAAAAAAAAAAAAAAATCATCGGTACTTTTTCTTAACTACTCCTCAAGTATTTTTTTGACGAGCTTAGAGAAAAATTAATGTAACTTTAAGCGAATGGATCCTAGTAGCTTTTTCACCTTCGAAAGATAGTCTTGATCCTCATGGCTACCGTATTTCATCAATTGAAATTCAATGGTAGTCTCGTCAACCGAGTCTTGTTGTAGCATCAAGGGAATAAGCATTGGATTGGTGCCCTTTTACTCTCTTCAACTCTGAACATTCCCAAATCTCTAGGTGAATCCGGTATCTGCAGTGGTAATTCCGTTATCAGCTGCTGGTAGTGGCCCCCACATCCGCTGTGAGCCCGCGCACGCGCCCGGTCGGTGCATATGCTTTGCTATAGCCTCTTTACAGCTTTATCTAAACCGTGGTGTGCGACTGGTGACAGAGTGATCTTGCGTGCGCCGGCGGCTGCACCAGGATGAGCACACCTACCAGTGCAAAAAAAAGGAAAGGAAAGGGAAGAAGAAAATTGATGCAAGAATCAAGCTGGGTACAACAGTAGGCACAACAGTAGGTACAGGTAAATACAGGCTTCAACTAGTTGGTGTTGCCAACAGATACGGTTTATCTAATGGGTCAGTGCACCTGGAAACGGTAGGGACACCTTTGCATGTACGCCACCAGGGGTCACAACCCGCCGCATGCAGCGATATTTTACAGGTTAGTTGTGCATTGCAGATCACTTGGAATGCGTAAAAAAATAAGAAAAACAATAGGCAATACAATAAAATAAAATTAAAAGAAAAAAAAAAAAAAAAAAGGAAAACTAGTTTGATAATTACAAACCATAAATTTTTTTTTTTTTTTTTTTTTTTTTTTTTTTGATTACTATGTATATTTTTTTTTAATTTAGTTAATATCACTTTTGAAAATAGACACATTATTTTAATTAATTATTTTTATTGAAGAATACTTTCTCTTGTTGTATAAAATCAACTATAAATCTACTTTTTTACGGTTACTTTTGTTTAAATTGTTCTTTTATTTTTTTTTTTTTATTAATCTTTAATCTTTTCTTTATTCTATTCATCTTGTCTTTCTTTACTTCTTCATTCTACTCTACTTGTGCCAGTCACAATTTAATTCATCCAATTGTATTTTTGTTTCTTTGATTAACTGATAAAAAGAAGATTAAATCATGTCAACAGCAGTTTACTATTCAAATCATAATATGCCAGTGGAAGATGTTCATTCAAAACATACTTTACCATCTTTAGCTCAAATAATGCCACCAATGAATCATCAACAACAAACTCAACAAACTCAACCACATCAAGATGGTCAAGTTAGTCCTTCAATGGTTAACGCTAATGTTTATAATTCCAATTACCAAACTCAACCATCTCCAGATTTATTTAGTCAAAATGGTGGTCTGCAACCTTCAAGTGTTAATACTACTCCTGCTTCAAGTTTTAGTGGGGGTTCAAGTAATTACATAACCAGTGCATCCAATGAAAAATGTACTTGTAAAAATAACGCTAATCGTATTCCAAGACCAAGAAATGCTTTTATTCTTTTTAGACAAAAATATCATCAATCCGTTTTAGATGAAGGAAGTGTTATTAGAACTAACCCCGAAGTTTCTAGAGAATTAGGTAGACGTTGGAGATCTTTATCACTGGATGAAAAAGAACATTGGAATAATTTGGCTGAAGAAGAAAAAAAGAATCATGCAAAAAAATATCCTGGTTATAGATATACTCCAAGAAGAAATGGTAAAAATAAAGGTTGTCCAGCTTGTCGTTCTAAAATTTTAAAACAACAACAAGCCCAATTACATAACCAACAAATGATTCAATTACAACAAGATCATTATCAACAATATTTACAAATGCAACAACAACAACAACAACAGCAACAACAACAACAACAACAACAAGCTGCTGTGGCAGCAGCAGCTGCTGCCGCTGCTGCCGTTGGTACTAACGGTCATTCAAATAATCAATCTATACCGCAAGGAAATTTCCAAATTCCTCAAGGAATGTCCCAATTTGTTATTCAACTGAATCCATTTGCTCAATCAAATTTCCAATTTGATCATCAAGGTCAACCTCAACAACAACCTCCTCAACCACAACAACAACAACCTCAACATGAAAAATTGAGTCCATTATCAACTAACGCTCCAGTTCAATTTAATCAACCTCCAAATCAAGATTTCTTACCTCAACCTCCTTTTGCACCAATTAGTTATGACCACCAACAACAAGCTCAACAAGCTCCACCTCCTCAAGCTCAACACAATCAAAGATTCAATTCTTTACCTAATCCGGTTTCTAACGGTTCTTATGGTTTCGATGTCTTTAACATGCCTCAACAGGTTCAACAATAGTTTATAATTACTTTTTTCTTTTACCGTTTGTCTCTTGAAGTCTGTTTTATATTGTATTTTTTAGTGAGTGTATAGTAATCCTGTGTCTTTTCCTTTCAATCGAACATTGTTGTAATATACAAAGTCTCCATCGTTGTAATATACAAAGTCTCCATCGTTGTAATATACAAAGTCTCCATCGTTGTAATATACAAAGTACAAAGTCCCCGTCGTTGTAATACAATAAACCTACAGTCTTCATTATAAGATGTTTTCACAATAGCTGTCTATTGATCTATTTGGTCTATGTCCGTATTTGCATCAATTTATCTGCCATGTACCTCGGTTGACCAACCTGAAATTCTTACTGCGAATTCGTCTAAGGGTAACCTGCAAAACCCCAGCGCAAACCCGCAAGCCAGCACAAACTGCAAAAGCTCCTTCTGACTGCGCAACTTTTACCGCAAAACGCAACTGACAAATTCAGGAGAAAAATCACAGTTTGCGTTGTTTAGCGGATGTTTTGCAGCTTTGTCGCTTTGGCGGGTAGATTATCTCTGCGGTAAGGGTGTTTTGTCAGGGACAAAAAAGAACAAACAAAAAGCTAGCGTGCGGTACGGAGGTACGAAAATACAATGATAAACTTTTAATAAATATATAAATAAATAATCGTACCACGTTAGATATCTTCTCCGAAACTGTCAATAGTAACCACTTCTCCCGGCTTGAATGGGGGCAATCCCAAGAACGGACACCCGTCACATCTGAAGGCATCACCCAAAGCACACGAACCACATCCACCGGTCTTGCCTTCAACGGTAAAGTCAATTTCTGCTAGTTCTTCTTCGTTAAATTTAATTTGCTTCTTTAATTTTTCTTCGATCTTCATTGCTTCTAACGTAGCCAGTTGTGCCATTTTACCTAAGATATTATCCTGTAATGATCTTTGTTTTAATTCTTCGGCATCTTCTTGTTCTTTTAATCCACAAGTACAATCTTTGCATGCCTTTCTTCTTTTCTTCCCGTTTGGTAATTCGCATTTCTTGGGTATTATCAAATTGGAGTCCTTCAGTTCGGTAATCAATTCATTTTCATCAATTTCGTCTTCTTCATCTTCGTCTTCTCCTGATTCAAGCTCAGAATCACTAAAGTAGGTTAATTTTGTTTCTGCTAGTTTCCTTTTCATCGAGGGACTTTCTTCATTGTCACTATTGGATGCTGAAGTGTCAGTTAATCCGATATTTGGGGTTGCTGATTGTGGGGCCAATTTTTTGAAAATTGGTAATTTCTTAACTTGATCTCCACCAGCTTTCTTCTTTAATGGAATACTAACACTTTCCGCTGGTCTGGGTTTGACCCATATTCCTTCTTCAATTATGAATCCACTCATTATAACATCTAAATCTTGGGTTTTTGGTAAATCTCCGCTTATCTTCCCATCCATCTTTAATGCTTCAAATAACTTCTTCATGGTTGATCCCGGTATGGCTCGGTTCTCTTCGCCTTCATTTGGATTAACATACACAATTCGGTCGTATGCTTCTTTCTCTAATGTAACTACTTCACTAGCTACTCGATCAATTATATGCTGACTTATTGTTGCATCAGCGTACTGCTTTTGAATCTCTTCTTTGTGTGTCTTGACCGCCTGTTCGTCAGTCACCACCGTAGGGTGGAATAGTATCAACAAATTCATCCTTGTAATATATCTTATTGAAAGAAAATTAGAACTTGACTTGGCTGGTTTATATAATGATACGATAAAATTTTTATAAAATTACTAAGCGTTGTTATATCTCTCTTTTTTTTTTTTTTTTTTTTTTTTTTCTTTCTTTTTCGAATGATGGTGCAAAAGCGCACGACCTCACTTTCATTCCTAAACCGGTATAAAAACGAGACTCCGGTATCGGCATTTCGTCACAAGGATTACTTACTACTCAGCAATTATTGGCTGCAACTTTATTGCATTACGTTTAAATCGGCAGTAATTGGCTGCCACTATTTAAGATATTTAATGTCATATGTAAAGGGTCTATTGTCATAAACAATAACCTGATGACTTTGATAAGGGAAAAGATCAAATCCGTTATCAGTGATTTGATGGGATGAGTCTTGTATTTGAATCATCACTCCTTTCACTGGTTGATCTGTAGTTAATGTCATTTCGTATTTTTTTGGACCAACTTGTTTGACTCTTGAAGCAATATGGGTGGTTGGCCATTCAATGTACTTTAATGGCTGAGGCCAATCACTGGTCTGGTGAATTTGAACTCCATTTTCAAAGATGGTTAGCACCACCAAATCATTCCAGTCTTGTAATTTATAATTATTTAGAAACTCTTTCGTGGTATTAGCATTGACGAGAACTTCATTTTTGAAGCTTTTTCTTAATGTGAACTTGTTATAAATATCAATTCGATACTCAATTATTCTAGTCAGTTGGGTGAAATTACCAATCCATGCATCAATCTCATACAATCTAGGAGTGAAATCATGCAATGGAAGTTGTTCAGATAAATCATCTGGCTCGTCATAATCTTGATTGATTTTACTAGAATCTCTTTTCAACCCGCCTATAATTGGCTGACATTCTCTTTTAATCGAATAATATGCTAATTTGGGACGTTTGGCAAAATCGACAATACTCCACGAATTCACTGGGTAACAATCATTGATTTGCCAAACAATACCCCCACCACATTCATGATTTTGCCATTTTCTTTTCCAATATCTATATGCCATTGACAAACATTCACTTTGAATCAATTGGGTTAAATAAATCCAGTTTTTTAAATCCATTGCGTCAACCTTGACATTTTCCATTACATACAATGCTAATCTTCTTTCAAAACCAACGGCTTTATTATGAAGATCCATCATCTGCAGTTGTGGGTATTGTAATTTAGTAATATATCTTTGTAATGTTTGATGATTGGCAAACGCCAACATTCCAAATTCCAGAATAAATCTTCCAATTAGCTTATCCCAATCCTGGTATTTTTCTTGAGTTCCATGCCAAACATTCCATTGATGAATATCACCAACTGTAGGATCGCTAGTTGGAATATACTCACCGTCACTTGGACTATATGGACACCCCCAATGATAAGCAACTTTATCACCAATAATCTCATCCACCATCCGGGGTAAGATTTTTTCATAAATGATTTGAGCTGGAAACTTCACTTTACCTAATTGTTCTGCAATTTGGTAATCCTCATTATTACCGGCGTATATTATAATACTGGTGAATTTTTTTAATCTGGTCAATTGTTGTTTTACTTCAAGCTTAACGTTATTCAAAAAGGAATCATAAGCAGGATACATTGCACAAGCAAACATGAAATCGTGCCAAATTAATATACCATGATAATCGCATAATTCATAAAACCAATCTGGTTCCCAAATACCTCCACCCCATACCCTAATAAGATTGAAATTGGCATTTTTTATCAATTTAATCCACTCTTCATAGTGTGCCTTGGTAGTATCACTATGGAAAGAGTGACTGGGGATCCAATTGCATCCATTGATGAATATTGGTGTATCATTGATTTCAAAATAAAACGTCTTGCCCTTTTCCAACTTAGTTTGAACCAATTGGGTCTTTCTAATGCCTAATTTCCTCTTGCATTGACTGATCATCCGATTGTTCTCAATCAAATTAGCTTGCACGTCATACAAAAATTGATCCCCATGGTTAATTGGCCACCATAACTTTGGATTTTCAATATAGATCGTGCCCACTGCATTGACCCCGGATTGCTCAACAGCCGTAATGCACTCATAGCTAGTATCACCATCATTCACAATGACTTGCACCTTTGTATCCCGGAAAACCATCTCGAAATCGTCACTATTCAATATGTCAGCTTCAAACTTCAACTCAACTTGGCCCGCTTCAAAATGATAATCAATCTTCAAATTAGCCAACTCCACCAGATCCTCCTCTACTCTGACTGGTCTCCAAGGCCCACAAGTCAATAGCAACGGGCCCCAGTCCCAGCCATAGTGGTACTGGGCTTTTCGGACATGGACCCTACTTGATTCCCCATTGGAACAATAAAACCCCCCATGCTTCTGCTCGAGCTTTCGGGATTCGTGCAATGCATTCCGGAAAATAATCTTCAATTCAATTGGGGTTGAAGGAATCGCTAATCGATACTCAACAAACATATTATCAGTCACCAATTTCAATTCACCATCAACGTAAACCTCCCCAAACGTGTCCAAACCTTCAAACACTACCGTCCGGTCCCTGGCAGAAGCACCCAAGTCGGTCTTATACTCCCAATCCACTTTGCCAACCCATTGGACCTTTTTTTCATTATCATCTACAAAAGGATCAGGAATCTCCCCATTCTTGATTAGATCTAAATGAATCTGATTTCCGTGAGTATCATCCCTTGCCTTCTTCCACTCAGGGTGTCCTTGTCTGCGGTACCACCAGTTCTTAATCACTGTCATCCTTAACCAAAAGCTATAAAAGAAATGATGGTGTCCCCCACCATCGCCCTAGTTATCCCTTGGATTTACTATGGCAAACGGACAAGTTGCCCTTTTCAGAACAGCGCACTTACAAATTGCGTGCCCCGCATTTTGGCGACACACGGCGTGCACCCCAATAGCGTATAGGGACTTCCCCAGATTTCAGGGACGAGATCCTTTTTGGGCAACCCCTCCGCTCCTACTTCGTATAAAGTCGTAATCTTTGGGTATATCCATATTGTTTGGAATGGAGAATATGGGGTTGTGGAGAACTTTGTTGAGATCAGAATATAAATAGTCTGGAGGTTCAGATATTTTACTTTCAAAGTTTATCTTCATTCGTTTAATCTTTATTTTATTTCGGTTTAATTTATTCAGATTTAATAATGAGCTCTTCATCTTCGGTTAAAGAAGCTTCACTTCAGGAACTACCTGAAAAAACTGCTAAACACGAAATCGAACATAAGGAAGATGCTACTGATGAACATGGTTTACCAATCTTGGCTCCATTGGATACTGATGAGCCAGAAATTTCTTTGAAACATATAGTTCGAACCCATCCCATTAGTAAATGGACGAAAACAAGATTCCACATATATTTGATATGTTTTTGTTTGTTTCTAAGTTCAACAATGAACGGGTTTGATGGTAGTTTGATGACCAGTATCAATACATTGGATGAATATCAAGATTATTATGATTTATCGGGGAGTGCTGATGGCACGGGGTTGGTGTTTTCCATTTACTCGGCTGGGGCCATTTGCTCGGTCGGGTTTCTTTGGTTGAGTGATTCCATTGGTAGAGTAAAGACAATGATTGTCGGGCTTATTGGAATAGTTATATTTACTATACTCATGTCAGTTAGTGCCAATCATAATTTATTTATCGCTGGAAGATTTTTTGTTTCATTTTTTTCAACAATTACCTTACTGGCAGCTCCGGTATATATGGTTGAGATGATTCCACCTGATTTGGGGTTTTTAATTGGGGTTTTAAATACTTGTTATTATTTGGGTTCAATCATTGCTACTTGGTGTATGTACGGTACTTCAATTCATTATAAAGGTACTCCAAATTCTTTCAAAATTGCTCTTTGGTTACAACTTTTATGTCCAGGTATTGTTCTTCTTTTCGTTTGGACATTTCCAGAAAGTCCTCGTTGGTTATACGCCAAAGGTAATAAAGAAAAGGCAAGAGAAATCATTGTTAAGTATCATGCTAATGGAGATGCAAATCATCCAGTGGTTCAAGCAGAATTTCAACAAATTGAAAGATCTTTTGCAGTTAACGGATTTTTAAAACCAAAAGATTATTTGGATTTCAGAGTTTTCATTAATACAAAAGCTAATCGTAAGAAGTCTTTTATTGTTTTATGTTGGTCATGGTTTAATCAATTTAGTGGGAATCAAGTTATTACTTATTATATAACCACATTATTTTTACAAATGGGGATTGAAAATGCAACCACTCGTTTATTATTAACTGGTATTAATAACATCCTATGTCTTATATTTGCAGTTTGTGGTGGGTTATTAAGAGATAAGATTCCAAGAAGAGTGATATTAATCTATGCTCATATTGGATTTATAATTTGTTTTGTTGGTTTGGCAGTAAGTTCCAAATTCTTCCAACAAGACTCTGATAACAAACAAGCAGCAGCAGCAGGAATTGCATTTATTTATATTTTCAGTACGGTATTCTTTGCCTTTGCATTCACTTCAATCCAACCAATTTATCCTTCTGAAGTTATGTCGAATGATATGAGAGTAAGAGGTATGGTGCTCTACTTTTTAATCTCAAACGTTGCATCATTTGTCAATTTATATTCTGCACCAGTTGCAATGGAGAATATCAAGTACTGGTACTATGTATTCTTTGTATTTTGGGATTTATTTCAATTGCTGATTGTTTATTTCTTCTTTGTGGAAACTAGTGCTTTAACCTTGGAAGAAATTGAAAAAATGTTCGAAACTACTAACCCAGTTAAGGAGAGTATCAGGTTATCTAAGATTGCAAGGTCTAAGAAATTTGAAGATGCTTTACAGTAAAACTAAAAAACAAAAAAAAAAAAAAAAAATTCTATATTTCTATCAATACATTCGTAATTGTCAGTATATTCGTAGTCAGTATATTCGTAATTTCATTAATGTTCATAAGGCATTCCATTCAATCATCAAATTGTAGAATCATGATCGTCATCAGTACCTTCATCTTCTTCTATATCGGTAGCATCATTATCATCAATAACTTGAGTAGTTCTTCTAGTAGCACCATGAATTAAACCGGTTATAGGAGGTAACGTAGGAGGTAATTGAGGACTAGCCACCGAAGAAGATCTTGAAGAAGAGGGAGTTTGTTGTTTTTTAACTTGACTCTTATTAAAATTTAGGGATTGAGGAGAAGATAATGACATCAACGAAAGAACTGCGTCCTGTTCATTATTCAAAGAAGTATTATTTGATTTTGGAGTTGAAATATTTTCTTTTGGATTTAAAGCCATATTTAAAGAAGGGAGTTTAACCGAAGGCTGGTTTTTTGAACTCAGTGAAGGAGGAGTATTTGGAGATGCTACCGTTGGTAACACTATAGCTGGTTCATTCAAAGATTGGAAAGATTTTCTTTTTGGACTTGAATTTGAACTAAAAGATTTTGATTTTCTTCTTTGTTGTCTTGATAAAGCTGCCAACAAAGCATTTTGAGCACTTAATTCTTCATCAGGACTTGGTAGGATAATTCTTTCTTCGTGATCATTTACTAATACAGGAGATTGTTTTAAGGAACCTTCGGGATGATTTCTTTGAGAATTTGGTTGAATTGTTGCTTCTTGAAATAAAGTTTGACGAGCACCATCAAATTTAGAATACTGACTAAAAGTAGGAGAACTTTTAGGTAAGGGACTTTGTTGTAGAGTTTGTAAATTTAAATTAGCCTTTTGAACCGACAATGAAGGAGACCATTTTTCATTCATTGAAGGTTTTAATTTTTTAGTTGGAGATTGTTCATTATTATTAAGATTCAAAGATAAATCAGTAAAAGTTAAAGAAGTAGGTCTTTCCTTTGTAGTTGAATCATTTTGTAATTTATCAAAAGCTGAACTTAATCTGTTTTTAATCTTAGAACTTATTTCATTCAAATCTTCTTTACTATCATCATTAGTAAATAATTTTTTACCAGGACTGAAAAATTGAGGTGTTTTTTGAAATTTTGATTTTGGATGCTCTTCATCATCGGAATCGTATCCAGTGTGTCTTGGTGTTTTCAATAAGTTGGATGAATATGGGGATGGGACGTTGGTCGTAGTATTATTATTGGTATTTAATTTATAATCAGGGGATTTAAATGAACCACTACTAGAACGTTTCAATGATGGTGAAAATGGTACCGATTCACTATTTTGATCAGGAGTTTTAAGATAAGTCCCCAGTAATCTTTTAGACCTTGTTTTGGAAGGAGGAGTTGCTGGTGCATTCAACTTAACTCCCTTTGGAAGTTTGGGCAGAGATATTGGTGTTGTTGGTTTACCACTACTCATATTTCTATTTAACTGCAACTTTATTATAAAATACTGACAAGAATCAACCGTTTTATAAATTATCAAATTTTATCAAATTAAAGCCAACAAAGTCGTACCTACTGTTGAAATTCTCAATATTAACTTTAAACAAGTAGCTGAAACAAGTAGTAGTCAAACTGAGTAGCTCCTTGTATAGCTGGTCAATTTTTTCCTCTGTTTCCCTTATATTTTCTGTTTATTTATGTGTCTTAACAAAAACAAAGAACGAACAAGTAAAAAAACCAAAAAAAAAAAAAAAAAAATAGACATTTTGTTTTCAGTTTGGCTTGTTTTGGTTGAAATTCAAAGTTAAAGGGTAACCTTCTCAACCTTTCATTCATTGAAACTCTTTCACTTGTACTTTTCGCTCGATATACGCTGCAGAATACTAAGTTACCACTAGCAATGCATGGTACCCTAGTTTAACTATCTGCCCAGTCCATGTTGGATGCTCAACTGGCACTGAAAGACTCAACAATCTCAACTATACGCAAACTACAATCTATACGTATACGCAAACTGCCATCTATACGCAAACTTTACGCAGGGACCCTATTGCAACCACTTGAACCCCCATCTCCTGGAATGAAATTCCCCTAGAGTTAATCTTGTTAATGTAATTTTGTAATTTCTGTTTCCAGGTGTTCCACAAGATTTCACTCTAATTTGCTTCTTCGATGATGCGAGGAACTTTTTTCCCGCAGGGATTTTTGCGTGTCAATTCCGACCTCACCACCACCCTCGGATATGTGCATCACACCCGTACACCACCGAAGGGGCGTGCTTGAACCGTTTTATAAAAAAACAAAACACCCAAGCACCAACAAATACGTGGACGTACCAATTATGCAAAACACACCCGTGCACCACCACAAAGAGGGAAAACTAGTATCAAAACAAAAACAAATAGACGCCAGAGATCAATCCTTCAACTCTTCTGTTTCATACAATTACCAAGGAGACCCACTTGATAAAGAGCCCACAGATCCTCAAAGCAGCGTTCCTTCAGTTCTCGCAATTCCAGATCGGTATTCCAGGAAATAGTTTGTCTTTGTTCAGCATCAACGAGAGATGAGCGAAACTCCAATATTATCATCGGTTCGAAGGACCAGTAAACGGCTTTCAATGGCAGGAGCAACAAGAGCAAGTCTTAATGGACCACTTCGATCGAGCGGTCTATTTGATTCAATAGTCAATTCAAATAACTCTAATGGTTCTGCCAAAAGATCAATACTACTATCTACCCCTGCTAATGGTAATAAGAGAAGACGTAGCTCGATATATCATCAACAGTCCCATCCACCGTCACTGCAATCATCTGCCAATGTCCAATCATCAGTAAATGCCCCATCCTCCCAACAAGCATCATCACAAGTTCAATTACAACAGCAACAACAGCAACCACTGTCGGGTTATAGAACAGATCCCCGTCCGTTAAGAGATAAGAATTATCAAGCATTAATACAACAAGAAATATATGATTTTTTATCGAAAAATCGATTTGAATTGGAAATGAATCATACTTTAACAACAAGAACTCTAAGACAACCAACTCAAAAAGATTTTGTATTAATATTTCAATTTTTATATGGGAAATTAGATCCGAATTATAAATTTACAAAATCAATTCAAACCGAAGTTACTAATGTATTGAAAATGTTAAATTATCCATATTTAGACGGTATCAATCGTTCCCAAATAACTGCAGTTGGAGGATCCAATTGGCCAGCTATCTTAGGAATGTTATATTGGTTAGTAAAAGTTAATTTAAGTTTTTTAAATATTAATGATGATGAATTAATGTTACCAGATGATCCATTAGATGTGATTTATGTTAAAAATACAACTAAAGCATATCAGTTATATATTAATCAAGAAGATTTGTCAAATATAACTAATCAAATGAATGACGATTTAAAAATTGCTAATGAAAAATTGATTGATATTATAAATAATTTAAATTCAAATAATCAAGATTTATTAAAAGAATATGAAGAATTAAATTTTAAAATTGAAGAATTGAAAACGAGCGAAGATAAATCAAAAGCATTAGAAAGTGATTTAATTAAATTTCAAGCATATTTAGAAACAATGGAATCAAGAAAATTAAAATGGTCAGAAATATTAAATAAAATTCAATTAGAAATAAACAATTGTGAAGAAGATTTGTCAAAACTTAATGAAGAGAAAAAAGATATTGAATCAAAATTAATAAATAAAGGATTTACAATTAATGATATTGATAATTTGAATAATGAAAGAGATAAGATATCAAAATTAATTGATAATTTATCAAATAAATTTGAAGATTTGAAAAATAAATTAAATTCAAAAGATATTGAATTAAATAAAAATTATCAAAGTTTAGATAATTTCATTAAACAATATAATAATACAATTTACAAAATACCATCAATTAACTACAATTTTGAAATTCAATTAAATGAAGGGATTTTAAGCGATGATAATTTCTTGACAATTTTTTTCAAACCAAATGATATTATTAATAAGACTTTAAAAGATGAAAAAATTGAATTATTAAAATTCAGATCCCAATTGAATAATAAAATCCATCAAGATCAAGATGACGTTATTAAATTACAAGAACAAGGAGATCTAATTTCTGAAACTATATTAGAACAACGAGAATCCATTGAAAATTTAGAAGCCAAATTAAATGCCAATAAAATTACTTATGATGAAATATATGAAACAATGATTAGCGATACTACTGCTTATTCACTGCAAATTGAAAAATTGGATCGCGAATTGAGATCAATTAAAATTAATACTAACCAAGGTATTATTGAGATTGAAAATAATTTACAAAATTTATCAATTGAATTTGACGAATTAAATCACGAAATTTTTAAACAAAAATCAATTTTACATGATAAAATTCAAAAAATTATTGAATTTATTATAAATTTTAAAATTAATATTCAATCGAATTTAGAAAATTTGGATGATTTAATAACTGAAGAATTAAAAATTGAACAAAATAAAAAAATTTAATACGTTTTATTTACAGATTCTTTTATATAGATAATATATACACACTAATATTCATTTCTTAATGATAATTGATTTCTTTTAACTCTATCCAATCTTGCTTGTAATTTATGATCGTGCCATTTCAATTTTTCTTCTTGCAAATTTCTTAAATCATATTTTTGTTTCATTTCACTAACTCCACTTATAACATTAACTTTATATTTAGGTAATTCAAACTTCTTTGCTAAGGTCGATATGGTCCATTTAATTGGATCTTCGTTTCTTAATTCAATAATTTGTTTGACAATTTCTGGTGTAATTTCATAAGTTTTTTCTTTATTATAACCATGGATTAAAGGCATATCGTTTAATTCTTCGATACTGTATGTCTTATGTTTGACACTGTTGATTGTGCGTCTTGGATCATTGGCCGGCAAGAAAGCCTTAGGTGTTTTCTTCAAATTAGGTGCTGATTGTGATGGGTTATGTATGAGTCCTTGGTTTAAAGTAGGATGAGGTTTGAAGTTAAAGGTTGATCTCTCAGCATTATACTTGTTTCTTGGTTTGGAAACATATGGAATCTCCTTCAAGCACAGTCTGGATGTAGAAAAACTACGTATGGTTGACTTATACATGGTTATTGGCTATCAGATTCAAGTTAAGGATTTGAAGACGGTGAAAAATTTAAAAGAAAGAAAAAAAAAAAAGGTCAAGTGAAAAATATCAAAAGTGTCGTGTGAGAGACAAGAAGATAAAACACCGGTACACCAAACGAATGTACGGAGGTTGAGAATGTACGGGTGTAAATCGAGTTGGAGAAATGTCAATATACCATCTTACAAATAAAGAAGGAGCAATACTCGAATGGGCCTGAAATAGAATTAAGTGGAAAGTGAAATAGAGTTAGGTTGCTGTTTCTTGGGGAGCTGAAGTTGAAAGTTTTACATGAATAGGCCATGTCAGCTCTTGCAAAAGCAGTTTCCAATGACCTTCTATAGTAGTCGTCCCACAATCGAGGGTTTGTTTCGCAACATCAGTCAAAATTGAGTAGAAGAAGGCCCAAAGGATAGACCCCTTTCCATATCAGGAACCATGATTCCATGAGGATGTTCATACTACAATGTAGGGAACGCGTAGACGTGTTAGATTGTTGCACTTTGCACATTCACTTTGTTGTATCCATTGATGGTCATTTGCAACAAATTGTTTACGCAACTAGTTTAATTCGTGCACCGCAAACAATCACACGACTCGACTAGAAAAACTCAAAACCCATCTTCAATACAAATTAATACGATTTCATAATACTTTGAAGTAGCCCTGATGGTGAATCAGGGCTAATTGAGTAGACCCTTACCAACTTTCAATATTCTCAACAAATCATTCTACCCAATTCTTCAATGTAACCCAGTACTCGTCTAATCGAATACCTGAAATTGGCCGAACGTGGGAAAATGTTGGAGTTTTAAATCTTTTCGAATATACGACCCAATAGGTATTGGCTCGTGTAAATTCACACCCTTTGCATTGATTAGACGAGAATAATCTAAACTTGAGCCAATACCTTTTCTAGTATTTATCAAACAATTACAATAGAACACGAATTACGTTGGCAGATTCCTCGATCAAAATCCATTTCTCCAAATCAGGAAGCCACATTTCCTTCTCAAAACCACTGTTCCGGCACACAGCTCATGTCGACTGCACACAAACCCATCGCTCGCTGCACGTGCCTGTTTCTGTTAGGAAACCGTCCCAAAAGGGACGATAAACTCGATGCAGCTCCATGCACTATCCATGCATCTCGCAATGCACCACAATAACTGCTTCAGACAAACGGCTATTGATTATTGTTGATTTATTTTGCTTATTTGTTCGAAAAAAAAACTTCATTGTAGTAGTAGGGAAATCACCAAATTCTGTAATGTTCTTGTAAGTGATAATTCCATTTGATGACACAACCGGTGACTAAATTGTGTATGTACTTTGGGTAGCTTTGAGATGTTTTTTTATTTTTTTTTTTTTATTTTATTTTATTTTTTTTTTTCACTACACAATTGTATTATTCAACTAGAGTATTTTCTGTTTTCTAATTTCCTTATTTTATTTTTTTGTTTTCTATAGGTTATACCCCTTAGTAGATTATCAACAGAAAATTTTTACTTTTAAATTCATGTAGTTCTTGATACTTCTTCTTTTTCTTCTTCTTCTGTTAATAGTTAACTTACTTAGTATTTCCTCACCCTAGTCTTTCCTTTAATTTTTAACTTATTCGTTCGTTATGTTATTTAAATCCGTTATTCCTTTTATTGTTTTAGCTTCTTCTGTTTTGGCTGATGATGATACTACTTCAACTTCAACCATCACTATCACTAAAACTTTATTGACTCCTCAAGAATCTTCTTCCTTAAGTCAAGCTTCTGTTTCCGAAGCTAGTGCCAGTGCTGCCTCCGTCAGTGCTGCTTCTGTGTCTTCCGTCAGTGCTGCTTCTGCCAGTGAAGCTTCTGTTGAAGCTGCTTCTGCCAGTGAGGCTTCTGCTGAAGCTGCTTCTGCTTCTTACCAAGCCAAACTTGCTCATCAAGCTTCTGTTTCTGAAGCCTCTGCAGCCTCTGTTTCTGAAGCTTCTGTTGCTTCCGCTAGTGTTGCTTCCGCTAGTGCTGCTTCAGCCAGTGCAGCCTCCGTTAGTGCAGCCTCTGTTTCTTCGGTTAGTGCCGCTTCTGTTGCCAGTGCTGCTGCTGCCGCTTCTTCTGCTTCTGAAGCGAGTGCCACTGCTTCTCCAACTTTAACTGGTTTCAAAGGTTTGTTAGCTGTTGCTTCTGCTAACTCTTCAAGCTCTTCAGTTGCTCCTTCAACTAAAGCTTCTTATAATACCTCAACCTTATACTCTAACTCAACTTCTCCTAAGACTAGTTCTGCCAAGCTCACTTCTAAAGCTACTTATACTCCAACTACCATTTCTTCCAGTGCCAACACTGAAGCTGATTCTGCTCCTAAAACCGCTGCTAAGAAAGTTTCTTCTTCTTCTGAAGCTGGTGCTGCTAAGAACGGTATTGCTTTAGGTTTAGTTGGTGCCGCTGTTTTTGCTTTAATCTAATCTCTTTAAAGTCCAAGAGTCGTTTCCTTATAATACCCTTTTTTTATTACCTCTTTTGTTTTTACTCTCTTAATTTTTTTACAGTTTTTCCTCTTTTATTAAGACATTTTGGAGTTCTTTTATATATTAAAGAAATAGAATGATTAATAAAAGGAAGAAATTGTTTTTTTTTTTTGTCAAAAGTACCTAACTTTGTTTTTTTGTTTTCTTTCGTTGCCATTTATATTAATAAAGAGTATTGTGGACTCCCTTTCACACATTTTAAATTCCGTCAGTCTTTCCTTCTCTAAACCTTTTCTTAATTCTTTTTGATGCCCTTATGTCTTGATTGATTTTTAATGTTTTAAAATTTTTTTTTTCGATTTTGTCTCTTTATCTTCTTTGGGTTCCACTCTTTGCTTGTTTCACCATTTTGATATTCTCCAACGATTTAGTGGATTGTAATCGATTGAAACCTGCTTAGTTTCTCCTTAATTTAATTCTTTTTGTTAACGTCTTTTTATTCCACGCTGTACTAAATACTCTCTTTCTACTACGACTCATATTTGGAATCTTCTTTGTTTTTTTACTCTTTTAAATATTGTTTAAATGTATTTCAAAGAGTTTTTCATTCTATTCTATGTATCACTAATACAATTGTTGCAAAAAAAAATTGCAACCTTCATTTCTACAGGATCATAATCATGGCGGTGTACGTTTATTTTTTGTTCTTGTTCATAACCTGAACTCCTTATATATCCGTTTTTTTTTTCTTTTCAATCACCGGTGGTTATGGGCTTCTACAGGGTTCTAAGACCGGCATTGGCTCGTAAGCTGCTCAGATAGTTATATTTAGAAGGTGCATAATGTTATGCAAAACATAAAGCACGGTGTTTATTTCAGTTGCAAAGCTGTGCTTAAATTTATCCGTGTAATTAAATATAACTCACTACATCATGACGTAAAACTAGTATATATTTGAAGAAAAGGTCACATCCTATTACCGTTTATGTCTTTCAAGTATTTTTCTTGCTCTAGCACATAATATTCCATTTCAGTTAATCCTTGTGGGATCTTAGGAGGTACATGGGGTTTATTTTCGAACCCATGATTCTCGTCATTCATTGGCATTTTATCAAATATTGAAGGAGAAAACTTGTTTTCATTCCATTTTCCTTCCCCCAAATATCCAGTTTCCTTGGTCCTATAATCAACTCTAACGTCATCAGGTTTCACTTTACCACTCTGTAGTCTACTAATTTTATTGAAATTTTCAGTAGGCACTGGAGCATAGAACTTTGGATCAATATCTTGTCTTTTCTGTGGAGGGGGTGGAGGAGGTAAGGTATTATTGAAATCATCATCGAAAAAGTCATCGTCATCATCGTCATCACCTCCTATATCATTTGCTGAAAATGGGATTGAAGTAGATGGTAAAGGCCCTCCGCTAAGGGAAAGATTATGTAGTTGCTCCGACATTGTTGGAGGTGGTTTACGCAGAGGAGACTTTTTCTTATAATGATCAGATGGTACCGGTGGTGGCGGTGTTATGCTAACAGTATGAGGAGGTGGGATTGGTGGAGAAAAATCAAGGTCATCATTATCAATTCTGTCAGCATAATAAGGAGATCTACCATGAACATCACGTTCTAATTGACTGAAATCATCTTGATCTTGAATATGGGGTTGTCCATAATGATTATCCCTACCATATTCACTTAATGGAGAGATGGACCTGGATCTTGGTTCTGCAGATTCACCATCTTTGACTTGACCCTTCTTCGGACTGGTTAATGGAGAGTTATTTGCACTCCATAAATTTGTAAGCGGTTCTCTGGTTTGAAATCTTTCTTTTAATTTATTAAGTTTGCCAAATCTTTTCAGTTTTGGTGAACCATTATCCACGAATACTTCCTCTTGCAGTTTAGCGTCAACACCATTGTTTTCAGGAGCCGCAGGGGCAGGTAATTTAATATGTTCATGTCCGTTAGCATTGTTTTTAAACATAGCTGATAACTGGCGTGCTCTATCGAGATGGGGATGGGCCGATTCCTCTCCACTGACAAACACATCATCAGCAGCGGTTTTTCCTCGTGATTGGGATGGATGTCTTGGTGGAGGAGGTAGGTTTTTAATGGAGTTACTACTCCCATTACTGTTTCTTAACGGAGAGCGTTGTTGTTGGGCATAGAAAGAGGCTTGAGGTGATAATTGTGGAGTGTAAGATTGATATTCTCCATCAGGATTCAAGCTTACCTTTGGTGGAACCACCGGTGCCTGTGGATAAAAAGTCATTTCTAAATAAATAATCCCAGCTCTTCTATCGTGTAACGTTAAATCATACCATTTATCATAGATATATTTCTCGGTTTGTTTCCCCAGAGGATCACTTTCAACTTTCCTATTTTCTGGATTAAACACAGCAGAGCAATCGATTTCTGCTGCACCAATCGGGGTCGGATCATGCTTTGTCTCATCAAGAACGTCTATCTTCATAATGGGTTTCCTTTCACGAGTTAACTGAAATCTAATCTCGTGAGACCATTCTGGAGTCTGTCCTGCCCTGAAATGAGAATGGGTCTTTTTCGCTGTAGTACCGATCCTCAAAGTAACATATGGGCTTTGTTTATCAAGTTTTCTTCGATTTGGTAAATGTTTAGCTCGACAGACTAATATAACCAAGACTCCATCAGCAGCTTCTGGGGCATAAGTCTCTTCGTCATAAGCAAATGCTTCAGACATGATGATCAATGTAAGTGCAAAAAGCGTCTAGTCACTTCCAACGTACTTTCCTTATATATTTACCAACAGGCGACGTCGTTACGATGTAAATGATGTCTTAAGCTTTCATCTTTTAAGTAAATTTCTATTTTTGAGTCAAAAAGTATCTTCTTAACTTGTTTACATTTCGGTCGTTTGTAGTGATCAAGTGACTTCCGGGACTTACGAGGTAGTCCAAGTCACATGACCGCATTTCCGAGGGGGGAGGAAAATGCTTTTTCGGTGTTTTGTGTAACGAGACATAAAAGAAAATTTGAAAAAAAAAAAAAATCAGAATAGAAAGAGAAATCAAACAAGAAGTAAGTTCTGTTGCATCAGGAAAGGATATAAGATCGAAGTGAAGGTCTTGTACGAGCAGGTATTCTGATCTTTCCGTTTTTCATCGTCTTTTGGAGGAAAGAAATCACATAATTCTTGTGGCACACTGACCAATTTGAGTCCAAGTCATCTCATCGATTAATAGCATTGCATCATGTCTTGGAGATCCAAAGGCTCCGGTAAAGTATTATTACCGTTTGGACTAGATTATTCTGATGTGTTGTCAACTGATTTATCCAAAGAAAAGCCCACGCTACTATTGCCAATTCATGGAGCATTAAGTGAATCGGAAAAATCAATAGCGAAACACCTGATTGCATTTTCAAATTTATTACTAAACGGGCCATTCTATACTGGGTCTTCGACAGATCCTACTACTGAGCAGTCGACGACTGCCCCTGACGGGATACAAAGACATTCAGATAAATATAAAAAAATCAAGAAGATCGGTCGGACAATTGAAGAACATCCATATCAATTAGAACTATTCCCAGACGAATTGTATTCAGTTATGGGTATATCTAATAAACAGAAGAAGAAGTTGTTGTCATTATCGTCATACAAAGCCGACGGTGGGTTGAAGGAGTTTAATGTTAATCAACCTGAGGATCAAACTGAATCGATGTTGGAAAAATTGAAGAGTATGGCTGAAACATTAGATGCTGATCCAAATTCTAATCAACAAAACGAAGAATTGGAAGAAGAGGATGACGCAGAGGATGATTTTGATGATGATGACGATGACGATGATTATAATGCTGAAAAATACTTCGATGATGGTGAAGACGACATGAATGATGAACCTGATGATGAGGCTGCATTTTAAAAATCTACAAAATATAACTAAGAATCTGTCTTTTTTTTTTTTTTTTTTTTTTTTTCAAAATGTAATATATATATAAGTATACAATAAAATACATGAATTAAACTAAATATCAAATGCAAAATGAACAAGACAATTTCTTGCTCCTTGTACTTTACCTAACCATCTACCAAATTTATGTTCTTTACTAATCAATGCATAAATACTGACTTTATTTTCATTTTTGATTTCAGCACTTTTAATATCAACAACAACCCCATTAATATTATTAATTTCTCCAATTAATTTGAAATTTCTTAAACCATCTTGATCTAATTTCCATAATTTTATTGATCCACTATAAGATCCACTTACGAATAAATCACTATATGGAATTGCATGAATACTAGTGATCCAATATGGTTGTCTTTCGGGTATTTGTCTATTAGCTTCATCTTCATTTACTTCAGCGCTTGCTTGATTTGGTTTAAATTGAGGTAATAATCCATGAGCTAACCTTTTAGTAGATAATGGCTTCTTTTTAGCTAATGACCATAACGAAATATTCCCATTATCAGAACCAGTTACAAAATGTGATTCATCCAACATTGTAACTACGTCTATTGAACCTTCTGAATGGAAAGGTAATTCATCATTTTCCTCATCTTGTCCCTTTTTCTTTTTATGTTTTTTCTCAGTTGAATCTCCACCACGGAAGGTAAGTCTTGATTCTTCGGATATTTTCCAAAACATTGCAGTTTTGTCTCTTGATCCAACCGATACACAGGTTTCACGTCCCAAACTACTAATATCACTAATATTATCTTGATGTCCATATAATATTTCCAATTGAGCAAATTGATTAATTGAATAAGTTCTAATTCTTAAATCAGAACATGCTGCATACAATTGATCAGTATTACGACGGAATGTAATTGAATTAACCGATGATCTTGTTTCTAATACTTTAAGACAAGTCAAATTTTCACTTGACCATATGATTAATCTTGCATCATTACCACCAGTAACTACGTACTTCCCATCAGGACTAGTGGCAATACAATTAATTTGGTCCCAATGATGATTTGATTGTGGATTGGAATTTAATTGGAAGTATTGATGCCCACCTCTGGTGTGCTTTATTCTTTGAGGTTTGGCCTTTGATATATTCCATTTGATTAATTCAATATCTTTGGACACAGTAAATAAATATGGATAATTTATCGATAAACTAGTTAAATTCTTAGATCCAATTCTAGTAGTGGTAAATTTACAATCATCAATTTGTGACAAGACTTTGTCACCGATGAATTTATAAATAAAACCTTTATCTTCGGCAACATCCATTTGTAATCTTCTTGAAACAATATCATCATCCATTTCTTGAGCATCAAAGTCATCATCTGCAAAATCATCATTCTTCAAGTTATCTAAATATTGTTTGGCCAATCGTCTTCTTTTATCCGCAGCATTCTCTTGCACAAACTCTTCATCACTAGAAACGTTCTCTTCATCGTATTCTTCTTCATTTCCCTTGCCACCATCGGAATCTGACCCACTTGATATCTCTTCATCGTGCTGGTTTGAGCTTGGTCTGGCTCCTCCGCTCTTGGACTTGCCTTGTCTCACAGTGCTGGTGGTCTTGTTCGAACGCTTTCTTTTCCTCGAAGGATCCGATAAGAATGAATCTCCAGCCATCTTCGTCTCTCTATGTTCGTATCTGGCAGTAGTATATGGAATGATCTTGTACTGTTTTTTAGATTTTTTTCAAAGCTCTTCGCAGAAGACTTTTTTTTTTTCTCTCTCTCCAAATCATCGCGGTGTACGGATGCGCCGGAGATCAAAAACAAAAAAGAAAAATGGATCAAATGAAAAACAGAGGAGTTCGATTAAAAGACTTTATTCGATGATGGCCGTTGACATTGCTCTAATACAGAAGCAAATCGAAGATCCGCAGGTGTTTTCGTATGTGGAGTTGCTTTACCAAGCTGCGGAGCAATTGAGAGAAGAAGAAGGAGAAGAGAAGGGAAAAGAGGCCAAAATAATCAATACTCTAGAATTGTACTCATTTGGAACGTATAGAGAATATAAGAAGAAAAAACAAGAATATACGATAGAAGGAAGTAGGTCTTTTTTCAAGTTGGTTGAGTTATCTGTGATTTCTGTGGTGAATGATAACATTGGAAGAAGTATAACGTTAAAAGAACTATTAGAAGAATACGAATTCGAAGACGCCATTAAGGAAATGATTAGCGAATATCAAATCGAACAACTTGAATTACCGTTTGTCGATACGACGACAACCGACCCCATACTAATTTTAGAGCTGATTTTAATAGCGATAAAGTATAAAGGTACCATTGACGTGAGAATTGATGAAAAAACCAGTTCCATAGAAGTAATTGCAACTAATACCTTGAGAGATGTATACGACGACCAAAGCTATCAATTGAAAAGTTTATCACTGGATGATATAACTAACAGGTCATTAAGCCGAGCTAAAACAAATCTTTGTAAATGGCTAGATAAATCTTTTACATAAATATAATTGTATCATTTTATATGCAAAAATAAGTATATTACTCTATAAACAAACGCATTACTCTAATAAATCTTCGATGTCTTCATCTTCTGCTGCATCATAGGCTGATTGGTTTCTTTGTCTAAGAACCTCCAATTTTTCTTCTAATAAACTTTGTTGAACTTTGGCATTTTGTCTGGTTTTCTTCCCCCATCCGAAACTGGCAGCCTCCTGTTGTAACTTTTCTTGATGACGCTCTTTTTCCAATCTTTCCTTTTCTGGTTTTTCCGCCTGGTCTCTTTCATCTTGGGCAACTTGCTGTTTAATCAACTTATCTTGGGCATATTTGGTGTAGTATTGACGGAAAATTATGTATACACATACCACCATCAGTAGACGGAGGTACTTGATGAACGTATCTTTCTCCACGTAGTTGAAAATAAACTCAAACATCTTTAATAAAGAAAGACGTAGTAAGAAGCTGTTGTTGGTTTTTCAGCTTTATGATTTTTTTGTCGGGAAATACGGGTGGTGTACGGGCGCTGGGTTTTGGTTTACTGCAAAAATGTATTACTAGCTATTCTGCTAAACAAGCTACAATTCGTCATCGTCACTGGCAAAGGGGTCTTCCTCAGGGAAGTCGCCGACTTCCACCTGTTTTGGTTTCAAGAAGCTACCGTGGTTGTGTCTGGCGTCAAAGTATTTGGTGCCGTCGATCAGACCGTCATTACGGCCCAACGGTTCGTCGAATTCAACCCCAACCCAGATATTCCCGTCCGAGTCGAGCAGTTTGATCTCCCCAACGTACTTGACGGTCCCCAATCTCTGGCCCTGGATGTTGATGACCCTGCATCGGTCACCCACCTTGATATTTTCTGAAATTTTCAAGTTTTCTTGTAATTTTTTTTGCTTTTCAGCTTCAAATTGGGGGTCAAATCTACCCAATTGGTTATCCTTTTTCCATCTTAATACGGTATTGGATTTTTTGGCGTACTCTTCCTCCGATAGTTTGAATCCTTCCACTTGTTCTTCTTCTAATCCTTGCAATTGAGAATCGGGATTGGTGTCAATGACGTGAAGTCGACTGTACGGCCCTATCTCAAACTGCGCCACTCTGATCTGCTCGTCCTGCTCCTTCGAATACTTTTCGTTACTGGAAATGATTCTCTTTTCATCTGATGATGCAATTGGGTAATGCTGGATGATTTGATCTTTGGGCACAATCCCGGTAATCAACTCCAATTTGGTTTTCAAGTAGTGCAAGTCCCACTGGGGGCTGATCCTCCTCTCTGAGGAAGTCAAATCAGACGTGATATATACGCTAATATCACTCATTCTTGAATAAACAAGTAGTTGATGTTTTCGAGTATTCGTGTGTTCTTCACCAAAAATTGAAAAACCCTCAAAAGAAAAAAAAATGGAAACTCACTTCATTACCAGGTTGTTTCGACTTCATTAACAGACTTCATTAATAGATATATATTAAACTTCATTAATAGATACATATTAACAGCTAATTGCAGGAACATCATCATGGAAGGGGTATGTGGAAATCCACCGGAGATTTGTTTCATTCAAGAGTACTAACACCGTTTTAGCAAAGACATCATAACAACCATAACCACCATAATAACTATAATAATAATAATAATAGAAGAAGGTATAACAACAATCACTCCAACAACACGGTCAAACAAGAAGGGCCTAAGAGAGAAGCCATCTTGGACTTGAATAAGTACAAAGACCAGCAAGTCAGAGTCAGATTCATTGGAGGTAGAGAAGTAGTTGGACTGTTGAAAGGATTCGACTCCTTGATGAATTTGGTGTTGGAAGAAGTGGTGGAAACCATAAGGGGTATGTACACTTAAACATGGGGCCTTTGTTCTAATTACTAACTTTTCTATTTAGACCCAGAAGACGACTCGGTATTAACCAGTGAAACAAGACAATTGGGTCTTGTGGTGATCAGAGGACCGGCTTTGTTGACCATTTCTCCCGTCGACGGTACTCAAGTGATTGAGAACCCTTATGCCAACCCAGAAAATGTCGTATGATTAAGTATTATAATAAACTGTATTATACTTGTGTGTATTTATACTGTGTAAGCGTGCCTCTGGTGCACGGGTGCATATAGATAAGCATCTCATCATTTTATGGAAAAAGAAAAAAAAAAACGGCGAAGATCTGAACTTCATCAACTGCTTGATCAACCATTGATAGCCAGCTAGCCATGTCAGTAAGTCAAGAGACCCTGCCAAACGTGATTTTACTTCCTCAGACCAAACAATTGATTGGTTTATACTCGATCATCCGTGATCAAAGAACCAAGCGTGGGGATTTTGTCTTTTACTCAGATAGAATCATCAGATTATTGGTGGAAGAAGGATTAAACCAATTACCAGTGGAAGAAGCCACGATTAAATGTCATGGAGGGTACGAGTACCAAGGGTCCAAGTTCTTGGGTAAGATCTGCGGGGTGTCGATTGTTCGTGCTGGTGAATCAATGGAGATGGGATTAAGAGATTGTTGTAGATCAGTTAGAATTGGTAAGATTTTAATTCAACGTGACGAAGAAACTGCATTACCCAAATTATTTTATGAAAAATTGCCAGAGGATATTAGTGATCGTTATGTTTTCTTATTAGATCCAATGTTAGCCACTGGTGGTAGTGCCATGATGGCAGTTGAAGTATTATTGAGTAGAGGAGTTAAGATGAATCGTATTTTATTTCTAAATTTGTTAGCTGCTCCTGAAGGTATCAAGGCATTCCAAGATAAATACCCTGAAGTTAAGATCATCACCGGTGGTATTGATGAAAAATTGGACGAAAATAAGTATATCGTACCAGGGTTAGGTGATTTTGGTGATAGATATTATTGTATTTAAGATTACGTTATTTTATATTAATGCTGATTATTTCTGTAGGCTCTATAAACATTTTTTATGAACGATTTCGGGATCTTCTGCAAATTCTTGGGATGTAACCCACATTTTCTTGAAAGTTGATAACCCTGCTAAAATTGATCCTCCAATCCAAGTTGAATATTTTCTTTCTGGTGGAGCATATATCTTAACTTTCATTTTGGTTGTTCCTCCTCCCACATTATTCAGATTACTCCATATACTCGATGCACTTTGGTTTTGTTGTTGTGATTTCAATTCTGTTAATAATCGATCTCCGAAATTCTTTATTAATGTGTTACCTCCCGATAATATAATATTTTGAAATAGTGTTGGCCTTAAATCTAAATCAGTTTTATTGATGGCTAAGGATGTTAATTCATGAATACCTGGTGATTCGTTCCCAATTAGTTGAGGATTAAACAAGATTTCTGGTGATCTAAATCTTTCAACTCCTAACTGAAGCGAATGTCCATCAGGTAATTTATAACTAGTAAATAACTCCAGTTCTTGATTAGTTGATGGATTCACATAATGGGTATATGCTGAGCCTGAATATAATTTTTCATCTCTCAAGGGATCTTTGGATATAAAACATGTTTTCTCTTTAATTTGTCTAACAATTTCTAATTCGGAACTACTACTCAATAAAACACCACTCATTCTTCGAATGTTAAATGATAAATGTTCAGTTATATCTCGTCCTGCTATATCCATTCTTTTGATCGAGGTTGGTAACGAAAACCCTTCATAAACCGGAACTATATGGCTGACTCCATCTCCACTATCAATTACTACCCCAGTTGTTCTACCAGATGCATAAAGTGATAAAACGGCTTGAATCGATATATAAACACAAGGGACATTAAATTGCTCAAACAATATCGAACACATCTTATCTCGATTCGACTTGGGATTCAATGGTGCTTCTGTTATAAGCAAGGGATGTTCTTCTGAATTGGTTTGTAAATCATGAACATACGTATGGTACCATAACTTCTCCATATCATCCCAATTATTCACTATACCGTGTTCAATTGGATAGCTTAAACTTAATAAACCCCGGTTCTGCTGGGCCATATTCCCAATAAACGTTTCTTCCTTATTAGAATCATCACCAGTCAATACTGATCCGGCCATTATCTTTTGATATTTGGGTCTACCAATTATTGCCGAGGAGTAAGTTTTGGGTTTGTCTTCACCAGCAAAACCGGCCTTCAAGTTCCCTGACCCATTGTCTATCACCACAGGCTGATTATAAAGAGTTCCTGAGTCCATTACTTGCAAATAAGAAAGAGTTTGGTTGTTGATCTACGCCAAAACATGAAAAAAAAAAAAAAAAAATGAAAATGAAAATGCGTGTTGTTTACATATTTCAATCAAAACGAGATAATCTACAACTTCAATCAAGTATTCCTTATAACTTGATAACGATGTCAGCACTTAATACCCTTTCGAACGGACAGAAAGCACAGTTGAGGAATGCGTTCACCTTAATAGACGGGGAATCACGAGACTCCAGCATCACCAAAGCAGATTTAATATCGTTATATAAGACATTAGAATTGAAAGTGCCGGATGATGATAGCTTGAAAGAGATGCTAACCATTGATGGAGAATATAAGGAGACCGGGGTTAATTTCACCCAATTTTCCAATATAATGGCTAAAGAATTACAAAAATATGACGATAGAATGACCATATATAATGCATTAAAAGTATTTCTGATTGATTCACATAATCATGAGTTAGTAATTGATGTTGAAGTTTTGAAAGAAGCCTGTTGTTCGGTTCAACTAGGAGAACTTGGTTCTGGTGACAATCGATTATCGAGACAGGCATTTGACCAGTTAGTGGAAGGATTTGTTAAAGAACAGATTGATGGAACCAAATTATTCACTGCTTCCAAATGGTTAGATGCTTACATTGATTAAAATGAAAGTATATATTAAAGTAATGTACAAGTAATCTTTTATATATTTTGCTAATGCATAATGAATTGAAATAAATTTAATGATCAATGATTAATTCATCACACCCCCAATCTTCGTAAGATCCGTCAGGCAAATATCTTCTAACAACCAAAGGAATCTTTCTTTGGGCCAATTCTTTCATAGAAATTTGTAATGGATCGGTTTCACCTTCAATATCAACTAAAACTGGCGCATTAAGACTTATTTGTAATGCTCTGGTCCCCAATATTCTAGCTCTTTCATATTTGGTCATGTATGGGGTGGTGGTACGTTCTGATTTCGGCACGGCCAACTCCTTGGCGGTCTTGACTCTTGGTTGTGACTCTTCTGGTCCAAACCCACCGTTAACAATAGTTTTACCATCAGCTGTTTTCATTTCAACATCACCGCCATTTTGTTCCTCAGCTGGCTCATTAAATTCATCCTCAGAAAAATGATCTGGTTGGTCGAAGTCTTCGAAGTTTTCTGGACCATCGTTATAAGCTTCTTCGGCGTCAGACATGTTTAATTGTTTGGTTATAGAGTAAAGACAAGCTTAAAGGTTATCTCATCAACTTCTTCGATTTTTTTTTTTTTTTTCTTTTCATCGTAAAATTGAGGTGTGCCACGACTGGCCCTACAAACATCAACCATTACAATAAATATATATATATATTACGATTTAGAAAGACAAAAGAATATAGAGTAAGATAGAAGAATCTTAGGTGGAGGGAAAGGTTTATGTATAGTCGGAAGAGTGTAACATCTTTTACACTCTTGTTTTTTAGTGATCGTTAGTGTATTATGCACAGGGGAATAGTTATATGACTACTTTTATTAATTGGTTTATAATTCGTTAGCATATGGTAAGACATCGGTGTTACCAACGGCAACGTAGTTGAAATTATCAACTTTAGCTGGTTGTTGAGCAGAAGCTTCGGAGACTTTAACATCATGAGGGAATTCAAAAGAGTCTTGTAAAGCAAGAACTAATTGGGCAGCTTTAACTGAATCAGCTAATTGAGAAGAAGTAACTGATTGGACAATTTGTTTGGCAGATCTGATACCATCAGCGACAACTTGAGCATCGGAGTTAGAAACAGAGACAACGAATAAACCAGCATCTTGATATTTGAATAATTGAGAATCAGCACCAGGAATTTTAGATAATGGAGAAACAACCCCTTGTAAAACAGAATTACCAATCGAAGCAGATAAAACTTCATATTTAGCAAAGTCAGCTTTAGCAACTGGAACACCAATGATGGCAACGTTTTCACCGTTTGATCTAATTCTTGACTCTTGACCTTGGAAAGTAGCGGTTTCAACTGGAGTTGAAGAACCAGATTTAAGTTCAGAGAATGAAGTTTCACCAATAAATTTAGTTAAATCTTCTTTATTAACACCAGAAGCAACCAAGTTAATATTGTTAACATTGTAAACTTCAGTAGCGTATTGTTGAATATCTTCAACTGAAATTTTACTTAAACCATCATAATATAATGGTTTACCATAACCTCTTCTGAAAGTTAATTCATGTAAAGCTTCTAAAGCAACAAAGTTATTGGATTTAATTGCTTCTTGGTATTCAGCTTTAGCAACTGGTAAAACAGTTTCATTAAGTTCATGTGGTCTGAAAGAAGTTTTGGTTAAAACATTACCAAGAGCTTCAACAAAGTATGGTAAGTCTTCTCTTAAAAATGAAGTATTTAAAATAATTGCATCTCTAGTAACATTAGTATTATATCTAGCACCTAATAATTCACTTTCTCTAGTGAATCTTAAAGCAGATTTAACTTCAGTATTTAAAAAATTATATTTAGATAATAAATGGGCAATACCTGATTTACCATTTTTTGAACCAGCGTTATTAACAACAACTGAAAGAGTTGATAAATTACCTGGAGCTTCTCTTGAAAGAACCTTGACGGATTGTGCAGCAGTGCTGTATGAACGAGCGGAAACACGAGATAACATTATGTCCTTGAAGTTATGTTTATAAATGTGATATCAATCTAATGGTATTTACTTAAAAAAAAATATTACTGAAAAATTCACCAAATAATCATTTTTTCATTATTTCTCGACTGTTGATTGGTTTACACCGCTCAGATGTCTGGTGCACGGGTGTTGTTCAAGTCACGTGCATCTCACGTGATCGTATATGTACCGGTCTAGAAAATGGTGTATTGAATACTATATAAACCTATTAAATTTGGGTTAATCTTAGCTTTTTGCTCTCCAGTTCGGGGATTTGGTTGACCTGGATGTAGTCATAGCTTAAACGGGCCCAAAGGAGATCCATCATTAGCAAGACATGGACGACCCCCCAGATCAAATTGATACTGTAGAAGAAATTACTATTACCATTACCCAAAACAATCCAACAGTAGTAAAAAATTGGAGACAATAATAAGCAAACCAATAGGGTTAAGCCAGTAACCAACATGAATTTACAGTGGGGGATCACCGTAGACTTGAAGATTGGTAATAAAGATAAAATGAACCCCAAGTCACCAATTGTAGGGTATGATTTAGTGAAGCAGATCCAAATCCATGAAAGGACAAAAGCTAAAAAGGAATCACCAATTGGTTTTTCGTGGGGATGCTGGTACAATCTTAGGGTGATCGGAATGATGTAAATGAAAGAGTAGATATTGAAAATACCAATGTAAAATGGAGTGAAAAACTCAAACATTTCAGTGAATAAATACCACCATAATCCTAAATTTGGTGATATCTTATTAAAACTCATAACACTTAGGTAGCATTGACTAATGAATTTAGTATTCCCAGTTATCAAGATTGAACTCCCTAATAAAACACCAATACTCAATATGAAAATAGCAATACTTCTATAGAAAACATTTTTTGATGATTGAGTTTGTGCTAATGCAATTAATGGAATAAGAAGGTAAATTGGCGAAAATGATAAGTAGCTAGCCACTGCTAACGAAATAATCGATCTCGCCAAGTTTTCTTCCACTAATAATTGAACCAAACTTTCGATTATTAAAAACAGCAGGAAAATCAAAGTTGAATGGGACAAATTAGTCAAGATGATCAATGGGTTGAACAAGTAGAAGCTTGCAATCAAATCGTCATTGAATCCAACCACTTTCACGCCCAATCTCTTGCTATTATACTCATTATACCATCTATTTAACTGGATCAATTTCATGGTTATACCAATATCAATCACGGTGTAGATCAAATTAAATACAATTAAACTCATTGTCTTGGGTAAATGTTCATCAACCATATTAAGCAAGATCACCAAAAACGGAGCATGGTGGTTGACACCTCCATCGTATAAGTCGATATTGTTTTGTAAGTAGAAGAAGGCCTCTTGTAACGATTTAAAAGAGTTGATTAAGGTCGATACCTCGATGGTGGATGCTAATTTAAATGGTAGTTGCGGTATCAAAGTGGGTAAAACAAACCTTATGATCCCACCAACCACTAGCACTTGCATCAACTTACTCATCCTGACTTGGTTGGACTTGGCTGACTTCAAAGACGTGTTGGTAATTACGTGTTTGTTGAAAAATGAGATTTTCGAAAAACACCATCGAGCGAAAAACAACTTCATTACTTCATCGCTACTTGTTTTGCTTTACGTTCATCGCTTGTTTTGCTTTACTTCATTCTTTCATAGAGCGCTCCATTGCTAAAGAACCCCATCATGTCTTCGGTACGTACGTCCTACGAGTCTTTGACGAGTTTTCCTACTAACACCCAGCAGTTTCAACCAGTTAACCCGAAACCATTCTTGAAAACTTTGATAAATAAAACAGTCATTGTCAGGTTGAAATGGAATAAAACCGAGTATAAAGGTACTTTGCTTTCAATAGATAACTACATGAACTTGCAATTAGATAACACCTATGAAATTGTTGTTGAAAACAATGAAAGAAAGGAAGAATTGATTGGGGAAATCTTCATTAGATGTAATAACGTTTTGTTCATAAGAGAGGACACCACAAAGATGGAAGTTACCGAGAACTAATTGGCCAATTGAGTCTCCAGCAAGAGAAGTGATAATAGTCAGAGTACAGAGATATCATTACAAGTTCATGAATAGATTTATATCTCATGATGGGTCAGGTGGTAACGTGATACGTAGTCATAAGTCAGATAGCACTGGGTTTAGCACCTACCGGGGCCAGAGACGGTAACCTGGTTACATACACTTGATAGTCTTTATAGTGAATAAATTACATCTTGATCTAAAAGGTTTGTAAATGTTGATAGTCAATGCGAAGTTGGACAAAAATGTGAAGAGAAAAACAGATTTTTCAACATTATAAGCTCTACTTTCTCTTAATACAATAATGACCACTCCTTATGTTGCCCCATACGGAGGGCTTCTTACCAAAACATTGGACGACGAAAAGGAAAGAGAAGAAAAGTTGAAGGAACAACAAATCAATGTGACTGTGAATGATAATCTCGAAACTTTGAGACCAGAGTCTATCTTTATCAAAGGTGTTGATAATCTCAGCACTGATGATTTGAAATTCTTCATTGACTACTATTTGAATTTTGAAACAATCACTAAACATGACGATGAAGGTAATGAGCTTCTTGAGTATGTTGCTAAACCAATTAATGATCAATTAACCTTCAAAATTCAATGGATTAACGATACTTCAATTAACGTTGTTTTCAAAACTCACGAAGAAGCTTTTAAAGCATTATCGGCAATTTCGATTTCTTCAAATCCTAACGAGAATCAAACTATTTCACCACCTAGTGAATTCACTAGTGAATATATTGCCGATATCATACAGGAACGGGAAACAAAGCCATATAATCCCACAATTCAATTTCGTAAGAAACAAAATTTATTGAATAGGTTAAACTCTAGTGAAGAGAAACCTGAAAACGTTGAGGATGAGTTGAAGATGGACGAAGACGAATCGGCAATTGTCTTATATACTAGACAATCTTTGCAAAATGATCGTAAAGTTAAAAATGCTAGTGCTTATTCAAGATATTATTTATTACATGGAGAACCAGAAAGAAAGCCAAAACGCTTTAATGATAGACAACGTCAGCAGCGTGGGAACCGTCGTCGTCAATCAAATGATGAAGATTTGTTTGCCAATAAAATAGGAGGAAATAGACGTGCTAGAGATGATGAAGACGATTTATTTGCTGATAAATTAAGAAATAGAGATAGGTCACCCGGTAGAGAGCAAACAAGAGCTAGATCAAGATCTCCAATGAGAGATTATTGATATGTATTAAATGTTTTATACAAAAAAAGAAAAGATCATTATGTAACATAGATTATTCTAATAAATGCAAATCGATGCAAACAAATTGAAGAAAAGATATCGTGTAGAATCGTAACAGAATTGAATGGGTTAATTTCCTTCTTGACCGAAATCATCAGTAAACTTGATATGATTTTCGATATCTGAAGCGTTAACTGTTGGTCTATTATTTTTGATTGATTTTATGAAATCTTTCACCGTCAAGTCTGGTTCTTTTAATTCATCGGTACCAATATCCATCCAATTCATTTCCTTAGCCCCTTCATCCCCTGGTGAACAGGGAGTTAATTTTTCCTCATCATCAATTAAAACCGGTTTAAAATGAGTGGCTTGTTGAATCTTACGTATTGGTTGCATTAGAGCATCTCTTACCACAACAGCAATATCATGACCAGAGTAGCCATCGGTCATTTCTGCTAATACTTTGAAATCTTGGGCTGAACATTCACAGGGGACTGTACCGATATTAATTTCAAACATCCTAGTTCTTGCTTCAAGTTCTGGTAATGAAATATATATTCTTCGTTCGAATCTTCTTCTAATGGCAGCATCTAATTGCCAAGGTATATTGGTGGCACCCAATACTAAAACTCCACTTGAATCATTACCAACACCATTCATTTGAACCAATAATTCGGTTTTAATTCTTCTTGATGCTTCACTTTCTCCTTCCCCACGAGGTCCACATAATGCATCAACCTCATCAATGAAAATAATAGAAGGCTTACTTTCACGAGCCATCGTGAATAATTGTTTAACCAATCTTTCTGATTCACCCATCCATTTACTAACCAAATCCGATGAAGATACTGAAAAAAATGTCGAATTAGCTTCCGTAGCAACGGCTTTCGCTAAATAAGATTTACCGGTACCTGGTGGTCCATATAATAATATACCAGAAGTGGGTTTCCTATTACCCGTAAATAATTGGGGGAATCTAACCGGTAAGATAACAGCTTCTTTTAAAGCCTCTTTGGCACCTTCTAAACCAGCAATATCATCCCAGCTAACATTTGGCTTTTCCGACAAAATGGCTCCTGCCAATGCTCCTCTTAATTTTTTGGTTTCTGCATCGTCAGAATCATCTTCCCCTGATTTTTTGGCTTTAGTCAGCCCGTTACTCGAAGAGTTCTCTGCCAGATTCGACTTATTATTCTCCTGTTTCTCTAAATGATCCTTCAATTGCTCGGCTCTCGTAAGATACTCAGTGAACTTGGATTTAATCAAATCTTTAGATCGTTGATTCTTCTCGTATTTCAAAGCTAACATCAAATAGTCCAATCCATTGTAATACAATTTATAGGCTTCCTCGTACCTTGTTGCAGTATCGGCATCGATTGCTTTCTGGACCAAGTCTATACCTTTCGATAAAAAATCCGAAGCTCCAGACATTTCCTTTGTCTATAATAACTTGTAATGTAATGCCAATTATAGTTGCCAAAACCTTAAAGGGTCAACCAAGTTTCCAATTTCTCGGTCGGTGGGCCTTCTGGGGAGGTGTGGTGTCTGGGTGCGCGGACCGGCCATCCGTACATCCCAAATCTGCGGAATTCTCTCACATTTTCTCCGATTGGGAAATCGATAGTTGCAGCCAATTGAGTTACTCATTCACAGCTGTTCAAGTCTCGGATATGTTCAAGTCTTGCGGATATGTTCAGGCAGAGGAAATTGTTCAGTCCTGATGAGAGATCTGTTCCCACTCTTGAGGAGAAGGACGGATGGTTTAGGGAATCCTGCTTTTCAGTAAATATAAACCTAATTAAAAATTACAGCCCCAATTAGTGTTGAAGGCTGCTGCTCGTCTTTCATAACACCAGAATGCTGTGTGTCACGTCTTGACGTTCTCCTCCTGGTGCTGAATTATCCATTATTCAATGACTGGATCGCATTTTGAAAGTCCGCAAACCATTACTAATCAAGGTTGGTTTCGGGTAAATGGCTTCTAACAAGTGGATTTGCTCTGGCTCCCCTAGTGGGTAACGTCGTATTTGGTAACTTTCCAAATCAGAATCAAATACAACCATTGTCTTTTCATGGAACGGCTTTGTTCGCATTTGACGTTTTTTTTATTTTTTTTTTTTGGCTTTTTTTTTTAAATTCCGCTGTGACTAATAGTTAAGCGGTCCAGTGAATACTACTTTCTTCTCTATTCTGTATAAATACCAATATATGTCGCTATAATTAGGTAGGATTATATATATATATCTCTTGCTAGGTCGATCTTCTTTAGTTTATCAAAATGTATGAGGATACTAAGGATTCAGCCGTGCTGCTGCTTAATTCAACTGCTACTGATATAAAGAACATACCGTCAACTAAAATGTATAGAAATACGTCTAGGGAGACATCTGAAGATGAATTCGGAGCACAGGAGCTTCAGGTGCATGATTCAGCCAGGATAACGAAAACAAATTCCAATATAAGTGAACTTTCTAGGGTTATTAGTGGTATTAGAGATGATCGTGAAATGGATCAGCTTGAATATCAAGAGTATTCGACTAGACCAGAAACAGAACAGGTTATTTTGGAAGAACTTGATCGGGTGCTGCGTGCCACCACGAGACGGAAGTCGGACCAAGAGTCACAACGAAACGAGTACCCTGAAGAAGAAGATGAGGAAGAAGAAGATGATGGGCCAGCTAAAGATCAAGGTTACGCATGGGTTGTAGCCTTTATGACACAGCTTTGTATATTTGCTACCTGGGGGTCTAATGCAGCATGGGGGGTTTTAATGTCTAATGCCAAACTACCGGGATCTGATTTCCCTGTAGCACTGCAGATGGATTATGCAATCATTGGATCAATGGTTGTTTGTTTTGCACAAGCATTAGCACCTTTCAGTACTATTCTTTATAAGATATTCGGCCACTACTACGTTTTCATAATTGGTATTATACTTCAAACCGTTGGCTATATATTATCGAGTTTTGCAACTAAAGTCTGGCATTTATACATTACCCAAGGTTTATTGATTGGGTTATCATTCACCCTTATTTTCTTACCGGCAACACTTATTTTGTCTACATGGTTTGACAAACGAAAGTCAATGGCAATGGGTATTGCTGTTTCTGGTGCTGGTATTGGTGGGGTTGTATTTTCATTGAGTTTAAATAAAGTTATTAAAGAAACCAAGGATCAAAGATGGGCCTTTAGATTATTGGCAATTGTTGATTTTATCGGAACCATAATTCCTTTAATTACCTTAAAACCCCGAAATCAAAAATACCTACCTTTAAAAGAAACATTAAATTGGGAAACATTAAAACTCAATTTTAAAGTAATTTTTGATATTAAAGTTTTCAATAATTATCCATTATGTATTCTAGCAATTTGGTTTGGTTTTGCTATATTAGGATACATTCTTATGTTATTTACTTTAGCATCGTACGGAGTTTCTGCTGGACTCAGTGCATCTCAAGCCTCAAATATCACTGCTATATTGAATGCATTTCAATCTTTTGGTCGACCCTCATTAGGATATTTTGGAGATACCATGGGACGTAATAACTTACTGACGTCGGTTTCGTTATTGATTTGCATTTTATTATTAGCATTTTGGATAAATGCCACTAGTTATGCTTCACTTATAGTGTTTAGTTGCATTTTAGGTTTTTTCATTGGTATTGGTAGTACAATGTGTCAATCAATGGCTGCGGATATTATTGACACTCAAAATAAATTACCTGCCGCCTGGAGTGGATTGAATATTGTTGTTGGGCTCTTTTCAATGGTTAGTGAAGTTATCGCTATCTCGTTAGTTGTGGAAGATAGCCCTCGTCCATATCTACATACCCAAATTTTCTCTGGTTGTGCCTTCTTTTTCTGCTTTTTATTATTATTGATCAATAGAGAATGGTTGGTGAGAAGAACTTTCAAATCAAGACATTTGAATGCGTTATCTTCATTGAAAAGTAAGTCGGGTTATCTTAAAACTCTAGGGGAAGAAGATTTAAATAATTTAGAACAAAGAGTGGAAAGGTACCAAAATTTATTAAGACCAACCATTATTAACTACTTTATTAGAATGTTTTATCCAATCCGAGTATAAAAAAAAAGACAATCATACATATTCATTATTTATTAAACTTTAGCATTAAATATTACAATATAATAATAATAATATTTTTTATACATTAACGAAGAAATGACATTTTTTTTATATAAAATACATGATAAACCCAACAAGATACTTTTGTAATCTTAACGGTTAGATTTAGCAACTCTTTCCAATTCATCCTTCTTTTTGATGGCATAAGAGGTAGAAGAACCTTTAGCAGCGTTAATTAATTCTTCAGCTAAACATTCAGCAATAGTTTTAACATTTCTGAAAGAAGCTTCTCTGGCACCAATGGTTAATAAAGAGATAGCTTGGTTAACTCTTCTTAATGGAGAAACATCAACAGCTTGTCTTCTAACGGTACCGGAAGAACCAATTCTGGTGGAATCTTCTCTTGGACCGGAGTTGACAACAGCGTCAACAACAACTTGGAGAGGGTTTTGTTCGGTTAAAACGTTGATGATTTCTAAAGCGTGTTTGACGATTCTAACAGCCTTTAATTTTTTACCGTTATTTCTACCGTTCATCATTAAAGAGTTAGTTAATCTTTCAACAATTGGACATTGAGCTTTTCTAAATCTTTTAGAAGCGTATCTACCAGCAGTGTGGGAAACGAAAACTGGTTGTCTGATTTGAACGTAATCGGTTAAAGAAACATCTTTAACTTCAACTTCTTCAAAAGACCATTTGTTGAATAATTTAACTTCTTGTTGAGCAGCTTGAACTTCAGCTGGGATTGGGGTAGCTAATTCAACAATTTGTAATTCTTCTTGAACAACTGGTTGTTCTTCAACGTATTGTTCTTCAACGTCAGACATTCTTACTTATATGGATAATAAAGAGGAGGTAGGAAAGAGGTATCAAAAAGAATCTTTAATATTGAAAAAAAGGTCTAGTATTGAAAGTTTTTTTTCGCTACCATTCAGCTAACAAAATAAAATCTTTCGCGATGATTTACAAAAAATAGTCCCAATTGCGTACTGAAAATTTTGTTTTGCGCGTTTAACTAGTGAACTTCTCAGTATACCTTCCTAATCCAGACACATGCCCTAGCTCGCGGCACGTGATGCCCTAAATTATCACCCTGGCCACCAGGTAGCAAAAATTAATACTGTTCAACTGCCCAATATTTGAATCAGTTGCCACTCCTGGAGGTGTTTAAGAAGTCATCTGACTGTTTTCCTGTCGTTTTGCCGTTGTAGATCGTCACTTTAATCAATTTTTCAGCTACTCGATCACCTCTCGATCAGCTACTCGATCAAGTTTTCAACACCTAGTCAACAAACAGCCCATAACGACATTATTGAGCGCTCTGGGCGTATACTCCTACATCCTTCTTACAATACGCCTACACTCTTCCTATGTTCTGTGGTTGACCTAGCTCTCTAAGTCTTACGGGGAATTTGGGTGCTGACAACCCTGGCCAATCAGAGAGCGTGGCGACGCAGAGTCGACGAGATGTTACAAATTTCCTATTGATCCCAATTAGGAAGGTAAAGTACAAACCCGTACATCTCCTCCGGACACGGCTGATCCCACAATATAAGTCTCTCAGCTTACAGTCTACTCGAAAATCTACGTCCATTTGGAAAGCTTACACAACACCTGTCTTTCTATCAGGCTTCCCTGGAATAGCAGAGAAGTGTGGTTATTGGCTCGAAGGCAACTGTTCTTAAGCTTCGCTTCAAACTAATTGGAGTAAGGTTTGAGCAAGGCCCGAATCCACTAAGTAAAGTCGTATATTCAATTACATAAGCAGTTTAGAGTGCGACATTTGGGGTTGGGAAGTTCCGGGACCGGTAAAATGTCGTGGTTGTCCCACCGCCCTCGGAAGTAGTGACTAGAGTGTCTTAATGGTAGACTACGGTTTGCAATAATCCCTAGTGTATTAGCAGTATGTGATTCATGAAGTTTAAAGGAGCGATAGCCTCGCTCATAGTCATTTACGGTTAGGACATTGCCAATTTTTCGGAGATGATGGCACTTTAAAGAACAAGCCTTCTTTATATTTAATGATAATTTGTGAAAACGGTGCATTTTTCTCACGGTTAATTTTTTCTTTTAGTCACAGTTTTTGTTTTCTTGGAGTTTTATAAAAAGGACGGTATTTGCTGATTATTTAACCGTCTTTTTCTTTTCGTTATTGCAATGTCGTATAACAAAGCTCAAGATAATTATAATCCACCCACTGGTGCGCCTCCCAACTGGTCTGAGAGTCAGGGTGGAGGTTATGCTCCACAATCCCAACCTTCGTATCAACCGCAAGATCAAGATCGTGGAGTTTTCGGAGGTGGCCAGGGTGGTTACCCTCAACAAGGTTATGGTGGTCAACCAGGTTACGGTGGTGGCTACGGTGGTCAACCAGGTTATGGTGGTGGTGGTTATGGCCAGCAGGGATACTACCAGCAACAACAACCAATGTATGTTCAACAACAAGGTGGTGGTGGTGCCGGTGCCTCCACCTGTTTAACTGCTTGTTTAGGTGCACTTTGTGTTTGTTGTACTTTAGATATGCTTTTTTAAAGAAAAAGAAAACATGGTTCATTTCGTTGTTGTTTTATTAATATATATATATACATCCGTACATCATCTTCTTGGGTATTCAAGTATTGTAGAATCACCTAGATGTCGTGGGCATTTCGTTTGATTATAAGGGCTATTTTTGTTGAATATTGTTAATATTCCTACTTGATTTTTGATTAGGGCTATTTTTGTTGAATATTGTTAATATTCCTACTTGATTTTTGATTATAGGGCTATTTTTGTTGAATATTGTTAATATTTCTACTTAATGTTTCTATTACCCAAGTAATACTTGTCATTATTCAGTGTGTTGTCAGGACATTTTGCAGCCCATCAGGACTTCAGTATTCCTGATATGGAAGCATACTATGCAGCTTGTTTTTAATTATATATCTATAAATATACTCTTTAATTTGTATTCCAGTGTATTTTGAATATCAGTTATCAATATCAGAGAGCCCAACGGTAAAATCCGCCGTCTAAGTTGGTCGGTTCATTAAGTCATCGCTGTACACCAAGACATGTGCTGAGATACAAACTGTTTTCGATAATCTTCATCTTAATATAATAAACCCGAATACTGAATTATTTCTCTGTAGACATCCTTCATTGGAACTGGCACAATAGTGTTTTCGACTCGCCTTGTTCCAAGTAAGCATGGCCGTCAGCCTTCAGTCACTATTATCAAGATATTACATAGACTTCATCACCTTTGGTCAGCTTACTTGCCAGGAATACTATTTTTTTTGGTTGCAAAATAACACACCCGTACACCAACACCCTCCTGTCATTATTTGCTTCATAACCCGAATCGTCCCAACCAACGTCTACGGCCATATCCAGTATAAAGCATGATTACCCGTCCGATCAATAATTATTAAGCTACTGAGAGCGATGATGAGTACGTTAGTGGGAGACCATAATGGAAACCATCGTGCTGTAGACTCTTCTTTTTTGTAACTTTTATTTTTGCAATTTGATGAGTAACCGTGATAAACTATTAACCAAAGTTTTAATATTGACATGTAAGACCATTACGATCTGTTGATGGTTGTTTGAATTGCTATGTAGAGCAGCCAAGCAAGATCACCAATGTGGTATATAATCATACTTTTGACAAACTATTGACCACTAAGTACGGTTTCAAAATATATTTTCTTACTCTACTATTTGGTTTTCTGATTTGGTTTTCGTAAAGGGTACATTTCATAAGGATATAATTATTAATATCAATGACAAATCAAGCATTAGATAAGGTCTGGCGGTGATGTCTGGGCCTGATTTATATCAAGGCAGATCACAGACATCCTCAAGCTGAGGTTTAAGCAAAGGTGTTACAAACATCTTTTGTGAGACAACATCGGAAGAGAGCATCTTTTACGAGAACAAGTATATAAGTGAGCATTTCCTCATCTGATGAAATGCCTAGAAGACTTTTTGTGGTGTGGACCTAAGTGGCTAATCCGGTTAATGGAATGAAGAATGGGTCGATGCCCTACAGAGAGTTTTCATTCAGTAATGACAATAATAATATACATATTTTATTTATGGCTTTTATTATATTAGTATTAATTGTAATAAAGTCATTCTTCCTTTAATAACAGCTAAAAGATTAATCTAAATAGTAAATTATTCCACCACTAATCGTTATTAGTATGTATCTGACTAATAGCTAACTGCGTGTGTTATGGTCGTCCAGTCTGGTACAGGTATTTACTTCGTAGATACTTGAGGACGATAGAGGTCTGATCTACCCATATAACCCGATATGGCTTCCCCACCAGGAGGAATAATACTTGAGTCTATCCATGTTTCATTAATGAGTTTTAAACATAATCTTAATGTTTAAATGACAAGTCCACTATCGAGTCACAAGAAATCCGAATGAATTCTCTCTCTTCTTCGTCCATGATATTGATTACTGTCGCTTTAACTCTTTAATGACATGAGATATTGTCTTTTTATTTGATCTCCGGTTCTATGTTTTTACATTTAAAATACTAACTTAAATTTTGTTGATAGGCAATAGAACAAATATTTATTTAACATGCCTCACAAGTCTTATTCAAACACACAAAAATCTGACTCAGCCGATCAAGAAACAGTCAATAGGGAGCTTAGAGCTATCAAAACCGACTTAGCTCAACTTACCGACGTGCTTAACACTTTAGTTGCTTTGCAACAAAAATACTACTCAACCTTGGGAGAGATTATCAGCTTCTCAAACAAACGGGCTGCATCTCTGGAAAGACTTGCTGCATCTATGGAAAAACTTGCTGCATCTATGGAAAGACTTGCTGCATCTCTGGAAAAACTTGCTGAGGTTGTTCAAGAACAATCAAAGGAAACAATAAAAGCCTTGAAGAAGATTCAAGAAGGTTTCTTCTCCTCTTCAGGGAATACTCCCAGTGCTCTCCAGCAGATCAATGACAATCATAATGATGATAAATTGGAATTGATCTAATGTCTTATTGCCTGCCAAAGGCGGTCTGTCTTGGAAACTGTCTATACTTTAGACGATAGAGGCCTCGTCTGCCAACATAACTCAATAAAGCAAATATTGGTTGCAAAAACCATTAAACCGTTAGGTTCAACTACTTATTATCAATATCGAACATGTTTCGAAATATATGGAGATTTCCTATCTAAAGTAACTTCCCATTTATGCTGATTTAAGAACGATATGTAAAGCATTATGATGTTATTGCTAACGTTCCAAATGCACTCCATAAAAGCAAAGATAGAATGGTCTTATATAGAAAAGTTTTGGCATTACCATAATTCCTTCTCAAATACTCAGTTCCTTTTTCTAAATCTTTGGCGACATGTCTTAGTCATTCATTTCTTTCCCGTATCTTCTCGAGATGCATTTTTTAATGTTACGACGATTTGATTTGCAACTCGCTTACGTGTATATCAGGATTATATCCGTTTCTTCTCTTAAAGTTGGAATTGTTAAATAAAGTCATTATACCTTGTAGTTTTGATAAAGTATACGAGTCCTCATACGAAGTCGTTGCCTCAAAGCATATAATTTCCATCTTGAATCACTCGGTTCCTGAAGGTAAAATTGCCCCTCCTCTCCTTTCGCAACCCACTTACTGTCCTTGACGCCACTACATGAGGTTGCGACGAGCTGGCTAGACAAATCGTTAGTCTGTTATGGGGTTTCTTCAATTTTTTTCACATATCTAAAATACCAAAAGAGTAATGTAATGTATGAAAAGGATCTTTTTTAACGTTCTCAGTTGCAAATGGAGCTAAACCCACTTCAAAATTCTCTCTTTTTAAGAAAAACCTTTTTTTGTTATTTCAAACTTATATTAACCTGTATCGGCTTATGGCAACCTAGAACCTCAAAAATTTCAACAAATCAGCCGTTCTAGTATAGTGGTTAGTACACTTCGTTGTGGCCGAAGAAACCCAGGTTCGATTCCTGGGAACGGCATTTATTTTTTCTTTTCACTAATGGTAGATCCTTTATTTTTTATGTTTGAAAGACATGTCTTGAGCTACAAGTATAATCTGTTTTGAGTTGTCGTATATTTAGCAGTATCACGGTATGCTAACGAGGATAAATACTTTAATAACTTTCAACATTATCATTAGTGTCAGTAACTTTCACACTACTAACTTTAATTAAGATCAAGGCAATATCTTCACTTTCAATATAGTTTTTAGATTGAATTGCGTCAATTGAATCATTATTCAAATGTAATGACTTGAAAAAATTGAATTTCTCAAGGTCAGTATGAGGACTCAATATTTCTGCTTTACCATTAATCATCACCGATACACTGCTTATTTCGCTTTTATTCAAATTAGTCAACAACTCATATAACGAGTTACGTCTTTTATTAGCAACTGAATCTGAAGTTGATTCATCAGGATTCCTGGCTGATATCCAGTCGTGCACTAATAATGAAACATTTGGATTAGAAATTATATTTTCGTATTTCGTAGTTTTCTTTGGTGAGGTGGTGATAATATAATATTCATTTTCTTTACTGTAGTAAGTATAATTCATTAAAGATACATGTGGAAAGTTGTCTTTGCAAGTTGCCAAATGAACAAACCTTGTAGATTTTAATAACTTGACAACTGAGTCTGGTAATGATAATGCAGTCGACATTGTGAGTAACTATTGGTTGATTTGGAGTTGGAAAGCGCTTTAGTAGAGCTTCTTCTCGCTGTTAATGGACTAATTAAAAAGCTTTGGACTTTTAAGGACTCAAAGAAGAGAATTGATAAGCAAATTACGTAAAAAAGATGGAGTACAATTTTCCAATGAGGAAAGGAAAAAAAAAAATCATTGAAAAACCATTAAAAAAGCAGAACGCGATTATTGCAATAATCACATCTGTCATCGTTTCAATTTGTTGAATTAGAAATAACCTGGCATTATAGAGATATGGGAAGATCGAACGATGAGACACTTAAGGACTTTGAGGGCGAGTTTGGTGAAGTGAAAGAGATGACTGAAGAAGAATTGAAGAATGATCGGTTGATCAAACGGTTAAGAATTGAAAGAAAATTGAAAGATATAGAGAATGGCAAACAGCCAAGTTCAGAACCAGATAGGGTAATCTCTTTGGATACTTCTGATCAAATACTTCATTTGGATTCTGATTTGGATAAACCCAGTCGTCATTATGGTCATAAAAGACGAGGAAGCGATGAAGACCATCAGTTCCCGACTAATGAATCAAAGAAAAATGCCCCCGTAAAGAAACACAAGGCTCCCATAGTCACTGGAGGTGCTGAGTTTTTTAAGAGACTCGAGAAGGAAGAAGAGAAGAAAAGAAAAAGAAAAGAAAAACATAAGCAAAAACGTAAGACTAAGCATAAACTGAAGAGTGAAGATCAATCGCCTTCTGAAGAAGAGGACTCAAACGATCATTCAATCGAGAATAGCAATAACGATGACTTTATGGTGGAGTTGCCCAACCATTCGGGCGATGAGAAAGACCCGCATCCAACCGGTGAACAAGCTGTTGAGATAAAAAGTGAACTCGACTTTGAAGTCACTCAACAAGATGTGGAAAACTTGAAAACCCAAGTCATAGCACAATTAATCAATAAGACTACCAATTTTCCTAATTTAACGAAGTCACCGGCTCTTATAGATCAATTCAATGAAGTGTATCACATTTTTGAACATACGGTAAAAGATAGGGAAGGGCATTCAGCATTGGTTATAGGACCAAGATCATCAGGGAAATCAGCAATAGTTGAAAGAGCGTTGAACGATTTACTGGAAAAATATAAAGACGAATTCATTGTCATTAGGTTAAGTGCATACTTACATTCGGATGATAATATTGCCTTGAGAGAAATTGCTAGACAGTTGGACTATCATTCAAAAAAATTTAATAATGATGAAGATAATGAGACATTGACCCATAAATTCGAACAAAGAGGTATAAGTGATACATTCAATAATATTTTGGCTATCCTAGATGATGCACCAAGCAATTCCAAAGATTCAGATCAGTCTTTACAATCAGCGGCAATCATATTTGTTATCGATGAGTTTGAAAAGTATACTGGAAATAACAAACAGGCGCTTTTGTATAACTTGTTTGACTTGTCTCAAACATCTTCAATTCCAATTTGTATTTTGGGGATATCAACTAAGATCACCACTGGTGAATTATTAGAGAAAAGGGTCAAGAGTAGATTCAGTCAAAGAATCATCTCTATTAATCGCCCGAAAACCGTGGAAGAGTTTTGGGAAAATGCAAAGCTCAATTTAATAGTCGATGACAAATTATTGGGAAATGAAAAGTATACTCATTTATGGAATGAGCATATCAATAAATTATTCAATGAAAAATCCTTCGGTCAAGATTTGAGATCATCATCAAATCTACTAAAAATCGTTTATCAAATCTATTTCACTACCAAGAACTTCAAGGAATTCAATAATAATTGTATTTATCCAGTGTCTAGACTATCGATTGAGTCACCTTTTCTTAGAGATTCTGATTTCACTCGGTATTTGTCAAAACAATCTACAAATAACATTCAGGACATCATAAAATCCTTATCTACTTTGGAATTATTACTAGTTATTGCAGCTGCAAGATTCATCGAAAGAATTGATTTACAAGTTATTAATTTCAATATGGCCTACAAAGAGTACGAAGATATGATGAAGCTCTTCAACATGGCTTCGACAACTTCAAATAACGCTACTACCAATTCATACATTGATAATATCGTTTTAACTAACTTGAAAGTCACTCAAAAGACTTGGCTGTCAAAAGTTCTTAAAAATAGTTGGGAAACACTCTACAAATTGGGGGTAATCATAGATGTCGTCACTCAAAGTAATGAATTGAACGCAGCCAACAACAACATCAATAAGAATTTCATTATTGAAGAAAATAAAATGGTTCAACTTGACGTTACCTTAGAAGAACTAGCCCAAATAATGGAAGACTCTACTGTATTCAAAAAGCTTACCAAATTATGAAACACCCATCAAACATCACTTAACCGAAATACATTAATGCCTTTCACAACCAACTTTCGCAACCTTTCATGTCATACTTCTTGTTTCCCTTTTCAATTTGCGCTTATTACTCCAACGCAAAGGTTCCTTGTTTCATCAACGCCTATTCCCCGTAACCCACTTACAAAATACTCTTCTAGCTGCAAAGTTGAAGGTTAATTCAAACTTGTTAATTTGAAACTCCTAATTGCGTTGAAAAAAAAATACTGCGAATTTCCCTATTTTGATTTTTTTGGGCCCATTTCCTCATTATTTTTTTAGATCGAGGACTTCAAACAAAGGGATATCGTAAAAAAATATCAATAACTTGAAACATACCTGGACTTCCGTTGTTACACCTTTGATTCAGACGGAGCGAGGGGGAGTGTCAATCAGTTTGGCATCAATTACTGTGGAAGAGATATATATATAATCATGTCTCCCTAATCTCCTGTCGTCGCTTTTGGGGACTTTAAGTATTTTTTGCAGTTTCCTTATATACCCTTGTTTCATGCCGGTAGTGGTATCAAATATGACCAATCAGAATGCCAGAGAGTTTGAGGATTCTCTGTTGTCTCGCTCAAGTAACGTATTGCATGAAACAGTGAAAACCAACTTCAATAAGACTGCTTCTGGGAAGATATACGAAAAAGAATTGAAGGATATCTTCTGTATAATGATAATATGTTTGGACTTGAAGGATGAAGGTTCTCGGTTTCAGTTTAACATCTTGTCTAAGTATCATGCATATTCCTTTTTACCGAAGGAAGCTATATCGACTATGGCTTCGTTGAACATCAAAATTGAATTATCGGCAACAACAACTAGCATCAGCTATTCAATAAAACCTGATTTGGCAATGGCTTTATTGAGAAGATTCTTTGATGCTAAATTACTTCATTGTCCCGTGGACCGAACTAGGTCTGAACCCAGTGCCGGTGTTGCTCTACAACCAACGGCTAAGGGAGTGTATTTGGTGCAAGATTTTTGTGAAAAGATTGGAATGAATAAACAAAAAAGACCGTTGATCTTAAATACCAGTTTCAATTCAATGGATCTTTTCAAGTTTGATCGAAATTCATTGACTGATCAAATAATGTATTCGGATTACTTCTTATGTTTATTATTTGTTAAACTACTTGGACCCCGGCCAAATGTATGGTCTCCAAATGACAAGCCGGATCCTATCGTTTTTAGAAGTCAATCTGGCGGATCCGAAGAGGATTTTGGTTTCAGCTCGAATCGAATTGCGTATTCGGATATGACTAAAGAAGGTTTTAAAGCTGTCACTAATGCAAGGTTGCAAGTTGTTTCCGAGGAGCCTGCTTCATCTGATAAAAAACACAGCCAGAAAGAAAAAGAACATGTCAGTCCGTATCACCATCGATTCTTCACTAACCCCGAATCAGATTCCCATATGCAATATTACTCTTCTGAAAAGGGTGTTCGCCTTTTCAAGGATCAGGTTTTCTTTTTTGATAATGGCGAAAACATTATTGAAAAATATTCATTCACTGGTAAAGCCGTTTGCCAATGGCTATGTGACTGTACTGATATCATTAGTATTCGTCATGCGATAGAGATATCCCAGTTGTTACTTAAAGCGGGATTCATCACTCCAATTATGGCTTCTCAGTCTACCTCGCACAATCTCTATTTCGGTGCTGATAGAACCTGTTTTTATGCCATTGGACCCATTGGTGAAAAAGTTTGTCCTTGGTTTCCTAAAAGGCCAACTTTGAAAAACCCTGCTCCAATCCACTCTCATTTTTCTAAAAAGGATCAAATTATTGCTAACTCAAACAGCGTCGATGGTATAATTGATGTTTTGGCATCTTCTAGCGTCCCACTTTCCAAATTTGACTTATATTCAACAGCAAATGGTGTTGGAGTTCAACTTGATAACGATTCACTGAGTCTGTCGGTTGAGAATCCCCAACTTGATTTAAAGGATATAATCAGAGATCCAGGTATGAGATATCTATTCCGTCTTCACTTGGAAAAAGAGTTTTGCTCAGAGAACCTCGATGCATATTTACAACTCAAACACTTTGCTAAACTAATCAAAAATATTAGTAAATTATTGAAATTTAAAAACTTGCATTGTTTAGATGATCCCATTGAATCCAAAAAAATTGATTCAAAAATAATGAAATTGTCAAGCGTCACCTTTTCTTTGGCTTATAATATATATTTTACTTATCTCGGTGCAGATTCCCCATTCGTATTGAATATTATTTCTCATCTAAGGGATGAAGCGGCCGCATTAATGTTGTCTAAAACCTCAAATAAAGCTCCTGATTATACTAAGACACCTACTGTTCCAATCCAAATTGACGATCAAACTTCTCAAAGATCACTGATGGAATCAAATAACTTCCCTTCCCCTAAAGTCAATACGGATTCAAAATCAGAAACAAAACTTACTGCTGCCCCTTGCAAAAGAAATCAACTGCAACCTGTTTCTATTCCTCCATCAGAACATGATCAAACTGTAGTCCCGCAAGATATATTCAAGGTTGATACATCATCAGAGTCCTCAACATCTAATACTTTGACAGATTATTTACGTACGTTACTTGAAATCTCCAATGTGTTTGACAGAATAAATCAACATATATTCCGTTTAATGGAAACGGATTCATTTCCGAAATTTATCAACAGTGATATTTATAAAAATTCAGTTCAAAATATTGAATTTAAAAAGAATTAAAGTTTTTATTATATGTATGTAAATATATATTTGGCATCTCTTCATATCTGCATTTAAATAAATACAATTTAACAAATATTTTACAAAAATGAAATTTATATATATCTATTTATATATATGAGGCTATAAATACAAAATGTTGGATTATAGATAAGATTTGGTATGAATCTTTTTCTTTAATCAAGTTTTTATTAATGATTAGTGATAACATCATAAAAGGGAATGAGTTGGGCAGGAAAACTTTTTATGAATTAAATTTATGCAATTGGTTCCAAGGTATTACCCTTTTTGATAGTAGCCCAACCAATCAAACGCCAATGTTTATCGATACGTCTTGATAAAGCAATCTTTTCGTTAACTTCAGTACAAGCAGGAGTAGTTAATTGTAAACGAGCCATATCAGCTTTAACAGCAACAACTCTAGCACCAGTAGCAGTAGAACCAATATTAACCATTAAGACTTCACCACTTTCTAATTTACGAACTTTAGCACCTTGTTTTTGACCATCAGTTTTAACACCCAATAATCTTCTTAATAAGAAGTAATTAATTTCAATATCAGTATAAATAGAAGGTAAATTACCTTTTGAACCAACAACTTGACCAACTAATCTATCAGCTCTACATAAAGTTGGATCAACTTTAGTACCAACACCAATTAACCCACCAGGAACTGCAAATTTTAAGTCATTATGTTCAGCGAATAAAGAAACAATATTTGAAAAAATTGGTTTACATTGAATTTTACCATTATCATCTTTAGTAACAATACCGGGTCTAATTTCAATTTCATCACCTAATTTAAAGACACCATTCAAGATAGAACCACCAGCAACACCCCCTTTCAAGTCATCAATTTCAGCACCAGGTTTATTAACATCAAAAGATCTAATAACTATTAATCTTGGGGATGCAGAAAAATCTCTCATTGGAACAGGAATATAGTTAACAATAAATTGATTAACAGCATCAATATTATATTTCAATTGAGCTGAAATTGGAACTATAGGAGCACCATCAGCGATGGTACCTCTAATAAAACTTAAAATTGATTTTTGATGTTCTAAAGCAGATTCTTCTCTCATTAAATCAACTTTATTTTGTAAAATAATAACGTGTTTTAACTTCATAATTTCAATTGCAGCTAAATGTTCAGAAGTTTGAGGTTGAGGACAACTTTCATTACCTGCAATTAATAATAAAGCGGCATCCATAACGGCTGCCCCTGATAACATAGTACTCATTAAAATATCGTGACCTGGACAATCAACAAATGAAACGTGTCTTAATAATTTATAACGACCATGACATCCTGGAACGGAACATTTTGGTTTGATTTCTTTATCTGATTTGAAAGATTTATAACAACCTGGAGCTGGACATTCTTCATTATCACATTTATAAATTTTAGCATTAGCATAACCTAATTTAATAGTGATATTTCTTTCCAATTCATCCTTGAAACGAACAGTTTGAACCCCTGAAATGGCTCTGACAACAGTCGATTTACCATGGGCAACATGTCCAATAGTACCAATATTAATGGTAGCTTGTCTATTAATAATCTCTGCTGATAATGGAGTTAATTCTTCAAAATTTGGATTTTCCGGCTGTTCTGGTAACCCTCCACCTTCTATGAACTCTCTCTTAGCAGCTTCTTCGTCATATTCATCGTCTAAGCCAGAAAAAGCAACACTTTTCTTTTCCTTTTTTTCAACAACCTCTTGTTCTTCTTCTGCTTGTTCGTTCCCACTTTCAACTTCATGTTCATATTGGTACTCTTCTTCCGGGTCTTCCATAGTACCTCCGATAACAATATCGGGAGTGGCGTTTTCAATATCGTCGTATGACATCTTGCTCCTGCGTTCTAGTGTATCCTTAGAATGGTCAAACTCTATTGATCTTTAAGTATCTTCGAAACACCTTAAGGTGAGAATTTTTCATTTTTTTTTGGCTGATCAACTATTGGTAAGGGCACGTCCTCCTTTCTGAGAAATTGTCGTGTGCGGCTCGTTTTTTTTTTCTTTTTTTTTTTTTTTTTTTTTTTTCTTCGTTCGTTTTTTTTGTTTTGTTAGCGTTTTTTTTTTCGCTACAGCAGTTTTTGCAACTATTCACTTTGTTCTATAACGGTGAACAGCAGGTTCTGTGGACCTCCACAGAACTGTATTGGCCAAAGAGTGGTGCCACTGACGGTATGGTGTTTGTGTTTATTCTTGTTTCTGTGCAAGCTATTTCTACATGTTGATGGTTTGCATTTGCAACAAGCCTCTGTATTGCTATACTACTGGGTATGGAATCCAAAGTCGTTCATGACACTGTCGACATCTTTCCAAAGAAGATCACTGTTCATATCGAGCGGCTCAAACTCCAAGTTCTCCAATCCCCCGTGGCCTGGAGACTCGTGAAGAATCATTTCCGGTAGCATTTCATTATCGTTGACCGATCTGTGCTCGTTGGAGAAGTTTTGAAAGTTGCCCTTGTTGTTGGATCTGTTTATGCTGTTACCGGAAATTGCCATCTTGGTAGGTTCTTTATTGCCAAAATCGGAGCCTTGAGGAAAGTTTGAAAGCGGCGCAGAGCTTTTCGTATTCCTGTCCGAGTATTTGCTGTTGTTTGTGGGAGCTGCAGCACGATTGGGCAATTGTTGCGACGGTAAATGAGGTTGGCCAGTGTTATGGTTGTGATGTTGTTTATCCGAAGACCGTAAGTTTGTAGGAGTCATCGAGACGATTTTATGTGATGAATTGGACATTGGAGAATCGTTATTGGGAGGGGTGTTGTTTTCGTGTTTGACTGTTGGTGATGAATCACTGCTATTATTGACAATCTTGAATATGTTACTTCTTTTACCAGGGGCAGATATCGGCTGAGGATCCAAGGGGATGGTACGAATGATTCTTCTAGCTTTGGATTCCGCATTAACGGTGTTGGATAACGACCTCTGTCTTTTAGTTTTCGATGATGCGTTACTCCCACTAGGAGTCGATCTATTACTATCGTCTTTTGATATATCACCAAGTCCCCTTTTCCCGTCTTCGTCATTATCTGAGACAACTGCTTCTTCATCGAAATCTTCATCATCGTCATCGTCAAATGAATTGTCTCCATCTTGATTATCGTTTGCTTGGTTTGCTTGGTTTTCGTCGGTACGACTATTTAATTTAATCATACCCACTTGTTCTCGAAGTAAAAATAATGAATCAAAAAATACTGATGCTGACATACGCGATCTAATATTGATTTTCAAACTTGTCAAGTTCTTTTCCTCCAAAGTACGGAATAATTGCCACATGTTTCTCATAATACCACTGGCTCTATAAGCAATATCATGTTTCAAGATAGATCCTTTGGCTGCCAACAGAATCGCAGCCTGGTAACTTTGTTTCCCAGCTGCAATGTCAATGACATTTTTCAATGGCGAGTGAGCCAATTTTGCAATAATGCAAGACGCTTGCCAGATATTTAATATATAAACCACCGGTAAATACTTGACGAAAAAGGGATCTCGCGCTTGACATAATTGTGCATGGTTAATTAGCGCAACTGTGGAATTATAGAGGCAAACCAATCCTTTAGATAATTCAAATTGAGCAATTCTTTCACTATCCATAAAATAATAAGTAAATAAGTGGACTCTTGCTGTTAATAGTTGAAATATTCTGAATCCATCATTTACTGGTAGTTCATCAACTAACTTGACCTCTAATTCATCTAATTGCCTAGATAAAACTTTTAAAAGTGGTAATCTTTCACTTGAGTTAATTAACCCATAAGGATCCATTGAATTTGAATTCAATGTTTTAGTAATTTGATCTTCAAAATGTGCTATTTCCATCATATACTGTATTGACTTTGGAATACTCACAGAACTTGCTGGTCTACAAGCGCTCCATATTGATGAATCAAATTGAACAAATGCTGGGAATCCAAATGAAGTGGCAATGCTTTGAGATGCAATGTTGCATATAATCCAGGTCTTAGCTTGTTCTTGAGCCATTGATAACTGTTGTGGGGTCTTGGCTCCAGTAATATGATCAGATAACAGACTTGGAGAATGTAGCCCTATACGTATAGCTTGAAATAAGGCTACACCTATAGTATTCCATGAGGAATCAGCACTCAATGATGAAGTTAGCGGTGGCCAAAAAGTGTATAATAAAAACGCTTGGACAGAATAAACAGAACATGCATTGATGATTGGTTCATCTTCTTCGGTTGGATTATATCTAGTGATTGGAGATATGGTGATTTCCGAAAGTATATCCTTGATTAGAGGTGATAGGGTCAATAAAAGTATCTTATTGGTATCACCGCTATATCTTCTTAAGGCAACAAACATTATTACCCAAAACAAAGCAGGACAAAGTTTAAAAATACGTTCGGGTCCTCGTGAGACGTCCACCACGGGTAAAATAGGATGGTACCGGTTAACATATTCGAGATATAACGAACGAATGGTGGCTGGCGATAAGGTAATAGTATCCAAAGTTTTCTCTTCGCATTCTAAGTTCTGTTCTTGAATTATCAATGGGGGTGTCAGGCTTTTATTCACTGGTCTGAGTGGTGCAGACGTTGAGTTGTGTATTGAGGGAGTGATTGGTATCGAAGAGTCACCATTGAAAGGCGACAATGATACCGCACGGTTAGTCTCATGGAGAGTTTGATTCTTTGACCTTGGAAGTGGATGTTGTAATGGAGGCGGCGACGCTTGTTGAGAGGTTGGAAACGACTGTTGATTTTGGCTATCTATTTGGCCTGCATTGATCGAGTCATATAGTTTTGGGGGCTGAGACTGACTTTGAAGAATTCCTTGAGTTTGGCTGGGGTCAGCATTTTGACTTTGATAATATGATTGTAAATGTTGCAAAAGCTGCAGCGAGGTATGAGTCCCATTACTTATCGATCCACTATTTGGCAACGTTGGCACTTTACTCATTAGCTCTGCCGCTTGGGATGCAGTAAGAGACTTTTTCAATTCAGAAAATTCTTTTTCGATTTGAGCTATTCTTGCTCTTTTATAAGTACGTTTATAGTCGGATCGTATATCACACCTGAGATTTTTCTTACTACACCTGGTACAAGGATTAGGGTGTCTTTCGTATGCATCGCATCTTGACTTTTGCTGCCGACATTCGATACAACTTATCTTCTTTGGTTTCCCTGTTTTCAGTAATAAAACATTAGGATTATCGTTTTTCGATTCATCGAGACGGCTTGGAGCGGCAGAAGCACTTTCATCCTGCTTCAACTGGCTGTTTAGAACCAGCAACTCGTGCGAAATGTTCGCAATATGCGCCAAGTTATCCAACGAGGTCTTTTGGAGCCCACTACTCATGACTGAACCAATAGGATTTTCTTTTTAAAATTCCGTCTTGAATTTCCTCTGTTGTTTCGAATAAGATAGGAAAAATGGACCGTGAAGTTTTTAACTGAAAGGGTGGGTCTTCTGTACTTTCACGTCAGTGATTCTAAAAGTTGGCTGGGAAATGCTCGAGGAATACTGGGTCAACTTAAAGTATAAACAAACTAAAGTTATAAGGTGATGATCTTTTGTGAAGCTTTTGAAGAGAAAAAGAAAAAAAAAAAAAAAACGGTGAAAAGGTATGGGTTTTTTATATTTGAATGAAAATTTTCAACTTCAGCTTCTATTAGAATAAAGGGACTCTAGGAAATGCACTTGTGGGCGTCGTTTAGAGAGTCTAATAAGGACATACGCCTCTTGTGGGCCTCTGTGTTTGCCAGGATGTGTGGTTTTGGGCTTACCAACCAAGTTTTAGTGCTCTACCTTGAGTTAATCGGGGTAGAAGAATCAAAGATTGGGTTATTCATGACATTGACATTATGGGGAGACACTTTTATTTCGTATTTGTTGACGTGGTATGCGGAGGCAATTGGAAGAAGAAGAGTCATGGTGATGGGCACCATTATGATGATGGGGTCAGGGTTGGTCTTTGCAAGTTGTTCCAACTATGTACTATTGGTGTTAGCAGCCATATTGGGGGTTATTTCACCTAGCGGTGATGAGACCGGGCCATTCAAGTCAGTGGAAGAAGCCTCGATTGCGCATTTGACTCCCCATAATCACCGACCCGAAATCTTTGCCATCTATGGCTTATTTGGCACTGCTGGTGCCGCGATGGGCTCGATCACCGCTGGGTTTGTCGTTGACCACTTGAGCAAGAGCTTGGCTTGGAGCCTTGAGTCGTGCTACCGGTGGGTATTCATCATCTATGCCGGGATCTCGGTTTTGAAGTTGGTATTCATGTTGGCGTTGAGCGAAAAATGTGAAATCAGCGATGATGATGAAGACGAAGAAGAGGACGAAATAACCGACGAATCATCGTCACTTCTACCCAGCGAGACTCCGGCCACTTCTCAAAAGGGCTCTCTTGGATTATCATTACAAACCCAGCACTATTTACCCCGATTACTTATTATCTTCATGCTAGACTCGTTTGGCTACGGCCTTTTTCCTTCTGCTTGGGTAGTATACTATTTCAAAAAAGTCTTCAAAGTCACTGCCAGCGGATTGGGACTCTTGTTTTTCTGTACCAATGCCATTGATGCCATTTCTTCATTACCCTCGGCCTTCTTCGCTAAACTCCTAGGTCCAGTCAAAGCCATTCTCTTCACCCAAGCACCTTCTGCTGTGCTTTTCATGATGATCACCTTCACCAGCGAATTCTGGGTGGCTGCACTCCTATACTTTGCCAACTGTGCAACAAGCACCATGGACGTGGTACCAAGACAGATTTTGCTTACATCAATTGTTCAGAAAAACGAACTCACTAAAGTCATGGGGGTGGTAAACATCGGTAAGACTTTTGCAAGAAGTATAGGTCCGTTGTTCACCGGGAAACTAGCTGAACATCCTGGTGCATTGAAATATGGCTTTGTCATGAATGCTTCTTGTGTACTATTAGCCGATTTGATCCTTGCTACTAACTTTCTACAAAAAGACTCTTTGATCAAGAAACAACAAAGTAAACACCAGCAAATCCAGTAGCCCTTAACGAATCCTTCGCTTACGATATGCCTTATGTCTTTCTTCTCTTATTCTACTTCCTCTTTCTTTAATATATACTTTGTCTATAAGTCTATTTAGCAATTGAGACTGCAAAAAATGAAAAAAGTGCACTACATGCAGTCATTTATTGCGGGGCGATATAAATGATATGATCAAGTCTCTTTGCTCCTTAAATAATGAGATTTAGTATTAGATTCTTTTCTTTGAATTGTTCAATTGATAGAATTGATTAGTTAGTTGATTAGTTGATTGACTTCTTGACTTGTTGAACTTAGCAGAATGTCGCATGAACTCAAATTCCGTGTTACCAATGACCCAGAAGCATTGAAAAAGCTTTATACTCTTTCCGGTTCCGAATGGAGTGGCCGCTTGTCAGCAGAGGAATACGCCGATGTTGAGGTTGGCAAACACCAGGCGTCCACCAAAGATGGCCAATTGATGGAAGGGTTCTATTTGGAGGATGTTCTGAACGGTACAATTGTTGCTAGTACTACCGTTAAGCGTACCAAGGGTTTTTATAAGGATGCAGATAAATCAAGTGCTATTAGTTCGGTTCCGGATCCATCCTTGATTGGAATCAAGAATGTGACTGCTTTGCTTGTGGGGTACGTTTTCACTCACAAGAGTTATAGAAGTAAGGGAATTGCTGGTGATTTGGTGAAGAAGGCTATCAATTACGTTGAAGAAGAAATTATTAAAGAACATATTGACAAGAGTAATCCGGCACAAAACGACAACTTCAAGAGTATGGTTATGACTGACGGCCGTCTTGATAGGGCCTTGGCCAATTACTATTTGAGTAAAAAGTATTTCTGGTACTTATACTCGGGTGTTGGTAATTACTACGAAAAATTTGGTTTCAAAAGCTATCCTTTAGATGTGTACCGTATCCCTACTAGTATCTTGAGAGAGGAAGATAAGAGCTTGGTCCACAACTTGTTGCAATCAGATGGCTCAAATCCATCGGTTGTTGGTAAGAAATTGAAACTTTTACATGGCTCCAAAAAGGAAGACCGGGATTTAATCTCTTTCATCTTACAAAGTAAAGAATTAGAAATTGTGACTGAACTCAACAAAATGATTTTCCATTCAGAATTGTCTGGTAATCATAAATCTTCGTCTTCCTTGACCAACGTTACCGATGTTTTGTCAATGAGTAAAGGGTCAAGTAATGAATTATCTCCAATTACTGAACTTTCTTCCAAACCTGGTGGTGATATCCCCCAATCCGCTAGAAGAAAATCTTCAATTCACCGTAGTGCAGTACCTAAATTTGCCGTGAAGCCAACTGCTCAAACATTAAATGGTATGTTCCTCACTGAAGAAGCTCAAGCTAAACAAGCACCAGATGCAAATAAAGCAGTTGAATTTAGTGATATCAAAGGTGCCATTTTCACTAATGAATTACAACAGAAAAAATATCATATCATTTGGGCTACTTTCCCTCAAAATAGATTATTCATCTTAAGTTTAGGTGAATTGAAGTTTGATGTTATGGGTTCGATTTTTGATCCAACTGGTGCAGCTAACCAACGTCGTCGTGGCTCCTCGTTCACTGGTTTGAATGAGTTGGGTGGTTTCAATTTCCAGGATTTGGATATCTTGATTCATACCGCAGTTACGGTTGCCAATAATAGACAGTTGAAAGATCTGACTGCCATTTATGTTTCAGTTAATGATTTACCTTTGGATATTCCAACTCCTCTTTTACATGATTACTTCCTCAACTACTTACCAAAGACTTTTGAAGGAGTTCATTCTGCAGAAAACGAATCAGCCTCCTCGGATGATAAGGTTAAATTCATTACTGATGCCTCATCAGAATTGAACATTTTACCGATGGTTAGATTGTTTGGTAGCAACAAACATGAATTTGATTTAGACTGGTACTCCAACGGCCTTTGGTCTTGGGGGTGAAGCTTGATATATAGTTTCTATGATACATATGATATATAGTTAAAAATAAAAAGTCCAAAATAAAAATGATTTATTGAAAAGCTGCAAAATGTACTTTTTGAATCCGTGGGGAAGACATCCGTACACCCAGTGTTAAGTGCGTCTCGCGAATTTTTTCTCCCTGGTGGTAATTCATTTTTGTTAGAGATTTACAGTCATTTTGAGGGTTTAAGCCTAACGAACACGGCAAAGAGACTATTCTAAGGGTATTTATAGCATTAAAAATATGCAAAAAACAAATGCGCAAACCCGGAATCGAACCGGGGGCCCAACGATGGCAACGTTGGATTTTACCACTAAACCATTTGCGCAGTGAATGGTAAGAAAATGCTCCGCGACGGGGAATTGAACCCCGGTCTACCATGCGACAAACGGTAATTCTAGCCACTAAACTATCACGGATTTTTCATGCCAATTTTGAAACATGGTTTTTTGAGTCAAGCACTTTAAATTTACACTTAGTTTACCAATTTTTAAGAAAAATCCAAAATACACCGTTTTCAAGAGTAATCTTAGGCTAATATATAAATTAACAAATACTTGGTTCATATAAATAGCTAACTTTTTATTCTTTCAAAAACGAATCCTGAAAAAAAAATTAGAAAAGTTCGACAATCTTCAGCAGTCAAATTAATTCTGTCAAATCTAATGTATACAACCTTGAGCAATTCGAAAACGACCTTCATATAGTGTTAGATTATTCTTCATGGGTTATTTGGATAGAGCAGACCTATTTCGTCCACACGTGTCGAGTAAGTAGACTAGTAAGCTAGCTTACAAACCGGATAACCATAAAACACCCAATAATACACTAGTTACGTACGGACTAATATACATTGGTGGAGAATCAATGTCCTACTTAGAACAATTTCCACGTTAGTTGCTAAAGAGAAGGATACTTTATTGAACTGAGTAATAAAAACCAAATAATAGTGTCTAGTTGTATATTTACCGAAGACACTCTCTCTGGTAATGGGCCCATATTTCAACCAATTAGGTAGCCATGAAGACTCCAGTTCACACCCAGAAGAAGATTTAGTCCGCTTAGCACTGACATGGGAATATCTATTTATTTATGGTAATATATGATGACATTGCGAATAGGCTTCGAAAAACACCTTGTTATAAGTCATATCAACAATTTTCCAGATCTGTTCTACATGGTCCGGTAGGGCAATACTAAAGCAGAATGAGGTTAGCATATTGAGTACATATATCAAGCTTTTAGGTGTTTGCATAAATTTTTCTCCTTGATCTGTAAAAATTACTTGTTGATCAAAGGGAGTCTGCACTAGTTGTTGTATTATTACTCAAATACAGTCGAATCTAGTTGTATTACTATTCAAATACAGTCGAATCGCTTTCCATATATTTCACATTTCCATATATTGCATTTTACGGGATATACTTGAAGTTGGTATTCTGACATCACGCCAAACGATTGCAAAATTGGATAATTTCGCAGCTTTTTGTAATTTTTGCTTAGATCTAGCATTTTCTCAACAAAACCACTAGCCAAAAAGTTCCACGAACAGAAATGCTACATTAGATATGCGTTATTAAGAATTATTGTATGTTAATATATATGGTAAAATGAAAAAAAAAGGGGGTTGAAAGGGTATGTTATCAATATACAAGAAATGGCCATTTAAAGAAGATAAAAAGAAATAGACTAAGAGTACATAAGTGAGGGCACTGCCCTAGTTTCCCACAACTTTGATCTTAATAAGCACCTCTACCTCTACCACCACCTTGTTGTTGATCATCTTCATTTTTGATTGTTTCATCAACAGATAATAATAAGGTAGCAGCTTCAGTGGCACTTTGAATGGCGTTTGTTTTAACTAAAGCAGGTTCCCAAATGAAATTTTTCATATTATTACCAACGGATTCTTTTTGGAAATCAATACCGTACCAAGTTTCACCTTTAGCATGAGTACTTCTTAAAATGTTTAATAATTCGACACCATCGAAACCAGCATTTTCACATAATTGTCTTGGAATGATTTCCAAAGCTTTAGCGAAAGCAGCAATGATTAATTGTTGTTTACCAGCGATAGTTTTAGCATAATCTCTTAAATACTTAGAGAGTTCCATTTCGATAGCACCACCACCAGCAACAATCTTATTATGTTTAACAGCTCTTTTAACAATCATGATTGCATCATGTAAAGATCTTTCAACTTCAGCAATTACTTGTTCAGCACCACCTCTTAAAATCAATGTACAAGTTTTAGTTTGTGGACAACCTTTAAATATATTATATCTTTCAGAACCAATTTGGACTTCTTCAAAAATTTCACATTCACCTAAATCTTCAGATGTTATATTAGTAGTAGTTGATTGAATAGAACCACCAACAGCTTTTATGACACGATCCATATCTTCATTAGTTACTCTACCAGCACAGAAAATATTACGATCAGCAAAATATTGGGTAGCCAAATCACCAATTGGTAATTTAGATAAAACAATATTAGCACCGGTTTTCTCAATACTTTCTAATTTATTGAAAATGATTTGCCATTCAGCATCAACAATATCTTGATAATCTTGAACTTGTTCAACTCTGACTTCAGCATTATCCTTTTCTGCTTTTAATTCTAATTCAACATTTAAGTTTAAAATCTTAGCATTAGTGAATTTTTTTGGCTGTTGTTCAAACCCAGCATAACTAAAAGTTTTTTTGAAAGCAACCCCATCAATAAATAATGAATCTTCCATACTACCACCTGGAACTTTTTTAACCCCAATCAATTTTTCATCCAACTCTTCTGAATCTAAACTTAAAACGGCATCAACAACCATTTTGGTGAAAAAATCACTATTTTTACTAATCAATTTAGAAGACATGGCAGTTTTGGCACATTTTTCTAATAATTGACGGAACTCGGCGTTATCGCCCTTTTTAATTTCAATTGCTAATTCGTCAATTCTTTTAACTGCTAATTCAGATGCTTTTCTTAATCCTTTGGTGATTAAATGTGATGAAATCCCATCTTCAATAAAACTCTTACTTTCTTTTAAGAACTCCCCTGCTAAAATAGTAACAGAAGTGGTACCATCACCAACTTCGGCATCTTGTGCTCTTGAAATGTCAACCAACATTTTTGCTGCTGGATGAACAATATCCAATAATTTCAAAATAGTAGCTCCATCATTTGAAATGGTGGTCTTGGAATTGGACGAAACTATCAAGATATCAGACCCAAAGGGACCCAAGGTAGGCTTCAAGGTTTCTTGAATAGCAACACACGCATTGATGTTATTAATAATTTGACCTTTTCCCTGGGAGGAATCAGTTCCTTCTTTTAAAACCACAATGGTTGGAGTTTGTGTGGAAAATGACATACTTTATTCTCGTTTTTCGTTCCCTGGATGTTCCAACTAATCACCACGTTATAAAACGTAATTGACTGCTTCTTTACTATGTGTTGAATGGATTTATAACACCAGAAATGTATCTATTCCGCCACCTTTTCAACTGGATCAAAAATCGACTGAACATCAACTTTTTTTTTTCAGATTTTTTTCGTGTTTTTTTTTTTTCTTCTAAATGTACGGGTCTCGACCCTCACACGCCCAAATTTTCTCCGTTCATCACCAAAAAACACCTTGAAAAGTGAAAAATTTCGGTTTCAAAAGACTTCAAGATTCACAGACAGTTGGAAAACACCGGTAAACGAAGATGTTCAAGTCCAGTATACGCAGACTCGAGAGCGGGGCTCTTCCATTTAAAACTTTCCAAAGAAACATTGCCATGAAGGGGGACGTTCATTTATCATCAAGAAGGGTCATGAAGAAGATTGAAATGGGTAAATCAAGGCCAACCATATTTCACCAATTTGAGACTTTGGTTGAACTAAGTGATGGTTCTGTTATTAAAAGAAGATCACAAGCACCTAAGGATGAAATCAGAATGATCAGTGATCAAAGAAATAATGTTTTGTGGAATCCTAATAGATCTGATATAGTTAATATTGATCCAAATACTACTGGTAGAGTTAATAAATTTAAACAAAGATTCTCTGCTTTTGAAACTAAGGAAGACAAACCGGATGCCAAAGCAGAAGCAGCTTCTCCTACTAATAAATACGAAAACGATGATTTCATTGAATTAATGGGCCATGACGTTAAAGAAGCCCCTAAGGGTCAACTTGAACAGAAAAATCGTGGTGGTAAGAAGAAGTAGTTGATAATATTTCAAACTCTTGTACATAATGATTCTCCTTCCTGTAAATTACATATATTTTTGAACTTTCATTGTAATTAAATTTCTATATACATGATGAAATATCGTAAGTCATAAGTTTTGGATTACTTGTTTTTTAAAGACCGATTCCATAAATTTTGGATCAAATTTTTGAAATATCGGTATGATATCCTTGAGGATCATTCCTGTTAATCTCATTTCATTCATTGTCCATTTGATCATATCAAAATCTTGGTCTTTCACTGCTCTTTCTCCTATAATACGTAAACAGTCAAGTCTATTTTGATCATCAATTAAAATCAAGCCTTCAATTGATTGGGGGAAAAATAACTCTCTGAAATCGAATACTTTTTCACTCCCTAAATCAACTAAACCTTTATAAGCGAAACTGGAGTAAAATTTTCTGCTTAATCGATTATTAATCTTATTCAGTATGTACTGAAACATGGTTTTAGCTAGATCTCTCAATGCATCATCAACTTTTGTTAAATGCATGAATTCTTTGACCATTCGCTCGATAAATTGAGTTCTCACTTGAAATTCAACATCCTGATGAAATAAAACATATTTAAGAATGCTAATATACGATGTCTTGGCTATTCTAACATCAGTTCCATTTGTCATAGAAATACTTTCTTCTAAATTATGTTGACGAAGCAATTTGGAAATAATTGCATTAAAATCATTATGATTAATCCCATTCTTCAGTTTAAGTATAGATGGCAAGATTTTATCATGTGCAACATCATTATTTTGCATTAAGAATGCTTCCAATAAAACAGACAATGTCAGTCTATTTAAGGGGGGCTCAAGCTTATTCACCAAATTCTCAAAAACTCTTTGGTCAACTTTAACACAACCATAGTATTTTAATACTCTTTCCATAATCTCAAAATTCCCAAATGCTTCTTGTGGTAATGTATGCAATAATTTTTCGAGATCCTGGTATCTGTGTGATGCAATCAATGAATCGAGTAACTTAGAGAGCAAGTCTAAATTCAGTGTAATAAAATCTTTATCTAGATTATGTAGCTTAAACCACGCCTTAAGAGCTCGATCCAAATTACCAACTTGCAAATTTCTGCCTATTAAAAGACTGGAAACCTCACTGAATTTGCAAAGTGACTCTTCATCTATGAAACATTCACCAAGTAATTTGTCATGCAAAATATTAGCAAAGTATGGAACACCTTTTTCCGCTAACATATAATCAGCCAAAGGAATGAGATTTTTGGTACTAGTAAACTCCATTCCAAACACATCTAATAGTTTCATGATCGCAACCGCATTGTAAGTGAAATGTAAAGTTTTATCGATAGACAATGATTTGAGTAAAACATTAAGAACATTTGGATTAAACTGAATCTCCAGCTTATAGAAATCCAACGCCAATTTGGTAGCCAACATATGCTCTCCAGAAAAGGTTGCTTGGACTATGATTAAAAATGCTAGTCTTTCCTTTAATTTTTTCCTACTCATATAGTCTGATCTTAACGTCAAAAGTTCTTCCATGATGTGTTCAGTGAAAGCATTTGCTTCCGAACCTAGTTCTTTAACTAGTGTGAAAATTGAATTGAATTGCTCCTTGATCAACAATGAACCTAGATCATTCAAGAGTATTATACGAATCGAGCTGGATTTATCAAAATTGTCAAACAAGAGTTTCAATAGACTCTTATTGATCTTGGGATACGTCATTAAATCATCAGCGAATATGGCATCTTTTGATTTATAGTAACTGTAGCAATCACTTACACTATGCTTCAATGGCTTCCTGTTGGCCAATATCTTATAAGCCCTTGATAATCGTTCGAATGCTCGTAGATTACTTTGTTCCTTAGAAGCATTCAAAAAATTTGGCACCGACAGTATTGCCTCTTTAGTTCTCTTCTTATTTGCAATAGAATGACGGTGCATCTTCTGGGTGAACGTAGCAACTACTATTGCTTTTTTGTTTAAAGCTTGTCGAATCACAGTATTCAACTGATAGCTAGAGCAAATGATCATTGAGTAATATATTCATGTAGCAAAGGTGAAACAAAAACAAAACAGAATGAATAAAGCCGAACCCGGGAATATAATTGGAACTTTTCAGCAGGAAGCAGGCGCCAAAACAAGTCTTGCTTCACTTAAAGGAATCGTGTATCTTTGAGATGGTGATGTCTTCTCGAAGTATTTGAATTTTTTTTTTTATTTTTCAGAGTCTGCGTAAAAAAGAATTGGCGATAGTCAAAAATTTGCAACTCTACAAAAGCTTTCAAATCTATAAATATATCAACTAAAGAGTTTATTACTAAGTGTTATGCTATCCTACAGTCGCCTAAGGATAGACCGTACATCACTTTTTCGACGTCTCGTTTAATCAAGGGCCAGTCTTGTCTCCTTTGAACGAATTCGTAAATCTCTTCTTGACCAAAGATACCATTGAATTTAGATAAATCACTAACCAATTTCCCGATTGATTTGGATTCGCTTCCACTTATTAAGTAAATACTTCCGACCTTCTTTAAAGATTGGAATAGAGGGTACACGAGTTTTTTGTTTGTTTTAATGTGCTCAACGATAAAGTCATAGTATAAGTTTAAGTCTGAAATCAAATTGATTGCGCCGGTAACTGAAATAGTACTTCTTTTCAATACCTTAACAATGATTTGAAAGAATCGCTCAGCGATTTCTTGTTGGAAAACATCCACAATAGATTTATCAGCACTTCCGACTAGTAAATCGATGTTATCTTCGAGAATTTTAACTGCTGTTCTAGCAGGTTTTGTAGGGCCATCGAAGATGGTCGAAGTATCAATAGGAGGATTATAGTCTTGTTCTTTGAGTCCGTTTCTGAAAGTTGCTTCAATCTCATCTATCAAAATATCAATACCAACATTTAAACCATCAGCCACATATTTATCAACTAAGCCTTCTAGCTTTTTTTTACTTTGCAAAGATGGATTCAAAATGGAATTTTCTTGTTTCACAGCCTTTCTATTAATCATTTCCTCTTTATAGAAAATATCAATCATTTGAATAATTAAATCAGCCATATTAATCAGATCAAAAAATAAAACTAATGGTTCTATAAATGATTCAGTTGGCGTATTTATATAAGTCATATCTTTTGGATTATAGTTTTGTAAATACTGTAATGCCTTGATGAAACCCGGTCTTAAATGGTCTCCACCAATCGAGTCAATTACAGTTAAGAATATTTCTTGCATGAACCTATAAGCGTCACTTTTCAAAGCAGCAATTGTATATTCTTTAAATTTCAAAAGTCGACCTAATGACACTTTTGCTTCATTTAAAATATCCAACGAAAGCTCGGGACTGAAAATTTTATTTAAAGATTTGATATTTTCGGATAAAATCTTTGCTTTAGCTTGAATTTCGGAATAATTCTCAGCATCATTCTTATCATTTTCTGGCTCGCTCTTACTCTGTGATGAAGCTGGATTAATTGTGAATACTTTTTTGAAACTGGTCAAAAAATCGTTTTTGGTTTGAACTTTAACGTGCTTCCAAATGTTTTCCGAAGTATCATTTTCCCTTTTCGTTATGGTTTCATTCCAATTGGTGATATTTTCATTGACATAATTTCTAAAATTGAGTATCTCATCTCTCATATACTCTGATGCGAATGATTCAAATGACATATCAATCAATTCCAATATCAAACGATGATAACTTTCTCCAACGTTTTCACTTGGATTTAATTTTGGAATAAAATCATTAACTAACTTATCATATAAATAAGGAACAGTTTTTAAATAAGTACCTTTTGTTCTCGCAGTATCTATTATCAACATTATAAGCTCCACTAGTTGATTAGAAATAAGCTCTTCACTAACTTTATACATCATTGGAACTGATTGGGGGAAAATCAAATCAATGATTCTTACTTCCTCATTGAAAACGTCCACCAAATCCTCAGTAAATTCATTGAATCTTTCGGCATTCAAAGTAAAAGTTTCTTCATTAGTGTCATTGATATCATTTGCAGAATTAGATGCTCCAGAATCGTCTGCAAGCTTATAAAAACTGTCAGCATCGAAAGCATCAAAATTGAAAAATTTACTTTCTTCATTGTCAAATATACTTTTCTGTAGAAAGAAATCAATTAACGTCTGCTGATTACCTAAGTTAATAAGTATCTTGACGAACTGATTTGTCTTTTCGTAATCTTGAATATCGTAATGAATTTCAAGTTCTCTCAATAAGGCATTTTCAAAGATCTCTAGAATGGAATTGATTTTATCTTTCACCATTATACTGCTATCTTCATAAACATCTATATTATTATATCGAAGAAGATTTGTTAATATCTTAGATTGTTCTTCTGGGGTTTGAAAGTCTTTAAAAATCCTCAATTGATCATAAGGTTTATTCAACTGCAAGTCGGTATAATAAGGATACAATGCTTGATGTATCTTCAAAACCTGGAACTTGGCCGCTTTGGGAATCTTCAATGTTTTATCAAAACAAGTCAATGGATTTGATAAATGGCTAAAGTCCATTTTCCCAAGTTTGGTTTCATTCAATGGTAGACCGGCCTTGTCCCAGCATTTCAAATCCTTCAATTTGGATATCCAAAGCTGAGGATCATTCACCGTCTTGTATGTGTTCTTAGATACCTTACCGAATATCACGAGATCCTGAACACACAAGTACTTTGAAATACATCTGGCAACCAGTATAGGAATAACCTTAGGATCGTAAACATCGATATCCGAATTCCATATAACCCGTGACATTGAACCAGCAAATCAATTTATATTGCGAATACTTGGACTCCCCAACGTGAAGCTCAACCACCTGTTGGTTTTTAAACAAAGATGAATATATCGTGGATAAGATTTGAAATAGAAGTCGTGGAGATTTCTGCCAAAAAATCATCACCAAAAAATTAAACATTGAGCAGACGGAAAAAAGAAAAAAAAAAAAAAATTCAAGATTCAAGAGTCCAAATCAAATAGCCAAAACCAAAGAAATTCTCCCTAGTTAAGCCGTGTATATAGATGCTGGGACTCTTGCCGACCCTTTTGAATTGAAATACCCAATATGATACGAGTGCGGCCACTTCATAGCCATAAGTGCCGGCTATGGTGGTGCAGACCCAAGTATAAGACATTACTACCGGCAATAAGATTGAAGCATAATAATTCCAAGTTAGATTTCGAAGAGAATGCCAATAAGACACGCCAGACGATTTCCAACAAGCTTTCGAACTTTGTTCTCGAGTTTATCAAACAGGAAACGGACTACTTGGCTCAATCGATAATCCATGATCCGTACTCATCTCAGGTCATCAAGTCCGACAATCTACCTTACCAACACTTATATTCGAATTTGGATACCAATATACAGAGAAGATTGGAAGGAATCCCCGACGAATACCACCGGCTCGTGGCACTACTCTCGTACAACCACATATTAATCCATCCCGAGATTTACATGAGCCATTACGGAAATATCAAGACTCGTCTTGATGACCAGATACAGAAGCTACTTATACGGAGGTTGGCGGCGCATGGGAGATTCGAGGAATGTTTTAAGATTTTTTTTGAACATCAATTATCCACCCTTAATGATATGGAAGACTTTTTAGATTTAGTAATTGGTGAGCTTGAGCAGAAACGCAATACTGACATTGGCATATATGAGCTACTTCTAGCCTGTCAAAGCAGTGCTTTAAACCAAAGCTCCATAAACTCGTTGGTGGATTCAATAAGTTATAGAAGCCAATACAGCAATAAGAAAGGGTTCCGTATAATTGAGATTCTTCTGGAATTACAAGCAGTCGAATCGATTCCGGAGCTTGAGCTCTTCACTATATCCAGAAAGACGGATTTATCCCTGGATAACGTGCTTAGAATGTTTAAGTATAGAAAACATCACGAACTAATATATTCCAACAATCATGTCGATGAGTTGACCAAACAAAATATGCTCAAAGCATTGGTTAACGAGATCTATGATGATAAACCAGCATTTCAAACAGCGGGATTTCTATCCCTTTTCATTTCCTCCACGCCATTAGGACTACCGCAGACTCCAACCAATGAAAATGTTAATCCAATTGAACCAAATATTCTTTTATCTGTACTATACAAAGCTATATTTAAGGATAAAAAATTATCCTTTAACGACTATGACGCCCTTCATTTGGTAAGAAATTGCCCCCCTCAGCATTTTAAAAACTTGTACATATTACTCCATCGAAATTCGATTTCAAAATTGCATAACTCCCCTTATATCATTAGCTATTTTGCTGCCTTATTAACCAGTGGGAAGGACTTACAGACGCTTTATTTGTTTTCTAGTAAGTACTCGAGTCTCATAAACCAAGAGACGTCTCTGCATATATTATCCAAATTGTTCCCAACAGCCAACTTCGAGTCGTTTGTTAAACGGCTTTATAAAAATCCAAAGGAGAAAAATACTATCATAGCCCAAAAATTCATCGAACAGCTCAATCCTAAAATCAGCATAACCCAATTGGGGACTCTCCTAGCGACCTTTGTCAAGGACGAAGGGTTGTCGACCCAGTTTGACAATATCCTCAAAATGTTGAATCGTGATAACTTCACCACAGACGAAATCTTACACTGTCTCGAAGGATTACTAGACATATCTGGACCGACTCGTCGCCAACTATTGGAAATTGGCCGATGTGCCTTATCTCGCAACAATATCACGAACCCCGAGTTCATGGGCCCGTTTTTCCAAAGGCTTTTACAAAGGTGCTGGAATAAAAATACCATTTTGCAAAGAATATCCGACCCATCAACAGTGACAAAATCTTCCGACCCGTTTCATACCTTATACGGAAATACCAGTGAAGCGGAAAAGGCCAAACTTCATAATACCATTCGTGCTTTTGCACAAACCCTTTCTCTCTTAAATGCAGAGGAAATAGGGCTGGCTCTCAATTCCATCAATTCATTCATGCATTCAGATAGATTCACGTTTGTCAACACTCAGATCGGTAAGAAATACGTCATGGATCAGCTTCTCTACGATACAACTAGATTCATAGACCGAGCTCATCTTAAAAGCCCCAAACAGGGGGTTGTTAAAGTGAGAAACATTCTTTTCAAGCTAAACTTCGATGCTAGAATTGCCCAATGTGCGTTATATCGGTTCATAGTCAAGGATGATCCCCATAAATGCTTACAGATTCTCAATGCTTATAAAGACAATACCACTACCGTCAGAAGTGACATGATGCAAGACATCATGCTAGGCATTTTAACCACTCATCGATTGAACGGAATGGACAAACTTCAACTATTCGAGCATTTCAGAAAAGAGAGCATGGACTCGGGTTTCGCCATTAGTCTAAAACCAAGAACCATTGTCAAGCTAATCGAACTAATCATTGATGTCACCGAAAAAGACCCCAATAAATCGCTCGGCTCAATCTCCTGGGTCCTCCGCTACGCTTCGGATAAAAAAGTTCCATTTGATATCATTCAATCTTGGAAAGTGAAAATTTTCAGCAACAGAGGGCCCATGACGTAATTCTACTTTTACTCATTATAAAATAAAAGGATCGTAAATAGTGCTTATATTAAAAAACCCTTGATTCTTTTACTGTGATCCGAAAGATTGCAAAATGTAAAACAAAGCCCGTACACCCATAGTGTACCGACCATTTTCGATTTGTGCGTTTTATGCCGATGAAATGAGGTTAGTACAAATATATCAAAAGTTTTGACAAAAGGTTTATTTTACCTACCATTGATTACACCAACCCCCACTAGGAATGAGCGTGAGAGCATACGGTGTTACCCCTCCCATATCAACTGCGAACCCAACTCCCCGAGAGAATAACCTAAATGACTTATTAATCACTGAATTGAAGAATCGCGGGTCGTTCGAAAGTGAACAGGCGACTAAGAAAAGAGTGGAAGTCCTTTCCTTATTTCAAAAAATGGTTCAAGAATTTGTGTACAAAGTTTCAAAAAATAAAAATATGTCTGACGGTATGGCAAGGGATGCTGGAGGAAAAATATTTACTTTCGGATCTTATAGATTGGGTGTTTATGGCCCTGGATCCGATATTGATACCCTTGTGGTGGTTCCAAAGCATGTCAGCAGAGACGACTTCTTTACTGTATTTGAAGAGATCATTAGAGAGAGACCAGAGCTTGAGGAGATTACTTCGGTTCCTGATGCTTTTGTCCCGATTATCAAATTAGAATTTGCAGGTATATCTATTGATTTGATTTTTGCCAGATTGAATGTTTCACGTATACCCATTGATATGACTCTCGAAGATAAAAACTTGTTACGAAATATAGAGGAAAAGGATATGAGATCGTTGAATGGTACAAGAGTTACCGATGAAATTTTGCAATTAGTACCTAAACCAACAGTTTTCAAGCATGCGCTACGTTGTATAAAGATGTGGGCACAACAACGAGCTATTTATGCAAATGTTTTTGGATTTCCGGGTGGGGTTGCATGGGCAATGTTAGTCGCCAGAATATGTCAACTTTATCCAAATGCTGTTAGCGCTGTTATAGTTGAAAAGTTTTTTCACATTTACACGAAGTGGAACTGGCCCGAACCTGTTTTGCTTAAACCAATTGAAGATGGACCCTTGCAGGTACGTGTCTGGAACCCAAGATTATATCTACATGATCGTCAACACAGGATGCCAGTAATCACACCAGCCTACCCGTCTATGTGTGCCACTCATAACATTACAAGCTCCACTCAGCAAATAATTTTATCCGAACTTGAAAGAGGTGCGGAAATTATGAATCAAGTTAGCGTGGGTAAGAAAAACTGGTCCGACCTTTTGGAAAGGCATGATTTCTTTCATCGCTATAAGTTCTATTTATGTATTGTTGCTGCTTCAGAATCCACAGACGAAGAACACGGAAAATGGAGTGGTATGATCGAAAGTAAACTTAGATTGTTAGTTCAGAAATTGGAAGTTACCGAGGGAATAACCCTAGCTCATCCATACGTGAAGGATTTCAGTAATACATATCTTCTTAAGGATAATAAGATCGAGGACGTTATCGATGCTTATGGCAACATACAAGGGGAGCCATTTCTCAATCTGCTTGCCACTCCTACTGAGGAAGACAAAGATGAGAAACACATTCATCTAACTAAGCTTTTCATTGGTTTAGAAATCAATTTGACGAAACCTATGAATCTGGCTGACGGTGTCAAGAAGCTTGACATTCAATACCCATGCTCAGAATTTTACAACTTGTGTAAAGGCTGGCAAACTTACGATGAAAATATTCATCAAATTCAAATTAAGAATGTTAAATTATACGATTTACCTAATGACGTTTATGTTGAAGGAGAGAAAAGACCTGTAAAAATTACAAAGAAGCGTAAAAAGGATGGGAAGACGGATAAACAAAAAAGACCCAAAAGTACAATACCCACAGCAGCCTAGATAGTGAAACATTAATTCAATAAATATAATAATATAATATAATATAATATAATATAATAAATACATAGTCAAAAGTACTTTTCTTTTTTTTTTTCGTTTAAATAGCTAAGGTGACAAGAACAAATCTTCAACCCTCCCGAGCGAATGCTTCTTCATTTCCGGAGAATTGACTTCTGGTTTGTTCGTCGACGTTTCTAAGTTCAAATTAGCGCATAGCCAATCGAAAAATCCTATATCTGGCGCTTGCAATCTGTAAACAACTGCATATTTATCCCATATAGACTTTTTCTTTTCTTCCCTCCAAGCTTCGGCGAGGAGCGATGAAAGCTGGCGTTGATGATCAGGTTTGAAGATAGATTTGCTATAAAATGTTCGAAAAGCAAAGAATCCATTTATTGTTCTTTTAGAATTTTTAGGGCGACTCTTCTTTTTCACGGATCTTAATGAATCTTCATTTAGCCGATTAAATTCAATGAGAATATTTTGAAGTTTGGAAGGGGGAGTAGGAAGATCTGGGAGCTTGTCAGCTTGTAGGGTAATTTGGGTTGAAGTGGGCTCTTTCTTAGATGAGTTTTGTCTCAAGGCAGGCTTAAACTTTCCTAATGAAAAGCGAAGGATATCCACCTTGGAGTTTTTCTTCATCGGCCTAAACTTGTGCTTCATGTTACTTGATGGACTCATGAGCTTCCTGAAGTCCTGGGGTTATTCATGTTGAAAAGTGGTTTATCTCCTTTATAAGAGCTGCGAAATGCCAGTTTTGTGTTCGACATACGCACGTGATCACCACTCAACTTCTTATTACAAGCACAGAGTCCTTTTTTACGAGGAATTATACACATTCAATAATAATGTACTCAAAATTATTACCCATATTGGGAGAGAGACTTATAATTTATAATTCAAATAAAAATCACATTATAGATATTTCTTATATTAAAGTAAGTGGGTTATTCTTATTTTCCGGGCTCCACAGTCTTTAATACAAAGCATTTCAACCAATAGAAACATATTTCAATACTTAATATCGCTACTAACGACCACCTGATGAACAGTATCCTTGAGTCTGTTTTGGGTTTGATCGACTTGTTGAGTCCGTTAACTAAGGTTCAATAAAGTGCTAGTTTTTAACTACTGTCGCAAAAATGTTTTTTGCATCAAAGTATAAAAAATAGACTATCCAGCTGCGATCTTTTAAAACACAGTATAACCCACCAATATCAACAAGCCCGTTCAGGCAATTTTGATTCTGCAGATAAAGAGCGTGAATGTAAAGATAGTAATTGAAGGTATCACAAGTTTATTTCTTCTACCCCAAACAAATGAATCCTACTAGGGAACGCACTCAACAATATCTCATGGGAAAGTTCTTATTCGATGATAGAACAAATTCAGACTCGATATATTTTTTCAAGCAAGATAAACATTGACACATAAAGTCTTGAAAGCAATTAAACACGGATTGAGTAATCCAAATTGAATCAGTACTTAACTTATAGACAAGACAATTATATACGAATGAGCTCGACTTTGGACTTATTAATCTCGTCGCAATAATCTATGTCAAGCTCATGTCAAAGCAGTATAAATATTTTCTAAGCAGTCTTGAAGTATGTCTTGAAACATGTCCTAAAATATGCCTCAAAGCTACATTTGTCACTGACAGTATCATTGTAATACTGATTTTTTTTTTTCATTTATTTAACTATAAATCCCTTGAGTAACCATTTGAAACTGATCATACAATCTGGTGTACATACTTCCCAAACTCTTTCCAATCAAAGTGGTCTCTACGAATGATTCGCTTTCCTCATCATTCAAATGAAGTTGAAGTCTTTGTTTGAGAAGGATACTTGTGTTTTCACCACTCTTAAAGCATGGTAATGTTGAATCTTTCTGCATAAGTTCAACTATGCTGACTATTTGGTCACTTTCTTTCCTCAAGGCCTTGAAGCATTGCTTACAAGTATTTTTGAACGTCTCATAAGTCGAACTTTCAATGCCTCCCATCAATTCAACGTATTCTGCCGTAAGTTTAAATGGAGCAGCCTCGAAACCCACGCTTCCGGGAGAATTTGAAAGAAGAAAACCAAAATCTATATGGATAATATGTCCTTCATTATCTAACATTATGTTACCATTATGTCTATCCTTAATTTGAAGTACATAACATATTATGGAATATGAAGCTAAACTTTTTGCAAAATTCTCCTGAGCCTGTTTATATTTCGTTGATGTTGGAGAGCCATAAATCTTAACAAAATAGTCCAGTAGAGTGAATATGCGACCCTTAGAATTTTCTCCCCTTGAGATTGATATTTCAGTCAAGGATTTTTTTATAGAATGTATTGAAATAGCATTAGTGATCGTTTCAACAAGACCAGCATTGGCACTAGTGATTAATATCTTCATTCTCTTCGTCCAAAAACTAATATTATGTTTTTTCCACATACCGGATATCATGGTGATCAATTGACAAGCGAATGCCTCTTGGGGAAGGTCATCTCCATTCTTTACTATAACAGAGCAAAGATCCCAATTTTCCAAATGCCCGTAAATACTGGAGCTTTTGATTCTCATTTTCTTGGTAGCCCAATCTTCACCGAGCTTAAAATCGTTTTCGAGTTTTCTTTCCCCTGCATCTTGATCATCTCCCCTAAGTTGATTGAGTTTATCATAGTTGATTGAGTCAAATTGGTCTTGCAAGGAAATCATAGAGTCGACTATTCTGCTTCTTATAGATGTGGATTGTTCAGAGGCAGCTTGGCCTGAGTTCTCTAATTGTTGTAACATGACAGAAGCAATACGCATTTGATCGGCCAATACCTTTGTAGAAATCTCGGCCGAGTTCCTAGATTGTGCAGTAGATTCTTGACGCAAATTATCAATATTATTGTCAAAAAGTTTGATTCGGTTAAGATCATGTCCTGAACTCTTGCGAGACATAATGGGCATGTCACCCAAATCTGCTTCACCCATGATAACTCTGTCTGTATCATCATTATCAGTGAATTGAGGTGGTGAGGAATCAACGTTCGTTTTTACCATGCTGATCAAATCCTCGGTAACTTCCTCCGACTTGGGTTCTTTCATCTTAGATCTCCTAGAAATTATTTTTTGATTCTGTTCACTGAAAGGGTTGAAATCAATTTCATCACTTAAATACTCCACAAACAATAAGAAGGGAACTCGTTCTGCAGAATTTAACACACAGGCCTCATTAACGCTTAACTTTAAAAGCTTGTGATATTTCTTATTTCTATTACTCGTGATTGGAAGAAGCTGAGGAATGTCGATTTCTGATGGAAGTAAATTTTCGTTTATAATTGATAGTTCAGCACGTAATGCTGATAATCTGGCCTCTTTAGGAAGTTGAGATAGTCTTAGTGATATATTTTGAAGAGACATCATGAAATCAGTCTCTTTCTTTGAGTAATTCACCTGCAATACCTTCATCAACCCATTGAATGTTGGTAAATGATGCATATCCCTAATGCTACCAGCATTTGAAGCACTATGATCTCTATAAGGTCTAGTCATTCCCAAACACGACTCAGATTCTGTTGGTGACAACTTAGGTCTCTCAGTACTTTTTTGACTCTCTGTATGTGTTAAATCGGGCATGGATTGAGAGTTTGAAGTCAGTTGGTCTCTATATACAGATTTTGCTTGTTCTTTCTTCAGTTTTCTTTTGATAGTCTTCTTTGATTTTATGGTGGTGTTTATTCTCAAATTTTCTTCCACGTCGCTAAATACCTCTCTATGAAAACTCGAAGGGGGTTGTCTCAAATCCAAAGATCTGTGCTTTCTCAAAACACCGATATCACTTCTCAGTTCTGAATCTTCGTCAGTTGTATTGGTCTCTGAGTCATCTGACAAAAAGTTAGCACTTCTTCTGGGAGAGGAATGGGCAAGCGACGAATGGATTTGTGGTGAATCCCCAATTTTGCTTCCGGCGACACTCAAACTTGGGCTTAAAGTGTTATCATCATCAGCACCCAAGGCAGCATCGCTTGACATTCGTTGATTTTTCATTGTGAGGTTTCTAGTTAAAGACTTCTGGAAATTTGCTAACTTAAACACAAATGACTTTTGTTGCTTGCCTTGAGTCTTAATTATGGGTGATGCATACTCTTGAATTTTTGGTAGACCAAATCCTGCTGCTACAGCACCACATAACACCAAAGAAGGTTGTAGATTCTCTCTGAAAGAATTATCTTGATTGGGAACTTCAGTGTTAAACAATATGTCTTGAAGCTTGTTGATAAACTTTCTGATGGTCTGAAAAGAGTAAGATTCTGGTTCATTTCTTAATTCAAAAATATAAGCCTGTAAATTCCAAAACACTATTAAGCTAAAGTGTGGATATTTAGCGGAGTAATCGAGCAAGAATTCTTCTAATGCCATTGAGTCTGTTTCAAAAGAGACCATAAGTTGTATCAATTGTGGAATGAAGAACTCTAGTTCATCATAGCTGTAAGAGTATAACTTCTTGACTAAGTAGTGATGAATTCCGATATTTGTTGAGTACTGTCTCAAAAAGTCAATGCAATGAAAGGCAAGACCAGAAGAATTTATAGCTTCTAATACATCCTTATGATCGTCTGACATTGTCTATGATTGAATCCATGTAGTTCAAAACATACCAAGAGGTTGATTTAGTCTGATTTCAATGTCAAATATTTTGAGAAATCCACGCTGTCTTTCTTACATGCAGGTTTTACCACAAAAGATTCACTAGCTTATAAATAATATATAAACCTATTAATTAAATGTTTAGAATTAAAAAGAAAATACAAATATATATATCTAACTAACAAGTCTTTCACAATGAAGACGAATAGTATTGTAAAAAAATTTAAGGAGATTAACAAATGTCAAATCAACTATAAGCCACAAAAAAACTTTCCATAAAAACGAAGTAAAATCAAGCAAGTCTAAGGTCAAATAGAGCACCAGGTAATCCAGAATCCGTATTGAAGTTACTTGAGTGGAAAAAGGGAAAGAAGCTTTTCTGTGTTTGTTTCAGGACTGTCATCGAGGTCAAAATCTTCCTTAACAACGAAGGGTATTGCCTTTTGTCCCGATGCTTTGAATAGCTTAGGTTTGAACTCCTCGCCTTTTTCGAGTCTCTCCTTTGCTCTAATTCTTTGTTCTTCTTCTACTTTAAATTTCTCTTCTGTAGCAGCTTCATGGTCACGCTCATCCAAAGCAGTTATGGTCTTATGCCATAACTTTCTAGATTCAAAATGGTCTTGCTTCTCCAACAGTTTTACTTTTGGCTTATATATGACAGCTTTCGACGTATCATAAAAAGTAGACTTTTTGGTATCTTTACCTTCAATTTCCATAACTTCATTCCATTTCCCAGATATGGTATATAATTGTTCCGAGGTTTTTGAATTAAAAATTGTACCCTCAATAGCGTCATAGTTACCACCTATGAAGCCTTTAGTTTTGAATTCAATATCAGCTTCAAGACCAGTGTCCTCACATTTAATGATCATGTGATCACCCAATTCATAGCGTAATTTCCCAAATAGTATACCTCTACAATACATGTTTGGTTGTGTCATAGTGTATTTTTCGTTATTCCTTTCTCCTAACGTGAGACATGCGAGACCCTCCATCATTGCAGCTGATGAATTTCCTAAAAATTTAGATCTAGGGATAATTACACCATCTGCAGTAATCTTTTTTTCCGGAACAATATAGAAGTAGGATGATTCAGGTGGATGATGTGAAGTTTGTTCGGACAAGTAATAAGAGGTGTTGCCACCAGGTAAGTCATCCCAGTAGCAACCAAATACCTCCCCTAATATAGGGTTCAAAGGCTTCTTCACAGCCTTAGGAGCAATGTGCCAACATGACAAATACCATTTAACTATAAGCAAAAATCTTTCAACATCATCTTCGGTATCATTTGCTTCCAAAAGTATTTGAGGAGTGAAGAAAGCATTAGTTATTCTTTCCAACATGGATTTTTTTTCTAAAATGAATGTTGGGAGGGTGATCTTCGTGAGGTCACACCCAGGCCTCAATTGAGAGATAATACCCAAAAGAATCGATTGATTTTCTGAATCAATTTCGTCCACGTCATCAGTTGATTGGCTCGTTACAGGTTCATCCTCCTTGCCTTCCTCGCTATTGGTCTTTTTTAACTTCAATTTGCTCAATGAATTCAAAACCATTGTTTATGTTGAAACAAATATAATGATCACTTTAGTCTTTAATTGATGTGGAATGAAATTGCTTTATAAAAAAGAAGTTTTATTCAATCCCAGTTATCTTAATTTAACTTTGCTGAGGTTAAGGAAGTTTCCTTTCACATGCACGACCCATTTCTCCAAAAACTTTACCAGGAAGACGTAGGTTAGTATTATTACCTATTATTTCTACATTAGACATAAACATAATGGCAACACCATTAACTCGCCCCTTTTATCAAGAGTCATTTATCATGCTACAAAAAGCTTTGAATAGGATATGTTTCAGTGTTGTAGTCAAACTTTTTTTTAATTTACCTGTTTTTATTGATATAAAGTTAACATGTAAAACAGGTAATACAATTTGCAAGTTAGATATTGCAGCTAAATGCACTCCGTGTGGTACTTTTCACTCCCCTGATCAGGTATAAAATGCTGATTTTGATCCTATGATTTATACCCCCAAATCCATAAAGTTCATATTATTACTTGAGCTATGAAAGTTGATAACTATCAACCTAAACAAGACATCGAATCTCGCTTATGCCAATTGAATGGGATTTTGACTCACCTAAAAATACATATCACAAATGTATGTACCTTGCCTGATTTCCAACCTGAATCCATGCAAAAAGATCTCACTGGTGACTGTCTTGTTGTTCGTTTACTTTTAGATTATAACATTCAATTGAGTGAGTCCGAACAAGCTTTACTTGCAAAAATAAATAAGTTGTCCAATCTTTTGATACTCATGATTGAAGAGAGACAGAGAATTCGAATAATCTTTGACCGAACTCCAAGAACACTTCAAGCCCAAACTGTAGTAGAAGAAGCAAATAAGATATCAGATGCATCTGACAAAAAAATTTCATTCGAAGTGTTGACACAGAGTGATATATCTAAAGGACCCAAGACCAATCGCCTCCAGGATCATCAAGTGCTGATATTGAATGAGTGGTATGGCCGTAATAAAAAGCATCCTTATGTTGATGAAAATTCTTTAAAATATTTGATTGAAAAAACGAGATTGTCTGAAACTCAGGTTAGAAATTGGTATGTCAGATACTTTATGAAATTTAAAAAGTTGTTACATCGACTAACAAGAATACTGTAGGTTTTCCAACAAAAGAAGAAAGCATAGATCAAACAAAGTTTCCCATGAACTTGAACCCCTTTTAAGCTAAGCTGGGGAGTGAAATTTTTATTCCATATCTTTGAATTTATCGAATGAAATTCGGAATAAACTAACGAACGAGATTAAAGAACATAAGCCAACAGTTTAAGTTCTAAAGAAATCTCTATATATTTTGTTTTAAATAATATATACATTTTGGACAAAATACTAAAATATGTACAGCAAATGAACGCATAGAACGGTTCTTGAAGAGAGGGTTGAAAGAAGAAATTATTAACATTAAAACCATTTACCGAATTTTTTTGGTTTTGTAATGTTTGAGAAATCTCTTGGTTGGGTTAAAGGAGGGCCATCGAATTTTCCTAAGCCGAAATACTGTAAAACGAATTCAACGTCACCGAAAGCAGCTCTATCACCTTGCATGACGATTGAAGGTTTACCAGAGCTGACACCATTAGTAACCACATTACCGGATAAGACTTTCTCGGCTACGTTTCTTAAATCATCTACTGATAAATTTTCAATTTTTGAAATCATTTCATCAACTGTAGTTAATTTACCTTGACATTGAATTTGACGACCTAAATCTTCTAAAGCAGCCAATTTACTTTCAACATTCATTAAAAGAGAACTTATTAATTGATTCTTAGCTCTTTTAACTTCTTTTTCACTTAACCCACCTTTTGAAACATCTTTTTCTAATAATTTTGATAATTCAAATGCAATAATTTGTGACATTACATGAGCAGCATTTGGAGAACAACTTATGGTAATACCAAAAATACCTGAATTTATATAAGAATGATTGAAACTCATACAATTTTCAACAAAAGCGTATTGATTTAAAACTCTTGTATATAATCTTGAAAACATACCTTTACCTGGACCACCAGCAGAAAAGGAAGAACCCCCACCTAATAATTTTTGTAAAGTAGCCAAAGCAAATAAATCGTCATCCAATAAACCAGTTGTTTCAAATCCAATTTGCATATGATATAACTCAGGTAAGTTAGCATAAACTGGTGGTTGATAAGGTAATGAAATTTCACCACCAGTGTATTCTATAGTACCTAAATCAGGGCGTTTATTTGTTAAAGATTTCCAATCACCTAATTCAGATTGAGCTAACTTTAAAGCATGTTCATGAGGTACCCCAACCATTGCAATAACGGTATTTTGAGGTTGATAAAAAGTCTTATGATAATCTAAGATTTCTTTTTTAGAAATTGAAGGTATTCTTTCTGGCGGGCAGAAAAGTGGCAAACCTAAAGTATTATTTTGATAAGCTGCCGAATGCAAGACTTCTGGTAAAAACATATCATGTTTCAAGGCAATTTCACTTGCTTCATATTCTGCGGTTTGTAAAGTTTCAATAAGTTCTTGATCGGTAATTTTTGGCATTCTGATTGTTTCTGAGATGCAATTAAACATTTTATCAACATCTTTATTGAATACAGAAGCTTGGTATAACATTGATTCTCTTTGAGCTGAACACATATAGTTCCCACCTAATTTTGACAAATTTTCCATCATTTCCAAACCAGAATGATTTTCAGTTGATTTCCATGCAAGTCTATCGAAAATGTGGGACAACCCTGGTTTGCTGGCCTTTTCATATCTGGATCCCGCGTCTACGTAAGCACCCAAAGCACTGAAGTGGCCCGGAGTTGAGTCGGTCACTATACGTAATCCATTATTCAAGGTAGTTAATTGCACATTTGGATTTGCAAGTTGAACTGTTGATGCAGAGCTAGCGTATGATCTCTTGAAACCGCTCAGTAATCTCACACCTGTATTTCTCAACATTCCCCGATAGTTCTATAAGTCTAAATCAAAGTATTTCACTCGTTAATTGGATCTAGAGAGATTGATTCAAGTAATTTTATAGCGCTTTCTCTATTCTTTTTTTTTTTTTGGCCGCTCTTTTTTTGAACCGGGGACACGCCCGCTGGCAAAAAATCTACAAATTGGCTGCAATTATTAATTGGTGATCTGGATTTATGTCTATTTAGTAATCGAGGAAGTTGTTTCTATTTAGTAATTGAATTAATGTCCTTTTAGTAATAGATGAAGTTGTGTCCATTTAGTAATTGAATTAATGTCCTTTTAGTAGTCGATGAATTTAACTTCCGGATGGTAGTAGATAGGACAGGACCAGTAGGATCTTTTCACGTCATCCCAGACACTTTTATCTGAGGATTCTTTTAACTGAGAGTCAGGAACGTTAACTTCGGTGAATTTACAATTTAAGCCATAATTGGATAAATCCAATTCCACCAATTTCTTATAAACTTCGTAAATGACTTGTCTATCAGCACCCAAACCATTAAAGAAGGAGAAAACCCCATGGGGTTTTAACAAACCAACGATACAATCGAAAAGCTCCAACATATCTTGATAATGTTCTGAATAAGTGTCATAATAAATACCATTGAAAAAAATGGAGCCACTACTTAATAAGTCAGATAGTTTATCTTGCCATCTACCTTCCAATATAACCACGTTTGGTTTTTCGTACCAACCGTCTCTTTTCAATTTGGCCAAGACATCAGGATGGGCTTCACAGATGTAGTGTTTTGTTGGCTTTTCCTTTTGAATCATCGAATCAATGATCCCCATCCCAAACCCGATATTTAAGACGTTGATTTCGGAGTCGAGTTCATTTGGCTCTATGTAGGAGCCTTTTTGGAAAAGCGTGTCACATCCTTTCTGCATGAGATTAGTTTCCCAGGACATCATGACCCCGTCTTTAGCGTCTTTTGTTATGAGAGCGTCATCGCGGTATTCGAGTTTGGTTTCAAGGTAAGCTGCTTGATTGTAAGCTGGGTCAGAGGGATCATTCACTTTTACATCTTGTTCTTTTTCTTCTGTTTCTTCATCTTCTTCTTCTTTTTTTTCATCTTCATCATCTTTTTTTTCATCTTCATCATCTTTTTTTTCATCTTCATCATCTTTTTTTTCATCTTCTTCGATCTTCACCGACAGAAATTGTTCATGGTTTAAATCATCGGTATCCTCAATCACCTCCATGTCAAACTCACTGACCTTTCTCAATAACAACTCTGCTCTGACCCCGGCATCAACGATTTGCTGATAAATGGGAGTGTTTTTCAAGTTTCTTCTAATCAAAATACATCCTGGCGTTTCATTATTAATGTCGGTGAAACACCATCCCGCACCGTACTCAAACAATATGGTCACCATTTCATCTATAACCTCCAACTCCTCCGAACTGGCATCTCCAGGCATGAAGGATGCAATCAAATGCAAGGGGGTGGTATTGGATGACTCTTCATCGTCTTCAATATTGTTGGTGTACTTATAGGCCTGTTCCACCGTATACGTGGAGGGAATCCCGGCCTTAAGGTAGTGCTTCAACTGGTCCACGTACTCCCTCTTGACTGGCCTCGAGCCAAACTTGCACAAGTCATGTAAGTCCGACATGTTTGCTGGTGGGAAGAGCTCATCTCGTTGAACAGCTAATACTGGATAAATAACCTAACCGGTAACCTGTAACCGGTAACCTGCAAAATAGAACCTGCAAATGGTAATGTATAACCTGCAAACGGTAACCCGCAAACCCGGGTCAATCTGCAATATTGCAACATGCAAAAACGTCAGGCGCAACCCGCAAAACGTCACATCCAACCCGCAAACAACAAACAACAAAAGATTGCAAAAACAAAGGCAACAAAAAAAAGCTGAAAATCATACGATTTGCACTCAAATGAAAAAGCAAAACGCAACGGATGCAACGAAACATACAAAGCTGGTAAGCGAATTGAGCAAAGCCCAAGATTACATGCCAGGGTATTAGGGTCAAAGAGTAGTAATAACACGCGAAAGCATGTGAGCGTGAGCGTAGAATATCCAGTGGGTGGAATTGTATTGTAGTTATGCAACCCACTGAATTAGTGGAGTGATTTTTCCAGAAATTGAGGTGGAAAGAAAAGAAATGTTCATGCAAAACAAAAACACCGTTTCAAAGAGTGTTTGTCAAGGGAAGACCATCGGTGGGGTGAGCTAAAAGTAGAAAAAGCTAAGGAAATGTAGTGAGGTTCGTTTAAAGGTTGGTTAAATGATTTTTTTAAAAGAGATATCATTTTTTTTTTTCAATCAGCAAATAGACCTTAGACATATATCAACTGGTGATATCAAGAATCAAAAGATTATCGAAAAATAATAATAATAATAATAATAGTATTAAAAATTTAAGAGATCTCACCACTTTATGGATAGTTAAACCATGTCGTTCAGGATAAACGACTATAATGCCTTTTTAACATCGTTATTTGATAAAAATAATGCTAATAATCCATCGGGCGATTTTTATAGCCAATCACAGATCCCCAGTCAGAACCAAAGTCAATCGAATTCCCCCCAACCATCATCAGTTCCTTCAGCACCAGCACAGACAATAAAACAAGAGCCATTCCCAGTAGATTTTGATTTTGGGCTAATACAGGCAAATAAACAAAATCCAAATCAAGACCAACTTCAAAGTGAAAATCCTGATCAAAACTCAGAATCACCAATCATTTTATCCCCGTCGTTTGTATTACCAGAAAATCAGTTTGATGTTTATAATGTAAACTTTAATAATAAAGATCCCCTGGATGATGAAAAAGAAGCTTCGCCAAAGACGATGAAAATCACTCATGATCAATTGACCAAAGAAGCAATGGATGCAGCAGCCGCAGTTGGATCAAACATTACTTCCAGACCAAGAGTGAAATCCGCCCATAACGTAATTGAACAACGATATAGAAATAAAATCAATGATAAATTTACCGCTTTACAAAATTCGGTTCCAACTTTAAGAATCGTGGCCAAACGTAAACAACGTTTAGGTAGTCATAATTCAGAAGATGAGGATGAATATATTTATGATTTAAATCCCCAATCCGATTCAAGCGATGACTTAGAAGGTTTAGAACCGGCTAGAAAATTAAATAAAGGTACAATTTTAGCTAAATCAATCGAATATATTAAATTCTTAGAATTGAAAAATGAAAAAATGAAACAAGATCATCAAGACTTAATTAATAAAGCTAAAGCAATGGGTATCCAAATTGATGATCATCTACTTAATGAGTAGTCTTACGATAATGAAAAGTTCTATATATTTATTAATTCTGTTTATAGTTTTTGCACTAATAAAAATTTCTGCGTATAATTACTAGATGATAAGCTGTAAGATGCCAGCAGTATGTCCATACACCTTTTCTTATTTCACCCTACTGTATCGAGCCGCTTGTATATGCAATGGCAACTATTGACAATATTGCTATTCCTCTGTAGTTTATAGTTGCATATTCTCCCGTCCATGTTATTTTAATCGAAGTTCTTCCGATAAAACTTAGTAAATAAATAACTGCAAAGAGTTCGAGTCCCCGAAAAATCAGGAAAGATCGAGTAATTGTTTGTGAATACCAGTAAATAAAGTAACTCTAAAATCCTTTGGTTAGTATAAATTGTATCAAAAATCGTAAATCATATATATTCAAACTTTCAAGTCTACGTGGGTACCCTTAATTGCATACAATATTAAAGCCTCGAACGGCATTTGTTCATGTTCCATCAATCACATTCCCCATAGCACTAGCATCTGTCCTCTTTTGAAATTTCTTGTTATCGTTTCTTAGTCTTCTATCTTTTTCTCTGTTTTTATCTTTTCCTTTTTTTATTTTGCAACCAGCGTTACTTTTTTTGCAACCGACATATTTTTAATAATGAAAAACATTCCACGTCCTGACTGTCAATTTCACATGATATCTCTCATCTACACATCCTGCCCTTGATGTTGGTTATTTTGGGTCAACTCTGCTTCTCGTTTCTTTTAATTTATCAAGTCCGGTTACTCACGTGAAAAACAGGTCGAACACAGCGATTTCGGCTGCTAATTGCTCAAACCTCTCTCTTATTATTTCCATCAACGGGATCATCTTCTTTTACAGTTTACTCTGCCAGTCCATCTTCTTCATTTCAATTGAAAGACCATAAGCGACATTTTTATGACTTACGGTCGTTGAAAGGGAGATCCGGTCAAGATTAGCAACAAAACACCCATACACCATATCGCTCATCGTATACTCGTATAACAAACACCAAACGGTGTTCATAGTGAGATGAAAAAAAAAACATCAACTGAAATATTTGGTTTCATTAAACAGCTTTTCAGGTAAATATGTCTGTTGAAATCATAAAGGACTATGGGCTTGCTGCTTATGAAGAGTTCCGTCAGTTGAACTTTACTGTTCAGCTTTCTATCCTTGTTTTGGCTCCTTTTCTTTACAATATAATCTGGCAATTACTTTACAGTTTCCGTCGTGATAGAGTTCCAATGGTTTTCCACTGGATTCCTTGGTTTGGTAGTGCTGTTCCTTATGGTATGCAACCATATGAGTTTTTCGAAAGCTGTCGTTCAAAATATGGTGATGTCTTTGCATTCATGTTATTAGGTAAAGTTATGACGGTTTATTTGGGACCAAAAGGTCATGAATTCGTATTGAACGCAAGATTGGCAGACGTTAGTGCTGAAGAAGCTTATAAACACTTAACTACTCCAGTTTTCGGGAAAGGGGTTATTTATGATTGTCCAAATGCAAAATTGATGGAACAAAAAAAATTTTCCAAAGGAGCTTTAACCAAAGACTCTTTTAGAGTTTACGTTCCTAAAATAAGAGAAGAAGTTTTGAATTATTTCGAAACCTCTCCAAATTTCAAATTAACTGAAAACTCCAAGGGGGTTTCAAATGTGATGCATACTCAACCAGAAATTACCATTTTCACTGCTTCGAGATCGTTATTAGGTGACGAAATGAGAAAGAAATTTGATGCTTCTTTTGCTAATTTATATACCGATTTAGATAAAGGTTTTACTCCAATCAATTTTGTCTTTCCAAATTTACCATTGCCTCAATATAAGAAAAGAGATGAAGCCCAAAGAAAGATCTCATCTACTTATATGTCATTAATTAATAAAAGAAGATCTTGTGGTGATATTGTTCCTGATCGTGATTTAATTGATACCTTAATGACTAGTTCTACTTATAAAGATGGTACCAAAATGACCGATCAAGAAATTGCTAACTTATTAATTGGTGTTTTGATGGGTGGTCAACATACTTCTGCTGCTACTTCTGCTTGGTTTTTATTACATTTGGCCGAAAGACCTGATTTACAAGATGAAATTTACCAAGATATTGTCAATTTATTAAACTCAAAAGGTCCAAATACTACCTTAGATGATTTAAGTTATGATGATTTATCTGGTTTACCCAACGTTAATAACGTCATCAGAGAAACTTTAAGATTACATATGCCTTTGCATTCTATTTTCCGTAAAGTCATGAATCCTTTATTGGTTCCAAATACTAACTACGTTGTTCCAAAAGGTCACCATGTCTTGGTTGCTCCTGGTTATTCAATGACTAGTGAAAGATGGTTCCCTCAAGCTTTAACTTTTAATCCTCATAGATGGGATCAGCCTGATGCTGATCAACAAAAAGATGATGGTACTACCATTGATTATGGTTTCGGTGCCATTTCAAAAGGGGTAAACTCTCCTTACTTACCTTTTGGTGGTGGTAGACACCGTTGTGTTGGTGAACAATTTGCTTACTGTCAATTAGGTACTATTTTAACTACTTATGTCTACAATTTGAAATGGTCCTTCAAACCAAATGGTAAATTACCTGAAGTCGATTATGCTTCAATGGTTACTTTACCAATGGAACCTGCCGAAATCGCTTGGGAAAAGAGAGATACTTGCTCCATTTAAGTATCGTTTATAGAAGTTTTCATTTTTTTATATAATAAGTTCTCTACTCTTGTTTGTTTTTAAAACCTATTCATAACTTAATTTTATTTATTTATTCGCTATTCTCGCGTCCTCCGTAGCCAAAGATCACAATAAAGAAAACTTAAGCATAAGGTGGTGACAAATTGGGTTTTGTTAAATGGCTGAAAATATTATGGTGTGGTTTTTCGTTCACTCGCCTAACAAAACAAAAAAAAAAAAGAATTTTTTTATAAAAAACAGTTATGTATGCGTAGATCGTATAAAACCTCAGCTCATACTATGGGGAAAACAGTTATTCAAGGTTCAGCTGAGTTCGTTGTTGTCGTATAGGCTTACAAAAGGTATAACTATGACGGAAAATCTTGAATTTATGCTTTTCTTTTTTTCTTTTTTGTAGTTGGTATTTCACATTATGGCTTTAATTGATCTTATTCTTCAAGCCAAAGAATGGTTTGGTTCGCTTAGTTCAGGGTATCAGATATCTTTGGTCTTGATATTTCCATTTTTCTACAACTTGGTATGGCAGTTTTTGTATAGTTTGCGTCGTGATAGGGCTCCCTTGGTTTTCCACTGGATTCCCTGGATCGGAAGTGCCGTCGTATACGGAATGCAACCATATAAGTTTTTTGAAGATTGTCGTTTGAAATATGGTGATGTTTTTTCATTTATGTTGTTGGGAAAAGTCATGACTGTTTACTTGGGACCAAAGGGCCATGAGTTTGTATTGAATGCCAAATTGGCGGATGTCAATGCTGAAGAAGCTTATAAGCACTTGACCACTCCTGCTTTTGGTAAAGGTGTTTTATACGACTGTCCTAATTCAAGATTGATGGAACAGAAGAAATTCTGTAAAGCAGTCTTGACCACTGATAGTTTCCGTAGGTATGTTCCATTGATAAGAAAAGAGATTTTGGATTATTTCACCAAATCTTCTACTTTTGATATGAAGAAGAAAACTTGTGGGGTTGCTAATGTGATGGTTACTCAACCTGAGTTAACTATTTTCACTGCATCAAGATCTTTATTGGGAGATGAAATCAGGGCTAAGTTCGACGGCTCTTTCGCTAAGCTTTACGTTGATTTAGATAAAGCATTTACTCCAATTAATTTTGTTTTCCCCAATTTACCACTCCCCCATTATTGGAGAAGAGACAATGCCCAACGTAAAATATCGGCTACTTACATGGAATTAATCAACAAAAGAAGAGAAACTGGCGACATAGATCCTTCTAGGGACTTGATTGACTCGTTAATGGTTAACTCTACTTATAAGGATGGTACTAAGATGACCGATCAAGAAATTGCCAATTTGTTAATTGGGGTATTAATGGGTGGTCAGCATACTTCTGCTGCTACTTCTGCCTGGTTCTTATTGCACTTGGCTGAAAAGCCTAAGTTGCAAGACGAGCTTTTCAATGAGATCACTAAAACAATGGAGTCCAAAAATATCAGTTCAATCAATGAATTAACCTATGATGATATTCACAACATGCCTTTGGTCAATAACGTCATTAAAGAAACCTTGAGAATGCACATGCCTTTGCATTCGGTTTTCCGGAAAGTAACCAACAACATCTTAGTACCAAATACCACCTACATGGTTCCAAGGGGTCATTATGTTCTCATCTCCCCCGGTTACGCCATGACAAGTGATAGATGGTTCCCCAACCCCGACTACTACGATCCTCACAGATGGGATGAAAAAACCCATTTAGATATGTTGATGGAGACCGGCGAAACCGTCGACTATGGGTTTGGTGCTATTTCAAAAGGGGTCAGCTCCCCTTACTTACCCTTTGGTGCTGGTAGACATCGTTGTATCGGTGAACACTTTGCCTACTGTCAATTGGGAACCATCTTGACCACCTACGTCTACAACATCAAATGGAAACTCAGACCTTTGGGCAAAGTCCCTGACGTCGACTACACCTCCATGGTCACCTTACCCCAAGTGCCTGCCGAAATCCTCTGGGAAAAGAGAGACACTTGTATGGTTTAAATAACTTATTTATATATTTATAGCATTAATGTAAATTTTTTGCAATCATTTTTTTTGATTATGTTAACATCGTGGCAGTTTACAGTTTAGAATAAACTTACAGATTAAGTCAAGTGAACATGTAATTTAGAAAATGTTAAGTAAATATCAGAATGAGAAACATAATTTGCAACTAAAAGGATAAATGTATAATTAAGCATAAGGCAAATTGATTACGATTAATGAATTAAGAATATGAACACTAGTAGTGTACTGCAACACGATTGTAGAGTCATAGGAAGGAAAAGATTATCATAAAATAAATTGGTCTGGAAACAGATTTTGAAATGAATAACTGATCAGAGAATTGAAAAAGAAATAATCATTATTCATAAACTGAACCATATGAAGAGAGACAATCAGAAAGATTATAATTAGGGCTGGAAATGATATAGTTTTATAAGATTTACTTTAAAAATTAACCATTTGAAAACTAATGAATAAATATATTTTCTATATTAAAATTAATTCTCCGTTTCAACACTCATATTTATAATAGCAACAGAGTCCTAATTCTTTCCCAAGCTCTATATCGACATATATACTCCAAGTACTATTCTGCTTGACTTATTAAAACTAAAGTCTTTTGGTGCTTTGGTTTATTGGCCTCAAAACACCCGTACATATTAGGTCGTATGACTCAAACGGACAAAATCTTCGATGAATTTTTCAAAATCGACGGCATCAACAGATAAAGACTGGAATACTTCAACAGTACACTAGAGCATGTCCTTAAACCCATTCAGCATCAAAGTTCCTGCCTCCTCGGCCAATATCGGACCTGGTTTTGATGTTTTGGGGATCGGTTTGAACCTTTATTTGGAAATCAAGGTGGAAGTTGATCCAACCAAAGACACCTCCGATGATCCATATAACGCTAAAATAAAGTACGAAGGAGACGGTGCCGAGAACGTGCCACTTGATCTGGGTAAGAACTTGGTCACTCAAACTGCGTTGTATATAATGAGATGCAATAATATCAACAAATTCCCACCAGGGACTCATATCCATGTCACTAATCCAATTCCATTAGGTAGAGGTTTGGGTTCTAGTGGTGCAGCCATTGTAGGGGGGATAATGTTGGGGAATGAAATCGGCCAATTGAAGTTATCTAAGGAAAGAATGCTTGATTATTGCTTATTGATTGAAAGACACCCAGATAATATAGCAGCTGCCATGTTGGGTGGATTTGTCGGATCATACTTGAATGAATTGTCCCCACAGGAAACCCAAGATAAAAATGTTCCTTTGGAAACTATTTTACCCAAGTCAACCACTCCTAAGGAAAAGTACGAAACCAGACCTCCTCCTGAAAAAATTGGTCAATATTTACAGTACAATTGGAATAAGCAAATCAAGTGTGTTGCCATAATACCTAAATTCGAGGTCAAAACCGATGACTCGAGAGCAGTGTTACCTGAATCGTATACTAGACCAGACATTATTTTCAACTTACAAAGATTGGCCATATTGACTACTGCTTTAACTCATGAAACTCCAAACAACAAGTTGATCTACGAAGCCATGAAAGATAAAATTCATCAACCTTACCGTGCGACCTTGATTCCTGGCTTAGTTGAGGTCTTGAACTGTGTCACTCCAGACTCCAACCCCGGCTTATGTGGTATTTGCTTATCGGGTGCCGGTCCAACCATCTTATGTTTAGCAACTGAAGGTTTTGATGATATCGCTAAAACCGTCATCTCCATTTTCAACAAGGAAAATGTCGAATGCTCCTGGAAGTTGTTAGACTTGGCCTACGACGGTGCTACCGTTGACTATTAGACTAATTAGAATATAATATACACATATAAATTATAGATTGATTTCAATATTGATTGGACCTTCTTGTAAACTGAGTAAAACTCCATACATCCGCTAATGTGAAGAATAAACGATAATATTACCAGGAAGGAAGCCGAAGCTAATCCTTTGTAGGTTTATATATAGCATGGCAATGAAGACTGGGACACCAATCCATTCTGAATATGTGAATTCGATGGAAATAGCTTCTCCTTCTTTGATCCAATTAATTTACTTCATAGTAGATTACATAGTGAAGTAGCTTTACTCTAGATTTATATATAAATTATAAATAAGAATTAGATTAGGCTATTAGGTAACATTATTGCAGCAATTCCAGATTTACATCCGTACACCAGGAGAAATCACACTAAACAAAATCCTCCAATGAATTGACCTTTTTTTCTATTGGTCTTTGGTTTGTTTGAAACATTAACTCCAAGTAGCTCAATTGATACTAGGGACAAGGTAAGATGACCAAGTTATCAGATACATTCAGTGTGAGTGACTTGCAAACAAAAATAGTCACCGAGGACATCTTGGAAAGATCGTCTTCAAGACCAATATACCTTTCATCGGTTGAAGTTGTTGGAGGAGAAACTTTTTCAACTGATTTCTTTAAGAAATTACTATCACCACTTGTTGAGAATAGTGATTATACTTTAGGGGAATTAATCACCAATGTCAATTCCAGCTATTCCAAATTGGTTAAAACCGATGTGTTTAAGAATATCGGAGTATCATTACACTCGGATTATGCTTCCAAAATTCCATCCGACGTTAAAGTTTACAATAATGAAAAGTCTATACCTACCAAGGTTATATTTGATGTACAAGCCATTAACTTGAATACCGGTGAAGGGTTTTTCACCTTCAATAACGATGATAATTTAAATGTTAACTTGAATTATCTTAATAATAATTTCAACGAAAATGCAGAATTGGTCAACTTTGGAGTTAATTATAATCCTTATAAACCTAATGAACATTTGATATCAAATGGGAAGTTTATTGCCAACTTGAACAACCCATCTTTCAAATTCATCATTGACTTATTCAATACCAATCAAAATAATCAAGCCTGGCAACAAAATATGGAAAAATCTACTGGTGGATTAATTGGATTACAATATGTCAATACCAACAAATCTTTTGCCTTATTGAATGGTGTCTCCTTAGCCAAAAGAACAATTTACGATATCGGAGACGGTGCTTCTGATGACTTGAAATTTTTCGGAGGTGACTATTTGAAACTGTCATTTGTAAATCAATTGGTTTTAAGTAATTTAACCACTCTCAATAAAATCACCAATAATTTCCCAATCTTTGGTTATAAAGTTTTATTGTCTAACGAAATTAGTTCCAATCAAGAACACGAAAATCCAAATAACCAATCGGCATTCTTAAAATCAAATATCGGGTTGAATTTTTTCAAATCATTCTGGGATAATAAAATTACAACCCATTTCTTCAATGAAGCTGGGCTCATATATTCAACCGGCTCATCCAAAAATGAAAATAGCCTCTCCAACATTCATATAAGTGATCGTTTCTACTTAGGTGGTTTCAACTCTTTTAGAGGTTTCACAAGAAATTCAGTCAATACCAATGGAGGTTCTCAATTCTATAAATCGGGATTAACCGTCTTTGCTAAACTTCCTTCATTCATCTATTCTCCTCACAAAATATCTGCCACCAACGTTGCTTCTCTTGAAGATGGTTTAGGTTACGAAGCAAATCCTTTGAGATTATACGCTACTGGTTTGGTCGGTAACGTCGCTGAAAACCTCTTGCTTGAGAAAAATAACGGAGTGGCCTCTGCTGGGGTTGGTCTCAAGTATATCAACCATTGGGCTAACTTTGATTTGGGTTATTTCATCTCCAGAAGATTTGGTAATGATCTTTCTTCTTCTGGTATTAAAGATGGTTTCCAATTCGAAGTCTCCATTGGAGGCTCAAACTCTTCCCTTTAAAATCGTAACGTTGTACTTCTTTATTTAGACTCTACAGATTCTAATTCATTCTCCTTCTAAGTTTGCCTATGTATGTAAGTTTATCATGTTTTCGTCGTATTCTGGGAAACTGTTACCAAAAAAAACGAAAAGAAAACGAACAAAAAAAAAACAGCTTTCCACAAAAAAATTAAGGCGCATCTAGTTTTCTATATTAAGCTTTGAATTCATATTGTAAAGCGGTTAAATATCGAGTTGGTTTATAAGAATAAACGATTGGAACGACAGTTGAATGATCCTTGTGCTATTTTTCCTTTTTTCAGCTTGAAATCTAATATAATCCATTTAGAGTATTCAGCAATCAAGCTAATTCGTGGGGCTAAAACGCAAAGCTAAGCCGTTAATCCAAGAGGAATTAGACATCAAGAACGAGAATGATAAAAGAAAATGAAATCATCTCTAAGGTGCTTCTCACGATAGCTCAATATAAGGGAAATGTCTCCAGTTTCAAGAACGCAATTTGTGAAGGGGAGTATACTCCAGATCATACGAAGAATTTCACGCGTAGCTTGATATGGAAGACATGTTTGATAACTGAAACGTTGAAAATCAAGGAATGGGATTCTAAATTGAGTGATTCAAGAGTCATTTATCATAAATTAACCAAGAATGAAGAAATGATCGTACCTTGGTGGGATCTTGATACCGATAATACGTATTATCAAACCAAAGAACTAGTTCGGAAATCTTCAGTATCAAGAAAACTGTCTCTAAGGCGGAAAGCTCCAATGAAGAAACAATCGCTTGTTCGTGTTAATGGCGTTGCTGATCCTTTAAGCTCTCAAACTTCTTTGGTTTCTGCTTCTCTGAGTCCAAGTAGTTCAAAAAGTGCCACGCCGGTACCTTCTTCGCTGAGATCAGATCCAGAGCAGGATTTGGAATTGCTTCAGAGTATTATCATGGACATTGATCGTATTTTCCCCGGAGATGAATTCTTTCATTCCAATAACCCACAATCACTCCCAGTTAAACGAGAATTGATTCAAATTTTATATGTTTGGTCTAAGTGTAATCCTCAAGTTGGTTATAAACAAGGAATTCATGAAATCTTGGGTTTGATTTATATCAATTTATATAATGAATCCATTCATATCCCTAGTACCAATACCATTTCCACTGACGACTTGAAAATTCTAAGTCTTTATGATATAAGGTATTTATCCCATGATATGTTCACCATATTTAATAAATTTATGATCCAAACAGGAATTGCTTCAAGATTTTACGAAAATGAGTCAGTCTTGTGGAAATCAATAGAAGAGTTCAATATAAATCTAATGAAGGTTGACCAATTAATTCATTATAATTTGATTACCAAATTGAAACTAGAATCTCAATTATGGATTATAAGGTACTTGAGATTGCTATTATTAAGAGAATTAGGTAATGATCATTCCTTGACCATTTTGCTATGGGATAAGCTAATTTCGGTCAATCTCAATCATTCTTCATCAAATCCTATCAGTGTTTGGAAAGATGACCAAACTGCTTCCAATACTATTAATTTAAAGTCTATTCCTGACCTAATCATCTTCATTATTATCATATTGCTCATTCAAATCAAAACTGATCTTATAACTTGTGATTTCAGTGAAAGTTTGTCTCTATTATTGCACTATCCAATCTCTGAAAAACAGTTCTGTGCATCACATATCAATAATATGTTCAAATACGCCGTTAAACTCTACGAGAAAAGGGACCAAGACTTGAAACTTTACGAATTGGGCCTTAAATTGAATTCAAAATATAATCCAAATCTAAAGATCCAAATGAGTTACAACGGTACCTCCCAAAGCAGGAAAAGCGGTGAATCAATCGGGTTCTCAAGCCCTTCTCCAAGCTTATCACCTGCACCTTCTGCTCCTAATCCTGACCCCAGGGCTGAAAAGATGGCATTTGAAAAATATAGACTAGAAATGAGGCTCAAGAAAAAAGCCCAATCCCTAATGAGACCATAACCTTCTCCTTTCTCTCAAATATATTTCCCTCCCATAACACATTCTCCTCTCATAATTCAAACTGGCTGCCAAAACGTAGTGTAGGACTTTTAGTATGGTATTTTGGTTGTGTGCAGGATTTTGACAAAGTATCAAAAATTTTCAACTCTGGAAAAAAATCATCAAAAGCTTGTAGAAAAAAATAAAAACAAGCAAACGCCATTCCTCTTCAACATACGAAGTGAGATCCTCTATTCATAATGGGTAAAAGAAAAACCGCCAGAAAACCAGTTAAAAAAATCAAGCAAACCTTGGACATTACCTTCACTTGTCTCTTTTGTAATCATGAAAAGTCAGTTATTTGTACATTAGACAAAAAGAACTCATTAGGTGAATTACACTGTAAGATTTGCGGACAAAGTTTCCAAAGTGCTATACACTCATTATCCCAACCTGTTGATATCTATTCGGATTGGATTGATGCTTGTGAAGACTTGGCTGAAGAAGCTGAAGCAAAAGGTGGTATTATTGATGATGGAGAAGACCAAAAAGAATATAGTGATGATGAGTATAACACTGGTGCTAGTAATAGAAAAGAAAAAGATCCAGTTTTAGACTCTGATGATGATGATTATTGATGATGATGGGTAATGAATTTTCAAATTGACTTTTGGAAGTCTACGGGTTAGATTTATATAGTACGTTTTCAAAGTACCTTCTTGTAGAGAAAAACTTCAGAAAAATAAAATAAGACAAAATAAAGTCATTAGATCATGTATTATAATATATATATATAAATGTTTTCATATAAATGACAATATAATGTAAAAAATATTATACAAAGTAAGTTTCAAATGTTAGAATTAAATTAGGCAAGATCATTCAATACTTTATCATATGCTTGGCTAATTGCGTCTCCCTGGTGAGGACTTTCAGGTGATGCTTCTCCCTCATAATCTTTATCCAGATCACCTTCATTTAAAGGTTCTTCAGAAACGGATTCTTCCATTTTTTCACTCGACTGATTATTCCACCCTTTCAATTTCGCTATCTTTTTCTGTATCTCATTGATATCTAGCAAGTGTCTGCTTTCTGCATATTTGTTATTGGTGAATTGGTCCTTTCCATCACCACCACAATAACACTGACTTAATGATATACCTTTTTCTTTTAATATTTCTAAAACATGGATAATCTTATCTAAATCAGCAAAATCAACACTCATCAATTTTTCTCTAATTTCTTCTCCGGATAATGATTCAAATGACTCAAATAATTCTTTTTCGTGGAAATCATGAAGTTTCAGGAGCTTCAAAACTGACCCTTCTTCTCTGTTAAGATTATTCAAACTTGTCTTCGATTGAGACCTCGATAAAACTAATGGTGAACTACTGTGCGGTACTCCATTTGTATCTGACACTGGTAGATTAGTATTCAGGCTCTCATCTTGAGATAATTGAGCCATTTTATACTTATTATTCTCGTCCTCTGCGGCCCCTAACATAAACATCTTAGAAGTACTTTGAGGTTCATCTGCTGCTAATAAAGAGTTATCAATTAACTGTAAACCTTTTTCAATTGATGAGTCAATGAATACAAATCTTATCAAAGTTTCTTTACCTTCTAAGTTCAATTCATTATTCCATTGAAGTTTGAATAATTCATTCATAGTTTCTTTCAATTCACGACGGATGGCACGAGCCTTATTGATGAATTTAACAACTTCTGGATCCTTCAAATCCAATTTATCCTCAGCTTTCTTCGATAGGATATTATTAAGTTGCTCTGTTAATGAAGAGCTCAAAGTTTCTTCCTCTAAACGCTCATTAGCTTTATGGCCATCGCCTGATAAGTAAAGTAATCTTTCCATATTTCTCATGGTATATAAACCAATTCTTTCCTTGAATAGATCTGGGAAGTTTTCATAGTCACAATCCAAAGTAATCAAGGTCTTTGAATTTTTCAAAGCTTGGATTAAAGCTGATCCAGCAACTAAATCCATTTCATTACCGTTAACTGAAAAATAACTCAAGTTCTTACAAAATGGTAATACTTTAGCAATGGATACCAATGCTTGTGAACTTAAATTGTTATTTTCCAAATGTAAACGAATTAACTTGGGAAACAAAGGTATCTTTGATGAAAAATAACTCATTATTGAATCTTGTGATAAATCAGATTTAGAAGAGGTATTTGATTTATCACTATTACTTTCAGAGTCTATGGAAGAGTCTGGATTAAGATTTGGGGTATTTGAAGTACTTATTGATCCAAATAACCTTGCATTATTTGAAAGATCCAAATATCTCAATAATGGAAATTTCATGATGATACATTCGAAAACCTCTTTAAATGTATCTGAAAATCTTAAATTAGTTGCATTTAAACTCATAAAGCTTAAAGATGAATTAGAAATCTTCTTCTCAAAACGAGGATCTCTTTTTATTTCAAGTAAAACATTCAAGTACTTGGTTGATGAAAAATCGTTATAACCCATATCGACTCCTCTAACAAAGTCAAGATATAAATAATGGTCATTTATTATTTTCAATTGGTTGGCCGAAAGCTGATTATAAGCCAAACCTAATCTATTAGTTTTGATAGCAACGGCATGCTTGATGAATTTTTCAAAAATGTCCAAATCAGTAATGCAACAACCAGTTAAAATAAGTTCTTCGATACCACCACGAGCTATGATAGTGGCAGTGAAAAGAGACCAATCCATATCTGATCTATTTTCACGATTACACAACATTCTTTCCAAAACTTCCTCTTTCTTTTTCTTATCTTCTGGCTTTCTTTTCTTTTTCTTCAATAAGTTAACTGATAATGAAGGACATTGAGTGATATCTAATTTGTTTAAAACTGTATTTCTAGATAAAAACCAGCATAATAATGACCAACCTTCATGGTCAATTGGAGTGTTACGTAAACTTATTTTCTCTAATTGTTTCTTAGCACTCATGGCACTAAGAATAATTTTGAATTGTTCAAGGGACAAGCTAACCCCATCTAATGAGACACAAATAACAGGAGCTATTCTTAAGAAATCTGCGAAAGTTTGAACTTCAACCATGGTTGGAGTTGGGTTTCTCAATTGTAATATTGGCAAAGGGGCCATTGAACCTTTTGGAATTTGCTTTAAGATAGCTGGAATTGGTAAAATCTCTCTTAAGTGACAACAACGAGTGTACATTAAATCGAGGGCCATTTTCTTTATGGGGACGCTGTAACTAGAATTTCTAGTTTGATGAATCATTGGTTTATCAATTGCAATCAATTTTGCGTGTTTATCGATTGCACTATCCTCTTCATCATTATTTGTATCATCAGGTTGTTCAGGAGCAGATACTTGATTTTCTTTTTCATCATGTTTGATCAAGCCTAATGCACCAGTTCCACCAACTACCAAACCACCACCTTTGCCCATTTGAGACTTTTCAATTGCAATTTTATCTTCTTCTGTTAATGGGTTTATCCTTACATGGCCGTTAGGATCGATTTCAACATTACCCTTTCTTGGAGTTCTAGAAGGAATCTGTTGAGGAGGGTCAATTAAAAAAGTTGAAGAATGGAAAGCAACCCTTTTCAAAGGTTTCAAACCGTTAAACTCGGTAGAGGCATCTTCCGTTGAAGAAGAATCAAGCAGGTTCATTTGAGAGTTTGAAGATTCCAAGGAAACACGTTGCTTATCTGCATTTGATGGTTGTGCAATATTTGAGACACTACGTCTTTTCAAAAAGGATGAGAGTCTGCTGGAAGTTGAAGGGGCTTCATTTGATTCATTATTATTTGTATTATAAGTGGCCGAATCAAAAGGATTTTTCAAAGCACTAGGTAAAGGAGACTTGGAAGGGTGTTCTGGAATGGAATTTTCGTCAATCTTCTTGCAAGGAGAATGAATGGACGTAGCAGAAGAGCGACGGGAAGATGCCGAAGGGGTACGGTTTAGGTCTCTTTGTTGATAGAACTTAATATACTCATTCAACTTAGGGTCTATATTCGAGTTATCTCCGTTATAATTAGGAGTCGAGGTTGATCTAGTTAATCTCAAATCATCATTACATTTAGGACCAGGTCCAGAGACTGGACCACCCCCACTATTCAATTTTTTCAATCTGAGTTCATAATTATCTTTGAAAAGCATTGGCTGGGACGAAGATCTTTGACGATATTGGCCAGTTGAAGATTTTTCATTAACTGGAGCACCAGCTTCACTATTTGATCTATGGAATTTTCCCTTTAATTTTGAGAAAAACCCGCCGGCGCTACCACCACCATTAGACTGGCCCGTACTGCCAGAGCTATTGATGCTAGTTCCTGAAGTTGCGCTCCCAATACTAGACACGCTACCCCTTCTTCTTAAATTCGAGAAAGTATTGGCGGTAGAGTCATGGTCCTTCTCTTCCCCGATATCTTTGGCGGATACGAACTCTTCTTGTATTGGAGAAATTGACGGTTTGGTTTTCGCCAAGTTATGATCATTAGTATTCGAAATATTAGTGGTTAAATGTGAGCTTACTGGCGAAAGTGAGGTATTAGATTTCTTCTTAGATAGTTTTTTGGCATCTTTATCCTCTTCTTTAGCTTCGCTTGGTTTGTCATCCAACGAGCCACTTCGAGAAGGCAGGGCTTTGAAGTCTCTAAGAAACCAGTCGACATCAGTACTTCTCACTCCTTGGAGATACTTATCAACATCGCTTTCCAAAAGGTCTCTTATGGCGTTCAAGTCAAATTGATGGTTGGGATGGTTGGCAGCAGCTGCATTTATAGCATCAATAGACTTCGGAACCTCGTCGGGATTGTGATCCGTCACGTATTTAGTACTACTCAAGGTAGTATTACTCTTATTTTTGGGTAAGTCTGAAGTCGGAGCATTAGTATCAACATCTGAGCTTATCTCCTTACTCTCGGTGGGTGTCTGAGAGCCTTGGTTTCCCACTGACATTGCCAGATTGTTACGAATCTCTGCACTGAATATATAACGACTAGCTCCTCTACCAGAAGTATCAATTGAACTTAAACTATAAGGATAGATGGGCTTCCCCGTGGATTTTGCCAAAACTTTATGTGAAATCAGTTTTGTTAGCCGTGAGAAATTGACCCGCACCTACGTTTTGTCCTGTTTTTTGCACTGGTTTTGTATGTTTTCGCTTTTGTTAGTGAGAAAGAAAGCCAAATTAGATCAGCTGACCTTTGTTGAAGACAATCTAACTATGAAACTTACATGACCAGCTTGTAGTGAGTAGATATCAAACGGTTCTGCAGTTTGTACTAACGTATAATGGGAGATCTCTTTCCAGTTCAGAGTTTCGGAGATATATCGAAGAAGGCAAGTCCGTCTGAACGGAGCATACCAAATGGGGAAACCCAAGGTATAGGCCTATAACCAGACAAAAAGAATTGGTATATAAAGTTTGCAATCTTCTTTGGTTGGTTTGGCAATTGGTTTGGCAATCAGAAACCAATTAATAACAGAACATGGCACCTTTAAATCCCCATCCAAATCATGCAATTGCTAATTATTCGGTACTTGTCACTGGGCTGACTGGGTACATTGCACAGCATTTGGTTAAATTATTGATTGCAAAAGGTTATAAAGTTATTGGACAAGTCCGTTCTAAAGAAAAGGGTGAGAGATTGAAAAGTAACCTCGGGTCAGATAGTTTTAGCTATGAGGTTATCCAGGGATTGGAGGTGAAAGGAGCGTTGGATCCAATATTGCAAAAACGTAAGGATATTAGGGCCATTTTCCATACTGCTAGTCCGGTTTTATTTGAGAGTAAAGATGTTTACAATGAAGTTTTTGTACCGGCAGTGGAAGGCACTAAGAATGTACTCGAGTCGATTTATTTGCATGCTCCACAGGTTAAGAAATTGGTTGTTACTTCATCTTTGGCTGCGTTAGCATCTTATGATCAAAATATGGACCCAAACTTCATTATTGATGAAACAAATTATAATAATACTACAATGGAAGAGACTTTGAAAAATGGATCCAATGGTTATTATGGAGCTAAAACTTTTGCTGAAAGAGCAGTTTGGGATTTCAAAAGGAATAAATATCCAAATTTTGAAGTCACAATGATTATGCCTTCATATACGATCGGGCCCCAAGCTTTCGATAGTGAAGTTAATGGGAACCAATTAAACACCACCGCCCAATGGGTAGCCGATTTATTGAAATTAAAGCCTGAAGATCCAATTCCTGGGTTTCTTGATAGCCAAATTGACGTTAGAGATATTGCCAGAGCTCATGTAGTTGCTTTGGAAAATCCAAATACCAATGGTAAAAGATACTTCATGAGATTATCAAGAACCAATATGCAACAGATCCTTGATATCATTCATAAACATTTCCCTAAGGAATTTGGCCATTTGCCAAAGGGTAAACCAATAACTGATTATTATAATGAGATCTTTGTTAAAGCTGCTTATATTGATGATACTGAAACCAGGAAAATCATGGACTTTGATTATATCTCTTTAGAACAAACCATCATTGATACTATTAATCAAATATTACGTACAAAATAATAAACTATATTACATTATATATGGGTATATATATATATATATACATATTTGTAAATTACATTCCCATACCACCAAATTGTTGCATCATTTTCTGCATCATACCTGGATTTTGCATCATTTGTTGAGCTTGTTGCATCATACCTGGATTTTGTCTCATCATTTGTTGAGCTTGTTGAATCATTTGAGGATTGTTCATCATGGATGACATGTCTGGCATACCACCAGCTCCTGGAGCACCACCACCACCACCGCCAAACATTTTCATTGCTTGTTGCATGAAATTTGGATTTGACTGTGCTTGTTGCATCATTCTTTGCATACCTGCTGGTCCTCCACCAACACCTCCTGGTCCGCCAGGTAATCCACCGGCACCAGCCATATTTTTGGTATTAACCGCCATAGTACTCATCATACGTTGTTGTTGTAAAACCATTTCAACTTCAACAACCGAACACCCACTACCTCTTGCCACACGAACAATACGTTCGGGTTGTTCAGTGAAAATATATCCATCACTATCTAATTCTTTTGAAGTCATAGAATCCATTATATAAATCATATTTTTTATTTTAGAACTAGTTTCTTCTTCACCAACTTGAGACATTATATTAGACATACCAGGAATCATTGAAGCAATATTTGTTAAAGGACCCATCTTCATAAAATTATTCATTTGAGTTTGAAAATCCCTCAAGGTAAATTTACCTTCTTTAATATTTTCAATTGTTTTCTTATGACCTTCATCATCTTGTAAATTTAAACCTTGAACATGTTCAATTAATGATTGAATATCACCAATTCCTAATAATTTTGAAATGAAAGAAGTTGGTTTAAAAATTTCTAAATCGCCAACATGTTCACCAGTACCAATGAAAACAATTGGAGTATTTGTAGCAGCAACCGCCGATATAGCACCACCACCTTTAACATGGCCATCCATTTTAGTTAAAATAATTGAACCAAAATTAGCCGATTCTTTGAAAGCTTTAGCTTGTAATTCGGCAGCTTGACCTATAGAACCATCTAAAACCATAATGGTTTGATTTGGCTGAATCATATTACCAATTTGAATCATTTCATCGAATAATGCTTGTTCTTGTTTATGTTTACCAGAAGTATCAACAATTATAATATCAAATTTATCTTGTTTGAATTTAGAAACCCCTTCATAAGCAATTTTAACTGGATCGGTCTCTAAATATGAACCATAATAAGGAATTGAAGATTTTAATGCATTTTGTTTTAATTGATCAAAAGCACCAGCTCTAAAAGTATCAGCGCAAACTAATCCAATCTTATATCCTCGTTTCTTATAATATACAGCCAATTTGGTACAAGAAGTAGTTTTACCAGCACCTTGTAACCCAACAAACATTATAACATGGGATGATTCTTTTGATACAATTTTTTTACCATTTTTTCTTTTAGTTGTTGATGAATGATTTAATTTTTTAGGCTTTGGAGGCTCTTCATTTGAATCAACTAATGAGCATAACTCATCATAGACAATTTTTTGTAATTTCTTCTTTTTATTGGTTAAACTTTCGTCGTCGTTAATATTTTTAGATAATTTTGCTTTTATGTTATCTCGTAATTTGGCCACTAATTTAATATTAACATCACTTTCTAATAATGCGGTACAAATTTCCTTAATGATCGATTGCAATTCATCCTGTGAACCCGAATCCACACTCCCCAATGCGGTTCTTAATCTAGAACCCAAGTCTGCTAAAACCATGTTTGATGAATGTTATAATTTAAGATTGATTTAGTCGGTGAAATTAATTTTTAAAGAAAAAAAAAATCAAAAAAGGTCGTGTGAGGGTAAATATGTTGATTTTTTCAAATTTTCAACTTTGATATCAAGTTGATCTTCTTCTTCTTCAACTGCTCTTGTTGATCTCTTGTTGACACCAGTGTTCATCCGGGGTTATAATAGTGTAGACCTTGTCTATACTGAGCCTTGTCTATACGAGCTTGACGGGAGTTGCGAAGTCGTGATCTAAGCGGTAATCTCTAATCAAAGTAATGTTTTTTTGGATCAAAAAGAAAGATGTAAAGATGCAAAAAAGAAGAGTCTACAGCACGATGGTTTCCATTATGGTCTCCCACTAACGTACTCAGCATCGCTCTCAGCAGCTTAATAATTATTGATCGGACGGGTAATCATGCTTTATGCTGGATATGGCCGTAGACGTCGATTTTTAATTCGGGGTCTTTATGTAAACGGTTATTTGAGGTTGATAAAAAGTTGATATTTCAAAACAAATTTCAAATTCAAGTTTTGAAGGATGAAACGCAGACTAGTGTTTTGATGTAGGCTTTCTTGTTTGTATTTTGGGCTTATTTTTGTGAAAAAGCAAAATTAATTGCATAGAAGAAGAATTTATCGGGGCATGTAGGCAGATCATACTTGATCGTTTACATATCTGTATAGAAACACCCACATAGCATTATTTAATATCGAATGATGATTTTGTTATCAAAGGGAATAACTTATTGTAACCAATACTAAAGGATATGTATGGAATTAATCCTCAGTTATGGATTAGTATCTGACTAATACCATTTATGCGAGTGTTATGGTCATACAAGAACCTATATCTAATACCCGTAGATATTGGTGGTTGATTATAGGTCTGAGCTATTGGTCAGATACGTAACAAGTTATGGAGCGGAATAATTTATTATATAGATTAATCTTTTTGCTGATATCAACCCTAATATAACAAGAGCCAAATATTAAGTTTATATAAAATGTATATTACCGAATCACTCTTCGTGGGCATCGTCCATACTGCTCTTCATGGGCATCGTCCATACTTCTATCCATAGGAACAGTCACGGGTCCACGCTCCACGAAGAGCCATGAAAAGAATTTTCCATTACCATGGAATTACTTACGTATTTGTATGATATCTGCCCGATGCCATTTCACAAAGGAAGTTTGTAACGTCTCTCTGTTAGACTTGATCTTGATGATGTATGTAATTGGTTTTGACATAAACAAAAAGATCAGTGAGGAATACTTGTTTTACTTATGCCATGTATTGTGTTATGTAGGTAGCTTATTGGTGTTATGGTTGCCCATTCTAGCAATGGTATTTACTAGTTAGATGCTTGTCTGAACTACCCACAGAGAAGACTGGTAACATTATACAACCATCTAACCGGCTTTCAATTTTGCCAACCAGGTTATATGTTAGAACTTCAAATTCTAGTTTATAAGATAATTAGAACAAAAATGCACTTGGACAAGCGGTGACAAGTACAAAAACAAATCGAAGAATGGGCTTGTAAGAATATCATCTCTTATGCTTATCAGCTGAACCATTGTAGACGATCAGTCGAATTCCTAAGCATCTGCGGATGTGTTGAGCCTTGGTCGCTGGCTGCAAATTCTCACCAGTTACTCGTATAGGTGAATTACTTGTATAGGCAATGATAATAATCACGCTCCACCAATCATCAACTTACTCAACTTACTCAACTTACTCAACTACTCAACTACTCAACTTACTCAACTTACTCAACTTACTCAACTACTCAACTTACTCAACTTACTCAACTACTCAACTTACTCAACTTACTCAACTACTCAACTAAGCACCCTTCAATACTCAACTATTACGCAAATATACTCGACTATATCTGCCAAATCAACCAATGACTCCACTACTCCACTGCTCACGCTCTAAATGATACAAAACAATACAATAAATGAAACAACGTAGCAGGTACAGGTTGATACATACATGGACAATGTACACGGTATACACGGTATCACCCACAATACTATCACGTTTGTTAATTTATTTATTTATTAATTATCAGTTAATCATCAATTCATTATCAGTTAATTACCAATTAATTATCAATTCATTAATTAGAATTTATTAGTTTAATTAAGTTATCGTATTACCCCTAAACACAAACCATCTTATCGTAAGCGCATGGTTCACGTGCGAGCGGATGCATTAGAGCATCATCAAATATGTAAATAATTGCCATAGATCTACAGTAAACAAACAAAAACCCCTCCGTTTATTAAATATACATCAAGAAATAAATAATATACTATTAATACCCGTATTAATAGTGTTTGTTTTAATAAGAATGTAGTATCATTTGGTCGATTAATTTTAGGTCATTCTCCAAATTAATCTTGATGTCTATCTCCTCATCAATTTCAATATCAAACAAGTCGATATTATTGCTCTTCAAGATCGGGACTTTCTGCGAGGGTAATATTGGTGGTTTGACGGATTTTGAGATGTGATTGAAGTTAAACATTTTTTCGATATCTTTAATATTTTTATCGAATATCTCCAGTTCTAATCGGAGTCTCTTTGAAGATTTCGACGAGGGCGACTGTAAGGATGATTGCGAGGATTCGTACGATGAAATAGACCTTTTCATTTTAATAACTTGGGTTAATTACAAAAGAAAGTGGGTGATTTATTTATTTATATATATATATATATATATAAATACATAAAGCAAACGTGTAACCACAATTTTTCAAGGGTTTAAACGGTTATCAAAGCCATTAAAAGCGCATTCTTATTATCTTGACTTATAGCCCCACCATTTATGGTCTCTAAACAAAGATAAGAGTATCCGAACCGGAAATTAGTGTGGTGAAACTGAAATTGTCTCGGAATTTTCGAATGAATGCGGTGTGGGTCTAAGTGTTGCTATGGATCACCACTGGCACGTCAAAATTTCACCTCCGTACATTTGCTTTATATACACTGTTACAAATCGATTTCAGAGTCAATCACACAGGTATCGTCTTCGGAGTCGCCGAATTCGTAGATAACCTGGGGTTCAGAAAGTTGATCATCGATCAAGTTCTGTAAATCGTCTTCGGTATCGTCTTCGTACTCAAAGTCGTCGTCGTCGCTTTCGCTTTCCACGTAGTCATCGTCGTTTTCTTCTTCTTCCTCCACCTGTTTCAAACTTCTTGGTTGTTCTTCAAACTCTTTCATGATTTCATTGAACTGCCATACTTTTTTAAACTCCTGTTGGCGTAATGCAGTAACCGCGGTCCCAACTAGTAAACTAGGAACAATATAGAGTAGTGCTGGTTGTCCGCGATTGAACAATAAAAGAACCCCCATACAGATGGAAAGTCCCAATACGTAACTGAATATTCCGGCGATGAAGTAGGGTTTATCAAAATGGTTCAAATGGTGGAATGAGATTCTCTTTTCTTGTTTTTGATAATGGTTGTATAAGTCGAGTCTTAACAATAATGAAATAAACGAGCCTGGTAATACTATATCGCCCAATCCCAATAAATTGAATTTGCCATTGTTGCTGGGTAACAAAATCTTGATGGGGATATCCAATCCAGTAGCCACCGATTCCATTAATTCTGTTCCAAAGACAAAATAGATATCATAAATGAATAATCCAATCAATAAGAGTAGTGATGTTTTGGTTGAATCGATCTTGAAATTCTTGATTCCAAATATGGCAAAGTTGATTCCAACAAGGTCAATCACTAACCAGTTGGTGGACTGTTTGGAGTAACCCTCGTTGAAAATAGGATTATACTGGTGGAAAAGCGTACTCAACAACCCGGTGACTGGTAATAAGACCATCATTTTCAAGTCAAATACAAGATTAAACAATTGGTGGTCTTTCAAGACATTGGTTGGCTTCAATATCTTGATGCCATTTTCAAACTTGTTAAACACCTTGAACTTCTTAAACCATTTTTCGTCGTTATAGTCGTTTTCATTCAACTTGACGCAATTGACTTCTTCCAACACCCCGAGCGGGAAATCCTGCTCGGTACTCAAACTCAATCGGTACCTGGGGAAAAACCACCCGGAGTTATTTGGTAGTTTGAGCCAGAAGCCCAATTTTCTCAACGCAAAAGTCATTCCGTAGTAGAGGTTATTATAATACACCACCGGCGACATCAACAACACGTACCAGTTCAACACTTTCGACAACTGGTTGGTATCGTAGTTGTTCATACAATAGTATAACCCGTATAGGACCGACCCACCAATGAACGGATACACCAAAGCCATTTTGAAACTCAACTGTTGTTTGTTCAAGAATTTCAACGGCAACGAGTTCATCACCAAGTAATCGCTTTCGTCGCGATCACTCACGTCGTAGCAGGGACTGAGTCTATCGTGGATTGGATCCTTGGCGGTTCGTGGTTTACTCAAGGTGGTGAAACTGGCAAATATAACTATCCCAATGGAAATTCCCAAAAACAACCCAAAGTTAATCACCTGCGGATACTCTTTTAGAATATGTTCATATTCGTACAAGTAGTATGGTATCCCATCAGCAACTATATCAATTAGACCGGGGTCGGCTGTTTGATTCATTTTGCCTATAGACTTACTTGTTGTTATTCTGATGTAATAACAGAGAAGTGAAAAACACTTTTACCGGTTACTTGCAGGTTACGTCTCGATATTCACAGGTTACCGTTTGCACTTTAAACCTCACAACTTTACACGTTGCAAAATCAGAGTTTGCATGTTACAGCTTACAGGTTACCTTAAAGGTCCCCCTGCAAGCACCCATGCACCAGAGGTATCGTGTGCCGGCCAATCAGTCAATATGTTCAATTACATGACCTTTCGAGCAAATAGACGATAAGCAGTTGAGTGATCTCCTGCTAATTGTTGGCAAGTTTCGCCGATTCTATAGATGATGCTAGCCCGAATCCTCTGTCCACTCATAGCCACTTATTCTATGACGTTAAACTGGTTGTTTTTGACAATATAAACTTCAAAACAGCCGTGTTTAGTGATTATTCTTTGACACCAGGGTCATCAATGGATATATGTCTGCTCACTTTTTTGGCGTAACCTGCGGTTTCTCGCGGCGTAACCTGCGCTCAGCGAGTGCAGGTTACCCTGAGGCGGGCTTTTCCCCCGTATTTGTTTGCAGGTTACACCAAGATAGGAATCACACAAGGCTACCAATACTCTGACATTTATCTCCTCGTTATATATATATATGTATTGATAGAATTTTCTGATTCTAATTAGCTTATTCTCATTCTTAACCAAGATGAAGGATACTGACCACTCTAAATTGCATCATATAATCAAAAGAAGCTCCCATCATTTGATGCATAAGTTACATTCATCATCTTCGTCTTCGTCTTCGTCTTGTGAAGATAAAAATTTGAAAACTCCCAAAATTCAAACGAAGAAAACCCCTCCTTCTTCTTCTTCTGCTTCCACTAACGACATCTTCGAAAGATCATGTACTAATTCCACCGTTTCGCCATTTAGCTCGATGTCGGGGCTTTCTTTCAGCCCTAATAAAGAATATAAAGAGTATCCCACCAGTGCTTCTTCCCCGGAGAAAACCCGTACCTTGTCGATCGTATCGAATAACTCCTCCATTTCCAACTTCAACTGCAACCATTTGCCCAGTCATCATAATACCGAGGACTTGATTCCTCCGATATTAGACTCAACGACCGAAATCCTCACCAACCCCAAAATCGACTTCAACGACGTCCAGTTGATCTGCTGCTGCGACGACGAGGACACTTCGACCGACGACGACGAGATTGACAACTTTGAAAAATACGTGGATGCAAAATCAAACTTGGACTCCTCCACCGCTCCCCCCTGCCACTGTTCTACTTCCAGATCCAGATCCCGGTCCAGATCAATCATCAGTAATTCGCTACTCAACTCCATTGGTAGTCCAGCACAACCTAACTATCCCAATCCTTTGAGAAGATCGTCTAAGTCTTCTTCTTCCTTGAATCAATCGGCCAAAACCATCAATTTCTACTCTTTTGTGGATATGTGTAATAAAGAACACCTCATTAATCATCCTCCAAAAGACTTTGATGGCTTCACCTCTATTAGCATGAAAGATTACATGTCGAACTTAAACTAGATTCTTTCCTTGCATGATATAACGAGTTTACTTCTTCTATTTATTTAATGTGTGTATTTTAATCTATTGGTTGCAATTATCGGCCCGTACACCAGCGAAAACCTTTTTTTTTTTTTTTCTTCATTTTTTTTTCAATTTTTTTTTTTTTTTTTTGCATTGCCGATTACATAATCGGAAATTCTCTGCCACTTTTTTTTTCCCTCTTCGTCCTGTTAACATTAAGCCATTACCTTTCACCACCCTTAATCATCACCATCTCTCCCACCGTTAACCCCTTCATCCACCATGACTGAATCCTTATTCGACACCAAGTTCAACTCTGAACCAACCACCGGTTCCACTGTTCCAAATTTCAAGAATCAATCAAATGATGATTCAAATCAACAACAAGAACCCCAACAACAACAACAACAAGACCCCCAACAACAACAACAAACAAAAGAAGAATTCGATCAATTACCTTCCACCCAATTGCCCTCTTTGGACGACGACTCAAACAACTCTGCTTTGATCAATTACCGTGTTCTCGTTAGTGCTAAAGAAGCCGGTTGTCTTATTGGCCAAAATGGACAAGTTATTGATTCAATCAGAGACGAAACCAATACCAAGGCCGGGATTTCAAAATTACAACCAGGCTCCCATGAACGTATTTTAACCGTGAGCGGAACCTTAGATGATAGTTCAAAGGCTTTAAGTTTCTTCGCCCAAGCTTTAGTCAATTCTAATATTGAAGCACAAAATTTTTATAGTTATTTCCCGTTGAAACAATTAAGCTCAATTCCAAATATCATTGGTGAGACCACTGTTTTAAGGTTACTCGTTCCAAATAGTCAAATGGGTACCTTGATTGGTTCCAAAGGGATTAGAATTCAACAAATTCAAACCACTTGTAATATCTCGATGATTGCTTCAAAATCCTTTTTACCTGGCTCAAATGAAAGATTGGTGGAATTACAAGGTACCGTTGATAACTTATACGATTCCTTGAGAATCATCTCCAGATGTTTAATTGAAGATTTCTCTTCGATTGTTGGTACTAACTATTATATTCCAAGAGGTTACAATTATAATTCAAGATCTTTTAATAAAAAATCTTCAAATTATTCAAATAATAATCACTATAATAATAACAATCACCATAACCAAAATGGTCCAGTCACTTCCGCTTCGGTCTCTTTTGCTAACGATATCGTTGGTGCTTTAATCGGTAAAAACGGTTCCAGAATTCAAGGGGTTCGTAAAGTCAGTGGTGCCACCATTGCCATTTCCGATGAAACTGAAGGTAAATCAGAAAGAATTTTTACAATCACCGGTACTCCTCATGCCGTCGAAAAAGCTAAAGATTTATTATACCATAATTTGGAAAGAGAAGAACAAAGAAGAGCTGAAGCTTCGGCAAATAACTAATTGTTCCATATATATATATCTATCTATACTTTTTCTTGTAGTAAATATAATGTATCTAAAAATCATTGCTTTCACTTATTTTAGTAACTAGTTTTTCTAAATACTCAACATCAACCTCATCAAATCCTTCAAGTGCTAAACAATCAATATCTAATACCCCATACACTTTCCCGTCCTTGATAATAGGTATTACTATCTCACTTTGAGTCTCCCCGTCACAGGCTATATGCCCTGGGAACTCATTCACATTGGCAACTAATTGGGTCTTTTGACTGCTCACCGCAGTTCCGCATACTCCTTTACCAAATTTAATGATTTGACATGCTACTTTCCCTTGAAATGGTCCCAAAATCAATTCTTCCTCGGGTTTAGTTGGATTGATCACATAGAACCCGGACCAGTTCACCGGCACTTTTAATGAATGATATGCATGCCACACTAACGACGATGCGTTCGATAAATTGGCTACCCAATTTCTGGTATCGTTGGATACTGCTTCATATGAATCAACCAACAACTGCAACGTCTCTTCTTTGGAAAGATCTCCTTGGTAGTTCGAATACTCGGCGTGATGTTGGCCCTCTCCCATCTTTGATGAATCTTTGATGATTGTAGTGAAAAATTATCTTCTTTGAGGAATGGAGTTTTTTTTTAAAGAAGACGATCTAACAAAAAAAAAAAAAAATGATCCACTGTTTTCTCCTTATCTATGAATCTAAAAAATGCTGATTCATTCAGATGATAAGACCTTTTCGTCGCTATCGTCAATTGAACTAAGTCCCCAGGTCCAGCTATCCCGATTCAACAAGTTTATCAATTATAATGGTATCAAAAGAGTGAAGATCTCCCCGGTTTCTCCAAATTCTTTAGAATTTGATTTCCATCAACAAGAGTCAGAAAGATTGAGTCGGTATCATCTTCTCCGGGCGTCCGCGGCAATGTCCGCCTCGAACGAATCCATTGGAGTTGATGAGGTTGGAAATATCACTCATGCCGGTAGGGTTCTCCAACTAGATGGCGCAAATGATGACGGTTTGGATATTAATATCGATATGGATGAAGAAGAAATCGTTGATTATTTCGGAATAAATAAAAATGAAGATAACTTGGATGTTGACGAATACTACTCTGAAAGAAGAGAAAGTTTTGGCTCAATTGACCCAAATGAAAACGAAGAATATTTTGAAAAATTTCAAGATATTGAAGATGTGAATAATGATAAAGGTTATGAATATACTTGTTTTGAGAAATACGGTGATAGAAGATACTCAAACAATTCCCATAATTGTATTCATTATGAAAATAAGGATTCAAAAGAATTGGGTAAAGCTAAATTCCCCATTAATCCTCAAATGGCTTATATGGATTGGGAACGTCATGATGTTCGTACATTGGAGGAAATATCCCACCCACTAAACGATACTGACGATGGTGTATCAGTGTCCCCTCCAAGCCAAGATAACAAATTACAAGATGATGAAAATTCTTCATCGGATAGTGAAGAAGAATTTGAACCAGTAAATAATGGTGGGGTCCACGAACCGTTCAGGCCGGGGCTTTCGAAAGTTCTTACCCATGGAGAAGCCGACCTTTTGGAATTACAGCCCGCCACCAAATTCAGAGATCTGCTTAAATTGGATTTCGTTGATACTAAAAAAATACCCGCTGTAAATCATCTAAGAAAGTATAAGAATAATTTGTCCAGTATTATCAGCGATATGAATGGGAAGCTGGACTACTTGGTGCTTTGCAAAGACTCGCTGCTCCACTTTCATACGTTTGATTCAATGACGGGCGTCCCCGATGTAAAACCCGCTTTAAAATTCGATACGAAACCTTCGTTAACCACCACTTCAGATAGATTGATTTCAACATGGCCATATTACCCCCATACCATCAATTTCATCAAGTCTTACTCCAACTGGTTGGGGAAAGAAGTTTTGGGTACGTGTGTGGATGATGGAACGGTGATGGTCTGGTTCACCGATCAAATCTGGCCATGCATCGAAAAGTTTGGAATCAAAGTATTGTCGGATTCCCGATTCAGAGAAACATACCATCTTGATTCCAATTCATATTTCAGTTTTAAGGTGAATCCAACGTTTAAAATAAAAATGGAATCTTCATGTTGGGGGATTGATTTCTTAAGCTATACCGACAATTACAATAATCAGCATAATTTAATAGTGGCTTCAGATAACTCTCAGAGCATTACATTATTCTATTATCACGCACAGGATGAAAGATTCTACCATATCACCAGCCATCAATTATTACATAATATTCCGGACGTGTCATTTCTCGACTACGACATTGATTATGAATTGAATAAACATACGGTTCAAGTTTCGTGTGCATCGATCTCGGGAGAATTGGTTATATTCAAGTTTGAATTCAAACTTCAGGCGGGCCCATTGAATGAACATGATTATAATTTTTTCAAAAATGAAGGGTTGTACTATATTGATCCGGGAATGGCTCAAATGGATGCTAGTAATGGGGTTAACACTCGGGGCCATAACCAAGATGATGAAATCGTGGAAACAGAGCTAAGGTCAAACAAATTCCCCAGAATCATTTTCAATACCCCAGTTGTAATCCGTCGAACGTTGTTCAAAGATGACTGCTGGACTTCAAGACCAATCAGCTCAAAGTATTTCTTGAATGTTCAATCATTGAGGGCAATGACGGGAGACCCTTGGATCCAGGATTATGAAAACTATCTTCATATTGCTAATTCATCGACCATGCTTGATTTAACCTTTGATCCACTACAAACAAGCCATTTCGGTTTGGCGGCAAATTGGCAATTCTTTGAAACTCCAGTGGTCAGCATGAACGAGTTTCCTAGTTCCAAGAACCCAGAATCGGTTTTCGAAACCGCCAAAATGACCTCGGTAGATGATGAATACCGTCGTATCCATAAAGGTATCAAGCATGTTTACCAACAACTAATCCAAGAAAACAACCAACCTTCAAAATCCTTGAATGGTCGCCATTATAGACTCGATCCCAGAAAGCATAATAAACCTTTCAACCTATTGGCGGTTTCCACCTCGAAAAAATTGGGTCTTTTCCGTGCTGATAACCTCCTTTGTGTGGCTGCAACCAAAAAACTCTTTGATCTAGCTATCCCCTTCGACGAAGAGAGCAGGTACTCGAATCGATTATCAATCACCCAGTTGATCCCTGAACTCCTGTGTTTCATCGCCTTATCCCAACAGGGGTTGGTCACCGTCATGAGACTCTGCCAGCACCGAGGCGTCTACGGAATGAGACAGGAACTCGTCTTCCCTCATGCTCCTTCGATGACCTTTGGCTACTACGACCATCGCACCATCGCCGGGTTGGCAGTAAGAAACGTCTCGGTGGACGCCTTGCATCCACGCTTCCACTTGTATCTCACCTACTCTGACGGAATCGTCATGACCTACACTCTACTGCTCAACGAAGACCACGATATAGTAAGTATATAGCTTTATTTAATGATATTTAATGATATTTAATGATTTTTAATGATATTTAATGATATTTAATGATCTTTAATGATCTTTACTGATTTAACGATTAATCACATTAAGAAAATTATGAATACAATCCGTACATCTGGTGTTGTGAACTATGCTGCAAAATTATAAATAAATAAATGAAAGTTAGTTACTGCTTGGATGAAAAGTATAAATGACATTCCTTATCTGTTCATGTTGTTAATGGTAACGACAGGATTCCAAAGAAATGAGGCAGTGATAAGTATATTAGTTATATAGGTAGATATTCGTCGATGAAATTATTTCCTCTATTTTATTTCTTCAAGTCACTTGGTTACTTTTATCGTATAGAAAAAGAATTTCTTCTCTCTCTCAATCTTATAATATATATATTATATTGCTTGATAATCTACATTAGCTTATTCTTGTTATAAACCCAGTATAGTGGATCTTCAGCCTGTTACGTTACATTTAATATTGCAGCCATTTGTGTTACACCCGTACATACGCACTCGCAAACCTCAACGTATCAACACATATAAATATCTACAAAAATAGAATATAATTAAACTAATGAAGACTAAGCAAATAATGAACTACAACTTAGAACATTTACTGAAAGATACGACTGGTGATGCCAATGTTATGGATGACCATGACGACCCTGAAGCAGATATAAACAATATTAACCCATGCCAACAGCTTATAGAGAAAGGCGCAATCCTTATGCTGTCATGCCTAGTAGTAGGGTTTTTGTTAATGTGTATATTTTTGTATTTGATGGTTAATATTAGTAAAACATGAGATGATATTATTCTGGAAACCAATGTGTTTCAGTAGCTTAGTGATTTAAATTCAGGACCTAATGCTAATTCTATTCAAGTATCTACTTGTATCTCACCTACTCTGACGAAATCGTCACAACCTACACTCTACTGCTCAACGAAGACCACGATATAGTAAGTATATAGCTTTAGTTAATGATATTTAATAATATTTAATGATATTTAATGATATTTAATGATATTTAATGATATTTAATGATATTTAATAATATTTAATGACATTCAATGATCTTTAACGATCTTTACTGATTTAACGATTAATGATATTGTGGTGTACACGTCTTTTTGATCGCGTCTTTTTAAAAAAAGAGGTGTTTGTGTCATGCAAAACAAAAAATTGAAATGATTGATTTTTGTTTTGATTCTTGTTTTGAAAATAAGCTGAGGTTTCCATACTCCTTCTTTTCCAGTGGAACAGTTGTTGAATTGGGCTTTGCTAGAGTGCTTTGACAGAGAGTCCTGTTGATGAAGGTTTGCATATAGAAAGGACACTGTACACACCATGGACTTGTTATCGTTAGGGTCCAAAGCGAGGAAAACTGGGATAGAACCACCTAGGAATGCTGCTAAAGATGAACATGACATGGAAAGTATTAATGAATACTTCAAGTCGGACGACGAGGAGGAAATATCGGGGGTGGGAGCTGGTGAAGGGAGGATGAGGGCCGCTGGGCGCCGCCAACCTGAGTCTCTAAGGGGCAGAACTGGTAAAAGGGTGATCTCTGGCGGTAATACTGAACTTCGGAATGTGGCGAGAAAAATTAACTTTAGTGAAGCTGAAGCGGAATCATTTAAGCTCTCGCCAATTGCATTGGGTTCTAAACAACAACAAAAGAAGGATAAACATAAGAAATCTCCTTTAAGGTCACCTTTACAAGAAAATCAAGTTTCCAGACAACAAGAACAAATAGATGAGGGTTTTGGTCAACTAGATGACTTTAATAATGACGATTACGATGATTTTAATGAAGTCCATGATGATAGTTTATCTCCAATCCCATTAGAATCCATCCAAGAAGATTTACCTCCATTATCTCCTCCGAGTGATAAGGCTGAACAGAAATCAGCTAATTCTTTAACTAAACGAATGGCTCTTGGTAAAACTTCTAATCGTAAAACTCAAAAAACTAAACAACCCGGTAATTTAATTTCTCCTCCTCAAGATCAATCTTCTTTGATTAAGAAATCAAGAAGACCTTCTATCAAACCAAAGGAAACCATAACAAAACCTTCTCCTCTACCTTCTCCTCCTCCTGATGGACTACGTAGATCGAAAAGAACTAGAATAGCCCCTTTGGCTTATTGGAGAAATGAAAGAATTGTTTATTCAAGAGCTGATGAAAAAAATAATGATCCAGATTCAACCCTAATTAAAGATATTAGAAAAGTCCCCTTACAAGAAATTGAAAGCGTGGTCCATATCCCTGATTCTAATACCCAATCTAATATACCAAACAAGAAAAGATCAAGACAAAGATCAAGAAGTACTCCTCCAAAACTGAAACGGTCTTCCTCAAATAAATCTAATGATGAATACGACTATGAATCTGATCCTGAAATTGATGGTTCTCAATGGTTTAAAAATAAAATTAAAAAAATTAATATAAGATCTCAACCTAGAAAAATTGCTTTTACCCCTGATGCTGGTGACTTTGAATCTCCTCCTAATCGAGATGGTGAAGTTGTTCAAGATAATTATAAAGTGGCCACCTTATTTGATTCTTATAGAGAAAGTATAGCGGGTGGATTACTTGAATTCCCAATTGAAGGTTTTAAAGGTTTAAGAAATTCAAGTAGTTCCACTTTACTATGTCATGTTGTAAAAGGTTTAATTGAAGTTTCCATTAACGAAGAAGTATTCTTAGTTACAAGAGGTTGTTCGTTTGAAATACCAAGTGATATCAATTATAGCTTGAAAAATAGAGGTCGAATCCCCGCTAAAATCTTTTTCATTCAAACAAACCTTAACGACGAACTTTTCTATGACGAACTTTAAATCCTTGCCTTATGATCTTTTGAATGACATGCGTTTTTTTGTAATTTAGTTTTGTATAATATATAGATGATCATTCAATAAATTCTACAGTTAATTATGTATTTGTTTTTTTTTTTTTTTTTGTTAATTTTTTTTATGAAAAATGTCTATTTCATGATGGGAGATTATTATACAATGATTAGGAAGAAAAATTTTCGAAATAAAAAAAGATTGAAATAAAAAAATAAGGAATTGTAAAATGCAAGAAACAAATAGAATTAATCAAGCTTGGTGACTTCAGTAGTTTCGTTATCATAGTAAGCAAGGGTTGGAACTTTAAATTCAGAAGCGGCAATACCAAATTGTTTTAATATTAAAGCTTGTCTAACATCTAAAGTGTCACCTTTGGTACAAACAACGTATGGTTCACTAATAGTGATCTTACCTGCTTTAATCCTAGTTGGAATTTTCAATTTATTTCTCAAAGTTTCTTCTAAAGAGTGGGACATTGGTACATCTTCTTCGTATGGAATTTGACCACCTCTTGAATAAACAATTCCCTCTGGGATAGTGAAATCAATTGGAGCCTTGGACTTGGCTCTGGAGTAATCTTGTTTGGTATAAGCTGAAAAATAAGCTTGAACAGTTTCAACAGTTTCATTAGTTAATAATAACCCACAAACTCCAGTAGTAAGTTTTGATAATTTATGTAAATTATCTTTATATTCATCTTCTGGACTATCACCTAATGCTTTTTCTAAAACTCTTCTCTTACCCAAAATCAATTTTGATCCAGTCCAATCGGATCTAATGTCTTGTAAAACTGGAGTACGAACATCATCTAATTTTAAAACCCAAACGTATTTGAACTCATCGAGGGCAGATCTAACTTCGTCAAAGATACGAGTCTTGTTTTCCCTGGTCTTCTTGTCGATTTGTGCTAAAGTCACAAGCTTGGAACGTTTTGATCTAGGCATCCTGTGGTGTATTAATATCTATCCTTGAAAGATTCTACGAAGAGCTCTTTGAAAAATGAAATTTTTTGTACTAAATCTGCTTGCAGCTCATCCCCATCATTGAAAAAAAAAAAAAAAAAAAAAAATTTTTGTAAGTTCAGTCACGTGCATGGGTCGAGTCGCTGCAAAAAAAAAAGTATGCCAAATATATATTGAAAATTTTTGTAATATATCTCTATGGTACACTATGCAAGGGTATATGCTTATTTAGATTCGATATTGGATATAGCTGGAGGAGGGAAATCTTCGGATTCGCTTTGAACGTGAATCTTCAAGTGATAGTAAGCCCTGCTAAAAAAGGAATTTAAAAATTCAAATTGTATTGCTGATGGAATCTCTTCGTTCTCCAAAATCAACTTGTTGACAACCTTATAGAATGATACTAACTCGATCAAAAGCTCATTCGGGAAAATTGGTATTTGAGACTCCACATGCTTACTTTTTTGAACGGGGATTCTTGGAATTTTTGTCAGTTCCATCAAGTTAATTGTTATAGGGATGTAAGTTACAAATAACTTCATTAGCTTGTATATGCAAGTGGAATTTTTATTTTCATTTGGGTTTACAGTTAGTTCCGAAACTATCTTTTGCCTGTTAAAGCAAATGTAGCACTTTATACTTTCGAATATTACTTTGAACTTCTTTTTCAGACCTAAACCTTCGTTTTTAACTGAATTGAGTAAATCCGTGAATATTTTGGGGATGGTATTTATACTTAATGCAGAGAGAGCAATTATTAATGGTTGTGTAGTGAATTTTGAAATGGCCCTATGGTTGCAATGGGTTTCAATTAAACTTTTAATCACAGTAACGTACTCTTCTCTTGATAAATACTTTGCTGAATAGAAATAGAGAAATTCGCAAATTAATAAAATTATCAGCTTTGCAGTTTTCGAGTCACTAATTGAGATGGCATTTGTTAAAGTTAAAAATAAGTCACCCACGGTTGATTTATACATTTCAATCAAATTTATTATTCTTGGATTTTCGCCCACAAATTTCTTTGAAATTACATATCTTAATTTTAATAGGGTGAATTGACTTCTTTCCTCAGAGGGATCAATTAAAAGACTTTTAATCTCGGTTTGTACCATATCTTTCATTTCTTCTTCGTTTTGCAGATCTGCAGCTTCCTTGAGGGACATGACTATCAGAGTGTGCTCTGCTTCTGATATAGCTAGCGAAAATTCAAATCCCAAGTTTTGAAAATATTGCAATGGATCAGTCTCATTATCAAAATTAAGAAGCGTTTCTAAGTTAGGATCTAAATCGTAAACACAATGGTATTTGTCAATTGGTGAGTCCTCGCGAAGTTGTGAGGTTGGTCTTCTTGCAATTCTTATTCTGGAATGCCTCTTTCTTTTCTTTCCAGATGGTTTATATGAAATTTCCGATGAGGATTCGTGACTTCTAGACAGAAGAGTATCACATGAGGAAGCCCTTGAGTGTTTTCCTTCTAGTTTTGATATATATATATCTTGAGATAAGCTTTTCGTGGCTCTATGATGAGATTCCCTTCTATTGAGAGGTGAACCTTCAATTTTTGTCAATGGGCTTAGACATGAATCTGATTCCATTAAGTATTCGGACTTGGTGGGCGAAACCTCAAAATTTAATTTTTCGGTATCATACAATAATTTATTAGTATCTAAACGTAAAATTTCCCTCTTTTCAGGAGATATTGATGAATCTTTCTGTGAATCAGCGATCCAAAAGTCTTGTGACTCTGTACTCGTTTGTTTGCTTATATTATTTTCAGTTAAACTATCATTTGATTCAGGTAAAATCGTGTCTTCGAGATGTTCTTTCGAATTTGGTTCGGTAGAGTTTGATGAATCATGAATTTCAAAGGAATCAGCATGGTAATTATGGTTTTCACCATATTGGATGCTTTCGTTGTAATTTTTTATCAAGTTATCTAAATCGGTTGGGGCTTCATCGTTTTCTACAACACTGTTTTGTAATTCTTCTTCCAAAGTACGATTGGCATCCTCCATTTCAGTATCAATTTCTTCGTCCGAAATTTTTTTTACTGTTGGCAGGATATCATTCAAGTTTAAATTAAGATCTGACCATTCATCTTTGGATATGGTTTCTATGATTTGAGCTTTGGAGCTTTTGATCAAAGTTCCAGGATTTATAGTGATTTTGGAAGGGATTTCTTCTATATTTTCCTTATTTTCTTCGGTGAAATCCTTATCGAAACTTTGAATCAAAGGCTCGTCATTAATATTTTCATTGAGTTCAAACTCAGTATCCTTCCAATCTGCTAAAACAATGTGTTCCTTCGCTATTTCTTTTGCCTCGTGAGACACGCTTTCCTTGCTGTTGATATCAATTGGTTGTAAGACGCCGGCTCTGGTTATTTGAGAAGGTTCTTCTTGTTCTTGATTGTTTTCCAACTCATTAGATTCACTGACATCATTAGAATCAATTACGAAGCTGTATTGATTCGGGGATTTTTCACCCTGGTTTACAATTGAAATTTTCAGTACTAGTTTGAATATAATTCCGCTTAAGAATATTAACATGCAAAGTGAAAGTATAACAGTAACATTTTGGTTTTCGCTTAAACCAGTTAAAGTGTTTCCAAATTGATCTAACTGATACCTCAAGTGGACATCTATAGTATGTAGAAACCCTTCTTCACACCCCACATTGTGTGAATCATCAATGGATATAGACGGATATTCATGAAAAGAGGAAGCGTCTGATTCCTCAACGGAACCTTTCAAATCATCCATTTCTGGCAGAATCACTTCGTTTGTAGCATCGGACTCCACGGCGATTTCTTGTTCGTTTGAAGGAGGTTCAATCATTAATCGAGGGGATTCGCTTAAGCCATCGCTACTAAGAGTTAGCCGCCTGCTTTGATCTAGTAATTTTGCATTCAATTGAGATATAATTAGCCTTATGGGGGCAAATACCGGCCATAAAACATACCGAATTATATCTCCTAGACCCATATTCTGGACTTGGAAGTTCTTTCTCTGGTTTCCAAAGCTTAAAGTGAAGTTTAAAGAAATGTGATAGATCTTTTTGAGTTGCAAACATCGTCTATTTTTTTATTTGTTTGGTTTGATGTGGTGTGTGGGTCTTTTTGTCTACACAGTTTCTTTTACCGTCTGTATGAATTGTGTATTGATAACGATATCAAGATATCCAAAAAACTTTTAAAAAGACAAGATTCTTGAGTGGTTGGAAGAGTTCTTTGAGGAACCTCAAAATAAGAAAAAATTACAAAGTGAAAGAAGGAATAAATGGAGAAATAATAAATAAAAGTAATGCTTTTGGTTGGAAACTTGAAAATAAACAGCCCTCAAGTTATTAACCATTTGAGGTCAAATGAAAAGCTTTTCCAAAGCTTTCCCTTGTAAAAGGAAAATGAGTTGGAATAATTTCAAAGGATTTGTGACATAATAGATATTTGCAGGATTTTCAAAAATGATTGGAATTATACTATATCATGATATTGAAAAACTTCTAACTGAATTTACCAATCACCAGGAACAACATCTTCTTTAGGAAGTTCAATATTTCTTTGGTATTTGGTACCCCCTGGTCTACAAGGAGTAATATAAGGATCTGGGTGTTTTGTTTCAGTCAACTTAGCTTCTGTTTTGGCAATGACTTTTTCTAATTCAACTGGATCACTGATATGTTTATTAGCCTCGAATTGTTGTCTTATTTTGAGAGTTTGGGCTCTGTAAGCGTCGAATTTAAGGGTGCTATCGAATGCAGTTCTCAAGGCTTGTCTGAATAATGAGGCAACTCTTTTAGAGTTGGCTTCTGTGAATGGGAGGATAGGACTGGACATACTTGAATACTATCTTCTTGCTGTTCTTCAATAGAATGGGGTTCAAGTGTATTTACTGGAGTTGGGTTAATTCAGTATGAGAATTTTCAATCCTTCTCATTTTATTGGCTATTTTTTTTTTCCTTCAATTCATCGAAGTTGTATGTATGGGTCTTTTTGCACCCGTACATTTTGTATTATGTTGCAAAAAAAGACTAATAAGCAGCATGTTTACAGCGGAAGGTCATAAATAAGACAAATAAGACAATTTGAGCTTTGATTAAGCTTTGAGTTTTGTTGAAGATGAATGGGTTGTTGCTGAATTTCTTCGATTTCGAAGTTTTCAAATTTCTGCTATTTTTGTAAATTACAGCAAAATTATTGGAGAACACAGATTTTGAAATTACTTTTATTTAAATATATTTCAATACTTGAGGCTATAAAATACAAAAATGAAAGGAAGCAAAATAAAAAGATTTCGTAAAAATATAAATTTATCAACAAACAAATACATAGTAAAACATTAAGTGGATTAATTATTTTCAGTAACACACATCAAACTACCAACGAAGGATAAGATCAATCTTGGTCTAACTTCATTGATATCTTCTGGAACTAACCAGATTAAAGCACCGATTTTTCTTGCGATGGAAATAGCCAATTTAGCATTGGCGTATTTTTCGTCTTCTGATAAATTGGTACCTTGATAAACCAAATCGTAATCAACATAACCTGGTTTGATACCGTTCAAAATATTCAATAAGAAAATACCAGAAGATAAGCTTGAATCACTAAAAGATCTGACGGTACCAGATTTACCACCTTTGGTTACTTGGGCATTAGCCCATTTTAAGATATCGGCATCAGACAAATGTTGATTACCACCAACACTAAGTTGAGAAAGAGTGTTAATGATATTACGTCTCATTAATTGCCAAACTAAACCCAAGGTTAATAATTTATTACCATCAACGATATCAGAACCTTCAATACCAACAAGAGAAAATTTATTTGCTTTACCAATTTCAACTGCATAATTAGTATTTTCCAAAGCTTTAAAACGAGAGAGTTCAAGAGCATTAGCTGGTTTTTTATTTATATGTTTGAAAGAAACCGAGCCTGGTAATACTAATTCGAAAGCTTGTAATAATACCAAACCATCTTTTAAATCTTCAAAGAGAGAGACAACTGGAGGATCAACATCCAAAGAATTTAACCATAAAGTGAAAACTCTTGCTTCTCTTTCACCTTCAGCATCAAAATCTTCAATTTCCGGTTTTTCACTTTCTTCAATTGGATCTAAACCAGGATAATGATTAAATAAATTAGCGACAAAGGCTAAATTTAATTTTGGATTACCAGCAACCAAAGAATTTGGAGTTAAATATTTACGAACACCAATTTTATCAGCATTTGATAAAACTTGTTCTGCACGAGTTAATAAATCGTTTGTTTTCAAAGGAGACAAATCACAATGTTCTGGTTGTAATTGATTTAATAAAACAGTATAGTTTTCCCCGTCACTAATATCTTTTGAAAAATTAGAAACTCTTCTTTGAGAACCGGCATTTTTCAAATGATAATTAAACCAACGTAATAAAATTTGTTCAGGAGGTAATCTTAAAAATTGTTCCAAAGTTTCGTCATCTTCTAATAAACGATATAATTCGGGATGGTATTTGATATCAACTTTAGAAAGTAAACCTCTTCTAATGATTTGCCAAATTAAACCCAAAATCAAGTGTTCTTTACCATCAATGATATCTTCTGAATGAACATTGACAACAACACATCCAATTGCTTTGGCAGAATTGATAACAATGTTTGCGTTTTCGGACATTTGGAAATTATTAAGGGTCTTCTTTTTCACTCCTGGTAAATTCAAAACACGAGTATCAATGGTTTCGGGAACTGAATCATTAATTAACTTGGATAAAACCAAACCATCACGACATTCATCGAAAATTTGGAAAGTCTCAGTGTCAAAGGGTAAACGATCCCCAATATCAGAATCTCCACTCAAAACACTATTAATGTGTCTGGTGAATTCAGTACGTTCTTCATCATTGACAGTGTGAGTAGTACCAGAAGTTTTACCAGTTAAATATGTTTTATGAGCAGTGTTGGCAGTTGGAACTGGTGCATGTGCATTGGCACCGGCACCGGCTCCTCCAACAGCACCAGTGGCAACTGGGGCTGGTGCTGAAGAACCCGAATTGGTTTCTTTCAATTTAGCCATCAATTCAACGTAATCATCTAATTCAACATGTCCCGAAGCATCAACATCAACATGTTTCAATGTTTCTCTAGCCTCATCATAAGTATAGTCTCCCTTTTGAGATACAGCATTAATAACATCTTTTTTTTCAACCCATCCTTTATCATCCAAGTCAATGCCTCGGAAATCCTCTATTATCCCAAATAAATCGTTTTGATCCAATATTGGGAATTTTTTTTGTAATTTTAACACATTCATGACTACAATTGACAGTAAAGCAACAGACGTTTGATTATAACCAGCCGGAATATATCGATTATATGGATTGAATGGATATAATTGTACAATTAATTCAAACAAGTTCATATAAAAATTTCAACATTTAATGACCACTCACTGAGCCTTTGGTAAAAGTTTTTGTGAACGAAAGGGGCAAGCAAACTGACTGTATATAATCGCAGGACCGTACACCTTAACTTTTTTTACTGCTAATTTTGCTGGTTCAACCATCGAAACAGCATTAAGGCTCTATTGGTGCCCGATTGAAGGGTGTGGAAGAGTTACGTGGCTACCGGACAAGTGAAGAGAGGATGGCTGTTGTTGGAGGTTGTGTTGTTAGACGAGAAGACGGCTTTCTGATAGTTAAACGGGTTAGTAGACATAAACAAATACATGTACCAGGGGAACTACAGGTGCTTGAGCTTTATACGTTTGTGGTGACAAACAGACATTGAAATCGGATTGCTATCCTAAACTATCACAATTGGATAACTGAAGATCTAAAAACTGAAGATCTAATCACGGAAGATTTAGTCACTGAAGATTGAAGATCTAATCAGTGAAGATCTAATAACTAAGTTAAATAACTGAAAACTGTAAACGGTAAGAGGGCTACTGTAGTCATCACTTGTCACAGCTTTCGTAACCCATTAACCGAAGATCCGATCTGAAGAAGTATATTTAATGAACTGAAGGTGACTTTAATGAAGAAGTTTATATAAATGTAGTTTATTGGGGATGTTTGGGTCTTTATTGGTGTACCGGGGTGATTTTTTGATCACTTAAATCTAAATCAAATTAACCGCTAGCCAATTCAACTCCCAGTCCAACACCATATTCAATGGATCTAAAAGGTATAGATCATTCGGAATCCATCAAGTCAGACTCGGTGTACTCTGGAAGTACCGGCGCCACTCCTGCGTCGCTGGCGTTCGATGATGAACAGCCCAATTTCGAGGTTGAACAAGTTCAACTTCAGTTTGACCTAAATAACTCCCTTGGCCAATTGAAGGTCCAAAATAACATCATGTATCTTATATCCAATGAATTCTTGTACAAAATTGATCTTGAAAACCCGTCAGAAGTCAAACTGGTTCCCTTACCAACACCTTTTTCCGATAGTAACCAGGTTACAAATAGCTGGGTCCATCCAAACGGATTACATTTAATCATTCAAGTTAATCATAAATACTACTATTATTTGCATAAGTCTTACTCAAAGTTTAAGATAATTTCCCGTTTCAAAAATTTAAATATCCAATTCATAACTTTCCCGTACGATCTAAATGCCTCTTCTTATGAAAATACTACCGGGGATTTCTTAATTGGTTCTAGTGACGGAACAATTTATATCGCCTTATTGAAAGCTCACGATCCTTTCACCCAAGAAAACAAAAGAGATGATAAGTACATCAAGCAAGTTTATAAGTATTCGCTGTCATCTTCAAATCCAAATCGTATAGCTGGTCTTACATTTACTAATAATATTCAAATCAATTTGGTTATTGATAATCAATTATTAACTTGGGACTGCTTTGAAACTTCGTATTCGGAACTTGTCAAAGTGTTCAAGATCCCCCCACGTATCTCGTCATTACCTTCTTCTTCTTCACCTTCTTCTGCATCTACTAAATCTTCCTCCTCCACAATGACAAATAATCCATCTAATAAAATCATTTTTGATTCTACTTTGAAAAATTATAACATTGTTATTCCTTCATCTAAAAAGATTCAATCAAATGACCCTGAATTCATGTTATCTCAAAGCGAATCCTTGAATATTGGTAATTATAGTCTTTCTTCTTCAAGAGACTCTTTTATTTCCACAAATCATCATTTCATTTTTTTAAATAATTTGAAAAATTCCTTGGTTATTTTGAATAAATTATCCAATTCGGACCCTTTAATCATCAATCTTTCTTCTAAAGTTAATCCTGATGAAAAAATTTTGGGCTTAATAGCTGATAACTTAGCCTCCACTTATTGGTTATACACCAATAACAACATTTATGAAATCATCATTTCTAATGAATCAGTTTCGGTCTGGTTCAACTATTATAAACTAGGTAATTACGAAGAAGCATTGAAATGTCTTGATGCTCAAGAAGTTAGTAATCCTTTTAAAAAAGACATGGTCTTGATAAAACAAGGTTATGATTACTTACAGAAAGGTGGCTTTGGAGTCGAATACTCAAATGAAGAATTCGATTCTGACTTGTTGGCTTCTCAAATAAAAGGTATTAGAGTTTTGGCTGAACTGTCTGAACCATTTGAAAAAATTTGTCTCATGCTTTTGAATTTGCAGCAATCTTTATCGTCAAAACCAAAATCAAGCCCAACTTATATGTCAGAAACTTTGTTGATTGAATATTTAATGGTGAAGTTTAACCTATCGGTCAAAATTGAGAAAAATAGAATTAGAAGTATTGTTTTATCTAGTTGGATTGTGGAACTCATGCTAAGGGTTCTTCATAACCTACAAACAGAAATTAATAGTATAACCGTTAATAACAAAAAGGAAGAAGATTCTCATGATGGTGATTCTAAAACATTATCGAACAAAACTAACCTATTTGAATCTTTGGATAATCAACTTCAATTTTTTTTAAATGAAAATTTCAAGATCTTAGACGCTAAAACAATCTACCAAATCATGAAAGAACTTAATTATCCTTCTAAATTAATTGCTTTCGCTGATTTGATCAAAGATTATGAATTCATCTTAAATTACTATATCGATATAAGTAATTGGGATCAAGCATTACAAACATTAATAAAAATTTATAAAGCTAAACATGAGGATTCAAAAGAAGTCATTTATAAAAATTCAACTGTGTTGTTGGTGAATGAACCAAAACTTACAATTGAGACCTGGCTTAAATTTGATGACTTAGATTATACAAAGCTTTTACCAGCAATTTTAACCTATAATAAAAACAACAAGTCAATTCCTTTATTTGAAAACCATACCATTCATTTTTTACTGAAGGTAATATTCGAAAGAGGTATTAAAAATGAATTTATAATTAACTACTATTGCTCATTGTTGATTACTTATCCGGTGTCATCTTCACAGACCTCTCAATTAATTACCAAACAATTGCTTAAAGTCTTGACGTATATCAAAAATGAAACGATTTCCAAGAAAAATCAAGTTTATGATTCAGATTTAATTCTAAGACTCTGCTTACGTTATGAACAATATCATCCTGCAATTTTAATTTTAATGAATGATATGACCTTATTCGAGCAAGCCTTAAGACTAGCACTTAAGCATGACTTAACTGACTTGGCAGAATTGGTTTTGAAGCGTCATGATGAATACGTTTCCAATGAACTGGACTTAAAAGATCATGATGATTACGAATTCATTTATAAGAACACTGACGCGGAGGAAAATATTGAATATGTGGGGAAAATAAAATTAGAGGAAGAAAGTTTCAGTTCAAGGAAAAAGCTTTGGATGTTATTTGCTAAGCATTTAATCGAAGGCATTTGCAATGGGAAGTCTTATAAAATACTAGATACAATTGATGGTATACATGACTTTGATGTCTTGAGCACTGACAAAGATACCGAAAAGACTTTGAGCGATCAGGATAGTGTCAAAGATATAACCAATAACTTATTACAGTCCTTAACTGGAGACTCATCGAAAGATCGAGAACTTTTAACCCAGAATGAACAATCCAAGTTGAATAAAGTTTTGAAGTATTTGTTGAACTCCTCATATTCAAATAAAGCTAACTCCAATGTTTTGTCTTTGAAAGACTTGTTACCTCTTTTCCCTGAATCCATCATGATTAATAATTTCAAGGACGAAATTGTTTCCTCTTTAAATCAATATAATAATAGAATCAACCAACTTACACTAGAAATGCAAGAGTCATCGAAGATTGCCCATCAATTGAAAGAACAAATCAAGGATTCAACTTCTAATCACAACAAGGGCAAGATCTACACTATCATCGAACCTGGTGAATCATGTAAGCTTTGTCATAACTTATTGATCGATAAAAACTTTATCTGTTTTGCAAATTGTCACCATAACTTCCACAAAGAATGTCTTGTGAGATACTATCTCAAACTGAAGGGTGACTACCGGTTCAAGAAGGTGTTCCAAGATTTCAAAAGAAACTCTTCGGTTGCAAATAAAAAAGAAGTTGACGATATAATGTTGAAGGATTGTGTTTTATGTAATGAAAGTAACATCAATACCATTGACACGAACATCATTGATTTGAGCTCAGACCGAGAAAAGCTCAGCGAATGGGTTTTATAGACTGTTTAGTGTTGAAATATAGACGTTGGTTATATACTTTTCTTTTGCAGACCGGGTTGTGTGCAGGAGACGTTTTTTTTTTTTTGTAAAGAGCGAAAGATGAGTAGAATTTTTTTTTTTTAAGGCTCATCTCATCAAATAAAAAGGCATCAAGGACCAAGTACATTAATTTCTTTAAAGATAATATAGTTGACCATGGGTAAAACACAGAAAAAGAATAGTAAAGGTCGTTTGGATAGGTACTATTTCCTTGCGAAAGAAAAGGGGTATCGTGCACGTTCGTCTTTCAAAATCATTCAAATAAATGAAAAATATGGGCATTTTTTAGAAAAATCCAAGGTTGTTATTGATCTTTGTGCAGCTCCAGGGTCATGGTGTCAAGTGGCTTCTAACTTATGTCCAATCAACTCTTTGATTATTGGTGTTGATATTGTTCCGATCAAACCATTACCAAATTGCATAACATTCCAATCTGATATTACTACTGAAGATTGTAGATCTAAGTTAAGAGGACATATGAAGACATGGAAAGCAGATACTGTTTTACATGATGGTGCTCCAAACGTTGGTTTAGGATGGGTTCAAGATGCATTTACCCAATCTCAATTAACATTACAAGCATTAAAATTAGCCGTTGAAAATTTAGTTAGTGGAGGTACATTTGTAACCAAAGTTTTCAGATCAAGAGATTATAATAATTTAATGTGGGTATTTCAACAATTATTTGAAAAAGTTGAGGCTACCAAACCACCAGCATCCCGTAATGTATCTGCGGAAATTTTTGTTGTTTGTAAAGGATTTAAGGCACCAAAGAAATTAGATCCAAGATTATTGGATCCAAGAGAAGTTTTTGAAGAATTAGGAGAAGGTAAAAAAAATAATGAAGCCAAAGTATTCAATCCTGAGAAGAAAACCAGAAAGAGAGAAGGTTATGAAGAAGGAGATTATTTATTATATCATGAAATGCCAATACAAGAATTTATTAGAAATGAAGAACCAATTAATGCATTGGGAGATTTAAATAAATTAACTGAACCAGAAGATAAAAGCGATCACGAATGGAAGATTTTGAAAAAATTGAAAACTTTCACTCCTGAATTACAAGAATGTTTTAAAGATTTAAAAGTTTTAGGTAAAAAGGAATTTAAGCATATTCTTAAGTTTCGTAAAGAAGCCAGAGATATCTTAGGATTAGAAGTCAAAGAAGAAGAAAAACAAATTGAAGTTGAATCATTAACTGAAGAGCAGCAAATTCAAAAAGAGTTACAAGATTTAACTGATAAACAAAAACAAAAATTAAAGAGAGCAAAGAAACATGCCAATGAATCTAAACAAAAAGAGATTCAAAGAATGCAAATGAATATGTTAAGTGATATGAACATTGGTATTGAAGCTGCTCAAATTGGTAGTGAATCATTATTTAATTTGAAGACTGCTACTAAAACTGGAGAATTAGATAAATTATCCAAGGGGAAGAAAAGAATGGTTTTCAATGATGAAGACCTTATAAGAGAGAATGAGATCAACGTTGGAGATAAAGAAGAAGAAGATTCTGCTGATGAAGTAGACGAATTAGAAACTCAATTAGATGATATGTATCAATCATACCAACAAAGAAGATCGGAACGAGACGCTAATTACCGGGCCAAGATTGCTAGAGGAGATGCTGACGATGAAGCATGGGATGGAATTAAGCTGGATCAAAGTGACGAAGAAGAAGCCAAAGATTATGAAATGGAAGAAGATTCTGAATCTGATTCTGATGACGATGACCATATTAAGCAGTTAGTTAACGAAAAGAGAAAGAAGGATGAATTATCTAAGAATGCCAAAGTATTTTTCGCATCCGATTCTATATTTAATGAATTAGGAGATGATGAATTGTTAAAAGAAATGGCACCAAAGGAAGAAGCCCCAGTAAACAAAATTGAAGAAGTTGATAGTTCAGATGAAGAAAGTAAAGACGACAGTGATTTTGAAATTGTTCCAGCAGAAGAAGAAGGAATGAGTGAAGTTGATTCTGATTCTGAAGACGAAGAACATGTGAGCAGAGCCAAAGAATTTGCTAAAGCCAAAGATCATCAACAAAAAGTGGATCTTGCTACCGTGGAAGCAATGACTTTAGCCCATCAAGTAGCATTGGGCCATAAGAACAAGAATGATTTAATTAATGAAGGGATTAATAAATACTCCTTCAGAGATCAAGACGAATTACCCGAATGGTTTATTGACGACGAAAAGAAACATAGTAAGATCAACAAGCCAATCACCAAAGAGGCCGCTTTAGCCATCAAAGAAAAACAAAAACAATTGAATGCCAGACCAATTAAAAAGGTCTTAGAAGCACAAGGACGTAAGAAAATGAGAGCATTAAGAAGATTAGAGAAATTGAAGAAGAAGAGTGATTTAATCAACGAAGACGGAGGCAAATCAGAAAGAGATAAGGCCGAAGAAATCGAAAAATTAATGAAGAAATTAACTAAGAAACAACAACATAAACCAAAAACTACCTTGGTTGTTGCTAAAGGTGGTAATAGGGGTTTGAGTGGTAGACCTAAGGGGGTTAAAGGTAAGTATAAGATGGTCGACGGTGTCATGAAGAACGAGCAAAGGGCATTAAAGAGAATAGCCAAAAAACATAAGAAGTAGATAATATATAGTAATATTATACTAATAGTGACAGTATAATGTAGACCAAAGCGGCAGTGGTGTCGCAAACGCGTGTTCTCGACACGGATCCCCGATGGGGAAGCATGCACCCGTACCGCCCAATTTCAGGAATTTAACCCAAAACGGACAAAGGCCCAATTAAGAGCCTTTTCGACCATTAACGAAGTTAAGCACTAAAGACTACCATCTCAGGGGTTCATACCATGATGAAATATGTACGGTGGTTGAGTCAAGGATTAGCTACAAGTTTCCTACTTGCTTAACCAGTCAAGGCAGACCATATGCGGAGCTCTACACTAAAAAAGACAATAGTTCCTCAATATAGTTTGAGGATGCTATTGTTGGTCAATAGCCATTAGCGCAGGTATCTGACAAATATCAAGACGAAATTCATCAATTTCATTTCGGTGATGAGATTTTCGTTACCTCTGACCATAGTGTAGTGAGCATATCAAGAGATACAACGATACAACGGTACCACAAGGTAAGTATACAACAGTATAAGTATACCACGACAAGTCAAGTGTCTGGATCTCTATTGTCAGGGACCATCCTTCACATAGGCTACGGCACCAGTAATTCCTTCTCTTACGTTAGATTTCACCCTCCCCCTTCTACTAAATCAAAAGAAAGAAGCTCTAGTGATACAAACCATCATCGGACCTCCACTCTGTATCAGTCACTAACCGGGTTCTGGTACTTACACTCTTGTACTGGACTACCGTAGGATTACCACTTACCCAAGCTTCCAGTCCCACTCCGGCTACTGCTTATCCCACTCCGGTATTGCCTCCTTATAGATCTTTCTCATCTCTTGTATACCAACCAGCAAACTTTAATAAAATAGTCTTTTTAGGCGTTTTTTACCGCTTTTTGTGCTTGTCTCAATAAAAACAAAAAAAAGTAAAAAAAATTGAGTCCAACTGAGCTTCCCCTTAAAAATTTGAGAAGCTATTTAGCTACTTCTTCTTTCTTCATCAACAGCTGGACTGGACTGCTTTCATTCACATTCGTTTCTTAAAGGTGTTTCGTTTCACCCCTTGTTATACTTCCAACTTCAGTCCTTCCTTCTATTGGTGTGTGTGAAGCGTCAAGTGGGTGTGTTTTATTTTTGTTTTTTTAATAACCTGTTATTTGCCTCGGCGGCTACCTCTGATTATAACTTTTATCATCTATTAAAGGTTACTTGCTGCTTCTAAGTTGGCGTTCATTCTTTTATAAAATCTTTCCCTTGATTGTTGTGTTGTTGTTTTGATGATTTATCCGATTTAAAAATGTCTTCTCCTATAGATACTCTGTTTTCTAATTCAAATACCAATTTGTCGGTTTCAGCCACTCCGTCGGCTATAAGACGCCAAAACCATCGACACAGACGGTCTGCTGCCATCTCGGGTGATTTCGATATCATGGGTCTTGGTCTTTTCTCTCCTCCAAACGGTTCTAAACCTCTGCATCTTCCTCTGCATAATCATTCTCATTCTTATAATGTTTCTAATCAAAAAAGTGACCAAAATAGTCAAAATAATATCAATACTGGTTCTGCTCCAGAAAAATCTTATCTTGATAAACATTTCCATTTTAATAATGAAGATGATTTCACTAATAAACCAACTTCTTCAGATTTTGCTTTCCCCAATAAAACTCCTGATTTAATGAATGTTTCCACTCCTCCTCGTTATTTCACTTCTTCAAATCTGAAAAATAGAATCCACAATTTAAATTCTCCAATTAAATTAAATCATCGCCATGCAATGTCAACTTCAAATACTCCAAGAACAAAATTTTTTTTAACTGAAGAAACTAATATGAATAATGAAAATGTCCCCGATGCAGTCATTGACTTAGATGAAATCTTAAATGCAAACTTACATATTGGTGATCATTCAACTCATCATAATACCCATAGAAGATCTGGCCTGTTACCTCATGATATTTTTGGTCAAAATGATCATGAAGATGATTTTTTGGCTTCTCCTTCGCCATTTTTCAAAAATAATGCTTCAAATTCTTTTAATTCCTCTCCATTGTCCATTCCAAATCATATCACCCTATTTCAACAACCAATTCAAGAAAAAACTTCCGATTCAATCGAAGAAGATGATGAAAATAATAATCTTAATACTAATGATGATGATGAAATTGAAGGAGAAACAAAAGATATTTTCACTAATCCTCAAGATGCTTTAATCTATTCAAATGATTCGGCTAATTCTTCAAATTCAAGTTTGAAAAGTAATTCGAATATTAATCGTGTTGGTAGTATTAATAGTCATAAATTAAATCATCATTTAATTGAAAAAACTTTATCAAATTCTTCAAAAGAATCAAATAATTCATCAGTTACTAATCAATTAAATAATAATTCAACCCCAACTTCAAAAAGATCAGGAGCAAAAGCAAATCGTTATCAATCTTTTTATGATCAATCTTTTAAAATTACCAATGCCCTTAAATTTTCTTCTTCTGAAAGTATTAATCTTGTTAGATCAAATAGTAGTGGTCAAAATTTAAATTTAAATGATTCAAATTCTCCAGTTACTCCAAGAGAAATTCTCTCGAAATCTTTAGGACATTCTTCAAGTTTACCAAGTCTTAAATCAAATCTGAAAAGAAATGTTAAATTTCAAGAATCAAGATTTAAACAAGAATCAAGAAATTATGATCATGAAAAAAATGTCGATAATATATTATTTAATCCTTCAGAAAAAAAATCAATTTATCAAACTCCTACGTCACCAACCAATGATGAAAATATTACAATTGCTCTGTTGAGTTCAAAACCTCCAGAATCAAATCCTTTAACCAACCCCCAATCTCAACCGGATCAAAAACAAGATCAAAAACAAGATCATCAACAAAATCATCAACAATCAAATATATTGGCCACTAAAAATATTTCTAATAGTCCAATCAGTGTAACTTCTGATGTCTCGTCTACTGTGCTTTCTACAAATGAAGCCTCTACCGATCATTCATCATTAATTTCTCTGAATGATAATTCAAATTTGAAAAAATTGAAAAATAAACTTCAAAATAATAATTCAGAAAATATGATGCCTTCAATTGTTATCAGTAAAGATGGTGATGTTACTTCTTCTTCTTCTACTAATTCTACTTTCAAGCAAGTTGATGAAGATTCAATTGACTCTCCAATAATTTCAAAACCTTCAAATGATGAAATTAAAGAATCATCTCCCATTAAAAAAAAACCAACTCCAATCAAAGTTCCTATACCCACAAAGACTACTACACCCCCTACAGAAATAATCGATGGTCCTCAACCTCCTTTCACCCCAGATAATTCATCGATGGCATCTCCAAAATCTTCTCCTAAAAAGGCTGGACCAAGAAGACCTCTTTCCCCATCCGAAGAAAAAATCTTAAAATCAACTCAAATTCCTTCATTCAAAAACCTGTACTCTGAAAGAAGAAAGTCTCTTTATGGTAAAGACAAAGAACATCCTAATCCATCATCTTTTTTTTCTTCTTACATAAGAAAATCTCTGGTTTCAAGTACTATAACACAACCTCCACCAGTATGTTCAAGTACAATTGAATCTCCAAGAGGACGCCATTCAAAATCAAAATCATTTTCATTAATCTTGCTGGATTTAGCTCCAGGTATATCAAATGACGGCAATCTCGACGATAATAGTATTAAACTGAATAAAGGAAAGAACAATAAGTTTGTTAATTGGTTTCGCAAAAAGCGATAAGTGCATTTAGACTCATATATAATATAATTTAATTAGTTAATAGTCATAGTTTTTGTAAGTTCAGTTTTTGTAGTTGCATTTTTTTTGTTTGACGTTCGCAAAAATTGTTGTTCAAGTCTACCCTTCTTATTAAGAACCATAGTGAATATAATGAGTTTTTACGATATACCAAGTGATTTCGTTTCGAAATTGACTGGAAAATACGAATCTGCAGTTGCAAATGAACATATTGTTTTCGCTGGAGATAGTGCAATTAGTGAAATAGTTGAAAGAAAAGTTAAAGATAAAACATACGAATTTCAATTAACCCATTTAGAAACATTGAAAAAAAGACCGGCAAAAGGTAGTAAAGAAGAAAACCCATTTGCTAAACCTGAACCGGAATTAACAATTCTTGATTCTTACGGACCGAATGATGAATTTAGAGTTGTTTTCAATAAATTCCCGGTTGTTCCAAATCATTTTATGATCATTACCAAAGAATTTGTATCGCAAAATACCCCGTTATCCCCAATTGAAATCAATGCCTCTTATTCTATCCTTACCCATTTGAAGAAACACGATAGATCTGGCAAAAATTGGTTTGCATTCTACAATTGTGGCCAACAAAGTGGAGCTTCCCAACCCCATAAACATATTCAGTTCATGACTTTACCTAACGGGTACACTCCTCCCATTGACTCGATTGCCAACTCTTCGCCTGCTTTCATTCCAAGTGCTAAGCAAGAACCTTTACAAGATTCTTCGTTACCTTTTGCTCATTACGTCGCAAGATTACCTGATGACATTAGTGACTTGAACGAAGATGACTTGACCATGTATTTTTCATCCTTGCTTCAACGTGCCTTGACTACCCTTAAACAAAATGGCCATAATCATATCTCCTATAACTTCTGTTTGACTACTAAATACATGATGGTGGTTCCCAGAGCCTCGGGCTACTACAAGGACCTCTTGGGAGTCAACTCCTGCGGAGTCATGGGTCTCTTCCTATGCAAGAACCAAGAACTAGTCGACCTAGTCAAGCACGACGGGCCTGAAACCGTTCTTGCTAGCGTTGGTCTTCCCAATACCTCTGGCGAACCCACTGACGAATATCACTACTAGATCCGTACATATAATACACCCGTACCTTCGTGTATACCTATACACAAACATATACTCGCACATTTGTTGTAAGACTTCCCGATTGGGAAGTCTACACCTGTAGCCAATGAAACCGGCAGAATTATTGATTTTTTCAAGACGTGGTTTTTGCACGACGTGATATTTTAATCTTTTTTTTTTGTTTTTCAGTGATAAATACCATCAATCATTAAAGATAGTAGTTACTCTTACTAACAGCAAAGATGGCCTCCGTTACTTCTATTGTCAAGCTCTCTGACTTTATATTATCCAGACCAACCTTATCCAAGATTGTTGTTCCAGCTGCCAAGGCCTTTTGTGCTTATGCTGGGTACAGAGAAATGGGATTAAAATACAACGATTTAATTGCTGATGAAAATCCAATTGTTGAAAAAGCTATTTCAAGACTTCCAGAACAAGAAGTTTATGCTAGAAACTATAGAATGATCACTGCTCATCAATTAGCATTATCCCACCAATTACTCCCACCCAAAAAGGCTGTTCAACCTGAAGAAGATACTAATTATTTGATTCCATACATTTTAGAAGTTGAAAAAGAAGCATTTGAAAAAGCTGAATTAGATAACATTCAAGTTTCTAAATAAGATTAATAAACTCGTCATACACTTACATTTATTTATGAAATTCCTTCCACCTATTCTATTGCCTCTTGTATAGTCAATTTACGTTATTATTATCTATTAAAAGAGAAATTTTCTATAAACACTAGTAAAAATACAAAATGAAGAATAAATATTGGAATTATTCAGACGGCATACCAAGTCTAAATTTTCTCAATTGTTCTAATGCAAGGAAAGTAACAATAGTATGAGGACCTAATCTAATGAAAGAAGGTAACCAACCTCTAAACATAAAACCAACTCCTTCATTTTTGATGGCATTAGTTAAGATGGAAGCTGCTCCTCCACTGGTACCTTTGGCATTCATAATTCTAGTTTTAACTACATCTGCTGGTGAACAGACTGTAGTTGCAACTAAACCGGCTAATAATGAAGCACTAAAATGGGTTGATTTTTTGGATGGATCTAAGGATAAAGTATCAACTAATAATGACTTGGCAATATCATAAGTAACCACTTGAGAAGCAGTCATTAAAACCCCACGAACTAAATTTGGAGTTAAACCTCTAAATAGTGAAGAAACCTGTTCTTCTTTAACAATACGATAAATCCCATCAAAGGCATTTCTGTAATTTCTTCTTTGTTCAATTGGTAAAGTAGAATCATTTTGCATTCTAATATTAACTACATCGGAAGGATTCCCAACTAATCCTCCCAAAGCACCCGCCAACATGGACATTGGTAATAATGCTGATGTGGTCGGGGTGGTTTGGTAAGCTTCTTGAAAACTTTCTTTCAAAAATTCATAAATCCCAAATCTAGCGGTCGAGTAAGTTGCTTGTCTTAATAATGATGCGGTTAACCCAGAATAGATCTTGAAAAATCCTTCCTTGGTAATGATCTGGTAAACCATTCCTGCTAACGATTGTCCGGGCTTGGATGCGGTTTGCAAACGAACCTTGGCCAAGTCCAATGGATGGGTCACCAAACATGCGGTCATACTGGCGGCACCTCCATACCAAAATCTATAACTATAGTTAGTATCTTGTATCCTCTTATAACATTTGACTCCTATACTTACGGATAATTGACTTTTTTGGCAACTGCAGGACTGGTGGAAGACATTTTCTATTTTCTGTTCCTGGTGGTGTCTAACTTAAGACTGTTCCTTAGAAGGTATTCTTCTTGCAAGAGACTTCTTTAACCAACTATGATATCGAAACGGCGGAAGATTTTTTTTTTATAATTTTTTTTTATAATTTTTCTTTTTTTTTTTTTTTTTTTTTTTGGTTTCGCTTGTTTTTTTCCGAGCGTCTTCTTTATTTGGAAAATTAAAGATTGATCTCATTATCAACCTCCGGCCACCGACTCCGACGCTTGAGCATTGGCTTGTTGGGAGATGATGGCAGGGTTCACTCTGGGCTGCTCTGTTGCTATTCTGGTGCTACTCTATCTGCTATAGCTGCCATGGTATCTGCTGTATCTGTTGTATCTGCTGTATCTGCTCTGCTTCATTAGGTCCCAACAGATCGGGGGAAGTCGGAACAACAAACGATGTCCCCTCCTTGATATTTACAATCGAATCCGCTTATCTGATTGAATAACCTTGGTTAGAGTGCTGATTATTTAGGGCATTGGGCATGTCAAAGCCCTAGAGTTTGGTAGCATTTACAGGTGGCCGTGCTTTAAATCAAGAACAAGTTAATTGAAAACAAGCAGTCAAATATTTTGCAGCAATTCATTGTGCTACCGCAAGCCAATCAAATAACAAGCTAGCATTCGTTGTTTTTGCAGCTATTGGAGAGAGTCGGCACAGCAAGCCAACTGAACTTGCAAGTTCACAAACTTATAATCTCAGTTATCAAATTGTATGTACCTCCTCATTTCAAGGCAGAATTAGGTTTCTTAGCAGAACCTTGAGAAATAGCTTTTACCTTACTCTGCTGATCCACCTGATAGACAAAACCTAGAGCAGGACCAATGTATAGCCAAAGACTTAGGAAACCAAAGGGATTCGCAAGTTGAGTTAGTTCAAACTTACGAAAACAACTTACAGTATTTGCAGATACAAATGGGTTTTTTCAAAGGAAAATATGAGACGTAACTTCTACGGTAAGAGCAAAAGCCAATTCGTCACAGGCCAATTGATTGTGCTTCGGAGTTTTGTCAAACTTCTCGAATACAATGAGATGAATTTTCCATAGCATTTATTTATAGCCAGAACCATTGCTGCAAAATAAACCGACGAGCAAGAAATGATTTGTGGAACTACAGATCCAATTAATATCAAGTCATTCATTAAGTCATTTATTAAGTCATTCATCAAGTCATTCATTAAGTCATTTATTAAGGCCCGCTTCGATTCTTAATATCAAGTGAATTTCCTTATAGCCAGAGCTCTAAATGGGGATTGCTACGGAAAGCTTGGAATGCTACTTCCTTTCCTAACTCCCCTGTTGCTTCAACTTTAGTTCTTGCTTATAGATAACATATCATTGTACCATGGTTTTTTTGGTGAATCATTTTCCAAAACTATTTCATCTATCGATGGCTCCAAAATCAAAATTCAATAATATTTTGATAAATAAATATCTAAATGGCCTGTTGATGGTCAATGTTTCTAAGAAAGTACTACCGAAAGAACACGAAAAAGACAAGTTTCATTTCCAAGTAAACCCAACCAAAAGAGTTTTCTAGGCTTAATCCAAATATTCAGACAGTTTGAACATCAAAATCCCCACTCCTTGAGGTCATCTAGTGCTTTCACTAATCACCTTATCCGATCTGCTAATGCTGAAAGATTTTCTCCATTTACATGCAAAAGACTTATTTTTTTGCTTTTATAATCTTAAAAGTATATCTAAACGGTCTTCTGATTTTTTATGTGAGTTTAAAAAAAAATTGTCTTTCAAGATGCAGATGTTTATATATGTTACAAGTCGAAGATGCCTCATCGAAGAATTGTCCAAGTATTAAGTTACCCTCTACTTTGAAGAAATTAGTGTTTTGGTTCTAGACACGGGTCTTTCAAACTTGGTTAACCAGTCGGTCACATGCTTTGAACGGATTCGTCTTGTTTGAAAACTTACCTTGAATTTCGAAAGACATATATTTGATTCAAAAATGCATTTCAGAAACTGGATCAAGGGTATTCTTTTTGACCACTCTGCTTCATGGCCTTCTCTTTTGGAAACACTTCAGCTGAGGGAATCAAAGACCCTAGTGTGTACGAAAGAGACAATATCAGTTGGCAAAATTCGATTAACTTATATTTTTGAAGCTTTCTAACTGAACCTAACTCTCAATATAACTTACTTGATATTATCATATAACTTTTTGACCAAGTTCACAGTCATCACCCAATTTTTGATGGGAATCAGAATATGAAGCCTTCAGAGTTAAAAACAATTGAGATGCTGCTTAATAGTCATATAACATATGTTGAAGACCAAAGATCCATTACTGCAGGATCCACAACGTTAATTCTAAGCCCCTCTAACCTCGACCTGTTTTCTTGAAGACTGAGGCACTTCACTCCAAACATTTAAGAGCTCAACTTGTAGGATACCGTGATTTCACATTTCAAATTTAAAAATAAATCTCTGCGCAAAATCCTTGGATTTACTTGCTCCAAATAAACAGCTAAAGTTGATTAACTTTAAGTGAAGAAGCTCAACAGCTATATATCGAAAATGTGTTGCAAACACTTTAGCTAAGCCAGAAACATAATGAAGATTCGATCAGATACTTTTTGTAATAAAAATTGTAAGTTGCGAAAAATGTAGTTACCTTTGTGAGATATTATAAGTTACGGCTTTGATTTAAAGGGTTACCAAAGAGATATCAATGCCAAAGTACTTCTGCTGTAAAATAAGGTGATCTTTTGATTGTTTCGGCTTAGTGAGAGAAGAAAATAGTTGGTTTCTACTTAATTTTGTCGACCTTGCTTAGAAATTCAACTATAATTGAACTTTAATATACAAAAAGTTGCTTTTGATTAGTCCTATCAGTACTATCTTCAGTGGTATTATCCACATAGCTTCCATTCTCTTCAAACATCGATTCTATTTTTCGTTTGCTGTATTTCTCCAGATATACTAGAATTTGAGATAATAAGTATAGACATACAAACGAACCTCATTCCAATCGATTCAGTATTATCGCTTTTATAAAAAGTTTATGATTTAGTATATTATAATCCCTGTAGAGATTAAAGCCAATTCTTTGAGCTATCTTCAAGAAGAGTAACTGCTGAGAAAAAAATCCCTACAATTGAATTAACTGTTACTAGAGGCCTATGTTATTAAAATACACCAGTTGAATCTTTTAGCAAAAACCTACTAATATAACCTATCCCAAAGCTCAATACTATAAAAATACCCAATATCCAGGTAGGAACTAAGAGAGCTAAGGTAAATTTTATTCTTTCGCAAACTAGGTTTGTCGCAAAATAAATTTGCTGCAAAAGTTTCACCATTGAAAGTAGTAAACGATTATAAATTGTCCCGTATGTCATCATACCTGGGATGGCTTATTTGAAGCCTTACTTTGACAAGCTTATGTAAAAAAAGTGTACAATTTGAATTATATATACATTATTGGTTCAACATTCTCAGAATAAAACATAACTCTCAATTTTTTATAAATAATTACAATATTTAAACAAAACTTTTTATCAAATTATCAAAATAACTTTCCTAAGAATCTGAATGCTGCTATGGTTTATATAACTTAAATTGTCTATTAGATCCGATAGTCAACTTCAAAAAACCTTCACCTTCATTTTCAAATAGTGGTTTTTTTGAGACACTTTCTAATAACCTTATATATTTCCAGCATCAAATCTCTATGTCGATTTTGCAGCAAGATTATTAACGGTGCTTTATGTTTTTTTTTTCTGGCGTTATGATTAGATGAAGGTCATCTTAAACATTGTCTATCCTTTCATTTTTCTGAATTGATAAAAAATCATCCAAACCAAAAAAAGTTAAAACAATCCTAAGACCTAATTCAACTTAGAGATCAAGGCTTCAGCTAAAACATAAGCTGTACAAGCCGACCGAGCCCAGTGCGTTCTTTTGATCACTAAGTCAAACCAGGACTATCGTTTATCAAACTATCGATGCAATATTCCGAGTAACAAAAAGGTCAAAAAAATTGTAGATTATCAAATGAAGTGTATAGTAAAAAAAAATTAGCTAGTATGGGGAAACCACTCTAATTAGGATCTCATAAGGGAATGTCCAGTTTGCAGTGGTTGCAAGAGCTTAACAAGAGCTTAAGACTCTACTCTAGAATAACCAAGTATCATTCATACTCTAAGTAATGCCAAAGCCATCTCCAATTATCAATATAGTAGATTCGGGTTATGTGGGTCTATATAACCATTTAATGTCAAATAAATGGACAAAGTTACCAAAACGTAAAATTAGTCTATTTGTGATAAAGATAAATACAAAGAACCATCGATGAAAAATTGATATATTACATAGAAAAATCATCGCAGAACTAAAGACTACGAGTGAGAGCTTAATCAGGAAACTTTATCAGTTTAATAGATATAAGCAAAGAAATGTATATTGAAGACTTTAAATACAGTAACATATCATAATAAAGCCCAAATTTTAAAAATATAACTAAATATGAAAGACTACTTTTGAAACCAACTACACTTTACGCATCAAATCGGATTATATATCACTGACCAAATCCGAAAAAGACTAAGTTCAAATGGCAAAAAGCTGCTATTTATATTCTCATATTCGTGTTTTTCAATATTGTATATATGTAAAAATAAAAAGAAATTGTTCGAATGGCAAACGATTATCGAACGGCTGGTATGATACGGTGTTTAATTAATGAAACAAAGTTTACGCTTTTATCAATTTCTCAGTTTAAAAAAGTTCGAACTATACTCTTTTGCAAACCGAGCTTTCATGTTGAGCAATTGATAGTAAAATCGTTACATAATTCTTGGTGAGTCTCAGTGTTACTGGTAAAAATAGTATCAGAGTATGATGAAAATGAGAAGTTTCAACAACTGTCTCGCAACTAGTTGACCACGGTCAGAAAATGAGATTCTTATTTCGCTGTAGAAGAATCATTAAAGTTTTTGCAGACTTCACAATTTGGCTTCGATATAGTAGACATATATTAGAGCTCAGAATGGCCCCTCTACAAGGATTTAAAAAAACCTAACATTCAATGACAAAGGAACTCAAAACAGCATTGAGAAAGTTAATTTCGTTGACCTTCTCTTCTATCCTGCCCTTGTGATATCAAAAAATCCTTAGAAAGAGCAGAAGCCATCAGACGTTTCATCGAGAGAAAAAAAAAATTTAAAGTAAACGCCAGCATTACTAAACGTTAACCATTATTAGAAATTTAAAATAACTAGTAAATCATCAGAAATATGTTGAAATCTAAGGTTGAGAAAACTAAACGAAAGTAGTTTAAATCCTTGCGGTGACAAAATAATAACATTAGAGGCTAACAGATTCTTCAATACAATCAACGAAAGTTCACATATCCTCCTAACTGTTTGTCTAGCTCAGTAAAGTGCTAAATCTACGATTATGAATCTAATTCACAAACTTCCAGTTTGTCCGTTTTCCCCATATTCAGTTGCATCTGTTTTTCTCTTCATCTTCATCAGTAGATAAATATATACTCATTTTACTCATATTGTAAACAGGAAGTAAACAGGAAACAAGATTAAGATATTATTTATTAGGCTTATAAGAAGAACAATCGCGATATAAAGGAAGACTTCGAATAAATAGCAGTTTATCAAACTAAAGCAACAAATAACCTTACCTTAATGAATGGAACTAAAAACAATCCTTTTTACTCTGATTAGTGAGCACGAAAAGGAACAACACTCTGGATGAGGGCAATCACCATGTGAGAGTTTGATAATTCAGCTGTATTGTATTTTGACCCACCATAGGTACTGATCTGAAAAATATTTTACTATGGAATGATATATCAACTCGCCGTGTGAACTTTTTCAAAGTAGTTAGGGTAGATTGTTATTAAAATTTGAAGCTGATACAAGTCTCTTAGAGAACCCCGATGTCGACCTAAATTTGAAACAGTTAACTTTTACTTTACGTAGATACCTGGGCCTGGCATTCTTTTCGATATTTTATTAAAAGTTTACAGGACGTACTACACATATATCAATGAGATAGTATAACCTAATCTTGTAGAATTAGTTTTCATTTTATTTCTTAGTGATTAAGAAATGGGTACCCATATTTTCGACAAAACAGACACTACAGAATAGGCAGGAAATCGTTTTTTGGATCTCGCCAGTCAATAGAGATACAACTGTAATTGTAGCATCGTACTATAAACGTAAGGACGTGTAAGTATATGCTAACAACTAAATATATCCTAACAGATTCAGGCTACGAAGAGTTGATCTATTTAGGATGACACCAACTAGTAAACTGTCACAGTTTCATATAAGCTCTCAGTTGTTCAGTATCCAACGTTTCATAAGTTGCTGCTGCAAACATCATTTATAGACTTCTCTTGCTTTCTATCTTATACAAGTGATTGATAGTTACTAAAGGTTTTGTATAGTTGTAAATTCCTTGGATTTAGGATTCAGATGAGTTGTGGGCTAATGCAGACTATACATGTCTTAATGATCCTACTTTTCAAAGATATGGCGCCTTTTTGATAACCGCTTTCTAATGTTTTTTAAAGTACTTTTGGCAAGACTGAGTAAATGGAATGGCACTGGCTTATACACATTCTTGCACTTTTAAGTAAAAGTCTCATTAAGTTGAGAGACTTCTAGGATAAAGTGAAGCTTTTCAAAGTTTCTGCCATTGCAAGAACTGATATGACAATACATGTTTTGAAAGCTTTCGCAGCGACTGCTAAAAAAATGAAAAGTCTGAATTGCGATGTTAATCATCGAATATGAAAAAAAAAATACTTCATTACCTTGACGTCTAAGTTATTTTGCTATTTTCATTCGTAGGTATTTAGGAATTCGTAGGTATTTAAGAACTGTTCTAAGGTTTTTTCAACCTTGTTTTTTTTTGCCTTGATACAAGTAGAATCTATGAGGATCTATACTGTTGAGTCCGAGGTCAAACTATACATATTTGTTTCTTTTTTTTTTAGATTCAACTTGGACATATATAATTTTAATTTAATTTTTCGTTAGATATCTTCGAATTTATTGATAGATTTGAACTGTTTAGTTTTATAGCTACCCAATTTCTACAACGGTGCAACTGGAGTTGTGAGTTTATCGCGAATACAACGATTTTTAAAAGTTATTTGCTCAATCTATACATCATTGACCGAGACTAAAACCTGAATTAGGTTTATCTTTATAATTTAAAATATACTATCTTTTTAATTCAGAGTCAAGGAGAAGGACTAAGTCACTGGCTACTAATGAAGGTAGCGGTGGTGTCGTCTCTTCCTCTTTCTCTTCGTTTTCTTTTTTCTGTGGGTGGGAATGTTTCTCAGAGTTGTCCTGCAATGATTTTTTATGAATTCTTAACTGAATTGTAACGATAGTATATTGAATCATTTTGCTACATGTAATTCTTGCTTAATTTGGATTCTAGGAATTTCAGTTCATTATTCATTGATATGTTATTACAATACAATTGAAAATCTGTTGTTATGGCTTTAACTGCCGTCTCTGCTGCCTCTGCTGCTGCTAAAGCTTCCAAGGGGACCTTTGGGTCTTCTACCTCTGACGCTGGGGCTGGTGCTGATGGTGCCGGTTTCAGTGCAGCCGCTTCTGCTAGTGTTGCTTTATTAACATATGTTTTCATTAATTTATAGACAACTCCTAATATACACAGAATCTGTTAAAAAAGTTACAGATATATATATGAATATATTACTTATTTTTTCAAAGTGTATTTTGCACGATCGGATACTCAGAAGTACATTTAAATTATCCTTTTTTAAATATGAACTATCTCAGCTTGTTCACATAAATAATACAAAAAATTTACTCTTGAGAACTAGACATTTTTCCCAAATACTGTGTAAGCAATGGCCGCCTGAAATTCAACTTTTTCTACAGAAATAACGACTTACGTTTTGCATCCAATCTGTTTTTTTTTTTTGATCGTAAATTTATCTTACAAAATAAGCTTGAGCTGGTTAAAGCAATATAAGTTCGAATTGAAAGCAAATATATATATATAGAGCGACTATGTATTCTATTACCTTAGGATTCGCCTTGGTTTTGAGTGTAGCCTTACTGTTGAAGTCTAAATTGGTGATAACTTTCTTTACGTATGTATGTTTTCCATAAATGAACTACTACTTAGGGGAAGATATGGACAAGAGCCAAATGGATTAATTGAGTTCAATTCTAATTCAGATTGAATATTAAAGTTTGTAGGCTAATCGCCTTAGTTAACAACGAATCGGACATGCAGATTACAGGGTAAATCAAAAATGATGGATTTTAATTGGAAAACATTGAAAGCTCATATGTATAATTAGTAGTCTTTTGATGATTTTCATACTCAATTACTATATTTGATAATAATGATACTTCGATTCGAGAATTTTCAAATAAAAGAGCTAATATTGAATTGTTTGAAAATTAAGGCTAAGATTGACATAAACTATCCTTTGTACTAATGCTTTAATCAATCTAGGAGACTCGAGATTTTGAACCTATTTCATTCCACTATACACCAAAATTTGACATTTCCATAGTTATTGGATAATGTTAAAGTACAGTGTGCAATGAAGTTTTATCTTTTAGCGGATGAAACTGAACTGAGTGGCTATAAAATACAACTAGCTCGTAGAACTCGCAAGGAGTATTAGAATGCTTGATATGAACTTTTTAAATCAAATCTTTCAAAAGGATATAAAAAGAGTCTATTATGAAATAAATAGGCTGATGATGATGATGATGATGATGATGTTATAATGCTTCCCGCTTCTTTTCCTCGTTCTCCTCCAAGAAATTCGGATCCAGGAAGCTTATATGGTACATACTGTGCTTCTGGTCCTGATCCTCTGCACTGCTTTTACAGAAGAACCAATTGTTTTATTCTGATAATTATTGGTGGTTAATTAAAAAATTAACAAAACAAGAACGATTTGAACTAATTCTTTCAAAATGTTTGACTCATAACTTGGATGATGAATTTCCAGTAAGTGAAGATGGTAAGTTTGGATTTGTTCCTACTGAATGTTCAGAAACTCATGGTTTAGGAAATACGCTGCAAGAAACTCCCGAGTTGTCCAATTGAAGGCTATTTTTGGTGAATTTCATATTGAGGGATACCGGGAAGCTCAAAGCAGTCATTACGAGTCGCATATACTTACACAAGCCCTACGTTTAAGGTTAACCTAATTGACGAACTGTCCTCTATTAAAGAAATCTTCAATTTCGCAAAATTTGTTGAAAAATTAGCAGACAATTGAAAAAGTTGCAAAATGTACAGCGAAGCGAGAATGCTAAGCAGTTCGAGTCTTTCCACGGTAACTAAGGCCATTGAATGGCGAATGGAATGGCCAATGGAACGGCCAACAGGCAGAGCCGAAGGCCAAGGCCAATAGGAGTCCACCTGAGACGTCCGAGTTATACAATAAGAGTTTAAACAATAAGGTTTAATTTTGACAGAATATGTTTGAGTCGACAATAAGTTGAGCACAACTTTTTACACAGTGTTGCATTAGAGTTCATAATGAGGGGCTTTCAAGGTTAACTACATCCTTCGTAAACCAAATTTGACGAAGTTTCAACTGCCAATGAAGGGTGTTAAAGGATTAATGCATTACAAAAACCAAAAGCAACGTTGCATTTATCGAAAGAAGCAAAATCCTCTTTCAATTCAAACTCCATATAACCAATAGAGTTATACGAGTGACACCTGCAAGACTCACTAATCTTTTGATCCATTTGACGGGATGCGTTTAGGCGAATCATCAGACACTATGCTTGTGGATGATGCAGGTGTAAACTCATCAATTACAACTTAATTAAACCACAAACAACCATGCTTTAACACCACAAACAACCACAACCACTACAATAATTAGCTGGCCTTGAAGCTTTTGAATTGCCCTAAAAAATCGGGTCCTGTTACCTTTAGAAGACAAGGTGCGACTCCGGAAAGGGATTTTTTTTTTGAACCTTGCAAATTTTGTATGGCAAAACTCACTTCGCTTCTTTTGCCTTGCACTAATTTAGCCAACGTTTTCCTGAACAGTATTCTAGCTAACCTAGTACCAAGATCTGGATCTTAGGCACAATGTACAAGCCTTGGAATGTAACATCCAAAGACTGCAAAAACTGAAAAAAAGGAAAAAAAAATTGTGAAAAAAAAAAAAAAAAAAAAAGAACTAAAAAAAGAGATGCCAAAAAAAGCCACAAAATTCAAATAGCCGTTTCATTGATTTCTGGTGCTATAAAAATATCTATAGACATGGGAGTCTTACTAAATAGACCTTAGGTAGAAGAAGAGAGTTGAAGAGTGTTGAGCAGTGTTACAAGGTAGACTCAGGAGTCCGTAGGAAGTTGAAGGAAAAGGTGAGAGGGAAGCTGAACTTTTTTTTTGCAATCAAATGCTGAACAACAGACATGGAAAAACTACTTCAGTAACTTTATGCACAAGGTATAATTAGATGCCTTAAGTAAGGTATATGAGAAAAAAGGATCATTTTTACCGTATGAAGTTTTGAGTGAAATTATCAAAACAATCTTCTTTGTTTTTTTTGATTGTACCATAAAGAATACTTTTCTTTTTATTTAGTAACTGTAAATTTACTTAAAGAAATAAATTTTATTTAATAAGTTGTATTTCTTGAACGGTTTTCTCTCTTTAGGATTGATTTTTTTTTTTATCCTTGAGTCTTTAGCTATCATGTCATTTGATAAAGGACAGCATCATCCAAAGCCAGATTCGATGGCCAGTCATGACCAATACAGTTATAGAGGCTCCAGTCGAGCCAATGATGCTTCATCTACTTTCAATAACTCAGACGAATCTTTATACACCTATGAATCAGTGGAACAAGGAAACGTTTTCCAAAGATTTACAAATTCATTTAAAAGAATCGATTTAGAAGACGATGGAATCGATACTAGTGAAATGACCGAATTAGAAAAATCCATTTATGCAACTGCTAACCATCCTCTTGCAAGAAGATTGAAAACAAGACATTTGTTTTGGATTGCCTTTGGTGGGGTGATTGGTTCGGGTTTATTCGTTGGTAGTGGGTTCAGTTTATCTCAAGCCGGTCCAGCAGGGTTTTTAATTGGTTATATTGTTATTGGTTATGCCATGCTTTGTGTTGTATTATCGCTTTCAGAAATCGCTACTCAATTTGCAGTCTCTGGTTCTTTTGTTTCCCTTTTTTCAAGAATGATTCATCCGTCTTGGAGTTTTACCCTTGGGATCCTTTATTCCCTTTCATGGCTTATTTCATTTCCTTCAGAATTAATCGCTTGTAGTATGACAATTAAATATTGGAATTCTTCAGTTAATCCTTGTGTTTGGGTGGCGGTATTCTACGTTTTCATCTTTACCGTTAATCTTTTCGGGGTAAGAGGTTATGGTGATATTGAAATGGGGATTTCAATCATCAAAATTCTTGCGGTTATCGGATTTATCATCTTGGGTATTTGTATCATTTGTGGTGTTGGTGATCAAGGTTACATTGGTGGTCAGTACTGGCATAATCCTGGTGCATTTAATCATGGGTTTAAAGGGGTTTGTGCTTCCTTCATTAGTGCTGCCTTCACTTTTGGTGGTACTGAATTAGTTGCTTTAGCAGCTGCTGAAACTGCTAACCCAAGACACTCTTTACCAAAAGCTACCAAACAAGTTTTTTGGAGAATTACCATTTTCTATTTCTTAACTGCAATTGTTATTGGTTGTTTGGTTCCTTATACTAATGAACAATTGATTAATGGTACTGGTATTACTGCATCTCCATTTGTTATTGCTGTTTCAAATGGTGGTATCAAAGTTGTTCCTCATATCATGAATGCAGTGGTTTTATTGGCCATTGTTTCCGTGGCCAATTCTTCTGTTTATGGTTGTTCAAGAACTTTGGCTTCATTATCTGCTCAAGGTTTATTACCTTGGTTTGATTATATCGATAAAGAAGGTAGACCAATCGTTGCAATCATGTTCACTAATGTTATTGGTTTATTAGGATTTTTAGCTGCTTATGAAGATGAAGATAGAGTCTTCACTTGGTTTTTCTCAATTTGTTCATTATCTTCCTTTTTCATTTGGGGTTCAATTTGTTTCACTCATGTTAGATTTAGAATGGCCTTACGTGCTCAAGGTAGAGGGGTTGAAGAAGTTGCATTTGTTTCTCCTTTAGGTTTATTTGGTTCTATAAGTGGTATCATAATCTTATTCTTGGTCATTTGTGCAGAAATTTGGACTTCTATTTGGCCAATTGGTGAGAGTGCTGATGTAGTTACCTTCTGGCAAAATTGTTTGTCATTACCTCTTATGCTTGTTATGTGGTTCTTATTCAATCTTTACAAAAAATCCTTCTATCCTTTCTTCATCCCTCTTGAAGAAATCGATTTAGATACCGGTAGAAGAGATGTTGATGTCGAATTATTAAAACAAGAAATTGCTGATGAAAAACTCGAACTTCAATCAAAACCATTCTACTATAAAATTTATAAATTCTTCTGTTAAAATTTTTGACCCCATTTTCATTTCAGTTCTTCACATTTGTTCATTTACTTTTTTTTATAATACCTTTTCTTATAATAGACAATTCTTTTCGAATAATGGCCTAGATTACCTTGTAGTGCTTACATATTAGCATTCCCATCCAGAAGCTCGAGGCTAATTTCTAATAGGAGTTGCACTAAACTCCCACTAAATATACCCCGAAATGCATCAACCTAAAGGGCAGCAAGTTACCTCGTCTGGTAATAACTAATCGAAATTGGTCATCAGGACATGGGCCAGACCCTCACACCATTTGACGTGAATATCCAGTGGTTTTTCCGACAGCCAACGGTCCAACAAACTGCAATCAATTTTGAGACCATTCTAACTGCATTAAACTTGTTGACAGAACGCAATCTAAAATAGATGAGGTTGCAATAAAAGTGAAGCAATTTTGCTATTCTGTGTCGAGTTTCTTGAGCTACTGTCCAAAAGGCCCGGCCAGCCTGTTTATTAATAATCCTTCGAACTTTCCAATAGTTCCCCATTGACAACAAGAGCTGTCTTCTTTGGAGGGTTAGGCCTTTGTAGGAGGGGAGGCCTCATCGACCAGGGACTAAAATGGCTTATTCTAAAATGCGACCTTGTTTTTCACCCAATTTGCCTTTTTTTGCGGTTGCAATCATAACTGTACTTGCTATTGATTGCTAATTTGAGTTTAACACCCAACAATTGGCTCGATTCTTGTTTGTCTTTATAGACAAATGTCTAACTATTCCAGAACCTTTGCATGATGAATAATTTTATATTTGTAGGATATAAAACGGAAGTATTTTCCTGAGTTCAGCAAAGTTTTGTTTCCATCAAACATCAATTTCGTCAAATACAATTGATTAAAATGATTGCTGAACAATTAATGCAAAAGCCTACTGACCCTGCTGTTTATGCTACTTCTAATGGGGTTCCTTACACTCACCATCCTTATGGTGCCCAAACTGCAGGCCCGGGTGGTCCACTTTTACTTCAAGATTTCCACTTGATCGATGATCTTTCCCACTTTGATGCTGAAAGAATTCCCGAAAGAGTTGTTCATGCTAAAGGTGGTGGTGCTCACGGTTATTTTGAATTGACTGATTCCTTGTCGGACCTTACTTATGCTAGACCATTCCAATCGGTTGGTTATAAATGTCCTTTATCAATTAGATTTTCCACCGTCGGTGGTGAAAAAGGTGCTGCTGATACTCTTAGAGACCCAAGAGGTTTTGCCATCAAATTCAAAACTGACATTGGTAATATGGATTGGGTTTTCAATAACACTCCCGTGTTTTTCATTAGAGATCCAATCAAGTTTACTAGATTTATCCATACTCAAAAGAGAGACCCATCAACTAATTTGAATCATTATACTGATTCCACTCATGCTTGGGACTACTGGACTCAAAACCCTGAAGCTATGCACCAAGTCGCTTACATGTTTGGTAGAAGAGGATGCCCCCATAGTTGGGCTCAAATGAATGCTTACTCTGGCCACACCTTCAAGTTCATTAATGATAAAGGTGAAATGAACTATGTTCAATTCCATGTCATTGCTGATCAAGGTAACTTTGAAGGTTTCACTGAGGAAGAAAGTCATATCAAAGCTGGTTTTTCTCCTGAATTACATCACCAAGATTTATACCAAAGAATTGCTAATGGTAAATATCCTTCCTACACTTGTTATGTTCAAACTATGACTCCTAAACAAGCTGAAGAATTCCGCTATTCTGTTAATGATTTAACTAAAGTTTGGCCTCATAAGGAATTTCCATTAAGAAAGTTTGGTCGTATTGTTTTGGATCAAAATCCAACCAACTTTTTTGCTGAAATTGAACAACTTGCCTTTTCTCCAGCTCATTTGGTCCCTGGTTTAGAACCTTCCAATGACCCAGTCTTACAATCCAGATTATATTCTTATTCTGATACTCATCGTCACAGATTGGGGGCTAATTATCAACAATTACCAACCAATAAACCTAGAACTTTCGATTCTAACTCTGGTTGTCCATTTTTGGCTGGTAACTTCCAAAGAGATGGTTTTGCAGCCTTTGATAACCAAGGTTACAGACCAAACTATATGAGTACTTCCTGTCCAATTCACGCTGCTGGTAGTGACCCAACTAAATATACCAATGGCTTACCACCAAAGGAAGATTGCAAATTCCATGGTGTTGTTGGTAAAGCAGCTCAAGACAAGTACACTATTTTACAAGCAGAACAAGCAAAGAGAGCCCACGAAGAAAAAATCTGGTTAAAGAGTTATGATTATATTTCTGGTTTTAGTGAACTTGATGTTGAACAACCAAGAAACTTGTATAAGAAGGTTTTCAGCGACCAAGATAGAAAAGAATTTATTGAAAATATCAGCGGTCACGCTTCCACTATTTCCATTCCTGAAGTTAAAGAACGTGTTCCTTTAATGTGGGGATTAATTGATCCTGAGTTGGGTGCTGCCATTGCTAAGAACTTGGAAGTTAAGTATCAACCACTTTCTGTGGAAGAATACATTGAAAAAGTTGGTGTTTCTGCCACTCACTAAGGTGTTAAATCCGATTACCTTTGTTTATGTTTATGTATTTAATTGAATGTATAATGATTATGTTTGAAATATTTAGTAGAGCTATATATTACACTTATTGTACAGAGTTGAAAAAGCTATTCATGACTTTCGTTAATTTTTGCAGGGATTTTACCGGAAGAATCTACCATCTGCTTCACCTTGCCTCCTCCATTGAGCATTGAACACACTGCTATTTTCTAGCTTGTATAATCTCCAGGCTTCTTGAATATGTTCAGGTTTCAAAGGTTGTTTGAAATCACCAGCGTATACTAAAGGCTTATGATCCACCTCAATTTCTCTTCCTTCTTCTAAACTTTTGAGGATCTTACGTTTCTGTTTCTTCTTATTATCAATATCCATTATTAATTTTGCTTTGAACTCTCTTTCTTGAACTTCAAATGCTCTAGTGATTAATTCACCCAAAAGCAGCTTTGATAAACCTGCCAAAACAACAGCTACGTTTTGAGGAATCGAGTGGCCCAAAACCGAGTTTACTATTTTCTTAACACCAGGCTTGTTAACAGTAGTACGTCTAAAAGCTTCGTATTTTTCCATTTGTTCTTCAGTAAAACTCGATAATAAAAGTCTTCTTTCTTGCTCTTCTGATAAATCATCGGTGATGTTGGATTGTTTGAGTTCCCGATATTTGGCAACAAGCTCGGGGTCGTCTATATCAGATAAGTCGGTAAGATCTTCGTCCACATCCACATCATCGTCGTTTTCTTCGTCACTTTCCTCATCAGATAAACTGGGTTCTTCATTCTGACGGGCCCGTTCTTCCAATGGACTATAAAAGACACGCCATATCAATTCTTCATCTTCTTCTTCGAGACTGACATCGCTCTGGTATCCATCATCAACCAACTGTCTTTCCAAGTCGGACATTCTTAAGGTACTCTAATTAGCTGTTGGTATAAACTGACTTTTGTCAGAAAAAAGTGTATGAAATAAAGAGAGTGCCCGGTTATATGCAGTACCCATATATAAAGATCTATATAAATATATCTATACACTATATAATCTTACATAGTTCATCGTATAGAGACTTGGTCTTATAAAGAAGGTTAAACCAGTCATTTGGATAAACAGTTTGTTCCAATTCGTCGACTAATTGGTAGAAATGAGTGGTGAGATCTGTCAAATCAATGTCTTTTTGCAATTGTAAAATTCTAATAAATTCATCAATTGAGGATATTAAACCCAATAGAGTATGATAGCGGGTTATGGCAAGGACTTTTATGGCAATGTTTTCCGTTGGTTTATTCGAAATGAAGAGATTTTTCCGGATAATCTCATAGTTTTCCAAAAAAACTTTGTCTAATTCATCGATAGAGTCGCTTGAGTTGAGGTTGAGGGAGTATACTTTATTAGCGTACAAGGTCTGAATAGGGGACTTATCGGCCAAGTAAATATTACGATTGAACTTGGAAGAGTATTGCAAGTTTTCCGGAATTTTACCCATGGACTGGTTGTGGGCCTGGTAAGTTAATGTGACATTGGTGAAATTTTTAAAGTTATCAAAGTATTTGAATTGGGTACTGGTATGATTTTTAACTTGTTCGGGAACCACTTTATCACCAATGTAGATGAAGTTGATAACCATTTCACGAGAGTAATCAAAAGTATGATTTAATCCATAGTGGAAAGTTCTCATATCCGGTGCTAATAAATTATAGTTGATAATTTGGGCAATATAAAATGGTAAATCATTGGCATGAACAGCACGCATAGTATAAAGAGCAAATGCTTTATAGGCTGCTTCATCTACGATAACCGAATTCTCGTCAGATAGAAGTAATTCCACCACATATTTATCATCTTTTTCATATTCAATACTGATATTTCTATTTGGTATTAAGTCGTTGACTAGCTTTATCTTTGGGAAAAATTTGCCCTTCATTCGTTCTTGGATATCAAAGTCAACTTGGATCTGTGACGCTTCCACCAAATCTGGGAATTGAAACCCTGCGTCTCCAAATCTTAAAGAGATTGGTATAGTAATGTTGGCATCAGTTTGCAAATAATTTTTCAAATTTTGAAAAGTCTGTATTTGTGTGGGGCTTGTAAGGAAATAGTTTAGCAATACGGGCACAAGTGCAGCAGCCAACACCACCAAGAGGACCAACGACCGGGAGTTTGTCATGTTTCACTTGTTCTGATTAAAGAAAGATAATCAAGAAACAGCCTTTGTACCGTGTTCAATCGATTTGAACTTGGGAGTTTCGAGGGCAATCCAGTGTAAACCGGCCAATACGACTATCCAAAGCACGTGACAATACTCCACCGGAAATATTTTCGATGCCTTACAAAAAAAAATACTTTGAAGAAGATTAAGAAATCAACCAACCGATAGTAGTACGATCGTCATGGCAGTAACATCATTGAGAAAGGAGGTGTCAGAGGAGGACCCGGAATTACAAGAACAAGAACACGTCCACCTGGTGTATAATGAGATTGCATCCCATTTCTCGCAGACCCGGTATAAGCCATGGCCAATAGTTGAGAAGTTTTTACAAAACCGTCAAGACTACTCGATAGGAATAGATGTTGGATGTGGGAACGGGAAGTATTTGGGAGTGAACGATAAGTTGTTTATGATTGGGACCGATCGGTCAGATGGGTTGATAGGGTGTGGTAAAGAAGTATCTGCAAATAAATATAATCTTGGGGTTGCCGATGGATTGAGTTTACCTCATCAAGACAATCGATTTGATTTTGCTATATCTATCGCGGTGATTCATCACTTCACCACAGAAGAGAGAAGAGTGCAGGCAATACAACATATACTTGGTAAGTTAAGAACTGGAGGAGAGTTATTAGTGTATTGTTGGGCCTTGGAGCAAGAAAATTCCAGAAGAGGATACAAGGAAGGAGATGACCAGGATATATTGATACCGTGGGTTTTGCAGAAGAAACAGCCCAAGAAGGACAAGCCAAGAAGAAGAAGAAGAGATAAGGAAATAAAAGAAGAAGAAGTAAAACAAGAAGAAGTAAAAGAAGAAGAAGTAAAAGAAGAAGAAAAAGACATCAAATACAGATATTATCACTTGTACAAAAAAGGAGAATTACATGAAAATGCCCTCAGGGCAGGTAACTGCACCATCGTCGAAGAAGGATACGAAAAAGATAACTGGTGGATCATCATTAGAAAATCATAAAATCATAATCATAAGGTTTATAGTTTGCAGTAAAAAAATGTAGTGCAACACCCAAACAGAAAAAGACACCATTAAAGTAGAAGTAATCAGCATTAACCCAGCATTAAAAGCTATTACTATTCAATTAGCATGTTATCGCCTAGCGAGAAAAGAGATAAGATAATACGAGCCACCGATTTGGATGCGCTCAGCTGTCGTTACAGCACCAATAACAAGTCATATTTCCAACCGGCCGATAACTACATTAATAAGATAATAGCCTCTTATCAAAATCATTTACAGTTTTGCAAAGGGTACTCTCAATTGTCAGCAGGGAGAACACTTAGATCGGTCTTTAATGAGCAGAAATTGCCATTGATAAATAGAGGAACTTATTTGCGGACAAAAGTCATCGATTTAGTGGTGGAAGAGTTCATCAAGGAATTCAAACAAGTGCAAATCATTTCGTTGGGAGGAGGCTCCGACACGCGGTGCTTCAGAGTGTTTGAAAAGTACCAGGAGAATATCAAGTACATTGAGTTTGATTTCCCGGAATCGGTTAAAATAAAGAAATTGGCAATTGAAAATGACGAAGAATTGAAAAAATTGATTGGTGATACCGCTGAAGCCAAAGAAATTGGCACCAAAGAAGAGTTTGTTCAATTGGAGAGCGAGTTGCATACCGCCAAGTATCATTTGATTGGATTCGACTTGAGAGAGTTGGACCAGTTGAATGAAGACTACATCGATAAAGATACCCCAACCCTCATCTTGAGTGAATGTGTCCTTTGTTATCTTACCCCCAAGGAAAATGAAGACATCATGAGCTACTGGAAAAACAAACTTGATAAAAGATGCTATTTAATCTATGAACCAATGTCTTTAAATGATGCATTTGGTGAAACCATGACTCAAAATTTATCAAATAGAGGTATTGATTTACATACTTTCCATAAGTATCCAAACCTAACCACTAGACATAGCTTCTTTCGCGATACCATCGGTCTCAACAACGTTAAGCTCACCGATACTAGTGATATTGCCGGCTACTCTGGCAGTTTATCTAATAAAGAGTGGATTAGTACCACTGAATTGAACCGTATCAACCGGTTAGAACTAATCGATGAACTAGAAGAGATTAGACTCCTTTTCAAGCACTACTGCTTGTGTTACGGTGAACTGCACAACTTCCATTTCAACGGCATCAATAAATATAAGTGGATGATTGAATAGACCTTATATAGTCTGTATAGCTCAATATACTGCATACTCTGACTCACTATCAGCAGAAATGATGCAATTTGCTAACAAAACAAAAAAAAAAAAAAGAAAAATCTGAGAAACCAGCGAAATTTTTGAAATATTCACTTATTAACTGTTATTAACTTCTACTTCTCAACTCTTACTCATTTATATCTGATTTATATCTAAGATGGCCCCTAAGAGTTATTCTTTAGAAACCGAGTTGGTTTTCAACAAGTCCAGTGATCAATACAATGCGTCGGTTGCTCCGTTATACCAGTCAGCTACTTTCAAACAGCCTTCGTTATCTAATATGGGAGAATATGACTATACTAGATCGGGGAACCCAACAAGAACTTATTTACAAAACCATATGGCTAGAATCATGAAGGCAAACTATACTTTTGCTGTCACTAGTGGGATGGGATGTCTTGACGTTATCACCAGACTTTTAAAGCCAGGGGATGAAGTTATTGCGGGTGATGATTTATATGGGGGTACTAATCGATTATTGAATTATCTCAACTCTAAAGGAGACTTGAAAGTTCATCATTATGATACTACCAATACTGAGCTTATCAAATCCAAAATTAGCTCGTCTACCAAGATGATTTTTTTGGAAAGTCCAACTAATCCATTAATTAAGGTTGTTGATGTTAAAGCAATTGCTGATTATGCCCATCAGGTCAATCCAAACGTGGTTGTTGTCTTTGATAATACCATGATGTCTCCTATCTTGATGACTCCTTTGGATTTAGGTGTTGATATCCAATATGAATCAGCCACCAAGTATTTAAACGGTCATCACGATCTTATGGCGGGGATCATTGCTGTTAGAGATTCTAAGTTAGCAGAACAAGTTTACTACGTGATCAATTCAACCGGCTGCGGCTTGTCTCCATTTGATTCTTGGTTATTGTCCAGAGGTTTAAGAACTTTGGCTATTAGAATTGAAAGACAACAAGCCAACTGTATTAAAATTGCAGAATTCTTACAATCAATTGGATTCAAAGTTAGATATCCGGGAATCAAATCCCATCCTCAATACCACTTGCATCAATCCATGTGCAAAGGTAGCGGGGCAGTTCTTAGTTTTGAAACCGGTTCAATTAAAACCTCTGAAAAAATTGTTGAAAATACTGACATTTTTGGTATAGCTGTTAGTTTTGGTTGTGTTAATTCTTTAATCTCCATGCCTTGTAAAATGTCCCATGCTTCCATCGACGCTAAAACTAGAGAAGAACGTGACTTCCCTGAGGACTTGATTCGTCTTTGTATCGGAATTGAAAATATCGATGATTTAATTAATGATTTAACCAAAGCCTTATTAAAATCAGGTGCAGTTAAAATCAATGAAAAAGATGAATTGTTCAGTGTTGTTGGGGTTGAAGCTAAATTATAATTTTCTCTCTACGCTTGCATCTTCTCTCTTGTCTCCATATATTCCTATCTTCAGTTCTTTTCCCTTCAATATTAGTTATTGTATATAAAATTTAATAAAAGCTAGTCTTTATATGCCTGGTGTATGGGTGTAGTGCTCGCCATTTGCCTACGCGTCTTTTTCTTTTAAAAAATTGGCAAGCGCGTAGTAAAATCAACAGTTTCCTACTTCTTCTCTTTCAATCATTCAATAGTTGATCTAAAATGCAACCTCAAGATTACGGTATAGTGCCTGGAAGTCTCAAGGAGTTACTTTCCGTCAAGGATAACCATAAATGGCAAGGTAAACCCATTGTTGCTCAAGTTCAAAACTCCAAGATTCTTCAAGAACAAAATACTGATAAAAAGTATCGACTTATTGTTTCTGACGGTGCTTATAGTATCCATGCTGTTGTTGATCAGAATAATAATAACTACTTGGAAAGTAATGGTTTTTCCAGATTTTCAATTATTCTTTTGAAAAGTTATACCATTGCCAAAACTAAGAAAAGAGTGATGATCATTAATGATCTTGAAGTTAAAGTTCCAAAAGCTGATAAAATCTCCGAAAATGCAGTTCCCTGTGATACTTATTATGACCAGAACCCTGCGGATGACTTGGTTGCCCAAGCAAATGCCAAAGTTGGTGCCGGTCCTGATATTCCAGCGGTTGCATTAAATGTTGACTCTAAACCGCAACAAGTAAGACAACCTCAGCAACAACAACAACAACAACAACAACAACCTCCTGCCAACCATGGTCCTATTTGTCCAATTGAGTCGATCTCACCTTTCTCAAATAGATGGACCATTAAAGCTAGAGTATCCTATAAAGGGGACATGAGAAGATGGTCTAATCAACGTGGTGAAGGAAGATTATTCAATGTGAATTTCTTAGATGAATCAGATGAAATTAGAGCCACTTCTTTCAATGAAGATGCCGATAAGTTCTTTGAATTATTACAGGAAGATAAAGTCTACTATGTCACCAAAGCGAGAGTTGTTCCATCAAAACCAAATTTTAGTAATTTAAGTCATACTTATGAATTAAATTTAGGAAGAGATACTCAAATCACTGAATGTTTCGATACTGCTGATGTTCCTAAAATCAATTTCAATTTTACTAAATTGAATCAAATAGAATCAGTAGAAGCTAATTCTATTCTTGATGTTATCGGGGTTTTGAAAAATGTTAATAATTGTGAAGAAATGACTGCTAAATCTACTGGTAAACCATTCCAAAAAAGAAATGTCACCATTGTTGATAACTCTAATTATGCAATCGACGTTACCTTATGGAATAAAGTTGCCGAAGAATTCAACGTCCCGACCGGTTCCGTACTTGCTTTTAAAGGTGTTAAGGCTAATGATTTCGGTGGTAGATCTTTAAGTTTAACCCCTGCTGGTAATATGGTCTTAAATCCTGATGTTAATGAATCTTATTCTTTGAAAGGTTGGTATGATAGCGAAGGTATTAATGAAAGCTTCCAAACTTTGAAAGTTGAAAAATCTGCTGGTAATTCATTTTTAAATGATCGTAAATCTATTCTTCAAGTTCAAGATGAAAATTTGGGTAAAAATGAAAAACCAGATTATTTCAATACAAAAGCTTGTATTAATTACTTTAAAACTTCTAATATTGCTTACCCTGCTTGTATTAACGAAGTTCAAAGAGGTGAAAATGTTACTACTTGTAATAGAAAAATTATCGAAGAAAATGAAAGTACTTGGAGATGTGAAAAATGTAATATCACTTACAATCAACCTCACTATAGATATATCATCAACTGCTCAATAACTGATCATACCGGTCAAATTTGGGTCACTTTGTTTGATGCTGATGCTGAAAGAATCTTCAAAAAATCCGCTGATGAAATGGTTAACTTGAAGGCCAACGATGAACATGCTTTTAACCAAATCACAAATAATCTTATAATGAATGAATATGGTTTCAGAATAAAAGCAACTCAAGATTCTTTCAATAATGAACTTAGAATAAGATTCACTGTTGCTGGTATTTTTGATATTGATTATAATACCGAAAGTGAGTTCTTAGCAAAACAATTAGAATCAGTTCTTTGATTTTTTACTCGATTATATATCTAATTTTTTCGAATTATTGTTATGACTTCCAATTTTTTTCTTCTTCTATGTGAATCGTCTACTGTTTTGTATAATACTTTAATACATATTTTTCAATATTTACATAATGTAAAAAGGCAAAAAAAAAAAAAAAAAAGATGATGCAAAAAAGTCAAAAAAAAAAAAATAAAAAAAATTAAAAGCTTTGTTGGTTGAATTCAATAAGCCCATTGACTGCTAACCAAAATTTTTTCAAAACTTCATTGGCAGATCTTTGACCTCTTGTAACCATTAATTGATTGATGAAAGTTTCCAATGATTTTTCACTTATTTTATCGCGGTTAATGATTTCATGATCGTTAGCTAATATATATATAAGCTTCTTTTTAAGAACTAATGGGAATTTACCGATCAATTGTCTGAAAATTGGATAATATGAGTCCAAGTTCGATCTTGAAGTTGTCAAAAAAGATTTTAGCAAATTTTTAAGAAAAAATTCTGTGAAAATTTCATTGGTTTGAAATAAGTCATTTATTCTTTCATGATCAGGTAATTTACCCTTTTTCAAACTAATTAAATTAACCCAAAATTTCAGTACTGATTTGATAATGAAAGTTTCTTTGGCGTTTAAACCTTCAATAGCAAAGGCTAAGACTATCTCATTGAAAATTGGTGACATCAAAATCAAGGACGGCTTTCTTTCTAAAATAGTGGAGAATAAATCAATTGAACATTTAATCAAATCTGGATCGGATTTTAGTAATTGTAAATGATTAGTAAACACTTTTTCAATTAGGTTGTTAATTAAAGAATCATCTAAATCTTTGAAATTGATTATTATGACAGTTTCGATCAATGAGTATATATGTGGAACTGAATCAACATTGGTCAATTGATTCATTTTAGTGATTAAATATTGAAAAATAGTATCATTATCGAAAGTGAATGGTCCATGTAGAGGTTCTCCCAAACCAGTTTTCAATATTAAGCAGCATCTTTCTGTGACTGTAGAATTTTGGGAGAATTGTGAATGATTGAGAGAATATTGTTCTATTATTGATACAACAACATTCTTAATATGCAAATTATCATTCAACCAATAGTCATTGATGGCAAGTTGTTCTGATTGAGAATATAAATCTTCCGGTTCATCAGGTAATTGACAACCTTTACCAATTTCAAGGACACAAGAAAGGATAGAAATTAAGTAATCTTCTTGGTCTTCGTTAAGGCTATCAGAGGAACCCAACATTTTTAATGAAGTTTGATTGATAAGCTCCAAAATTCGACTTAAGATCAAGCCGAATTCATTAGGATCTTTCAAACATTGAGCAATCGAAGCATAGGAATTGAATAACCTTTGTCTAATTAAATGGTCTAATTGTTGGTTTTTTAAGATTTCAATAAGTATAACTTCTAAATTAGGTAAGAAGGAAACCAAGTTGGTACGACATTCTTGACAAATTTTTAAAATTGTTTTCGAAGTAATCAACGATAATGAAGATAAAGCATCATTATTCAAAGTCTTAAGGATGATTGAAAAAAGTAAATCAAATATGTCACCTAAATAGTTCTTACCAATTTCAGTTTTCAAAAAAAATTGACATGACGATAGGTAATTTATCAAAGTTGAATAATGGTATTGATTCAAACCAACTTCTATTGGTAACATATTATATATGTTTAATAAGTTATTTTCAAAGATTATTTTAGTAAAAGGAAGAAGATTTTTTGATTGAGATTCATAGAAAGTACAATCTTCATTAATTTTGAATAACAAGTAGAGGGTTGCTTCGATATTGATCAATTTTTCAGGGTTTGATTCAGCTAGTAACAAGTTGTTAGTAACATCTAGGCATAAATTTTCATAAAAGGGCAATTTCAATAAGGAGTATATTAGAATGAAAAAATCGGCCACGTTATGACGATAATTCAAGAATTCTGATTTTGAATTTTTCAAAACTTCAAAAGGAATTAAATGAATTTTCAGCCAATAAATTGAACAAACTTGGTTGAAAATTTTAGTAATTTCCAGATTGAAATTTTCGACATAACTCTGATTATCTAATTGTTCAAAATAAGTTTTAAAAGTTTCTTCATCATCAACAAAAATGCTAGCTAGCTCTTCCCAGAATCCTAATAATAGTTCACTTATTGATTCTTCAATGATTGGAATTCCCGGTATATCAGTAAGTTTAATTATTATCGATAAGATATGTTGAGAGTCACCTTCTAATAAATTTTTGGAAAACCTTAAAATATCTAATTGGACAAAAATGATGATTAAATTTATAAAAGTTGAGACTTCATCTTGATAAATTTCTCTATTATCATTATTGAAAACCACAATATCTAAAAAGTGAACTCCCCAATGATTATTTTCGAAGAATAAAGATTTTAAGAAATTTTTAGAATCATTATTCAACATAGAAGGGTTGATTTCCAAAATTTCTGTCAAGACAGAAATCGATTGATTTGAAAGGTCAAAATCCATATCTTCAATTGGTAAAGAAGCAAAAGAAGGATTAAGAAAAGGTATGAATATGAATTGGATGATATTTTGCACATCCTGATGAGAGTATCTTACTGAAGATATTTGTTCAGCGATAGATATATAAGAGACCCAAGAATTTATAGTGGAAAGAGTTAATGAATGAATTGAGGATGGTAATTTTTGATTACTGTCTAGTATTAGATGGTTTAAATAAGATAAAATGGAGTTAAATTTCTCAAAGATTGAATCATAGATGAAGCTGTGTATCAATGAATCATTTGAATCCAATTTTTTCGAAATATCTTCGATTAAAATGGTGTAAAAAACAAGAATCAAATTAACATGATCTTCCGGTAAGAAAGAGATGGTTCGCTCAATATCGTGTTCATTATCTAATCCATCCAAAGACAAAATAACTTTTAATAAAGTATCAATTGGATTTTGATAATGTTTATAATTTGAGATAAATATTTGGGATAAATTTGATAGTAATTTCCTTATAATGAATAAGTTTTGATTCAAGTCGGTTTGAATCAAGTTAAATAGGTGTAACTGCAAATCATGAATCAATTTTTCTAACAAAACGGTATTATTGTTAATTTCATCATCATCTTTTGATGATGAATTGGATAATGATAAATGGTTATTTATAAATACAGTAAAAGTCAAAGCACCAAAATACTTACAGTTTTTCAAAGGAGTATTCAATAACGAGTTTGCTAAGTCATACCCATACGAGGACCTCTGGATTTCTTGTAATGACTTCTGAGTGGAGTTAATTTCCGATGGATCACTGGATGAGTAGAGTTTTTCAATGTTCTATAACCTTTTGTTAGCACTCTCCCGGCGGCATAGCAAAACTTCCCAAATAACGTACCTGCGCAACCGACTCCAAGTCCCATTGGGCTGTTCCCATGATCAGTCGGTTGTAATATCAAGGTTTAATGGAAAAGAAGAAGGTATTCATTTTCTTTGGCGGCTAAAATGTTGCTTCAAAAATTATCATCACAGGTCACGTGATCAACCAACTAAACACCCGTACACCAAACACCCACTCCGTACACCCAAAAAAGCTGAAGCATTTAGTACCGGTCGCTTTTAGAACCAAATAGACCCTTTACGACCAGCCAGTAAGAGGTCAGTAAATGTAATGGTCAGCTCAACCATCTGCATTGTATGTAAGGAGGAGCCGTCTATATTTGTAAACTTTCCTGAGAATCAGTTGATTTTCCAGAGTTAGTGTACAAGTAAATTTGAGCTACGAATAACAATATCAACAACTACATAACTGCACAGCTACACCATTAGCTATACAACTACAACACTGGCTATACCACTGGCTATACAATTACACAATTAGACTATATAAGATATAAAGACTTACGGATAGCAGCAGTACAACTTGCTCATCTTTTTTTAGCTGGTTAATTAGGCTTTTCGGGATTCTCACTAACAGGAAAGCATTCGTTTTTTTCTCTCATCTAAACCCTTTAAAATTTGACTAATCAACTTCTTTTCAAGGTTATTGTTATTAGATATTGAAAATGCAAGTATCATCACAGAGAAGAGTTAATAGGGCCCAGTGTTCTAACTGTACTTGTTCTCCAGGATTATTATCGCGTACCAATAAACGGTCATCATGGTTTGCTAAACAGATTAATTTGAAGAGAAATCCCCAAGGTTCATCACTTTCGAGGTCAGGCTCACGTAAAGGATCAGTTTTCACCATTAACGCTGCTTCGTTATGTTTGCCTGATACTCAAGAAGTGAATACCTCGCAAAGATTAGCTAAGTTGAGACAAGTTATGGCTGAATACAATTTAGGGATTTACATTGTACCAAGTGAAGACCAACACCAATCGGAATATGTATCAGCTTTTGATCAGAAAAGATCATTTATATCTGGATTCCAAGGGTCAGCTGGGGTTGCTATTATTACTAGAGATGTTACCTCGATGAATGAAACCCCCGATGGATTAGCTGCATTGTCAACTGATGGACGTTATTTTAATCAGGCCACTAATGAATTAGATTTTAATTGGACATTATTGAAACAAGGTGGCGGGAATATTAGCTGGGAAGATTGGACTATTAAACAAGCAATTCAATTATCATTGGATTCCGGTAGTAAGATTAATATTGGGGTTGATCCAAAATTAATAAATTATCAATTATATGAAAAGATTAATTTCAAAGTAAATGAATCATTAAAACGTAATCCCAAAGCAGAAATTGAACTAGTTGCCATTAAAGATAATTTAATTGAAAAAATCTGGGGAGAATTTGAAGAAATTCCAATTAAAAATTTTGATAAATCAATTTCGTTATTAAATAACGAATTTACTGGAGAAACGGTTAAATCTAAATTAGAAAGAATAATAAATTATATTAAAAATGATATTTCCAGTAATGGACTTATTATAAGTTCCCTTGATGAAATTGCTTGGTTATTAAATTTAAGAGGTTGTGATATTGAATATAATCCAGTTTTTTATAGTTATTTAATAATAACTGATGAAGGAGAAATTAATTTCTTCGTTGATAAAACCAGGTTTAGCGATGTTAAAATTGAACAATATTTATTATCAAACCATATTTCAATTAAACCATATGAAGAGTTTTGGATAAATTTAATTGAAATCAGTAAAAAATTTAATTTAATGAATAAAAAATTTTCGATAATTCCAAATTCTAATTCTTGGGAAATTGTTAGAAATTTAAAATGTTCTTGGATTCCAAATTTAAGATCTCCAATTGAAGATTTCAAATCAATTAAAAATGATGTTGAATTGCAAGGTGCTCGTAAGGCTCATCTTAAAGATGGTAGAGCTTTAATTAAATTTTTCAGTTGGTTAGAAAATGAATTAAATAACAAAATTGAATTAATTGATGAATGTCAAGCAAATGATCAATTAACTAATTTTAGAAAAGAAGAAGAACATTTCGTTGGTCTTTCTTTTGAAACCATCAGTGCTACTGGTTCAAACGGTGCCATTATTCATTATAAGCCAATTAGGGGCAATTGTTCAATTATTGATCCAAATAATATTTATCTTAATGATTCGGGTTCCCAATTTTCAGAAGGTACTACGGATATTACAAGAACTTTCCATTTTAATAAACCAACTAAAGATCAATGTAAAAATTATACTTTGGTCTTGAAAGGTAATATTGCTTTAGCTAATTTAAAGTTCCCAGAAAACACTACTGGTAATTTAATTGATTCAATTGCAAGACAACATTTATGGAATTATGGTTTAGATTATGGTCACGGTACTTCTCACGGTATTGGTTCTTATTTAAACGTTCATGAAGGTCCAATTGGTATTGGCCCAAGACCAAATGCAGCCACTTCTTTCTTAAAACCAGGCCAAATAATATCAAATGAACCCGGCTACTATGAAGATGACGAATACGGTATCAGAATCGAAAACGTAATGATCATTAAAAAGTCCGGTTATAAATACGCTGGTAAAAACTTTTTGGAATTTGAAACTATTACGAAAGTCCCCTTCTGTCATAATTTAATTGACAAATCTTTGCTAACCAGAGTGGAAATCGATTGGATTAACAATTACCATAGTGAAATTTGGAATCTTTACCAACACGACTTCACTAAAAACAGCCTTGAATATAACTGGTTGAAAAGAGAAACTTCTCCTTTATAAATTTTGCAGTAATAATTAAATTAAATTAAATTAAATTAATATATAAACCTCCGTACATATAGTATAACACCCGTACACCAAGGTGCATCCGAGAGTCGGACTTTGAAGGTCCGTCCACGTGACCTCATACTCCCAGCCAATCAGCGTCGAGCAAGTGCTGCTTACACACTCAGTGTTAGTAATCGCTGGTAGTTACGGGGTGAAGGATGCGGGGGTCGTGCACCGTCAGAAACCGTCACAGAAAATTTTGTAAGCGTTTAAGCAATTAGCTTTATTATAAAAATATAACTAATTCTTCTTTATCATTTATATATTCATATTCTTTAATCATAATGTTGGCAAGGAAATTAATATTGTCTAATTTGAATACTACTTGCAAGAGGTTTATTTCCCATGAATCCAAGAAGGGAGGGAAACGTTATATACAAACGATTCCAACTAACAAATCAAGTACTCCTGATTTTTATTCTGGTTTGAATTATAGTTTGAAATCAAAAGGTGATGATGGTAATAATGCTTCTGTATCTAGTGGAGGTGGTTCTAAATGGGCTAAACATTCGCTAACTTTCCCCAGTTCCGAATTACCGGCTGAAAAGGAGGAACAACAGAAGTTAAAACAAAAAGCATCTACTGCTCCATTGAGAAGATCAAGAGCTTCTAAATTTTCCAATAGATCCTTAAAAGATATTTCTACTCCATCCGCATCTTCGAATGTCAAGACTGACTCTTCTGCATCACCAAAATCATCCACTGCATCTGATACCACTACTAATACTCCAAATATAACGGTTGCTAGTGAACCTAGTATGCCAAAAGTGAATGAAACCAAAAACAATACTGCATCAACTGAAGCTCCTAAGAAGGCTAAGAAACCAAGAAGAGCTTTACGTCCAAGAAAAGCATTGATTACCTTATCACCAAATGCCGTTGAGCATTTGAGAGGATTATTGGACCAACCCGAACCTCAATTAATAAGAATTGGTGTTAAAAACCGTGGTTGTTCTGGTTTAACTTATCATTTAGAATACGTTACCGAAGGGGGTAAATTCGATGAATTGATTGAACAAGATGGAGTCAAGGTGTTGATTGACTCTAAAGCTCTTTTTTCAATTGTTGGTTCTGAAATGGACTGGTTGGATGATAAGTTGTCCTCCAGATTTATCTTTAAAAATCCAAATTCAAAGGGTACTTGCGGTTGCGGTGAATCTTTTATGGTTTAATCAATTACATTTTAATGACTACATTTTAACGGTTTTCAATTCTTTTCATAATTTATTCTAGATATAAAATATATACTTATTTATTCATTATATTTCCTTATTGTAGTATTAATTGTAGTACTGGAGATTGTAATGCTGGAGGTTAATCTCCATTTGATTTGACTCATTTGAATCGGAACCGAATCTGGTTCACGGATCTTTTTTTCCCGTTGCTGCGAATGGCAATTGTGTCGCAAATGGCTTTATTTGCGCATGTCGTCCCGACAAAGGTTGCAAAAAGCAGTTTACAAACATTAATTAAGCTGTTTTTAATACTAGATAATCTCCGGTTTTTGCAATTGGGAGATTCTGGTACCATCTTGCTACTTCTTTCTTCACTTGACTTCATTCTCAAGATTCTTATTTCAATTGGAAAGCATTCTTTCGGTATTGTCATATTAATTTTGTTCAGTCATTTCTTTTTCAACCAAACAACTAAATTTTAGAAGAATTATCGATATACAATGAATTCCTTTTTAATCAAGTCATTAACCATTATTGGTTTCTTAAATGCGTTAGTAAATGCCGATCAAGCACCCAAAATTAAACTGAATCCGAAAAATGTTTTTGCAATTGCAGAATTTCCTGCTGGTTTTGATGATAAAGTAATGGGTAATATTATATTTTCCGCTAAAAATGGTAAGATGGTTCAAGTTCATGTTGATATGACTGGGCTACCATCTTCGGGAGGTCCATTTCAATATCATATTCATGATAATCCAGTTCCAGAAAATGGCGATTGTAATAAAGTTGGTCTTCATTTTAATCCTTATAATGCCCCATCTGATTGTAATGAACAAAAAGATGATTCTTATTGTCAAGTTGGTGATTTATCTGGTAAACATGGATGGATTGATACAACATGTTTTGAAACCAAATATGATGATCCATTTCTCTCATTAAATAAAAAATCAAAATCATATATTGTTGGCAAATCAATTACTTTCCATTATGCAAATTTAACAAAATTTGCTTGTGCAAATATTGAATTAGTTTCAAAGGAAAGATTAAAACAATTAAAATTGGAATTTGAAAATCAAGATTTAACCACCACTAAAGTTGGTAATAATTTAGAAGATTATTCAAATTATTTTAATGAAAATCTGTTTATCAATTATAATTTTAATGAAGATGAATCAATTAATGAAGAAATTTTTGAATTGGCTCAAGAAAATAATGAAGAAGGTTATGATTATAATGAAAAAACCAATTCTCCAAGACAACTTATTAATATTGAATTTAATAATAAAAATAAATCTATTAATTCAACTCAACTTAATAAACCTAAGAATTGGACTAATTCTTCAAACGGTCAATTACAAAACTATGATTCTTCCAGTTGTGAGAATAACGCCGGAATTTTAAATTCTCAAAATGATTGGTTAACTGCTGGGTTAGGGGTTATCATTGGTTTATTAATTTAAATATATATTGCTATAAAACCATACACTATAAATGTTGATTGTAGTATTTTATTATTTGATTTTTCTGCATTCAAAATAAGTAGCGTCAACGTCATTGGGTAAAGAACAGAAATATTCTAATTTTTGCATATGTTTGAATAATTGAATTGAATTATAACCTAATTTCAAACATGTTTTACCTCCCTTTTCATTATTAGTGCATATTATACTTTCATCGGAGTATTTTTCACCGTCAATGATAAACAAGTTAGCAGGACGTTGTTCAACAAAGCTGGTTACGGATTTGTCATTCTCCTCGGCAGACTGTGGAGAAATATTCTTCACCTTGACTGGACCCGATAATTGGTCAAGAGTATGAGAAATATCGTTGGAAGACGCATTGTCTGCTTGGGCCGGAGCCAAGTTCAAAGGCTGGTGGGATTTCTGTTCGACCTGCTGCGGAGGCTTCTGTGAAAAGGGATTCCAAACCATTGTATACCAAATGAATAACTGAATAGAATAATCGAATAATTGAAGAGTACTAAAGAATCCGGGGATTTGTCGATGGCAATTTTTTTCCACCAAGCCGTAGGCCCGTACATCACAAATACAATCCCACTGATTCATTCAATCTCATTACACTCAAGAGATGGTCTCGGTAGGCAATGTGTTTGGGGTCCGCCAAGTTGAATAGCTGGCGCTCTTTCTTCTTCAGAAGGTCCAGCAGCATCTGCTCGGCCACGTGAGAGATGTTCCGGAGGAACGAATTGGAAATATCCAATTTTAAGTGATTGGGCGTATTTAAATCAATCTTTAACAAGTTCAACAAAATCGACTTCTCTAGTCTCTCGGGTGGTTGCTTGGAGGCATCTTGTTCATGAACCAACGGGACCGGCGACTCATCGGGACGGACTGTGGAATTGAATACAAAAATATAAGTGTTAACTATTCTTCTCCATTGATCAGGAGAATCTTTAGCAATATCAGAATCGACCCCCAATAAAATCTTGCGACGACTGTTGAAACTCTCCAAAGTGAACTTTCGTTTAAGTACGTCACAGTACACTTGTCTAAGATCAGTTTCTTCATCAATTAAGTTTCTTAACCTATAAAACTTCTTATACATTAACTTAGCACGAGCATTATAAGTAGGCAATTTTTGAAGCGATTCAACACTGGGGAACCTGGAAACCGCTCTGGTCAACGTGATGGCGGAGATGCTATCCATAGGCACCACCGTCTTGACAAAGGAACCCAACTTAGCCATGGCGATAAAGAAGTAGTTGAAGCTCATTGAAATTTTTAGTGAGAAACTCGTTTTATTCGCTTAAGCGCTTTTCTCTTAAGCGCTCAGTTTAACAACCACTGCGTTTTCCCACCGTCTTTACACCCCCAAAACAACATTGGCAATTGATGAAAGACCAGCTTTGTATTAAGAACGGGCAAGACGTGTTCAGTCTTCGCTACGATACTGGAGTATCCAACTACAATTGTGAAGAAAACGCGTGTTTGGACACTGTGGTTATCCCTCACACCAACTTATCGGTAAGTTATCTTTCAGTTATTTGTTAGAAAGACGATACTAACTAGTCGTAGGTGTATGTGAATATCAGCATCAACGGGTGCCGTACTGATTGGAGTCAGTGGAAGCTGCTTAACGATGCCATTGCTCAGTCAATGACTGAAAGTGGGATTTGGAATAGTTTACAGTACCAACCGAGTCTCCACATCGATAACGATGAAAACACCGGGTTCAAGCTTAACTTGAAGTGCCAGGTTATTCCTCAATTGCAAAATGACTTATCGAAGATCGAGTCCTTGGGCAGATTTTGCTTATTAATCTTGAACTTCAACTATAACACCCCAGAGTCAAAGTTATCGCTTCCCAAATTGCTCGAGTCTCTACACTATCTGTTGGCGTCATTGATTTTAAACTTGGAATACAAGTTCCCGTTGGTGTTTTCTGTGCATGGTAGAAAACTTCTACAAAACAACTATCCGTGGATGATTACCAATATTAATGAAGTATTATCGCTTCAACTCGAAAATGAAACTTCAGTTTATGAAAAAAACCGAAATTTGGTGCTCATGAAACTCATTTCGGACTTACAGAAAAAGACCCTTAATGAATTTAATACAATAAACATAATGAAAGAATGTGATGCTTCATCTTCCAGAAGAAAAAGCTGCGAATTTTTCAAAGCAAAATCCGCTTCCGATACAAATTATGTCTCCCGTACTAGCATTAAGAATATCGTCTACAGCTTTGGCATAATCAATATCGAGCGTATCCTATCCTCATTAACAAAATAAGTGATGCCTCTAGCCTAGTTCCATGTCCCTTTGGCGAGTCATTCACTCTTATTGTTGATGCCAGCTTTGTTTGTTGTTTTAAGCTTTTGTTTGTCCTTTTGTTTGTCCCTTTTGTTTTAAAAGTATTTGTGGTTGCACACCCTTTTCAATCTTTTTTTTGTTCTTTCTGCTTTAATTTTTTTTTTTTTTTTTAGCTTGTTGGTCTTTGCAAAGCTGGAATTCAAATCGAGCTAAATTGTAAACATTTTTGCAAGGGAAAATTCATCGCTAGCTCTGGAGTTTTTTGATATCTTGAATTAAAACATTAATCTTTTATTACTCTGTCTTTTCATAAATTATACTTTAACCAAAATCATATCATGTCATTTTTCCAGAATTTCAATACCCATACTTTGAGATCCACCAGGGGTTTTAAATTGAAGCAATCATCTCCAATATCAAATCCTCAACCAATATCAAATTCGGTTTTACCAAATGATTTCAATCCTTACCAGCAACAAGAAGAGCATTATCGTCAGCAGCAGCAGCAAAACCAACAACAACCTTACCAAACTATCAACCTTCACGGTAGTGGAGGTGGCCAACCAGTTTCAACCCATAAAGATATTAGAAATTATGCAGAACAAACCTTGGGGTCCGATAATGCTTTGATTCAAGCAGTTAAGTTACCCCAAGATGAAGATATCAATGAATGGCTTGCCATCCATGTAGTTGATTTCTATAATCAAATAAACATGTTATACGGAACGATTACTGAATTCTGTTCTCCCAAAACTTGTCCAAGAATGATTGCTACTGAAGAATATGAATATTTATGGCAAGAAACTAATCCAAGTGGTAATGGATCAATCTCTCCTAAAAAACCAATGTCTTTACCTGCTTGTGAATATATTGAAAATTTAATGAATTGGATTCAAAATTTCTTTGATAATGATAACATTTTCCCTTCTAAAATCGGTGCTCCATTCCCACAACAATTTTCAACCTTAGTTAAAACTATTTTCAAAAGATTATTTAGAATCTATGCTCATATTTATTGTCACCATTTCCATGAAATCACCGAATTGGGTTTACAAAGTCATTTGAATACTAGTTTAAAACACTATGTTCTTTTCAGTAATGAATTTGGTTTAATTAGTCAAAAAGATTATGGTCCTTTGGAAGATTTGGTGGAAACTATGTTAAAAAGCTGATTCTTTTGGTTCTGGTTAATTTTGGATTATTTTTTGCTTTCAGTTCATCTTTGGTGGGGTCACTCTTTCTACAATTTCTACAGTTTCATTCATATCTTTTTTTTTTCCATTTAGTTATTTACAATCATTTTTTATTCTATATATAGTTCTATTTTGCAACCCTTTGCTTAAATGCATGTAACTTCTATAAATTAATTAAGTTCAACTTCAGCCATCAAACAGAGATGATCAGAAGGATACTGGCCGGTTCTAGGTTGACCAGAAGGCTCTGGTCCCATGTCCTTAGGCATTGGAAGTTTTAACAATTTCAATAATTTGACATTATCTCTTGAGCTAACTTCCTCAATTGAATCGACTTTTTGTGAATAGTCCTCTTTCTGTGAATCCCATTTCGTTATAACGAAAATATAGTCAAGCAAACCTCTCCAAGTATGTGCCCAATTTGAAAAAATCGGTTCATTTCTTTCATTATCGAAACCAGCGTTTTCGGGATGAATTGATTTGTATCCAATTGAATATAACGAAACGGCTCTCATATCCAAATCATTATGCAACTTCTCCATATCATTAACTAGTTCCAATTGTTCTTGATTTGGAGTAAATGATTCAGGAACCGGATCCTTGGGTTGATTAGTTCCAAATTTTTCAACATTCCCACCTTCTTCTTCTTCACCTTCTGCTCCCTCCTCCTCTTCATTGTCCCCGTCTTCTTCAATAACCCCACGGTTCTTGGAAAATTGATACGACAAAGAGCAGCTGATAACTGTTTGGCCCCTACCAGAGTACTTAACTGGTTTTGCAGCAATTGATAAGTATGGGGTATCAAAGGGTTGAGAATTGAAATCTCCAGCAAAGAAACTATAGAATCCACGGTCATTATTTTGAAGAACACTAAGAGTGTGATAGAATTCTTTAAATTTTTTCAAAACCAAATAGGTTTGTCTTGATCTCTCATAAGTACCAAACGGATGCCAGAATAAGTGGGTGGTACCAATAATTATCCCATTTCTGCTTAAGTTAGAATATTTTTGTAAAACTTGTGGTGTGAACTCCAAATACACTAATAGCCCCACGTTCTGAGTGACTGTTCGTGGAGAAATGACTCCTGATTTCTCTCTATCGTATCTGATAAAACTTTGCTGCTTACAAACAAATAAATCTTTCTTGAATGCTACAGCCACCCCATGATTCTTAGCTTCTTCACGATAGTATTTTGAGCTGTAACCAATTTTTTCGAATTCTTGTTTCCAAAAAGAGTTATATTGAATGAAATCCATCTCTTGTAAACATACAATGTCTGCGTCGTAGTGCTTGAATTCGTCTAATAAGACAACTGATCTGTTTGTCCATTTAAGTGCAGTTCCACTAGTTGGGAATAACTTTCTTCTAATCAATGCTTGGGCTAACACATTATATGTCATTATTTTAATCTTGAACGAATCACTTGATCCATATTGCTTCGGTATCGAAACAAAGTCCCTTTTGATGAACTTCAAATTTGGAGGTGTAGATGCTTCATCTGGGTTTATCCCTTGTGCAAGAAGCTCTTGACGTTTTTGTTCTTTCTTGAGGTTTCTAAGTCTTCTTTGCTCTTCAATGTACTCCGGAGTTAATGTTGAAGGATCCCTTGATTTTTTCGATTTTTTATCTTTTTTTGATTTTTTGGTGGCTGATTCAGGTTTAGAAGCGGTTGTTTGTTGAGTTTCTACTTCAATGTTCTCTTCATTGGCCTTTCCATTACCATTGGCAGTTTCTTCTAGGTTCAAGGACATATTCGAACGAAATTACAACTGTTTCGGGGGTAGGTAAAAAGAAGATCTAATGATTAAATTTTTTTTCAGCTCATTTTTTTTTTTGCAAAAAAATGACAGGAGAACAAAACATTAACAGATTTCAAATACTCCAATCAAAAACCTCATCAATTCGATATACGACACTGGCATGATGCAACTGGCGAACTTACAAAGGCATTTCAGCAAGATTGATGAGCTTCAGTATGAAGTGTTCACTAGAATACGTGAGGTTTTAGAAGCTAGTGAACCTGGATTGGAAAACGATGATAACGAGACCATTGACGCTCAAAGAAACAAGCTAGTGAAAAAGGCGAGTCGATTGATAGGGGAAGCATGTGACGAGTTAAGAGTTATTGAAATCAAGTTACAAGATACAAATCAAGATTATGGGGAAGCAGGTAATGAGTATGAAATGACCAAGATCGAGGTTGAACTTTATCGGGAGAAAATAGCTAGCTTGAAGACAAAGTTACGAGAATGTCAATTGAATTCGTATGGTATGGAGAATGAACTTATTCATCAGCAGAGGCTTACAAGATACGTCAAACCAGTCGTGGAAAAACAAGATAAATCATTGGGTACTAAAGAAGATCTATTTGCCGGGCGTTCTCTTGAAGGAAGACAAAATAACGCTGGAGGAAATAAGAAGACGGTTCAAGATCAGATCTTGACTCAAAATAAGTCCATTACAAATTCCTTACAAATGACCAGGAAGCTTATGTCTACGTCGATCATGCAGACGGAATTAAACATCGATCTGATTGACCAACAAACGAGAGATTTGTCTAGTCTAAATGAAAAGTTGGTTGATCTCAATACGGTGTTAAAGAAATCAAGACAGATTGTTAAGTTCATAGAAAAACAAGACAGACAGGATAAAAATCGAATCTATTTGAGTATTGGATTCTTATTGCTCTGTTCAGCATGGGTTATTTGGAGAAGAATATTGAAGGTTCCCGTAAAAATTATGCTCTGGACATTTTTCAAGCTATTTGGAATATTTAATTGGTTTGCAATCAAGCAAAGTGAAGCTGATAAGATCGAAGTGTATGCTACTATTGATAATTTACAGATTACCAGTTCCCCGTCAATGATGTCTGCAATAACGTCTGCGATAGACACTGACCTCGAGTATATACAAGAAATAAGCACGGGAAGTGGTGATAAAACATGGGATGAGATGATTCAAGAGACTTCTCAAAGAATTGTTGATGAACTATAAGAATTTTTATTTATTGCATTTATATAGCTAATCTTGAATTATATAATCATCAAAGTGTAATCATGACTAAACTCTTTCAACTTTGATAGAGTCACCGTTATTTGCAGCACTGTCTAAAGCGGCGCCAATGATAGCTAAATGGTGGAAGGCGGTTGCTGGTTTAACACCAACGAGGTTTTTATCATTTTTACTAACTGCAAGTTCAAAGTTTTTAAACTCTTCTTGAATGGCATTGACTTCATTGACTTCGATAACGGTTTTGTCTGAGGCTGTTTGACTTGAAGAACCGGTTTGGTAAGTAATGGTTGGTTTTGGTAAACTTGGAGACCAATCGTAAACTACTGATCCATTAGTACCGTAAATAGTAAGACTAGTTGACTTATCGGTAGCACCTAAAGCAGAAGTATAAGTGAAATTACCAATAATACCATTTTGTAATTTCAAAGTTGAAAATAAGGTGTCCACTGTACCACTTTCTTTTCTAACTTGTTTGGTTTGAGCAGAAATAGTATCGACTTCACCCAAGACCCCAGTCAATAAAGCCAATTGGTGAACCCCACCATCACTTAAGTAACCACCAATGTGTTCTGGATTCATTCTCCAGGCGGTAGAGGCATATTTATTTGCTTCATTAAAGGCACCAGTGGCATTATGAGTGAAAGCAATAACATCACCAATTTTGGGTAATATATCATTTTTCAAAGTATCTATAACACTAAAATAAGACCATTGTTCTAAAATACTAATTGGTAACTTGGTAGAATTGGATAACTCAACAATTTCTTTAGCTTGTTTCAAATTAGCTGCAATTGGTTTTTCAAACATAAGTGGTTTATTATGTTTAATGGCCATCTTAACAATTTCAACATTAGTTTGTACTGGTAATAAAGCATCTACAATATCAACATTTTCATCCTGGAAAATTTCTTCTAAAGAATCAGCAACCTTGGACTTATCAATCTTAGCCAATTCAGCAAATTTCTCTGCCTTAGACTTGGTTCTATTAAAAGCAGAATATGGTTTTAATCCTTCAACCTTTTCAATATTAGGTAAGTGTGCCTGGGATGCAAAAATACCAGTACCAACAATTGCAACGTTAAGTTCTTTGGATGACATGTCTGATTTCCTGTTTATTTATTCAATTGACCTCAAATCTATTGAGAAATTAGTTTATACTAATGGAAAAATCCTATTAATGGATCAATTATGGAAAATCTCCTGGGAAAAACCCGGTCTTTATATATTTATCCGATTCGAGGAATAGTCACGTGACTCCCCAGAACCTCCACCGTTTTAAAAACCACCTTTGCTACAAAGTCAGTACTACCTGGAATACCTTTCGCCGTATAATATGTATTATTAAGCAGCCAACGAGGGTTTAAGCCTCTCTTGCTGCTTTTGAAAGTATATACGTACGAAGAACACCTTTGCCTTAAGCCAGGGATTGACCTTCCTCAGATTTTCTGGAGTAGAGGCACGGGTGCATATTCGGTGGGTGGGTGTGGGGGATCTCCAACGTGGGGGATATGTTGGTGTACGGGTATCGTGCTGTAAATGGTTACCCGGACGCTGTTCAATTATTGGTTGTTGCACGTTGCTTTAATTTGATTTTTTGTAACGAAACCAAAAAAAAAAAAAAGGGTGTAACTTGATAACCGCCCACTATTACCAAAGTATTAAAGTCAATCATGGAGGTCAACCCAGCAAGTTTAGGCTCGACTTCCCAGCCCGATTCCAATTCCCCTGAACTAGGCGCTGCTAACGAGAAACTTGACCCCTCCTCTGAGCAAGCACCAGTAGACCAAGAGAATGGCCACGAATCTACCTCGCAAGAAGAGAATGGCCACGAATCTACCTCGCAAGAAGAAAATGGCGGTAGCGACAAGAACGATGAGGATGATTACGATCCTGAAGGATTTCTAGATGACGAAACCAAGAAGTCGCCCAAGGATATGTCTAAAGAATTGTCTAAGGCTCCGCGGGAAGATTCACCCCAGGAAAATCAATCAACCCAATCGATTAACCATGATAATAGTAATGACGAAGACGACTATAATCCCGAAGGATCACATGTTCATGATGATAATGATGATGATGTTCATGATGAGGAGAAAGATGAACCCACAAAGACCTCTAGTACCATTGATAGAAGTACAAGCCCAAGTGGTTTACCTCCTAAACCCCCTGTAAATGCATCCTCTCCCCCTAATGATCCTATTGTATCTGATAGTAATACTCAATTGGAAAATCCCCAAGGTCAATTGAAAAAAGCTTATGAAACTATTATGCAAAGTGATCTAGTTAAAGATCCAAACTTTATTAAATTAAGCCAAGAAGATCAAATGAAACTTATAGTTGAGCAACTTAATAATCAAAATGTAAAATTGACTAATCCCAATGATCCAAGTAATCAATATCCAGGTATGAATTATGATCAAGTTTATTCTTTTAATAAACCTTGCAAAGTCTTGAAAAACCCCATTCCTTTAATCCCTGTCAATAAATATTGTCGCAGACCTAATATTACTGCACCTATGACCCCTGAAGAAGATGCTGCTTATGATGAATTTATCAAAAGAGAAACTTATTACATGAGCTTGCCAAGTTGGGACGATTTACCTGATAAACTGAGATTATTTATTGGGAATCTTCCTGCTAATACCATTTCAAAACAAGATTTATTTAGAATTTTCAGTCAATACGGTGAAGTTGTTCAAATTGCAATTAAAGCTGGTTATGGTTTTGCTCAATTTAAATCAAACGAAGCATGTGCTGAATGCATTAAAGGTGAAACTGACGTGCCTCTTCATAATAAAATAATGCGCTTGGACTCTTCAAAACCTCAAAAGGCAAGAAAATCAGCTAATGACACTAATCGTGGTAAAAGAAGTTTCGAAGATAGATTAGAAGATATTGAATATTCTCCAAAAAAATCAAAATTCGTTCCCGATTGTCAAGTCTATATCACTGGTAAATCGTCCATTTTCTTTATTAGAAAAGTTAAGAAAGCTTTTTCGAATTCCCCAGTTTCAATAAATATTCAAGATATAACTCATCAAGATTTAAGTTCAGTAATTAGTGAGGCTGCTTATTCCGGTGTCTTGGGTACTTGTGTGATCAAAGAAATGAAAGTTGATGTTCAAACTTTCGAAAAAACCCCAGATGGTGGTATAAAATTCGATGAATATGCTGATATCGAACCTGAAGTTGCTGCTGATATATTAATGAAATCGAAAATGAAAGTCTCTGGTAATAATTCTTTTCAACCAGGAGCTTTCCCATCGAACCAAACTTCAAATGGATTCGAACGTGGAGGTCGTGATCGTGGTGGTCGTGATCGTGATCGTGATCGTGATCGTGGAGGTCGTGACCGTCGGGGAGGCCCTCGCGGAGGTCGTAATTTCAACGATCGTGGCGGTGGCCGTGGTGATGGCTTTGGCGGTGGCCGCGGTGGAAGAGATCATCGTGGAAATCAATCAAATCACCGTTGGCCAAATGACGAATGGAATGCAAACTCTTATCCAAGTAATCAATATCATCGAAATACGGGACCATCTCACTCAGGCCCTCCACCGCAACAAGTCTTTCAAAACAATGCTCCATACGGTGGATCGGGTTACCCAAATGCCCAACAATCATATGGACAGGGATATCCTCAACCACCCCCACCTGGTCAAGCTCCTTTGGATTCAGGATTGGTTCAAACCTTACAAAATATGGACCCAGCATCAATGCAAAATATGATTTCACTTTTGCAGCAGCTGCAACAACAACAACAACATAACCAACAGTATTCTCAATCGTATGGTAATGGCTATAACCAACCATATAATCAAGGTCCACCTCCTCCTTCGATTCCACAAGGGCAGTCACCTAGCAATCAAGTAAATAACTTGTTGTCACAATTACAATCATCACAAGCCAATGCTTCTTATAACCACACTATGGCTCCAGGGTTTACACCGCCACAGCAACAGCAGCAACCTCAGAATAGCACCCAATCATTGATGGAGACCTTGGCAAGGTTAAGTAAGAATTGAATTTCACTGAGTAGTTTACAAAAGAGTTTTTCGTATTTCGTAGACCGAAGGTACTTTTTTTTTTTGAGTTTTTTTTTTTTTCTTTTCGTAATTTAATATTATACTTAAATAGAAGTATATACATCAAGAGTATTGAAAGATATATGTAAAATTAAACTAGAATTGAAGAAAGATAAGAGGTTAATTAGTCAACTATATCAGCAGTATCCACTTCATTTTCTTCGGTAATGGTTGGTTGTGGAGCATTTTCTTGTAGATCCAAGTTTTCGTTATATTGTTTTTGAAGCTCTTTAAACTCTTCCTCGTCTTCTAAATAACCATTAACACCAATAACAGCACATCTATTAAATACCTCCAAAATTGCTTCAGCGTCCTCAACTTTCAATTTAGCGAAAATTTTATTTACTTCATCCAAAGAACCAGTTTTTATAGCATCTTGCATTTCTTGCGATAATTCATTACTAAAGATATTGTACTCTTCAGTTCCTTCTTGAGGAATATTGACAAACAATTCAGTATTATCATCGAGAGCTTTTAATTGAATTAAAGCTTCTTCACCATTACCATCTTGATTTTCTTCTTGCTCTTTCCTAATGACTTCACACCTATTCTTTATATGATTGAAGGTGTTATCAACATCTTGAAGGAAAGCCTGTTTTGCAGGAGAAGAGTTATCATCCACTTTAGAAATGAACAATTTGATGGCTTTGATCGTTTGATCTTTACTAGGATGAGGACCAGCTAATTGAGCAATGTATTGAAGTAATAAAGATTGATGAATAACTTGTTTAGTGGTCTTTGTATCGCCTTGTAACTGATGATCAAAGGCAGTCATAACCAAAGCGTCTTTTTGCTGTTCAGTACAAATATGATGATTTTTAACTAAATAAGCAGCACTTTCATTTAGTTTAGTACTTGAAATTTTGGAAAATTCGGCAGTTTCTGGTAAAACAGTTAAATCATCAAGAATTTCTTCATCCGATTTAGGAGCTGATTTTGCTTCTTGATTAGAAACTTGAGATTGTTGGGGGTTATTCAAAGTTTCGGTTGTGGTTATAGTTTGCTTTTGCTTTTCAGTTTCTTTTTTAGCATTTTCTTCTTCTTTATTGAGGAAAGATCTGTCGAATCCAGTATGGATATCATCACTACTAATCAACATTGATTTTTGATATAATAAATCATCCAATTTAATAGTTTGTTTAGATAATACATCATCAATCTTGAGTCTATGCTCTTTTATATAATCAATCAATTTTTGGGCATCGGTATTAGCATCTGGATGATCTTCTTTTATTTGAATGAATAAATCTTCGATCATTTCATTATAAGGTGGAGTGTTTTCAATCTCTTCTTTATCAAATGCCAAATCTCTCAAACCTTTACGTAAATTATCTCCTTTTTCCTTTTTCAAGCTTTCATAATCAAATTTTTCTGATTGATCAAATTTTCCATTCAATTTCTCCATCACTTTTGCATTATCAAGTATTTCTTCCTTTGACAAATCTGATAATAAGTAATCAACCCTAGTGTTAAGCTTAGCATACATCGTCAATTGTACCAATATCGATTTAATTTCAATATTTCTTTGCTGACGTTTTTCATGGATATCTCTTTGTTTCCACTTGATAAATGAATTCTTATCAACATTTGGATGAACCTCGATGTCTGAATCATCAGACAATTCGATTTTATCCCACTTGGAGTAATCTATTGGCATTTTGGCTTTTTGTTCAAATATTAGCTTAGTTATCCCGGATGTATTTGTCACCACTGTTATATACGTCCGCGTCTTTGGAAAATCGAACAATTCTCGAAGATTCTTGTGGAATTGGGTCTTTTGCTTGCTAACACTTTTTATATAATATCCACCAACCTTTTCCCAGTGTCTGAAAGTATACTATCAATGAGAGCCTTGTAATGCTTGGTCTTTCACATGTGTGATTTGGTTTGGGGTTCTTACAAATTAAAAAATGTTGGAAAAGTTGCAAAAAAGAAAGCCCGATGCGGGGGTCGAACCCGCAACCTTGTGATTAAAAGTCACACGCTCTAGCCATTGAGCTAACCAGGCGCTTCCATGACTGAAAAATGGGATGGTTTAATATACAGATGGAAATACTATTTTTTTAGAAAACTTCTAATAAAAAATTTTTTGTTTAATGTTTATATATTCCACCTGAAAACACTTAAAACTGACTATATAAAGAATTAAATGGATAGAAAAAACTATATAGACTTGTACAGGGGAAAATAAGTAAAAAAATTGTTTTTGGGCCCGAACTCTTATCATAGGGTTGCTACACTTAGTCTTAATTAACGTTCTGTGGAAGTTTAAATAAGTATGATAGGAAAGATTTAAATATTTTATGATTTTTTAAATAATCTTTGTTCATGCTGCCAAAGGTCTTTGTTGTTGTCGATCTTTTTTATATCCAAGGAAAGCTATTTCACAATATATGTAAATAGATATATTAGCTATTGTAACATAACGGCAGCAGATGCATGGTACTTGCTCTTACAGGACATGTAGTAGATTGACTAGTCTCAAATGTCTATACTGAAGAGTAACCAAGATATTGGGAATGCCAACTATTCTTCACAAGACCTATCAACCAGACAATGGCCCTGTTACAGCCATTCTTAATAAGTTTATCAATCAAAGCCTGCTATCAAATATGGGATTCTCGAAGAGCTTAGATTGGCTGCAAATTTTAACATTTTTCGGCTCTCAATCTCTGAGTTAGTCTAAAAAGACTCAGGGGCTCGAACTATCGAATGTTACTTCTTCTTTGCACCGGGTTATGTGACTTCAAGAAGCTTCTTCGTTTACAGTGACGTAAATAGATTTAGTTTACAAAGCGAACGATGATAGACACGATAGTAACCAGAAACTTGTTGACCCTGATTGGTAGTGGAATGCTTAGCTTTTTGCGTCGTTAGTAGTGGCATATTCACAGAGCTAAATGTATACCAAATAATGGATATGTGAGTCTATCTCCAAAGAATCGTACTTCAAGCACTCACATTTCACACCGAAGATTCTCGTGCCTACTGGCGATATTTATTTCTGCTTGAAAGCTGGCTCTGCTAGGGATTATGGGCCAGATGGAAGATCATTAACAGGGTTTTAAACGTATGCTTAGAAACTTCGAATAAAAACATATTTTTCAATTTTTCACAGAAAATCAAGGAAAAGAGGGTTTTCAATAAATCAACAGAAGCTTGTAATCTTACAAATTGAAAAAACTTGAAAAAATACTATGCTAATGAACATTGCTATCTTACTTTCCGGTTTGATTTGTTGTCCTTCGTTTTAATCAATTCAAGTCCTGATTGGTACTACTGCTAAACATTATGTCTCAAAAAAATAGGTAAACATGCCTTGTAAAATATCTATAACCCATAATCACCAACATTCTCTGACGGGAGCTTTGCTTGCTTAGAACTACAGCTCTGTCGTCCTGGAACACCGAATCGAAGCTGTCCAGGACTAAAATTTAGCTGTGAAATACTATTTCTGTTTTTTACAGCCATCTCAGACTCACAAAAAAAAAATCAAGTATTGAAAAAAAAATATCATCACGGCCATCTCATACTGACTGGAAAGTACAGGTTGACAAATGACCAACATTAACCCAATATCCTCATTCAAGGAAGAGCTATTTGAGCCCTTGAGTCATTATGGGTTTGTAACCTCACTCAAGATCTACTCAAACTACGTTGTTGCTGGTTATGGTAGCATTTTAAAAGTTTTTTCAGTCGAAAAAGATGATGTTTCCTTGATATTCAGCAGCCAAATCTTCAAAAGGAATAAGATTCACCATATATCTTTTAGTGAAAAAGGAGAAAAGTTATGTGTTTCTGGTGGACGTTCTTTTAAGGTAATCGAATTTGATTCTCTTGTTAGAAAACAATACGACTATAAAATAGATGAAAAGGCCATCAATGAATGGATAATCAGTACCGAGTTTTTAAATGAAAGCACCCTTTTGGTTCTAACCTCCCATAATGTTATTTACAAGGTCGATGTTTCGTCATCTGTCGGCCATTATTCAGTTTTGGACATGATACATTGCAATGAAAAGTCGATTCTCTACAGTGGATCTATTCGTATTCTTGCCGATAAAACTGTTTTGATTTCAGCTGGTACAGTTATGAATGGGGTTATTCTCTGGAACCTAAACACAAGACAAATCTTACATAACTTGACTGAACATGAGGGGTCTATCTTTGGTGTAAAAGTCGATCAAAATGGTAAATATATCATATCCTGTTCGGACGATAGATCAGTAAAGTTGTACGAGTTGAAAACAGGTGAGTTATTGGCAACAGGATGGGGTCATGGGTCGAGAATTTGGAATCTTGAATTCTTTAAAGATACTTCAGATGGCTCTGTTAAAATATTTAGTACTGGTGAAGATTGTACTGCGAGACTATGGGAATATCAACCTGGAAATTCTCTTTTAACTCAATTGGAATTGTGGGATAACTGTCATTTAGGTAAACATATATGGTCAGGTGATGTGGACGATAAGTTTCTCAAGTTATGTGTTACTGGTGGGGCAGATGGTAAAATTAGAGTCCATGATTTGGCTAATAGAGGTACTTCATTATCTTATACTCCACAACAAATATCTGAACTGCTGAGCAAAGTGTTTGGAAAAAATGAAGCAATTCAACTGTTCTGTGAATTATCAAATCTCAACTTGCTTGTTTCGTTAACTTCTAATGGTAATATCTTAACATTGGATCAAAATACTTCGACTTGGCATCAAATTAGTTTGTGTGAACAGGATGTAACTCAATTGAAAGACTTTGGGCTCATCACTGCATGCTCCGTTTCAAATACCGCCCTCATCTGTTGTCGAAATGGAGATGTTTTATGTCTTAATTTCAAAGATGCCCATACAGTGGAGAAGAATTGGATAAGACAAACTCATGGTACCTCTAACAAAGTTATAAACTTTCTTGGTTTCACTTCCTCAAATAACTTCTATGCATTAATTGACTTTCCTAATCCTAAAATGCCATTCATTCTTCTTACTTTCACTTTATCGAACGAAATGATTACTTTGGAATCATCAAAACAACTAAACAAACCAAACCAAAATGTTTTCACCACAACTGATATACTAGTAGATGAAATTAATAACTGGTTGGTGATTGGCTCAAGATTCACTAGTATCGCTGTCTACGATTTAAATAATCTGAATGATAGCCTAGAATTAGGTGCAATCTTCAAGAAAATATGCCCAGGTGATACAATATCATCAGTTTCAATCGTTGAAACTTTCAAAGACAAAATCACAATTTTAATGACAGTAAAAGATGGGGTTTACATGTATGCAAATTTATTAAAAGATCAATCAAATACTTTCAGCCTTGATATTTTCCATCAAAACAAAATATCAAGAGGTTTCATTGAAGGTGGTTTCGTCAAAAATATGGACTTGATTGTTTATGGGTTCAAATCTTCTTATTTCTATGTTTGGAATGAGACCAAACAATTGGAAATAACAAACGAATTATGCGGAGGTGCTCATAGAAAATGGCTTTTGATTCCATATTCTAATAGAAACCCGGTTGATCTTGACTACAAATTCATCTACATGAGCAAAAGTACTTTACAAATAAAATCGTTCAAAGGTAGATTCAATCACCAAAATTATGGATTGATTCATGAAGGTACCCATGGAAGAGAAATTAGAGATATATCTGTTTCGAAGTATGCTGAAAAGGATGGATCAAAATTAATCATCTCGGCATCTGAAGATACAACATTAAGATTAGGTAAGTTATATTCAAATGGTAGCATTGAAAATTTTTGGAGTTTGAATAATCATGTTTCCGGATTGCAAAAAGTAAAATTTATAAGTAAGGATTTTGCAGCCAGTTCTGCTGCTAATGAGGAATTTCTCATATGGAAATTAAACTATTTGAGCAATGGCTTTCCTGCAATTATTGAATATTCCAGACTTAAACCTAAAAGTGATATACCCGATTTACGTATAATGGATTTTGATACTTTAGAGGTTGAAAACGGATTCATAATTTCAACTGTTTATTCAGACTCAAACATTAAAATAATGCATTTCAATTCAAAGACCAAAGTATTCACTCCATTAGCGGATGATTACTACACTAAATGTTGTATTTTGAATGTTAACTTCCTCAAATTCAATGAAAAGAGCTATATAATGATTGGTGCAACTGACGGTTACCTCACCATTTGGGAAGTGACCTCCATATTAAATAGTTTCCCTACAAAAGAAACTGCATCAGTAGCGAAATTCGGAAAAATGATCATCAAGCAGCAGTTACATCAAAATGGTATTAAAGCAATCCAAGTTTCTTCGTCAGAGAATGGTTACAATATTGTTACGGGTGGTGATGACAATTCTTTAATTTTAAATACTTTGTTCTTACTGAACGCAGAAGAATTGATTTTGGAATCTAAAAGCTTTGTTGAAAGTGCAGCTTCTGCTACATTGACTTCTCTTTCATCAGGAGGACCTAACCGAGTTGTATCAACTTCTGTGGACCAAATAGTGAGATTATGGTCTGTAGAGAATGGTAAATTGGAATGTGAAAGTGCTCGATACACCACTATAGCTGATACGGGAAGTAGTGACTACGTTGATTTTGATGGTGAAAACATGATTGTGCTTGCTGGTGCAGGTCTCAGTACTTGGTCGTTTAAATAATGCTTGTAATTACAATTAAACTTATAAATTATTTATATTATAGATTCTAAATACACAGAAGAAAATTGCATATATGTGTACAGACACATACGTAAAAGGAGTAAGCTAAAGAGCAATGAGACATCAGTCAAGAATCTTAGATTTTCAACAATCTTAAGTTGAAAACGGTATCATTGATAGATTGTTCTTCGTCAATAATAACAGCTGATTCATTAGCTTCGGTGAAAGGAGCCAATGGTCTTTTAGTAGATTTGAGCAAAAGAGCTTCATTATCTTTGACAATGGTGTCAAATTTGATAGTATCTTTGACCAAATTATATTCGACTTTGACATCATCGGTAGTATTCAAACCAGCCTTCTTACGTAATCTTTGGATACGATTAAGTAATTCTCTAGCTAAACCTTCACCAAGTAATTCAGGGTATAAGTTGACATCCAAAATAATCAAGACATCTTGGGAAGATCTAGATTCTTGACCATGTTCAGCCTTTTCAGAAGGTAAACCACGTTGAACGTTCAAATCTTCAGCCACCAAGTCAATACCATCAACAGTAATCTTACCAGTTTCAGAGAATTTTTGAATGTCTTCAGATGAAACAGATGGCAAAGCAGCTTTAACTTTCTTAGCATCCTTCTTCAACTTCTTACCTAAGACTGGCCAATCAGCAACAGCGGTATATTGAACACCATATTTGGCTTCATCATCAGTGATGACCAAGTTTCTGACATTTAATTCTTCAGTGATGTAGCCCTTCAAGGATTCGACATCCTTTAAGTATTGAGGATCAGAATGTAAAATAACCAACTCTTTCAATGGAGTCTTCAATGAGATGGTTTTCTTTTCTCTAATGTTACGTCCCAAATCAATGACTTTTTGCATTCTAGAAACTGCAAGTTCAATAGCAGAATCAAATAATTCTTCTCTAACATTTGGATAAGCTAAGAAATGAACGGATCTAATATCCTTGATCTTTGGATTGACACAGAAGCTTTCTAATTCTTCATCTGGGAAGTACACTCTTAATTTTTGGTAGATACCATCAGCTAAGTATGGAGTGAATGGGGCCATAGCTCTAGACAAAGTTAACAAACCTTCGGCCAAAGTGTTAAGACCCATTTTGGTGTCTTCCAAACCTTCAGTAGAGTAACCCTTAAGACGACGACGGTTAAATCTGATGTACCAATTGGTTAAAGCATCAATTAATGCTAACAATCTTGGAACAACAGTATAAAGTCTATAAGCGGTCATTTCAGCATGAATGAATTTAATTAAAGATTGGATAGAAGCTAACAACCATCTATCCATAACATTGTTAGAGATCAATTTAGGATCATAAATGAAATCTTGATCATTATCTTTCTTGAAAAGATCAGCAGCATCTTTTAAGAATTTATAAGAGTTGTACCAAGGTAACAAAACGGATGAAACAACTTCTCTAACACCTTCTTCTTTAAATTTCAAGGTTTCAGCTCTCAAAACAGGAGAATTGATCAAGTATAATCTTAAAGCATCTGCACCGTATTGGACTAAGACATGATTTGGATCTGGGTAATTCTTCAAACGTTTAGACATTTTCTTACCGTCAGCGGCTAAAACGATACCAGTAACAATAACGTTTTGGTAAGGAGCAGTATTGAACAAATGAGTACCCAAGACAGTTAAGGTGTAGAACCAACCTCTAGTTTGATCTAAACCTTCGGAAATGAAATTGGCTGGGAAAGCACTCTTGAATTTTTCTTTCTCTTCGAATGGATAATGTCTAGAAGCATAAGGCATAGAACCAGATTCGAACCAACAATCGAAAACTTCTTCAATTCTCTTTAATTGACCTTTACCTTGTTTGGAAGGGATGGTGATATGATCGATACTTTCACGATGGATATCAGTGATATCGTTATTACCAGATAACTCTTTCAATTCTTCAATGGAACCAATACAGACGATTTCTTCTAAATCATCACTAGCCCATAAAGGAATAGGAGTACCCCAATAACGGTTTCTGGAAATGTTCCAATCTCTGGCATTAGAAATCCAATTTGAAAATCTTTTTTCTTTAATGTTAGAAGGGACCCAATTAGTTTGTTCAACATTTTTCAACATATCTGGAATGATTTCACCGATACGAACAAACCAAGCAGGAACGGTTCTGTAAATCAAAGGAGTATCAGATCTCCAACAGAAAGGATAAGAGTGCTTAAGTTGAGTATTAACTAAAAGTCTTCCATTTTCAGTCAATTTTTTGATGATTAATTTATCAGCATCTTTAACGTAAACACCTTTGAATTCAGAAACTTCATTAGTGAAAGCACCAACATCGTCAACTGGGTTAGGAGGTAATCTATCTTCACTGATGATACCTGCTTTAGTAGCGGCGTTAAAATCCTCTTCACCAAAAGCTGGAGCTTGATGAACAATACCAGTACCAGAATCAGCAGTAACATAATCAGCACAGTAAACTTTGAAACCATAGTCTTTGAATGATTCATAGAAGTAATCAAAAGCAGGAACATATTTAAGACCATCCAAATCTTTACCTTTAAATCTATCAACAATCTTAAATTTAGCAGAGGCAGGTTTTTTATATAAAGTTTTCAATAAACCTTCTAATAAGATAAAGTTCTTACCCTTTTCTTCATCAAAAATTTTGATATATTCTAAATCTGGGTGAACAGCCAAGGCAATGTTGGAAGGTAAGGTCCATGGAGTGGTGGTCCAAGCAACCAACCAAGTGTTTTCATCATCAACTAATGGGAAACCAACGGTAACGGCTGGATCATTAACTTCTTTATAATTTTGTTGAGCTTCAAAATTAGAAAGAGGAGTGGTACAACCGGTAGAATAAGGCATGACTCTCAACCCTCTGTAAACAGAGTTTTTTTCATATAATTGTTTGAAAACCCACCAAACGGATTCCATAAATTCTGGGTATAACGTTTTATAATCATTATCCATATCAATCCATCTACCCAATCTACTAACGGTTTTACGCCATTCACCAGCATATCTCATAACAATAGAACGACATTCAGCATTATATTTATCAATACCCATATTCATAACATCATCTTTACCAGTAATACCCAATTTTTTGTCAATCTCATGTTCAACTGGTAAACCATGGGTATCCCAACCAAATCTTCTTTCAACATGGTGACCGTTCATGGTGGCGTAACGAGGAATGATATCCTTAACAGTAGAGGCTAAAAGATGTCCATAATGAGGAGTACCAGTAGCAAATGGTGGACCATCAAAAAATGCAAATGGTGGGAGGTCTTTAGTAATTTCCAATGATCTTTGGAAAGCATCGACTTCTTCCCAGTGTTGACCGATCTTTTCTTCTTCCTTTGGGAAGTTAAAAAATTGATTCCCGGACTCTTGCTCAGCCATGGCTATACTTCTATCTTTCCAATAAGTACAACAGAGTAAATATGGTTATAAATCAAAGTTAATCACCAAGTTTTTCAATTTTTTTTTTTTTTTTTTTTTTTTTGTTCAGATTTCAACGATTACTCACCAAAAGAGCGATTACATAATCACTTACATAACATTTAATTACATCGTTCATTCAAGACTGAAGACTATGATCACCAATGGCAGCTTCAAACAGCATGTGTTGGGTAGCTTTGGCGGAGGGCTTCCTCGGAAGGTGCTAGTTGCGCTTTCTGGAGGAGTTGACTCGATGTGTTTGGCCTACTTATTGAGTCGATACCGAGATGAGCATCAGAAAGACATGGAAATATCAGCCGTTACGATTGATCATGGATATCGAGACGGGTCCAGGAAAGAAGCCATGCAGGTTGGCGAGGTGGTGAAGCAGTGGGGGGTGGATCACTATATACGATCGTTGACGTATTCAGAGGGGGATGTCAAGTCCATTAGTAATTTTGAAGAGGTTGCAAGAAAGAAACGGTACGAAGCATTTCAGAAGATGTGTTTAGAAAGTGGGATAAGAAGTGTTTTATTGGCCCATAATCTCAATGACCAGCTAGAGACCTTTCTCCAGCGGTTGCAACAGAATTCATCTCTTTTTGGGTTGGTGGGACTTAAACAACAAGCGCATTTACCGGTGATGCCAAAGGCACCCACTTCTGTTGTGGAACCCATTCAGGTGTTGAGGCCATTGCTAGCTTTTGATAAGCTGGAAATCATTGGAACGTGCCGGAGCAACGGCATAAGGTGGTTTGAAGACCCCACCAATAGTGACCCTCAATTGACCAAGCGGAATGCGTTTCGATACTTGATCAATAAGGAGATTCCTGCCCGGGTCCAGACAGGAGATACGCTGCTTGGCTCGTTGCTACTGCGGGAAGAACTAGTTGGCACTCATCAAGAGGTGGTTCAATTCACCAGTATGCTTGAACAACGTATAAAATTTCGAATGAACTACCTCGAAGCAAATAACCTAATCGCCCATGACCACGCTAAGGCGAGGGTCGAAATATCGTTTCCAGCCCCCTGGGTATCAGAACCCTCAGACCAGCTACTTCTCAGTCGTCTCTTGTACCTGGTATTATACCCATATTCATCAATAAAACACTACCACTGGGCATACGCCAAATTAGAAAGAAGAGCAGTCCCCCAATTCCAACAATGGTACAAACTGAACCCATCCAGCCGTTTGACTTTGACCTACTTGAATCTCCTCATGGCGGCTCGAGTCAACAACAACTTCGTCACCATCTCTTTTTCAAGACAGCCATTACTAGCAGAGGACATCGACAGGACCACCCTAGACACTAGCATCACTCAGGAATGGTCCGACTGGATTTTGTTCGATAGACGATTCTGGCTCAAACTCAGGTCTCTTCTGGGTCCTCAAAAGATCAAACTCATTCCCTATACCCCCAAATACCAAAACTTGGTCAAAGAATCCTTTCCCAAACGGAATATTCATACCCAATTATCCCAAGGTGTTCCCTTGATAACCAACTCCAACCAAACACAGATCCTCCACATCCCAACCATCAATACCGGCAACACCATTGCCTCTGAGTGCTTCTTGAAGGAGAACTTGTACGTAATTTAATGAAGTTATTGCAAATTGCAAAAAAATCTCCGTAGTTTGTAAGTCCTTTATGTGCAGGAACCAAAAAAGGTCAAAAAAATCAAAAAAAAAAAAAAAACAACTTCGAAATCTCTTTAAAACCCAGCGGCAACATCTAAACTTAATCAATTAACTTCGACTAGTTGCAATATCGATAGGTCCACCGTGATTTCCACATACAAAGTATGCCCAGCACATCCCACATGGACTTATTACAGAATGGAGGCTTGACGCCGCGTATCAATGGCGGGGGTCTGAGCAACACTCCTAAGACTGGGAAGGCTGCTAAGTCAGGGAAAAACGTGAATCTACTGACCCAACAGCTCAAGGTGGCCCATCAGAGAGTGAATATAGATGTGGATTTGGCCCAGAGGAAAATCGATGGTTTTACAGAACTCACGATAGTCCCCACATCGAATACATTGAAGACCATCAGTCTAGATTGCAGGGAGATGAATATAAAGGATGTTTACGTGAATAATATAAGGCACGCCAATTATATTTATAAAGATAATCTCTACATCAATGATGATACCGTTTTCGAGGAATGCATAGAGAACCAAACAATCAATATCTTTGACTTGTACTCGCGTGATCTCAATATCCACCAGCATCATCTAATAAGGCAAAAACTCAATCATGTGTTTGGTGAAGTGAATTTTGACTCTAGAGATCCGTTTGAGAAACATTTGAACGGGAATACCGAAGAACTCATCATCATACTTCCTGATAATATGAAGTTTGAATTGACTGATATAAATTCATTACATACCCCCGGCAGTGAAGCCGCAAACACTTTAACTCCGCTTCATCTCAAATCGAAAAGTACTTCCAATGAAGTTTATAGTCCAATTCAAGTCCTCATAGAGTACGAATGTATTAATAGCAAGAATGGGGTCAATTTCTTAACTAATGATAAAACCGATAAAAAATTTTGGCATGCCTACACAGTTAACTCAGAGTATAACATATCAACGTCTTCTTGGGTCCCATGTATAGATAACTTGTGGGAGAGGTCTACTTGGACAATAGAAATAAATATTCCTCGTACTGTCAAAGATATTGGGAATCCAAGAGTAATTGGTTCTAAAGAAGAAATCAAATCAAGAAAGAAACGCAAGGCTCTGTCTGTAGATGGAGAATTGGAGGAGGAGGATGAAGACGAAGACGATGCTGATTACGAATTATCCATATGTACTGGTGACTTCAATAATGTTAAGGAAACTCCCCATTCGATAGATTTATCTAAGAAAGTGGTGTCATGGTCAATCTTTAACCCCGTTTGTGCTCATCATGTGGGTTGGGCTCTTGGTTGCTTCCAAACTATTACTTTATCCAAACCAGCCCAGGATATTACTGATGATATTGAAAATGAACTTGAACCTGGTAATTTTGATGATATAGAAAAAGATAATGCAAATTCACCCGTGACAATATATTGTCTCCCAGATCAACAAGAACTAGCAGAAAATACTTGTGTTTTCGCCAATAGAGCAATGGAGTATTTCCTGAATGAGTTTGGGTCATTTCCTTTCAGCTCTTTTGCAATTGCTTTTGTAAGTGGTTGTGTTTCCGAAACTAATAATTTCGCTGGTCTTGCTATAGTTAACGATAAGCTCTTATATCCTGCTGATATAGTTGAACCTATGTTCACTGTTACTGAAACCTTATTAGAAAGTATAACCACCCAATGGTCTGGTATTAATATAGTACCCCAAACTTTTAATGATTTTTGGTGTACCATCGGTATAGCTAGATACATAGCTTATCAATTTATTAGGGAATTAATGGGTGTTAATGAGTATCGCTATAAAATAAAACAGAAAATGAATAAAATTGTGGAAGAAGATATAAATAAAAAACCATTAGGAAATTATTTTTTCAGATTCCCAATATCAGATCTTGATTTAGACTTTATTAAATTAAAGTCCCCAATTGTTCTTTTCATCTTGGATAGAAGAATGACTAAAACTGATAAATCATTTGGTCTTTCTCGAGTCTTACCAAAGTTATTCTTACAAGCTATGTCCGGTGATCTACAAAATGGTACCTTATCAACTCTGCATTTCCAATACGTTTGTGAAAAAGTTAATCGTAATAAACTTGACATCTTTTTCAGACAATGGATCCTTGGTGCCGGTGTTCCAATTTTTAACATAACGCAAAGTTTCAATAAAAAACGTTCAATGATTGAAATGAGTATCAGACAAGTCCAACACCTGGAAACAAAGAAACCTCATCCTAATCCCCAAACTTTCATTAATGACTCCATTTCTTATCTTGATGATGAGCCTTCTTTTCCAATTCAACCGGTGTTCCTAGGCCCAATGACAATTAGAGTTCATGAGGCTGATGGAACTCCATACGAACATATTGTTGACTTGAAAGAAGGCGTTGTTCGTTTAGATATACAATATAATTCAAAATTCAAAAGATTGAAAAAGAATAAAGAAGATAATAATGAACCAAATAGTAATTTCAGTAAACTTGGTGATGTATTAATGTCTTCTCAAGAAATACAAGAGTGGAATTTAAGTGATTGGGCTAGACATGAAGATGAAGTTCTATATAATGACCCATTTGAATGGATTAGGGTTGATACTGACTTTGAGTGGATTGCCAAAATAAATGTCAAACAACCGGATTACATGTTTGGAGCTCAACTACAATATGATAGAGATGTGGAAGCTCAATACGATGCAGTCAGTTATTTCGGAGACATAGAAAAGCCTAACCCCATTTATTGTTCGATTCTTACTAGAACTTTAATGGACAAAAGATACTTTTATGGTATTAGAATTGCAGCAGCTCAAGCACTTGCATCTTTCTCTCGCCCTGACAATAGATTTATCGGAATAGAATATCTTTTGAAAGTTTACCAGAAATTATTTTGCTTTCCTAATAGTTTTGTTCCCTCAAGCAATGATTTCAATGATTTCAATAATTTTTTCTTGCAGAAGGAAATTCCAAAAATATTGAGCGATGTAAGGGATGATGATGGTAATGTCCCTCAGGAAATAAGAACATTGCTACTTAACATTGTCAAATATAATGACAATTCAAACAATGATTTTCAAGATTGTTTCTACCTTTCTGAGTTGATTAAGGCCCTCGCCAACAGTGCTTTGAATACTAGCGGTGAGTTACAAGTTGATAATCCTCTCACATATGCTGAACTGGAAGATAATAATTCTACCTCGAAGGATAAGTTTTTGGAATTAGCAGTTAGTGAAATGTCTCGTCTACAAAAATTGGATGAGTGGATTCCTTCGTATCAAAATATAATCTCCCTTACCTGCTTACAACAAAAGATCGTTTTGGCAACTCACGGGAAGATTCAGCTCACTTTCGAAGATCTTTTGTACTATACTTTGGAGAAGTATCCTGTCGAAATACGAGTTGCAGCTTTCAGAGGTATTTTAATTTTGGGTGGTCTAAAAAATCGAGATATATTGCAATACTTTTTGAAGGTTTGTTTATTAGATTTTTCAGATCACACTTTAAGAAATAAATTAATCGACGCATTCATAAACTCAATTTGCATTGCCGCAATAGATGGAACTCCATCTACTTTAGATGATCCAGAATTCAAGACGCTTGAAAAACTTATGGAAGCTGGTTCCAGGATGACTACCAATCAAACCAACATGGTCATTGTAGAAGATACGTCGAACGCTGAAATTAATTCAAGAAGAGATGCATTTGCTAGAGAAACATTAAATGGTGCAATCGAATTGTTAAGAAGGGACTACTCGATTGGTCAAGGATTGAAAAATACATTTTGGGAACTTATTCATTCTTCTTTACTAAGTGTTTACGAAAGAAGAAATATATTCAGTATTTGTCAAATCCTTTATAAAGAGATTGACAGCTTTGTCGTTAGGGTACCAGTTCCTAGTGTTGCCTTGAATGAATTGAAGAAGAAGATTGTACTTAAAAATGTTGGTGGGGGTAAAGTGGTCATCAAGAGAGAAGGAAGATTCAAAATTCAATTGTCTTCATTCAAATCGAATAATGAAAAGAATTCAGAGAAGGCTAAAGCCCCACAAGAACCTTCACCAATCAAACCAGCCACCGAGCCAAAATTGAAGATAAAACTTTCTTCGGGCGCAGAACCAAGTGAAAAGAAGGTTACTAAAAAGCCAGAAGCTAAAAAGCCAGAAGTTAAAAAGCCAGAAGCTAAAAAGCCAGAAGCTAAAAAGCCAGAAGTTGCAGTCACCAAAAAGGCCGAAAAAGAACCACAATTGGTAGTAGCTGATCCTAAAAACAAGTATAAATTAACTTTCAAATTCAAAAAGAGATCATTACCAGCAGAACCTGACGTGTTTGAAATCCCCAAGCCTTCTCCAAAGAAAAGCAATTCCAAGATTACCTTCAAATTCACGAATAAAAAGAATAGAGAAATCATTAGGGATATTCTTGTACCAAAGAATGAAGTACCAAGGTATGTTAAAATTCTTACCAAAGAAAAGAAAGTTCTAGTATCTGCCCAGCCATTTCCTGAATCCAAAGATTCAGCAGTTTCTGAAGAGACACCAAATGAGACTCCCATAATCGATGACACTAGTAATGGAGGCGAAGCTATAAGCTCCATCAACAATGCCAAAGATGAGAGTCAGAAAGCAAGTCTGGTGAAGAATTCAGATGATACAACAACAGATGAGAAATTATCAGAAAATAAACGAAAGATCAAGCTCAATTTTTCAAAAAACCCTCCAACTAATAATATGAAGTCAATAACAACACCAAACGGATCCAGACCACCTTCCAGGCCACCTTCAAGAAGTGCCCTGGTAGAACCAGAAGCCAAATTAGAAACAAAACCTTTTGAAAGAGCAGCGTCTCCCTTTTCAAAATCCAGTAGTCCGTTTTCTTCCAATCAAGGAACAAAGAAGAAGAAAACTAAGATCTATATTCATCCAGGTGAAGAGAAAAGCCGATCTCTGACACCCCCCGAAGAAAATATCAAGAAAGAACAAACTTCTTTGGCAGAAACTGAGTCTGGAAGAGATACCCAAGAGAAAAATGATGAATCATCTCGTAAAAACAGTGATGATTCCCGTCCAAAGCCAGCATTCAAACTAAAACTTAACCTAAAGTGAGCTAACACTCATGAGTAAGAACTCTACATTATTAAATTACATAGATATAACAACTTGTACTATATTACGATATCATTTTATACTTTAACGAAATTCAATATAATATTAATCTTAGTTAAAGAGTTGTAGTACTACTTTAGAGATTTTTTAGTATTTTTATAAATCATTTGCGAGTTTCACCCTTTCCGCATTTTTAGAAAAATTTAAATGTCCCATGAGAATAAAGCTAAGCTAATAAGTCATCCCAATTGACTGAACTTGATAGATTCGCTTGAATAGTGAACCACATGCGTTGATCAAACCACCCAGGAATGTCATTCAATAGCCATTTAGCGTTCAACATAAAGAAGGCGACGCCTACTACCTCCACTACCAATACAAATACAACTTCATTATCAGCGGCCCCATCTAATGAAAGAGCACATTCGAAATCGAATAACGGTGATGGGGGAGCTAGCAAGAATCAGATAGGTGCGGATATCGGGACCAGTTCTCCCAAACTCCCCATGCCACATTTGGCTTCTAAATCAACTCCAACGACATCCGAACCTAATACTCCTAAATTCAATAGCGTAGGAAAATCAACAACATTGAGTAATACTATTCCCGCTGTTGCTTTAGATGAAGGTAGTAACATGAAAACCAAAAAGGATTCAATAGGAAAAGATTTGATTGGTCTTTTCGACAAGTTTGATATTGATAATAATAAATCGGCCAATAAAAGTGAACCAGAAGAGAGTGATGATCCAGTAACGGAGAAATACAAAGAGTTTGCTAAACAAGCCAAGAAGGAGGACCCAAAGGAAGATTACACATTTGCTAGCAAAGAAAAAAAGGCTTCAGAGACTAATGAGTTTAAAGAATCTAACGATGATCAAGTAACAGAAAAAGTAGTTGAATCAGAAATAAGTGAGAAGCCAACACCATCTTCCATGACAATTCAACCATACATAATTCCAAACACAAATATGGCTGCCACCTCCAAAATAGAAAATACTGGCCTGTCATCTCCAATTAAGTCTTTATCTAGTGAACATGAAAGCGAATTCGATGAAAAGAAGGAGGAAAAAGACAAGAGTCTTGATGATATCACAGGAAATGAAGAAGAACAGAGCGCCCCAGTGGAGGAATATGAATTGAAAACTGCCAATGATAAAACTAACCTCAGTCAATCACCAGATAGCGAACCCACATCTATTCCTATTCGACCTCCAAGACATCGTAACAATTCGATTAGAGAAACACAAGTTCATGTTAACCCTGAGGAACAATATCTTCAATCACATAAACCCTTTGATTTTCAAAATTTCTTGAACCACTTGAAGAAAAAAAGTGCTGATCCAATTGTACGTTATATCAGATCATTCTTGATATCTTTCACTAGACAATCATTTCAATTCACCTATGAACAAAAAATAAAAATAATCAATGATTTTAAATTTTTCATAAGCGAAAAGTTTCAGGAGTATGAACCATTTGCCTCATTGGACTACATAGATATAGAAAACTCTCGTGAAGGGATTGAAAAGTTAATCATGAATAGATTATACGAGATTTGCTTCCCACCAGAATTAGCAAACCAATCCGTGAATCTATGTGAAACTTCCTTATCAGATATTCAGAGTGATGTGTCGTTCAGTCAACAAATCGAAAAATTCAGCTGGGTTGATGGTAATCACTTAGATGTCGATTTAGATGAATTAACTAAGTTTAAGCTTGGTAATAAAAAAGCCGATTTGAGCTTTATGGATTATGCCATAACTGAGCTAAACAAAATCGACAAATACAGGGCTCCTAGAGACAAGATAATTTGTATATTGAACTCTTGCAAAATAATATTCAGCTTTTTAAAAGCTAACAGCAAAGAAACTAATGCCGATGCATTTATGCCTCTTCTTATCTTGATCATAATCAAATCCAGAACCCCAAACATTATCAGTAATATTCATTATATTGAAAGTTATAGAGGCGAAGAATGGTTGAATCATGGTGAAACTAGTTATTACCTCTCCTCCTTACAAGGTGCAGTTGGCTTCATCCAAAGTATTTCTTTTGATAAACTCACTATCAGCAAAGAAGCTTATGACGCCCATATAGAAGCTTGGGAGGCACAGAAAAAGACATTCGAAATTTCCCAGCCAACCAAGTTAGTTCAACCACAACCTCATCATCTAATCGAAAACAATGGACCTCAACATAGTCTTTCTCCTTCAAATGTGCTCTTTACTAGTGCTGAGATGTTTACCAAGTCTCTTTCAAACTTCCTCTCGCCTTCTCCTCAAAATGAATCTCCGTTAGCTGATCAACAGAGAGGACAACAGGAACAACAGGAACAAACACAGAACTCCATACGTGAGGAAGAAGAAAGAATCAAACGAGAATCTGATAAGACTTATAGTCAGCTTAAAGAAATGTTTCCTGCTCTTGATAAAAGTATATTGAAGGACGTCGTATCCATGAATAAAGGTGCTCTTGAAGAATCACTTGATTCATGTCTACAGCTAGTTAATGAAATTTAATTCTTGTAATTCCAGTTATCAAGCCATAAACTGGATGTTTTGTTATTATTATTATTATAATTACTATTATGGTATTACTATTCTTATTACATTTTTGATTTATTCTTACAGCCATCATTATTGATAATCATTTTCATTAACTTTATATTTATACAAATACTTAATAAATAATCTACACCCAAATTTACCACTTGTGTTGCATTTTTTTCATCTTTTTCTTTCAAAACATGAATAAATCAAGATCTCATACAACCTTTTCTTTACCAGAATTATCCTCTTCGATTTCTTGAACCAATTCGATTTCCTGTCTCTGTTCTTTTTGTGAGAACTCTGCTAGCATCATACGGCAAATTCTTGCCAACGATTTTCGTCCTTGATAGATAGGGTATACAATGACATATATTGTTGCTAGAATTAACCAGATCATCATGATAACAATCCACTGGGTGAAATAGGCTTTGCTAAATTCATATTCTGTCCCATAAAAACATAAAGGTACTATTATATAACCACCAAAAACTATAAGAACGGAAAATATAGCCGAAACCCATAAACCTCTCTTCAATTGTCTTCTGTCATCATCTTGAAGAGTAATGTTTTCTTTTAAATGTGAATCAGCGTCATCACCAATTTCAAATTTTGGGGCCAAGCTTGTAAAGTCAAAGTCGGCAGGTTTCAAATACGAAATAATTATCATGTAGAACATGGTTGAAAACAAAGCCACAAAGTTCCCAATTAGATTTGGAATTACAAGAAATAATGTATCTTTATCAACAGAGCCACCATAATGATAAGCAGAGCCAATCCAACATGCTATACCGGATAAAGTCCCCAATGGAGCTCCAATGAAAATACTTTCAGAGGAAGTTTTCTTCCAAAACAATGAAAAAATTAGAATAAAAACTTCAGGAGTCAAAATGATACCGTAAAAAGACATCAACCAACCTAGAGTAACACCGATATAATTGAATATTACTGCCACAGCACTAATAAATAGGGAAAAAACAATTATACTTATGTGGTTCATTCTGAAGACTTGAGCACCAGAAGCAGACTTATGAAGATAACTTTTATAGATATCAAAAGAAAATACCGATGAGAAGGCAACAAGCTCAGCTGAGAAAGCTGAAGTGACTGACATGAACAACATTAAAGCTGCAGCAGTAGCTCCCGAATTTCCAAGAAGTGCTTCCATGGAATAAAACAAAGCCATACCAGAAGAAACTTCAGCCTCACTCAAAGCATTGGGATACGTCCTAAAACCTTTATAAGTTCCAGCCAAAACTCTAGAACTCAAACCAGCAGCCGATCCCAATGCCCAAGGAATGATGAACCAACATATTCCACCCATTATGTAACCAGTCACGACTGATTTCGGAGAAGCAGCAATAGCTTTTTGACCGTAACTTGGATCTCCAAAAACTGAAGCAAATCCACCAATACATACACTCCAACTAATCAAGAACATTTGAGGATTCTTCCAAGTTAAATAATTTTTTGCAAGAGCTGTTGGATGAATGGTTTCAATTTCTTTAAGTAATTCCCACATTCTACCAGGTGAGCCTATTAGGGAATCATTTGATGCAAAAACCTTGAAACAAAGCACACATATAATGATATAAATAACTACAGTGTGTATCCAATCGCATATAAAGACGGCTTTTAGCCCACCACCCAAAGTATAAATGACAACCCCAAGAGGAAGAAGAAATGAAGCAGCAACAACGTGCATTCCAGTTGCACTAGCAAACGCTTGAGCACCACCCAATAACAAAGTTGACAGAACCATTATATTAGTAGCTATGATATAAAATAATAGAACTGAATGCCCCTTTTTACCAAATCTTATCTTTACAATTTCTGAAACCGTATGTGCTCCAGGACTATGGAGTTTGATCTGAATACATAAAAAACAAAATAGAATGATTTGAACTCCACCTGCCATACAATACAAGAAGTTACCAAATGAATAAGAATATGCCCAAGCAGTACTTGTCAATAAAGTTGCCGGCCAACACCAGGACGAAATCACACACACGGCTATCATACCAGATTTAACATTTCTATTTGCAGTACTAAAACTCTCTGAAGTCTGTTTTTCTCCACAATATCTCTTTAGAATGAATGAAATGATAATCATCACTATGGCGAATAAGATACCCAACCCCACGCTAAATCCATAGCCAATTGAAGCACTCAATATTGTTCCGGATGCCATTTGATATCAAACTCTAATTGGCAAAATGATTCCTTGTTCTATTTTTCAAGTCTTGATCTCTAGAAACGAAACTCTTTTATATCTGGATACATATATATATACATATATATCCTCTTGACTGTATGTATAGCTATACTGTTTTGTAAACCTTACGATTTCCAATTATCGATTTTAATTATTGTTATCAACTGATGCCCATCCCGCTATTTTTTTTTGCTTCGCTTGACAGCCGTTGTATTTTTTCCAAAGATTTTTCCGTTAGTTTCGCAGCTGGTTGCAAAGATGAAAACGCCATACGTATACGAATAATACAACTCCAGATCTACAGACCGAAGAGAGGTAAATATGGTACAATTCAAGTTTGACTTGATGGAAGTCTTTCGAAGTATTTGAAAAAGCTAACCAACAACTCTTCGAGGTCATTAGAAGTATCAACAAATTGGGTTACTTTGGTGTCTATGATCCCTTTCACTTCTTCCAATTGAGTATTTTCATAAGTATCATAATTTAGTAGTTTAGATAAGTTTCCTTGAATATAAATAAGGTATAGATTCATCAATCCCAAGAACTCTTCTATATTTTCCAAAAACAGCTTGCCTTGTGTTATCCAAGGCAGCCTATAAAAATTATCTCTTGATTTATGGAAAAAGTCGTAAATCAAGGCTAAATCCGAAGTAAAATTGATGATTTCTTTATATAGAGTCTCTAAAATGAGCGTGTTTAATGAAGTACTGTCCCATTTGGTTTGGAAATTGAGCATGATAGTCCTTGCAAAGTTAACAGCAAGGTAAATGCTTTGAAAATCTTCTAACATCTGAATGAGGACAAAATTTAAATTAAGTGGAACTTCTTGCTGGGTTATAAACACCTGAATAGCATCATTTTCAAAGCAGTCACTGATTTCTTTTTTGGTAGATTTTAAGCTTTCGATTTTGGCAAAGTACGGACTGGCTTTTCCCTCTATTTGATGAAGATCCTTTGAATCAAAACGTAAACTTCGTTTTTCATCTAATAAATTTGAATAATACTTTGAATTTGCCATAGGTTCAGCTAGATGGTTATCTAACAATTGATTCTTGATTGAGTCAAGTTTGAGATTTTCGTTATTCCACAGAGTTGAATGTATTCCCTCTTTTAAAGGGGTAAGTCGATCAAGTGGAGGTGAAAAAAGTTCTTTGATATTCAATTTCCATGAATTATAATTTGGAGGATTATACTCTCTTTCAGAAACAAAAGACAAGTTCTCTGTAATGAGATTGAAAGTGCTTTTCATTGAGCTTGTTTTAATGTGTATCCTTTCCTTCAAAGAGTTTAAGACAAGCTTAATTCTTTGGACTTTGGAAGAGGGAAATTCTTCTGCAATTGAAATATTTTGAATGGCACTTGTCAAACCGGGCTCTGGGATACTTACAGAGAAGCTTTCGACAGGTGAATGAAACACTGGCGGCTTCATTTTGAGTATAAAGGAAGCTTTTAAAAGTTATTTTGTAGCGCCCATTCTTAAAAAGTAAAAAAAATTGCAAAAAACACTAGGGCCACAAATATAAGTTATTTCAAATAATGATGCTCTGTAATACTTATATATTTGAGAGGACTTATTAACTTAGGCTCTATTTCTACCTCTTATCCCAGGAGTATACGTTTTCAATAATCTTATGGTATATTGAAATTAAATATAATAAAAAGAAAGAAAATAAAATTTATGCTGTTTCGACACTAAAAAGTGCACTTTTTTCCAAAATAAAATTATGAAAATAAAGTTACTGATATAATGAACCATGAAATATGGTAAAAGTATCATTTTTTTGTTGTTTAAGACAATTTTAGACAATTTTGTTTTTAATTTAAAAAAGTTTCTAGATAAACAATATATGAGTATAAAAAACGGAAACTTTTCTAAATTCAGTAACTTGCTCCACTAGCTCAGTTGGCAGAGCGTCAGTCTCATAAGAATTCCTTGTGCAATCTGAAGGTCGACAGTTCGAACCTGCCGTGGAGCATAATTTTTTTGCAAAAATTTTATCGCTACAATTTGCTGCAATTGGGGTTTTAATTTATTAAAGAAATCAAAAAAAAATCAGAATAAGATAAAGAATAAACATTACCGAATAAATCAAAGAGAATAGAAAATTATAAACCAACGTTTTTTGAAAGAAAAGTTTTTTTTTTTTTTTTTTTTGGTATAGCCAAAATAATTGAAATGCATAATGAAGAAAATTTATAGTGAAGGCAACGGGCTCTCATCGTATACGTCGATATACTGTTTACAAGTAGGACAGAACCCATTGGAAGATTTCCAGACATTGAAACAACTCGTGTGATAAATATGAAAGCAAGGGGCAATAGTATAGTGCACGTTTGAGACTATTTCTTGATCCAACTTTGTTTTCTCTACCGAAACACCAGCTTTCCAACTATAAGCCATTCCGTAGAGGTCAGAAGGAATTTCAATTAGGTCAGAATCGTCTTGACAAATTTCACAAGGTACAGTAACATTAGTACCTGAAGTTGGATATTTTCCCAGATTAGCTTGGGCAAAATGAAGATCGGATAGGATATCGAAATTTTGCTGTGAAACATTGGAGGTGAGTTCTGACGAAAGGTTATGTTCTGTATCATCCAAGTTGACATCATTATCTTCATCGACTTCTGTCTCCGTATAAAAATCAATATCTGTATTGTGCATATCAAGAGGAGAGGTAGAGTCTTCACAAGTTTCAAGCACAGGGTTGAATTGGTCAAACCCCACGCTGTTTTCACTATACTCTCGATAAATGTCACTATTTAGATAACTAATCTTAGAGGTATAAGATACCAGTGAGTCACTGGTAAATGATTGAGCTGAATTTTGACTGGGCTGAGAATAGACTCCCGATTTTAGTAATTTTTGAAGATTCCCCAATTCGGACGAAATGTGATCTAAACAATCTAATCCTTGGGTAGGTAACTCAATAGTTAGCTGCTGGCCCGAGTGAGGGGTTGTACCAACGGTTAAGTCCAGCGGCAGAGGCGGCTGTTCCTGAAGACCAAAATCTAAAATTTTATCAAAGGTATCAAATTGTCTAGGAATTGGCATTGGCTGTGCCGAGCTGTTCTTTGACTTTACATCAGAACTTGAAGTTGAATTCTTATCAGAAGAGTAGGTGGTATCGCAATTACTATTGTAGTCTTTGCCCTTAGAGGATGAGACGCGTGTTGAATCGTTGTCTATCAAAGAATTAAAAGACATTCTGCATTCCTTGCCACATCAAAACCAACAACAGGCCCCAGCACCAATCGAAAAAGCACAATAGAGAGAAGGAAAAAACAAAAATGAAAAATTGGAAAGATTGAAGGAGGAAATCACACGTATTTAAATAATAACTGGGAGGCGATTGAAGTTTGAAAAATGAAAAATGGAAAGTATGTACACTTAGCCAGCGATTTATAGAACAATTTAAATAATACAATAAACCTCTTATTACGCCCGAGCTGATCACTTGTTCTGCAACGTTTAAAAATAGTTTTAAACCGCTGAATCCTTTATCATGGAAGAACACTAGCTTACGACCTTATCAAAAGTACAATCGGGCATCATTCGATTCCCCTGACGCCTACTTTGTGTCACCCCTCTAAGCCCTAGTATTTATCTCATGTCATTGCCTTTCCCTTCCTATTGGGCCATAGCCAGCATACTAAACCCATAGCTAGTGCTCCCTTCTTCTTCGTGTTGGCAACCAGGTTGCGAATTCTATGAAACTGGAAATGGTTGCAACAATGCGACAAAACCTCCGTACATAAACCGCTTCTGTTCCTCTAATCGCATACAAAAAAAAAGGCACGGGTGTCTGTAATGAAAAGTCTTCCAGGCGCATTGGAGATCTCATGAGATGATTTGGCTTGTATTGCCGTACTAATTAATGTAATTATTTCTTTTTGTATTATAAGGCTCGTATATTGTATTGTGACAAGAAGAATAGACTCAATTGAGAAAAGTTTGAAAAAACAAAAAGGTATAAAGGCAGCTGGATTCCCATTTGATTTAGAGATGTCAAAAAGTAGTAATTAATTATTAGTTGCAATATGCTTTCATCTCAAGGGAATAATGCCATTATATACTTAACGTATATATTTCTATTGGCAACAGGGTTGTTTTTAGCTTTCAAGTTTTCTCAAGCCAATACATTCTTATCTTCCAATGGTACTCAAAGAGGAATTCCATTGGCATTGAACTTTATTGCTTCAGGTACGCATTTTCCATATAGACTTTAATTACAATAGAACTACTCCCATGGGGGGATAACAACTTTATAGTAAGCTTAGCAATTGAAACTAGCGGGTGTTTTTCAATTTCTGAATAAGAAACTGAAGAACTGAGATTTAACCGTTTGGACTCGATCAGGATCATTCTTGCGTGAGGAAGTTTCTATTGTTAATTAATTTAGGTAAGAGCTGTTGCCCCCGGTCAACATGCCATCCTGTTATTCGAACAGTTTATTAACATTTAAAAAGCCATGGGTTGTGGTATCTTAACTACTTACACTCAGATAGGTAATACTGCTGGGTTGCATGGGTTATTAGTGTACACCGTTTGTGGGGCTATTCCAATTCTTGGTTTTGCAGCCGTTGGTCCAGCAATTCGTCGCAAATGCCCCGAAGGGTTCATACTCACCGAATGGGTGAGACAAAGGTTCGGGATAGTCACTGCATTATACTTATCCTTTTTCACTTGTCTTACCATGTTTTTATTTATGATTGGGGAATTGTCTGCAATTAGAGCTGCCATCGAAACTTTGACTGGTCTCAATGCTTTGGCAGCTGTAATTGTAGAAGTTGTCGTCACTTCAATCTATACCAGTATCGGTGGATTCAGAGTCAGTTTCATTACAGATAATTTCCAAGGTGCTTTTGTGCTTGTACTTGTGGTGGTTTGTATCATAGGTATGGGTACTAATATCGATATCGATACTTCTAAAATTGGTCCGTCAGGATTATTAAAAGATAATAAATTAGGTTGGCAGTTATTGTATATTTTATTTGTTGCAATTTTGACAAATGACTGTTTTATGGCTGGATTTTGGTTGAGAACTTTTGCTTCCAAAACTAATAAAGACTTATTGATTGGTTGTTCCATTGCTTCTTTCGTAACATGTGTCATTTGTACTTTGGTTGGTGTTCCAGGGATGTTGGCAGTTTGGACTGGTGATTTAACCGTTGCTGATGAAAATGGTGCAAACGCTCTTTTCATTCTTTTATCCAAAATGCCTAATTGGATTATTGCTTTTGTTCTTATTTTCTCCATTTCTCTTTCAACTTGTACTTTTGATTCTTTACAAAGTGCAATGGTTTCTACCATTTCCAATGATCTTTTCAGAAATAAATTACAATTAACCTATATTAGGATTTTGGTTGTTTTAATCATTGTTCCAATCATTGTGTTAGCAATTAAAGTCGCTAGTAATATCTTACAAATCTATCTTATCGCTGATTTGGTTTCTGCAGCCGTTATTCCATCGGTGTTCTTGGGTCTCAGCGATAGACTCTTTTATTTCTTAAGAGGTTTTGACGTCATGTGTGGTGGTTTAGGTTCTTTATTGGCCGTTTTCGTCTTTGGTACCGTCTATTACGACTCTGCCAAAGAAGGTGGTAAGCTCTTATTGGTTTGGAATGGTATTTATAATTCTGCGGATTGGGGTCCTTTTGGTGCCTTTGTTATTGCTCCTTTCGGGGGTATCCTTATCACTTTGGCAGCTGCGGCTATCAGAATCAGTGCTAAATATTTCTACTGCAAGTCAACAAATAAACCTTTCACTGCTTTAGATAGGCCAGAATACGTGGAACATGAACATGAAGTTTATGGCTCCAGCGATGAAATTGCAAAAAAATTGAATGAAGATCCATAGATGTTGCACCAGTTGCTTCGTACCTCTCCAATATCTACTTCTACTCAACCTCCATTTCTTAATATCAGTGTAATATCCTCCTAATAGAACTTTTTCAATAAAACCAATAGATCTTTTAGCAGCTATTGTAAGTCTCGGTGTCGTAGTGTAAAAAGCCCGAACAGAGAAAAAAAAAAAAAAAAAAAAATATCAAGTCATCAGATAACCCCATTTTAAGAGACAAGAAGAATAGACTTGAAGTTGATCAGATATATAACTACCAATGATTATATGATGCATACTAAAGAGTCTTATGCGACCACGAAAATTGCAAAGGAAGACACTAGTGACTCACGAGAAAAGATAACCAAGACCAAGGAAGGTAGGTTATTAGAGAAGATTGACGATGATTGCTTGTTGATTAATCAAATCAAAGGAGACTTCAACAAAAAGAGAACCAATGAAAGCTCAGAAAATGTGACTACCAAGCCGTTGGTTCCGGCTAAAGATAAGTTTTACCGTAGCGAACACCATGAAGTGGAGGATGATGAAGAAGAAGAAAGTTGGCGAAAGCAGTCTGAATATTATAAGAACATTGATAGTAAGTCGTTCAGACAGTATGAATTAGCATGCGACAGAGTGAAACAATTTTATGAAGAACAGCATGAAAAACAGACGGTGGCTTATAATATTCAAGCTCGGATTAATTTCAAAACTAAAGTTAGAGCCAAGATGTCAGTATGGGAAGGATTGGAAAAACTTAACAGATTGTTGGACGAAAGTGACCCAGATACTGAATTATCACAGATAGACCATGCATTGCAAACAGCACAAGCTATTCGAAAAGATAATAAGCCAAGATGGTTTCAGCTAGTTGGATTAATACATGACTTGGGTAAATTATTATATTTCTTTGATTCAAGAGGCCAATGGGATGTTGTGGGTGATACATTTCCAGTTGGATGTAAATTTCTGAAGAAAATTATCTTTTCAGAAAGCTTTAAAAAGAATCCAGATATATTGAATCCTTTATATAACACTAAATATGGAATCTACTCAAAACATTGTGGTTTAGATAAAGTTATGTTAAGTTGGGGCCATGATGAGTATATGTATCATGTTGCGAAAAATAGCTCCACTTTACCTGCTGAAGCCTTGGCCATGATACGATATCATTCCTTCTACCCTTGGCATCATGAGGGTGCTTATAGCTATTTAATGAATGATCACGATAAAGAGATGTTCGAAGCGGTTAGAGCATTCAACGTTTATGATTTATATTCGAAGATTGATGAGAAGTATGATGTTGAAGAACTCAAGGAATATTACAAAGACTTGATTGATGAATATTTCCCGTCTAAAATTATTGACTTTTAAAATAGTGTATTATTAGTATATTTCTCTTTTATGTATTTTTATCCAAATTCTTTTAATTGATTTTTTTTAACCCAATTGTAATGTCATAGCGCAGTGTATCTACTTTTCGAAGAATCGAGTTGAAAAGGTATTAAAGAATATATAAATATACAAAAGTCTATGCAAAAACGCAAACAGAAGAGAACAAAAAGCAAGTCGTAAAGAGAAAAGATGAAACATGATTTAATAAAAAAGTACTAATACATTGTTTTTAAAGAAGCAAAGGTGGTTTTCAAAGTGATACAGTAAGCTGCAAATCATGAAAATAATTTGATAGAACCAAAGTATCTTTCAACATTATATTCACCGGCTGGCTTCCAAGGATCATCAAAGGTACTCAAAATGGTAACATCACCATCAAGCTGGTCTATAATACTTTTAATTGCGATCTCTTGGTTTTTGGTAGATGGAACATTATCACCATTGGTATCACCTTCATGAGGATAACCTGTTTCAGTGACAAACACATCTTTACCACCGCAGATACCTTCAACTAATTTTTTTTCAGATTTAACGAAAGTACCTGCTTGATAAGCGAAAAATTTAGTGTTAAAGTAGGAGTGGGAATTAAGACCAACAAAATCGATATCTGACTTAGTACATAAGCTTGGATTGTTTATGTAAGATGAAGGTGGCTCAGAGGTGGTTACTTTACCTGAATATCCAGCATCTTTCAATTTAGATTTGACGCTGCTGATTTTGGAGCTTAATTCATCAACAGAAGCAAAATTATCATTGATAGCTTCATTTCCGATGGTGAAGAAATCAAAAACATCCCAACCATTATCGTTAGCGTAGTCAATAATTTTTTGGACATCTCCATCAACATCATCAATTTGACCTTTACCAAACCAGAAGCCTTGGTTCACTTTCATACCTAATTTACTAGCTTTTGGTAAAACAACAGAAACACTACCACAGTCACAACCATAGGTTCTGATTCTCTTGATACCTTTACTATGAATTAACTCCAAATCGGAATTTATAGAATCTTCATCTTTGCAGCCACCATCATTTTGGTATGGAGAATAGACAATAGCAGTTGGTGGAGAAATAGCACCAGAGGAGGCAGATACACTGGTTTCAGCAGCAGTAGTTTCTTGAGAAGTCTCGGCAGTTTCGGCAGTGGTTTCAGCTTGAGTATCAGTAGTTTCAGCAGTGGTTTCAGCTTGAGTATCAGTAGTTTCAGCAGGAGTGGTTTCAGCAGGAGTGGTTTCAGCAGGAGTGGTTTCAGCAGGAGTGGTTTCAGCAGGAGTGGTTTCAGCATTATCTTGAGTGGATTCAGCAGTATCTTGAGTGGCTTCGGCAGTATCAGCTTGAGTGGTTTCGGCAGTATCAGCTGAAGTAGTTTCGTTAGCAGTTGTTTCGGCTTGGGTATCAGCAGGAGCATTACCGGTAGTTTCTTGGGTAGCTTGAGCAGTAGTTTCAGCTTGAGTAGCTTGGTTATCGGCTTGGGTGTTTTCTGGGGTATCAGGAGAGCCAGTTGCTTCATCATCAGCAGTACTGGTGGTGGTTGTAGGCTCTGTTGCAGTGGCTTGATCGCTCAAAGTAAAAGTATAAGTTTTACCTTTAGAAACGAGGACCTCTACCGGAGGTAAATGCACTGTAGTGGTACCAGTGGTATAAGTAGCAGTAGTAGTAGTTGGATCAGCCGTATGGACACGGGTGATAAGTCTTGGTACAGGACTAGCAGCGATAGTCTGTAAAACAGCAAGAACTGATAAAGCTTTTGCTAATTGCATTTTTATAGAAGGAGAGACTGTAGTGGGAGTAGTAAAGAATAAAAGAAAGGACAGCACCAAAGCACCAGAGTTGAACGAAATACTAGAAAAACCTGTTATCGAACGATGAACAAAAGCCAAATTTCAAAGGATATTTGATCATATATATACTATGACTTACAATAAATCGAAGCCCCATGTTCTTTGTTATACAGAACATACAAAGAAAAACAGATACAGAAGCGATAGGTGAAATGCTGGTTAAAGCAAATGAAAAGGGCTCTTTGGCATGACGAAATAGTCATGGTAATAATATCATGGCTCACAAAAGGGAAGAGTAAATAATAAACCGAACGGGTTCTGGAAGATGTAAGTGAAGAATATCAACTAACGATTGCAAAAAAAAAAAGAGATTGCCGCAAAAGCTGATGCAATGAGAAAAACTGCCAAACGCGGCGGTGGAAAGAGTCAAATTGGCAGGAAAATGCTGAACTCCAGCCGAAAAAGTGACGGTTTCGCACCGAAAAAAAAATTTTGGCCAGGGGAAAAAGAAGATTAGGCCGGAGTAGCCAGCCATTGGCATCTGGAAGTGCTTGCAATACCCAAAGAAGCAGTTAGGAGGACAAAACAGACTCAGGAACAACCTTAATACAAAGACAAGGGCTGTTGGAATAATAGATAATACGAAAGTAGAATTAAAGATTACATATTATTGAACTATTAATGATTAAATAAATAGACATAAGAGATAAAAAAGAATGGAAGACAACAAAATATGTACATTTTAAGGACAATATTTATGAATGAATTATAATAGAAGTATATTTTTTTTTTTAAAATTTTGTCATTTTTCTTATTTTGCTTTGAGTAGGATTTCAATCAGGTAAGCAAACTGATAATTTTTTCAAATTTAGTATCATCAATTACACTGGAGGTGTTTAAGTATTTTAATAAACTTCTAACCAAGGTGAGTAATTGGTCAGCAGACAAATTGATGATGGCCATTTGTAGGATAGTGCCGACGTTAACGTTATGGCTAGTGATGAAACTTTGGTAGTATAAGTAACTAAAGGACCCCATTAAGAATTGACAGTCAAAACGATCGGTGACCCCACCATGGCCAGGAATGGTAGTCCCGAAATCTTTGATACCAAAGGCTCTTTTCAAGCCACTAGCGAAAAAGCCACCGAAGGGAGCAATTAACGAGGCAAAAGTAGCAATGAAGGCCGCATGGATATAGATTGGTTTGAAAGTGATGATATCGATATTTAAGAATTCTGCGATATTTGAAGGTAATTGGAAAATTTGAGGAATGAAAACCGGATTTGGTTCACAATTTGGATGCTCAAATAAGTTATTAGTTAAGGAATCAGCCGGGCAAATCAAGTAGTTTGATTTGGATAAGATGAAGGAAAAGAGAATGGCTGCAACGGAAGTGCAAATCCAGGCACCGATGAAACCTTCGACGGTTTTTTTAGGAGAAATTGCAATTAATTGAGTCCGGCCAAACGTGATACCACAGATATAAGCAAAGACATCATTCACCACCACTAAAGAAGAAGGTAAAAGAAACCAAATCATCCCATTTAATAAGTTATCAATGATCAAATGACTTTGGAAAACAACCAATAACAAAGTAGTATGGGTGATACATAATTGAGCAAATTGGAACTTATAGTAACCTTTTTGTAAAGTCCAAACGAAAAATATAAACCCAGCAACGTATAAAGAATAACTAATAAATTTATGATTTATTGCTAAAATGGTTAATATTTTATTTGAAAAGATAAATTCTTTGAAAAAACTGAAAAAACTTTCACCATCCAAATAATAAACCGTGGCAATAAGGAAATACCAATTCAATGATTTATTATATGGTAATGATTTATCTCTAGCTGGTTCTGAAGTCAAAGCAATAATCTCTTTAAAAGTTAATGTTTGGGATATCACAATTAAACTAATTATTGGAAGATGTCCTGCAGCAACCACTCCAACAAATGCTGCAATCATAACCAAGGTCCAAATGGTTCTGGTAATGAATGCTTGCTTCTTTTTCTCATGTTCATGAGTTATCTTGGAGTTTTTGTTTTCCTTAACCGACTTATCAGTTGGTTGTTCAACTTTTTTGGATCCAGTTTTTTCCGACATTATGCAATAATATAACTAACTTAACAATCAAAACACAATTTATATCAACATGAACTTTCAATTCTTCACTGATAAAGCTGATGCGCTGTAGGGTTGATTTTCAACAAAAAAAAAAATATTAACCTAGTAGAAAAAAAAAAAAGTAAACACCTACCAAGGAGAACGAACCGATTAAACAACTATTCAATCAAGTCTGAAGAAGATCTAGTACTGCAATTGCACTAGAGACCAAGTTCAAAATGAAGAAAACAAAAAAAAAAAAAAAAAATTGAAAAACTCAAAGCAAATCGAAAGAGCAAGGGCCAAAAGAAAAAAAAAAAATTTCAAAATGAATGGCAAATAATTATGCAAATGATAAGACCAACTAGTGATAAGCTATTTACTGTCAAAGATGAAGTAGCAGATAGAATTTTTGGTCTCAACAATAAGAACTTCAATCAATTGGAGAAAACTTCGATCTGCTTATTTCGTTGGTACCAATTGGTTCTTTTGGGCCTCTTTTTCACATGAAGAGGAGTCAAGAAGGGTAATGCCTGGTGTCCGGGTGTATATCACGTGTGTGTAACGTGTGAACCGATTGATGCAAACTGTAATTGATAACATGCAAATTAGTGCGCTCTAACATGCATTTTTCGCAACATGCAAATATCTCCACGTAACCTGTAAACATGAGCAATGCGGTTGGAGCACTACCTTTTTCTTGGAGAAATTCTGGCATTTCTTTTTCTGTGCCCCGCTACACGACCGGACTTACCTCACACTATCGCCTAGCAACATACTAAAATTTTTTACTATTAGAAGGAGAATAACCAAATCACCTTCTTTTAAGAGCTTAACACTTGTTAGATATATATAATAACCTTTTGTTATTGATTTACTTCCAGTAAAAGACAAGCCAGATTTAACTAACAGTTATCCCCCGTTTCCATACTTATATGTCTACTATCCAAAACTTAAACGCCTTTGATCCTTTCGCCGATACTGGTGATTCTGAAGCTCAACCAACTAATTACATTCATATTCGTATTCAACAACGTAACGGTAGAAAAACTTTAACTACTGTCCAAGGTTTACCTCAAGAATATGATTTAAAGAAAATTTTAAAAGTTTTAAAGAAGGATTTTGCCTGTAACGGTAATATTGTTAAGGATGATGAATTAGGTGAAGTTATCCAATTACAAGGTGATCAAAGAGTTAAAGTTAGTGAATTCTTGACTACTCAATTACAATTACCTAAGAAGAATATTAAAATTCACGGTTTCTAGATTGGTATCGTTTTATTTTATATATATATTTTTTATATAGTATTTAATACTGCTAGTCCCTTGATCACGCAAGGGCCATTAATGTTTTAATTCATTAAGTACTTTCCTGGTACCTTGGTGCTTTGGAGATGTTTATCTATGGTTATTTAATTTATTTTCCATCATTGGTAATTTGTATGTAAGCGAAAAAAAAGAGATGCGTTATCTCATCGAGCAATTAACTGTTCTTCTTCTTCCTCCTCCACAGATATTGACAGAAGATGCCCGGGGATTTGAACTTGAAGAAGTCATGGAATCCAGCCTTGATTAAAAACCAAAAGAAATTATGGAATGAAGAACAAAAACAATTAGAAGAGTTTAAAAAATTAAAACAACGGGAAAAAGAATTAAACGAAGAAAAGGAAAAATTCGAATACTTAAAATTACAATATGGCGATGATCTATCTAACTTATCAAAAGACCATAAACTAACCCTTAACAAGATGTCTTGGATGTACGAAGGATCCAGTGATAAGGGAAAGAAAAATGATGCTGGTTTTATTGAAAAAGATGATGAATTCTTATTAAATAAGAAAAAAGTTGAAAATATGTTGAATAATAACTCTGGTGTTGAGTTAAAATTAGATGAAAAGAGTAACTTCAATAAGATTATTAAACCCACTAATAAAAAATCAATTATTTCTGATGACCCTTTACTTAAAATCAAATCTGAACAACGAAAAATTGCAAAACCTAGAAAACATAAACATAAATCAAAACACTAGTTTACATAAACATAAATCAAAACACTAGTTTACATTGCATAAAAACACTAGTTTACATTGCATAAATCAAAACACTAGTTTACATTGTCATTTGATAATCCTCCCCGTATTCTTCATCGCCTTGCCATTGGTACCAGACTGTTTTGCCATTATTGCATCGTTGGAACCGCCAGTCTTGTCTTCTTGTTAAGGCAACAGGGAAAACCAACTCCCACCAAGAGTCACAATATTCTTCGTTTAACATTTGGGGGTGGTTACCAATCCTGACGTTCTTATACAAGTTGGATACAAACACCCCTTTGAACCCGTTGATTGGTTGGGAGTTGAAAATCTCTCGGGACTGATTGAATTCGGGGTCACTTGGATGGTGGAACTCAAATAGCTTTTGCCATTGGCCCTGATTATGCATGGCGAAATTGACCAAATAAGGTTGGTACAATGGAGGCTTTTCTAGAAATGGCGAGTATACCGGCATAAGATAACTCTGATACCGTTGCGGGATCATGATCAAGTTGGGATTTTGAAAACTTTGTAATACTTCAGGGCTTAACTCATTACATCCAATTGATCCGAGCATTTCAGAAACTACCATATCTGCTTTCAAGTCAGCCACTTTTCGAACATCCTCAAATATAAGTTGCACCTGGTTATTCCATTTCTGTCCATTTCGATCCGTCAAACTCTGTCGGCATTTGCGATTCTTCTCAATTGCAACTATTTCAATATCCTTCCCTTCTATTTGCTCGTATACAATATCAACCAAGGGCCCGTTATACCCGGGTCCCACCACCAAAATTCGCCCGATTTCATTCTCTTGTATTGCAGACTGAATTGCCCTTGCATACTGTCGATACTTATTCTTATCCTTCTCAAAGATCTCGTACACCGGACTGGTCAAGTCTTTCGATTGCGGCTGTAATGGGTCAACTAAGTAGTTGGTTTTGCGAACGTGCTTTTGAACATATCGTATATACTCAATCTTCTGTTCCATTAACTTACATTGGTACAACATTGTGATTTGGTCCCTTCGGTATAGAGTTTCATACTTTCGACGGATTAGCTCGCTTTTCAAAATCGGGTATCCCTTTGAATTAACCTTGAAGTGCTCTTCGGGAATAATTATCATTGATGGCAGAAGCACCTCATATTGTTTGATTGCTTCCTCTTCGGTATCTTCTAAGTAAACACCGTAACTCACCTGCTCACTCACTAACTGTGTTTCAATTAGCAAACTTATAATCTCAGTAACTACCGGTATTATAAAGATCAATTGCATTAATGCTTCATTTGCAACTTGTTTTAACTGTAGGTTGAATTGCTTGGGATCTTGCACGTATATCCCATACGGCAACACCACCGCATAGTAGTTTGCTGCATCCTGCTGATACTCTTTTTGGATTTTGCATCTTAAATCGCTCCAAAACTTATCTTGATCCTCTTCTTGTGCCTCAATCAATACAATATCCCCAACCTGACTTCTTTGCCAAACTAACCGATACGAGCTCTCTGCACACAGGGTAAACGCCTCGTTTGGGATTGTTCCAATCATTGCATAGGCCAACCTTATACCCTATTCATTCTTCTTGTGAAAGGTATGCAATTAGCAGCAGTATTAGCTGTTTGAATGGCTGGTTAAGGTTGTTAAGGTGGTAACCTTACTTTTCAACCGTACGCGAGTTCACAAGACACGACTTTAAAAAAAAAAAAATTCTCTGGAAAAAGAGAAAAACATCAAATATCAATATATCTCTTCATACTTTAGTTATTATTGAACAACTACCTCCAGCCAGCATTCTCTCGTTTGTACTACTCGCTTGTGTGCTAGCCGTATTTGCTTTGTTTGTGTGATTTGTGTATCCCAATTAGAACAGAAGTTCACCTAATTCGTTTATTTTTCAATATTGAATAAGGGGAACAACTCATCAGACCCGATCTCTTATTCGATTTAACCATTGCTCATCTCCTTTAGCGAGTCTTTGACGGTTGCGGCTTTCTTAAATCCATTTTGTTTCGTATATATTTACCCAGGAATTTTCCTTTCCATTAACATATTTATTCATTTTCAGTAATCATGAGTAAACCAAGATACTTATCAGATAGCGAGAGAGCTAAAATCCTCGAATTCCAAGATATGATCCACTATAGTCCAAGATATAGTGACGACAGTAATGAATACAGACACGTCATGTTACCAAAAAACATGTTGAAAGCGATTCCTCAAGATTATTTCAATCCCGAAACTGGGACCTTAAGAATATTGTTAGAAGAAGAGTGGAGAGGCTTGGGTATAACCCAATCCTTAGGTTGGGTTCACTACGAGACCCATGCTCCCGAACCTCATATCTTACTTTTCAAAAGACCTATAAATTATGGTCAATAATCTCATAGCGTACCTCTTTATTTCTTTATGTCTAAAATTCTTTTGCCCATGCCCTTGCATATACTAATATATTAATGCCCGTATCACTTACTGTAGTTGTACCATAACACAACTGTAATATAACTATATAACTGTACTGTAATACAACTATGTAATACAACTATGTAACTGTAATATAACTTGTAGACTGAAAAACATTGAAAAACGCGTAAAATCTCAATGTGATCCATCATTTTCAACTTCAGCTACTCTTCTTTATCAACTTCAGCTACTCTTCTTTATCAACTTCAGCTACTCTTCTTTATCGGTACTGAGGTACGCTTTCCTTATCTTCGTCTACTAGCTGCTAAACAGAGTTCCACGATCTGTGGTAGGGTGGTTGTGTTTTATTTTGTTGTTTTCCGCTAGCGCTTACTTTTCATTACCAAAGATTAGCCGCCATCGATGAACTAGATGTCAGCATCAGTTCATCAAAAGATAAGTGACGCTGAGTTATCAGCTTTTCTTGATGATGTGAATAAGAACATCTCTGTTGATGATAAAGCCGACTTTAAGAAATTGACGCTTCATTTGTTTGGGTTTACCCATTCAAGATTGAAATTTATCAAGAAAAATGTGTATCAAACCAACAATTCTAGTGAGCCAATACATATTTTGGAACGGTTGATGTCAACCATTGAATTGGTTTTCTCCAAAAGAAAGCACTTGTTGAATACTCATTTGGCCGATCATGAATTAGCTCAATTGAAGAAATTGTTTTATGGGAATGATGTTAACTATGAATCGGATATGATGTATGAATTATCGATTTTATTTGCATTATCTTGGTTACCGGAGTTCTCCCTAGATAATACAATGGTAAATATCATCAAGTCTTTCATCATTGGTGTGACCAATATCATTTCCATTCAACTTCATAATTATAAATACAAAAACTCTTTAAAATCCAAATTATTGATGGTTTTACAGGATAATGTTTCTTTTCTACTTTCATCGGTTCAATTGATTAATATCCCAACTGAATTCAATCAAGTATATGGACCTAAACTTGCCTGTACTATACATTTGCTCTCAATCATTAATGATTATGATATATCGAATAAATTACTATTAAATTCACCTCAAAATCAACTTGCATTCGATTCAATAATAAGAAAATTATGGTTTATAATCAATTCAGTGGATTTTAATATGATTTTAACTTCCAATAATGGTGACGAACCAAATTTACTACTAATTGATAATTTGAAATCAATTCTAATATTGAACTTGACTAATAATATAGTTTTAAACATCTCGGGTAATTGGGATTCTATCGCTTTGATATTAAAGTGGATTTTGGATTATGTTAAAGCCTTTGACTCTAAAGTTGATGGTAGTCCTTTCAATAAATTCTTAAAATCTTTCAATAGATCAATAAGTTATAGTTTATTAAAAATCTTTCAATTATGCCGTGACAAATCATTGATTCATAATTTATTCAATTTTTTACAACTTCATACCATACCAATGATCTTTCAATTAGATGACCTTTCATCAAATGATTTGAATCTGCAATATCCCATCATAATATTAAAAACCTTGCATATAATATACTACCAGTATAATACCATAATTGAAAATAAATCAATGATCGATAGTTATCATGCCTCCCCCAAATTTAAATTTATAAGTCAACCTTTTGTGGATGAAGAATTGAACTATTTACGAAACAATGTTATTGGATACGACTCTAACGATACTTATAAGATCACTGTTGATTTATTAGATTTCATAATCAAACCAGAATTTAGATTCGAAAATTCTTATTCGAATGATTTAATTAATGATAAGTTTGATTTCAAACTATGGTTGAAACATATCAAATATTTAAAAGATTTAAGCTTGAAAAAACCCAATAATTTCAATATACTATCAGATAAATCAAGCTTATACACTTTTATAACTGCAATGGGTAATTTCCCTTGTTTGTTTAGCGGTCATTTCCATTTTAGAGTTGGCGAATGTATAAAATGTGGCATTTCTCCCATGAATAAAAATTATTATTCGAATATACTGCCAAATAGAAAGAATGTGAATGAAATTGTTGAAGTTTCTGAATTTTATAATGATATGATAATTTCCTATTTGCTTAATCAAAGATTTCAAGAAGTCGTATCTGATCCTTTGATTTCTTCCAATTTATTGTTAACAATTTTTAAAATTTTTGCTTCGTACTCTCCCCCTCGTGACTCGAATAGAATAGTTGATCCTGTTTTGAAATTCGTCATTGATAGTGTTAGTTCAAATCTAAATAGGAACGTAAGAATGTTGGCAGCAAGAATCTTACCTCTTTATTTAATTCAACAAAAAGACTTAGATCTTGATTCAACTTTTAAGACAATCTTTTCCAAATTATCTCAAATTAAATTCAATAATGGAAGTAAAAAAACATATTTGGCTGAATCAACTGTGAAAGCATTAAGTGAACTTGCTATAATTAGTGAAGGAGAATGGTTGTGCGTTATATTGATCAAATTGGTTGATATGTTCAATGAATATAATGATCAACATGTCAACTTGGCCTACAATGGTCTTTTATATATTGCTTCCAATAAGCGCATCACGCCTTACAAGATGTTATCACCATTTTTACCAAGTATTGCTGAAAGAATTGTTAAAAGACCTAGATCATTGACTAAAATAGCTGAACTATTAGGTATAACAAAGACGTCATTTTTATTTAGAACTCGTGTATACACAACTCCGAGATTATTAGAACACTATGGTTATGATTACGTTCAGGAAATCGCAACTGCTTCAAGTATGACAAAATTAAAGTTGATTCAAAAATTACTTCCAAGAATATTAGCAACTTATTTCGTGAAAGATGAAAAAATTGATGAAAATTATATTTTGGCTGTTTTGGGCAATGCTAGTTCAGAATACAGAAGTGTAGGTATAATGGACTTGATGACAAGCATTGGTAACATGACTTGGTACATCCTTTTACAAATTAGTGATGACGCTGATGGAAATATTCTTAATGAAGATAGGATCAATAATGCTTTAACCTATGTTGCAAAAATGAATCTCAAAATTAATAATGAACCGAAAAAAAGGGTACGTGATTATGTTGAGTATCTTCTTGGTGAGTATGTTCTTGAGTTGGTTCAAAGATTCTCTGAAACTATCCATCAAACTCAAGGTACTAGCCCTTTCTTGGAAAAATTAACATCATTGAAAGCGATTGAGTTTCTTATCAATAAGAATATTAATGCAGTTGCATCCGCTTTGGGTCAGATATCTACTTGTTTACAAGCGACATTAGAAAATCCTGATTTTGAATACGTTGCTATTCGCTGTTGCAATGTTTTGGTTCAAAAGCTTGAAACAAACCATTTGATTTCCTTGTTTGATATAATTATCTCCCTTTTATTTCAAAAATTTCCTGATTTAGAACCAAGGTCTAAATTTGAAGCTGCAAAAATATTCAAAAAATTATTCGGAGAGTTGAGTGATAGACCTAATAATTACACTTGCTATAGCTTCTCTCTACCATTCATTAAAGATCTTGATCAGTACTATACACCAGAACCCAAATTCATGAATTCAATGAAACTATTTGGTAAAAATCATTCATTTTCGGAATTCACAAGAAGATTGAAAACGAGTAATAAGTATGTGGTACAACAAGCTTTGGATGATCTTATTCTGTATATCCGACTTTATCAAAAATCTTTGCAAACTGAGGATTTGAAGGATTCCACATTAGAAAGGACATTCTCTGATCTAGTTAGAACTATATTTGACACTGCTGTTCATTTCAAGAGTAAAAATGACAAAATAAGCACAAGCTGCGCTACGGCGTTATCTATCATGGGTGCTTTGGATGCTAATAAGTTCAATTTTAAAACTATCAAGAACAGGATAGTAATTATTCACGATTTCTCCGATTACAAAGAAAATGCTGACTTTTTGCGTCATTTCATGGAAGATATTGTTATAAAGGTTTTTTGGGCTTCCAATGATCCTTCTAAACAGTTATTTTCGGCATATGTAATGCAGAAATTTTTACAAGTACTAAAATTGGACGTTAAAGTATTAGATCCCTCAACTCAAGATTATTTTTCTGAAGTTTGGAATAGTTTTAGTGATGTTGCAAAATCCACGCTTGCTCCTTTACTTTCGTCAAAATACTTTACATCCAATCCAAAATATGAACAATTGACCTTACCCTATTATCGTGTTGGAATGAGGCATGAAAAGTGGTTAGCGGACTTCACATCGAATTTATTGAAAAGACCATCTTTCACTTCTAATGATGATTCTATAAAAGACACAATTTTCAAAATTTGCTCTTTATTAATAAAAGATCAAGATATTTCCATTTGTCATTATCTCCTCAAATACGCTGCATTGAGTCACATCATCAGCGGTGATGAAGATATATCAAACGGGATTAAAGATGAATTTTTAGCAATCTTGGGTATGGATACCCATGGAACTTTCTCTTCCGATAGGTTGGAGCTGATCAGGTCTTGTTATCAATCTATTTTTGAAGTGCTTGACTATTTTAATGAATGGAGATCGGTAGTTACTCAATACTTAAGTAACAATAAATTAACGAAGGTGGAATCGAATAGACTAAAGGGGAATTTAAACTTAGTCGACTCCTTCTTGTCTAAGATACCGACCAACCTAATTGCCTTGAAGTCTGCTGAGTGTGACTCGTACGAAAGAACTATCCTATATCTTGAGAAATGCTATCGTGATGGTCAATTGGATGATTTCAACAAAATCCAAGATTTGGACGCAGTTTCGGCCTTACAATCCATGTATGCAAGTATAAATGACTACGATGCTCTTGATGGTATTCTTAAAAAATTCTCAACTAACAATTTGAACGAGAAACTACAAACCTTCCAATATAATGAAAATTGGTGGCTTGCTCAAGAATCTTTCCAGGTCTTGAGTGAAGTTGGAATCAAAAAGATAGAAAATAATACCAATTTATTCAAATCCTTGAGTGACCATGCTTTATACGATGAGGTTCTCTCCACTCTTTCCTCAAGGGTTAATTTTGACAAACCTAATAAAATCCCTATTGAATGGTCAATGGTCGGCCTTCAAGCAGCTTCTGTTTCCGGGGATATCGACCAAATCAACAAATGGTTGTTCGTTTCAGATTCATGTGGTAAGGCTCACGATATTGAAACCTTAATCAATTACAGATTTGCACAAGCTTTAAAGGCTCTCTTCGGAAGAGATACGGAAAAGTTTAACGAGGAAGTAAATGACCTTTACAAGATTATTGGGCAATCATTAGTTCCATCCATCTCATCTTCTTTCTCTCGTAATTCCACTTTGATGAGTCAGCTTCATTCAATTTATGATGTTTCCATGATATCTGGCTCTAGAGTAAATGACGAAATCAATCAAACATATGAACATATTTTGAGAGACCGTCTTAGCAATGTTGATCAAGGTTTCGACTCGCAATGGAAAATTCTCTCGATGCATAGAGTTGCTAATATGGCGGTAGGAAATTCTGATAAAATATCTGATATTTTATTATTTTGCTCGAAAGTTGCAAGAAAGAATGATAGATTGGATATTTCAACAAGATGTATAATGAAAAGTATGGCTTTAAACGATCAAGAAGCTAACTTGGAATATGCTGAATTGTTATGGGCCCAAGATAAGCAGACTGAGGCCATTAAGTCTCTTTCACAAATCATTGATGAGGATGTTTTCAAGAATAAGAAACAAAAAGCAAGGGCGCAACTTCAGTATGCAATTTGGTTAGATGAATCTAACCATACATCTTCCTCCACCATCATCAATGAGTATGAACAAGCAAGACAATTGGAGCCTACATGGGAAAAGCCTTATTATGATTTAGGGAAATATTATAATAAAATAATGGAGTCTAGACATGATTCAACTGGATACTATGAAGTACAAACAATTCGGTACTTCTTAAAATCCTTAGGTTTGCGGCCTACATTTATATTTGAAGCATTACCTAAGTTTATAACAATTTGGCTAGACTTTGCTCAGAAAGTTAGAAAGAATAAAGACTCTAATAGAAGAGAAGTCGAAAGAAAATTGAATCAAATCACTTCCGATATCAAAAGATTTCATTCTTCAATTCCCATATATGTCTGGTATACGTCAATAACGCAAATGTTGTCAAGAATAAGCCATAGCCACTCAGATAGTGTTGAATTATTAAAAGCCATAATTTCCAAGGTTGCAGAAGCATATCCAGAGCATAGTTTGTGGTATATTTTATCACATCTTAATTCCAATGATCTGAACAGAAAGGCTAGAGTAGGTCAAATCTTGTCGCAAGTTGAATCCGCTAGTAGCAGTTTATCCGATAAAGTCCTAGGAGCTAAGACCTTATTTTCCACGCTCATTTCGATTGTTAACTTTAAAGTCGATAAAAGGAACTTAAAACCAATGTCATTGAGCTCTGATTTCAATATTAAAAATTTAGGTGAACCATATGACTGCTTAGCTATTCCTGTTGCTTCAAATCTTGAAATTAAATCTCCAACTCTCAAGTACGACTATAGAAATGCTTTTCCTAAAAGCTCGATGATAACTTTCGATGGATTTGATGATGTTGTTAATGTCTTTCATTCTCTTCAGGTACCAAAACAACTTACAGTTAGAGGTAGTGATGCAAAGCCTTACAGATTAATGGTGAAAAAAGATGATACTAGAAAAGATGCCAAAGTCGTCGAATTTACAACAATGATTAACAGGTTATTGCTGGCAAGCACTGAAGCAAGGAAACGAAACTTAGTTATTCACAATTATGCTGTCATACCGTTAGCAGAAAATATGGGTGTCATTGAGTTCGTTCAGAATGTTACAACTTTCAAGTCTATTATTGCTGATACACAGAAAAAATTGGGTAAAGTCGTGAATGAAAGGTCAATATTTCATAAGATGAGTGATGCTCATAAGCTCCTCAAAGTTAACAGTAAGTCAAACTTGTCTTCGGCGATGGATGATGTTATCAAATTATTTGAAAAGATTTGCCATGATAATCAACCAGTTTCGCATAAGTGGTTCATTGATCAGTTTTCAGATCCCACTGCCTGGTATATTGCTAGGTATAAGTTTACTAGATCAGCTGCTGTGATGTCCATTGTTGGATATATCATTGGATTAGGTGATCGGCATTGTGAAAATATTTTAATTTTCAAGAATACTGGATCTGTTTTACATATTGATTTTGATTGTTTATTCGATAAGGGCTTATCTTTGCCCACACCCGAAATTGTTCCATTTAGATTGACTCAAAACATTACTGATGCTATGGGTATCAGTGGTATTGAGGGTGTATTTAGAATTGCTTGTGAGGTGACTGGTTCATTATTAAGGGAAAATGAAGCACCATTAATGAATATTTTAGAAACGTTACTATATGATCCGTTGTTAGATTGGAAAACTCAACAAAATCCTCAAGAGCATTTGAAGAAAGTACAGAGAAAAATCAGGGGTTTGGTTGATGAAAAAGAAGGATTACCCATGAATATTCATGGTCAAGTTGATGTTTTGATTCAAGAATCAACATCTATTGAAAATTTATCAAGGATGTACCCTGGTTGGTCGCCCTATTTATAGATCTACAAAGATCCTTAGAAAGAAAAAAAGTAAATAGCATTTATGTATTATAATTATTTAAATATCCTCTATTAGATCCCTTTCATTTGTAGGTGCAAGAGGTGGAGTGTCATTTGGTGGAGGTTTTCTATACAAATTCTTTGGGATAGGGCCATGGGTTTCATTAGATGAATTTGCAGGGGAAATATTTACTGATGGGGGTTCTTCTGTCGCTGGAGTTGAGCCTTGTGTAACGTCGGAATCTTCATCGGGAGGTAATATTTTCAAGTTCGAAATCAAGTCCGCTTTTTCAGTTTTTGATAAGTCAGAATCGAATGTTGAGTTATCATCATTTTTTGAAATTGGAATTTGGGTGTCATTTTGATGAAACGTGCTTTTCAATTCTATCGATGTGGGACGAGATTTTAAGTCAGGTTCAATATCATTTTCATTTGTAGTTTCTGAACTGTTGGATCCACCATCAAAATTTCCAGAAATAAACCCATTGAGTGGAAATCTTGAGCCAAAATCATACGTTGGAGACATTGAGTTTGATTTAAATGCTACGTCTTGAGTAGACTTGTTACTTGAAAAACTTGATTTTCTCGGGCTGCTTCTTCTGTTAGAGATCATTTCAGGAGGAGTATAAGTGATTTCCTGGTCCGAAGTTGTAGTTAAAGCTTTGTCATCTTTGAAGTACCATTTACCAATTTTTTTCAAGGTGCTAATGGATTTTTTAGACGAAGCAGTGTCACCACTAAGATCTTTGCTTTTACTTGGAATAGTAGATGATGATTTTATACTTGGAGAACTTGAAATAGGTTCAGTACTTAGTTCAGATTCTTCGTCAAGATTAGCATTTAATTGAGTTTGGGATCTTGGTTTTTTCAATTTTTTCGAGATATCATTAAAAGTATTTGAAATTTTTAACCTCGAATTGCTTGGTTTAGATGACGATAGTTCTGTTGTTGAGCTAGCTTTATCGAGATTTATGCTTGAGTCATCAGTTTTTAAAGAAGATTTCATGGAAGCATTATCAATTGAGTTGCTATCGTACACTTCTAGGTTTTCTTCGGTACTATTATTATTAGTATTTAGATTTTCCCTTTCCGTCTTATCCCAAATACCACCTCTGAAAAATTCATTTTCGGTATCGTAATAAGCAAAATCATCCCAGAACGGTAAGACAAGACTCTCTTTGATTGCCTCTTTGAATTTTTTTTCGATAGTATTAGTGATGATATTGTAGGTTAACTGTCTTGAGCTTATTATTGGTTCAATTTTTAAATTAATCAAAGGTTCTTTTTCAAAAGTGTACCAGAGTCTATTTGAAGGAGGAGGCTTAAATTTAATAATAAGGGGGCCCTGTAATTTTACAAGGGTAATTTTTAAAAGGACATCGACTTCTCTTGGTTTGAAACCCAAGTTGATGTTGAGCTTTGTTTTAATTTTCAAAGACATTGAACCAAAGTAATGAATATAAGAAGAAACCAAAACCTCACCATTTGGGTTTATTTCTTTTAATTCAGGGAAAGTTATGAAGGGAGCAGAATTACCCGTTGTTAAATCGACAATTTGGAATTTATCAAGGAAACCCGGAGTTTTTATCTTGTTTAACTTTTTATCAATTCTTTTCTTTAAGAAATTTGATAATAATTCAGTTTTTTGTAAAGATAAAAAGATTCTTCCAATCAAGGCATTTAACCATTTAGTATTTAGCTGACCTTCCGAGCTATATAAAGTTTGAATTAGATCCATCATGTTTGAAGTTTCAAAGTGTAAAGTTTTAGCATGAATTCTTGGATCGATCAACTTGTTTGAGTCATCATCAATTTTAGTAGCTCTAATCAAGGCAAAATACCAATCTTCTTTATCACTATTATTATCACAGTAGATGAAAAAGGATCCAGGGGGAGGTTTTAGTTTATTATTTGGATCCAAGACATCCAAGATGTTTAATTTTTTAGGAGAATCATTAAATTCGTCATGGCTCAAATTTGATTCATAATTATCCGATAATCTACGATTTCTCGACCAGTTTTTCTTCATAATTGATATTGAGGTATATTTTGTGAATAATTGAGCATCGGTTAATCCTTTGGGCCAAATAGAGATCATATGATTCGATAAGACAATCACATGTTTAACATCTTTTAATTTTTCATTTTTATATAGAAATAAGTTCCCGTGTTTCAAGATAGCATAATACCGATGTTTCTTTTGGTTAGATGATTTGTTTGTATTGGTCGTTGTATTGGTTGTTGTATTAGGTTGTTCTTTGATTGAACTATTTGAAGAATTATTAATCGGGTCTTCTGAATCCTTTACTAATTTATATAAGCTCGAATATGCTGATTTATTAGAAGTTGAATCACTTATTGATTGAGTGGAAGAAGTGATTTCATCTATTGATTCCAAATATTCCTGTGTCACTGTTATCCAGCCAACTTTATAAGTATCTAATCCCAGTTGATTCAATTCTTCAATTTCTCCAGCTTTCAATTTCTTCCCTATAAATTCTTGCTCTTGCTCTTCTTCTTGTTCTTCCTGGAATATAGGGTGTAGGTACACAAATATTATAACCAACCCTGGTAGGAATGTCAACCCCCCAATCAAATAGGTATATATCAATAGAGTTAACCCCATATTCAACCCTATAGATGAAGTTCTAGTAGCATTGAACAGGGTATACCTTTTTCTGTCCCCTCGAAATACGGGGGGAAGAAGCAAAATCCCACCGGAACTCCTCCTTTTCCGGTGTGGTCACGTGATGCAGCCGGAACAATTTTTAGTTCAACGTTAAAACAAAATCGGTTATAGCCAAACAGCGTAGTAAACGAGCTGCCATGACCAAACCACGTTAGCATTAAAATAATAGTGGAAACTTGTAGCGAGCATACCTGGTTAGAATATCTAGCAATTCAAATTCATCCCTTGCGCAAATGCTTTTCGCTGATAAGGAGACCACCAGGTGGGTTATCATAGTCCCTGTTGTATAGATTAGATATGTTGGAGGTGTTAATCGGAATTTCATTTCAAAGAGAGCAAGTACGGGTCACGTGACGAGCGGTGCTTTCCCAATTAGGAGCGGCCCTTATCTCGTAAAAAAAAAAATTTTTTTTTTTTTTTCATTTGCTTACAAAAGAGGAGGGTATAACGATAGCAATATTTATTAGTATACAAAGACATTAGATCATAGAATTAAAAGAATGCACAGAGAGGGGGATTATAAAAAGAAATCATTAATAAGAAAGTTGCCGGTGCTTACCATTTCACTTGCTTTACCAGAAAGGACTGACCTTTTATTCAAGATTTTGAAGATATCTTGAGGTTCATTTGTAGAATGGTTGGTAGTGGAAAGATTGAGATTATCGTGATGTCTATAGTGGAAAGACATTTTATTGTTGGGCAAGACTGTAGGAGTAGAAGGCGTAGTAGGTTCATCATCATCATAACTGAGATATTCATCAAAAGTATAAGCCGATTGCGGTTTAGGATTGAAATTCACATTTTTGAAAAAAGGAACTTCTTGCTGTTGTGGAGGCTGTTTTGGTTGTTCTTGTGGCTGTTGTTGTTTATTCAATAATGCAAATGATGAATTGTCATTATAAATTTCTATTGGACATCTTTTCAAATTCGAATAGTAATTTCTAATATTTTCATTTAATATTTTGGAGAAATTTAAGGAGATGTTAGAAGATTCTTCTTCTGACTCATATTCTGAATCTTCACTATCACTTTCTTCTCCGTCTTCTTCTTCCTGTTGTTGTTGCTGTTCTTGGTCAATATCTAAAAGAATATCATTGTTAAATGTGGTCAAGCTTAATAGTTTTTCCACTGGATCAATCTTATCATGGTCGTCTTCATCATTCAATCTTCTTTTCTTAAGAGCTGGTGATTCTATTTGGTTTTGGTTAGTCTTGGTTAAATTAGATTCCTTGAACTTATCAGTCAAGGTTCTGGTACGATTAGACTTACGAATGGTTGACATCAAGAATTAAATGAATGATAATAAAAGTAAGATATAAAAATCTTAAAAGTAATCACCAGGATTATATATGACTGAACTGAAAAAGCTTTCCAATGGTGTTGGCAATAGAAAAAGGGGAATTGGAGATTAGCATATCCTTATATATAAAAAATTTCAGTAATAAAATAAAAAAAAAAAAAAAAAAATTTTTTTTTAAAAAAAAAAAAAAAAAAAAAAAAAAAATTTTTTACTGTGAGCCGCAAGTTATGCATATTTGCCATACAAAACAAAAATAAAAGTGACCGGAAAATAAAAAAAAAAGACAATAGGAAAAAAAAATTTTACATTGTTCCCACTAAAAAATTTTCAGTTAGATTTTTTGATTTAAAAACGATATTTCCTTTCTAGAGAAAGACCAAGTTGAATCAGAGGCCACTGTAGGAATTGAAATGGTCATAGTGAGCAGTGGCAGTGGCAACGACTAGCACAGTGGCCAGAATGGGGCCGGACGGACTTGGCCAATTACTGGAGAAAACAGAGGAAAGGGGAATTGGTCTAGGGTGAAAAATTTTCATGTAAACAAACCAAAAATTAACAAATAGAAATTAAAGAAAATGGTATTACTCAAAATAACCAAGTACAAACTTATATCCAAGTACAAAAGATCCAAGTACAAAAGTGCATAAAGGCAAATATAGTAACGGCATTCTTAATTTTACTGGGTTCTTTACTCTACACTCTTATTCCTTGAAGTTCTGTCCTGGTGACTAGAACTGATTTGTAGCGAAAGGAAGATGGAGAAACAAGCAATCTATACCGGGTTGGATTCGGATTATTTCCGGCACTCCACTGTGCTACTCCAACCACCACTCTAAGAGTGATCTCTGGCGTTCTCTAGTTTCATTTGCAATCATGCTTGTCGTATACCCTGTAGAAAGGGTATTCTTACCTGCCAGTGGGAAAGATCCGTACATAAATCCCCGTACATAAAGTTCCGGTTATGACACCCGTACCGCAGAGGCGGTGGAGTTTGGGTCTGGTAAGGACACGCACCTCTCCCCATCTACTTACTGGCTAATACCAGCAGCCAGTTTGATACCCAGTAATTCATATATTGAAGAGTTCAATGGATATCAACTAGTGTATCAAGTTATATTGTTGGAGTGATTAATCGTTACTGGATTTTGGTGTTTAGTAAAGTAAGCTACGCGAAAAAAGAATCAGTGCACCAATTAAACAGGACAACTAACTACTCCATCTCTCTTTGAAGCCAATGCATTTGAAATACTTAGGATACTTAGCTGGGTTACTGGTGGTGGTGGCCTCGCAAGGAGATCACTCGACAGAGTTCACTGAGTGTTTGAGCCAGTGTATTACACTCATGAGTTGTGATCGAACCAATATTTTTGAAGAAATCTCCAAACAACGATTTGCCCAAGAAGAAAAGGATGCAAATGCCGAATTTGCCCAAGAACAATCATATAACTTGAAGAAAAGAGAGATTCCACCTTCGTTCAAGTATACATTTGAAGATTTCAATAATAATTATAGAATTTCGCCGATCTTCCAATTAATTTTCCAATGGGATTGTAAACTGGATTGTAATTATAAATGCCAACAATTTGTTAGTAATAATCGAGAAATTAATGATTTACCAATGGTGCAATTTTATGGGAAATGGCCATTTAAAAGAATCTGGGGATTTACTGAATTTTTCCTGTCAATTTTCTCCATTGGTAACTTATACGTTAATTGGGTTAATTTACCAAAAATTTTACAACAGTATCTGAAAAATAAGAAACATAATTTAGAATTGGCAACCATGTATCAGCAATATTTAATCTTATTGATAATATCAGTAATTGGATGGCTTTTCAGTACGTTATTCCATATAAGAGATAATGCAGTGAGTGAAACTTTAGATTACTTTGGTGCTGCAAGTATTATAATGGCTAATTTTAATGCCATTATAATTAGATACTTTGAACTATTCAAGAAAGATCAACAAGCTACTAGAAATTATTTTCAGTTTGGATTAGTATGCGTTTGGATCTTACATATTACCAAATTAAAATTGAACTGGGATTATAATTATAATACAGTATTTAATTTAGTGTTTGGAGCAAGTTCCATAATCTTATGGATGGTTCATTCCTATAACATTATCAAGTTATATTGTGAAAATGATCATATTTATAATAATTCAATACAATTATTGCCTTTTGAAACCAAAATCTTAACCAAATTGAATTATATTGGGATAATTTCCAAAACAAAATACATTCCATACATTCCAATTTTTTTAAATTTATGGTTGATCTTTGGTATTAGTTTTGAAATCTTAGATTTCGAACCTTGGAAAAGATTAATCGACGGACATGCTATATGGCATCTAATTACTATAATTCCAAGTATTATTTGGTTTGATTGGAATATATGGGATTTAGAAATGTTTACAATAAGTCAAGATTTAAATAAATTTAATTAGTGTATGTAATGAATGAAGTATAAATGAAGTATAAATGAATGAAGTATAAATGAAGTATAAATGAATGAAGATGCAAGAAATGAATGGGTAATGCAAAGAAACCTATTAAAATAACCGAAGAGAAAAGAAAGTCGTGAAGAAAGAATTAAATGAATATGATATTAAACTAATGAAGCATCAACTTCTCGAGTTGATTCAACTTCTTTGGTGGTTCTTCCTTTAAATAATGAACGAACCATCTTACTATTAAGACATAGAACTATCATCATGATAATAACAAATTTTATAATAAAGTCAGTCATATCATCACTATCATTAGTTTCATATGAATAATTTTGATTGAAAAATGGTAATGCATATTTCATATTACCGGTTTCATAAAACTTATGTTCTCTTAATAAATGAGAATCTGATGTTGGTGGTGGTGGTGCCATCGTTAATGCTTGGGTATGTAAAAAATTGTATAGACGTAGTCAAAATGATATTTTTTTAGTGAAGAAATTTTAAATCTTTTATATATCTTTATATAAATTATAAAAAGAAACTTTAAATCAAAATAAATAGATAAATATAGCAAGAGTCAATAATATAAATCCTCCTAATATCTAAACAATAAACTTGTCTTTGCAAAATATTTCAGGGATAATCGATTTTCTTTATTGTTCTCCAATTGACATTCTATGACCAAGTCACCTCCTGGTCGACTAACTTAACCCGTATCCCCAAACTTTATCAATATTTATCATCCTTGTTACTCTTCCAACAAGCGGAAACTCAATTTACCCTTCATCATCATTTAAAGATGATGACACTAAATAGAATTTTGGATGCAAGATTCTTATTATTTGTTTAGTAATTTACCCTATTAAGCGAATATTGGCTACAAATCAAGAAGTTCCGTACCTCTGGTATCAAACCATCACTCTATTCACTAACTCCTTCCTTAGATTTCATCCCTTTCAATTTCATTTCATTTTCTATTAATATTCTTGTAAACTTTAATCTCATTATTGATTTTTAACCTTTGCTGTAACTGATTCTACTAGGGGAACCCCGAAAAGCTCGCTCTGCTGCCGGAAAAACTCTCGTTGTGGTTATACCCAACATAGTGGGCCCCCTCGAGGATGTAGGCTTATATCGCTCCCTGTTATGAGCTCATTGGGATTGTTCTTCGGAGGCCATCGTTGGGATGCTAAACGGTACTAAATGCTGGTTGGGATTAAAAAGAAAGCAAAAAAGAAAGCAAAAAAGAAAGCAAAAAAAAACATGACCGGATCTGGGCGGAAAAAACGTTTGCACGTGACTCGCACGTGATGTTTCTCTCGGAAATCGTCGAGTCCCAAAGAGGCAAGAGGCGTTTTTGACATCATAACCGTTGGGACCGTTTTGCAATATTTAACTGAATATTCAATTAATTTGCACTGCACATTCCAGGGATGCTGAGTTCCAACGTATATGCTCAAGGGAAGCTACGAGGCAAAGCTGGTGTAGCAGGGTGAACGCAAAATAAGTAGGTTTGCGGATACCGGTAACACTATGATGAGGTCGATGACTTGGTATGACGAATAGGGGAGACGACTGAAGCAACGATTGCAACTAATGGAGCCAGAAGTGGAGCAACGACTCGACCAACAAGGTTGTGGTTGAACCTAAAGCCATTTTGTAACTGAGTTAGTATATCTAAACCATCAGAATCTTAATTTTGTGGATCTGTATGGTTATATGTACACAATTTCGAGATACATACAACAATGTAGTAGCGACAATACAAATCCGGAAGCTAAGTTGCTCGTGTGACTGGAATATAGTATATTGACTAGAAATAAAAAGTAGAAAAAGTAGAAAACGTAAAGTAGAAGAAAAAGAAAAGAAACCTAACCTAAATAAATAAATAAACCAAAAGTAAAATGAATTGAAAAGAAAAGAACAGAATAGACTAACCAAAAAAAGAATTATTGTTTACGAAATTTACCAAAAATTGATTTACGACTCTTATTAGTAGTCATACTTGGAGATGAAGACTTTGAACCAAGTTTAAAAGTTTTTTGTGATTGAGGAGGACTTGGTTTTGAAGAAGGATAACCAACTATATCATGATGATTGGTTGACCGATCTTCGGGAGTGGTAGGGGTACTAACCTCAGCTTCATGACTTATACCCAAACCAATATTCGGTTGAGCGTAACTGTATGAAGAAATAGTAGATGCAACACTATTTTTATTCCGTTGTTTAGGACTAGACATAATACTAGAAGGAGTAGTTGATCTTGAGCTTACCGAAGAATTTCTCATAATTTTCAATTTATTAGTATTACTACTAATAATTGAACTTCTTGATTGAATTGGACTACTGGCCCAACTAGAAGGATTGATTTGCATTGGAGAAGTAAAATCAAATGTTGATGATGATGGTGATAAACAACTGTCGTAGTCATCATCTTCATAATCTATAGTTGGTGCTGGTAATACATCATCTTCTTCGTTAGTTTCATTATTAAATTGTTGTAAGTAATATTTTTCATCAACTAATAAATCGAATATAACTAATCTTAAAAAACTTTCCCACAATTTAAATAATTTATTATTTTCATTATGTTGATAAATTCTATCTGGTAAATTTAATGAATTTTTCAAATTATCAATTAATGTTTCAATTAATTTATTCATTAAATCTTTATGAATGTTTAAATCTTGTTGCACTGAATCTTTGCGATCTAAATTAAAACTTAAACTTATTGGACTATTAAGTGTATTATTCATTGTTGATTGAGTTTGATATGTTTTCAAATGTCTATGACTCATTTCAATAATCTTTTCATAATTATGATTATCAAAATAGAAAAATGTAAATTTTTGTAAAAAATCAGCATCTTCATTTTTCAATCTTAAATTATTTGGAATGTTAATTTTAAGCATTTTAATATTATAAAGAAATAAATCAAATAATTCACCGAAAAAATTCATGGTAAACTCAATTCTTGGTAAATAATCAAAATAATTATATGAATGTTTTAATTGTATATAGTTAAATTTAATATCTTGATAAATGTTATTCCAAAAATTGTTTGATTTCATTAATGATCTAATATTTGATTTAGCTCCATTATCTAAATTGGCTTTAAATGTAGAATATTCTTGGAAAATGGCCCTTTCATCATTTATATTCAAGCATTTGGCGAAATGAGCCATTTTAACATCTTCATCTTCTTCCTTCGTATCATCATCGTCATCGCTAGTCTGGATTGATTCATGACTTATCTTATTCTTTGCTCTTCTTAATTTTTCAATCTTTCGAAGATACTTCAAACTAGGTTGATTATTTGAATCAGTGGAATTCATGTTTCTTAATATCAAATCATAATCATGGGTGAAAGTCTTAAAATATGAATACCTTAATAAATTTAAATGTTTTTCAGTTAATAATAATGAATCATCAATACTTGTATCAAGATGACAGTGATTCAATTTTTCGTTCAACCATTGATACTTACTTGCATTTTTAATGGCTTCATATTGAGAATCATACTGACTTAATAATTTTTCGGTTGTAGTCATTAACATTGATCTGTCAACGTAAGCATTGGAATTAACATCATAAACTTTTTTACGATCACTTGAACTTCTTGATCCAGAGGAATGCAGCGAGGAATAAGTACTGTATCGACGAATTGACTCGGAAGTAGTAGATGGATCATATTGACTGTGACCACTCTTCTTAACTCTTCTTCTCTTCTCCAACTGCTTGCGATGAGCATTGTTAGCACTGGAATTGGCCGCTAGTAAAATATAAGCAGACATTATCACTTCAATTCTTGTTTATGTGACCTCAGCCAATTGATCACTGAGATTAATATATATATATATATATATATCTATTATGGACCACTATTCTGAAAATGCAACCACCTTATTTAATTGAGAATTAATTCTAGTTTGCAACAATAAAAAGAAAAAAAAATTGTATTATAGACGAAATATTGCAATTACAACCAAATCGAGGCATCAAGGAAATATGAAATTGTAGGAATATAGATATATATATATGATGATATGATGATATATATAAAAGTACGAGTAAAATGTCAAACCTACATTTAAGTATATTTACTGGATATAGGTGTTTCACAATAACAGAAAAAGAAAAGAATAAGTTGGGAAAGCAAATAAGTCGATTTACATCAAAAAACTACATGAACAAACACGAACTTTAAAAGATAAAAAAAGGTTTAAGAGCTTGTGTGTGGCGATAATACGGAAGGTGCCAATCAATAGAAAGGTTGGAAGAACAAAACTGACATTTTTCATTCTCTTTTTTTTTTTTTTATTATTATTTTTTTTTCAAACAAACAACTACTGAAATACCATTTTTACCTAATTTTGCTGAATTATCAGATCGGAGGCACCTCGGGCAGCCTCTTACAGGGAATCGAATTGGTAATATGTGGAGGAATAAGGCAAATATTATGGAAAAATAAGTTCAGCTGAAATACTCACAATGCTACTAGGAAAAACTAATTTGACATAACAAATACCATTCGAATTACATCCTATGCATTACTATTGTTCAGATTGTTGACCTTGGCAATTCGATTCGTTTAATTTTGGTGTAATAATGTAAATGGCATTGTCTTTATTATTGTGATTGGTTTTCGCCTATAATTATCAGAATAATTAAGTTCAAGTACAATAAGAATACTTACCTACCAGTGTTAGCTAACGTACCCGCATTGAGTATGCCAAACCGACTCTAAAAGTTATTTGAATATAGTTGGTACACGGTAATATACACTCTAAATATCTATTCGCCAATGCTCGTTAATGCCTTTCGTTAATAAACCTTTGATTAAGACACAGTACAATAGAAACTTTCTATTGGCAAAACAAAAACCATACATTTGAGAGGCAATGACTTACAGAAATTCCTACAGGGGGACTGCTCCCTAAATTCATATTAACACCAGAATGAAAATGGTGCAAATGATCGGAGTCTTCATTTCCTCGTTTTTTTTTAGGTTTGGTTTTGGTGGTTCTTCGCTTGATCACTTTACTTAAACGAGTATTATGTTATTTCATCCCTTCACCTTCATGTTAGATCCAATTTCACTACCGTCGAATTCTCTTGCTTCTGTTTTGTTGTATCTTGTGTTTGTTATCTAAGCACAAATTGTAAATGACCGAAAGAAAAATAACCTTGACGTTTAATGGTTTATTTTACCTCTATTGAAGTAACTTTAATCGAGTCCACTTTGATAGTATTTTCTTCTACGCATCTATAAGTAGACCTTTGTTATGATTATTTATTATTAATTGACGTCAATCAACTATTTTATTGGGTTTATTCAGTCCTTCCTCCTTCTTCTTCTTCAACTGCTCCTCCTTCTCATATTGCTACATGAGGTCGTAGTTTCTCGCCTCATGGACTTATCAAAGTCTCACTTTGACACATGCATTGCTTGCCTATATAATATTTTCAGGTGGAGTTAGGGAATCAACCGGACATACTCTCGTGGGAGCACCACCTAGTGTACGCTTAGATTATCGGGCTGGCAACTGCTCTTCATTCAAAGCCTATTTGGATTTGCTGATCAATTCTAGGGGCTCGCCAGGTATTTCCGAAACGTGTTTAGCTCCCAGTGCTTATCTTTGTTTGTCGGTTATCGTACGAAATTGTGCAAGCTTTTTAACCACTTTGCCTGCTATATCAAAATAAGCCTGTCTGAGTAGCAAAAATGAATCTTTGATGTATTTTTTAGGAGACAAACGGCTTCAAAAATAAAAAAAATTAGGAAAAATAAAATTCCGATACCGGGAGTCGAACCCGGGTTTGCTCGGTGAAAGCGAACCGTGCTAGCCGTTACACTATATCGGATAATTTATAACAAAAATATGGCCTGGTTTTTTATACTGCCTAAATTGTAATCACTAGTTTGGGTTCATATTTTTTTAATTTTTTTCAATTTTTTTAATTTTCTTAAAAAAAAAACGGCTTACTCTTCTTAGTTTTCGTTGTCAGATATGTCTGTTGTTGAGGTGGTTGCTGTTTACTATGGCTTGAACAGAAAACGCTAAGATATAGTGGCGATGACGCGTCTAAGGAGACATATGAAGGAGATCTTTACATTTTTTTTTCTTTTTTCAAATACTGTAAAACAAAAGAGTTATGACGTTAAACAAACTTTAATACTTGCAAAGAAAAAACTAGACAATACCTCGTGGTATTAGTGTAAACATCCCTTGTTGTAAACAATGGAGGTTTGTTAAAACAATGATGTTTACTCACACCATCCTCACGTTTCGCTAAGGTATTTGAATAATTCAGCCATACTTTCTTCAAAATGACATACACGAATATAATCAAGGCAAGCTTACCGGCGTTTAAGAGAACAACATGAACAATTTAGACTTTAAATCTTCCATTATACCTTTGACACTAGGTCCTATTATAAACTCTAATTGAATAGATGCTCAAACGCAACTAATCATTATAGTAACTTTATTTTGATAAGCAGGTTGGTCAAATTTGATTATGCAGCATTTTTAAAAAGATCTATGATTGTTTCCTAATTATTAAACTTTTGACTTTTCCAGTTCTTTGCTTAAGGTATGTTCTATCAGGTACGAACTTGGATGGATACCCAACACGCCAATCAATTCTATGTTTTTACATGCCTACGAAGGCCCCATTACTTTCCCTCTTGTAGCTTATTGTAGTTTATCTTTCCTGAAGTTCCTGACTTTCAGCCAAATTTTACATTTTTTTGCAATTTTCCGCTGATACTTGATAAAAATGTCTTCGTATTTGTCATAAACAAATACAAATTTCAAAATCTCTCCAAAAATTGATAAATTATCCTTTTATCGATCTTTGAAATTTTAAGTAAGTGGAACTAAGGCATACTAGGTTATACTTTCCTATTTGTTTTATGTAAAAGCAGTTTGAGTATACAATTAATATGAAGTTTTGATGAAACAGGTAGCGACACAAATCACAATTGAAACCGATAGCGAATATCCAAAGAGAACGATTCATTGGTCCATGATTCCCAAGATCTTTGGGGCCAAACAAGGGACTCATAAAGTAACTTTAATTTGTTGACAGGTCAAATATCGATGCCGTCTCTTTTGAACGGCTCAGTTGAGAAACACCGGCTTTCTCACATCCCAGAACGATAGGAAAGGTAGCATAATAAGTATCTAAGGTGGAATTATTAAAATTTGAGTAGAGATACCTTAAAACTTATTCACAGGAGATGCACAGTCAGTAGGTATTACAAGTCCGAATTTGTCAAGACAAATGGGTTGTTTTAGAGTTGATCTGACTATTTAATAAAAGTCAAGTCTACAACAGAACAGTTAGCCTCACTACAAAACTTCTTGCAGTGCAGTACATGTGATAGAGCCATGGAGTTAATTGGATTATCTTCTTCGTCATGAAGTCCTCTTATTTTATCTGTTGCCATCTGTGATTGGGTGCGAATTTCTTAATGAAACAAGCTACTATTTGGGTAAGTTATGGTCAGGTCAGCCATTCGAAGAAACGATAGATCACTTATATTGCCAGGTTTACAAAATAAATCACTATTATGAATCTATTAAAAATATTAAAAAGACATAGGAAGAAGAGAATAAATATTTTGACAATTAGTATAAAGGTCTATTGAAAAAATTTGCAACCTTTTGATACCATTTCAAAGGAGCTCCATCTTCATTAAATTTGATTTGTTCTTTTTCAGTAGGTTGTTCACCTTCAACACAATTTAATTGTTTACCAAGGTAAAAATCGGTTTGAAAGCATGCAGCAATCAAAGAAATGAAAGTTAATGCTAAGGCGGGAACAAATAAGTAATAACATGTTTTATTATAAGCTCTTAAGGCATCATTTCTTTCTTGAGAACCCCAAGGAAGAGAACGGGCATATTCAGTACTACCCAAGTATTCAGCAATTTCAGTAGAATTCAAGTTGGTGTATTCACCTAAATATTTAGTTAATTTAGAACTCCAAATTGGAGCAGCAATAGCAGAACCGATAGCAGCACCAATGGAAGAGTATAAAGATAATAAAGATATGGTAGTTGCTAAATCTTGATGAGGAACAGCAGCCTGAGCGGCAACTTGAGTTGCAATAACTGAAAAGGCTGATCCAATAGAATCAAGGATGGTAGATGAAATCAAGACACCATTATTAATACCTTGAGTAGTCAACATAACGAATAAACCCATCCCGATGATTTTCACTGAAAGACCAAAAACCTGAAATAATTTATAACGGTGAGTAAGTCTATGGATAATACCAGCAACAACCCCAAAGAAACAAAGACCCATAGTTAAAGTATTTGAAAAATAGGTCCAATTTTTAACTGACCAATTAGTGATAACGTAAGTATAAGAGCTAAAATAAAGAAGACGAATATAACCAGCAAGCATATAAACGAAATCAATAATAACACAACAAATGAAAGTTTTATTAATTAAAACTCTTCTAGGCATTGAAGGGAAAGGAGCCCAGAGGGATTCGTATAAGCAGTAAGCGATGAATAAGATACCACCAACGATAATCATTGCAATCATACTTGGATTTTTCCAACCATTTTCTGCGGTTGGATAAAGGGAGAAAGGTAATAATAATAAACTGAAAGCAAAACCTAAAAGGATTAAACCAAAGGCATCAATTTCAATCAAGGCAGTTTTAATAGTGGTTAAACTGAAAAATTTATCTTTATGTTCAACAAGAGGATTAGCACTCAATTTTTTCAAACCTTGCTTTTCAGCTTTATGATCTAATACAAACATGATTACTATAGCAGGAAGTAAACAAGCAGGAATCAAGATACAGAACATTCCGTAACCCCATCTCCAATTAACTGCAACGAAATGTTGAACAATGTAACCGGAGATCCAGGTAGTAACAAGATAAGGACTAGCCAAGATCCCACTAACGACACCTCTGTATTGTAAAGGAGTTAAATCAGCAATAATGATACTATTCAATAATTCCAAACCTGAATCACCAACAGAAACAAAAGCAGACCCAATAACATAAGCAGTGATAGTAGGAGAACAAGCTATAATTATATAACCTATGACATAAATGGTTAATACTACAACGTAAGTAGTTGGTCTCGAGGTTAAATCAGAAAATTTAGCTAAGAATGGTTTACAAATAGCAGAGATAATTGAGGTTGCAATTTGTAAAGTAGACAACATGGAATGATGGCCAAACGATGAAGTAGCAAATTGGGTATAGTTACTAACGGTTGAAGATTCTAATGCTTTCACCGTTGCAGTAATGAAAATGGAAGCGAAGAAGATATATTTTAAAGTGAATCCCGAAGACATATAATCATGGACAGCCTCAATACGGGAAACCCCTCTTGATTTGGGTAAGCCAAAATCTTCTTCACTGGAAGCACTGTGAACATCATTGGAGTGACTAGATGATTTTTCCAAATCGGTATGGAAATCGGCTTGGTTGGTCCCAGCTTGAATCTCTGCTTCTGCAGATTTTTCAGCAGATTTTTCAGCAGATTTTTCAGCAGATTTTTCAGCAGTAAAAGACATACTTATTTGAAAATTATAATCAAGATGATCAAGATGATCAAGATAATCAAGAATGCATGAAATCCCATCATTTAAATACTTTTTAAATAATAGGAATTAAAAAAAGAAACAGCTACAACATTCGTCGTAAATTAGCACCTTAGTGAGTTCTGAGTCCAATTGGCTAAACTAGTTAGCAATTCCGCCTCTAAATATCTCCTCTATTGCCTTTTCTTTTGTTACAAAACACTAATTTATTGGCACTTCGTACGTCTTTTCGGTTTCAGCTGCATCCATTGTTGTGCTACAACTATTGTACTACTGAGATTGTGCACCTCCCCATGATTTATCGATCTCCCTCCCCGTATGAAAGGGCCAAGTACACTAGCAGTTCCAGCGCATCCCCGTTGTAGGTGCTGGAAGCATCTACTCAACTAAGCATCGGGAACAGTAGTTTAATCTGGAGGCTGATACGAGAAAATTTATCTGATGCCATCTCGCACTTAACTGACGGAACGGCTTAACCTGTTTTGTAGAAGTGCGAGTTACGGCAATTTGGCGTGCCTAATTAGGTATTAATTACTTTGAAAAAGAAGAGAAATGCCAGCCGGCTGTTGGTTGAATGGTTCAACTGTCTAGATACTAGGCTGGTACATGTGAGTAGGTAAGACGTGCCTTCATTTTCGTTTTTTCAGCATGGATTTTGACCAATCATCAACTTAGAAAAACCAGAAAAAGGATATGAGAAGGGCCGAAGCCCTACGGAAATTAGAGAGGAAAAGTGATAATTACTCCGAATTTCTTCTTGTCTCAATTGACGGACCGTGATAGGCTAATAATTAATGAATTACAAAGACTTAAAGTCAAGGTTTCGTAAAAAATACATGAAATTCAGCTGGAAATATCGTAGGACATTGCCTTTCTATATTATATATGCTAATGAAACCTGGCTAAATCAAGGTAATTTTCATTTAACTGATCTAAACGGTTTACTCCTAATAGTCTTAAGCTTAACTTGATTTCATCATTTAAAATTTCAATAGCCTTTTTAACTCCATCTTTACCGTAGATAGATCCACTATATAAGAAGGACCTACCCAAACCAACTCCGTTGGCACCAAGACACAATGCTTTGACCACATCATTACCTCTTCTGATACCCCCATCTACCAATACTTCAATCTTGCGATAATAACCGTTTGCCTTGAGGTATGGTACGACTTCAGCCAAGACTTGAATTGTAGGGCGAGAAGAGTCTAGTTGTCTGCCACCATGATTTGAAATAATAATAGCATCAATACCCAATTCGGCTGCTTTTAAAGCATCTTCTTTAGTTTGGATACCTTTTAAAATAATTTTCAAGCTGGTGCGTTTTCTATATTCTAATAACGTATTCCAATCAAATGATGGATCATGAGGCATTCTTTGAGCCCTAAATCCTTTACCTAGCTCCCGGTCTTCTGATTCTCTTTTTCCTAATTGTGCAGTATCAATAGTGAATGCAATTGAACTTATATTACCTAATCGTTCTGCTTGCTTGATTTTGTCGAATGATCCTTCCTTTCCAGTAGAGCTGATATATATTTGTAACCATTGTGTTTGGTCAGAATGGGCTTCGCTTTCAATTTCTTCTAATGTATATTTGGACATGGTAGGTATCATGTAAATTAAATTTGCTTCTCCAGCTGCTCTGGTGTAGATTTTCTCTGCCAATGGGTTCCCCCATTCACTATTTGCAAATGCCGTAATGTAAATGGGTAATGCAGTGCTTGTTCCTAATAACCTAGTTGATGTATCAACGTTTCTCACATCTTGCAAAACTCGGGGCTTAAAGAATATTTTGGAAAATGAACGTATATTTTCTCTCAAGGTGATTTCATCAAGCGAACCTGTTCTATAGTATGCCCAAACTTCTGGTTTCAAAAACTTACTAGCAATTTCCTCAAAATCGTTAAGATTTATCACTTTTTCAAGTGGAGGCGGAGAACTAGTCAACTTCAATTGTTGTTGAAGCTTGCTAATGATTTCGACAACGACCTCTTTCGGTATCTCGTCTTGGTCAAGCTGATATACTTTTCCATTATGAACTAGAATGGTATGATCCTGGGTCATTGCTGGTTAGGTCAAGTCAGAACTCTCTGGTCATCGTCTCGAAAATATATACGTTTTTTTCTACATCTCACGTCATTTCAGCCACAGTTAGTGAATTCGTCAACTCCTTATCAACTCAACAATTCTCGTAGTATCTTTATATTGAACATCTTCAACTTCGCTTAATACAAAATGGAGTCGACGATTTTAAGTCGAGAAGGTTGCAAATCAATCTTCGCTGCGAAAAATTAATCAAAAACTGCAAAAAAAGAAGAGTCTACAGCACGATGGTTTCCATTATGGTCTCCCACTAACGTACTCAGCATCGCTCTCAGCAGCTTAATAATTATTGATCGGACGGGTAATCATGCTTTATGCTGGATATGGCCGTAGACGTTAATTTCGAATTTGGGGTCTTTATGCAGACGTTTATTCAAAGCTAACAAAAAATTACAATTTTTAAAAAGTTTGCTAAAATCAAACTTGAAAGGACAAAAAGGAGACTAACATAACAAGATAAGTCATTTAGCTTAGGTATTGAGTTTGATTTTACATAAAAAGCAATAGTAATTACATAAAAACTCAAAGAATTAAGGCAAAGAGAAGCTCATTAGGAAATGGAAAAGCATCTTTAGAGTGTGGTCATACTCGGAATGTCGCTTAAGCTTATAGTGTTGTTACAAAGTTGGGGTATTACCACCGGGAGTGGGTTTGAATTTATATTCAACGGTGATTTTAAAGATCAAAATGTTACATTTGTGAATTGAAAAAACTTTTTACTACACTTTCTTTTAAACGCCCTTAGAAATGAGTAGGAAAGCAAGAAGAAGTAGAAAAGAAAAGGATCACAGTGAGTTGGATACCAAAGAGCCCTCAAGCAAGAGACAACCCTTGGACCAATCTGTTCAAATGAAAGAGAATGATTTGCAGCCAAAACCAACCTGTATTCTAGGCGACTTCAAAAAGATATACAAAAATACAGAAATTGAAGACATTATTCTACGGGCATTAAAGGAAATTAGTATGAGTAGCAAACAAGCCTGTATGGATCAGATTGCTAAGTATATATACCAAGGAGAATATGAACCTAGCTTGTCTGATGAAGATTTTTCGAGAAAAATCAACTCGACTCTCAAAGAGGAATTCAAGAAGAACAAGTTGAAACCTGATAGAATCTGGAATATCTTTCTTCAGATGTATATGTACTACTCAAACCTAAAATTTGGAGAGTTGATCTTTGATGGTTACTTAATTATAGAGTTTATGTACCAATACCTTAAAGATAACTGCTCAAGTGCAAGATATTTACATCAAGGTTTAAATATTCTCCATGTTGTTGTTAATAAAATTGACCAGCGAGAATTCACTTTATACAACGGGTTTGAAGAATGTTTAATTTTTGTTAATCTGTATGATCACTTACCAAAAATCCCCCAGTTTGTGTGTGTAAACGGGGCTCGTCAAGCCCTAGCGTCAATAAAGGGGCCTTGCGGTTTATCCGAAACAGATAATAATTCGAGCTATTTCATTTCTTCCATAATGATACTTTACCTAGAATTTGTCAGACGGACAAAGCAAACGAACGGAAAGAAAAGTAGAAAAATGTTCCTTTATTTACTAAGTGATGAAAAGAAGAAAGTATATGGCTCATTAATTAATTCTATCTTTTATAGTGAAAAATGAAAAAATATATTTGTTCGTGAATTACATATCTTAATATATAAAAACCTGAAACTATCTTGTAGAAACTGGATTCAAAATGCTAAAAGCCAAATTTTACACAGAAGTTAATTTAGCTGAATCTTTGTTGGTTGAATCTCGTTTTAAAAATTCAACAAACAGACTAATCTTTTTGCAAACATCCTTTTGATTTAGATTAGCAATATCGTTCCAGAATCGTTTACTATCGAGTGCATCACAAACAACCCATTTTGCAATTGAATTGAATTTTAATTCCCAATCTTCATTTGAATCGAACTCTTTATTATATTTCCCGGACTCTCCTAAAAATCTTTGAGTATAAACTTTTTCTTTAAATTGAAACTTATATTTAGGGGACAAGTTTCTTACTGGGTTGATTTTTGGTTTATGTACATGCAAAAACAAGACCTCGGGTAGTTTATAATCTTGACCATTATTTGAATTTTTCATATCATCCAAAAATGATTGAAACAAATCTCTTGTGTAATCGTTATCTTGAAATGGATAGAGTCTAATGTCCATGTTTTTCCCCTTGAGCCATTTTTCCCAATCTTCATAAAACTTGATTGAAGTCTTTGGATCATGTTGAACCATTGTACTTTCTTCTAATCGAGAGTTTACCTTACCACTTTTCATGTATTTCTCTTCATAACCAGCAAACCAGACATGGTAATTATTAAGATGATAAGGTTCATTCATAACGTGTAAGGCTGGTATAAAAGTTCCACGATCACCACTTCCAAAAGTACCTTGAAATAATAAACGGTAATAATGGGATTTACCATAAATATTATAATATAATGATAAAACAAAACTACGGAAATGTTCTTTTTTAGAAAAAACCAATTGACCAGTTTCTGCCCCAATACCAGGAGGAGTACCTTGTAAATCATGAAAGAAAACTTCATTATCGATATTTTTTTTAACATATTCTCCATAATCCTGATCATTTTTTAAACCTTGTCTTTTAGTGGGGGGACCACTAATTTTAAAACGGGCAATATCATAGTATAAAGGAGAAGTACCTTTATGCCAAATATCTGGCCATAATAAGAATTTGGAGGAAAGAAAAGGTTCAGAAAAAAGTAAGTAATCGGGGTTTCTAATAGGCAAGTTATCAGCGTCAAGGGCAATTATGTTATCAAAACTTGAAACCAATAAACCGACAACTTTGAACTGGAAACTTGATAACTTGAGTTTTCTGTACAATTCATCCCCAAGTTCCTGCTGTATGATCTTGCACCCAGCATTATATTTAGGTAATAGTGTTTTGCAGATGTGATCATCATAATCTTCGCTATCATTAAGGATGATTTCCACCGGTAATTTTGAACCTAATTCACGTAGTTGAATCAAAGTAATGATGGCACCAGTCATGAATACACCCCCACCATTAATCACAATCCCATCTCCACTATAAAACTGGGGTAAAGGTGGATCAAGATTATGCAAGGCTTTAACCAAATTATCATGATTATCTTGTAAATCTTTGAAAACATCATCCTTCAATTCTACTCTTTCCTTAGTTAAAAATTCTTTAGTATAACCTGGATTCAAAACTTCACGAAACATATTTCCACCGATCGAATCACCCTCTTGCATTTTAGGAATCGATTCGGTTTTCGGTTTGAAAGCAAATATCAAATCATTGAATATAAAAGACAAGTAGTTTTGCTTATTAATTTGGCTATCGACCTTACTGGATATTAGAGAATTGAGATTGGACGCCTTTCCATCGCCATCATCATTTGCATCCTTCAATATATCATTGATTAAAGACTGTTTTATCTCCTTACTATGGTCAATTAAGAATTTCGCTTTCAACTCCTGGAATAAAGTATACGATTTTTCCAGTTGACGAAATATTTGCTGGGTGTAATCCTTATCGACTTGGGCTTTTAGTTCCTCGATGTATCTCTCTTTATACTCATCAGAGACTTGCTGTTTAATCTTTTCTGCTATTTTCTTACTTTGTTCAGAATCTTTCAATCGTTCGGACAATTTGGAGATAACCTCTTGTTCACTGAGACTCCCCAACTGTTGGGACTCAACAATCTTGCTCAATTCCTGGTCATTGGAAACCAAATTGTTCTGTAAGACATAATACTCCGATTCCCCAGATGGTGAATAAATATAAGATTTTTCTGAATTTAAAGTATAAAAGTATCCGAAGAAGAGTATATTCCCGAAAATGAGAACGATAATTATACCAAGATGGGATTTTTGCACTAGTCGATGATATAGCGACATCACGGGTATTATGATGGAACAAAATAAGTACTTAAGAAGACCCTAAAGTAAAGAATACCTCTAAATTAAAGAATACCTCTAAATTACTTTGAACCGGCATGAAAAACAAGTTTTAATACCGTTGCAATTCAAAAATTTCTTAACAAAAAGCTAGAAATAAACCCGGTGATGCAAGGCTCAATCTCAATTTTCGTGGCTCATATAGGCTTCTGAATTATGAATTATTTCTTATAATCACTCAGGATACTTCTTTCAATAAGGGATTTAATTATCTATAACTTTTACTACGAAATGAAGAAACGGGCTCAATACTGAGTCTGCTCTTTTAGTGGTTCTGCTTGCACCCAAAAGGAGCTTTTGAGCACTTCCAACAAACCTATCTCTATAAATTCTACTGAAACTAGGACAATTGAATGCTGTAATTAGGCTAGTAGAGCAAATGCTATTGTACAAACGGGATATAAAGAGAAAGGAAAAAAAACTGTACGGATATTTAAAATATCTGCTAATGAATTATTGGTGTTTCTTTGATAATCGTCCGCATTCATTGAGTTTATAGGTTCCGATTAGATAGGCTATTCTGGTGACTACCAAATCTATGGCCATGCCAATGGAGTCTTTTGCCAAGTCGATTTTGGACCCGTCGATTTCTTGCCAGTTGACTGGAACCTCTTGCATTGCAATACCTTGAATCTCACATAGTAATAAGACTTCAACGTCAAAAATCCATCTTTCGGTATGCATATGGGGGAAAACTTTTGATACTGACTCTTGGTTGAACATTTTGAATCCACATTGAGTATCTTGGATTGCTCTTATTCCAAAAATGTAAACCAAGGTATGTAAACCATACATTAAGAAGTTACGAATAAAGGATCTTTTAACAACTGCATCAGTATCCACCATGTGGGATCTTGAGCCAATAGCAACCCCTGGCTTGTTGCCTAGTTGGTTTAACCAATCCATCAATTTCTTAACGTCAGAGAACTTCGTAGCCCCATCAGCATCAGCAAAAAGGGCCAATCTACCTCTTGAATGTAATAACCCATGAGTGACAGCACCGCCTTTACCACGATTTGAGCTCAACTTAATTACTCGAAGGATATGAGGAGCCAATTTCAACTGGGTGGCCTTACGCAAGGCGTAATCATCAGTGCCATCACTTGATCCATCATCAACAATGAGAATTTCATAATTTTCCTTATAGTTCTTATTCAAATACTCCGTGGCTTCATCGAGCATTTTACCCAATCTATTGGTTTCATTATAACATGGAATCACAACACTCAATTCAATACTTCCTCTGCCATGTAAGCTTTGATCTTTCAATCCAACCTGCGAAGTCAATCGAGGTGGTAAATCATAGCTATTCTCAGTGAAATCGTTGGTTATATACGTCAGTTCACTCGGTGTTTCAAGTCTTGGGATATGTGAAAAGTACAATACAACACCATAGACGATTGCCAAACCCAATGCTATCAAACCTGTTAAAATTATATAAATCATTATGTTGTATCTGTCTATGAACGAGTTTTAAAAAATGCAACGAAGAATTGAACAGTAAACTAACAAATTAAACAGAAAAAAAAAAAAAAAAAACAACGGCCAAAGAATAGTTCAAATCACTAACCTCTGAATCATAAGATCTGATGATAATGAAAAGATCTATCTTGAAAAGAAGAGTTACTAACAAACCCTGGTGTTTTTCAGTTGGAAGCTTAGAATTTGAGTGCGTTCGACTAAAAAAACGCTCGTGTTCATTTGGCTGCGGCAGGGGTACGGATGTTTTTGCAATGGTAATTACTATATAACTACAATAACGCCATTACTGGGACAGTCTTTAATTAAGTATAATACATAGGGGGTTAATGACCTGCACTGGCCAATCTGGTGACCCTGTTGTTCAAACATCTGGCGTTGTTTAGGAAGATTTCCACTAATTCTTCGAATCTGATATTATCGGAACCATCTTTAAACTTATCGAAACCTGTGAATAATTCGTGAACATCGATTTCCAATTCAGCTTCGAAAGATTGGTCATGTTCAACTTGGGTTTTACCCAGTTTGGTTTTGATTTCTTTTGGTCTTAAGACTCTTGTCATATCAAATCTTGTCACTGTTGGACGATGACTCCAAGAAGAACGTTTTTTCAATCTAGTTATAGCAGGTTTATTATTTTTTTGAATTGGTTCTATACTATTTTCAGGAACTGGATGTTCGAAAGATAACGAGAGTCTCAAGTCATACATAGATGAAGGATTATGGATATATAAGTCCGAGATTCTTTGTTTATGAATAGCCATATATCTTGGAGGATCTAAATTATTATCTTTTGAGACTCTGATTGATTTTGGAGTTTCACCTCTTTGAGTGATTTGATAAATGTCATCGGTTATATCAGTTTCTAATGTAGAAAATTTTCTTTTTGGGATTTTTGAGTTTGATTTTTTCAATTCTTCTTGGTATTGTTTTTCCAATTCATCTAAAAAACTTTTCATATCATTCCAACCAACTTCATGAACACCGGAATCAAAGTATATTGCTGAGGTATTGGTGTAGATACATTCGGTGGAAACATTAATATCTAGTCTTCTACCAGCGGCTTTATCCATAATTGTACCAAATTTCAATTCTAATTCAACGTATTTACGATTTATATGAGGAATCTCGATGAAATTAGCATAAACCCATTCTGCAATTGTACGCACAACACTTGGAGCAGGTATAGTATTTGTTATTGAACATTCTAAATCAACACTTTCTGTAGTGGAACGATTGAAAACGGATTTATCAGTTAACGATGAGCCTTCAATACCACCATTAGCAAATTGAATTGGTTCATCATGAAACCCATTAGAAGAAGAATTAGGACGCCATTCTTGAGCCCAAACCGGTGGTTTCAGATATCTACGGGGTTTTGATACCGTTGACTTGGAACTCGATTTAATTTTTTCAAGTTTATCAATCTCATTTGGGTCCACCAAGGAGCTAGATCTATGACGGTCCTCTCCCTGTTTCGGCAACTCATTAGATTTGACCGAGCTAGATTGTCGACTTACATTTAATATAGTTTCTTTACCGGTATCAATATCGACATCTTTATCATTGGTAATATCAGCGATGGAATTGCGTTGAGAAGCTTTAGGACCTGCATTATTAAGAACGGGAGATACAATGGGCGATATCATTGGTTTGGAAATTGAACTAGTTGGTGATTGCAGCGATATACTAGAAGGTTTATTTTCAGTAGATGATTGATTCAAATTATCATTTAATAAATTATTAATTGAGTGTCTTTGATGAGTTGATATATTTGGCCTTATCGATGGAGACTGTTGTGATGAAGTATTAGGGCTAACTGAGCTTATTGATGAATTTATACTATTATTATTAAGATTAGTATTTATTGGAGGTAAGGATTCTTTCGTTTGAGGAGGAGTTGGATTTTTACGATTCACCAGTGATTCATTATCACTTGGTGGTGAATCATTATTTAAGATCGACCCAACGTTCATCTTGCAGCAGGGCGGAAGTTACACGGGATATGTACTTGAAGTATTCTGATGACGAGACAAACAACCTTAAAGTATGGAGAAGAAAAAACGGTTAAAAAATTGGAAAAAGAAAGAAAAAAAAAAATAAATAACAAATAATACTCTTTCTAGCCGAGTTATTCCAGATTCCCAATATAGTACAAAACAACAAGCGATGAATAAAGTCAGTTAATGTCGACACGATGTAATTAAGGGTCAGTTTAGTGGTTTTCCAACCGTTTTCAAAAAAACGAAAATTCAAAAAAATCAAAAAAATTCAAAAAAACAAAATTGAACAACGAGCACGACCCCCTACGGAGAACAACACCCGTACACCACCCGAGACTACTAGTATACTACAAACACTAATGATATAATGAATAAATAAAATTACTTATAAGCTATCGGATAATCTTTTGGCGACGGCTTCGATGAAGCCTTCGGTGGTGACGTAGGAAGATCTTTCTGTTTTACCTTGGGCCAAGGCCAAATCTTTAGTCATGGTACCGCTCAACACGGTATCGACGACTGCTTTTTCCAAAGCTTCACCAAACTTGACCACGTCGGGAGTGGAGTCCAATTCACCTCTCTTGATCAAACCTCTGGTCCAAGCAAAGATGGAGGCAATTGAGTTGGTGGAGGTTTCTTTACCCTGAGTCCAATTACGGAAATGCCTGGTGACGGTCCCGTGAGCAGCTTCGGTTAAGGTGATTTTACCACTGGGGGTCATTAAAACCGAAGTCATTAAACCCAAAGAACCAAAGCCTTGGGCGACAATGTCTGATTGGACATCACCGTCGTAGTTTTTCATGGCAATGACAAAGCCACCCTTTGACTTCAACATTTGGGCAACCATATCATCGATTAAACGATGTTCATACCAGATGCCCAATTGGTCCATGGTTGATTTATATTTGGTGTCATACAAGTTTTCGAAAATATCTTTGAAACGACCATCGTATTTCTTCAAGATGGTATTTTTAGTCAGGGAAAACAAATTCAATTTACGTTCAATTGCAAATTTAAAGGAAGATTCTGCAAAATCGGTGATTGATTCATCGGTGTTATACATTGACAATGCCACCCCCGGAGCGTCGTAATGGAACACCGGGTAGCTTTGAGTTTCTGACCCGTCATCGGGTTTGAAAACAAGCTCCAAGTTCCCAGCTTGCGGGATTATAACGTCAGTGGCCTTGTATTGGTCTCCGTAAGCATGTCTACCAATAATGATTGGCTGTTCCCAAGTAGGAACAATCCGGGGAATATTATTAATAACAATTGGTTCTCTGAAAACAGTCCCTCCCAAAATATTACGCAAAGTACCGTTTGGTGATAACCACATTTTCTTCAAGTTGAATTCTTTAACTCTAGCTTCGTCGGGAGTGATTGTAGCACACTTAATCCCAACCCCGTATTTTTCAATGGCCTTAGCAGCATCATTGGTTACTTGGTCGTCGGTTCGGTCTCGGTATTCAATACCCAAATCAAAATATTTGATATCAATATCTAAGTGAGGGAGAATCAATTGCTCTTTAATGAGCTTCCAAATGATTCTAGTCATTTCGTCCCCATCTAAATCCACAACCGGATTCTTAACTTGGATCTTACCTGCCATTTTACAATAAAAAAACTTTCTTATAGTTAAAAAGCTCAATTCTTTTCTACTCCTCAAGCGGATCCTGGCTATTTATATACTTTCGCTCTTTAATCTATTAGGAAACCTACAGAGTGACTACCCCGGAATTTAGTAACCCCATACCAAAACACGTCAAATCCCCAGATTAATACCGCGACCAATTGCACCGGCCACTGGCTTGGGCCACTAGCAGGGGCCTCTAGCAGGGGCCAATAGCATTGCCCAATGGACTGGTCGTTCAGCTCTCCGGCACAACTCCGAATGATTAGTATTTGTTCAACTGTGAATGGTTGGAATTGTGGAGTCTTTCACTACGAGGGGATCGGTATTAATTCAGCACCGGATAATTCCGCTTTGGGCAAAGGTTCCCGCGGAACAAATCTGCTGGGTTTATCCGTCTTTCTCCGAGCGAAATAAACACCCGTACATTCAAGCTACAAGACTACTACCTAACCTATTAAGATCTGTAAGTAGTATGACTGTTCGATCTCCATAAGGAGATGCGAAGGTCTTAATAAAACAAATAATACTACTGCTACGACTAGTGCATTACCGAATAGATTCACTTAACTAGTTGATTCACGGTTCGTTATTGTGCCAGGCAGTAAGCTCTGTAACTCCGTATGCTCTGACAACGGAAGGTTGCGAGTTGCCTGACAGGGTATGGATTTAGATAGCCAGACGTCGATAGTAGCAGTGGATTGCAGCCCTAATGGGAAACTGGATGTACGGAGGTTTCCCTTTGGGTCGTGCACCAACGACCCGAGCATGGGTTACCCGGAGCTCTGCTGGGAAAAGTTTTCCAGTATAAATTCGAGTACTAAGTAGTAAGTAGAAGTAATAAGTAGAAGTAATAAGTAAAAGAATAAGCAAAAGAATAAGCAAAAGAATAAGAATTGATATTAACAGCCAGTTTTCAATGTATGTATACTATACTGAAGAAACCGGTAGATTCGTTATGATGATAACTTAACTCAGCTCACTCAGAGTCTCTGACGATGCTGATAACACCCTTTTTCCAACATTCATCAAACTATCTGATACTGAATCTACTCGAATCGATTATTATTGTATGTCGTGTATTTACTAACATTATTCAACCAGGACTGGACTTTTAGGTCTCAACTCTTCTATTTCGTTTGTTTGACTAACCAAATATTGGGTAACTGATTTTTGTTTAGTAGCAAGATTGATTTTTTTGTATACAAGATTTGACTTTGAATATAATTCCTGTTCAAAACTTTGTGGATCAAAATTATCTAATAAAACATCCGGACTCATGATCACCCAGCCAGGCCGTAATTTGATTGGTAAGTTATAACCGGTTTTGGTTGGAATGATATGTAATCTTCGATTCAGATTTGAAAAATTCTCGGTGACTTTGTAAATGGCATCGGGGACCGCATTGTTATTTGATTTGATTTCCTGAGGTGATTCAATCTGCAAATCAGTATCGATATTGCAATGAATCAAATGACTATCTGTAGCGCGTCTTACGGTTCCAGTAATACACATCCAGCAATGCCATTGTTTCTTGGTGAAGATCGATTGATCCACGGTTTGATCGACTCCTGGGAAAAACGGACTCTGTTCATCAATTGGGATGAATACCAACTCTTCCAGTCGGCGAAATTTCTTATTCCAATTATCACTGTTGAGTAATGTGGTCAATTCTTTGATTTTATCAGTAGTACCCCAAATGAAAAGAAACCCCGGCTTATTTATCAACTTATAAAGTGGTAGTTGCATTAATACCGGTAAAATAAACTGATTTTCAACCAACGCTCCAATCATGATAACATCAAATTGTAGATTATATTGAGTAATCCATTTATTCAAGGTTGATATGATTTGCCCACTTTCAACTTTACACCCAAATGGTTTAATTCGGTGTTTTCTGACTTGTTCTTCTTTTAACATTTTCAATCTTTGTAACTTGGGATACCCTTCGCTAGCATTACTAACATTCCGGATGTACTTCAACGGTGACTGCCCCAGATGAATATACCGATTCCCATAATCATTCTCAACCATTTCTCCGCCAATCCCATCACTGGTCTCTTGCTTGACCGTTGCTTCAACTTTACTCGCCGTTTGCTTGTCTGGAATAACACTTTTATTCTTGCCAAATCTATTATAATGATACTTATCGCTAGCTACTTCCGCTTTGCCAACCTTATTACGATTCATTCTCGGTTGCACAGATACTCTCTCTCCGTTGACCTTCCAATTCCCTCGACGGTCCTCTTCTTTTATAATGAAACCCCAGTGTGTAGCCTCCTGGTTTTGCAGTTGTTTCAGATTTTGCTCCTTCATCCACCTGGTGCACGGGTCTCTGTCTTTTGCAATTAGAATGGTTGCATCTGAAACAAGGCCAATACAACCAAGGTCGACCGTCCTTCGTTGGCAGAGCTTCCGAGGAGACCGATCAGGTCTTGCGTTCCAGAACTACCAATGGCAGTGGGCTGCTGAAACCTCAGTTTGTTCGATCGAGTCTTCTCCACCATTGCCAACACTATTGCCAGCCATTGGTGGGGAGGTATCCTTCCTCATGAACCACTGGTGGGAAAGTCTCCATAAGGGATGTATCCCTACTGATGGGAAAGTCTCCATAAGGGAAGTATCCCTACTGATGGGAAAGTACTCCACCAACTCCTTTTTGCTTAAATGTTGCCAGTTTACTCGGTCCGGACGCAAACCTCCAGCAATGTTTTCGTTTTTGGTCTCATTGGTGGTTTCATTGGAATGTCGTACCTCCAATGATACAACCTGGAGTCGACTTGAAATAACGGCTTCCTATCTCGAAGCCGCATCAGTATGAGGGTATCAACTTTTCCGATCGTAAATAACTGTCAACTACTTTAAACGCATACTTGACATTGATGTATTTTTTCAAAACAATCTCCTTCTCTAAGGCTTATCGGTTGACTCTGGTCAAGCTCTGTTGATGGGAACTCCAGAAATGGCCTATGGGAGAATTTGCAAGATTTTTCCATCTTATCAGCTTCCTTAAACGAAGAATGCAAAAAAAAAAAAATAGTGATCGCACCTTATAGACCATGAAGGGTTTTTCTATTAATAATAACCTGGTTAAACTAGCCGATTTTGCTTAAAGTCGATCCTTTCTAAGTTATATTTTTAGAAAAGGTACCTCTGACTCCGAAAAGTTTAAGGTTAAGCACGGTTTTTTCGAGGTTGCAACATGCATTTAAGCCAACGCAGTGACCCACTTAGGGAAGCCAACTGTAAGCTATCATTGGCTATCTTTAGACTTGCAAAGGTAAGTGCTACTGATATAAACTGTTTTACGAGAATTTCAACAATGCTCAAACAGCTCCAAATTCTATGGAACAAGTCCATACAATGATGGGAATGTTCGTAATTGTCTTCGGAAAAACATTTGATAATGGCTTATAGCAATTCTTGAGCTATCAATATGCTCTTAGGCTGGTTGATAGTGAGTTGACGTTTATTTTATCAAACGGTTTTGGTGAAGGTTCGGTACTCCAGGGTGTAGCCTATGAATGGAACGGGTTGGTTCTTCTAATCTCTGATATGGTTTGGCAACCATTTCAACGTTCAATGGACTGGCAACCGTTTCAACTTTCAATGGACTGGCTGGGAGTCGGATACTGATATTGACGTCGGAAGCTCAATGCCGGAAGTCTGTTATTTTTTGTTCATTTTAGAAAATATTGCTCTACGGTTGTTTTTTGGGCTTCTTTTGCAATCATATAGTTGATTTCTGACATCATCATATAAAACCGTTCGGGAATAAATGGAATAGTGAAAAGTATTTAAAGGAATAGAAATCAGCTTAGCTTTGGAACTCAAACCTATTAAACTCATCAATCATTGATAACAATGTTTTTGTTAAGACTCTCTTCCCAGGCTTTATTCCTTTTAGTTGCTGCTTTTCTTCTTGCTGGTTCAAGAGTCAATGGTATGGCAATTCCTGAAGGTGGTCTTGATGTTGAAAAAAGATCAAAGGGTCCTTTAAAAGTTGATTTCACTGTCCCAAGAGATGAATTCATTTTGACTAATACCACTACTGGTTTACATTTTGTCAATCTTAAAGATGAAAAAAGGTCAGTATCAGTTGGTAAAAGAGCTGAATATCTTAAAAATAAAAGGGCTTTTCTGAGACCTTTACACAACGAAGGTACTTATTATTCTATTGATATTTATCTTGGTTCTGATGAACAACATCTTCAAGTTGATATTGATACTGGATCTTCTGATTTATGGGTTCCTTCGAATAATGTCGACTGTAGTGGTTGTACTGATAGTGGGACATTTGACCCTTCCGATTCTTCGACTTTCACAAATTTGAATGAAAACTATGAGATTGCCTATGAAGATCAATCAACCTCTCAAGGTTACTGGGGTACTGATAATTTTGGTTTTACTTCAGGCTCTCCTACTATAAGTGATTTACAATTTGCTGTTGTTACTCAAACTTCGGTTGAACAGGGTGGTATTCTTGGTATCGCTATTGAACAACAAGAATCAACTTCTCTGGAATATCCTAACGTTCCCGTTGCGTTGGCAAATCAAGGTGTTATTGACAAACCTTCTTACTCTGTTTACTTGAATAATGAAGATGCCACCACCGGTACTCTTTTATTCGGTGGTATCGATGAAGCTAAATTCAGTGGTGATTTAGTCAAATTACCTTATTCCCCAGTAGTTGATCAATCAGCTGGATTCTTCGTCGAAATAGATTCTGTTAAATACCCTGATGGATCTTCTACCAGTGTTAATGGCTACACTATCTTTGATACCGGTACCACTCTTACTTATTTCACTCAAGAAATTTTTCAAGAAATTGGTGAAAAATTCGGTGGTCAATTATACGTTACTCCAAAGGAACAGTATTACGTTGTTGATTGTAGCCTTGCCGATGAAGATGATGTTCTTACTTATGAATTCCCCGGCGTTAGTATTGAGGTTCCTTATTCCGATTTGGTTATGCAACTTTATTATAGCAATGGCCAACCAAGTGGTCAATGTGCTTTGCTGATTCTTCCTGAAAATCTCAACATCTTAGGTGATAACTTTTTGAGACATGCTTATCTTTACTACGATATCGCAGATCAGTATATTGGAGTCAAACAAGTGAAATACACCAGTGATTCTCATATTGTCTCTGCTTGATTCACACAGCTAAGTATATACTTTTTGTTTTTTGTTTCCATGCTTTTTGTTTCCATGCTTTTTGTTTCTTGTTTCCGTTTTTCTATTTGCTTTCAGTCTTTCAACTGCAGTTTGAAGGTTAAAAGTTGTTCTTTGATTTCTGTTAAAAATGTCTCTTTTCAATAAAGGGTTTTTTTTTTTTAGTTTCATTCTCAAAATGTTGCAGCCAATGTAACATTTGTAACAACTCGATTAATACGGTTTATATACCAAGAGAACAATCTTATAATATGACAAAAGGTACAAATCATATAACTGGTCACGGAATTGAGCTACATTCGAGCTAGAATAACTTGTAGTATCTGTAGTTTTTTAGTGACAAAATTCATCTATATAAAAGAAGAAAAAGATAATGGTGAAAAAAAAAAAAACGATGAAGTGGTAGGAATTTTATTTAGCGTAAATATGATAAAAGGAATAGTTATATAAGGTATTTTGTACTTTTGATGACTCTTTAAACCTTTAAATCGAGATGAATTGAAACACAAAATTATCATGAGTAAGACCCAAAGCCTACCCATAGAACAGCTCGACTGCAAGATTAACAGGGAATACGGTCTAGGGATAGGTCAAGAGTCACAATATAATAAATATTTTGAATTCTTTTTTTAATTATTTTTTTCTAATTTTTTTTTGTTTTACTTATTTTTGGAGTTCTACGTAGAGCCGTATATCCTCATTAGGCTTTAGTGGTTCTTAAACCGTGGTTGGATCTAAAGATGGAGTCACCTTCAGAGTAACCTCTACCTAAACCGAACCCAATACCGAGCCAGACGGGGAAAGCCCTTCTCTTGAAAACCAACACCGATAATAAGACACCACCACCGAAACCTAATCCGGTCTTGATCAAAGCATTTGATAAAACAACATCCCACTAGAAACCTGTTAGTAACATTCTCCCAATCGTTCGCTTATAAGAGTTTCAACGTACCTTGTCGTTCAATAAGTTTTGAGATGGAGCGGTTGGAACGATCTTTTGTTCAGTAGACATGATGACTAGACAGCTAAAGTTAGTATATTCAATTCGTCAACCGTTTCTCTTCTCAATTGGCCGACCCCAGCACAAGAGTATCAACTCGACGATTTGGTCTTCCCACAACTCTCCGAGGAATGCAAGACAACCAGTGGCATAACGCCATTCGCCACAAGATAGCTCTTTTGCAGAACAAGCCAACACCCACCGTAACGTACCTTATGGATATATAGTTTGCCAAAGGGTTAGAGACTAGCAAAGTTAGTTGTTTCCAGTTTTCAATCAAGAGAGTTTTCCGGTGATTTTTTTTCTCATAATTTTAGGTGTGTCTGTCTCATAAATTTTATGAGCAAGATGGTTGGTTGAGATATCACGACAACCAGAGCAGCTTGAAAGAACAGCTTTAATGAATAGGTTTTTAATGAAAAAGCCGGGTGCCGTGTAGATAACGGAAGGGCTGGTCGAGGGCCTTCAATTGTAGTGGTTGTGCTGGCAAAGCAGCGGATTTAATTGGCTTACAACTTATACTTTTAGAAAGCTTTAAACATATTGATTTAGGAATTGTATGATCCGTATCTGACATGGCTATGTTTGGAATGACAGCCATGGCTTTTAAAGACCAAAGTGTCGATCTTGGCTTTAGCATCAAACGAATAAACGCTTGGGAACCAGGGAAGTTGCTACTATGGGTTCTGGTCATCCGCAAGACGGTATGTCCAGTAGCACTTCAATGATCGAAAAGCCCAGGGAAAGCCTACATTCACACGGGGAACAAAAGGTAATATGCAATTTTTGTAAATTGTAACTAATCATTAATCATCTCTCCATTCAACAAAGACTTCATCGGTTCTGAACCGTTGGGTGCAAACGGTGTTCCATAATTCATTTGTTTGGCCCATTCTATAACTTAATAAACCAGCATGGGCAATCATTATCCCATTATCTATACAGAATCTTTCATCGGTTGCAAAAATGGAACCATTTTGACGATCTTTAACCATTAGTTCCATCATTTCTTGTAGTCTTTCATTAGAACCTACTCCTCCTACTATAAGAACTTGGTTACTTTGTACATGGGCCATTGCCCTCTCGGTGATTTCAACCAACATGGAAAATAAGGTTTCTTGTAATGAGAAACAAAGATCTTCTGGAGTTATCAATTCTCCTGTTTCATCATCGATGAGTTTTTTGTTTTTATTATTACTGAATAAGTCTTTTGCCAATAAGTCGATATGGGCCAAGATCCCCGACATCGACAAGTCCATACCTTTAACAGTGTATGGTAGTGGGACCAAATGCTTCCCCCTTTTAGCCATTTGTTCAATATTATAACCTGGAGCAGGTTCATTTGGAATTCTTAATGTTCTTGCAAATCGATCCAAGCAATTCCCAATGGCAATATCCAACGTTTCTCCAAATATTCTATATCGTTGTCTTGAGTATGCAATCACCTGAGTATTTCCTCCACTAACGTATAAAACCACGGGGTTTTGGGCGTTAGTGATTTCTCTACCCATTTCAATATGTCCAACACAATGATTCACTCCCACCAATGGCAAGTCCCATAATTGGGCAACCGTTCTTGCTGCAATAACAACACTTTGTAATGGGGCCCCCATTCCTGGACCCTGGGTAAAACAAATACAGTCCAAATCTTTACGATCAATGTTTGCTTCCTTCAACGACCGTTTGATTATCCTCACCACCCAGTTTCTATGATGACGGGCAGTGTCTCGGGGTAAAAAACCCTCTCCTGGTGGAGTCACATAAGTATCTCTAACGTTTGATAAGATTTCTGCTCGATTGGTTTCACTTAATTGTCCTAGATGGTGTTTAATGACCCCGACTCCCAACTTATTGGCCGATCCCTCGAGCCCAAGCGCCAAGTAGTACGGTTTCCCGGCCTTTGCATGTTTATCCAAGTTCACTGGCATGGTCAATACCCTGATGAAGCTGATCCGATGGCATGGGTAAGAACTAACTTTTTTTTTTTCATTGTCGAAGAGTAGGTGTACGGGTTGTTGATAACGGAATCAAAATCAAAACATAAAATCAAAACATCTACAACTACAACTACAACATCTACAGCTACAACACACGCCCAACACACGATGAGAAGCTCACGAGCACCTTTGGAGGAGTACATGAACCTCATTGACGACTCGTGTCGACAGATACAGGCACACGAGTTCCAATCACCCGGAATATTTACCAATGCAATAATCTCGCAGCCTTCAATTACTAAATTGTTAAAAGATGCAACCGAACCAGAGCAGTCACTATATAAGATCAGCAAGGCATCCTCGGGAGGATTTACCAGCACGACTGCGGTGTCGAGCTTGAAGCGAATCTACCGGAATAATAAGCACGAGGGAGGAGATGAGCTTGACGGACACCTCGACACGGTTGAGTTGAAACCCGAACGAGTTGATGGGAAATCGATCTACGTTGATAATAGCTTCAATGAGTACAGCAACCACGGAGACGGCCAGATCCGCCGAGCGGTGAAGATTCCCGAGATCATCAAGGAAAGCTTTGAATATGCTAATCGAACCGATGAGGTTTCATCACCAACGAAAAGACCACAACAAAGTACGACCCAGCATAATCTTATACCGGAATCGGTTGTGCAGTCGGAGAATCCCAATTTGATATGCAATGCTCTTATGCAATTGATTATGAAGTACCCTACGTTGGTGAACCATCAAGGGTTATATAATGATATTAATGGATACCAGGAACAATATAATACCTTATTGCAAGAGATTGAAGAATTAGAAACCATTGTTTCCGAACAGAGAAGCCAATTAAACCAGTATAACGTTAGCATGAACGAATTTTCGCCGGTCCGATCGCAAGAGGAAGAAAGTGCAATTGATATAGATGAATTAATGAAACGAGAAAAAGATGAAATTGAACAACTAGAAAAAGAACTAAATGAAAAACAATCAACCGTATAACTACAATAAATATTTTGATGATTCAAGTCTATTACTATACAAAGATTATATAAAATTAACTTAGTTAATAGAAGACAAGATATCAGAGTCACCAGCATCCAAGATAGCTAAAGTACCAACTCTGAATAATTTACCACAAACGGTACCTAATTCATTGTTACCACCTTGGAAGTAGTAAACTTGGGTTTTTGATAACATAGCGTAATATTCCAATTCAGATTTTCTTAAAACTGGAGTGTTACCGGCAATGATAATCAATTTAGCCTTACCGGTTCTTAAAGATTTAACGGCAGACTTGTAACCTAAGGTATATTTACCAGATTTGATAACCAAACCTAATTTGGCGTTAATGTTTTCTTGATTCTTTGATTTTGGGGCCTGCATTTACTGTTAGTATAACTTATTCATCTTGAATGAAAAAGAAAAAAGGTCTACGAGATAGTCGTATCATCATACCTCTGGTTGAACCAGAGATATAACGTGGCCCTATACTGCTTCCATTGCGAAAGCAAGTACTGCCCGAGGCAAGCCATTCACTTTTCTTCTTCTTGAAAATATTAGAAGATACGGACCATCTCTGCGTTTGTTGATGTATTAATACACTCCGGTCTTAACGATAAAGAAGTAACTGGAAACTCTTCAAACAAAGCGATGGCCAATTAATTAAATACTCGAGTGAAAAACTCTGCGAAGAGAAAGAAAAGTCGTGTGTGCACAAATTGTGGGACTTTTCGCAAGAAAAAAAAACAAAAAAGACAGTCACGGCGTGTCACGTGCGAAACGATTACATAATCGGTCAATTTTCATTTGCTTTTTTTCGCGGTGTTTATCTGCAGGAACCCCATCGTGAAAAAACCCTTTCACCACTGGAAAATTGGCCTCTACGGACATAATCTGGGAAAAGTTTTCTCTGGTTGAATTTTTTTTCCAAGATTAGCTTAAAATTTTTACCTTTTGTTAATACTGATAGTTTCCTTTTAGGTTCTTTTGTTCAATAGCCATAATAAGGTATGTACCCAGGATCCAAGAAGTCAACCAGACAAAGAGACGACGTTGACGATGCCAAAGCCCTTGATATACGTGGAGCTGATGTTGTTGATGTTGATGTTGATGTTGATGTTGTTGGCAAGTTTTATAACGATATACTAACAGAGTTTAGAAATAAAAATGAAGGTTGAAATTGATTCCTTTTCAGGTTCTAAAATCTACCCAGGTAGAGGTACTTTATTCGTCAGAGGTGACTCTAAAATTTTCAGATTCCAATCCTCTAAATCTGCTTCTTTATTCCAACAAAGAAAGAACCCAAGAAGAATTGCTTGGACTGTTTTATACAGAAGACAACACAAGAAAGGTATCTCTGAAGAAACCACCAAGAGAAGAACCAGAAAAACTGTTAAAAACCAAAGAGCCATTGTTGGTGCTTCTTTAGAATTAATTAAAGAAAGAAGAAACCAAAAACCAGCTGAAAGAAAAGCTGCTAGAGAAGAAAGATTAGCTAAAGACAAAGAAGCTAAAAAAGTTGCTAAAGCTGCTAGAAAAGCTGAAAAAGCTAAGTCTGCTGCTTCTGGTGCTCAATCTAAAGTTTCTAAACAACAATCAAAAGGTGCTTTCCAAAAAGTTCACGCTACCTCCCGTTAAGTCGGCTTATCTATAGCTCTTAAATAATACTGTTATTAATAACGTTTATTAAACAAAAAAAAAATATCAAAAAGAAGATGTTGCTGTAGTTATAATTTATATTCTCCTCTAACTAGACTTCCTTTTTGCAAACGACTCATGATTACTTCAATCTCAGCCTGATTATCCACCATTCGTTTGATTCCAAATTGGAAAGTTTCCGTCGTATGACAGTAAACTAATCGATTGTTTTGGCAATCATTCATATCTTCAATAACAATAATAACCCCAACGTATATATTACCTTGTTCTGTTTTACATGATTCCATTATACCTTGTAATGCTTCAGACCAGTCAATGTCTCCTTCTAGTTGCATCATTCTTTCAATTACTAAACTCGATAACCCATATCGTATGATTTGCTCTCCGTTCCCACTACACATACAGCTAAAAGTATACTTGCCATTTGATTTGAAATCAATCGCACATCGGGGGGTCCCTGCACACCCTATTCTGCCTGGAAGCTTGAAAAAATTACCTCCTGATGATGTCAAAACTAGTTTCCGGGTATCGTTGATATCAATTATCCCGATAGTATCTTGAATCTCTTCAATCACTTCTTCTGGCCTATTCATATAATAATCATAGATATATCGAGCTCTCGGCAGTATCAAGTCATCAGGGTTAACCTCTTGCTTGGCCTTGTTCAATAACTCGAGGATCTTGTCATTCAGCTTGTAATCAAGCGAAATTGGTCTACTAAGTCCTAACTTATCAAATTTCAGTCCTTCACAGTAAAGTAAATCAAGATTCTCCATTAACTTCCATGTTTCTCGTATAGGGAATACATGTCGTATACTATGAACCGATAACTCGTCTCTCTGGCCTTGGTCTACCCTTATTATTCCAGCGTCACAAAATACTTCTCCGTTAATATCTAATGACGATCCATATCCAGTATTGGTTAATTCACTTTTCTCTAAATGTTCACTAACCCGCAAGATATCCTCAATTGATTCATTCGGTTGACTAAGCACTCGTTTGAAGAGTCGTTTATACTGGCCTTCGTTCTTTCTCGAATTGTTCCCTGCCCCAGTGTGAATCACCGCTACCTTCATACCGTTGCCAAATAGATAGTTTTTCAGTTTCTCAGTTTTTTTTTTTTGCAATGAGCTTCTAAAACAATGTAAAAATACTTGAAAATGTCAGGTCCTTCCTCTTTACATTCAATCAATCGAATAGATTTAAAAAAAAAAACCAGTACCAGGTTACTGATGGGGAGCTTCCGGTGATATAGTTTTTGGCTTTGCAAAAAATTAAAAAAAATGGTCCCTAGCAGGATCGAACTGCTGATCTTGGCGTTATTAGCACCACGCCTTAACCAACTGGGCCAAGGGACCTTTTAATGAACGCTTTGTATACCTGGATTACTAGCTCAGCACATAAACATTTAGCTAAAAAAGTCCAAATTAAAAAAAATTGTATGTCAAAAAAAATTGTTATTTTTCGCTTTACACGTTTATATAACTCTATTCACTTCATTTGTATTTATATTTTTAGTATTTATTTCATTATATAAACGTATATGAGGAAAAAAATTCACTAAAAAATGTAATCAAATATAAGGGCTTGTGACGCTTGTGCTATTAGAAAAACTAGATGTGAAAAACAAAGACCATGCTCCCATTGTATAAATAACGATTCAGAATGTACCCAAATAAGAGACGTAAAAAATCTGATCTAAAAATTTAAGAAAGAAAGCTTTAGATTCAATCGAAAATAAAATTATTGAAAGACCTAGTTTGCTGAAAAATCATTCAAATGAACATTTGAGTAATGAAGAGTTGGCCAGACCAACTTTGTCAACGCCTTCTTCAAATAGCTCCAGATCACATTCTTTTGAAGAGATACAAGCTGCAACAACAACTGCAACAACAACCGCAACAAATTAATTAATCCCGAATGACTAATAAATATGGATGAATGTCGCTCTTTATCGGTATATGGGTAGATCAGGCCTCTAACGTCCACATATGTCCAGTTTCCAAGAGGGACAACCATAATACGCGCAATAAACAGGCAGATGTGCTAATAACGACTAGATAAAAGCCAAATATTGAATATATTATAGCAGAAGAACAAATATTTGAGTTATACTGCAAACCATAAAACTTGAAAGTACACCTGACTTGATGGTTTGACCATAATCCCACTTTCATTTTATCTTTCAGTCTTTTATTGCTCTCTTAACCTCCTTTCGTCTTTTTGTCTCTCTGTAATAGAGATACATAGGAGAAAAGGATTCAGAAGTTCATGCGGTTATCGGCTGCAAAAAATTGTATCTTATTATATTTCGTGATTAAAAAAAGCCAAACTGTATTATAAGATTAAAACGGCTCAAAGAAGAGATCATCAACTGTCCTGAGAAAAACCAGTCTCCCTTGTTAATATTTAGAGGATCTATAAATAATAAGATTAATATGGATACAATTGTGGGAATAACTATTGTAAAGATCAAAAGCAGAGAAAAGATACGCTTTGACTTACGAAAAGTACAGTAAGCAAATTTCGGGCCGTTACATCATGTTTTCCTTTCATCATGCTCTATATAATTTTCAATGTATGTGCAACTATGATTGTTGAAAACCCCCAAAATCAATTTTTTGCAATAATTTAACAAAAATCTACGTAAACTTAATCATAAAAAATATATTCAATCTATTTGAAACACATGCTTTAGAGATAATAAATCTATGTAAATCTAAGAATAAGAGTGTATTGAGCCAACAAGGCTTTCGTAATTTGCTCGTTCGTTCTCAAGTTGAATAAGACGAGACAATTCAAACTCCAAGCTTCGAAGCCGGAAATTAAACTCATTTTGTAGCCGTTGGATCTCTTGGTACTCCCGAAGGGCAATATTATGGGTGGCAATAGAATGTTGGCGTATAACCAACACGCATTGAGCTATGAAGCCTGCAATACCAACAAGTTCTAGCATCATTGTTTGGCCATCGTAAAAAATATCGAATTTTCACCTGACTTGCCTTCCTTATATACCTGTAAATATGTCTCACCCTGCCAGGGTCCACCCAACGGTCAGATACCAGCACCCACCAACCTGGATAGTGGTGACCCTGGCATAGCAGTGGCAATTCACCAACCGTATATAACAGGAGTGACAACATCATGTCAGTGCAGCAATCTTACACGCAAGTGCAACAGCCTCACACGCGAGCACAACTACCTGACGTAGCAGTGAATGAGTACGTTGTCATCACCTCGATACGAAATGATGGTTTCGAAGTGCTGCAAATTTGCAACAACTTCAACGGTTATCTGATCGCCTGCGGGTTGTCTGCAGGAACCACACGTGCCGTAATAAAAAAAATCTAATGAGCAAAGGCTGAAGCCATTGATAAAGCAAGAGATCTCTGGAAGAAGAAGAGAGATTGGTAGAACAAGATGGGCCGAGTTTATAGATGGTTCAACTACCTTGGGTACGGGATCTATAATGATTTGCGTAGTCGACTACCGTATTATAAGTCTGATTTCACCGATGCTTTCAATTATCGAGTTATCCCATCTACAACTTATATATTTTTCACTAATTTACTTCCAGCAATTGCCTTTGCTCAGGATATGTTTGATCAGACTAATAATCTGTATGGGGTGAATGAAGTGTTGATGAGTTCTGCCATGGCCGGAGTGGTGTTTGGGCTATTTCTGGGTCAGCCATTGTGTATAGTTGGGGTTACTGGACCAATATCGATTTTCAGTTACACGGTTTATGAATTGATAAGCCCCAGAGGCACTCCATACTTCCCGTTTATGTGCTGGATATACTTATGGTCGATGGTGATGCACTTCATCATTGGGTTATTGAATATGGTGTCGTATTTGAAAGTCATCAGTAGGTTTTCATGTGATGTCTTTGGATTTTTCATTAACGTTGTTTATATTCAAAAGGGAATTCAAATCCTTAATAACCAATTCCGGGAAGTGGGATTGGCAAGTGGATACTGCTCAGTCATGATAAGTCTCTGTATGATCATTTGTGGCGTGGGGAGCCACATACTAGGTACCAGATTACATTATTTCAAGAGTTGGACCAGGAAAATCTTTAGTGATTATGGAACTCCATTATCAGTAATTTTTTTCACCGGATTTATTCATTTTGGTGGTAGTTTAGCTAAAACTGAGTTGAAAAGATTACCGGTGACAAAAGCATTCGAACCAACTACAAGTAGTTCCGATATAAGGCCCCATGGTTGGTTCATTCATTTTTGGCCATCAGAAAATATTAGTGTTGCTGATATGTTCTTAGCGCTACCTTTTGCTATATTACTTACATTACTTTTCTATTTTGATCATAATGTTTCTTCTTTCATGTGCCAACTGAAGGAGTTCCCTTTGAAGAAACCAAGTTCTTTCCATTGGGATTTTATGTTGTTAGGCTTAACCACTGGTATTGCTGGCATTTTAGGTATACCGGCTCCCAATGGGTTAATTCCTCAAGCTCCTCTACATACTGAATCCTTGGTGGTCCATGATCCCAGAACTGGTAAACCTTTGTCGGTTGTTGAGCAAAGAGTTACTAATACTGCTCAAGGTTTAATAACTTTCGTTATGATGTCTGGTCCTTTCTTAGTTCTTTTGAGATTGATTCCTCAAGCGGTTCTTTCAGGTCTTTTTTTCATCATGGGCATTCAAGGTTTAAATGGTAATATTATCACGAATAAAATTAGATATCTTTTCTTAGACTCAGATTACATCAAACATGATCCTACTTGTCCTCAAGTTTTCCGAGACTTTGATGAACTTCCTAATAAAAAATGGTTTTATGTTTATCTTATTCTTCAATTAGTGGCGTTTGGTTTCGAATTTGGTATAACCTTGACAAAAGGTGCTGTCGGGTTCCCGGGCGTTTTAATGTTCTTCTTATTATGCGCTAAATATTGTTGGCCGCTTTTCATACCCAGAGAAGATTTGGAACTTCTAGATGGCGAAGTCGCCGATGAAGTAATTGTGAAAAACTTACAAATTGTTGATCATTTGAATAATGTTCATTCCCCAAAAAGATCAAGCGATGATGAAAATAAAACAGTGCTTGAAGAAGAATTTAACGATTACGAATTAAGACATCGTAATTTACGTAGCATCGATACCATTAAAAGCTAATGATGCATTACATATTTCTTTTAGTTTTAAGTATTTTTTTAATTATATACGTAACTATTTGCAAGAATTTAAAAAAAAAAAAGAGGATTAAAAAAAAAAAAAAAAAAAAAATCAATCATGAAATATAATCACTAATATACCAATTGAAGATGAATTATATTTACATTTATTTTCCATTATTTCATTTAATCTTCCTTTTTTTTTTTTTTTTTGACTTTTGCTAATATTTTTTTTGAAATTTTTTTTTGAAATTTTTTTTAGATTTTTTTAAGTTTTTTTTTATATTTTCATATAGGGAAACATTGATTAACAGAGCCAATGAAAGGAATGATGAGAAGCTTGATTTCTCAAGTATAAAATATGATTTTGGATAGTTTTAAAGATGGAATCTCTTTTTTTTTTCATTTTTTTTTTTCAAGTGTTATTTGAAATGGTTGAACGGATGGATACTAAATACAAGATGAAGGATTAATATAATGACGCCAATCACAGAAAGCAAATAAAAGCAAAAGACAAAAACAAACAAAAAGAAAAAGGTGAAAAAAAAAAGAAAGAAGAATTAATCTCTTTAAACATCTCTAAAGACATATGATGAGATCACGACAAAACAATGCAGTTAAGAAATTAAATGCACGAACCAAATCCAATAAAACTAGGTTCAGTGGCAATTAAAAAGGGTGCAACCAAAACCCAGTTCAATGCTTCGTAACATCATCAAAGTTACCAGAATAAATAATCTATAAATAAAATCAAAGTTATCACTCATACTTTTTCAAAAACCCTCTTCTATTCAAATATTATGACAAGATGACATTGGACAGAACAAAACCAAAAGAATAAACTAACAGTAACAATAGGAATAAGATCGTGACGGGCGGAAGCAAGAAAGTAACAAACAAAATAAATAATAATAATATTTAGAACAAAAAAATAAAAACAATCATATGAATATTTTCAGCTTTCAAATATATTTTCAATGCCATGGTCAAACGAGAAAAATAAAAGAAAGTTGGAATATTAATATAGAAATGTCAATAAGATTGACAAAAAATTAATGACTATGAGTTTATGATAAAACAAAAAATGACTAGATGCGAAAACTTTTAAAAAATGAACAAGTTATTTCAAAATTAATTTGAATCACGTAATAACCATTGTTCAAAATTTCCTTTGACTCTTAATTGAACTTTTGAAACAGTTGATTCATCATTATCAATATAATTAATTTCAACATTTTCACAGTTTTTAATACTAGATAAAACAATTGAATCTAATTCTTTTTGTTTAGCAGATTCATCAGATTCTTCTAAACTATTTTGAATACCATTAATAATAATTTTAACTCTTTTAAAGTTTAAAATTAATTCTAAATTAACCCAACCTTCAGTAAGATCCATATTCTTTCTTAAGTAAATATCACGAATTAAATTTTCTAAAGAAAAGTAATAATCAATTTGTTGAGTTAAAGCTTGTTGAGGATCCTGTTTTGGAGAAATTGGTGGAGGGATTTGGATTGGAGGTTGTTGATGTAAAGGATGAACACCATAAGCCAATTGAGGATTCATAGCGGCAGCGGCAGCAGCAGCGGCAGCAGCTGGATGAACATGTTGTAAAGGTGGCATACCATATGCAGCTTGTGGAGCATATTGAGCTGGGATGAAAGTACCATTTTGATTTGAACCATTTTGATTAGAACCATTTGAACCAACTGAACCATTGCGGTGATAATTACCAGAATTATGTCTGTTATAATTATTACGTCTGTATTGACCATTTTGAGGTCTGAATTGACGATTATTAAAATTTTGATAAGGTTGTTGATTTTGAACATATTGTTGAGGTTGGTAATAACCATTTTGATTGTTTTGATTATGGTATTTTGGTTTGAAATTTTGTTGACCATCTTGATTTTGATTATTATTGAAACGTCTATAATTCTTTTGATTATTATTATTATAAGAATTATTTTGATTAAATCTTGGTCTAAAACCTTCACTTGGTTGATTATTGAAAGTATTAGATGATTGTTGTTGATTTTGTTTATTATTATTAGTTTGATTATTTTGCAATTGTTTTGTTTCACCTTGTTTTTGTGATTGTTCAAATTGTTGCAAATCTTCGTTAGATTCTTTATCAATTGGTGCGGATTCAGAATTTTCATTATTCTCAAATTTTTGATCATCTAATTGATCAGATTTTTTATTAAAGTCATTAGAAGTGGTATTATCTTTTGAGGGTATTTGATCTTTTTGTTGATCATTTGATTTCTTTTTATTTTTATTATTTCTCTTCTTTTTTTGTTGATTATTCAGATTGGACAGACTATTAGAATTATGATTATTTCTAGGATTAGATAAAGAAACTTTAGCATTAATTGGAACCCATTTATTAGTAACTGGTTTAATAAATTTTTGTGTTTGACTTGATTTTGCTTGTTGTTTTTGTTGAGATTCTAACCCTTTATCAGGAGTTGGCCATCTATGATCATCTGCAAGATTAAGTTTAGGTTGTTGAGGTGATATCGAATTACTTGAAGATTGGGAATTAGAAACAGCAGCCAAAGTCAGGGATGTTGATGAATTTGAAGGAGCTGAACCCCATGCAGATTTAGTTGGAACTGGAGCAGGAGCCAACAGTTTTTTCTCCTTTTTATTATCCTTTTTGTCCTTTTTATCTGATTTTTCCAATTTTTCTGAATTTTCAGTTTTTTCAGAATTTCCATTAGACTCTTCAATTTCACCTTCTTTTTCAGTTACTTTGGAATCTAAAGAATCAGCAGGAGCAGCATCTTTTGAATCAACTTCTGAAGTTGGAACAGCAGCAGCTGGAGAAGGAGAAGGAGTGGTGGAGGTGGTAGCAGCGGTTGTATTTGATTTATCAGAAGAATCAAGACCGGACCCACCTTTAGCAGCAATATTAGCGTAAGAAATCGTAGAAGATGAAGATGACGACATGATTATAACTATGATCTAAGACTTAAAGGAAAAGGAATAGGAGGGCAAATTCTTTTCTTCTTTTTTTTTTCTCTTTTTTTTTTGTTAGTTTTAGCTTTTTTTTTTTTCCTAGACTATGAGGTTATAGTGGTGATGAGAGAGGTATAGTCTTTTCAACCAGAAAATTATATAAAAAAAAAAGCAAAAATAATCTTTTTATACAATGAGTAGATGATAATTTGAATAAATATCAACTAGAAATCAACAGAAATTGACGCTGAAACGTAAATTGTTAGTCAGTAACTGGAAATGAAGTAGGAAGGAATGGATGAAAAAAAATTTTTTTTTTTTTTTCCTTTTCACTTTTTTTTTTCAGTTTTTCACACACACACTTTTTTTTTTCAGTTTCCAATTAACAATTCCAGTTTGTCTCACAGAAACAACTTGGAAAGCTAACAGTTTTTGTAACCAGAAAAAAAATTAGGAACAATTTTTGGTTGAAAAAAATGGACCGAACTTGTGCGTAGCAGTCAGAGAACACTGGAGTCAGAGAACACTGGAGTCAGAGAACACTGGAGTCAGAGAACAATTGGTAAAGTCAGTGGAACACTTGGTGGAGAGTAGCGGGTGACCAGAGTAAGATGTAGGCTGCTGGGGTTCCAATTGGACTGGGTGGGTCTGGAAATCCGTGTGAGCGGTAGTAAGCAGATCTGAGCGGTAACCGATTTGACAGCCAATTGAAGCTGGTGAGTCCGGACGGGCGGTAGGGGAAGCGGCGGGAAGTAGTACACGGAGAATGGCCAATGTGTCAAAGACCAAGAAGTGAAGCGGTAAGTATGATAGATTGAACCGATGGGACCAAGAGACAGCTACGACAGTAGATCAGGGTGAGAAGATGAAGAAGAGAGTAGTGATGAAGAAGAGAGTAGTGATGAAGAAGATGAAGAAGATGAAGAAGATGAAGAAGATGAAGAAGATGAAGAAGATGAAGAAGATGAAGAAGATGAAGAAGAAGATGAAGATGAAGATTTGCCGCCAAAGTTATCTATCACTTTTTGCAAACAAGTTTTAGCCGCCCAATAATCACGTGATTGTTGGCACGTGATTCATTCCAATCACGTGACCAAACTTGATAATGCACCCGTGCACCAGACCGACCAACCTGATTCATCCGTGGGTTAAGCAAAAAACGAAAAGGCAATCTCCACAATTAAATAACTTCAGAGTTAATGTTGAAGAGATAAAGACTTAGAAGACTAATAGAATGTTGGATAATCCGCTTTACCGTCCGCTATTAGAGGTGATTAGATCAGCCCGTAACGGGATTGTTTACGGGGGTAAGATAAGATTCAGTCATGCTTTGGTTATCAACCTTCTATATAGATCAGGACCATTAAAACCCCGATTTCAACAAGTTTTAATGGCAACCAAAGACCATGCCAAAGTATTGGCGGTTTTTGCAGTTATCTATAAGAGTTTAGTAAACTTATTAAGAAAAGACCAATTTATCGGTAGTGATCAATTAGGATTAATTAAATTTTTGGCAGGAGCTTTAGGAGGTTGGATTGTTTATAGTCAACATTTTAATTACTTCCATCCAGGAATTACCCATCAGGTTACCCTTTATTGTTTTTCAAGAGTTGTTATTGCATTAAGTAAGATTGTTTTAGATTATTATCTTAATTGTCAACAACCAAGTCTTAAAATTAATAACCAATCAATTAAATTCAGTGATTTAACCGATAATCAACAAAATAAATTAAAATCAAAAATTTATAATAAATCCTGGAAGTATTTTGCCGTTCTAGTATGGGGGTTGGTGATGTTCATTTATGATTTCCAACCAGGTTACTTACAAAGTAGTTTAAGACACTCAATGGCTTATATTTACGACGTTGAAATGGACGTCTGGGACTCCTGGAAAGACTTCTTTGGTATTTAATCGCAACTACTACCTGGTTGTAGTAGTCACTTCTCTGTTTCTTGTATTTTTAGCTCAATATAAAGTTTGCAACATTAGAAAAAAACGAAAAACCCAATTCCACAGGGACCGAAAAGTTCCAGCGTGTTCAAAATTTTGTTACACCTCATAAAATTAATAATCTTTTTTAAATTTACGCGGTCGCTCAATCTTGAACTCTTCAGCTCTTTTCCAACTTATCTATAATAAAGCATCATGAAATTCTGGAATTTTTCTACTCAAACTTTGGCTGCTCTCTTGGCTTCGGTTTCAATCATTAACGCTGGTGGTCCTGCCTCTGGAGATGCAATTGCTGATCCAAATTCTGCTGTTGTTAAATTAACTACTGATTCCTTCCAATCTTTTATTCAAGAAAATCCCTTGGTTTTAGCAGAATTCTTTGCTCCTTGGTGTGGTTATTGTAAATCTTTAGGTCCAGAATTCTCTAAAGCTGCTGATTCTCTTAATGAATCTCATCCAAATATTAAATTGGCTCAAGTTGATTGTACTGAAGAAGCTGATTTATGTTCGGAACAAGGTATTAGAGGTTATCCAACTTTGAAAGTTCTCAGAGGGGAAGCCACTGAAGATTATGAAGGTCCAAGAGACTCAAATGGTATTGCTGAATATATGATTAAACAAACTTTACCTGCAGTTCAAGATATTGAATCAGTTGATCAATTATCAACTGTCTTGGAAGAACAATCAAAACCTTTTGTGGTTCAAGTCTTGGGTTCTAAAGTTGATGAATCCGCCAACTCAACCTACTATGAAGTTGCCTCTGAAAAGAGAAAAGACTTGAATTTCATTTCTTTGAAAGATTCTCCAGTTGTTGATGAATTTAATAAAAAAATCAATGTTAATTTGAACAAATTGAAAAATAATAAATATTTATTAGTTCACCCTTCTGATTATAAAGATGTTAGAGAATTTAGTGAAAAATCTTTTTCAAAAGAAGGTTTAACTACTTTTATCGCTAATGAAGTTGTTCCATATTTCGGTGACATAAACAGAGATACTTATTTAATGTATATGAGTAGTCCTGTTCCATTAGGTTATTACTTTTATAACTCTGAGGAAGAAAGAGCTAAAGTTGAACCTTTATTCAATAAATTAGGTAAAGAAAATCGTGGTAAAATTAATTTTGTTGGTTTAGATGCTAATTTATTTGGTCGTCATGCTGAAATTTTAAATATGAATCCAGAAATTGTTCCTTTATTCGCTATTCAAGATATACAAAATAATAAAAAATATGGTATTGATCAATCTGCTAATCCAAATGGTCCTTCTGATAAAACTATTACTCAGTTCATTAAAGATTTCAATAAAGGTAAATTATCTCCAATTGTTAAATCAGAAGATTTACCAACTGATGAAGAAAAACAATCTCAATCCGTTGTTAAATTGGTTGGTCATAACCATGATGCTGTCTTGAAAAACTTAGATAAAGACGTCTTTGTTAAATATTATGCTCCTTGGTGTGGTCATTGTAAAAGATTAGCTCCTTCTTGGGAAGAATTAGCTTCAATTTATGGTTCTAATGAAACCGATTCTAAAGTTGTTATCGCTAACTTAGATCATACTGCCAATGATGTTGACACTCCAGTTGAAATTGAAGGCTATCCTACTTTATTATTATACCCAGCTAATGGTAAAGTTGATGCTAAAACTGGATTAAGAGAAGCAGTTGTTTTCGAAGGCCCAAGAGAAATTGATTCATTAATTGAATTTATTCAAGAAAAAGGTGGAGCTAAAGTTGATGGTAAATCTTTAAAACAAGCTAAAGAATCTGCCGCTGCTGAAGAAGAAGAAGTTGTTGGTGAAGATGAAGAAAATACTCATGATGAATTATAAGAAATTTAGTTTTTAACTAGATATATATTACATAATGAAAAATTATATTGAAAATTGTATTATTGTATTATTGTATTATTGTAGTGATTTATTTTATTGAAAATTGTATCATGTCCCCCAAATTTTAACTAATTTATCATCACCAACTGAACACCAATAAGTACCATAATCATTACCACTAGCCAGAGGGTAAAAATTTCTATTCCAATCAACACTGTTACATAATCCATTATGAGCTTTAACTCTATTAATTAATTCACCAGTTGCTAATTTCCAAAAATAAACATAACCAGTATCACTACCAGTTATAACTAATTCTTCATCTTTTGTAACTGGATTAACATAACCGAAACATGAACGAACAATATAAGTATCTTGAGTGTGACCAAATAATTTAGTTTTCAAAACCGGAGGTTTTCTTTCCCTTGGTAAATTGATTTCATTTGAAGAATGTTCATTATTATTTTGTAATGAAATAGGTGATGGTGGAGAAATTGTTGGTTCGGAAACTTGACTAATATCCCAAACTTGTAATTCTTCGGGAGCAATACTAACTAATAAATAACGACCACTTAAACTAACTGAACAAGAAGTTAGTCTACCATTTAAATTAATTGCTGATAATCTAGTTGTATTTGAATTTGGATCAAATAAATCTGGAATTGTATAAAATTTAATTTGTCGATCATTATTAGCGGTAATTAACAATTTCCCATTAGGGGTAATTGTTAAATCGTTAATACGATTGAATTGATTTTTACTTGAATCTTTATTATTTTGAGATTCTAAAGCATTTGATTCTAAATTAATATTACTTGTGGTTGAAATTGATCTAGGTAAACCAGCATAACTACTATTTCTTCTATTTTGTAAATTACGAGAAGAATGACTTGAATGAATTGGAGCTGATAAATCTTCAGTAGCATTCGAACCGGTGGGGGCTCCACCATGACCACCAGCAATAGCAATTGAAGTTGAAGAAGGATGAGACAGAATATTTAAAAAATCATCATCCTGAACTGAATAAAAATCAAATAATTCGTCACCATCAATAGTGAAAGCTTTTAATTTTTTATCGGGAGAACCAATAATAAAATGAGGTTTTTCATTTAAATTTGAATTAGTTTTCGGTAAGAATTCACAAGACCAAGCCCTTATGTTTTCTCCCAAGGTAAAAGCACTGTTTAATTTACCTAATTTATTTGAAGAAGATCTTGTAGTACGATGATTTGAATGGAGAACATCTTTGATATCCCAAACTCTAACAATTGTATCTAAGCAACAAGAAACCAAATAATTTTCATCATGGTCCCAGCAACAATAAATGACTCCTTTTTTTTTATCCATGGTTGGTTTATAGCTATTTTTAACCCAGCAATTAGTATGATCTACTGAATTACTATCTAAAATAGCCAAAGTTTTAAAGTTATTTAAAACATCATAAATGATCAAGGTCCCATCTAATGAACCAGTAACCAAATAATTACCAGAAGGAGAAAACTTTGCAAACCAGGCTTCATCTGAATGATCAGTTAGATTGAATTTCAATTTAACCGGGAATGAATTTTCATAATAGTCATTTAAATCTTTTATTGAATTAAAGTTTTGGATATTATTCGATAATCTTGGAGGTAAATAGTATAAAGATTTCGAGTTGATATAGTTTGCCGAATTTTCCACCAAGTTATCCAAGTAGTTTGAAGGCGACTTACCCAAAATACTCAAGGTTTCCTTTGAATTAAATTTTGAAGTTGAGCGATTCGAGTTAATTTTGGTGAAATCACCAGCATCAATCAAATGATACAACAAAACCAGTCTTAACCTAGTGAAATAAATCAATTTTGAATCAAAATGATTACAGTTCAAGATATTACAAGAGATTATTTGGTTAATGTTGGGGGTCATCAACACCTTTTTATTGAAAATCATATTATCGATATGACTAACATGGATTGGACTCTGGAGTGCCAATGGGAGTAGCACGTCTCCTTCCGATTGGTTATTCAAATGGTCCACCAAATCAGGTTCAAAATAGTTCGATTGAGGTATTTTTTTACTCATGATAGTATTGATAAGTAAGTTCAATTGATCTTTTAGTAAATTCAATAGGCTCACTTCATTCGTGGGGTAATCGTTATTCATTGACTTTTCCATAATCAATTCTAAAAACTTGAATCTATGAAGAAGATAAATCATTATCGATATACTAACAATAAATTCGTCATTAGTTTCAGTTTGAAGGTATTTTTGCCAACTATCCTCATCGGTATTTGCAACGTATTCAATCTTATAATCGGCATTAGAGTTTTTCAACATAAATTGATTCAAAAAATTCAATATCCCTTCGTAATTCCCGTTTGCAAGGTGATCTTTGAAGAAAATAACGATTGGGCTAACCGTCGGATTCGCTTCTTCACTCACAGCATCACCGACATCGATTTCTCTGGCCAAATGGGCGTATCCTAATTCTGCAAGCGTTTCCTTGACCAACAGCAACTTGAACTCCTTGGACATCTTCTGTTGGCTGCCGTCCCACTGAGGGAGTAGTTGGTCTTGAAGGGTATTAAAGGGTTGTGGGGGGCCGGAATCGCAAGCCAAACCTCGACATCCGTACACCACAAAAATTCAAAATCCACACCCGTACATCCGTGCACCGCGCTTTGTTTACCTTTTCGGCTGGCGGCTCCTGGTAAGCCTGCCGAAACGGCCGCCTCCGCTAAACGCCGCCATCTCCGACGGGACGCACCGCCGCTTAAAACATCTGGTGTACGGGGGGCTGTATCCCCCTGAAGATTCCGTTTTCGCCCACGGATTCCGTCAAATTCCACATTTAGTACCCTAAAACCAACCTTTGGTGACCTGGTCTTTGGCCCCTGTTCCTGATTCAAGGCTCCACCAGACGCCCAGTTCCATGTCCAGGTCCAGTCAGACCCGTAAGAAGTCATGCGTCTAAATTAGAGCTTCCACCAGTTACCCAATCCGTATAGGAACTACGGCATGGTTGGGGTTTCAATTACGAAATTAATCTGATTGTACTACCTTGCCATTGTCAGCTAAACGAAGCCCAACAGCACCAGAAAGACCGTCCGCAAGGGTTACAGCAGAGTAAACGCACACCCACCAAGATGCTTAAACAGCCGTACTGACTTATTTTTACGTTTTTCTGTTGCTGTTTCTTTTTTTCGAATTTTTTTGTATGGCAGTTCTTTATTTGGTTGGTGCAGCAGCTTATTGTCTTTTGGGAAGAGATATTTTTTTTATTAATTGATTTGTTAGCATTTTTCAGCCAGCGGCAAAAAAGGTATTCGAAGGCAAATTCAACTACATCTTCTTTTCATATTCCATCACTGGTTGTGCTATTACTCTTTAGCTGATCGTTGGGGATTGTTCAATGGTATATTCGAGAGTGTGAGTCAGTGCTAACCTCTCGTAACCCCAGCTTTATTAGGAACGACCCGTGTCTATAATTCTATTCTTTTGTCTCTTTTTTTTTCTTTTCTTTTCTTTTTGTCTTTTGTTTAGTCTTTTTTTATCTCTTGAATAGTAAATAATTGTGAGTCATCGATTCACTTTGGTAGGTAGTACTGGTTTAAAAGATTCGGTGTTAGAAAAAGAGCTTGTCTCGGGGTTGCTGCATGGACGGCTGACCTGAATCATTTAAATATTATACTGAAATTCTGTTTGGAGTTAGACAGAAGAAAAAAAATCAATGATGTCTTCAACCCAGATTCCAGGGATGTTTGGTCAAAAACCCATCAGGAAACGAAATCGAGTTTCCTTGAGTTGTTTGTTTTGCAAGAAAAGAAAGGTCAAATGTGATAAAGGAGATCCATGTTCTACTTGTAAAAAATATAATGCAGAATGTATTTACGAACTGCAATTACAACATCAGCCAACCAAACTTCGAAAACCGGATTATGAAGGAGTTGAAGAGAGAAAGGATTCGGATAATTCCAATGTATACGATGAATTGAAACTACTAAAAGAAAAATTGGCTTCTTTAGAAGATTCTTTCAAATCGAAAAAGTCCCCCAGTACCGGTAGTAATGAGGAAAGTTGTTTGGTTTCGGATGAAATCTTGGGCTATAATCCAATTTCGTCCAAAGAAGATTGTTATAGTTTTTTCAATCAGGAATGTCCGGTGATTATATCCAATTCCAAAAGAAAAAATTTTTGTCCATTAACCTGGGTTGCTTTGATTAAAACTGATACTGCGTTGATTAAATTATGGAGATATATTCATATTTTGAAAAGAGCTCAGAAACAAGCGGTTTTCGCCATGGATAAAAATAGTAATCCCGATTATTATAGAAGACAAGTCGAATGTACTGAAGGATTAACTGATGATATGAAACCTTATAAAGCTAAAAACTTTCAAAAATCTCCAAATTATAATACTAGTGATGCTAAAAATAAAATTAATGCTAGAGCAATGTCTTTAGGATTAATGTTTTATGAAGGTGGGATCGATGAAGAATTAGCCTTGATTGATAAAATTGAGTTGGTTTTACCTAAACAAAAAGTTATTTGGAAATTGATTGAACGATTTTTCTCTCATGTCTATCCGTATTTCCCCTTATTAGATGAAGATGATTTTAGAAGTAAAATTTCTCAATTTATTGGTCCCGAAGCTTATAATGATGCTAAAATAAATAATTTAAAAATTGAAAGAAAAATCGATTTTACTTATCTTGGTACTTTATTATTAGTCTTGAGATTTGCTTATTTAACCTTATTTACCAATTCTGCTAGTATTAATGAAGCTAATTTATCAACTGATGATCCTTCTCCAAAAGCTCAAGATATTAAATACTTATTAAGTAATGTAATCAGTATTGATGTGGTTGATGTTGCTGAAATGTGTTTAAATCAATTCAACTTGGTTAAAACTTTAACTTTACCTTTATTACAATTGGCCATATATACAAGAGTTTATAGAATATATTCTCCTGAAGATGGTGAAGGTCGTGATAACACTGATTCTGTGGTTTATACTGGAACTTTACATCAAATGGCTTTTTCAATGGGTCTTCATCGTGAACCAGATTATTTCCCTGAAGAACATCCCGATCCAAAATTGAATAATTTACAAAGGAAAATATGGTACGGAATCTTAATTCTTGATGCAAATGATTTTATTCTAACTGGTAGCCCTTTAATAACTCATCCTGAATCTTTTGATACTAAAACTCCTTATTATGTTCCAGGAAATGAAAATATTCGAGATATTGAAGTTGAAAAAATGACCGATTCTCAATTTTCAAGATTTGATTCTAATTTTCAAATGATTTATGAAGCTTCAACTCTGATTACTTCATTAAAGAAGAAGGTAAATTTATACGAATTTTCTTTAAAAATGAATGACATGGAAAAACATTTGAAAACAACCTATGGAGATTCTCTAGTTTCTCATCTTGGATGTGGTTCTTTATCAAGAGAAATGGTTTTTGCTAAAAGTGTTAATTTAAAAATCTTTTTCAGTTCAATTTTTTTCTTATCGGGGATTTATTTACATCTATTCAATTATTATGAAGCAAAAGTTAATTATACTTATGCTTTTTATTATATGAAGAAATTGATGATTATTTTGATACCAAATTTATTACCATTTTATTCTGATTTAGTTGAAAATAGTTCCTTTATTTTTAAAAGTTCTACAGACTTATTTGTCACTCCAGGTTTCGAATTAGTTCTTCATAAAACTTGTATTGCAATTCAATCCTTATATATGAGATGCCGGTTTTCTTTAAAGGATTTTGAATCATCTCCAGATCATATTCATTTAATGAAGACTGATACCGCTTATTCTGGTCATATTAATGCAATTGAAACTTTGACTAAAAATTTATTAATTTGTACATCTGCATTAATGGAAATTACTTCAGTTTTAAGTAAACGTTATTATTATTCCTGGCGTATGCTAAAAGCATGCACTTTTATTTTAAAAATTCTTAAAGATGATGATATTTATAATCATGTTGGTAAAGAAAAATCATTATTAAGATTTACAACTCCAATGTTAAATGAATTAAATGGAATATTAAAACAATCAATTAAAAAAATTGAAGAACAAAAAAGAAAATTGAAAACATCTAATCTAAGTTACAATTCTAATATTTCAAATACAGTTGATTCACTGGATGTTCAAATGAATAGATCTTCAATGTCAAATGAAAGTTTAAGTGTTGGTAGTACTAATTCCGCTAGTATTGATTATGATTTTTTCGGTAAAAGTGCATCAATTAATCATAATAATGATCCTCAAGTTGATGATTTATGGATACAAATGATTTCAGTTAAAGAAAATCCTTTTGATCCACTTACAAATGGAACTTCAGGAGATCAAATTCCTTTAAATTTGGATCAACCATTCCCAGTAGATATCGAAAATGGAGTACCCCTAGGGGTAAATGATGATTACTTTGATAGATTAGCATTTGATGATTTTTTCCCAGAAAGGTGACGAATTACATATTCTTGTATATAATTAGTTTTATGCCCATTTAATAAAAGATTTCTTTTTTTATTTTATACTTACTTTCCAGCTTATTATTTTGCTGTCAGTATTCAAGATTAAAATATGAGCATTTTCAAAATTTAAACTAATACTTAACCACGATTGGTCGAAAACCCGGCTGACAACGCTCGAACTAAGGTTTCTGGATTGTAAAATATGATGCGGCCGAGTCATTGCACCGGATCCTGTCGCTGGAGCCTCATAACTACTGATGGCCGAATTCAAATTTTCAGTGAATTGAATTGATTGCAAATGGACTAAAGTGATGAACTCGTAGTAATCGTGCAAGTCTTCATTTGCGATTGGGTCCACCAAGGACAGCAAATCAATGGCACCGTTAAGCAATGATATCTCGGTCGACGAAGGCTCAAGAGAAAAGTCAGCATGTAACGCAGATTCGAAATCCGAATCAAGCGTTACCACCTTCAAGTTAACATTTTGGAAAACAGTTGATATGAGTTGTTTGCAATCCGGAGTGAGTTCACTTCTGCAACACACAATATGATAAGTCGGAAAGAGATGCGGGGAGTTTTTGGAAGGAGTCCTCTGCTTTACCTTGAGTCTATTTGACTTATTAAAGTATCCTGCGTTTTTATAACTGGATTCGTTCAATTGAATCTTGATACTATCGTCTATACTGGAGAAAACGAGCTGGTTATATGGAGCAAACTGTTCTATGCTTGGGCTTGCTCTGAGCGAAACGTGCTCCTGGACCGGGATCGATTCTATGAGTTGCAACAAATCTCTGAAACCAAATTTAGACCAAGTCTTTGAATCTGCGAGCTCAACCGGCGATTGAGATATAACACTTAGCTTATCGAGGAACGGGGTTTCCTTCACGATCTTCTCGAGGAACTGGGGGCACGCACCCACCTCGTTTTCATACACCACACACGATTCGCCAGTCATTTTGGTTGAAGTTGAAAGGATGAGTTGAAGGTTTGAGTCCGAAAAATTTAATTGATGAGTCCATATGCAGGTTTATGAATTTTCCATTACCAATACCTTGATCTCGATATACATGGATATACACCTATATACATTTAGATATCTATGTATAGGAGATGATTCTTTTGATGGAAGGCCAAAGCACCTTTTGAGTTTGAAAACCTTCAAGCTACGGATTCATATTAATTTGCAGCAGAGGTGCACCAATGGCTGTGCAACATGCCTTAAAGGCACTCGTCTGGGCTGTAGTCCCGGCAGACGGCCGCTCCTGAGTCGACTGTGCGGGCTGGACTAATGCTGTGACTTCGGTTATACTATTGCTGTCTACTCCTATCCCACTGTCTTCTGTCTACTGTCTACTGACTACTGACTACTGACTACTGTCTACTGTCTACTGTCTACTGACTACTGACTACTGTCTACTGACTACTGTCAACTGTCTATTTGCTAGTAATACCTTCTAGTAATACGGGCAATATTCACTGTCTAGTAATACTGACATCTGTGCTTACTGTCCTGTTCTCCATACTGTCTGTGCTTACTGCCTGTCTATACTTAGTACTGACTAATACAGACAATACTTAGTACCAACTATTAATACTGGCTGACTTACTGACAACCGACTCACTGACTTCTTCACCAACTCCCTTACTGACTTCACCGACTCACTTACTCACTTACTGTTCGTTCTGAGTTGGTTCTGACTGCTCCACTTGTTCCTCCTCGTGCAACTTAATACATAATCGCAAATTAATATAAACTATACGGCTACACCCCGATACGACCATACTCCTATACGACTATACTGCTCTAAGACTATACGTCCGTACTACCATCCCGTGCTTACTACTTTACCACCATTAGGGTATCCAGTGTTGTGCTCCGTGTCGTGGATCCAATTAGACTATAAATACTCTGCGAAGCAAACTACTAAAAAAAGAAAAAGGATACTTTAATTAATTGGTGAGGACAACATTAGCAAACCAAGCCTGTTATCCACTGGAGTTCCATACTACACGGTCTTACATCGGTACCTCATCAATAGCCATTGGTTGAAACTGCACGTCAGACAGTATTCGAGTTGTTTGTATTTGAAATTGCAGCATACTAGTGGATTTGGAATAATACTTGGTTACAGGATTAAACTTTAAGATGAAGTCAGATTATCAACTAATACTGACAGTTAGTAATGAAGTTCATTCAAATATCTGTCAACATTTACATCCCTCAGTATCACAATTGGTTAGTGGATTCATCAAATACTTAAAAGAACCAAGATATCAATCTCCATTAACTTTGTCCGAACTATCCCGATTATTTCAAAGCTTTTATCAGGATTTAAATTCATTAATCATTAATATTTACACTCAATCTAATTCAAATAAACGAAATTTATTATCAAATTCCCAATATTTTGGAGAGAATCCTAAAGATTTTGATTATTTACTAGCAATTGCTAATTACTCATCCTCATCAATTAAATTATCGAAAAGAAGTGATCCAGAAGCAAATCTTCAATTAAGAGTATTCAATTTTTACAAATTCTTAATCATTTTTGAATCAATTGAAAGAGCACAGTTTGATTTATTCAACTCTTGTAATAATCCTAGTGATGATCATGAAATTATATTATATAATAAAATTTTCAAATTTGATGAAAAAGATATAGCAATTCAATCAATTTTAGATGAGAAATTAAGTTTATTGAAAAATCTAAACTTACCCTTTACTAGTTTAAGTGAAGGTAACGATGAATCAATTGACAAATTGAATGAGTTTTTCAAAAAATTATCTCCTTCTTCGTCAATCTTATCAAAGATTACTAAGAAATTTAATCAATTAAATGATCAAATCACACCCTTTGCTAAATTGAAATGTATTGTTAAGATTCAAAAATACCTTATTATACTATTATCAGAAATTTATGATAATGACTTATCCAAAATCAATAACGATATTTTATTACCTTCTTTGATCTATATCATCATCCATTATTCAAATTCAAATAATCTTTATCTTAATTTCACTTTTATTCAAAATTTTATCAACTTGATTGATCCTTATAAAGTTGATGCATCAATTTTCACCTTGAACTCTTCATTTTCTTCCTATAAACCCAATAATTATCGTTTTAAAAAGCCTTCTCCTTCAAATACTTCTTTAAACCAATCAAGTAATCAAGCTTCCAAAAAATTATCTAATAATCTATATCAGTTGTTGAATCTTAATGAATCAAGTGATTTTAACCAAGAAGAAGAAGATCGTGGAATTGATTTCTTTAATAATGATAAAGACTTGATCAATTACATTCAAGCAAACTATTTAAATAACGGGGAGTTGTATTATTACCTAACTAATTTCGAAGCAATCTTGTTTTTCTTACAAAATGTTACAATCGATGAATTACCTGACATTGATTCAAATGAGGAGATTTTGATTAAACCAATTCATAAATTGGTGGAAGACGAAATTGTGACTGATCAGCCAAAGTCAGTCAAATCTTCAGATGATTTGAAAAAAGTCATGATGGAAGAATTTGATGAAACCAGATCGAGGTCTTCTTCCTTGTTGAATACTATAAGTACTAAATTTAATGATGCGACCAGCTTTTCAACAAATCGTTCAAGATCAAATTCTGCATCCATCTTTAATAATAAAAATGGTAGTAAAGAAGTTTTCCCTTCAACTGGTTATGAAAATAATAACACCAACAATAACTTTGAAAATTCAATAATGGCCTCGCCTATACTATCAAATGATTCTAATACTGATGAAAACTCAAGTTTAACAGTTATGAAAAATATTTTAAATCGCTTTAGTTCAGTTAGTGTGCTGCAATTCAGACCAACCATTGACGGTGCTTTGAATGATTTGAATTCCAATGAATCTAACCATAGAAGATCTAGTTCCTTGATTAATAAATTATCACCAAATCATTCGAGAACTAGATCGTCTTCTTTAGAACAAATGATTTCAAATAATCCTCTATTCAATGCAACTTCAACATCATCTGCATCCAATCCCACTTCTGGTAGAAATAATTCAACTTCAAGTACCAATAGTACTACCAATGATAAAAGAAATTCAATAACTTCAAAATTTACTTCTGGAGTATCTGAATTCATGACTAAATTAAATTCTCCAGTAACTCAAAATCCTCCTAATATCATCCATACTAATCCAAAAGGTCACAAATCTTCTTCTTCTTTACATTCTTTACCGGAAAATGATGATAATGATAATCAATCAATTGGTAGCTCAACCATTATTCAAAAACGCCCAGAATATAATCATAGAAATCGTACCTCAAGCTTACAAATCATGGATAAATGGTTTAATAATCTATCTACTAACACAACTTCTAATTCCCCTAATAAAAACGAGAAATTGAAAACTTCCACTGATTCTCCAAATGCTACCGTGGTCGATAACACCGATGGTATGGCTGACAGTGAATCTAACGAAGTCTCGTTATTTTCAAATTCTTACCGTGAATTAACAAAGTACCAAAATATCGATTTCGATTCTTTGACAATTTCTGATTTAAGAAATTTGAAAAATTATTACGATCAATTATGTAACGACCTTAATGTCAATAAGTTGGAACTGAAGACCAGCGACGAAGATAATGACGAAAGGAAAAACATCGATATACTCTAGCTTAGTTCATTCTTCTCTTTGCATTTCATCAATCTCTCATGGCTTAATATATTACCCCGTAAGTAACCGTACTAGTAGATTATCGTTATCCTGTATACAGATTTTTTTTTGCTCTAACAAAAAAAAAATTATTCCATCACATTCTAAAGTACCAAACAGTCATTTTACTCAAATATATATACCCAAATATATATACAACGGGATACTTCAAGCTTGGATGGGGGTATAGCATTGCTTGAGAAAATTCAGAGAGACAGTTACGTTGATGACATCAAAACTTGATATCAACTCCAATTCTAATCAGGGGAATTCTTCGATAAGGAAAAAGAGGACCGATAGATCTAGTGACGATGGTTGCTTGCGTGAGAATAAGAAGATCAAGCTTGATTCTTTGTTGCAGGGCTTGAGCTTGGGTGATGACGATCAGAATGAGAAGCGTGAAAAGACCAGTGAAAAGACCAGTGAAAAGACCAGTGAAAAGACCAGTGAAACGACCGGTGAAAAGACCAGTGAAAAGACTAGTCTATTGACAAAAGAAAAGGCAGAAAATGAAACAGAAAGAGCCTGTGTTGATACGGAGGACGAAAACGAATTTGATATACCCACCACCCACTCGTTCATAAGGAGAAAGTCGTCGCCCAAACCTCCGAGTGATTCACCATCATATAGTGTAAATCCATCACTAAAACTTAACAAGTATAGTGTATTCAAGCCGTCTAGCTCTTCGACTCCAGGAAGTGGCTCTAATTCTATCGACTCTTATATAACAGATCGGTTGATGGAGCATTTCCAGAATATCATTCAGCTGGGAAATACATTGATTCATTGGTACAGGCCGTTTTCCTTGATAGTATATCGTTTCCAAAAATGGACGTTAAGGTTATTCAACCGGTTTTTAAGAAAATATTATGCATTACAAAATAATAATAATATTGGCTATAAGAAATTCCGACCATTCAAATTCTATTATAAAATAATGAATTTGATCGATTCAAAAGAGATCAATTTCACTTATCAAGACTTAATCAATATATTAGATCAAGAAACAAAATTGGAACTAGAAATAATCAAAAAGAAGAGAATATCAAGGGAGGAATCAAATAGAAATTCGGATAATGAATACTCTGATATTAATATTCAAGAATTAAAGTATAATTACTGGGATAGACTACCAGGACTTAGCAAAGATCTAGAAATGAGTGAATCAAGTATGGCAGACAATGAAAATGTTAAACTTTTTGAACTACATGACAATACCCTGTATAATAGTAATGATTATGATTATGACGACATGGATATGGATATGGATAACGATCTAGAAACGGCTGCAAATCTGATTGCAGGTCTGATCGAATCCAATTACGGCCTGTATTATTACGACTATCGAGACGCAACCAATCAAGGTTTTCAGAATAATATAGTAGCAGATATTAATATATAACTTGCCTAAATAATAGTAGTTATATGTATTGGTGTATGGGTGCGGACCTTTGATAATTGGAAATGCTTAACACTAAAAGCTTTTTCTCCTTTGATCTTATCATCTTTTACATGATTTATTCTAGTCTACAAAATGGAACTTGTAGATCCTCAAATGAAACAACCAGATTTCGTATTGAAGCAAAATCGATCTTATAACATATGCGATCTACCAGATGATATACTACTACAAATATTTGAACAACTAAGTCCCCTGGAGACGAATCATATTATCGGTCTACTAGATAAGATATTGAGAGCAAGCTTGGGAAGGAGTCAGATAAGGAAGCAAATTGAGTTATTAATTACTTTTGCTTACAGGAGACTATACAAAGGTAACTCGTTGATAGTTTCTGAATTTTCAACAAGTGAGTTTCTCGACAAGTATGATACTGTATTCAGTTTCGAATCCTTCCACGACAGATTTACAAATAGCTTTTCAAAAGATGATATAATTCTAGAGATTGAAAGGAAAGTGTTCATGGAAACCCGGCCACAGAGTCTAGATTTCAAACTCACTCGAAGTTCAAATGATTATACTAAATTCATTGGAGATTTAAAGATTCTCAATCAAATTTTAGAACAGTTGAGTGGGAATAATGAAATAACCAGATACTTCCAATACATTTTTCAAATAGGGTTTTATTTGGATGCCAACACTTTAAGTGTTGAGTCTCCTACGTCTGTATTAACTGCCGTTTTGAAGACTCTTATAAATCTAGTAAATAACAAGACCTTAATGAAAGACCCATTAAGTAATAGATTTCAAAAAGTGACCATCAAGTCCACCGATATTGGGAATTATTATGTTGATGAAAATGGTTGGGGTCAACTTTTGGAAAGATTTGGTAATGCCACAGTATTAAATCTTGAAGATAATGTAATTGGACTGGATTCAAATCCTAGGACTACAACATTACAAAGGGTTCATTATGATTTACTAGGAAACTGTTTCAACTGGCCTCCTCAGTTAAAGCATCTTTCTTTAAACCATAATTTGATAACCTATGTCCTGACAAGATTTTTCAATAATTTGCCAAAATCTATTGAGTCACTACTGCTTGAAAATAATAAGTTATGCTCATTAGGTTGCAATGATAACGAATCTTTTAATTTAGTCAAGACCTTGCCCAACTTGCAAGATTTGAATTTGAAAAACAACCACCTGTTAATATTTGTTAACATAGAATCATTCAAAAACGTTAAAGTTTCAAAACATAAATTCAAATCCTTGGTTATACGTGGGTGCAATATCGAAGATGTTAACTTACGCCAATTGAAAATCACCGCAAACGAGGAAAAATTCACTTTAGTTATCTAGAATAATCAATAGATATTTAGATCTGGCATCTGAATACTTTTTATTGATAAATCTTTTGTATTAGTTCTTTATAGCCAACAACTGCAAAATGTCAAACTGCGGTCACGTGAGCACTAATTTTTATTATTGGTGTACGGGCTATTGATACCATCGTATAGAATTTTCAGTTCTTTTCCGAGAAGGCGGCCCCATCAAGACAATCTTTGATTGATCTTATCCAAGTCTAGGTTGAAAGAGCCAGGTAAATAAGACGATTCTGCGAGGTAGCCAATGATAAGGTTTAGTTCTTCCACGAGCTTGCTTCGATGCGGAGGCTCAATTCATGGGTCGAGATGTCCGTTAACTATAAAATCAGCATCAATTAGTTCGGGGACGAGACTCGGATTAAACCCTGGGATTTTGCATTTTAATAGAAGATTACATTATCAATTCAAGCCAATACACTCGTTGAAAAGAGGGATCAGGTTGAATATAAGGTTGAAATCAACTTCAAGCAGTCAAGAACCTAAGAAATCCGTATGGTTTGATATCAAACGTCTTTCAAGACTTGCTAAACCAGAAGTGGCATTATTATTTGGAGCTTTAGCCTGTTTAATAGTGACATCTTCTGTGAGCATGTCACTTCCGTTGTTTATTGGTAAGATTATTGATACTGCTAGGCCTCCTAGTGATATTGGAGATAAAACTGACGAAACCAAATCTGGAAACTCAATACTAAGTTTTTTGGGCCTGAACCAAAAGGAAGACGAAAACGATAAGATATTTGGGTTAGACCCTTATCATTTCTATGGATCATTGGGGATACTATTCACAATTGGATCATTGGCAAATTTTGGACGGATCTATTTACTAAGATCTGTTGGTGAAAGATTAGTTGCTAGGCTTCGATCAAGACTATTCAGTAAGATATTATCACAGGATTCATATTTTTTCGATGTTGGACCTAATAAAGCTGGTATGAAGACCGGGGATTTGATATCGAGAATTTCTAGTGATACTCAAATAATAAGTAAATCTTTAAGTGGGAATATAAGTGATGGGGCACGAGCATTAATAAGTGGATGTGTTGGATTATCGATGATGTGCTGGGTATCATGGAAACTTACGTTATGTATGAGTTTAATTTTCCCACCGTTAATATTAATGTCGACAGTGTATGGACGTCGTATTAAACAATTATCGAGGACCATCCAAGATAATTTAGGAGATATGACGAAAGTGACCGAGGAGAAGTTGAATGGATTGAAAACCATACAAAGTTTTGCGCAACAAACCAAGGTTGTTCATGAATATAATCAAGAAATCAAGAAGATTTTCAACTCGTCGATGTTGGAAGGAAAATTGAGTGGGATATATTTCAGTGGGAATGGATTTTTGGGGAATGTGACCATGATTGGTCTTTTGGTGATTGGAACCAATTTCATCGGAAGAGGAGACATTAGTATTGGAGATTTATCGAGTTTTATGATGTATGCAGTTTACACCGGTAGTTCAGTTTTTGGGTTAGGAAATTTCTATACTGAGTTAATGAAGGGAATTGGAGCAGCAGAGAGAATTTTTGAGTTAATTGAGCTGAAGCCAAAAATCACCACTAGTTTAGGAGAAAAAGTGAACGATTTAACTGAAGGAGATATTAAGTTCAGTAATATCAGATTTAACTATCCATCCAGATCGGACACTCCAGTTTTCAATAATTTGAACCTTGGTATCAAAAAGGGTGAACACGTTTGTATTGTAGGGCCAAGTGGGAGTGGGAAATCAACCATATCGCAATTATTATTAAGATTCTACGATCCAATTAGTGGGGGTGTTACTGTTAATAACCATGATATAAAAGATTTAAATCTTAATTTTTATCGTTCGTTGGTTGGTTACGTTCAACAAGAGCCTTTATTATTCAGTGGTACCATTAGAGAAAATATCACTTTTGGAGTTAAAGATGCTAGTGATGAAGAAATTGCCTATGCGGCAAAACTCAGTAATGCTTATGATTTTATCATGGATTTCCCCGATGGATTCGATACTTACATTGGCCCGTCGTCTACCGGTAGTGCTCAATTGAGTGGGGGGCAGAAGCAAAGAATCTCGTTGGCAAGAACTTTAATCAAACATCCTAAAATTCTTGTTTTGGATGAAGCCACCTCTGCGCTTGATTCTCATCTGGAGGAAGTGGTTATGCGCAACCTATCCCAATTATCAAGAGAGAAAACCGGAGAAATCACCATTCTTCTGATTGCCCATCGTCTTTCTACCATCAAAAATAGCGAGCGTATCATTGTCTTGAATAACCACGGCGAGGTTGTAGAAGACGGATACTTCTCCGTCTTATACTCCAACCCCGACAGTGAATTGAACAAGCTCTTGAAAAAACAATAACCCTTCTATGAATACATATCAATATACATATCCATATAAATACCCTTACACCCTTATAAATATACATAAATATCATATAAGCATCATATAAATACATTATTCCATATACATGTATATCCTTCAACCGTTGGGTTTGTGTTTTTTGCAGCAATCTCGGTGGCCGGTGTACGGGCCGGTTACGTCATGGTGCAACTTTCACATGCGCCAGCGACTCGCGGCCGAGCCCTTGCGCCCAGCGGAGCCTGCTCGGTCCCCGTCTCTGGCGGGATCCGTATTACTGCACGAGGCTAATCGTGCGTTTTTCAACCGAGGCTCTGGGGCCCAACTGGGCCCAGCGAGCCAATTGCCTGGGTCCATTTGGCCTTCCCGGACCCAGCAAAGTCCACTTTTCGGACCCAATCATGTTCTCCGGCTCTGCCATGCTTATCGGACTTTCGTTGGTGGCTCCAGCTTCTGCGAGGGGCCCGGCTTCTACGAGGGGCCCGGCTTGTTGGTGGCCACAATTCAGCCTTGCCAACCCAGCCCGTTAAGCCCGGCTACCCTGGTTGATCAACCCTTTTCCGTGGAAGTACTGGCTTAATGTTTGAGGTTTGTCCGTTTATTTGGGGAACGGACGCACAATAGAAGGAAAACGGTTGATGAAAGTTTAAAAAAACCCGAACAAAACCAAAAAAAAAAAAAAAAAAAGACAAAAAAAGAAAAAAGTCCCGTATTTCACAAGCCAAAAATCCTCCTTACCGCCCATCCCATCACTAAGTTATAAAGCATCTGGCCTGACTATACTAGTGATTGCCTGATTCTGCGTCAACTGGAAGGTTGTTATAGTATAAGAACTCAGTCAGGATGCTGTTTGCCAAAGAGAAAGCTTCGGAAAGAAGCAATTCAATCGAAACTATAACCAATCCAGAGCTGCCCGTTGAAGCTTCAAACAGAGGTCAAGGGCCCAAGTATCCAGATAATAATTCATCAAATCGATTTATTTCAGAACCAATGGGGCCTGCAGCCTCTTCTATGGATTCGAGTGCTTCTTTTAGCAGTCAGCCATTATATAAGAAGATTGTACAAACTATAATCCCCCCGTTGCAGTCGTCGTTTGGCTTTTCTCCTCCAGATACTCCTACTGAGTATCTTTCCGAGTCTGAAAATGGGAATACTTTGAAGTTACCCACTGAAAATAAGATGGCACACTCAATTCACGATGTTTTGACTGAGGATGCCAAACAGAAGACTGAGTCTTCTAGTCCGACCAAATCAAGGGTGGTACCTCGCCGCTCGTCCTCAAATGATGATGAGATTGATATTGCTTGTCCCATTGGGGAACTGAGACTACTGTCTTATTTTCTCAATATGTTGACCACTGCGCTGGTTTATGCAGGGGTTGGCAACGTCAAGAATCTACGAAAGTTTGTTACCAAAGATAATGAACACCATACTCTTTGCCAGGAATATGAGCGTCTTGAATCCTCTAAATCGAGTGGAGAGCAAAGATCAAAGCCGAAAAAGAAGGAAAAAGAACCCCATTTTTTGGCTTATGGTGTTTTTGAAAGTAGTTCGTCCGAAAGTGAGGAAGATGAACCGGATAATAATGAAGAGGACGGCGCCGAGGAACCCGCAAATGAATTGCAGAATGACATTCAAAATACTCCTCCGTCTTCCATCTCCGGTTCAATATCAAAAGATGCAAATGAGCATTTGGACTCCACCGGTCCTTTGGACCCTTTGGAATATGAAAAGAAAAATGCAAGCGTTCATGATTTAATCGAACAATTGGCCCAGGGTCAAAATTTGGATGAACTATATAAAAAGGAATCTCAGCAAAATCAATCGGAAATTTCCGATTCCATTAACCATCGTAAAAAATCAATCATATCGTCATCTAAAAAAGAAGATCCTTCTACTAATGACACTTCGAATGACTTGGATCTTGATGAAGAAGAACCTCATGATCCATCTACCTGGACAACCTTTCAAAAATCAATTGTGGAAAATCTCGATCCTCATATACTCAAAGAAGGTTTACTCATCAAATTTAAAGAAAATGAACTGAATGAAATAAATCAAAAAAAGGAAGAACAAACTAAAAAATTGCAATTGAAAAAAGAAAAACTCCGATTGAAAATTGCTGAAAAATTACAAAAAGTCTTTGACCTTGATCCAGATGATTATTTTTACTGTAATTATGATAATTGGTTAATCATGGATGTTCTTTTACAAGGTCACCTTTACTTAACCCGGGATAATTTACTTTTCTTTGCTTTTCTCCCTTCGAATTCAGGCTCTACAGGCAATCCTAAAACTGTTGATGAGGTTTCAAGAAATGATTCGCATCTTGATGATTCAGATTATGTGATTCATTCGGGTTCCTTGGGTATTAAAACTGCCCAGTACGGTGATTCTTATTTCTCAACAATGATTACTCATCGGTTCTGGGTTGTTCTTCGAGAAGAAACTTTAACGGTTTATCGATCGCCAACTGATTTGTACTTTCCAATGTTTGTTGTTGATTTGAAAACTGCAACCCATGCTGAAATAATTGAAAAAGATCTCACGGTTAATACTGCTCCAGCTCCTCAAAATAATCCCTCTTCTCCTTTATTATCACCTAAAGGACCAAGAAGCAGACATAACTCTTTCGAAAATACCAAATCGAGACCGTCCCTTCGTAGAGATAATACTGATTATTTGTCCAATTCTGATGATGACTCTTCTGAAGCTTCTAGTCTGATTACGCAGGATTATGAAGAAGGTAACGAAACTGTGAGTGGTGGGGTTTGGATAAAATTAGTCACCAAAAAGAAAAATTATCGATTTCATACTGATAATTTATATTCTGCTAGACAATGGGTTAATACAATTACAAAAGTCTTGTTTCAACTTCACAACTCAAATTCAAGAAATGAAGTTCTTATAAAAATTCCAATTGAAAATATCGTTGACTTTAAAAACAGCTATGTTTTAACTGAATCCGATGATGCTGATAGAGATGAAGAATCTCCTTTAAGTTTCTGTGTTAAATACCTTGACCCTGCCGCTTCAGAATCAAGCTTATTGAACTCTCAAAGAATGAAGAAAAAACTTAAAAATTCAACTAATAAATTAGTTAAAGATAAAGGTTTTAAAGTAAAGATTAAAATTAATGATCAAACCACAGGAAATTCTATAATATCCGATCAAACCTCTAATGTCGATATCAATACTCTTTACTTTTTGTTTTTTCGAGGTGGTGAAGGTTTCAATGATACATTTAATCAAGTTATTTATGATCGTTTGTCTCATAACCAAAAAAATCAAGGCGATGATGCATCTACAAACACTCTGACAGTTACAGATAGACTCAAAGAAACAGCTAGAAAAATGTCTCGTCAGCGTGAAAATTCAGTAGCTTCTTCCACTTGGTCTAAGAGCTCTCAACCCATGTCCACTTTATCCTCATTCCCTAGTTCGAGACCCTTAATTATTGAACAAATTGCTGCTGCTAATGAACGGTTACAAAAAGCTGATGCTGGAAAAACTGACCCTGGCTCTTTGAATCCAACGAATAATTCCCTGGTGTCATTTACAAACTTTGAAGATTCCAGTCTTCAAAGGTCGAATTCGCTGTCTAGACTCAGAAGGATTGGTAAAACCTTAACATCTCCAAGTAAGGTATTTGGTAAATCCAAAAGTGTTAATGATTTAATTTCATCAGATAGTCAGTTAAGGGCATCTGGTATCGCAGATTCTGGTGAACGTTCACTCCCTGATGTTCCTTCAACTTTAGTGGAAAAAAATACTCCAAATACGGAACATGTTTCTTCAGTCTCTCTGACAAGTTCACCAATGACTGGTGTTGCTGGATCTAATACAATTCATTTGCCTCGGAGATTATCTGTTACTGGTTTAAAAAATTTGAATATGTCATTTGAAACATCCCAACGTCGAATGGACGTTGCTGAATCACGGTATCAAGACCGTGATAATGAATCAGCCCCTGAGGACGATCAAAAGGCCCAATATATGGAACCTAAACTAACGACAGCTAATAAGTCTGAGCTTTTTGTTACGCCATTAAATTTGAGTGACCCATCTGAATATAAAAATGATAATAAGAAGCAGAACAAAGTTAAGTCCATTGGTAAGACAATGAAAGTTTTGGCTAATGTGGGTAATCTTTGGGCAGCTCACCCTAGCCATTATCAAAATATTCAAGAAAATGATCCATATTACGTTACCGATGATGATGCTAGAGAAGTTGCACTTAAACGTTACCAGGAGCATTTTTCATTGAGTTACGACAAAAAATTGGTGGCTACTTATTATACGCATTTGCAAAGGGCAATCCCTGTTTACGGTAAATTGTACTTGAGTGAAACCGAACTTTGCTTTAGAAGTTTATTACCTGGAGTTAATACAAGAATGATTTTACCTTTGTCTCATATAGAAAATTGCTATAAGGAAAAGGGGATGAAAATAACCCATTCTGGTTTGGTAATTCTCATTATTGGTCAAGAAGAAGTATTTTTGGAATTTGGGTCACATAAAGCCAGGGACGACTGCGAAAGAATGATTTTACAACAGCTAGAAACATTCCATCAAGACGAAGGTTGGGCTCCCTTGGATCATAGACCAGAATCATTACACGAATTTGAATTCAGAGGTGCAGATGTGACCAATAATGAAGTCAATGATTCTGTTGCATCTTCAAAAATTCAAAATGCCAGGATCAAATTATTCGAAGATAAATTAAATGCAGCTGCAGGTATTGATATACCGCTTATTCTTGAAGATTCACCTTTCTTCAAAACGGAAATCAAGCCTTCAACATCCTATAACTTGACATTATTAACCATTGGGTCTCGAGGGGATGTTCAACCGTATATTGCTTTAGCGAAGGGATTGAAAGCTGAAGGACATAATGTTACTATTGCAACCCATAAAGAATTTGAACCATGGATATCAAAATACAATATACAGTTCAAAGAAATTGCCGGGAACCCTGCAGAGTTAATGCATTTGATGGTCGAACATGGTTCTATGTCTGTTGCTTTTTTGAAAGAAGCTAGCAGTAAATTCAGATCTTGGATTAATGACCTATTGGCCTCTAGTTGGGAAGCATGTCAAGGAACAGATATTTTGATTGAAAGTCCCTCAGCCATGGGAGGTGTTCATATTGCCGAGGCCCTTGGTATCCCTTATATGAGGGCTTTTACCATGCCGTGGACGAGGACCAGAGCGTACCCGCATGCGTTTATTGTTCCTGACCAAAAGAAAGGTGGTTCTTATAATTATTTAACCCATGTCATGTTTGAAAATGTTTTTTGGAAGGGTATTTCAGGACAAGTGAATAAATGGAGAGTAGAACAGTTAGGTTTACCTCGAACCAATTTATTCAAATTACAGCAAACAAAAATTCCTTTCTTGTATAACGTTTCTCCTACGATATTCCCGCCATCTGTCGATTTCCCAGATTGGGTCAAAGTGACTGGTTATTGGTTCTTAGATGAAGGTGCTGCCAAAGATTATGACCCACCAAAAGATTTACTTGAGTTTATTGATTCTGCTTATAGAGATCAGAAGAAGATTGTTTACATCGGTTTTGGCTCAATTGTGGTCAGTAATGCAACAAGTCTTACCAAAGCGGTGATTGAAGCCGTTCTTGATGCTGACGTAAGATGCATACTAAACAAGGGCTGGTCTGATCGACTTAGTAACGATGAAAAAGACAAGGTAGAGGTAGAATTGCCACCCGAGATCTATGATTCTGGTGCTGTTCCTCATGATTGGCTATTCAAAAGAATTGACGCATGCGTCCACCATGGTGGTTCAGGAACTACGGGAGCATCGTTAAGGAGCGGTTTACCAACCGTAATCAAACCATTCTTTGGTGATCAATTTTTCTATGCCTCCCGAGTCGAAGAAGTTGGGGTTGGTATTGCTTTGAAAAAATTAAATGCTAAGAGTTTATCCAAAGCTTTGAAAACAGTTACGACTGACCTCAAGATTGTTGAAAAGGCTAAAAAAACCAGCGAACGTATGAGAAACGAAAATGGAGTGGCTACTGCAATCGAAGCAATATATTCTGAGTTGGAGTATGCCCGTACTCTAATCACTGTCAAACAACAACATAACGAACAATCCAGAGCAAATGCCTTGAAATCCGGTACCCAAACTCCTGTTGTGTACGAAGATGATGAGTATGAATCAGTTGAAGAAGGAGTCGACGATGACTACGATCTGGGTAGTGAGTCTGATTATGAAGAAGAAATTAGCGATGAAAGCAACCAAAAGACCACTCCATCGTCGAAAAACTCTCCAGATTCCACTAAAGACCCCGTACAAAGTGCCGATAGCGATGATGAAGAAGATTTAACCAACCCAGTGCCTGCTTTCCCTAAAAAGAAAAGCGATAAGGCCATCCATTTACCATCCAACTTGAAACCGGAAAACTGCCAATGGTTCCACTTCTAACTTTATATCCGAAGATTGTGTATATATTATGTACTTTATGTTTAATTTTTACGATTTTATGATGATGATTTCCCTTGATGTAGTTATTAAATGGTTGCAATAAAGGTCTGGTCGTGTAAGGCCCTGCAGATCACGAGAATAAGAGTCATCAGCAGCACAAAAGTTTTTGAGTCTTCCTGATTAACGATTTCAACGAAATTAATATAAACGAGTCTCTTCTGGTGATCAAAAGGTGTGATATCGTTGCAGATTATCTTTTGTTGATTTTGTATTTGAGTTGAACAGCCCAAATATTGTTTGTATTAGTGAGTCACTCTTGAAGCCACTGTTTGAGTGAGATTTTTTCTCCAAAGTACTACAAAAATCATTATACTTTTCAATTTCCAGCTGAATTTCTTCCAGTTTAGATATTTAACTATAGAAGAGCTAGGCACGAGTGATGTTAGATAAGAATCCCATTTATAAGGATGTGACGTCCGAAGAGACGAAAGCCAATTCGTACGCAGCAATGGTTCCGGGTCAAACGATTGTTGAAATTCCATACTTCGAACTTGAATGCGGCGAAGAATTGCACAACTTTCCTGTTGCTTATAAGACATGGGGAAGACTCAATAAAGACGGTGACAATGCGTTATTGATTTGTCATGCCTTGACTGGTTCTTCTGATGTGCAAGATTGGTGGGGGCCACTTTTGGGAACTGATCGAACTTTTGATCCATCAAGATTTTTCATTATTTGCATCAACTTTTTAGGATCGCCATATGGATCATGTTCTCCGTTGACTATTGAAAAGTCCACTGGAAAGCCGTATGGTCCTTTATTCCCGCTCGTCACCGTCAAGGATGAATTGGGTATTCAGAAGTTGATTCTTGACTCCTTGGGAGTTAAATCTCTAGCTTCGGTTATTGGTGGTTCAATGGGGGGTATGATTGCTCTTGAGTACTCAGCTACTTATAATGATAGTGATTTTGTTAAATCGGTTATTGCCATTGCCACGTCTGCCCGTGCGTCTGCTTGGTGTATATCGTGGAATGAAACTCAAAGACAGTGTATTTTCAGTGATCCAAATTATGATGATGGTTATTATTATGAACGCTCAGATAATGTTAAACCCGACTCGGGATTATCAGCTGCTAGAATGGCAGCCCTTTTGACTTATAGATCAAGAAATTCTTTTGAAACCAGATTTGGTCGTAATTTACCCAATACTGACCCTAAAGCATATCAAAAGCAAAATGATTCGCTGAAATTGTCAGAACAACAAGGTATAAGGTTACCAAGAACTAGAGATGAAGAAAATTGGCTTTTACATAACGAAGGCTCTAGATCAACCAATATAAATAAAAATAATAGTTCATCATCATTATCAAGTAATTCAAATAATCAAACAAAACCACAAACTTATTTTACAGCACAATCATACTTGAGATATCAAGGAAATAAATTTATAAATCGTTTTGACGCCAATTGTTATATTTCAATTACCAGAAAACTTGATACCCACGATATCACTCGTGGTAGAATTGAAGATGACGGGAATCTCACCGAAGACCCACTACCTGAATTTCTTTCCACGCTTAAGAAGCCACATTTGGTTATTGGGATACAATCCGATGGTCTTTTCACTTATGGAGAACAAACGTTACTTTGTCAACATATTCCGAAAAGTACTTTGAAAGAAATCGATTCTCCCGAAGGGCATGATGCATTTTTATTAGAATTCAAAGTGGTGGATGAATACTGTCAAACTTTTTTGAAAACGGAATTGCCAGATTACTATGATGAATCTAAGAATAAAGTAGAACGCTTGTTTGATTGGCAAAAATATGTCAAGTCAGTAGATAATGGAGGAAATTCAGTTTTTGGTGAAGCTGAACAAAACATTACCAATTGGTAGATTCAAATCATGTATAGAAATAGATTTATATTGAGTATAAACACTTTACATACTACAGAATATCTTTATCGTTATGCATTAGTTTATTAATTTTGAGTTGGAGCATTTAAAGTGTCTTGGTCGAATAATTTAGAATAATCAACACTACTATAAGTTACAGGGTATCTTTCATTAAGACCCGGATCAGGTCTTGAGATTTCCAAACGGTAGAAAAGTACCCAGTACCAAGGTGGTAGACATAAAATCTGTAGTAAATCGAAAGTATGACTGAACATGTAATTAAAGGTATTTGTTTTTGTATATTTTTCATGTAACTTATTCACACAATCAGTTGTTGGAGAATGAATGGTGTCGAATATAACATCATTGACAAACCACCATAATTGGCCAATGGTATGACAAACAAAAGTCTGCCAGAGAACTTTCAGTCTCAAGATTCTACCAAAAACATCACTCAAGCCTGAATTGGATCCAAATACATCCGTTCTCAATTCACCTGATGCAACCCAATTCAAGACACTCAACACGTATGGAAGTAAAGCTCCATTGATATCAAACAAAAACAAAATGGTGAACTGGATTGTTGGTTGGCGCTTGCATAGAATATACAACATTATATCGTCCAACAATGGTCCCAATTGAACAATCTTCATATCTCTCTGTATATACCCATAAGTAACCATAATAAAGATTCCAATACATGCCAGAAATATATAGTAAAAGAAGTCGTAACTGCGATTTCTATCAATAAACTCATTCACAACCGTGGTATCCTCCTCGCTTCTTTTATACCTACTGGGTATATGATTAAATTTGGTTGAAAATGATTCTTCTAGCTCTCCCATTGATCTTCTTATGAAAAACAAATGCATTAGAAGACTGAATTTCAAGTCACCAAAGTATAAAAAACTCGTAAACACTCTCCACACTTGGTATTGGCCACTGAACACCTTATTGGGTACATAGATCAATGAACTCGGTGATATTATTCCTATGGATGTTGCAGTCGATAACGTCACTGCTGCTAACATATAAAATCGAGTGAAAGGTGGCACCTCTCCCACTGCCTGAACAATTCTTTCCATGCTTTCTTCTTGTTGTTTATCAGCTAAACGATAACCCTGTTCGTTGAACGGAACCAATCACTAGAAACAATCACCAAAAGGAAGTATTTGGTGATGGTGTCTTCATGAAGCTGCTGACTTTTCCAGTGCTCCAGCTTTATCGTGTGGTGTACGGGTGCGTATCAAGAAGGGAACGAAAAGCTTTCATCACCAATTCGTTGGAAGAAGCATTCAACGGGCACAGGAACAGTACCGAAGATGGGAGAGTCAATTGACCTTGATCACTTGATCCAGAAGGACGACGAGCTTGATTATAGCAGTTTGCCTCGTCTGGTGATCGATCCTTACGAGTATCTTGAGAAAATTCCGGGAAATAACGGCCACATCAGAAATCAGTTCTTACAGGCCTTCAATGAATTGTACTATCACATAGAATATGAGGATGTGCTCGACGAAATTGATCACATCGTGACGATCTTCCATGAGCTGTCGCTACTCATTGATGATATTGAAGATGATTCCAGCTTTAGACGAGGTTGGCCGGCAGCTCATACCAAATACGGAGTACCCTTGACTATAAATTGTGGGAACTTGATGTACTTTGTTGCAATGAAGAGGGCAACTAGTGTGTTACCTGAAATATATCTGAAGCATAATCCCAGGATATGTGTGGCCGAGTTGTCGGCGTCGATTCAGAAGATATTGACTAATGAAATGATTAATTTGCATCATGGACAAGGACTTGATATCTATTGGCGAGACACCCCTAATGTTATTGAAAACAACTTACCGAGCTTGACCGAGTATGCTGAGATGGTGATGAATAAGACCGGGGGGCTATTCAGGCTCTCGATTAAGTTATTAGAGCTTTTTTCAACCAGTGAAACGTCCCAACCATCAAAGATTCCATTGGCTAACTTGTTGGGTATAATATACCAGATTCGAGATGACTATCTCAATTTAGTCGACGAACGTTATAACCATATGAAGGGGACTAGTGGCGAAGATTTGTTGGAAGGGAAGGCATCATTACCTATTCTTCATTGTTTGAAGAATTCTGAGAAATCACCGGTTTATCGAATGCTAACCGAGTATAAAACTAGCGAAGAAAGAGCCAAGTCGGACCTATTGAAGGTAGCGATTCAGTTCATGGAGGAGGAAACGCAATCGTTGGCATTTACTAAACACCTATTGCTTGAATATTGTGACAAGGCCAGAAACGAGATTGTGCAAACAACTGGCAACAAGGATTCGATGTTGATTCAAATAATCCACAAATTGTCTATGGTTTGATGTCTATAATATATTTATTTATTTAATATATACAAAAGGGAGTTAATTATGCTAATGGGATTGATCTCTTTAATTGATCTTTAGTTGTTGTATCATTCCTGAAATTGTCCGGATTATACAAGTGTTTGAAGAAAACATCGATATCTTCGCTGAACAGACCTCGGGATCGGTATACGTCATTGGGTTTCAATAATTTTTCAACCTTTGACTTCTCTTCGTTGTCGTATATTTCAAACCGATCTTTTTCAAATGAAAGGTTTTTTTCTAAAAGGTTTAACTTCATACCAAAATCAATGTTATTATACCTTTTCCCGTCAACCTCTTCATTCTCAATATCGCTTTTGATCATTTTAATCAAATCCTGGTACGAGTTTTCCACTAAAACCTTGGATTCAAAGGATTTGATTTCCTGGTTGATTGGCGGGGGTAAATCTTGATGCAAATACTTTAATGGAGATGGTTTTTTGAATGGTACTTTGGCGAATTTATACTTTGGCTTATTGATCTTTAATACCTCTCTGGTCATTGTTTCAATCAGGTCTGTGATCATCTTTTCATTACTTTTAGAGCTTGGTCTCGTTTCCTTGCACTTATCACCAGTAGATCGATTTCTTCTATTTGTCGGGATGGCGTTATCAAAAGCTCCGAATTCCTCTTCTTCTCGCTTGATTATTCTTCTTGACTTCATCTTCCTCGGTGGGATATCATTCTCGAGCTCTTTATCATGCTTTAAAAGCTCCTGATACCTAATTATGTCTTCTTCAATTTCATCCTTGGTCCTTCTCAACTTTCTTCTCTTTTTAGGTGAAACATGCTCCTTTATTAGATTTCCCATTCTTCTTTAAAGGCCTTTTCCACTCCCCATTGGCAAAATAACAAGTATATCAACCAAATATATACTGTTTCCCAATAAGCTTTCGTCTAGACGTTATCTAAAGATGCTGTTAGCGACTGAAAAAAAAAAAAATCCATACCTCCATTTTTCCAATTTTTTTTTCAACCTCATCGAGAAGAGCATAAGCTTTGGAACCATTTGAAAAGAAACGGTTAGAGAAGCCAAGTATGTTGTATTTGATTGGATTGGGATTGTCTTACGAGACCGACATCACTGTGCGTGGGTTGGAAACAGTGAAGAAATGTAAGAGAGTTTATTTGGAAGCATATACTTCGATTCTTATGGCAGCTAGTCAAACATCATTGGAAGAATTTTATGGCCGGGAAATCATATTGGCCGATAGGGAGTTAGTCGAAACCGGGGCAGATCAAATCTTGAAAGATGCCGATACTGAGGACATTGCATTTTTGGTTGTTGGGGATGTTTTTGGTGCCACTACTCATACTGATTTAGTTATCAGAGCTAGAGAATTGGGTATCAAAGTTGAAGCAATTCATAATGCATCAGTTATGAATGCGGTTGGAGCTTGTGGATTACAATTGTACCAGTTCGGACAAACTGTATCATTAGTGTTTTTCACTGATAGCTGGAAACCTGATTCATTTTATAATAAAATCATGGAGAATAGAAAGATTGGGTTACATACTTTACTTTTATTAGATATTAAAGTTAAAGAACAGAGTATTGAGAATATGGCAAGAGGTAGATTGATTTATGAGCCACCAAGATATATGGATATTGCTACTGCTGCAAGTCAATTATTAGAAATTGAAGAAATCAGAAATGAACAAGCTTATACTCCAGATACTCCATGTGTTGCAGTTTCCAGATTAGGATCTCCAACCCAAACTTTCAAAGCTGGTACTTTAAAGGAATTAAGTCAATATGATTCGGGGGAACCTTTACATTCTTTAGTCATGTTGGGTAGACAAGTCCATGATTTGGAATTGGAATATTTATATCAATACGTTGATAATAAAGAAGAATTTAAAAAATTTGTTGAAAAAGATCAAGAATTTTTCAAACCTCCACCATACGTACCACCTGAAGAAGATGAATTAAGTGATTAAAACTTATAAATTGTATATTAAATATCTATAGAAATTATTGATCTTTCTTTTGTCTTAAAATCTGTAAATCGTCCCAAACGTTTTCATTAAGATCCCAAATCATCCATTCATACCAGCCATAATAGACTGGGAATATAGTAACTAAATGCCATAACGAATGAGCATCGATTAAACTATAAAATATCGGGGGGAAATCTAAGATTTCTAAAGACATACCGAAAATAACAATCACACATAATAATAAAGGATATAAAGAGTATAACTTTGGAGACCTTGAATAGAAACTATACAAGATGATTCTTTTTGGATTGATGAATTGCAAATGAGTCAAGTTTTGGGATTTTTCATTCGAGTGTTCTAAATCATAGTACTTATTATATAATTTAAAACAGGATACTCCCCATAAGATATTTTGTAAAACTCCAATGGTTATATTGGCTCTCATATTATAAGTATACAGCCAGTCTGTTTCTAACCGATAAACATGTGCAGTATAAGCTGAAATACACGCTAAAGTGAACAAGCTTCTTAACCAAACTCTTCTTGGTAAATAAAGCTTGAAAACACGATTCCCAATTCCGTAAAAGCCTGATAAAACAGTTAATCCTGCAAAATAATAATCTAATCTTTCTGTTATTAAGAAATCTCTTATATGGAATATCGTAGAAAAAATCCAAGCAAACATTGTTATAACACTGATTATGGCAAGGATGTATAGCTCCAGGTTCACAATTGATCTGGAGGTATTCTTATTTTGATTAATACTTTTCTTGATCATTTTGAAGCCAGAATAATGAGCAATCAAATTACCCAAGGAAAATAAAACTGATATGAATTCTTGAGTACCATAAATTCTGTTGAATGGCCATTTACCATGGAATTGCAATATCTCCTCGTTATCCTGTATTCTTTCTTTAGTTACAATTTGTTGACATTGATAGTCGCAATTTGATTCACAAGTCCATTTAAGCAAATTGAGGTACCAAGGCAATGGCATTGGAGTGAATTCCCAGCCGGGATTATAATTGTGCCATTCATAATCATCAACATTCCCATTTTGTATCAATTCATGGTAAATTTCGTCTTGGACTAAATTATAAGGATTGTTTTCACAACTGATTTGTTCACACTGATACCGGCAATCCTGGTAATCGTACAAATCATTCCCTGGGGAGGCAGAGATCTTCTGGAAGCAAGCTAATACCGCAACTAACAAGCTGGGCCCTTGGAGTTTCATGGTCTGTTATGGCAAAAGAGAAACTAATTCGTTGAATTTTTGATTTTTGATAAAGCCTTTTGATTTTTTCATTGACGTTTTTTTCAAATCGAGAATTTTGACGAAGATGCGAATTCATGAAATGGGTGCAATTTTTGTTTATAGGCTGTTTGCAGGCAGCCAATGGGCCAAAGCAGCTTATGTCGAAGGCTTTCCCGTTGAAGAAACGAGGTATGAGGGAAAGTGCTCAAGCTGAGAAGTTTGAGGGATTGAAACTGACCATTATAGAAATTTTACAATGGTAATTTCAGTCGGAGAAGCTGAAAACGGTTTTGTTTCAGGGTCTACGAAGGGTTGATACAGGCTTAGATGTTCAAGCGTAATTTCGTTAATAATTAAAAAGAGTAAAAAAAATCTATGGAAGGTCTAGGGAAGGCAAATTGGTTTGATCTTCTAGTAAGTTTTTGTGGTAAGAATCAAGATCTTTGAAACTATCTACTTTTAAATCACTAAAACCTGAAGAGAATTCTTTTTTTGGTTTATTCAAATCACAAGGATTTGAATTATGGAAATAATACATTGAGTTGATCATCTCATTGACAATGGTTGCATAAGAATTAGCAGTTTGTGAAATTCTTTCGTATTCTTTGAAAAATTGAATTGCAACTCTTAAAATTTTGATTAGTTTTTCATCTAAGTGATCTAATAAACCAACACCTAAAGTCATACAAGCAGTGAAAGCACAGTTAAGTCTAACGTTTGATTCTAATCTTCTTATATCTGAATCATCTAACTGGGTAGTAGCGATAAGCATTAGAGTACTACTTTTGATACTTGTTTCTATAAAACCTTTGATGAACTTTAAATCGAAATTTAGGTTGTTTGCATTTGGAATGTATTGATAAGTTTTTTCATATAATAAGAATGGACGACTCATTAGAATAATAGCGTATATATGGGAAGCACTTAGAAAAACGCAGGCATAACGATGTTTTGTTTCTAGAACTGATTTACCAGTTGAAGTATTTTCAACTAGAAGTTCAGGTGGTAAACTGGATAAATAATCTTTTAACTCAAGTGATATATTTTTCAAAGTATCGAAATTGAAAGGGTCCTTTTTATGATATAAATTAAGAATCTTGGTCATGATACGGAAAATCTTCAAAGAATAAAAATCCAATTTATCTCTGAACGAATCATTTACGTCAGGATCAAAAATATAAGTGATTTTGTTTGGGACTGAATAAATTAAATTTGGATCTAAACGATCAAATTCCTTCTTTATATTATCGTCCTTGAATAAGACAGAATCTTCTTCTTCAAATGACATTGGTTTACCGGCAATCACTGAAAAGATTCTATCGCTAACGTATAGTGAGGTTAAAAGTCTTTTATTATACTTATTAACTGATTCTTTATCATTATCCAACTTAATAGAACCAGAATATTTTATTGCAGCTCTTAGTAATGACCACGACGTTTTAAGTCTACCAATGAATTTATAGTATAATGCTTGTAAATAATTTGACTTAACCAACCAAATCTCGCCGTCATCAGGTAGATTATTATGTAAATATAAGGCGCTCTGGAAGTAATTAATGGAATAATGAGTTTGACGATTATTAGTATTTTCCATTAAAGCAGCAATTGCTAATACTAAATAGATTAAAATTTTTAATTTTGGATCTTGGTTATTCGCCATTACTGTATTAAAGAAACAGTCTTTATCAAGAACAAAATATTGCCAATTAAATTGAACTTCAAATAGATAAAACAGCCTCAAGCAAACTTCTCTAGATGGCATTGGATCCAATATCTTATTTGGATCGTAAGGTATCGGGCTATCCTCAACTGGGAAAACATAAACATCCTTGAACTCTGTATATCCCATAATATTCTTAAAAATTAACTTGGTTTCATGTAATATAGCTAGAGAATCGGTGGCGGCATTACATAGTAAGTTATCGTCGTTATCGATTTCAAATATCGAAGAAAGCTCTGAAGATGGAGTGCCCAAAAACGGAGAGTTTCGACTAAATGGTAGCATTGTCGGTATTGGTGTTTGAGTAGCTGGCGTAGGGTAACTTATTGGATTTAACGTAGGAATACTTGGATTTCTTAAGAATCGTTCATTGATTGATATTATGTTAATGGCTTTGGTATCATAATTCAACCGATTAATATCATAATTACTCGATATACTCTTTAACATCTCAGATATCGGAGGTAGGATCCTCGAATTACCTTCATTGGTCTTCTTCTTAATCCCTGCTTGGACCGGGATAGGGGGTGACTGTGTCGGCTGTATCCCTTGCTTCTTCTTTCCTCTAATCGTTCTTCTATCAATCGAATGATAAGTACAAGCGTTGCTTCTCTCTATACATCTATTACAAGGTTGAAGTCCATTACACTAGAATGTTAGTATCTCATTCTCTCGTATTTCATCTTTTCATCTCTTCTCAAATACATACTTTATGCTTGGAAGTTTTGCAACTATCGCAAGCATTTGTAACTTTCCTACCCTTTCTGGATCTCACTTCGCTCATGTTAGCAATTACTAACCCGGAGTCGTCGAATCTCTCTATCAAAAGAAAGTGTAAAGTCAAGTTTAAGTATAATTAAAAAAAAAAAATTTTTTTTTTATTAGTCTTTTTTCAGTATTTTTTTTTTTTTTTTTTTTTCACTTTTTCATGAAAACTAAAACTACTCTTAACAAGATGAATTTCACATAATAACGGGCTTAGATAGCTGGTTGTCAAAATCCGACTCAGGAACGGAATTGCCTAGTCGAGTGTTTAGTTTACGACAGTTACCCAACCGTTTTAATGAAGTTCAGTGGTAAATTTTGTATTGGTTTTCGATTTAAGGTCATCATCACTGATAATATTTTCCTAATTTAACCAAGTTTTAGTTCAACAGTTACAAATCAACGGAAACAATGTAGGATTGACATTTCCGTTTGAAGAATGCATATACCTAGGGTGGACAAAGAAGAGAGAAAGAAGTATTGTATTACACAATCGAGTAGGTGAGGATAATTCCAGGGAGAAGCTGAGTCTCCCGGACTTACGTGGGGCCAAGTAACGCGTGGTGATAAAGGAGACGGCATGCTGTAGAGCAAGAGGGAAGACAGGGAGTAGGGAGTGGAAGGCTGCAAGGGCATTTTTGTGAATAGAGGCAGGACGGAAATCTACCAAAGAGTTCGGACGCTTAAAGATTTTGGTATTGGTACAGATACCCCCGGATGTTGGGAGGAAGAAGAGTAGAAGGTGGTTACAAAAGACCTAGAGAAGGTTTATTAAACTGGTAGGCTTGAGCAAGTTGAAATAACCAAATGAAATTTATTTAATCGAAGGGCATGATAGAATTGAAAGAAAAGAATTGAAGACATTAAGAGAACATAACTAGATGGAATCATTACCGTAGAGGAAACCAATTGAAGGTTTATTGGTACAAGGATGATCATCGATTGAGTTTGCATCATTTGACAAGAAGAAATGTTGAACTTCGAAAGATTTTAAATGATTTAATATGGGGACAATTTCATCTTGTAAATGATTAACGTTTAAATTTTGTAGGATAACTTCATTTGATTTTCTAAAATGATAATTTGATAAGGATTCAATCATTTGATTAATAATTTTAAAATGATTTTTAGCAATTGGATTAAATTTATCATAACTACTTAAGTAAGATAATCCAAGTTTTAAAATTTCTAATAATTGAGAATCTAAATCATCGATTAGATAAACACCCAAAGTTAAACAAGCGACTAAAGCACAATCTAATTTCATATTTGGTTCTAATCTTCTAATGTTTGATTCGGATTCAGAACTAACGAGGGCAATAATCATTAATCCGCAACTTTTAGCTGAAGCTTGTTTAAATTCTTTTATAAAATTTAAATCAATCATTGAATTTTTCAATTTTAAATTATATTGGCAATTTTTTTCATAAAGTAATATAATTCTACTTATTAAAAAAATTGAATAAATATAACAAGCTTGAAGAAAAATACAAGCATAACGGTGTTTAACTTCAATATCGGAACTACCAGATGAACAATTCTTAACTAATAATTCTGAAGGTAAACTAGCTAACCAATTTTCTAATTCATTAGTTAAAATTTTTATAATTTCCATACTAATTTCAGAATTTCTATAACAAATTCTAGTAATTTTAGCAGATATGTGAACAATATGAATTTTATAATAATCAAATTTTGTTTCAAAAGATTTATTCGTATCAGGATCACAAACATAATCTTTTGGGTTTGAAATAAAAGTTAATTTTGATTCTTCGATTGTCTTATATTCTTGGTTGAAATCCTCACATTCGTCTTCATTAAAACAAAATGGTAATCCTGATAATATAGAAAACATCTGTCCACATAAATATAATGATCTAAAGAGTTTTTTCCTATATCTTGGATCAAGATTTGATTCTTTTATTTTATGAATTTTAAGTATTTTAGCATAATTGATTGCATTATTGATTTTAAACCATGAATTGGTTAAGTTCCCAGTGAATTGGTAATAAAATGATTGTAAATAATTCGATTGTAGTAACCATAATTCACAATTCTTACTCAATTGTTTTTCAAAGTAAAGTGCATTCCCGAAAAAATTGATTGATTTCAATGATACAAAGTCTCCTTGGTTATAATCTTTAATAACTGTACCAATTGCCAATATCAAATAGATTATAACTTTATGTTTCAATATTTCTATTGAATCAGTTTTAGATTTGAGTACTTCATTTAAAATCTTGATAAAGTTCAGTTTGTCAAATACAAAATATTGCCAATTGAATTGAGTATCAAATAATTCAAACATTTCAATACATTCTCTTTTAGATAGTAAAGGACAGATATTAGACGTTGGCTCAATCAAGTTTTTAGGCTCTTTGGTATTGGATTTTGTTATATCTTGATCAAACTTGGTTGATCCAATGATATTCCTAAAAATGATTTGAGTTTCATGGAGCACAGCATTTGCCCCGGTGGTTGCATTATAAATTAACTTATTCTGTGCATCGATTTCAAAGAAATCATTAGTATTATCAATTGACTGTGACGACTCAACCGGTAAGCGATAATTATTGGAAATCATATTTGTCAAGCATTGATTTTTCTTTAAATTACTTTTAAGTTCGATATTTTTAATTGGAGGTAGTATTGGAGTCTTAGTATTGGGTAATAAATGTTGCGGGAATTGTAAATTAAAAGTTGAACAATCATTATTCAAACGATTCAATGTTTCGGTGATCGAAGGAAGTTTAACATCATTGAATGAACTTTCAGATGAGCCATTTTCTAATTCTAATTGTTTTTGTTTGGCCATTCTTTCTCCCTTTAATGATCTTTTATCAATACTTGAATAGATGCATTCATGGCCTCTTCTCTGACAAAGATAACATGGTTGTAGTCCTGAACACTTATACTTTCTCTTCTTACAATTATCGCAAGCCGTAGCCACTTTCCTTCTCTTTTCTGGAGGTATTATCCTCGAACGTTTTGGACGTTTGGATTTATCCATTTTTCACCAATTTTATTCCCCCAGAAGCGAAGTCTCTATTTACTTAAAGAAAAAAAGGTATCGAAATATTAAAACTAATAACAAACTTACTTCCACCGAGATCTACTCCAGTAGTTGTACTTAAGTTATAATGGAAAAATGCTGAAGCTCTTAATAAAGTTCGTAATGAAATCAGCTCCAAAGGGAAAAATATCGTAGGTTTTTTTTAGGCTGGGTGTCCGGGTGTTTTCCTTTGGTGGTAGTAAAAAAAGCGAAGCACCAGCAGAATCAGCCAATCAGAAGGCTTTTTAAATAAGGTTTGGGTTAAAGAAATTAGATAATTGCTTATTGCATTGGCATTCTTGGGCTGGCACTTGAGTTTACCGTGAATCAGTGTTAAATTAGGCTTAAATTGGCGATTTTCAGCCTTTGTTGAGGGAATAGTAATTCGTACTGGGGTGAATGAATGAGGAGAATTCAGCCGTTTGACACTGGCACCGTCTGAGGCTTCGACATACTTACACTAGATGACACGCTGGACTGAATCGTGGGGCAAAATCATCATTGGAGATTGACCATGTGAGGCAGAATCACCCTTGTTGGTACATTAATACTTACGAAAGAGTACCAGTTACGAAATCACCTTGCAAAAAGACGAAGGAGCACGGTGCGGATGCTCATAATGACCCTATCATCGGGCTACTGGTGATGATTTGACTCCTATTTTTCATTTACGTACCGGTACTATATCGCTCTACTAGGACTGTATTGCTCTGAGTTGACTCCACTACATTAACAAATAAACTAATAATAAACTAATAATAAATTAACAATAAATTAACAGTAAGTTAACCAAAGCAATAACTATCTTAACTTATACTTAACTCTATCTAAGTACTGGGAAGCTTCGCTTGACTTATTCAGTAACTGATTGAATTATTTAAGGTGTACGGGTGTTTTTACCAATCCAATGCGGAATTTTATGCGATGGGGAATTCCGCTTGGACGATATTTAAAACCCCCAGACCCAGGGAAGAACTCCAGCTGGACCAGTTTTAAGTAGTTGACAAGATGACACCAAGTACTAGTCAGATCAAGGAGTTGGAGCCCAAGGTGACATCCAAAGGATACAAGGTGGAGAGCCAGGGAAGCTCTAATTTGGCCAAGGGAATGCCCCATCCCTATCCCTTACCAAGGTTCAACAGCAAAGAGGAAGAGATTCAACAACAGAAAGAACATATGGCTTGTGCTTTCAGGATCTTTGGTAGATTAGGTTTTGCCGAAGGGGTTGGGCTTGCAGGCCATTTTACTTTGCGGGACGGGAATACCTTTTGGATCAATCCGTTGGGGAAACATTTTTCATTAATGAAGGTTAGCGATTTTGTTCATGTTGATGAAGAAGGGAATATCTTACCGGACGGGAACCAGGCCGCCATAAATAATGCAGGATTTTCTATTCACTCGGCCATTCATAAGGCTAGGCCTGACGTCAATGCCGCTTGTCATTTCCATTCACCTTATGGTAAATCATATAGTGCATTAGGTTTGCCATTAGATATGATAAATCAAGATGTATGTATTTTCTATAAAAATCACTCCGTTTTCACTGATTTCGGTGGGGTTGCATTTGATCCAAATGAAGGTATTGCCATTGCCGAATCTATTGGTAATGGCAAAGGTGCTATTTTACAGAACCATGGGATAATAACCGTTGGTAAAACAGTTGACGAAACTGCTTTTCTCTATATGTTGATGGAAAATAGCTGTCGTTGTCAAATCTTGGCTAACTCAGCTTTAAAACCGGGTGATTCGTTGAAAATCATCAAAGACGACGTGGCTGCATATACCGAAGAAATGACTGGCGACCCCGAAACTTTGTATGGAGAATTTCAACCCGACTACGAATTGGAGTTGATGCGCTCAAATGGGGATTTCTTAAAGTAATTTAATGTTTCTTGTACTTGTTTTAATTATAAATAAACATCCGTATCGTCTCGATTATACTTGTATTTGTTGCAACGATTCTTAAATATGCATGTAACCTACCGAACCCCGTAAACAAGACTTTCATGTCTCGGTTGGGCTCTCGGTAGCATACATGTTTATTGTTTGGTTGTGACAGTTTTCCATACTTTACAATGGACGCATCTATCCTCTGGGGAAAGAGAATCATTTGAATGGAAAATAAAGGCTAAAGTTTATAATTTTCCGTTAAGGTTCAATCAAAGGTGATCCCTTGCAGCAAACGCATGAAATTCATCCTCATTAAAGTAAAGAACCTTTTTTTACAAAAGCGAAACCTTAAATACGTTACATTTACCAAAACCTCCAAGACAACCCCGGGTTGGAAAGATTGGAATAGCACCTCTTGGTGCTAAGGTAGTATGAAGTATCGAAGCCAAAATTTCGAAAACGGAAATGTCTTTTCCCAATGCTCATCGTGTTGCATCGAGATGGGGCGAAAGCTCACATTCTGACTAGAGCCGGAGTATAACCTCAAATAACCCACGGATGTAGAATTGAGTGGTAAGAGTGATCTTGTCTCTTCTTGATCGACGGTGGATGTTAGTGGACGGTGGATTCTACAAAACGTATAAATATTCGAACAAATATGTTGAGTTAATGAGTTTGTTTTTGATCAATAACGAAAATGAACTTTTTAAGAGTGTTAACTTTTATTTTCCTTATTTCTATTGCTTCGGGTGCTCCTTCCGGTCTTCTTAAGCCTTCTCAGGATGACTTTTATGATCCGCCCTCAGGGTACGAGTCAAAGCCTGAGGGGGCTATTTTAAAATGGAGAAACACTCCAGCTAAAATGGGTGCTACTTTTATGCCATTGAATATCGCAAATTCATGGCAAGCCTTGGTGAGAACTACTGATTCCCATGGTAATGCTACTGCGATCGTGACTACTATTATGAAACCACATAATGCTAATTCTAAACAAGTTATTAGTTATCAATCAATGGAAGATTCTGCTAATGAAAACTGTGCACCTAGTTATTCGTTACAGTTTGGTTCTGATGCTAACACCCTTGTGTTAAAAGCAGAATCTTACATTATTCAAATTGCTTTGGAAAGGGGTTACTACGTGGTAACTCCTGACTATGAAGGTCCCAATGCTGCATTTACTGCCGGGAGAATCGCAGGCCATGCCGTGTTGGATAGTTTGAGGGCCACCATCCAGTCCGCCAACGAAACCGGAATCGCCGCCGATGCTTCTTACGCATTGTTTGGCTACAGTGGTGGATCATTAGCTAGGTATGTTGATCAGAGAACCATGCAAGAAATGGTTGCGAATTTTTGATTTTGCATTTTTTTTTTTTTTTTCTGTTACTAACTAATTTTGCAGCGGATGGGCAGCCAGTTTACAACCAACTTATGCACCGGAGTTGAAGTCCAAATTGATTGGAGCAACCCTCGGGGGCTTTGTTACGAACATCACCGAAACCGTTACTGCAGTGGAAGGAACGGTGTTTGCTGGGTTGACGCCTAATGGGTTATGGGGGTTAAGTCAAGAGTACCCATTTTTCAAAGAATATCTTAAACAAGGTATGAGCGAAGAACATTATAAGAAGTTGAAAACTGCATCCGAAAACTGTTTATTGAATGCTATTTTAGGGTTTCCGTTCTATAGATTTTTCAGTGGATCCGATCCATTTTTCAAGAAAGGGTGGGACGTGTTTAAAGAGGACGATATTAAACAAATGCTTGATGAAAATACGTTATTGTTTCAAAATAACCAAGAGATCCCCGATATTCCATTGATGATTTATCATGCCACCAACGATGAGATTGTGCCATACCATGGTAATAGTGATAGATACTACGATAACATTTGTAAATGGAAACCGGACATTTCATTAGAGTTGAACATTGATCAAACCGGAGGACATATATTAGAGATTCCCCAAGGGGTTCCAGCAGCATTTGCCTGGCTCGAAAGATTATTTAGGGGACAAAATATAGTTAAGGGGTGTCATAAGACTACCAGACTTAATAATTTATTATACCCAGGGGCAGATTATTCAATTTACACCGCCTTAACTGCCGCCATCAAGAGTTTGGTCGGGGGAGAAATTGGACCAAATGGTGAAGGATTACCAGTTAGTTAGGATTTATAAGTATACCATTAGTTAGAGTTTATAAGTATTTACCTTAGTTAGAGTTTATAAGTATGCCATTAGAGTTTATAAGTGTTTACCTTAGTTAGAGTTTATGCGTATTTACTATTAGTTGATTTGTCTAATTTAACATAGTTTTTTCGTATCATGACCGTATTCAGTGTCTATACCCATTACAGTACCTTAATTTTATCATAACCCATTGAATTATATTTATCATGTTTAAACTAATTGACTAGCTAAGTAACAGTACCTCCTAATCCATGGTCTTTGTAAGTATTCGATTACCAATTAGTTAGAATGTATTTTGTATATATATATATATATATTTTTATATCCAATTTGAATCCATGGAACCAGCCCATTTAACCAACATTGATAAGACCATCACCTTTTTCCCTTAAAAAGTCCACAAGTTTGCCTTCGTCGTATAACTTAATAATACAGTCGTAATCCCCAACCGGGGTGCCCCCAATAAAGAGTCTGGGAATATGATCTTCATCTTCACGGTATGCATCCGTGGAGTACTGGGCGTCTTTAATGGTGGAAGTGGTGGTGGTGGTGGTTTGCTCGTGCTGGGTATACGATTTCAAGTATTGGTATACTTGATAGTAGTGAGGGTGTCTATGCAATTCAACCGTGACTGGTTCTGGGGTAATACTGAAAGAATAGAGTAATATTTGTAAAAAACGACCTTGTTTCTCTGGAGGGGTTTCTTCATTTAGTAATAGAGTAATTGGGGCTATCGATAGCATTTCTTTCAAGTCTGCTTGAGCATCAACCTCCTCCTCTTCTTGCATAACTGCACTTTCAGGGAAAACAACTTCCTCTTCAGCGTCTTCTTGCATATCAAAACAGAATTTGAAAAAATTCTTAATATACGACTGGTTGGCAGATTGTACTTCATTATTACTTGACTTGAACAAAATCAAGTTGAACAAGGTTCCAATACTCAATATCAATAACACTATCGATAATAGCGACTCTTTATTTTGATAATAAACCTCTTGCTCCTCTTCTTCTTCTTCAATAGGTTCAATGGGAGTCTTTTCAATATCGATATAGAAAACCGATTTCGAGTTTCTTCTGAAAGACGACATGGCTGATGAAAAATTCAACTGCCCAATAATCCAAAGATTTAATTTAATATTTATATTATTTGATCCTAACAGAATACAATTTGATATTTATAGCTTAAATCAGAAAACGCTATTCGTGTTTTTGAGTCATGAATCTAGACCAGAGATGTCCGTCAAGGGTTCCCATTGAAAGCTTACTGGACGTGATTTCCGAGTTTGCCTGAAATTTGTCTACTGATCTACGCCTAATGTTACCGTGAAGCACTTCAGTCGATGCCGTATCAAGGCCATCTGCTTACAAACTGGGAATAATGTCCTTCACTCACTTGGCCGATGCCCTGTCGGTTGTTCTCCTAATCCGGCAACACCCATACTGTTTTGGACAGTAGTGTGGACACCGTCACTCCACCTTCTGTATGCTGAAGCCTATGAAGCTTATTCTGAGCTCATTCTGAAGGCTATTCGAAGGCTATTCGAAGGCTATTCGAAGGCTATTCGAAGGCTGTCCTGTAGTACGAGCCTGGTACATTGGCACCAGTTTGGTACAAGTCTAGCAGTCCATGTTGGTGCAGACTCGGTGTATTTCATAGGCACGTCTCAGCATCTTTGGCGTCGAACGCGGGTTTGATGTATTATCTGGGAGTAGAAAATATACTACTTTAGATGTATTATACTACTTTAGCTGGATTATACTACTTTAGTTGGATTATCGATGAGAGAGATATAAGAACAAGAGAAAATAAGAGAAAATAAGATTAAACAAGATTAAACAAGATAAAATAAGATGAATATGGAAATAGGATATCATGAGACATAAATAAAGGCGAATAGGAGTATCGAACAATATATACTACCCTTTTAACAAGTACAATTTGTACAACTACAGTTTGTACAACTACAGTTTGTACAACTACAGTTTGAGTACAATACATTGGGCCCTACAATACCCATTTTGGAGGGATATTACTACAGTTTGGAGAATGGATGGTCGCAATAATTGGATTCCGTTAACGGAATCCCCCACATTTTCCATTTTGCAACTTATTGGAGTAATAAACCCTAATACATAACCTGACTTTATACAAAGCAATACTCTGAATACACTATACAACGAGTTGCTGAATATTCCGATGGCAGATTATTTTCCCGAGTACATTGTTTGAGTTATTCCTTGCCCCAGGCTAACTACCTGGTGATGGAAATTGCGTTATATTCGTTGAGCCTATAAATATGAAGAGGACTGACTCTGGGAGGTTTTCAGTTAGAGCACCGCAAGCATGTTAGTACCCAGAATAGTCACCCTATTGGTGGCAGCATTGGCTGCCAACGCTGCTCCCGCTAGCGAGTCTGCCAGCTCGGCAGACTCTCAAATTACCCTCGATACCGAATTGACTCTAGGAGTCAAACAAACCCCCAATATTGAAAACGATACCGCAGTAGATGCTAACCAGGTTGCCAAAGGTTATGATTTGGTCAATGTATCCAGTACTGCCCGAGGATTGACCGGGATCTTGAAATTGAAAGAAGCTACCAACCTTTACGGTTACGATTTCGACTACCTCAACTTATCTGTCAGTTACCAGTCCGACGAAAGATTGAACGTTCATATCGAGCCGGTAGACTTGACTGATGTCTACGTGTTGCCCGAGGACTTGGTGCCCAAGCCTTCGGTCGAAGGCGATGTCAACTCTTTTGACTTTGATAATTCCGATTTGGTGTTCCAATACTCTGCTGAAGATTTCTCGTTTGAAATTATTAGACAATCAACCAAAGAGTCCTTGTTTTCCACTAAGGGGAATCCTTTGGTTTTTTCAAATCAGTTCATTCAATTTAATACTTCTTTACCAAAAGATCACTATATCACTGGTTTGGGTGAATCCATTCATGGTTTCCGTCAAGAACCGGGTGTCGTTAAAACGTTATTCGCTAATGACGTGGGTGACCCCATTGATGGGAACATTTATGGTGTTCATCCATTCTACTCGGATCAAAGATACGATACTAAAACTACCCATGGGGTTTATTGGAGAACTTCGGCCCCTCAAGAAGTTTTAATCGAAGAAGAATCCTTAACTTGGAGAGCTCTTAATGGGGTCATTGATTTATATTTCTTCAGTGGTGATACTCCGAAAAAAGTCATTAGTCAATACGTTAATGAAATCGGTTTGCCTGCTTTCCAATCTTATTGGACTTTTGGTTATCACCAATGTCGATGGGGCTATGACTCTGTTGACGAATTACAATCGGTTATTGATAATTTTAAAAAATTCAATATTCCTTTAGAGACCATTTGGTCAGATATCGATTATATGGATTCTTATAAAGATTTCACGAATGATCCTCATAGATATCCAAAGGAAGATTTTAAAAAATTCATTGAATCTTTACATGAAAATAATCAACATTATGTTCCAATCGTTGATGCTGCTATTTACGCTCCAAACCCAAATAATCAAACCGATAATGATTATCCTCCTTTCCATGATGGTATCGACTCGGATGTTTTCCTTAAAAACCCCGATGGCTCCTTATATGTTGGCTCAGTTTGGCCTGGTTATACCGTTTTCCCGGACTTCTTAGCTAATGATACTCAAGACTACTGGCAAAAATGTTTCGAGGATTGGTACAAAGATGTTCCTTTTGATGGTATTTGGTTAGATATGAATGAAGTCTCAAGTTTCTGTGTGGGCTCTTGTGGTTCCGGTAAACTTGAAGAAAATCCAGTTCATCCTCCTTTCGCTGTTGGTGATGTTCCTACAAAGTATCCTGAAGGTTTTGAAAAAACTAACGCTTCTGAATATAGTTCAGTTCAAGCTTCAATCTCTGCCACCGCTTCTTCATCCGCTTCTTCTTCTTCTGCATCTTCTACTTCAATCGATTCTAAAAACACTTTGGCCCCAGGTAAAGGTAATATTAACTATCCTCCTTACGCCATTAATCATTTCCAAGGTGATCATGATCTTGCTACTCATGCAGTTAGTCCAAATGCTACTCATCAAGATGGTACCCTTGAATACGATATTCATAATCTTTATGGTTATACTCAAGAAGTTGCCACTCATAAAGTCTTACTTGAAATCAATCCTAATAAAAGACCCTTCATTCTTTCTCGTTCTACTTTCCCAGGTTCAGGTAAGTATACTACTCATTGGGGTGGTGATAATAACTCTCAATTTAGAGATGCTTATTTTTCAATTCCTCAAATCTTATCATTACAAATGTTTGGTATTGGTATGATTGGTCCCGATACTTGTGGATTTAATGGTCAATCTAGTATGGAATTATGTTCAAGATGGATGCAATTGTCTTCTTTCTTCCCATTCTTTAGAAACCACAACGTTTTAAGTGCTAATCCTCAAGAACCTTACGTTTGGTCTTCTGTTACTGATCACTCTAAACAGACTATTAACATTAGATATTTATTATTACCTTACTTCTATACTAATCATTATGATACCCATACTACTGGTACTCCTTTGATGAGAGCTTTATCTTGGGAATTCCCAAATGATCGATCTTTGGCCGGTGCAGATAGACAATTCTTCGTTGGTGATGCTATTCTTGTTACCCCTGTTTTAACTCAAGGTGCTGACACTGTTAAAGGTGTCTTTCCAGGTGCAGGTAAAGATGAAGTCTATTATGATTGGTACACTTATGAAAAGCAAGATTTTGAAGATGGTAAAAATACCACTTTAGACGCTCCTTTAGGTCATATTCCTCTCCATATTAGAGGTGGTTACGTCATTCCAACTCAAGAACCAGGTTACACCACCGCCGAATCAAGAGAAAATCCATGGGGATTAATCGTTGCTTTAGGTGTTGACAAGTCTGCTCAAGGTAAACTTTATGTTGATGATGGGGAATCATATGAAATTGAAGAATCCTTATACGTCAATTTTGTTGCAGCAAACAATACTTTGTTATCATCCTCTTTTGGTTCTTACGATGCAAGTCAACCTTTGGCAAATGTTACCATCTTAGGTGTTGATTCTAAACCAAAGAATGTCAAATTTGATGGTAATTCAGTTGATTTCTCTTACGAAAACTCAACTCTTTTCGTTACTAACTTGGAACAACAAACTAGTGACGGTGCCTTTGCTAAACAATGGAAACTTACCTGGAATTAGATTCCTTCTCATGCTGTTTTATTTTATTCTTCTCTCACGTTAATTTTGACTCCAGCAGTGCTGGAACATTTTTCGCTGTTTTCACTGAAAACTTTTTTGATACCTTTTTTATAGTAGATTATGAAAAATTAAGTCTATGCCTTGTTTTAAAAGTTCATTATTGTAAGAGAGTTCGATCGAAAACGAAAGTTTGTGGCTGTTTTGCAACAAGCTTTCCCCAATACTTTGGGCACAAATCCAGCTTTTCAAGTTTTCGAAGTTTTATGATAATTTTTGGGGTTTTTCTTATAGATAAAAGATTCGATAAGAAGGTTATCCTTATAAGCTTAAAATATAGAAAAAACTACTTTATTGCTGTTTTTCATTAAACTTCAAGTTCATCTTGACAAAAATTTAATGCTTTTTTTACAAAAATCTCATAAAATTAAAAATACTCTTTTTTTGCAACTTTTGATTGCAAAAAATTGCTTTAGCTACCAAATCACTGTGAAAACATGAATTCTACTTTTCCAAAAGATCTCATGGTTTCTTTATCCTTCGACCTTTCTATAACTGATATTTTAGATATTGTCGTTAGTTTATTTTTAGTATGGGTTATTTTAGATATTATAGGAATTGGGACTCCCGAAAAAATTGAAGGCTTATTTTCCATACCAGAAACACCAATAATTGGAAACTTGCTTGAGATTTGGAATCACCCTTCTAAAGTCTTTATGCACTGGGGAGCGGTTTATCGTAAAGATATGTTTCAAATAAGAATAGGTTGCAAACGAATGATTGTTGTCAATTCATTCGATGATATCAAGCAATTATGGGTAAATCATGCAGTTGCAAATAACTCAAGACCAGTCTCTTTTACATTTCATGATATAGTGTCTGCCTCTCAAGGATTCACTGTTGGATCAACACCAGCCGGAGAAACTTATCAAAGAAAGAAGAAGACCATTTCTATGGAACTTAACAGAAGAAATGTCGATTTATTGTCCTCAATATTGGACGAGGAGACTAAATATACTATGAAGAAAATAGTTTGTCAAAATATAGAATTGAATTGTCTTCCTTCTGAAAATATCTATAACTACATAAACACTAGGTTTAGTGATATCGACTTGCTAAAATATGGCCAATACTTTGCTTTGAGAAGTGCTATTAGTATTGCTTATGGTTGGCAAATGGATTGTTTCAATTCTGATTCGGAATTAGCTCATGAAATAATAGAGGTTGAAAGTGAAATAATAAAATTAAGGTCTCCCATAACAAATTTGCAGGATTATTTTCCTTTCTTAAGGTACAAGCCGCTAAGCTTGTTATCTAATGCAAGTAAAGCAAATTTTTGGCGTATTCGACGTGATAAGTACATGGACTATCTTTTAGAAAATTTGCAGCAAAGAATTCAAATGAAAAATCTTTCCGCTTGTCAAAGTTTGATCGGAAGATGTCTTCTTCAAAACACTAGTGAATTAAGCTTTGCAGAGATTCAAAGTCTCTGCTTAACTTTAGTTAGCGCTGGCCTTGATAATACTTCTTTCAACTTTAACCATTTGATGGGACATCTCTCACATCCAAATTATGGATACTTAATTCAAGAAACAGCTTTCAAAAAATTAATGGATTGTTATGATGATAATGCAATCAAAGCTTGGAAACTTTCAGCATATGAAATGAAATGTGATTATATCTTGGCTTTAGTAGAAGAGTGTTTTAGATTTTTCACAGTTTTACCGTTGGCATTACCCCGAACAACAACTAAGAAAGTAAGGTATAAAAATATTAATATTCCTGAAGATACTATTCTCTTCATGAATGCTTATGCTGCCAACCATGATCCAAGCAGGTTTCCAGAACCTTTTGAATTCATTCCTGAGCGTTGGTTAGACAAGAATACTGGTAAAATGTTAAGCTCAAAACAAATTAGCCATTTAGCATTTGGTGCCGGGTCAAGAAAATGCTCGGGACAGCATTTAGCAGTCAAAGGTTTATATACATTAACAGCTAGAATGATTCTTCTTTTCAAAATCAGAAGACCCATTGATAGCTCCATGCTAATGGTACTTGATCCTTTTCAAAATGATTCATGTCCGAACGCTACATCGTTTGAACCTAAGCCTTTTAAAGTTAGATTGAAACAGAGACACCATAGGGACTCTAATGCCTTATATAACATATTAACAAAGAGAAACTAGTAGTCTATGTAACTTTTAATAAAATGGAGCATTCTTCAGATCTATTAAGATTATAAGTAATGATGCTATAAATGAAAAAAAAAAAAAAAAGAAGCAAAAGAAAAAGCAAAAAAAAAAGAGAAAAATAAAGGAGGGTTATCCTGATAATCCATCTTGATTTGGATCAACGTATTGTACTTTATTGACCACAACAGATTTAGTGTTTTTAGTCATGGGTAAATTGTATTTCAAAATACCTCTTATTATAAGGTCGAAAGGATTTTTGGAGATGATCTCCCATTTCTTTGAGTTATCAGGTTCAGTAGAGTTACCCTTTGAGACAAACTCAGTTGGTAAAATTTTGAAATAATCTCGGTCATTACCCAAAATGAAGTTATTGTTAAAATTCGTCAAGTTTTTACCAGGAGACAACAATTTAATGGCACCAGTTTGTTGAATTGGATCACGATTAAAAAATCCTCCTTCAAAAGATAGAGAAGACTCTAAAGAGAAAACGCTTCCCAAGAGAACAGTTTCCACCATGCTATTGACAGAAATACCAGAAGATCCACCATCTACCGCGTTGTCAGGTAAATACCCACTTTTAGCGAATACATCCAATTCAACCTCATCGATAACAACTGTAAACCATCCTGGATTATAAGCCTCGACGACAATATTAAAAAGTAGTTCATCTTGACTGACCAAAGTATTTTCAACACCAATAATATTAACATTGGTCAAGTCCTTTGTTGATGCCAATACAAAGCCCGAAACAAATCCGATAGCCAATATACAAAGTATACCAATTAAAGTATAAAGAAAACTTTTTATGCAATTGATACGGCTATTGTTAAGATTGTTTTTGGAAACCTTTCGTGGTAAAAAGAAATGTCCGGTGCTTGGTGATAAATGTGGATGACGACCACCATTTCCACCGTTAAAGCTCTTATGATCGATTAACTGGCTTTCTTCATCGTATTCATCCAAATCATAGTAATAATTTTGCATAGGATCAGGATAAGGGAATGGGAAAATGTCACTATTAGTATTAGGATTAGGATTGGGGTTGGCATTATTATTATTATTATTATTATTATTGCCTAATGGAGGACTTATATTACCACCACTAGTAGGGGTATGAGAAGGACCCATCGATAAGTATCTTTTATTCTTGATGAGACTTGAAGCTTTCTTACCACCTTGCAAATTTAAATTAAGAGATCTATAATGTGGAATTCTAGAATGACTGTTACTACCTTGATTAATCAAGGGGGAATTTTCGTTTAAAATACCACTATTATTATTAGTACCATTATGAGGAAATCTAATATTATGATCATAATAAATTAATTCATCATCGAAATCTTCAATATCGAAATCATCAGGAATAATACTATACCTTCTAGGTTGACTACCTTTTTTATCAAATAGTTTAGAAGTTGTTGACCTTAATTTTGAAGAATTATTTGAAGATTTATAATTCTTCTTTGAAGTATTTTTACTAGTAACTGTAGTATTATCATTGTTTTTAATTCCTTGATTCAATTGTTGGTTAATATATGTAGCATTCAGACTACCATTACTATTATTATTATCATCAGCTGCTTGATTTACACCATTAAGGTTATTGGGGTTAGGATTCATGGAAACAGTGTTATTTTGATTATTGTTGAAATAATCACCTTCTGTTGATAAATCGTCAATTTCAGCATCATCATCAACTTCATCATACGAATAATGATCATCATCATTAATACTTTGAGTACGGGAAGTATGATAATTAATACCAAAACTTTGAACTGGATTATGAATAGCAGGATGAGCATTTACATTGGAAGCGTAATGACTAAGAGGGGAATGACTGAAATTACTTAAAGCTTTACCAGTTGCATTAATATTTTGATTATTAAGATCGGCAAAATTTCTTTCATCATTATTACTGGTTGAATGGGCCAACGAGAAAGTTGAGCCTTGTCTCTGAGTGGAAGGTCTTGATTTTAATATATGGTCAAGATAATGATTACTATCATATGAATTATCGAGTGGAGAATGGAAAGGTTGAGGTTGATGAATTTGATGGTTTGAGGTAAAGGGTAAGGAAGGAGTACCTGTAGAAGATGCAGAAGGGGTTGGTTGTGATTGAGATTGTTGGGGCGATTTTACATTTTTCGAATGTTTTGGTGTATGAGCAGCATTATTCAATTTGAATGAATGAATTGATTTTATTGAATCAGCACGTCTTATGGGATGTCCAATATAATCATCATCAGGTTTTATAGAAGAAGTCACAGACCCTTCTACTACCGGTTGAATTTGAGAACTTTGAGGTTGATTATTACCTGGAATGGTATTTCCTTGATTTTGAACATGGGGATTAGGTCCAGCAACTTGAAGGGGACTGTTTGAAGCATCCAAGTTATTATTTGGGGTCGTACCATCTGGTGATAGAGGATTGGAATGAGGAGGGAGAGGAGTGTAAGAGGGATTAGGAACATTAACATTATTGTTAATTGAATTAGTATTATCATCATCATAATCATTCAAGTTATTATTTTCATAAACAAAAGTTTCATCACTATCAGAACTTTCAACGTCATCAACAGCACTAGCTAGTTTAGCAGCGAAAAAGTCAGTTCTAGTGGAATTTTGTTTTGAAGATTTTTTAGTCTTTGGTTTATTTGATTTTGTATTTGTTGAAGTATCGTTATTGGTATTAGTTGCCGTAGGTTGATTATTTAAAGTTGTTGGAACGGTTTGAAGATTATCATTAACCAGATTATTATTATTATTATTGGTATTAGTATTAGTATTAGTATTAGTATTCGTATTATTATTAGCATTAGGGGTAGGATTAGTATTAGTATTATTATTATTATTATTATTATTATTATTATTATTATTATTGTTATTAGTAGTATTAGAATCATTGTTATCATGCTTAACTGCAGACGAATTCAAATCTTTCAGATCCTCTAGTTCATTAGTAGAAGGATTAACAACTTGTTGATTTGAAGTTATAGAAACCGTAGACTCATTACCGGTAATACCACTTGGGAAAGTGGTAGATTTTGGAGAGGTATTGACGATTTCTGATATTAAGGTTGGATTTTTTGGATGAGGTTCTTTACCATTTATAATCTTTTGTTTTGCTTTCAAAGATTTATTCAAATTTGAAACAATTTGTTTATTACGGAGAGCAGAAGCAGAAGAAGCAGAAGGTTGATGATTGGAATTGGATACTAGGTTAGAATTACCACCACTATTTTGGTTAAGATTACCGTTAGCAGAAGTGTATGGATTATTATTAGTGGTGGTAAGAATGGGAGATTGGCCAATATTTGAAGAAGGATTTTGCGACCTATTAGCAGTATTACGATTCCCAGTTGATACCTCATCAGGGTTTGTTGCTGAGGCGGAGTTTACTGGAGAAGCAGTACCATTTAACTGAGGATTTAAGGAGGTAGATGTAAATTTTGAGCTTGAGTCAGCAGAAGGATGGGGTCGAATTGCTTTTGATTCCAGTTGAGGAGATATTAGTTTTTCCTTTGGTATCTTGAAATTACTATTTAGCGGAGGAGCGGTTTTATTATTGGGAGCATGTAAAGTAGTAGTACTATTTTGCGATGAATTTTCATTACTTGAAGTTAATGGAGTATCAGAAAGGGATACACCTCCTTGGTGAATATTTGAAGTTGTTTTATTAGATGCAAAAGGAGAACTAAGATTGGAATCATATAATTTATTTTCAATAGACGGGGATAATAGTTTCTCTTTTGGTATTTTGAAAGCTCCTCCTATAGGTCTTTCCAAATCGCTTTTGGTTTTGGACTTGTCTTGACTACTTGGTTGCTTTTGCTGTTGCAGTTGTTGACTTTGACTCGGATTCACCATGGGCGGAATATCTATCGATAGACGCTTAACATTCCTATTGGGAGACTCTGATACGTTTTGATTTGACATCATGGACTTAAAAACAAGAGCTGATTTCAACGGAAATTCAATAAGCAATGAAAATATTAAATTATATAAACTAAGCTTCTTCTCCGGGACACCTCTTCACCAAACCACAAATGACTTTCCAAAATAGCCCAATCAAACACTAAACTTATTTCTGAATAACGAATGAATACTAAGGTTATTGGATTCTTTAGTGTTGAAATTACGAGAGCAAACAAAGACACGACAAGCGACACACTCTCGGTAGACGGCGTACGCGAAGACCCAAAACAAAAGCAGAATAAGAGCGTCTCTGACAGGTTCAATGACCAATTAGCAAGCAGCAGAGCTTAACAAGATTCCTTGTTGCTTGATCAAACCAATGGTTAACTCAACTCGAATTAAGCGCTGTCAATGAACTCACACACAAAGGGAAAATTAAAGAGAAAAATTTATAGGCGAAATTTTTGGTGATGACAGTAGAAAAAGGGCACCGGCGCACGCCCTCCAAGGGATAACTGGAAGGTAAAACCACACCCGTGCACCAAAAGCTAATTGCAACTGCTGCCATCAGCCAATTGGCAGTCAGTTAAGAGGGAGAAGGAGCAGTGAGAGGTAGTAGGCAGTTGGAATAGGCAGTTATAAGAGGCAGTTGTAATAGGGAAGTGGCCATGGATCAAGAACACGGGAGATGGGCCGAGGGATTAGTATGGGTCACTGATAAAGCCAAATGGATTGACTTGACAATAGACGGTAGATGGCTTACTACAAGAAATGGTTGGGTTAAATCATGACAATGACGTTAATGCTTTTTTAATATACACATGTGATCATAAGAGAGAAGAGAATGCAAGATGATCAAGGAGTTCTCAAGTTTTTCAAATCTTCTAATTTTTTAGATAAGCTATTATTAGCACTTTCTTGATCATCGGTAGTAGAAGGAGAAGAAGCCAGTCTTGCACCAAAGCTTAAGCTTCTTCTTAGACTGAAATTACCAACGGCGGCATCATTTTGTTTATCTTTAGCAACTGCATTTGGAGCAGCGACTGTTTTGGGACGATTTCTCTTAGAAGATGGAGGAGCAGTTGGCACCACTGAGTACTTACGTTCTTTGAAAAGGACCCCAACTTCCTTCATATTTTTTTGATGCTCGGGTTCTCTTTTAACAAACCAATCTAAACTTTCATCATACTCATACATTCTATAATCAGTACCGTAAGGTTTCAGTTCCAAACAGTATAAAGTATGTAAAGGAACATCTAACTCACCAATTGAAGATTTATCTAAATTCAAAAAATAAGCTAATAAAATTCTTAAAACAACTCGATGACTAATAATCAATAAATGATCGGTAGTTCTTTCAATCTCAGTAATTAAAGGTCTTAATCTGGTTAAAACATCTAAATAAGATTCACCCCCGACTCCAGGATATCTGTAAGTTAATTTATTTCTCAATCTGCTATCGAATTCTTTTGGATATTTTTTTTGAATTTCATTATAAGTTAAACCTTCAAATTTACCTCCACCTAATTCATTTAACATTCTCATTTCTTTAATTGAAAATAATTGTTCATCAAAATATTTCCCGGTTTCCACTGCTCTAAATAACATCGATGTCCAAACACAGAAATTTGGTTCAGTTGGGATATTATCTAATTTTTGATCATCATCATTCGAAGATTCATTTGAGTCGTCTCCAAAAATTGAATTATATTTTAATTCTAATCTTGTACTAAATCTTTCTAATTGTTGTTTTCTAAACTCTGATCTTTGATAATCCATAAAATTTGCTAAAGTTTTCGAAAATTTTTGACCACGCTTAGTTAAATGAGAATCTCCACCAATTCTACCACTTAAATTATCAACTGATTCACCGTGTCTAGTGATCCAAATTTGACGTTCACATAAATTAAAGTTAAGTAGAAAATAAATTGTTTGGGATGCTAAAAAACCTTGAATATTATAACTAACAACTTTTTTACCAACATCAATCATTTTCACATATTGAAACCCTGGAATTGATTCTTCCAGTTCATCAATTGTTTCATAAGCCTTTTCATAATTACGTAATCTTCCAACAAAATCTTTTAATGCAACTTCTGGATCCATGGATTTATAATCAGGACCACTTAATTTTAATCTTATATTTGATTCAATAATGGAAGGATCAGAACAAATACTTTCTAAATATAAAACTTTCAATTCACCTTTTGATCTTTGTTGAATTCTTTTCAAAACTTTAAGACGACGGGATTTAGTTGAATTTGTTGCATCAAATATACCAACACTACCCGAACCATCAATAACATAATTTAATAATTGATCTAAGGTATCCATTGCCCATTTTTCTCTTAAAGTATTTGAATTTTTATTATTTGGATTGAAAAAATCGGCATTATGAGAATTTGAATCCTTTTTAACAACAACTTCTTCATCTTTAGTATTTAATGCTGGACTATTATTATTAGTATTATTTTGAGATTCATTTTGAGGAGTGTTAATATCGGGTAAAGGATTAGCTTCAGGACCACTATTATTTTTATCTTTTCTTCTAGTATTACCAACATTGAAAACTCTACAATCATGTTGTAACCAATTTAAGTATCTGGTTAACTTATTTGTAATATAAGATTTACCTCTTGCTGGTAAACCAACCATTACAATAACTAATTTAGAACCAACATCAACGGAAGCAATATGACCATCAGGACTTGTTTTAGAAGAAGTTTGTCCGGGGATATTCAACGTATAAGCTTTATGAGCAGGAGGAGGAGGTTTTGTTAATAATAAATTTTTCAATTGTTCTAGTGAAGGAGTTTTTTCAAATTCTTGTTGTAATTCAATAGGAACATCGTGTAATAAATCCGCCCGGACATCTTCATCTAGATTTAATCGATGTTCACTTGATTTTGTTTTCGATAACTTATTAGATTTTTCCTCCTTTTTACTGACATTTGTAGTGGAGGTCATTGGAGAAACCGAGCTTGAATTCAGTTTATCATCCAAGTCCGTCAAATTTAAATGAGAGATATTTTTAGTCTTTAAGATTGGTCTTTTTGAGTTTGAGTTTAATTTTTCGTCAATGGTTTTTTTATTATCGTCCATATCATCATCGGTATCATAATAATCACTTGATTGATATTTTGTAATTGGAGATCCCATACTGGATACTATTGGAGTATCAGTTAAAGGTCGTTTATTAAATTCGGGTAAGATTGTATTTGAATCATTATTGGGGGTATTAGTATTGAAATTATTTGATAAATGAGAATCCAATGATTTACTGATATTCATTTTTTCATTTGGATACGAAGTAAAACGAGTTAACCGTGATTGAGGATTTGATCTTAAATGAGATCCTGATGGTTTTTTCTTTAAAGAATGATTTGTTGATTTGGTTTCTTGATTTTCATCTAATTTAGATAGTTGGCTTGTTAAATTAGAATGACGACGTTTTTCAATCTTCTCTTCGCCCCGGTCATCTTCATTTGATGAATCTGATGGAGACAGAGTCGATGAGGAATTTGATGAGGAATTTGATGATGCATAATTAGGTGATGGACTTGCCATAATCAAATTACTAGTGGATCCATGATTGAAACTTACTTTTTTAATATGATTCCGTTGGTTAGCCAATACGGCATTCGATATTGAATTGGATTTCTTTCGATTATGATGAAGTTTCAGTGGCCTATTGGATGGTGGTAAGTCATTTTGTTCGTTTGATGAAGTTGACGCCATCATATATCTGCTTTATAAGACTCCTTAACCGTATTATAACTTAACTATACGATAACTTAACTATACAAACTTGGAGGAGCAACAGTATATGAATTAGTCAGACTTTTTTTTTTTTTTTTTTTTGGTATTCTCCCTATATGTCCAGACGGTTTACCGGAGTTTTTCTTGCTGAGATTCACCAGATTCTCACGGTCAAAAGAGCAAATCACCAGCTTGCTGATTGTAACCCCAGTGCACTACACGGGAAGCCCCTTTCCAGGCCCAGCAGGTTGTCCGTGGGCCTTGGGGTCTGCCAGCTGGGCTTCGGAGCACAGTAGGAGAGGGGGGGACAAAACACCCGTGCATATTTTTAAACCTCCGTACACCAGAACAATAAAACCCGTGCACCAGATAAATAAGCACTTACATAATCAGCCATTATCAACCCAACAATAAAGGTACCAATGTATCAATGTATCAATGTATCAATAAACGTATCAGTAAACGTATCAGTAAACATATCAGTAAACGCATCCTTGATCAATGGGACGGTCTCTACTTCGTGATGTGTTGAAAAGTGGAGCCCCACCGATAAGATGGTGATGGTGGCTCCTTGAGCTCGCTTATTCATGTCACAAGACCTAGAGAGTAGATTTATTTTATTCTCAGTTGTCATCCCATCATCGATGCAATGTCTAGACCCTTGATATATTTTCATGTACGTATTGCCGCATCATATAGATTGCAAGTTAAGCTTGTCCCAAGCTACAGGTTAATCTGGTATGGTTGCCCGATTCAACGATTTGTTGTGAAATATCTTTAATAGAGTAAACCTCGATCAAACCTTAAACCAAGACATTTCATCTCTTTCCGTACATCTGTCGTTTGTTGTGTTTCCGTTTCGACTTGTCTTGCGACTGGTCTTGCGACTGGTCTTGCGACTGGCCTTGCGACTCTTGCGACTGGTCTTGCGACTGGTGTTTTACTGTTTCTTCGCAGGGTTACAGCATCATTATTATTACAGCTTCTTCAATAGAGTATTTATTATTTCTGTAACCATTGCTTTGAGCTCATCAAATCATCGCCATCACCACCCCTTCATATATTGCTTAGACACTTAGTCCGATAGAAAACAAATGAAGGGAAAAAAGTAAGAAAAGAATGGTTGTGAAACCTTATTGTGCTCCAACTTATTGTTAAAAGTAGTGTGAGCTTAAAGGTATTCTTTGTTCACAAGATTCCTTTGCCTTTTGGTAAACTTGGTTCTAGAGTTACGATTGTTCTCTTATTTCCACTCGGGAAGAGGTTTCCTTTTTCTCTTTTAACATCCAAACTTAACAAGTGCTCTTGCTATTTCATATTATCTTTCTTATTATTTCTAAATTTTTCCTTGCTTTACAACTAATTTTAGTATTATATTCACTGGTTGGTGTCTTTGTTTAAGATTTTTTATTTTTTAACTACTTGCTTCTTAATCCAGTGCTAAACCATACTTTTTCGATTATTTGCTTAATGTCCTAATGTAATTTGTTTTGACTAGTGCATCCTATGACCATCTTGTGACTCCTGTTGTTATGTGACTTCACCCTTCCGCGGGTATTTCTGCTTCTTCAATCCTCATCTTTGTCGTAGATAGCCTCTACCCAGTTACTCCCAGCCCTTCACTCCCTACTGATATCAACTTGATGCGGTATAGTTGTGCAAAAAGTTCTGTTAACGCAGGGTCTGCAACTTTTAGCTGGCTTTTATTTCTTTTGCTTTGCAATCTTTTTCGCATTCACTTTTTTTTTTTTTTTTTTTTTTTGCAATTTTAAACAATAATATTATAAGTTTATTATCTAGTTTGTAATTTCTATCTTTTTGGCTAGAAAACTTATATAACCATAGCATTTCCTTATAAAGTTGAAGATGGAAGTTCTTTTCTTTCTTCGTATTCTGGTGGTTCTTTTTGTTTTCTTTGTAAATTGATAACCATGAAGTTTACTAGTCCTAGGTTATCACTAAATTCAGCTAATCGTGAATCGATTGATCTTGGAGAAAGTGAGCCTTCGTCGCCGGTTGATTATGAGAAGTTCAAGAAGTATCAGGAGGAAAGGGTGGTACAACACCAACAATCACAAGAAACCATGAGCTCATGTATCTATCCAACTAAACAAGAAAATAAAAAGAAAAATTATCAACGAACCATAATTAGTAAAGTTGAACTGCAAAGTTCATCATCTGGGTCAAATGATGATGAAGACTTTGATAAAGAAGATGAAGATGATTTCAGTGATATGAGTGAAAAAAAAATTGTGAGAAAATTAGATTGGAGATTAATGCCTTTATTAACTATTATATATTTAATTGCATTTTTAGATAGAGGTAATATAGATGAGGCTCATCAAGAAGGAATTAGTAAAGATTTGGGGTTGAGTCAACATGATTATTCTTTATCAATAACTGTTTTTTTCATTCTTTATGCTTCAATTCAAATACCATCAATCTACTTAATTAAGAGAACAAAACCATCTCATTTAGTTATTGGTACCATGATTCTTTGGTCAGCTTTGATGACGTTAATGGGGGGTTTACAAAACTACAAACAATTGATGGCAGCAAGATCATTTTTAGGTATTTTACAAGCACCTTTATTCCCCCAAGTAACTTTTTGTTTATCAATGTACTATACTAGAGATGAATTTTTAATTAGAGAATCAATTTTTTTCTCTGCTGCTTCGATAGCTGGTGCTTTTAGTGGATTATTAGCTATTGGAATTAATAGGTTAGATGGTTATGGGGGAATTGAAGGTTGGAGATACTTATTTATAATCGAAGGTGGATTTAGTTTATTAATCGCCATTGCTGCTTATAAATATTTCCCTGATTTCCCTAAAGATGCAAATTTTTTATCAGAACGGGAAAAGAAATACGTTCAATACAGAGTAGCTCATGATAATAATAATGACGATGATGACTTCATTCAAGTAAATGATAATTTATTGAAAAGAATTCCTAAAATAGCGGAAGATGATTCAAATAATGATAAATATATTATTGATGTTTTGAAAGATTGGCAGTTTTGGGGTCAATTATTCTTATACATTGGAACTTGTGTTCCATTAAGTGGATTATCAATTTTTTCTCCAGTTATAATTGAAAATTTAGGTTTTGATTCAACTATTAGCCACTTGTTATCAATTCCGATTTATTTGGTGGCTAAGATATTTAGTGTGATTCAAGCGTTTGTTTCAAGTTGGGTTGGGGTTAGATCTCCTTTCCTACTATTTAATTTCATCTCAATGTTAGTTGGTTATGTGGTTTGTATAACTGGAGATCCAATTTCAAATCCTGGAGTGGTTTATGCTGGTACCTTTATTATTGCTATGGGGATTTATCCTGCTTTCCCCATGGTGGTGGTTTGGAATAGTAATAATTTATCTGGTTCGTATAAAAGAGCTATTGGAGTTGGTTTACAAATCGCTTTAGGTAATTTTGGTTCTACATTCAGTGCCAGTTTTTACCGTGCTAAAGATTCACCTCATTTTATCTTAGGTCATTCTGTTGAAATTGGGTTCATAATATTAGGATTGGTGATGGTTACAATATTATTCCTTGGTTATACTTTTGCTAATCTTAATAAAAAAAGAAAATTAGCAAGTGGATTTTATGATCTGTACTCAGAAGAACAATTAAGGCAAATGGGTGATAAAAGCCCTTATTTTTCCTACAGATTATGATATTTCTTCTCCCTTTGAATTATTTTTGCATATTAATTTCGCTTAAAGAATACTAATCTTTTAACTAGATTTTTTTTCCCGTTCCTTTAATATATTCCTAATATCTTTAATCATTTATATCGCATACGATTTTTCTCTTTGTTTTCTAGTGATGCTTGAGGGTTAGCAAAGTTTTTCTTTCCTTTTACATAAAGCCATTCGCTTGTTCTGTTTGATTTCTTATCACAAAATTTTTCTATCGTTGGAGTTGATTTTTCTGTTCTTTGCTTGATTTATTCCTGCTAAGTTTCTTTTTCTATACCTATTCCTTTATTTTTTTTGCTAATCTTTATGTGATTAATATTACTTAACGACTATCAATATGACTACATATGCTTTTAAATTTCATTTCGTTGTAGATATAGAAGCAACTTTTTTTTTTTTTTTTTTTTTTTTTTTTTTTTTTTTTTTTTTTTTTTTTTTTTTATTTTTTTTTTTTGCAATCAGTTAGTAGTCACGAGCAAAATTCCCATCTTGATAAACACGGCAAATCCCCAATAAGGACATCACTTGTTCAGCTAGGAAATTCTGGTTTCTTGCTAATTTTATTATTGAAACAACTTAAACAAGAGACTGCAAAAAGATAATAGAACAGTGCATACAAAACAACCAGCCCTGCATACGACTGCGAAAAGACAAAAGCCCTATATAAATCTTAATTCATATTCGGTCAATGACATAACATTATACACTTACTTTGTTCTAAATCTATTCTTTTCCCTAATGCTATGCTATTTCTGTTTGAGGATTGATTTGCTTGAATGAGAGAATCACAAGACCGAGAAGGAAGTGGAGGAGGTTTCTATTATTCTATTCGCCTACCTTGCTGTTGTCCTTGTACTGGAGCTGTTGTATCTGTTCGCTGGTCGAGGAAGGAAGATATTCCAAGTCTTGGCTTTTTGGATTATGAATCTGTTGTCATGAAATGAATTTGATGAATTTGGCATGCTGTAGAATTTTTTTTTTTCAATGTATGTGTCCCTTATAAAAAATCCCCTTGATTACTTTACAAAATATTCATTTAACAGCTTATAAAATATTTCTTCAATATACCCAGAAACTTTAAGTCTTCCTATACTTGCATTTTTTAATCATGGTTGTAATCACAATTATATTATTTTCCATAGCTGCAAATAATAATTAAGCCTCAGGCTCAACTTGCTCATCAATCACACGACAAAGAAAAGGGTGTAAAGGATTTTCCGGACCAAGTTTTAAGGGATGAATTACAATCAACCCTTCCAGATATCGTCAAGCACAAATGGACGCCAACTCGTATCAAAGGTTGTTATCTTAATTAATTTATGATAAGAGGATTGATTTTGGCTGCTCTGCTTTTACCCCCACTAAATTAAACTTTAAGCATGCAAAACCCGCGGTGCACGGGTGCTAGCCTACTGTGGCACGTGACCAGGAAAGACCCTGTTATGAAGATGGTGATGAAGAAGGGCTTGCAAAAAGCATGTTTGGAAAGGCTTTGTCCATTTCACGAGCCCTCGCATTAGATCTTACTCGTTCCTTGGATTGTATCTTTGGAAATGGTACTTGGATCTTATCTTTGGAAATGGTACTTACAATACCAATTGTTCTGCTCTTTGTTCTCGGGACACTTTCAATAGGAATCCAGCACTAAACCCATTAACACAAACACCAATCCAGCTTTGCGTGTCGAAGGTTCGTTCAGCCAGGAGTATCAATAGAAGCACAAACCATTTCCATTCAATACATTCTGATTCAAACAAGTAACAAGTAACAAGTAATTCAAATAACAAGTAATTCAAATAACAAGTAATTCAAATAACAAGTAATTCAAATAACAAGTAATTCAAATAACAAGTAATTCAAATAACAATTAAGTAACAACAAAGTCACTCAGAAAGTGACACTCCAGAAAACTCATATACAACTATCGAACTGGATGTCGTAGATATGTCAAGTTGAAAAATACGTCAAACGGGTACCGGGTGTACGGATGTCCAGGGACGGCCTCGTATTTTTCGGAGTTTCAAACAGGGCTTGTATCAGCAAAACCCCGGCAGCCCACCAGAGGTCCCCAAGGTCAGCAGCCCACCAGAGGTCCTGCCCAAGGCCAGCACCACCGCGATATAAGTACGGGCAGAATGACTCATCGGCATGTTTGAAGGAATCCCGAAAAATATTGTTTGATTGGTTCAGATAAACAAAGCCGCTCGCAGGTCGACGTGGGGAAACTAAAATTGACGGAATTTGGCAGATGGTGAAAATTTCATCGACATTGATTTCTTTGAAAAAGATATAATCTTCATTTATATATCGAAAAACATCAGGATGGAGGCTAAAATGCCAGCTGCAAAAAACGAACTAAACGAAAAAGATACTAATCAAAATTTAGAGTACGAGTCTGCTTCTTTGGAGGATTTAGTACCTGACTTTAGTGACGTTGATGAAAAAAAACTACTTCGAAAGATTGACTTCAGGGTTTTGCCCTTATTCACGATTATCTACTTGATTAGTTTCTTGGATAGAGGTAATATTGGTGCTGCTAAGATCGAGGGTCTTCCTCAGGACTTAAATTTACAAAGTCAACAATACAATAACTGTTTAACAGTTTTTTTCATTTTTTATTCGTGTGCAGAAATCCCCAGTAATATTATCTTGAAACATGTTAAGCCTTCTCTTTTCATGGTTTCGGCAATGATACTATGGGGGATTGTAATGACATTAACTGGATTAGTGAAAAATTACGGTGGTTTGATTGTTTGTAGATCATTACTAGGAATATTAGAAGCACCTTTATTCCCAGGTATTTCTTTTTATCTTTCCCTTTATTATAGGAAAAATGAGTTTTTGGTCAGAGAAGCAATTTTCGTTTCTAGTGCTTCAATAGCCGGGGCTTTTTCAGGGTTATTGGCGGCTGCAATCACTCAAATGGATGGTATTGGTGGTATCGAAGGTTGGAGATATATTTTCATTCTTGAAGGGGCTTTAACCATTGTGGTTGGACTCCTTGCATACTTAGTTTTCCCGGATTTCCCCCAAACTGCTAAATTCTTAAACGACCGAGAAAGAGAGTATGTTATTCATCGAGTTAAAAATGACTCTAATACTGATGGGGGTAGCTTAATTGACAAAAACGCTGTTGAGAATCTCAATAGAAAAGCTCCAGTTGGTGAAGATCACTCTAATAAACCAAAGTATATCTGGGCAGTTTTCAAAGATTGGCAATGTTGGGCCTCTGTTTTCATGTATTTTGCCCTTGCTATTCCAATTTACGGGCTTTCACTTTTCGCTCCAACAATCATTAATAACTTGGGTTATACTGCAACAAAAGCCCAATTATTGACTGCTCCGGTGTATATCGCAGCAGCCATAATAAGTATTGTGCAAGCTTATTATTCTGGTGTCGTGGGAGTTCGTGCTCCGTTCATCATTGTAAACTTCCTTTTTGAATTGGTTGGTTTCATAATCTGTATATCCATGAGTCCAGCTACCCACCCAAAATCGATCTATGCTGCCCTTTTCATCATTGCATTAGGTGCCTATCCATCCTTACCGGTGGTTATTGTTTGGCTTTCAAATAACGTGTCGGGCTCTTATAAAAGAGCAGTTGCAATCGCTTTCCAAATCGGGTTTGGGAACTTTGGTGGAATCGTCAGTAGTAACATCTACAGAGCTCAGGATGCTCCTAGATTCTTATTGGGCCATGGTATCCAAATCCTATTTGTTTCCCTTGGGATTATTGCTGCAACTGCTTCTTTAATCGGTTATAGTGTTTCCAACTCTAAAAATTCTAAAAAAATTCAAGCTGGTGCTTACGATAACTACTCCGACGAAGAACTACTTGAAATGGGTGATAAAAGCCCTTATTTTGTCTATAGACTCTAATCAAACTTATATACTTTTAAAATATTCCAGCCGTACGGTGTACGTGTTTCCCAGCCGTTGTATTACATCATTAGGGGGGTTCTTCCCCACATTTTCATCTCGTGTCCTTGAGTTGCAAAATTCTTCCGCAGAGCTACTGTTGATCAATTTTGGCATCCACGTCGTCATCTCTCCAGCTGGAACAGGCTCACCACATGGTGGGAGCATTGTTGCTGATGGGGACACACTGGGGAAGGTGGGGATGCATCCTAAGTTTATCTGATTGTAAAGAGAAGCAAGAAATTTTTTTTTCCTTGATAGACACTACTACTCTTTTTGCAGTTTGTAATGGCTATATATAACCTTTTATCCTTGGTGTTTGCAATGGGTTGAATAGTTTGTATTCAATCATGGCTTCGATTACTTCTTCGCTCAATGAGAGGGAGGTTGATAAACCTACTGGTCTTCTCGACGATTGCTCAAAGAAAAACAATAATTCTTCCTCTATCCATTCAACGAGTTCCGATTTTGATGATAACTCTACCAAGTTAGGCTTTGCTTCTACAAATGACGAAAACTCAACAAGGAGCCTTGATTCTGAACCGGATTTCAGTGACATTGATCAAAAACAATTGATTAAAAAACTTGATTTCAGGTTGATGCCGCTTTTCACAATTCTATACTTGATAAGCTTTTTGGACAGGGGCAATATTGGTGCTGCGAAGATAGAAGGACTTGCAGAAGACTTGAATTTGCAAGGATCAGAGTATAACCTTTGCTTGACGGTGTTTTTCATATTTTACGCAACTTTGGAGATCCCCAGTAATATCTTGCTTAATCACGTTAAACCTTCGGCTTTGATAGTTTTGGCTGTAATCTTATGGGGGATTGTCATGACTTGCACTGGCTTGGTACAGAAATACGAAGACTTACTTGCATGCAGGGCATTACTTGGTATCTTTGAAGCTCCGTTGTTTCCAGGGATCTCGTTCTACCTTTCGGTTTATTATACCAAGAATGAGTTTTTGGTAAGAGAAGCAATATTTTTTTCAGCAGCCTCTATAGCCGGTGCCTTTTCAGGTTT